TGAAGGATCTAAAAATGAATTAGTATACGCAATAACAGGGTTAACCCAAATTACAGAAATATTAATTCCATTTATGGACAATAATCCTATATATTCTGAACGAGCTTTACATTATGACAAATTTAAAACAGTAAGCTTAATCTTAAAAAATGAAAAACCTTTAACATTAGAAAGTAAATTAAAAATAGTTGATTTATGTTATGATATGAATAAAAAAGGAAAACATCGTAATTTGACTAAACTACAATATATAAACTTATTAATGAAGATTCATAATCAAAAATAATCCTAATTATCTTTTGTGATAACATTAAAAATTTAACATTAACCCCTTTTAATTCTTAATGTTATGTTCATAAGGATAAATTTAATTGTGTTTGTGGATTTATGTTAACCGGCTCTAGTCAGATTAAAAAAGATAGATAAGGGTAGTCGCTATCTTTTAATGACCGTAATAGTAACAACGTAGCAGCCCTTAGAATGTGGCACCGAAAATTTAACGGGTCTAAGTAATCAACCGATATCGTGTTGATTTTGAATAAAATTTTATTTTTTTTTTAACAAATTTTATTCTTAATCTAGGTAGTAGAACATTCAGTAATATACCATTGAGATACAGTGTTTCATTGTAATCTAGGTAACTGAAGAGATAATGCTGACATGAGTAACGTAAAAAGAAGTTATAATACTTCTCGCCGAATACGAAAGGGTTATAAGGATAAAGGTTAAACCACCTTATGTTAATGCGGCCTCTAAGGATCAAAACCAATGTTTTGTCTGATGAGTATTTGACCTAAAGTCCAAATGGAAAATGAAATTTAATCTTGAAATAAAGGTCAAATTTCATTTAAAGGACCAGGAAAATAAAGTCAAAATTTTAAATTGTAGCCTTATGGTGTACAATTTAAAACTACCGTACCCTAAACCGACACAGGTTCGTAGGTAGAGTATACTAAGGCGTAGAGCTAAAAGTTGTTAAGGAACTCGGCAAGTTCTCCTCATAAGTTAGACGATAAGAGGAACCACTGAAGATTTAAATTTCCTAAGTTTAATTATGTAAGTGGTGGCACAGAATCGGAGGCCCCGACTGTTTACTAAAAACACAATTCAGAGCAATGATTAAGATCATAGTATTCTGAATGAAATTTGCTCAATGCCATTAATATAAGAGAGGTAATGGGAAACTGTTACTAATCGAAAGTCTGGTCAATAGCGGTCTTAACTATGAGGATCCAAAGGTAGCATAATCAATTGGCCATTAAATGTGGTCTGGAATCAATAGTGTAACGATGGTCTCACTGTCTCTACAACTTGCTCAGTGAAATTGAATTACCCGTGCAGATGCGGGTTGCCTCCAGGTGGACGGGAAACTTAAATTAACCAGGAGGAAAAAAAAAATTTGCGACTAGATAAGTTTACTATAATAATGTGGTGAAAACCCACCTGATAGTCCATTATCTGAGCTTAAACAGCATGTTCTATGAGTAATTATACAACGTGAAGCCTGTTTTATACTAGTAGATCATGATGGGAAAAATTAAAAATGAACTACTAATATAAGAGCTAGATACCTATGGGCAATATAATGTGAATTCACGTTCGAAGCGTAATTATTGATGTAGAAAGACGTTCCCGTGTTTTTCTTAATGGGTCAAATATCTAATTACGTATAGTGGAGTCCTAAAGGTATCATTAAGGTATTATAGTAAAAACTAGGTAAGCCCAATAATAACCAATTATTTCTATAGATTTAATTGGAGGTTTATCTGTGAAGATAAATAACCATTAGTGGGTAGAGGATATTCAAAAAAGCGAATGCCTTGTTGTAATTACAAGGATAGGTTAAATTTAACCAATCTGAAAGGATGCTGACTTTGAATTAGTGTTAAGTGTTTATTATTTATAAAATTAATTATTGAATTAAAAAAAAAAATCTATCTAACTCCAAATTTGATTAATCAGGTTCAAACTAGTCCAGCTCCAATTACTATTTTGTTGTTGTTAACACTATTAAAAAAAAATAAAAAATATTTTTCTTGATAAAATCAGATAAATTAAAAAAAATAAAAATAAGCCATGTTAAATAGAGATTTTACTAAACCTAGAATTAACGAAAAATTACAGCCCTGGCAAGTTACAGGTCTAGCCGATGGAGAAGGGGCATTTATTTGCACTATTACAAAATCGGGTAGAGGATTAACAGGTAAAACTGTTAAATTAGAATTTAAAGTTACACAAAAAGCACATTCAGAGGGAATATTACATGAACTTCAAGAATATTTTGGCTGCGGTAGTGTTGTGATAGACAATAGAGAAACAGAGACTAAAAAATATCGTGTCTCATCTTTGTCTTTTATTTTAGAAAAAATCATTCCTCATTTTGATTCTTATCCTTGTTTAACTTCTAAGTATTTAAATTATAGAGATTGGAAACAAATTGCTTTAATAATGGAAAAAAAAGAACATCTTACTATTAAAGGAATTGAAGAAATTACAAGATTAGCTTCAAAATGAATAAAAATAGATCTTTTGAAGATAAATTTAATTATTGTAATTCTTCTTTAGGAATGGTAAATTTACCGAATGGAGAAATTGGAATAAAATATGATTTGCCAGCTTATTGGGTTCAAACTTTTTTAGCTGGTGAATCAATGTTTTATACTTATGTCCCTGAAAATTCAATTAGAGGTAAAAGCTATCAAATTTGTGATTCTTCTCTAGAAATCGGTCAAAATAGTCACGATGTAGCCGTTTTATTAGCTATTAAAAAGTTCTTTAATGGTGGTTATATTAAACCTAAATATAATTATATGAGTCTTCATGATTGTCTAAACTCACGTTCAGTTAATAGATATATTTTTAGAGACACTAAGAGTATTATTCAATTTGTGGACCAATATCCTATGATAACTAGAAAATATTTAGATTATATGGACTGGAAAAAAATTGTAGGATTAAAAAGTATTGGGGCTCATAAAACTGTAGAAGGTTTAGCTTTAATTCGCCAAATAATTTCTAATGTGAACTCTAAACGAGATTAAAAAACAAAAATTTTTGTTTTTATCTGAAATGAGTTACCCCGTGTAATATTCTAATTTATACTAGCAGGCTAAATTTTAAATAATAAACTTTAATAAACTTAATGCTTGAGCTGTATGCGGTGAAAGCCGCACGTACAGTTCTTAGAGGATGTCAAAGTTGTAAAACTTGGCGGAGCCTCAACAGACCCTATGCAGCTTTACTGTTGTTAGTTATCACATTGATCTAGAACAACTTTAATTAATAGTGAATAGGGATGTTGATAGACGAAATGTGGAATACCTTTTGATTAAGGTTGGGTCAATGTTTACCTTATATTTAATAAATAGAGGGAGAGTTGACTAACTGACAGTTTGACTGGGGCGGTCGTCTTTAATATAGTAGCAAAGTACATCCAATGATTAATTATATATTAATAATATTATTTTAAATTCGATTTTCGAATTTTTTGTAATATACAGACAGAAATAATCAATAAAATTTTATTTATTTATTATTGATGATTATTTTATTTTATTATCACACAATAAAGGTAAAGCTAGACAATTGAATGGAAGTCAATCAACCAGTGTGAAAGGTTGTAATCATGCGTAATGGCGGAAAGCTTGCCTAACTGAAAGACCTAGAAGTCGCACAGATACGTAAGTAGGGCATAGTGACCCTTCGCTATAATATGGAATAGACGGGGATCAATCGATAAAAAATATAAACCCGTACCTACATCTTGGTTCTCCAAGTATCTAGGTAAGATTATTAAAAATAAATTATAATAAGTAAAACTATTTAATGCTCGGATATATTAAATATAATCACAAAATAAATTAATACAATAAAACCAAATTAATGAAAAAGATAATTGATTAATAAAGTAAAAGGAATTAATTAAGGTATAATTTGTACAAAGAATATTTTATTATAAACTTTTCTAAAAATGAATAACACACTACACAAAAACTTATCTCTAATTAAAGATGAATTTAAATTAAATTATCATAAAAAAACTGGTATTTATCAATTAGTTAATTTAATAAACAATAATACATATGTTGGAAGTTCAGTTGACTTAAATCGAAGATTTACTGAATATTTAAATCCTTTATATTTATCTAGAAATCTTAAAAAGGGTAATAGTGCAATAATTAATGCTCTTTTTAAATATGGTTATACTAATTTTGGAATTAGAATTTTAGAAACCATTGAATTTGAGCCTAATCAATCTAAATCTGAAAGAAAAAGCATTATTTTAACTAAAGAACAATGTTTTTTAGATCTAATTAAACCTGAATACAATATTAATAAAACAGCTGGAAGCAATTTTGGAAGAATTTACTCTGATGATGTAAGAATCAAAATGAGTTTAGCTAAAATTGGTAAAGTTGGAAATAAAAAAGGTGCCATTTTATCTGAAGAATCTCGAGCTTTATTTAGAGAAAAAAGTGGAATGGCCTCAAGTATCACTATGTTAAATGAAAATAGAGAGGTATTAAGTGTATTTAATTCTATTCAAATAGCTTCTGAAATCACAGGAATTTCTAGAAATAGAATAAGTCGATGTGCCAGAGGTATTCGAAACAAAATAGTAGAAAAAGGAAATATTTATATATTTGAGTATACTAAAAAAGAATAATTTTATTAGTTTTATTTTATTATTAGCTAATTTTTATAATCTTAAAACAAACTTTTGTCGCTTAAATTAGAAATAATTTATTGTAAATTGGGTTAATTTCAAGAAAATCTCTGGTTATATTTAATAGAGAATACCTGAAGCGAAGCTAGTTTTACATAACATCAAAATATAAAACTAGAACGTTCAACGACTAGTAGGTGAGTCTTTAACAATAATCCTGCCACGAATGCCCCACAATTAATTGTTAATTAATCTTAATAACTAATTGATGATATAGTCTGAACCATTTTGTGAAAATTGGAAGCTTTGATTTTAAAAAATCAAGCAATAACATAATTGAAAAGTTACGCTAGGGATAACCTTGTTGTCCCTTAATCAATAAGATTAAAAAAAACCGAGTGAAATGCAAAAATTGCTTAATTTTGCCTCCAAATGTTAACAGATTGTTTGGTAAAATAGGAGGCTCTTAAGTCAATTTGCAGCAAAGCTTATCTTAGCATTTTTAAATTTATTTAAATAATTAGATAAGAATGTTCAACGACTAGAAAGTGAGTTATGCTAACAATAATCTTTCCACGAGTGCTCGGCATCTAAAATTATTATTAATATACTATATGGTATTATGCCATTTTAAGTGTTCCCTAAAGAATTTATTTTCAATCACCGCCTAATGTTTTAACCATTTATATAACTAAAAATTTTTAAACAAATTTAAATAAGCTATCAAAAAGGCCCCAAACAAAAGGGGTGAGGGGAGGCTTTAATGCATAGAAATTAAAATATTTTAAGCTAAAAAGAAATTATATTTTAGATAGGATACTGAAAATTAAAAAATTTATCTAATTTATATTTTCTTTGATACTTTGTATCTACTTTGACTATTAGCTTAAATAATATATTAACATTAAATATAAAGAATAGTATCCTTTATATTTACTACTTATTAATTAGATAAAACGCATGTATATTATAAATAAATAGAATGTTAATAAGCTAAAATAAAGCATAATTTATGCTTTATTTTAGCTTTTATAAATAAAAAAAACAAAATTTAAACCATTAAATTAAAAAAATGCCTAAATTTAACAAAAATTTATTAATTGGAAAAAGTCCAAATAGTCAAATATTTAAGGATTATAAAAATTCTTTATCTTCTTTAACAAAGATTCAATGGGAATCAGCGATCGGTCTTGTATTAGGAGATGCTAGCTTACAAACTCAAAATAAAGGTAAAACTTATAGAATGAAATTTGAGTGGTCTGATAAAAATAAAGCTTATTTAGATCACGTTTATAATTTATTTGATGAATGGGTAATATCCCCACCTCATAAAAAATCTAGAATAAGTCCTAAAGGGAATCTTGTAGTAAATTGGGGTTTCCAAACTATAAGTCACACAGCCTTTAATCCTTTAGCCGAATTATTTTTGCTGAATGGAAAAAAAGGTATATCTCAATCACTGATTAAATTACATTTAACGGGTAGAGGTTTAGCTTATTGGTTTATGGATGATGGGGGTAAATTAGACTACAATAAAAACTCCAAAAATAAGAGTGTAGTTTTAAATACTCAAAGCTTTTCGGATTTAGAGGTAGAAGCTATGGCTAAAGAATTAAGTTCTAAATTTAATTTTACCTGTGAAGTTCGTTCAAATAAAGGAAAAAAAATCATTGTAATAAATTCTGTAAGTTATAGCTTATTTAGAGAATTAGTAGATCCGTATATAACACCTGAAATGGCTAATAAATTACCTTAGCTGATACAAAAAAATATAATTAGTAAAAAAAAAAATAATTACAACCCCTTTTTTTAGGCTTATTTAAATAGTATAATTATAGTAGGTTAATAATAATAAAAAAAGATGATAACATAGTCTGAAACACTTTGTGAGAAGTGTAAGTGAAGAATAAAGAATCTTCATAACAACATATTTGAACAGGCTGATAGCCGGTGAGAGTACACATTGTCCCGGCTGTTTGGCACCTCGATGTCGACTCAAATAGGGTGGAGTTTATTATTAGATTATTCATTTATTCTTAAAGTATAATACAGACACATATTCATTATGTATTAAAAACTGTTTTTTTATTTATGAAATAAATAAGATATAGTTTAAAGGTAGAAGAACAACCTTTTTTTCTTATCCTTAAGTAGTCCTAGAGCGGCCTAAATTTGGTTTTTTTTTATTAATTTATTCTCCACGTGTAAACACCATAGCGGTTGCAAAAGCGGTAATATTCGATTTTTTTATCTTATCAATCTTAATTTTCTCTTATTTTTGTGTTTTTAGTGTAAATAAAATACATAATATTTATAAAAAATATAAATTTAATGCTAGTAAACTTAAGAATGAAAAATAGAAATTATTTATAAAATAAAAAAGTATTAATTGAGTCATTTGTTAACATAAATTTCAAAATAATAATGAAAAGAAAGGAACTAAATAATTTATTACCAAAAATCGAAGTGATTTACTCTAATGCAGATACTATGAAAAGCCAAATTGTTAAAGATAATAGAAAAAAAAGTGGAGTTTATCTTTGGACAAATCTTATTTCCGGTAAAATCTATGCAGGAAGTAGCGCAAATTTAGGTCTTAGATTTAAAGGCTACTTAACTTATTCTCATATTTCTAATCCTAAAAGATATAATAGTTTGATTCACAAAGCTTTAATTAAATACGGTTATTCTAACTTTCAATTAGAGATTATTGAATATTGTGATGCAAATATATGTACAGAAAGAGAGCAGTATTATATAGATTTATTAAACCCGGAATACAATATTTTAAAAATCGCTGGCTCATCTAAAGGTTATAAACATACAAAAGAGACTTTAAAAAAAATGCGGGTGTTTTAAATAAACATAATGCAAAAAAAAGATTTCCAGTTGAAATAACGGATACTCATACAAGTATAACTACTAGATATGATTCAATTACAGCTACAGCAGCAGCTCTTAATACTAATGAAAAAAATGTAAGATATACAGAAAAGTTTAACAAACTTCTATTAAAAAGATATATCGTAAAAATAATACGAAAACCTTAGAATTAATAAATAACTAATAATAAACTTCGAAATGAATTATATGCTGGAAGTACTTTCAAAATTAGTTACAAAATCTTGTCAAAATACTTTAATTTTGGTGATAAAGTTAATCAGCAGGAAATTTTTCCTCAACGACTATACATTCATCTTCTTTTTTATAAAGAAATAAGATATAGTCTTTACAGTTAGTCTTAAATCTTTAAACTTTAGGAATAAGATTAGCTGTAAGCAACCTAACCTCCGGGGGGAAAAGCTTGGAAGGGTTCGGCTGTTCGCCGATTAAAAGGTTACGCGAGTTGGGTTTATAAATTAAGCCCCTTAATATTAACTAAATTTTATTATTTAGTTTATTAAAAAAACTGGGTTAATTGCAAGGATAACTTTTCTCCGCTGCTCTCCATTTTTTGGCAGAGGCAACAGTAAAAGTCAATTTGCAGCGAAGTTTACTTTTACATAAATTGTTTAAAGTAAAAACGTTCAACGACTAGATGGTGAGCTTTATCACAATAAACCATCCACGAATACCTAGCATTAAATTAAAATAATATTTAATGATGACATAGTCTGAACAATAATGTGAATTATTGAAGAATAGACAAAGAACTATTCAATAACAAATTGTTAATACGACGTATGTATCTCATTACAATTTAAGTATTTTAATAACTTTTTATTTTTAGTTTAACCAAATAGTTTAAACATTTTCATAGAAATATATCCTCATTATCTCATTAGAGAATTAATTAATTCTTATTGTTAATTAATTTATTGCCTAACTAAGCAGAGATAGTTCTTAATTTGAATAAGAGCCTTATATTTAACAAATAAAAAAAAAAATGAACAATAATTTAATTTTAAAACAAAAACAAACTAAAATAAGTAATAAAAATAGATTTAAAGAAATCCGAAAATCTTTAACTCTACCTAAATATTTAAATGATGCTTTAATTGGTATTATGCTTGGAGATGGTTATTTATATAGAAGTAGTTTAACTTCAAATACAAGACTAGAATGCTCACTTAAAGAAGCTAATTTAGCTTATGCTTTATATATTTATGCTTTGTTTATTCACTATATTGGAAGTAAACCAAATATTTTAAATACAGCTTCTAGTTCAGGTGATAAAACTTACGGTTCTATAAGATTAAAGACATTATCATTACCAGTTTTTAATTATTATCATGATCTATTTTATTTTAGAGATAGTAATAAACAAAAATGGATTAAAAAAGTTCCAGAAAACATAAATGATCTTATGTCTCCAGTTGTTCTTGCTTTCTTATTAATGGGAGATGGTAACTATGATATAAATCGAAAAAGAATCAGAATCTTTACTAATAGTTTTACTCATTCAGAAACTATCTTATTAGCAGAAGCTATTAAATATAAATTAAATATAAATGCTTCTGTACTGTATGATAGGAAAGATCAATACATAATAACAATCGGAGCTAAACAAATATCTTTACTACAAGAATTAGTTTTAGAACATTTTCATCCTTCTATGTTTTATCGAATTGGTTTACCTAATAAAACTATTTAAATTTTAAATAATTAAATTTGACTAAACTAAAGACCCCTATTAATTTTGATTAAAATAAAAAGACTAAAAAAAAAAATACTTAAATTAAAAAAAAAAAAAATTTATATCACTTAAAATTGACTTGCGTCGTCAAAGGAAATTTTATGCTGGAACATCTTTATAGCTCTTGGTACTAGAAATTAGTCATAATCCAATGAGATTAGAAAATCAGCAGGAAATAAAAATTTATGATTTAGAGTATAGAATATAGGATTACTAAAGTAATGCTGGTACTCGATATCTTTAATGAAAGAGGGTACCCATCTCTTTATTTTTCTAATTTATAAATTTAAAATTCTCAGAGGCTATACATTTCCATCCTTAATTGGATAAGATATAGTCCAAACTGGGTAGAGATATTCAGAAGCAGTATCTTTAGTGATCTGCAAAATAAAATTAAATGGAGTCAGTATGGTCCCTATCTTCTGGAGGGATAAATAGTAAAAAGGGGAGACCTTCTAGTACGAAAGGATCAATAGGCTGTGTTTCTCTAGTGTACCAATTGTTGAATTTTAGTAAGCATAGTTGGGTAGCCACAAACATAATAGTTAAGCGCTGAATGAATATTAAGCAGGAAACTATCCCCTGGATACTATCATTAGAATCCTTTTGATAATTCTTTTTTTGTTTTCAGCTAAAACTGAATTAAAAAAGAATTTGTCAAAAGTGACTATCTAATTTTATAAGAAATAGAACATTTCTAGATAGGATGCAAATGAAAGTGCTGTGAAGTATTTAGTTTAGCATTACTAATTTATTAAATAGACTTGATGTTAAGAATTGTATATTAAAAAATAAAATAAGTTAAAAAAAAATAAAATTTTAAATTTAACTTCATAAATATAGTATAATTGTAGATTATTTAATTTAATTTAATTTATTATTAGTATTAAATCTACCGATCTAATTAAAAGTAGTTGTAATTAGTAATATTTTAGATTTAAAAAGTAATATCTTACAAATATTGTAAAAATTAAGGGAAATTAAGCAATATTAAAAATAAAAGCCTATAATTTAATTGGTAGAATAATTTCTCATTGGGAAATTAATAGAAGTTCAAATCTTCTGGAGCTTATTTTATTTTATTTTATTTTATTTTATTGAATTATTCTTTTTTACATTAATTATTCATTTTATTTATTTTTCTATCTATTTAAATATTTATTGTTACAACATTAATTAATAGAAATTAATTAAATATATAATTAATTTAATTATTTATATTTTATCTCTTTTTAACTTTTAATTAAATATTATACCTTTGATGTCCTATCAAAGCTGTATTATTTCTATCAAATAGTCATAGAAATTTTTATTTTATATATCCAAATATTTACTGGATGCTTTTTTTTTTTTTTACATTTTATACAGTAAGTGGAATAGGTTAAAAATTTTAGGAAGAAAAGTGTATTATTATTAACATTCAATATTTGTAGGTATGATTGAAACAGTTTTTTTAACTTTAATTCTTAATACAGGAGATTATTTTTATTCTAAGTTCTGTATTTTTTAATCTTTTATCTGGTAAAATAAAATTTATTTTAAATTTCCTATTTACAAAATAGTTACAACCTATAGATCTCTTTTTATCAGACTAATATCTTTTGCAATAGTTTGTATATTTTGTTTATTATCTTTAATGGTAATCGGTTACTTGTTAAAAAAAAATAGTTATCTTTTCTTAATAGTAATTAAATAAAAATTTATTTATTTTATTTTTATTATCTACCTTATTTTTAGGTACAATTTATTAATTAGATTTATTTTTAGTTGTAGTATTAAATTGGTATTAATTAAGATCAAATTTAAATTAGATCTTAAAAATTAAAATAAAAAGATTAATTAATTAAATTAAATAAATAATAAATTATAAAATGTTATTATTATTTATATATAGAATAATATTATTTAATATAAGAATTAGCTATGTTAGGTTTCATTCCTATTGCTAGATTCAGTAACCAACTAAAGTAGTCCTATTTTGTTTTTTTAATTTTTATTTATCTTTAATATAAATTAAAATTAAATTTAATGTTAAATAAAAATATTAATAATTTAGTTTTACTTTGGTGGTATTTATATTTTTATATTTTTAACACAAAATGACAATTCAAAATATCAATAGAAATTTTTTTCAAAAACATCCTTTTCATTTAGTTAGTCCTTCTCCTTGGCCTTTTTTTGTTAGTTTCTCTTTATTAGTTATGGCTATTGGTGCAGTAATGTATATGCATGGTTATGCTAATGGTGGTTATTTACTAAATTTAGGTACTTCAATAACATGTGCAGGTATGGCCTTATGGTTTAGAGATATTATAACAGAAGGAACATTTTTAGGAGATCACACAAAACAAGTACAAAACGGTTTAATTATAGGTGTAATACTATTTATAGTTAGTGAAGTTTTTGCTTTCTTAGGTGTATTCTGGGCATTCTTCCATTCTAGTTTATCTCCAGCTATAGAAATAGGTGGTTGCTGGCCTCCACAAGGTATAACTCCATTAGATCCTTTTGCTATACCTTTACTTAATACTATTTTACTATTATCTAGTGGGGCATTTATTACATATGCACATCATGCTCTACTTGAAGGAAATAGACACAATGCTATTTTAGGTACTTTAATAACTATTGTTTTAGCTATAATTTTCACAACTTTACAATATTATGAATATACCCAAGCAGCTTTTTCAATCTCAGATTCTGTATATGGAACAACATTCTATGCTTCAACAGGTTTACATGGATTAACAGTAGTCTCTACCAAACTTTTTACTCACTCAGACGCTTTTAAAGCTAAGAAAATTCATAATACTAGTACTTTTAATAAGGTTTACAATCAAACTTATTCAGGTAGTAAAGATAAACTTTTTATTAATAGAGGGAAAGATCAATTTTATTTAGAAAGACCTTTTTTGGAATGGTTAGCTGGATTTACGGACTCTGATGGTAATTTCAATCTTAGTTTACGAAATTATAAGGATAACAAGTATAACAGTGTAGTTCTTACTTACCAAATAGGTCTCCATATTGATGATTTAAATGTATTAAAATATATACAAAAAAAATTACGATGTGGACATATTTCTATTTCAGGAAATAGATGCAATTATTTTGTCAATGATAGTATTTCTTTAATACAAGTAATATTACCTATTTTTAATTTTGTTCTATTAAATAGTTCTAAATACTTTAAATTTTTAATATTTGATAAAGCTGTTAATTTAATTAAAAATAAAAAACATCTATCTATTGAAGGTAAATTAGAAATGATAAAATATTTTCATGAAATGAAAAAAGAAACAGTATCTCCTGTTAATAGGATTTCTATCAGTAATAATTGGTTAGGTGGTTTTGTTGACGGAGATGGCTGCTTTAGTTGTAGTAGTTCAGGACCAATATTTAGATTAGAAAATCACATTAAAGAACTTGAATTATTTAAAAAAATTAAAGAATATTTGAATTCAGTAAATCTAAGTATAAGTAAACCACGTAGTAATAGAATTAATTCTAATTCTACTTGTGTTCTAGAAATTATTAATATACATATTTTACATAATGTAATAATACCAATTTTTAGTGTAAAATGTGAAGGATTTCAAATATTACAAAGTAAGAAGTTAAAAGACTTTAATGATTGGTTTATAGTGGTTAAGATTTATTACAATGGTTATCACATATTAGCTGAAGGGATTTCATTAATTAATGATATTAAATCCAATTGGAATAATTTTAGACTCTCTACTAATAAAATTAAATCTAATATCGATCCGTTTGAATTAGAAAATAAATTAAATTATCTTTTTTCTTTACCTGCTCCATATGAAATTAAAAATGGAGTTAGACTTTTAAGAGGTACTAATAATTTTGTTTCTGAAAAATTACCTATTTTATGTTTAGATCAAACCAATAATAAATTAAATTTTTCTAGTATTACTGAATGTAGTAAAGCTTTGAAAATAGATAGATCTACAATAAAGAAATATTTAATAACGGGGGAATTTTATAAAAGTTATAAATTTATTCCTAATTATTAAGTATTATATTTTATTTTTTTTTTTAATAGATTTAATCCAGAAGTCTGATATTGCTCTTAGCAGTTTAAAAAGTTTGACAGAAAATAGGGAAAATTGCATAGAATTCCTTTTTAAATTTAAGGAAAATATGCAGCCTAACTTATATTTAACATAATTAAAATTTATTTTATAATATCTGAAGGTTCAACGACTAGTAGGTTAGTATTATATTTACAATTAAAAATCCTACCAAGAAACCCCTAGATTATTAAATATTACCTCTACATGCTAATCTTATAAGGGATCCAGGCAGCGCTTAAATCTTGCTCATATTTTTGTTGAAACTAACTTTTTTAAAAATAAGGTAAAGTAGCTTAAGGATTAGTAGTTAAGTTTATTTAATAATTATGATATAGTCTGAACAATAGTGTAAACTATTGAAATAAGGATAAATAGCCTTATGGTAACAAAACTCGTACATGTTATAATCGGAACTATATTTATCTTAGTTGGTTGGTTCCGTATTGTTAACTATAATCTTACAAACAGCCATCATCTTGGTTATGAATTTTCAATCCTTTATTGGCAAACAATCTCACGAATTGCCGTATTATAACGTAAGTTCTAATATTATTACTTTACTAAATTCTGAATAACCTTAAAGCCTTAGATACTTCATAAAAAGTAAAAAGTCTAATGGATATTATTAATTATATATAAATTAAGTAGGTGATCAGAAAGCTCATATTAATTTAGCTTCAGAGACTTTACGTAAAGTTCTTTATTTATTTCTTTTTATTTTTCTCCTTTGTGTCTTTGGCCTTATTATATGCCCACACTTAAGGGAGGTACCTGGACAAAACAATGAGGAATCAAATAAACAGATTTTTTAAAGATGAAGAAAAAGTCCATACTCTTATTAAAGTAAGAGATATTTAATATTTATTTAAAAGTTAAATCTAATTTTATATTTTATTTATTTAAATTTAATTATAGCATTGCATAATAATAGTGAAATCTTATTATGTTCTATTTCCTTGTTTATTAGGTTTAATTCAACAAATCACCCTAGTTCAGGTGAAAGTTTAGGTCCTGACAATATAACTTCATTATAAAGTTAATTTAACTAAGCTATGCTAGGCTTAATATTAGGTGAGGGAACATTAGTTAAAAAATATAAAGGTAGGGGAACCTATTTTAAATACGCTCAAGGTGAAGTTCATTATAATTATTTATTACATGTTTTTAATTTGTTTTCTAAAGCAGGTTTATGTAATATGATTGAACCTGGTAAAGGTTATTCTTTCAACTCAAGAACAGGTTTAATTTATTGTTATTATTCTTTTTTTTAACTAAATATTGAGTTGAATTTAATTATCTTTATTCTTTGCCTGGGGGTTGCCCCACCCTGCTCTACTTAACTATGTTGATATGGATGTGACGGGGTGGGGGCAGTTTTATCTAAAGTTAGATTTGACTTCAACTAACCTAAAATTACCCTAACCCTAACCCTAACCTAACCTAACCCTAACCTAACCCTAACCTAACCCTAACCCTAACCTAACCTAACCCTAACCTAACCTAACCCTAACCCTAACCTAACCTAACCTAACCCTAACCTAACCTAACCCTAACCTAACCTAACCTAACCTAACCTAACCTAACCTAACCTAACCTAACCTAACCTAACCCTAAGAGGCCTAGACTTGTATGACTCATCAAACTTTCATGAAGTGGAGGCATCTCAGCTTGGACACTTGTCTGAGACCTGCAGACCTGCTCGATGATTCGCCTGGACGAAAATGGCGATTGAATAAGGCATGGGAAAAAGATTCTGAAGGCAGATCTGTGCTCTCCTCATCTGCAGCTTTCCGACGGTATATAAAAATTGCATATTTGTGTGATGGCCATATTTTCTATCGCACCGTGTTTTTTTCAGTATTTTGCATTTACAGCCTTAACCGCTTATCGCGCGATAACTCTGAGACGATATACGAATAGCCGCAGTGCGAGGCTATGACTTTCATATATGTCCCAAAAAGGAAATGCTGACATAATATGGCCGCTTTTCCAGCTTCCTATGTCACATGACCGGCCTACACCAGCTGGTGCACCGGCTGGTGCCAGCTGGTGCAGTCACATGACCGGCTGGTGCAGCTGGTGCAGTCACATGACCGGCTGGTGCCAGCTGGTGCAGTCACATGACCGGCTGGTGCCAGCTGGTGCAGTCACATGACCGGCTGGTGCCAGCTGGTGCAGTCACATGACCGGCTGGCACCAGCTGGTGCAGTCACATGACCGGCTGGCACCAGCTGGTGCACTGGCCGGTGCACCGGCTTGTGCGGACTTATAGGTATAAGTCCCCTTGTAAGGAAGCTAGGATTCCGACTCATAGTGAATTCAGTTCACTTCGCTTCATGCAAACTTTTTGTATGGGGTCCTTATAAGGAGGGGATGTCCATGCGAAATTCGCCATATGTCATAATTTAAGCACTTAATGGTGTTGTTTCGAGGCGGAAGTGTTCACACTACTCAAAAGTAAACAATTTTTTCTATAAACTTCATGAAGAACCCCTCTGGATGCTTATCGCGCTTGACTCCAGCGCGGAATAATGGAAGTACGAGTTCATGGGAGCACGGAATTCTGTTTAGACTGTAGACTACTCATCAGAAGCCGAAGAGACCTGTGAAGAGGCGCTAATTGTCCCTGGGAAGCACCACGTGCCGTAATAAACCTTGGAGGGATTGCCCAACCCCACTACTAATGTCTCCTCTCACAAGCACCCATGCTCTAGCATCTGTCAAAGAGTAGAGTCCAAGTCCATGAGATACGAGGATCATTGCATGTGGTATCCGACGAGCGTAACTTGAGCGTAACCTGTACGAAATGGAAGCATGAGAATTACGTGACACCAATCTCTAATTTGAAGTCCATGCAAAGCAAAACAGAATGTCAATAGCAGTACAGCGAACGAAGATGTAATCTATCTTTGATCTCTCGGAATCGAATCATAACTAGGCGGGATCTCATTCGGCACTTCCTCTTCAGGCGTCGATTGAACTCTACCACCATCCTGATGAACAACCAGTCCGCTCGTCCCTTCATCATTTGCAACGTGCAGACCACCTTGTCGATACGCCGCTGCCTCACGTTCCTTTGCCGATGGTAACATACCACTGAATGACGCTGCCGTCGAAGGTCCGGTGCCCGTCTCAGTCGAGATGGCGGACGGCGTGCCTGATTGGTATGGAACACCGGCAGGTGTGAGGTTTGAAGAAGCTTGACCTTGGCTGGCGAAGTTGGCATATGCAGCATAGTCGGAATAGTGTCCCGACGAGGACGGTGAATAATACGTCTCTCCCTGTGAGTAGCCGGATGGTGCCGACGTAGCCGTTGTATGTGAGTGCGAAACGTTCGCCTGTGGGTTAGGGATACCGCCAGTAAGGAAAGGTGGAACGTTGGGATGCTGGCTCATTTCAGGACTCGGATCTTGAGATGGGGCACCGTCGTGACCGTAACTGTAAGGAGTGACTTCGGAGGCATTGAGCAAATCAACGTCGGGCCCGTGAGTTGGTCGCACGACACGGTCAGGGTCGAAGTCGCCGTCGAATTCATCGTGGTGTGAGCGACGGCGTAAGAACCAGAGCAATAATCCCAGAAGAATAGCGCCGCCGATTCCACCCACTACTCCACCCACAATCGCACCCACGTGCGATGATGAGTCGGATGAGTTATTGGAGCCTGAGGGAAGGCCGGTCGACGTGGTCACACTTGTAATGGTTTGTGTAGACGTAAATGTTTGACCTAATGCATCCGTGCCTCTTGAAACGTGACGACAATTCATGAGGTGGTGTTATAAAAAAATAGAAATAAAAAAGGATGGACTCACATGAGTGTACTCAGAGATGTCGAAGTCGACAAACTGGTCATCATGGAACTACCGAAATCTGAACTGCCACCAGCTTGGGAAGACGATCCATTAGTAGACGAAGCAGGAGGTGATGTTGGCGCTGGAGTTGATGAGCCTGTGTCCGAAGGTGTAGAAGTGGGCGGAGTGGAGGCGTCACCTTGAGATGAAGGTGATTGGGAGGCTGGGGGCTGTGAGGGCTCAGAAGAGGGAGGTTGCGAAGGTTCTGAACTGGGCTCTGAGGCCGGAGGTGTTGTGGAAGGAGTATCTGGAGTGGAGGAAGGAGGAAGAGAGGAAGGCGGAGTGCTTGATGGTTCAGAGGATGGCGGACCTAGAACAAAATTGAGGAGCAATTAGTACATGTCCCTCTGCGAAATATATCAAACATGATCGCATGTCTCAGCGACGGTGGAGAAAAGGCAAAACGCACTTGAAGGAGCTGGGGACGAGGGAGACGTTAGAGGCGGTGAGGTTACCGAGTCCGACATGGCGAAGAGCCGTTGAGAAGGCAAGAAAAGAGAGGACTATGAAAGAGAGTAACTACTGCAGGAGAGCCGCAGAGAGAGCTAGTATCGTAATTGGTGGCAGACGAGGGAGAGGTCCACGAAGGATATGCCTCCTGCTGTGCTCGGCGTCTCTTTCTTTCTTTCTTACTTTCCGACGGCCACAATCGGCCGTTCACCGCTTTCCGGTTTGCATTACTCTCCTTGTCATAGTCAAACTGTACTATAATAATATTCTCAAAATGTCTACCTGGAGGTATACCCAGCGCACCGATCTGACCCCGGCACACAGAGACCAAGGCCAACAACAAGCAGAGATCTCTCGTCAACGCTACCATTACTTGTGCGCTGCAGCTAATCATGAGTTCTCCTTTATGGACAACATACCTGCCGATTTCTCTCGCGGACAACTCTTTCCTCGTCAGGGTTTGGACTTTTCACAATACAGAGATTATGCTCTAGATCCCATCACCGGTATCAAGTTGCATCCTCGCGAGGACGGGTGAATTTCGGAAGGCGACCTTGAAGTATATGTCCACGCTTTCCGTAACAACTGGAAATCTCGGGAGGGTGGAATAATGTACTTTGTTGCTGAATACCGGGAGTTCTGGAATATGGTCCTTAATTATCATTCGCCGGCAGGTACTACCGGCGTGAAGGAATGGAACCAGCTATTGGCCAAGTTAAAGAAGGACCGCAATCCTAAGCTAATCCCGTGTATGGTGCGTAGCCTTCTCAACACTCGTTTACAGGTATACTGATTGGTTGATTTTTGATTTCATAGTTCTTCGCCCGGGAAGCTGGATGTTTGGACCCCATCTGTCCTTTTCTACACGACGAGGAAGCCTGTATCCGTGTGCGAGAGGAGGTACTTGAAGCCCGCCGCCAAGAACTTCGGAGACCTACCACTCGCGACCTCACCCAACAGTACCTGGTGGAGTCTACCAGGATTCGCAGTTCTCGGCCATCTACTCTGTCCTCGAGGAGTTTCGATGACCCCGATCCCGATATAGACCGACTTTGGGACGACAACGATAATGTGGAGAAAATCTGTTCCAATCCACTTTGTCTCAAGGTCCAATGGAAACAGCCTGCCGCTAGAGTTGACAACCCTTCCATGATGCTGTGCTCTCGTTGCAAAGTGACCCACTACTGCTCGGTGAGTCTCCGAGTTTTATCGGATACCTACTGCTTGTCTCGAACTTGCTTTTCATGGTTAACCAGCCCGAGTGTCAAAAGAGGGACTGGAAGCGACATAAGAAGGAACCCTGCCTGCCCTACGAAGAGATGGTGGAGAACGATGATCTGTGGACCAGGTGGGGGACTAGGAAAGGTACCGGTAATGTCATGATTCACGTCGATGAAGACATGTAGCGTCTTGCATTGTAATGAATTTGATGTTTTATACGGCCAATTAATCGCGGACTTGACTTGAAGGTTGGTTGCCCTGCAGTGAATACGTGCCAAGCGGTCATTCTACTCCGACACGTCTCAGTCCAAGCCCCTTACATACAACAAACCGCCACACTGCAGAGTCGTTCAGGACGTTTACTAACCCTAATGACCACGAACTGTAGGAGACGGGACGGAGGCAAAATTGAGATGTCTATTGGTCGAGTACTCTACTTCTACAGCAGTTCAACGGAGGTGCATTCTTGGAATTCGTCAATAGCTACGTACAACTTATTCAGCTGTGACAGTGACTGCAAAATTTTGAGTGAGCCCAGACGGCCCTATCCTTATGATCTGGCTACGTACATTCCTGTCTGAAAAAAAACTACATGAAAATCTAGCGAAGGAGGTATAGACTGATCTTTTAATTTCCACTCACCGAACAGCCTAACTGGATTTAATGGAACAAAATCTTTTGCAAGGCTGGAAGGTACGTAGATCGCCACCTGCGTATTTTTAATTCTGACGAGTTCTTCACTCGGCCCAGAAGAAGTCTGGCTCATGACTGCATGATGCGAGCTGGCAAATTCCACATACCGAGCAGCAGTAGATTATTGATCTCTGGCACCTTAGGGAGAACGTCATCCTAGGATCCTCTATGGGATGGCGGGACAATCCAGATTCGAGCTAGCGTTCTCTGTATTCTTGGACTTCATCGATATCCTGGGATCGAGGATTCTGAATTCCACATGCAACCACATTCGATTGTTGAACATGTATCCCGGGCTTTCCTCGGTTTCTCCATGAACTAATCTCGCGCGTTGTTGATCTGTGAAGCATTTCACGACGTTCGAGCGTTGATTGACATAATCGGTTTCACATAAAGATGCCTGCCTGTCGTCCAAGGAAGGACATGTAGAGTTGCTGGCCTGGTGTCAAAATCCTGACCGGACGCGATACACGAGGTTACTTACCTTTGAAATTCTTAGGCTATCGGGTACAAGGAAAGAAACAGGGTATGATTCAAGTTGATGAGCACATAACTTATAATTGACTCATTGTAGTTAGGTCACTCACAGTAGTGCAGCACGAAACTAAGTACACTGTTCCAATGTACTATTAACAGCGCAATGTGAAAAAAAAAAAGTCCTTTGATCGACCATTTAGTCAAGTCTATTGTCTAGATGATATAAGTACATGAGTTAACAGTCCTTGAGGTATCCATCCATAACTCCTCCCGCCGGCAAGGAGGGACAGGACATCAGGAAATCAAGCGTCTTGAGTCCCAAAGGCATCGGTTCCACCTTTCAACTTGAATTGTTCATGCATAGCTTCAACCTCGTCTTGCACACGCTCGATGGACTTGAAGTACTTGACGGTCTTGACGTGTAGCTCTGCATGAAAGCCTGAGAACCAGAAGGGTAATACAGGTAAGTTAGATCACCCACCAGCAGTGGCGTCCTCGTCAACGACAATAAGTGCCCAAGGATGCGTCTGCAATGCCGACAGCGTCCACTAATACCGAATGTCAGTCAACAATCTAGTTTTGTGATGAAGCAGATGACGTACGAGATGGTTTACGCCCTCCTCTGTTCGCGTGAATCAGTCTCCGGTCACTTAAGCTCAGAGAAAGAAAGCGCTCACCAATAGCCTTGCTTAGCGCTAACGCCTTCCTCTGACCAGTTACAACTACAATAACCTCTTTACTATCCAGCACTGTTGCTACACCAACTGTCAACGCCATCCTCGGTACCGCCGCGATATCGTTATTGAAGAATCTTGCATTGGCCAGGATGGTGTCATATGCGAGGGTCTTGATACGTGTACGCGAAGCAAGCGAGGAACCAGGCTCGTTGAAGGCAATGTGACCGTCTTCACCAATGCCGCCAAGGAAGAGTTCAATACCCCCATGAGATTTAATCCTAGCTTCGTACGCGTTGCACTCGCCGATGAGGTCTTTCGCATTGCCGTTCAAGATGTTAACTTGCGAGGGAGGGATATCGACTATATGCGGTCTGAGGTCAACATAAGTTTTAAGGTGGAAGGCCCTTGATCACGTACTATGTGAGAAGAACTCCCTGAACATGAACGTGTGGTAGGATTCTGGGTGATCCTCTGGTAGGCCGACGTATTCGTCCATATTGAATGTGACGACATGCTTAAACCTATGGCGTCGTCGATCCCATGAGCCAGGTAATCTTTGAATCCATTGAAGGACTCACGAGAGTTTTCCGGCTTTGACTAATGAGATGAGGTGCTTGTACGTCGGTATGGGAGAAGATCCTGTGGGCAGACCCAACACGAAAGGCTTCTCGGCTGTTGGTGCAAAGTCGTTGATCCTATAGGCATAAGTGGGCGTCAACAGGAATGCTGGGACGCATACAGTCACCTTGCTCACCTTTTTGCAATGTAATTCCCAATGTACTCGCCCACTGCTTTGGGGTCGTCGCGTATAATGAGACCTGGATGTGACGTCAGCACTGAACACTCCTCTCCTGTTAAGCGCAGAGGATCAGTACGTACGCATACCGACTTAACGATACTAGCAGCGGAGAGCAACAAAGGGGGACGAGGGCTGGGAGATTAGATGCAGTCGGCGGGAGTCGAGAGAGATGCGAATTGGGCAAAAGCAGATGTTTAGTCACTCCTGAAAAGCGGCAGAGAGGGTCCGGGGGACCTTATGGATGAGGATATATACTGGAATCAAATTGACAATTCCTCGGTCATCGATGGCTACATATACGGAATGGAGAACATCGACTGTATTTTGAGACAGTCGTTCCTACCAACGTGCCTCCTCCTCCGCGTGTCTCGAGTCCGCCTGGTCCTCCAACTTAACTCTAACAGCCACTATTCCCGCTTGGCAGTTATCGTAACCCATAGCACATGCCACGTTGTCGCCACATAGCGTTCAGAGAGATCCCATGAAGACTATCGTGCGGCCCGTACAGAGAGAAGCGTTGGGTGCCATACGTTCGACTCTCGGAGATTGTCGATGCTTTCAGCGCTGCAGATGTTCCCCGGCCCTCGACTCCGATGAACTGCCTGACCATAGTAAGGCTGGTACAACAGTATAGCACAGTATTAAAGTAAGCTAGTATATCGAGTGATTATTGGCCAAGTCTTGCTGGACCTCTTGAAGCGCAAGCATCATTCTGCACAATCGGTGTCGTACAAGTTGTAGCATGGGCGGTTTGTGGCTATACGAGCACGGGTGATCACAGCAAGTCCTGTAGTCCTGCGAATGAACTTGAATAACACCGGAACAACAAGACTCGAATGGGGATTTTCTCAGAACACGGTCACCTGATCTTGGGCGGCTGAACGCGGTTCGCGGTTCCAATTCGCAACGAAACCGACCAAAGGCCAACCGCCCATCTCTCTGCAACGCCATTCAAGTCTCCTCCAGTTCCTCTTCTTCCTTCGCTCTCTTCTTTGCTTGTGTGTTGCTATGGCCTCTGCGCTGCTGCAGTATGAACCTCTCGATGTAATTGGTAATGGTTCTTTTGGTATCATCAGGAAAGTCAGGAGAAAATCGGATGGTTTGGTGCGTCCGACATGTGACATTCTCCCTACATCAAAGCTCACGCACAAATTACAGATATTTGCCAGAAAAGAACTCAACTTTGAGCGTATGTCAGAACGCGACCGCAAACAGATCGTCGCTGAAGTGTCAGTCACCAAATCCAACCAGCGCGAAGCGCTACTGACACAATACGCACTACAGAAACATCCTCAAAGACCTTCATCACGAACATATTGTACGTTATCACGACCGATACGTTGACCGCGATGCTGGCATCCTGTACATTGTCATGGAGTACTGTGGCGGCGGTGACCTCTCGACTGTCATCAAACAGGCGCAACGACACGGCCGAGCAATACCCGAAGACACTATATGGAACTACTTCATGCAGATACTACTTGCGCTAAATCATTGTCATAATCCAAATGGCCATGGAAGGTCAAGTAGCAGCGCTGGGAGTGGTAGTGGAGAAGAGAACAAGGAGAAGCGACCACAGATCCTCCATCGAGATCTGAAGCCGGATAATGGTGAGTATTGAGGTCTTCGAATTGCTACCAGTCGATACATGTTCTTGCAGTATTCTTGGATGAGAGCAATTGTGTCAAGTTGGGCGACTTCGGTTTATCAAAGGCTCTCGTTCCGGCCACCTTTGCTAACACCTATGTTGGCGTGAGTCAACAATTCGTCCTTGCTACCTTTCTTGTCAATCTGACACTCGCTCTCATAGACTCCATATTACATGTCGCCGGAGCTCATGCAGGAGAAGGCTTATGACTCAAAGTCCGATATCTGGTCACTCGGTTGCGTTATTTATGAACTATGTGCACTTAAACCACCTTTCCATGAAGCCAAAACGCATTCTGAACTGAGTATTCTAATTCGGTATGCGAATTCAATGCTCACCTTCAGCATTGTACTGACTTCATTGGCAGCAATGGACGAATACCACCGCTGCCGAAAGGATATAGCCCCGCCTTGACGAGTGTTATCAAGGCTATGCTGAACCTCAACGTGAGTTTTATAGCCATTTCCGCGACAGGATGTCCTCTGAACATGCGCATATAGCCCGCTATGCGACCGTCAGCAGCCCAGCTCTTGCAACATGAACGACTGGACCTCGCTTTTAAGGTTGCGGAGACCCAGAAGATGTATGTTACACCTCTACCCCTCTGATTTTCACGTTGTGACATTAACTCCCGTAGGTTGACGGCAGTCAAGGCCCACAAAGCTAACGTACAAGCTCGAGAACGTGACCTGGTCGCCCGCGAGTCCGCTATGGCGGAGAAGGAGTCTCACCTTACTTCAGCTCTGAACCAAAAGGACAACGAGATAGCGTCCCTGCGTAGTCTCCTTGCGACTGCCGAAGCCACTCACAAAACTAAAGTACGCGAAGCGCTCCTGGCACGAGAAGAAGAACTTCGGGCTATCGTACTTCGGAAGGAAGCTGAGCTCGCGACGAGGCTGGCTAAACGAGAAGAGGAAGTCGTTGCCGCTGTGAACCGACGTGAGGAGGAATTGAAACAAAGTTGGGCAGAGTGGGAAGCCAAGTATAAAGCGGAGATGACCAAGGCTGTCGACGAACGTATGGCCTGGGTTCATAGGTGCACTGAGGAAATCGAAGCTGAGCGAAGAAGACTAGATGGCGTGAAGATGGAATTGGAGGCTAAGATGCATCAGCTCGAGATGGCACACTCGGAACGCAAGGTAGCATACGAGATGAAGGCGAAGACACCTCTGGAAGAAGTCAAGAACATTCTTGCCCCTCTTGCGAGACTGGCAGAATCGACGGAAGCGACACCTGTACGACCAGCGAAGTCATCCAAAGGACCCATCTTTGAAACGCCCATGTCCCGCTCTGCGGCTTGCCATGTGGAACCACCTGTTTCTGCAATGAAGGGTGTAATCCTTACTAGCACCGGCGAGGCACTGCCAACCCCTTCACCTGCGGAATTCGCTAAACTCTTCATTGCTACACCCAAGGTCAACCTCAACTTTGCGCAAATCTTTGATTTCGACTCGGACGTCGAAGATGGCCATGGGGACATCGGTGCGGAAGAGGGATACGAGACGGACACGAGGCCACCGTCGAATAAGTCTTCCAACGAGGAATATAAGCATGACGATGTCGAGAACACGCCCACTCAGGCATCAGCTTCTCATGCAGTCCGACCAACGCGCCTCCGTCGACCATCCATCCGTACGTCAGGACAACGACCACCGCTGGAGAAAGCTGTTACCGTCTCTGCTGTGACACGTGCCAAGCCAAGAAGTCGACAACCTTCACCAGCGGCCATTAGACGTATTCAACCAGGTGTCAATGGTCAAGGCGTACCAGAGTATGACCTCTCAGATGAAGAGAACTTGCCTAGTCCGTTCCTCAGGAAGACCGACCGGGACCGTATATCAAGGACGGTTTCTGTACCTGCGTCACACAGTACTTCGGCGATTGCGAGGGCTCCACGAAAAAGTGGGAACACACTTCGGGCTTTGGCGGTGACAAACGCCGCGAATGCTGCCAACGGTACTAGGAGCAGTACTGGCACCAAGTCGGCCATCGTCCGGTCACAAAGTACTGCTAACGTCCGATTGTCCATTGCCAAAGCTCAAAGGGCGAGCGAAGAAGCTAGAAAGGCGTTATTCCGACCCTAGCCAGATTTTGTTGTTCTTGTTGAGAAGGGTTTTTAGGTGTTCTTTCGTTGCATTTGAACGATTTAGTGTTATTAATTTGTTGTTGCACCTACTGTATCCCCTGCATTGTTTTCTTTATTGCCGCGACACCTTCCCGTACGCATACCCCATCAGATGTACATACCATCCCACTTTACTTTATGCACATCCAACGAACTTACGCCAGACCTCACGCTCATGCCTCATAGACCAGTTACATGGGTCAGACAGTCTGTCAGTGTCCATAAGTCCAGTGACATAAGACCCAGTGAAAGAAGGCGTCATATTGCACATGTACATATTTTGCAGAGGGAAAGCTGGAGCGTCATGAGATGCATGTGAGAGACGTAGCGAGCAAGAGAACAAGCCCAGACGACGGGTAGATAATGTAGGTGTATGATACTGCGATGTCCTCGGCTTAATCCCACCCTGTAGCACCAGTAGCTTCGGCACCCCATCCACCGGCACCAGTCGTGGGCTCCGCTGACCAGTCGGTGGTACCCGCACCAGTAGGTTCTGCGGACCAGTCAAGACCTGTAAAAGGGAGTGAGTGATCGAGTGCGCATATTATATTACTGAAGGTTACTTACCACCCTCCTGGGCTACAAGAGCAGGGTTGATAGCACCTGCAGCGGGAGCAGCAGTCACGTCCCAGTCAGTCACCTCAGCAGGCTCGCCAACAACGGCAGCGGCCTTGGCCTGAGCCTCCTCCTGTTGCTGCTTCTCAATCTCTTCAGGATCACGGTAGAAGAACATGTCGACCATAACGTTCCAGCCATCAGGAGTGCGAGGAATGGTACCCCGCAGACGGAGAACCTCACGGGCAAGAAGCCACCACATGAGACCGATCGAGTGACGGGACTTGTTGTTGGTGGGAATGGCAACATCGACGAACTTCAGGGGAGCATCGGTGTCGCAGAAAGCAATAACGGGGATGTTGACGTAGGATGCCTCCCGGATGGCTTGGTGGTCAACACGGGGGTCAGTGACGACAATGAGACGGGGCTCCTTGAAAGAGCGGGTGATGTAGTTGGTGAATGAACCGGGGGTGAAACGACCAGCGATGGCCTGGGCACCAGTGTTGGCGGCGTATTTGATGACTGCACGGTGACCGTAAGGGCGAGCGGAAATGACACAAACGTCATTAGGGTTCTCAATAGCGGCGATGATACGGGCAGCGAAAACGAGCTTTTCCCAGGTCTTTCCGATGTTGATAATGTGGATACCTATACCACGGAGAGAGAGAAAATCATCTGGATTGAACGAATGCGTATTAAAGCGTGCAAACACACCATCGGACCTACGCTTCCAAACATAAGGAAGCATCTGCTTGTCGCAGTTCTTGCTGCCAATGTGAGACTGCGCAGCTAGGAGTAGCTGAATCTCCTCATCGGTGGCGGCGAGAACGGAGGGAAGTTTTGACGACATATTGAACCTGGACAAGAGAGGAACAGCAGATCAACATCCGAACCAAGCGCGACCAATCCATTCCCGTCCGAGCACCAAAATCCTCCGTTCTTTCACCCAGACGACCAGAAACATGGCAGGTACGCACCGCTGGGGGTTGTTTTGAGGAGATCGTCGAGCTCGACGACGTTGGCAGACTTTCGGGCAGCACTCTTGCTCTCTGCTTGGCGGCAGTCGCTCATCGTCCACATTTGCCACATGGCTCCGGCACCTCCCGAGTCGCATTCCCACGCCCTATCGCTTCGACTTCAGTCACCAGTGCGAAGTTGAGTGGGATCTTGTCTTTCTACTTGGCAATGCTCGAATGAAAAAAAGGTGTATAAAGTCTACTGTTATGGCTTGCAAATGCTATGCTTCACTATCTTGCTCAACTCATAGATGTCGTGCGGCCTAGTCTTACAACAACCCCCCACGATTATTCCTGGCCATATCTCCGCATCCACCACCTCGTGAACCACCCCACCGAAGCTATCTGACCAGGACTTTTCATTCCGTTGTGGGATCCAGCTCTTCGTTGTCGGCTCATACACATCACCTCCGTTGGGGTACAGGACTAACCATGGTCTTCTTTCGACTTGTTCGCGTGTCGGCTGGATAATCTCTTTCGAGATTCCTTGCACGAGTGGGAACAAGAACTCCACAGAAGTGCAGTTGATACCAATACCATCTGGATATGCTGCTATCTGGTCTTTGTCATGCTCTAACAAGGCTTTCACGACCTTCGCGATCTCCACGTGCTGGCCTGTATCATCCTTCTCCGGAAAACGACCTTCTGGGAAGACTGCACTGATCCAATACGGCTTCGACCACATAGGATCTTCCGACTGTAGTGTTGCAACGGCCCTCCGAATGGCCCTAATCTCTCTCGTTAATGGCACCGTCTCGAATGCTATGAAGTCGATTGCGTTCCACGCCTCCTCATCCTCTTTGAAAACCCGCAGTCGCTCCAAGTGAAACTCCTTGAGTGCTTCAATCGCTCTCTCCTCTTCCACATCATCGTTCAACGCGTTGGTACCTTTATCTTTGGATCCCCCTGGTCCGTATGGTGGGGGATAGTACCCGCCAAACTCCTGCGCTGGTGAAAGAGTTGCCCCGAACGGTCCCAGCGAGAGCGCGATCTTCACTTGATGGGGTAGGACATCCTTGCGATCTGCCAAATATAGAGCCTTCGCCGCCACCGCGAGTTGAACGGATTTGCGCATGAGTCGTACGGCATCCTCCCGACTATATCCTGCTTTCTCAAACGTGCTGAACGCACATTGGTATCTAATATCACATCCCGTGTATTAGTAACGTCATCATACTAATCGGCCCAAATACAATATGCGTACGTTGAAGTGAGAATTATGTCTGCCCCGGCGCGCAAGAAAGCAAGGTGTGTGTTTATAATAAGCCCTGGGTCTTCGTCTATAGGCTTTGCAGACCACAAGGGGGTAGAAATATCCTTGTGAAATACATCTTCAAGCGTTGTGCCCTGAAACGCACTCAGTGAAATCTCGTCTCAATATGAACACCCGCAGAGATCAACATACGAATCCGCCGTCAAGCACAAGCACTTTCTTCTCTTGATCAAACACGGTCATGATGGTGGTAAAAGCGAAAGCAAAGTTAAGTTTGAATTCAGATGTTCTGATTCCTGAAAGCCAAACGGAATAGAGTGAAGCCAATCCTAGACTGGGCGGAGACCTAGACTGGCATATGTCTAGCCACTGATCGATCTTTCACTCGAGGTCCATGAAGTCCATTGTGTAGTCGATAACTATCATATGTTTCTTTTTAGGAACTCCGAGAAATTCTCTGAAACACGTCATATTACAGCACGAACATATACGGAATCTCGCCTAATACTAGTTAGTCCAATGTGTCCCCAATACGAAACGAAGAGAGACCTGAGACAGAATGGTACATATATATGGGCCGAAGTACAACAAAAAAAGAAAAGCAAAGCAAGACAATCGAGAGCGAAGTCTTCGACCGAAATATTGGCAAATGAAAGAAAGACACACATCCTCCTGAATTCCTCATATACGATTTCCGGAATTAGGAACCAGCCTAATGGAAGTCCTCGCTTCTACGTCACGCACGGATTCCACATCCTCCTCTCCCCCATGATGCCAAAGACTCTCACTCTCCTCCTTATCTTCCTCCTTATCTCCTCTAGGGTAATGCCGTTCACGTTCACTTGTTGAACGTCCAAAAAGGGTATGATGGTGTGGTGGTGAGCTTGCTTTGCTACGACCCGACGAAATCAGTCTACGTGTCGATGTCGGTGATTCTGTTGATGAAGAGGGAGCAGTGGATGAGATGGATGGGAAGCTGCCCATTGTGGCAGTACGAGGCTGGGGAGCAAACGGATCTATGCTGAGGGGTCGGTATACGCTATCGAGCATGGGAGGTGCAGAGCGAAGCGCAGCTTCTTCATCTAATTCTTCCGACGGCGTCATGGTCAGCTCCGGACCTGAAGCCTCGAGCTGTCATATTCGTTAGCAAGTATGAACGCTACTAGAACGTGCAATTGAAACATTACCGGTGTGTATGGGGTCGAAGGATACGCCTGCGAAAGAGCACTCCTGGGTAAATGCGTTGCACTGTTATCACCTGTCCCAGGCATACGATACGAATGCACCATATCCTGACTATCAAACTTGATGGTCTGCTTTTTCGGCGATCCCATCTGGCTAGCGTGACTCGTCGTCGACATCCTCTCCAACGCAGCATCACCGGGATGCTGCACTGGAGGGTCATACAACTGATGTCTCTTCATTCCCGGGAATAACGCGTCGCCTCCCGTGTTACTAACGCTGAAATTGCTCATGCCGCTCAAGTGCTGAGGTATCGGCGGCAAGGGGTGTTCCAAATCCGAATCACGCGCACGTCGAGAACGGATGGAGGAAGGTGCACGAGCAGACGACATGCTCATCCGCTTCGCACTCTTTGCGCGCATGATACTGCCAATCGTACCGAAGCTGCCTCGGAGCGTGTCCATGCCGGGGTCTTCAACAGCCATCAGGCTCTTTTCATCCATGCCTTCTGTATTCCGCCTTGCCGCTTGCAGCAAGATGGTGGACTTGCGGTCGAGAGCCTTGATTTCAGTTGGGTCGACCTTGGACAGTTGAAGAATGGTGATGCCGAAGCAGATGACGATGAAGCCCATGACGAGGGTGATAATTTGATTCACCGGCGCCTTGAGTCCTTTGAATAGAACGATGGTAGTAAGGATGGAGAAGAACGTGACTGTGAAGGCAGTAAGAACACTGCCTAGGTGCAATTGTAGTGTCAGACTCACATATCACGTAGTAGGTGGGTGTCACTGGCGAGCAGCGTTAGATGTTACAATTGTCAGAAAATCAAAAAAGCTACACACCCATGGCTGAAAACACGTCAGCATCTTCACTTTCGGGACAAATACTTTCAACGCACCAGTATTGAACAGCGCCAGCGCCACGTTCAGATAATATACCTCAGTGACTACAAGGGTGTTAGTACAGATTGACCACTCGTGCAACATACTTACTTAGTGTTACAGCGATGAATACCATTAGAAAGTATATAAACCAATATTTGAACTGCGCAAATGTCAAAGGCGTTATAGTACGGCGAGGCAAAACCCACCTGATTATCGCCCATAGCGGTTGTGACGATGGCAGAGCCTAGGCCGGTGGTAACGCTGACACTGATACCACCGATCATGCTGCAAACCGAAATATACCACAGCATGCTCTTCTTGCCATACCTATGAAAACATCTAGGCCGTGCGCTCAAGAATCGAGGATGCTAGCTTACCTTGGCGCGAAGTAGATTGCAATAACGAGAGACGTTGCAATCAGTATTGAGCCGTATACCAGAAAACCAGGTGCGAGGAAAAGTTTTTGGAATTCTCTAATTTGTCCGATGGAGGATTCTTCAGGACCTACGAGCGTTCACGTCAGTAAACCAGTTCAAGTCATTGATCCCAAGACCGGGCTGGACGGTGCAGGGCACGGCACTCCGATCTTCACGTACCGTTGAGGGCAATGATGACTGATCCAATCTGCGTGAAATTCGAGCGCTTTCGGTGAGTAGAACCGATCACAGCAGTCTATAGAGGCCAGCACGTACGATACAGAGACCGCATCCCAGCCATCCAAAGAAACTGAGCTGTTCTTTGAGTATGAAATGAGAGAGAATGGCGGAGACGACAACAGAGAGCGCGCCCATGGGTGTCTGAGACAAAACATAAATTGGGATCAAGCGTGGGCGGCGAAAGCGGAACCTGAACGTACGACGACAATGGCCTCCACGAAGGCATACGCTGACAAGAAATGAGTTAAAAATAATGAACGATAGACAGGATGTGATCAGACACACCTGCAAAATTACAGAGTTCCCCCAGAATCATCACTGTGGAGATGGGTTTACATTGATCGATAGACGGAGAAGAGTGAGGGACATACTGATCATGCCTGTCCACCATAATGCCTTCACGAAACATTAGTCGCAAGACACGGGAAAAAGAAATGGAGCACGCACCGATTTGAGGTAAGCAACGCCTTCTCCTGCTACACCCTGAGATCTCAAAAGGCCCTTCTTCTTGAATACAAAGCTGCTGCCGATGAGAACGCCACTGACAATGGCGAGGATAATACCGACGACCTATAGATCGAGGGTATACCCATGGGCATGTTGTATCAATCAATACCGCAGTGAGCACGAACTTTGAGATTTCCGGGCGCTTTGAGAGTGGCTGCGGCGGATGTTGTAGCTGCAGCGGAGACAGAGGATGTCGGAGAAGGCGAGGTTGTGGAAGACATAAGAGATGGATCGTGGGGTCGTCGTTGTCGTTATGAAAATGAAAAGAGAAGGTGCCCGCTGAGGGCAGAGATATGAGAGAGTCTAGGAAGCTGGGTATGAGAGACGCATGCAGGGTTGGTGAAGCCGGGTCACAGCTCAGCTTTGGCTCAGCTTTGGCTCAGCTGGACTGCCGGCCTGACACGATCGGTCCAATATCAAAGTATCTATGACAATCGCCACTGGGTTAGGGTTACTACATTCACCATGCCCCAGTGCCAACACCTTTACTACAGCAAGTCCTCGCAGTGTTGCAGTCCATCCCTATGCTCTCTCCCTCCATGTCGCATCCAGTTTGTGGTCACAGCGCTGGTTGACTGACATGCTTCATGTCTCCGACCAACGCAAGGAAAGCTTCCGATTTCGTGTCTCGAGGCCGCTATCGTGTCTGTACAGCGGAAATACCCTCATGTCAACTGTCAAGATTGAACGTTTAACATCGAACAATCAAGCCATGGAAATGTTCTCGTCGGCAACGTGGACTAGGTCGCCATCTACGTCTGTGTTGTGGTTGATCTTCTCGCAACTCAGTTCACTTCTACTGATAACCTATTTCGCTTTGGCGACTTGTCTATCAGGGTGACTATTTAACTTGTTTCTCTCATACAAAACTGCTTTCGTTTTGTTCGGCCATCCTCGACTCTGTGCACTCCATCTCTGCAAGGTATACGATCAGCTACCCTCAGGTCGTCGTTGTCGTGGTATCCTTCCATCTTTCAACGTCAGTACCAATGCCTCCACCCGAACAACACAAGAGATTGCCTCACAACCTCCCCTAGTGTTTTGGTCTCCGTAGTCTCCGTGAGGCAAAGCAGACAACACAACGCCTCTCTCTGGGCTATTGACAATTTTTTTGCTATGGCTTGACGACGACCAAGCTTCTCTTTCCGATCTGCATGATTGTGCCATATGGACTTTTTTCCGTTTAGTCGACGTCCCTTTTTTATTTTCCTTGATGCTATGAAGGGAGATGTCTTGTTCATTACAGTCACTCTCTCGTATTGCCTCCTAGCTTCGGATTTGCGCATTGCGTCTCTGGGTTTCTGCGTCTGTCGCGGTCCATGTACGTTGTCGCGCTATTCAACGCGAACTTCCCCTTCTGCACATCTCCATGAAAACTCACATTCTATCTCCTTTAAAGCCGCCGATCCCATTCAATTTATGCGGAACTCTTCGGACGTCATGAACTGCAACTTTTCCTGTAACTCCACGTAGGCGAGGCTGACTTCATCTAAACATCCTCGCCCAAGCTTGTCAATGTCATTTCTATTCATAGAAGCTGAGTTCGGGTATATTCTTCACGCAGCTTCTACCCTTGGATTCGTATCTTGATATTTTTCGAGGGTCTCACAACGAATGCCTTGACCGCATCTTGGCAGGGCGTACTTCAGATAACGGCCACAATTGAACAGAAAATAACCACCGAATTTCCCTGGTTTGGCAGTGAGTTCTCTGATGTGTCCCACGAAGCTTAGATCTTTGTCTTGTTGCTATGCAGGTCAGCGGATGTCAGGATGACAGCGGCTCATCTAGAGCCAACTAGGTTCCCCACCTTTCTATACGGCCTTCTTTTCCCCGTTTACTCTTATCATACGACAAACGGTCACTTATACCTGGGACGTTGCGTCCAGTTGAGGTTTAGAGCTCCACAGTTCTTTGTTGGTGTGCGTGTAGGGTGCTTGAAAAAGGCTGTACACCCATTACCACGGCTTTTTCCTCTCCACACCATGTCATGTGCATGAAGGCTTACCGCTGCATCGGTAACGTCGATCGACGGTTTGAATCACCGTTATGCTGGGTGCGCCTTGCTTCTCCGTATCAGTTCATGCTCTTCCTATGTGATCGCAGGCTTCTTCGTCTCTACCCCACAAAAGGTCCACCTTCATGCGACGTCATGAGACTCCTGGTGTCATCTGAGAGAACACGATATCTAAGATTTAGTTCTGTAGTTGCCATGCTGTACTTGGTATGCACTCCATTCCGATAGTTCGCATTCTATATGTCAGATGAGTACCTATTCTACAGCTTAAAGTCCGATTGTGATAGCTTGGCTAGAATGCTTAACGTAGTCCTTTCCACGATCATCGTATCATTGTCCCTTCAAATCACGGTTTTGCGCAGTCAGTACTTGCGATGGTTCGGCAGCTTGTTTAAGTGTCTGTGCTTGCAAAACTATTACTTCATTTGCATGAGAAGATATTCGGGCGTCAGTGCGGAGGAATCAAGCCACTCTGGTAGCTTGCGTGTCCGCGGACGAATGAGAGCATTGATATTTCATCCCGCCTTGGCTGTTCGAATGGGGGCCCAATGCCAATTCCTGTCATTGATATCACCGTGACGTGCGGGGCCTCCACATACCCACCTTATGAGAGATGCAGTGGGTCGTGTCTTCAATAGAAAGCGACCTAGAGCGTAAGAACATACCACAGTTTGCGCGAATGTGCAGAATGCCCATTTTTGTCTTCGAGGAGTCTGATCAAAGTGATCGATTGTGATCGGGTCTGCAAAGATAGAAACGTTTGCGTGTTGGAATTGGACTCCACTGCTTCCTCTGTTTCACGTACGCTGGTCCATGAGTTACTCTTCTTTTGTTTTGTGTCCAACGACAAACGTTATGCATTTCACTCAGAGATAACATGCCGACCGAATGAGCTCAAACATGTATTTCCTTCACACATAACGGGCCAACAGAAGCAAGATCGGAATCTATTGATATCCATTCTCACTGCGCAGCAGTGTAAGGCGGTGTAGAGGTGAGAAACTGGCCAGCCAGGAGTGGTTGGAGGGAAATTAGGTGACAAGAAGTGCAAACTCGGAACGTGTCTCATACAAGCTAGTATCCTAGCCTGAAGTGGGCGGTTGTCATCCAAACCGAGACGTTTCACTCACACGAACTGTCCATTCCTGTTGTTCGTGTTCGGCGATCCGGTATGTATGATTAAACCGCAGCATCAACGCCTGTCCCACCTTCCCTGCTTTATAGTCATGAGAACAAATTCACGAAACGATACTCAACCTTCCTCGTCTCCTTCCCTCACGTCTCCTGCCGCTTCGCTAAAATGCGTTCGCTGTTGAAATCATTATTCGTTCTTGGTCTATGTACTTTATCCCTTGCAAGTCCACAAGACTCGGTAGGTTCTCAGCGTTGTTGGTTTATGCGCGACTAACACGTTGAACAAGGATGACCACCATCACGGTCGTGGCGGAGGGGGAGATAACGATGATACAGATGATTCCAACTCTTCAGCGTCGCCGACACCTACCGGGTCGTCAACTGCCACGAACTCTACTTCGTCGAATTCGGCCCTCATAGGGATGAATGGAGATGCGGTCTGCACCGACCTACTTTGTGTTGGTGGTCTTGTGAACGGCTCCACTGTTACATGTAAGTCAGCCCAAGAAATAAAACAGTATGGTTCGTGAACTCACGTATTGTCATAGATACTCTTCAAAGTTTGGGGGCCGCCAACTTGGGATGGATGGCGATGTAAGTAGATATTCCGGTCTTTACATTCAGACTCTGATTTTGGTTTCCATTGCAGGGGCTTCGGCGCACAGATGGCGAACACACCGATGGTCATTATGTGGTCGAACAGTGACGGTAGCATCACGTTATCACAGCGCAAAGCACCTGCTGAGATCATGCCAACCGTCGACTCAAATCCTCCACGAAAAGCGACAGCCGAACCATCCCTAAGTTCTCTCTCCGGTTCCAACCCCAAACTGGCTTTCACTATTCCCGCCGATTCGAGCGTCGGTAACAGTATTATCTGGGCCTTCAGCACGAACAATCCCGGTGATAGTGCTGAAGGTGCTCAGCTCGTTCAGCATCTCAACTCAGGACCAACTTCACTCAACCTAGCAAACACAATATCGGCATCTTCGAGAGACCCCACTAATCCCATTTCTACTCTTTCAGGCGGTTCTTCTTCGGGTTCTGGTTCTGGTTCCGGTACAGGTTCGGGCAGCGTTAGCATCCCGCTTCAGTCATATCAGAAGATGCTCGTCGCCCATGGCCTTCTGAGTACTATTGGCTTCCTGATCATTCTTCCCATTGGTGCACTCTTAGCCCGTTACCTTCGTACATTCAGCAACACCTGGTTCAGAGGTCATTGGATCATCCAGCTCGCTCTCGGTACGCCTCCATTTCGTTGTTCTCACGCGGAGTAAGTTCTAATATCTTCCTATTCTGTCCAGGTGGCCCCATTATCATTGCTGGCGTTGCTTTGGGCTTCGCTGGTGTACATCAATCCGGAGCACCGCATGTCGCTGACGACCACAAGAGGTGGGGCATTGCTATCTTTGTCCTCTACTTTGGTCAAATCGCTTTGGGTACCGCCATCCATTACATCAAGCCGAGGTCATTTGTCGTCAACAAGCGGAGACCTCTCCAGAATTACTTCCACGCTGTCTTGGGTCTGTTGATTATCGCCCTTGCCTTTTACCAGGTATGACCTCCGTGCTGTTATTGTCAGTCCATCAGACTGAGAAATGAATTAAACTTTAGGTCCGTACTGGATTCATGCATGAGTGGCCAACAACAACTGGCCGTTCACCAGTCAGCAATGCGGCGAACATCGTTTGGTACATATGGGTCGTTGTACGTACTCTATTCATATCTCAACTCTGTCTGTTATGCTCACTGATTTTATCTCTTCACAGCTTATGCCAGTGCTCTACGCAGCTGGTCTTATTCTCCTTAGACGTCAGTTTAAGCAAGAGCGTGTGACGAAACAGGACCCGGCTGTTTCACGCGAATCCTCAGATCAACGTTACTAGTGAGCGTCCACTTCCGTCATAGAAAGGCGGATGGGCGAGGCTAGCCTCGCTTCCTCACCTCAACTCTTCCTCAAGCATGCGCATTCTTCATGGAAGGACTGAACAGGAATAGATGAGCCGATATAACTTACACTTCAGCAACGTCTTTCGGACTTGTTGCGTCCACTTTCTTTTGTTGTAACATAGATATCTTGGACATTCTTCGCCTCCACGTGGACACGAGTTAATGAGCACGTCCTGAACGGATAGTTTACGAGCATGTAATTAGTGAAGCGGCTTTTCTTCCAATCCATGTCTTCAGTTGTGATTCCAGTGACATGCATTTCTACGCTATAGTAATTTCGACCTACGATTTAGATGGGTCACACCATGTTATCGGTGTCAAGCCTACAGATCAGAACACGGTCCAAGATACGGGAGTAGTTGTTTTATATCCCACTGCCTATAACTGATTGTCGCTGTCACAATTGACGGGTTGGTACATTTGCGTACTTGTAAGTTGCCGTAGTCATGTCTCTGTCAGGGCTTGTCGAGGCCAAAGCTGCAAGACGGTGATTGGTGAGCTAGCGTCGGTCAGCTGATGGCGGGAATTGCCAATTGTGGATAGTGATCGGGAAGCGTTCAGTAGAGGCAACGAAGGTCACCGTAAAAATTACGAAATGCGATTGCCCCAATTGAGCCCCAGGAAAATTTTTCCTCCCGTTACATGCACCCCTATGTCCCCCTCCTATACGGTACACGACGCGTAGCTCTCTATTGTCTCAACTGTTTAGCTCGTCGTCACCGTAGGTATTTCTTGGCTATTTTTCTTCGCTAATTAGGGCATTGATACGCCCGCAAGTCTCCTCCATGAACGGAGACTTTCCTGTGAAGCAGCAAAGCGTATCTGCGAAACACCTAAATGCATGTCCTGCATCGCGAAAGAATAGTGAGGAGCTCGCGTCTTCCGATGCCCAGAGACCACCGATCGTGCTGGACGAACGTCTAGTGGATGATGCGCAACGGTGTCTCACGAGGGATTGCAAATCCAGGGTGAACGATGGACTTACAGTATGTGACGACTGCCAGCAGCAGTCTGCGTTGGTAAGTCAGCGCATGAAGCAATCAGTAAGTTCCTATTCCTGTTTCTTGCATGCATGTTCTATCGACGTTCTCCCAAAAGTTTACAACTTGTACCAACGAGGAACGCCCCTCCTTGGTTGCTATATGCTCCCAGCTTTTTACACTCCCTTCTACATCTTTAGCTACTTCGCGTAAACGAGGGTTCAGGAAATCCATCGATCTGACACGTTATTTCCGCGTTTCTGCGCATACAACAGACTAGCTTCATGATATGCCACATGGCTGAGTCTTTGCAAAGACTAGAATATATGTTGGACATCCCTTTGCCCTTGTTTCACTTCATACTGTACTATCGCATTTTTAACAGCATAAAATGACTTTCGCTAACATGTCTTTCTGCCAGTCACACCCTTGTTCTCATTGCTCAGAGCCGGTGGTTACCTTGAAGTCGCATGCACAACCTTCAGACGTTTTATGTCAAGCGTGTCTGACCAAGTTAATGCCTCCCCCAGCCGTCCCTGCTCATGCGCTACAGACGCAGACCGACAGGCCACAACTAGATACCTCTGTTACGGCACCTTCAAGAAAAAGTAGTCTCCACAGAGTTACGGGTGATCCATCTCCGATCACTCCTCCTCATATAACCATGCCTCAGGAAGCTCAAAATCCTCGGAAACGGAAAGTTACTAGCAACACGCCCCCTCCCTTTCAGGTCCATACCTGGCATTCAAATCCGATGAGGGATGGACTACCTGGGAATATAGCTCGAGGTCATTCATCAATGCAACAGGACGGGCCCACACTAGTCGTTAATCCAATTGTCAGGTCTATTCACGTCGTACAGCCGAATATGAATCGGAACGCGCACCCTACCGTCATTCCTATTCGGAATGGCCAGCCATTCCCGTGGCCTCCACATCGGAGCTTTCACGAATTGGTTGGGCTACCACATGTGAACGAACGCGGAGAGTACATTTATCCTGAATTCACTAGGTTGCATCACCAGCAACGACGCCGTCAGCATGAAGAGCAGCGACAACTACAAGAACGTCCCCTGAATCACCGGGTGAGCATTTCTCGAGTCCCAGTGATTTACTTTCTTGTAATGACTTGTACTGAAGTCGACGTTTGTCGTGCCTTCGTTGTAGCCATTGATTGTTCCTTCTCAACTTCATGTATCAGAATCATCTTCGCCTGCCGCGCTACATCATCCCCACCCTCCACCACCGACACACGATTTCCCCCTAGCTTCTGTTCCCCTTGAACCAGCTAGTTCTTCTAGCTTGCCATCCCGCCTGGCTGCAGCCGGTCTACATCAATGCGAAGCTCCCGGTTGCGTGACTTTAATTCCTAATTCCAATCCTGCCCCATTTTGTCGACGGTGTTCGACGCTGTCTGTTTACGATCCTATCGAACCTCCTTCCCTTCTTCCTCTCTCGTTAAATGGTGAAGGGGAGGCTTCTCGACCAGATGGCTCAAGAGACCGCGATGCTAACACGTCATCATCATTTCCTTCGCTTTCACCCCAGTCCGATTCTCGGACGCCTGGACGTGATAATGCGTCACTCTCTTCTCCGACACCTTCGTCACCCACTCAAACACCATCCTCGCCACCAAGTTTAGGTTTGAACTGGGAAAGCGACCTTTCAGACTTGACACCTCTTGAGGAGTCTTCTAATAATGGCTCAGAGGATGATAGTGACGATGAAGAGCCTCGAGTAAGTCTTCTTTGTTTGCTGGTTTCATAAACATGTCTAATGTTCTCAAACGCGAATAGCCTCGCCTTGTCCTTAGATTGCCACCGCGAAGGTTCTTCCCGCCATTCGCACCTCACGACTCGGATTCCCCACTACCGGAAAAGTTCAAGCTTGACCCCAAAAAGGACTTCATATGCGGTGTCGCGAACTGCTGCAACCTCTTACGCCCGCTGTCTCGGTCACATTTGAAGATGTGCATGCGACACAGAATTGCTTTGAGTCGTTATCGCAGACGACAGTCGGAGCGCGCATCTCAGCAAGTAAACAATCAGGAGGAACACGAACGACACTGCAAATTCCAGGATTGCCCGAATCTCCTCCCACCTAAAGAGAACCACCCATGGCGGGCCTGCAAAGATTGCAGATATCGTTACCGCCGTTCCAGGGCTTCGGCCAAGAGCCCACTTTGCGAATTTCTGGCGGACACACAGTCGTCGGACTTTATGCGCAATGTGTATGCGCAGGAGCCGAGTGATGCCTTTCCATCGTATCAGGACTTTGCCACGCTTCTTCATGCTTTTGAGTTCCATCTTATGGGCTTCATCCTTGGGCAGATGCAGTACCTTCAGGTAAAGGTGTCGAAGGTGAAAAGTGATGTTCCGGACGTCTCTTCGCAGAAGCTGGAGATGGGGAGTCTGAGTGAGAATGGGACTCTCGTGGACAAACTTGTAGATCCTATGGCATTTAGTTTCGATGGAGAGTTCTCTATGGTCGCCGATCCAGCGGGCGGTGATGTACTAAAGCGGATACAGGCATTTCGCAAAGCAGTGGAGGGTATATTGGGTGCGGAGATGAGGTTAGTGGTTTTCCAGGATCATTGCTGTATTAACGTTGAAGCTCATCGCGTGTCCCGTCTGCAGTTGCGGAGGCCATTTCGCTGCCCCTGAGGGTCTCATCATCGGTCGCTTTCTTTGCGTGCACAAAACCATAGTCCCACTGGACGCTTCTTCGTCTCTTAATTCATCATGGCAGAAACTCAAATGCGAGCCTATGTCCCCCGATATCCCCCTGGCCTCTCTTCCCAGGTTGAACAGACCTAAGTCGAGTGTTGTAGAAATTTCGATGACGGAGCTTAAATCTTCCTCGGACCAAGGCGCAACTACAACGTCAGTAACAGAACCTCCGGCCGACAAAGCTCCGTCCCCAGATACTCACGACGACCACTCCCTAACTTCTGAGACGTCAAGCGATACACTTGTCGGCTCAGACGCTTCGGACGAATCAACGGGAAGGGCAGACCTTGTGGTGAAACGTATGGTTGGTGAACTTCGAATCTACGTCTCTTGGGATCGTAGACATCGATATCTGCCTGGTTTACGCACTGTTGTTCGGTTCAGGCTTGTCGGTTGAACTTCCTCTTTTGCTTCATCTACTTATATTCTTTCTATCGCCCATTTGTCTTTCTTAAGTCAAAGCGCTGTTGTTGTTCCTTTTAGTACCCATTATCGCAGTCCTTCATTCACGCGTTCTATCATTCGGACTTTGCACTTCGTTATTATACCTTTGCAATAACTGCTTGTTGCGCTTCTATTCTATTTCTTGCAGACAGATGTCATTTTCTTTCTCTTCGCCTCTTCGTAGAGCAGTGGCTTCATAATTTACGATCTATATATTCTCTTGTACTTTTCTTATCTTGACACTCAACTTTATGATTTGTATGTACATGTCATATTTGCGTCCTGTACACAATATTATTATGCTTGTCTTGACACGCTCTGAATTAAGATACGGGTTGCATAGGACCGACGTTATTACAGACGACATATAACAAACCGGACTCGTTCACAAAAAATATATCTTGGGTTCAGAGAAAAGAGAAGAACAAAAAGAATTCGAACAGGAAGGGAAGGAGTCATATTGTAGCGACTAGCCCAAACCGGACGTAGAGATGCAGCAACGCACAACAATGATAACATATTGGGAACGAACAATAGAGACCAGGCGAAATAACAAAACGAATAAGATATGAGGCAATGAAGCATCTGTCCTTTCTTCCTCCCCTCATTAACACCTCCCCCTCACTACTCGGGATGTTGAGAACACCTCACATGGCATCCTCGTCATCCCATCTCGAGATCTTGCCCAATGGTCTCCAGTAATACTGCTTATACTGCTTGGTGACTGTCCGTTTACCAGGTCGAGGCATCATACTCCTTATGAGCGTCGCACGATCGGTATCGGTATCACATTCTGGGACATAGAACCATTGAGCTTCAAGTGGTCGCTCATGATCGTCCTGCGAAGAGGGAGAGAAGCGTTCATCAGTTTCAGTCGCAGACGGATTTAACAGGATGGAGCGAACAACGGAGTCTACGCAGGTGGGAGAAAGGGGGATGGGAAGGAGAGAAATGGAAGAGCGGAAGAACAGGCATCAGTGCCTGAAAGCGAATAGAACGCACCTTAAAACTACTTTCCACCTTCCCAAACATCCCACACCTCGCCCGTCCCTCCTCGAACATACCCTCAATAAGCACCATCCACTCCTTCCGCCCCATCTTCTCCTCCACCTTCTCCTCTCGCTTTAAGTTCTCCACAGCGTCCTCACCCTCAGCTTCACCGTCGTCGTTCGTCTTTTGTTTCAACATTCCTCTTGACAGCGACTCCGGTTCAGAGACGGGCGGATCCTGTCGAACAAGTGTAACATCCCTCAATGCCGGTCTGGCATCCATCAAACTACTATAAACCACACTGGGCGGAAGACTACTCGCTCGAGAAGTCGCAAGGGTCTCAATCAGCATTCCCTGTAATTCATCCAACGGAAGCGGGGCCTTAAACGGCAACAAGTCAAGGATGGTAAGCCCAGGCGCGAGATCAAGTTTCGAAGGGGACTTGGAGAGGAAGGGAGAGTAGGGCGAATGACATGCAACAGACATACGATGAGAAGCCGAATGTGAATGCGAAGTCGTGGAAGGCTCGGGAAGTGGATTCTTGCGTGGTCGGCCAGGTTTTCGTTTCAGTTTCGGCTCTTCCGGCAAAAGTGAGGCGTGCTTATCATCAAGCTGAACTTCCTTCTTCTTCCTCCCTCTTTTCTTGACAGGTTTCCGACTATCGACATCAGGATCACTGACACCCGCAACTTGAACGAGACCATCCTCATCGTCACTCAAGACAATTGTGCTCTTCCGCGTCATCTTTGGCTTCATCTCTACAGCACGCCGTTCATCCTCCGACGTAGTCATATCCACAGTCAGGCTCTTTTTTCTCCTGATTTTCTTCTCTGGAGCACTAGTCCTGACCCGCTTCGTCTGCCTCTTCTCTTCATTACCAGCTTTCTTGCCTTTCCGCTTCTTGGGCGGCACATCATCTTCACCAACCTCGTCTTCGAGTGAGGACAGGAGAGGAGACAAAGGAGAACTTAATGCGGCAGGAGAAGAAGCTCTCGAGAATGAAGACGAAGCCCGACTGGCTTTTACGGGTGTGCGAGGAATAGCAGAAGGGAAAGTCGGCAGAGTCGAGGTTGACGCCGTAGGTTGCTCATCAGTGAGATGCCGGGTGAGGGAGAACGCAACAGGTGACGTATATCGGGATGTGCTCTCTTTGCATTCAGGCGCAGACGTAAGAGCAGGCTCGTCGTCAACAACAATGTCCATGTCATCGTAAGTGGAAGAAATTAGAGCATCATTAATCTGCGAAACCTAACGCGAATACGAGTCAGTCAATTGAAAAAATTCAAGGGAATAAAGCAAAATGAAAGTCAGAGAAGAGGGAGGTTTCTGTTCAAGTAAGACCACCAAACATCCCCGAATGGCGAAACGAAACAAGGAAGCGAGCACAAGACAGGTAAACGGAAAAGAAATACTCACCTCGTCCATTTCCACATCTCGAACGATTACCTCACGTTCCTTCGAAGAACACCTAGATATCGATTTCAACCTCACAACGCCCACGTCCACTTCAATAGCTCGGGCCTCTACAACGACATTCTTCGTTTCGTCCACATTCACTATCACATTCTCTGCTACACCATCGTTAGAAGCCTGAGTAGGGGAGATGACGTCAGAGGGAACAGGATCGGCACTTGTGAGCAAGGTCGCAGTGGTCGGAGTCGAGCTGATTTCAAGATCAGGAACACCCGTCGGGGTTGTAGACGTAGGCTCAGTGAACGAAGCAATCGGTTCAGAATCATCCACCATGTCCAAATCGCCACCTACACGCTCAACATCCGCAACGTTCGCCTCGGCCCTATCCACCGACGCATCACGATCGAGGCTAGGGCTAGAAGCAGAGATATGGACAGCAGGCGAGGTGTAATCCTCAATCGGACAAGTAGAGATGGGCGCGTCTTCGGAGGGATCACATCCAATTTGCGCGCTCGGAACAGTTCCTTCTGTTTCCACAACTGCCTCCGGGAGAGCGCTCTCATCCATCTGTTCCGTCTCAGAATGACTTTGACTGGAGACGTTGGGGATAGCAATAGGAATGGACGCTGGTAGTTGCATCGTACGACCACTGGAATCATGACTCGCAAGACGCTCATCATCATCCTCGAGGGTTGCAACCAGAGGAACTGACACAGCTGGAACGGGACTAGACGTAGACGTCACAGATACAGCGATCGAGGTCGGTTCAAGACCAGACACACTAGTCAACACAGATACAGATCCAGAAGTCGAGACTCGTTTCGAGGCCAAGTCTGTAATTAGTGTGGGACTAGGTGAAAGAGGACATCCGCTCGTCCTGATCCCAGCAGGTTTGGCGGTCGAAACTGGGGTAGCAGGACGAATGAGTACACCCTCCTGATGCGGGGTGGCTGAACGCTTATGAACGACATGGGGATGAAGGACGGAAGGTGGAGTAGCAGACCGCCTGGCCGTCTTCGTACTCGATTGAAGTGACAAAGCAGGCGTAACATGGCGGTTGATCGTAGCACAGGATGTAGAACGTGAGAATGGGGAAGGCGAGGGACTCGATACAGAAAGCAAACGAGTCTAAAAATCGGTATCATGAACATCGATGAGTCAAAGTCACGGAGAAGCGGAGAAAACGCACCTCAAATGACCTCTCCACGGTCATTCCCCTCGCCGCATTCCCACTCCTACTCGGCTGAGGCGGCTCAGGGCTCAATAGACTTTCAATCGAGACTCTTCCACGTCGCGTCACAGGTGGAGAAATCGTTAATTCAGTTTGCACATCCCTCAGCTTCTCGGGAGAGACAGAGCGCTTAATTGAAAGAGTGGGCGATAAAGATCTGCCAGGTGATGAAGCCAGAGACATCGTGAAGGGAGAACTGGGTGGAATCGGTGGTGAGGAAGGCGGGAGCATAGGACTTGTGGATAGTCGAGAGGTGGGGGAGGACGAAGGGAAACTGTCATTATCCGGTTGGAGAAAGGATTTGCGTGATGTGGCGGCAGGTTTGGGAGGGGGACGAACGTAGGGTTGATCGCGTTCAGCGGAAGTGCAAAAGGAAATTCTTCGGCGGGGAGTCGAGTAGAATAGGCTGCTGCCGTCTTCATCGTCTTCATCGGAGTCGGCCAAGTGGAGATCATGATCATCGTCGGAGAGGATAGACGTGTCTATGTACGGTTTGGTCAGAGTGAAAGCATAGATGGGCGGGAAGGGAGAAAGGGAAGGGTTATTAGGCGGGAAGAGGGAACGGTGAGGGAGAAAGGGCATGATCGTGGCGGAGCGATGAAAGGACGGTCATGGCTGAGAGGGCAAAGCAACCGGACGTCCGGTGGAACGTGTACGGCAAGCGCCCGTCCTCTCAAGCGGGACCGTCTCAAGCACCTTCACTTTAAAGCAAAGCAGAAACTCACCATATTGGTGGTGCACGCATGGCGTCGTTTGGCGAGAGAGATAAGGCATCGCTTGCGCATACCGACGGTCGTACCTCTTGTGCTGAAAGGGGACACGCGAGGCGTAACCCATGTAGCGCGCGTCGGACCAGATCTCGTCCTCTGAGGGTGCGTATTCCGTCGGGCTGTCCGCATTGCGTGAGCTGAGAATGGCAGAGGAGGCGATGGGCGACGATGAACAGCTCGATCCCCCGCTGCTCAATCCCGGCACCCTGTTCGTGATATCAGCGTCGTCTGCTGTCAGACTCTTGCGGCGGTACTTGTATGGCAATGTGAGGTTGTAGGCCATGGATGACGGCCTGAACGACGAGGGGCAAGTCATTGGCAGCGGTCGTTGAGGGTGAAGAAGAGAGAAAGAGACCTCACGCGCCGACGCTGGATGGTCGGACAAACGCGCTTCACGTGCCACTAACTCCTCTCGCGTCCTCTGCTTGTCCTTGTTTGTCCACGCGTTCCACCATTTCGTCAAGTTCTCTCCCTTGCATTCTCTCTATGAATGTTATCCGTAAGTAACCAGCTAGACCTTAAGCTAAGACTTGGTATGACCATGGATATCATCTCGGAGGCGCATACACGGTAAGTCTACGTTCCTAGTGCATTTCTCTCCATGCATTCAAAGTCGCTTCACCCATGTACAGATTCCCTCATTGGTCTCTCAGTGAGACAAGTCGTGTTGTTGAATATTGAATATCGAAGCCTCGGTTTGTTTGCAACGTCGATCAAGGTCGCGTTACCCAGTGTCCCTAGATCTTCCGCCATTTCTCTCATTTCCTCCCCTGACTTCGAGCTCTATCAAATCACTCTTTAGGTTAAAGTCCCATCTATATCATCGTACTGATTTCATATTATTTTCTCCTAGTCAATCGGCCATATATCGTACACTACGGGGAAACATCACTGCTGAAATGCAGGTCTAAATTCTGTTTGAGAGTCTACTTCAAAGGTGGGCAATGCGACATAATCGCAGACCGATATATTCACCTCTCAGCTACGCGCCAACCCCGAGGAGTTCATGCATACAACAGGTTGACGATCCCACTGAACAAAAATGAATCGCACACTCACAAACGCCTTTCCGACTTAGCATTGATATTTAGGTTTGGCAGGAGGTCGCCGAATTCAAGGATAGCGGGCTACCTGCAACGCGCGCCCAGGTCTTTCCCCTGGCTTAGCCGATTTGTTTGTATTGATGCTCCCAATTTCCAGCACAGTACAGGTACTTACGCTTGGCGGTTGATTTTCCCTCTGAAGGTGCCTATTGTTCGGACTACGTTCATAAGCATATTCTGACATAGCAGCCTCTGTTTCCGACATACAAGCGTAGACATATATTGTCCCTGATTCAAAATGGTTTGTACCCACTGCGTACACTCCTCCGGCCGTCGCGTCCCCCTCTACGTTGTAACCTACTCATACAAAAAGACCCTATCGAAAGAAAACATACTATGGTGCAAAGACTTTCGACGATCCCACAATTCATGCGGTACCTCCTGTCTTCAGAAGAAGTATCAATATGGGTATACTCAAAGAAGGGTGTGATCGTACTTACCGCATAATAGACGATTCTGAAAACCATATGGAAGAAACGGTATAAAACTGCAAGCCCTGAAAATCCCGTCCATACCACCTTTCGAAATTCTCCATGGTAAGCCACATTACCAGGAATATTCGGTCGGAGGTCGTCAATGTCGTCTGGTGAAGTATCTGCAGTTTTGGATACAGGATGTGGGCGAGCGGGGTCTATATCACTTGCTTTCGGTATAGCGACCTCGTTGCTCTCGGGCTCGAGTTCAACCCCCGCCCGTGAAACAGCATCGGCATGCTCAGCCTCATTCATCGTCAAACTTCTCTGGCTAGCCTCCGACTGCATTTCGAGTGCATGTATACCATCGTCGCTACTGGATGGCGTACAGTCACCAACTTCATCCACCTCGGCCTCCATGCCAGACAGACTTCCAGGAACCATCTTGGGGTGATCAATTGACTCCCAAAATATTCCTACTAAAACAGCAGGGTCATCCGCAAGAGCCCGTTTCCGTGAAACGACTGTATAGAGAGCCTTTTCAATGTGGGGAGCTTGTATATTCTGTTCGTCAACATCGACCACGCCTTCGGGCCGACAACGTTGAACGACTTGCAGTAACGAGGTTAATGCACTGTCCTCGCCTTTTGTTCGTTCAGCTGTTCTCTCCATTGAATTCACTAATGCTAACTGAATCCAGCGAAGTCTTCAAACCTGTTATAATTTTGGATGTCGTCTCTGAGACGCGTACGTGGTAAGCCTACCAGTGCGTTTCTATTGAGGCATTCAAAGTGCACTCACCCATGTGAAGATAGCCTCAGTCGTCTCTCAAGTGAGACAAGTCGTGGTATTGAAGGCCCGGCCTGTTCATAAACATGGGTCAAAGTCGCATTCTCCAGCTTTCTCCCCTCCGCCATTCTACGCATTTCTCTCTTTAGCTCCGAGTCCGTGCTCTATCAAGTCTTTATCAGGTCAAAGTCTCATCGACTGCATATCATCGCACTGGTTTGATATGATTTGCCTCGTCAATCAGCTGTACGTCGTACGGTACAGGGAATTCTTACTGTCGAGGCCTCTATTTCGTCCAAATGACTACTGTCAAGGTGGGCCATGCGACATGATCACACACAGAGAATCATCTCTCAGGTACGCACCAGTCCTGAAGAGTTCGTGCATACAACATCCACAGGCTACTTATCCCGCCCAGGGTTTTTTCCCCGCTTCAGCCCATTTATTTCCTTTGATGCTCTCACTGTCTAGCATAGGATATCTACACTGGACGTTGAGTTCCTCTGAAGGTCAGTGCCGTTCGTAGATTGCATTCACAAATATAATCTGATATGTCCAGCCTCGGTTTCCAACATAAAGGTATAGCTATGTGTTGCCTTTCGTCCACCCCGCACTTTCATCCACTTAGCACGCCTCTATGCAGTCCTTACTTGTGCAAAAGGTCAGAAGATATAGGAAGGAAGACCTGTAGCGTGCTACTAGGACGCAAAGTGTCTCGATCATTCCACGATCCACGAGGTATCTCCCGTCTTCAGAAGTATCAATATTTGTATACTAGAGGAAGAACGTGATCACGCTTACCATGTAATAGATAATTTTCAGGACCATAAGGTAAGAACAATATAAAACGGCAAGTCCTGAAATTCCCGTCCACAACACACCTCGAAGTTCTCCGTTGCGCGCCAGACTATCAGGAATATTCGGTCGAGGGTGGACAGCATTGTCTGGCAAATTACCTTCAATTTCGGATCCATGTGGGCGAGTAGGCTGTACATCATCAGCATTCGATATAGCGATCTTGTTGCTCTCGGGCTCTCGTTTACGCTCCGTTTGTGAGAGAGCATCGGCATGCTCAATCTCCTTTGTAGTCGAACTCTCGAAAGCCTCCCACTGCTTTTCGAATACATGTACGCCGTCCTCGCTCTTAGGCAGCGCATGATAACTAACCTCATCTGCCTCGACCTGCATGTCAGACAGACTTTCAACAAGAGTCTGGGTATCGTCAGATGGCTCTCGACTAGGTTCCACTAAAACAGCAGCCTCATCCTCCGCAGGGGTCGCCTGTTCCTGTGCAACAGTTGTAGAGAGTGACCTTTCGAGATAGGAAACGACATCAACAAGTCCGAGGCTACGTGCTTTCTCCAGCACAGTCATCTTTGGATCAAGTGATATGGGAACACGAGGATCGCAGCCTGTCTCTATGAGTGTGAGAATCTGCTTCTCAACGATGCCGGGATGAGAAGAGATGAAGTCGTTTGTAACATTGAGAACGTGCCAGAAGATGGTGTGGCCGTTAGGGTCCCGCAGGCTTGGATCACATCCTGCCTCGACAAGCACTGGAGCCATATGGTCCTGATTATCTCGACCCCATGTAACCATAGCAGTCGCACCGTCATCTGATCGGAGATTGAGGTCCTTTGCAGCCTTGACCAGTGAGTAGAACGCGAAGGTGTTATGCAATTTCCGTTGAATGGTCTGAAACCAGATTGAATACTGCTCGTATTCACTAAGATTGACATGCTTGGATGACGGATCCACACGAACGTCCGACTGCAATCTTGAGGAACCGCGACTCTTAGGTTCTAGAGCTCCCAACACCACTGTAGCTTCAGCTGAATCGTTGATACCAAGGTACACCTTACGTTTCCCAACATAGAAATCACGGTATGTTACGGCCATATATAGACGAGTCCATGCGGAAAAAAATTTGTTGATTGAATCCCGATTTCTGCGTAGCCTACGTCGAGGATAAACAGCATGGAGGTCGTCAGACGGCTCGCAACCAGATCCTACTAGAATAGCAGTCTCGTTTGCAGCACTGGAGGAGAGTTTATCCTCAGCATCATGACTTTCGCGGATTGTCGTAGCGCTGATCGACTGGCTTGCATTGTCGAGATGCGAAACCAAATCGTCAAGCTCTCTGGGGTCGCGCGCTTTTGGCAGCTGTACACTGAGTATGTAAGGATCCCAGCATGCAGGTGAGAGACTCCGATTGTCGACGACACCGGGATGGGAAGAGACGATGTCTTGCGTAATATTAAAAATGTTGTGCTGAAAGAAGGTGGCGCTATCGTTGCCCTGCAGGCTTGGATCGCATCCTTCCTTGACAAGGGTTGAAGCCGTATGCCAGCATCGTGGCACCAGATCATTATTAATCAAATCAGTCGCAACTGTATCAGATTCGAATTCGAGGTCCCCTCCAGCTTCAAACAGTGGGTAGAAGAAGGAGTTGTGCGGTATGCAGTTATGGCGTAGATTCCAGATTGAAGACCCCTTGAGAGCGAAACGACTGGCACTCCTGGTTGAGCATGGATCCATCCGAGGAGGACAGAAAAAGAGCTGGAGTGTTTTAAAATCGAGACTCTTAGGTGCTAGAGCTTCCAACACCGCTGCAGATTCCTCTGCAACGTTGACACCAGCTTCGTATTTCACAATATAGAAATCATGGTACGTTACGGCCACAAATAGGCGGGTCCATGGATGAAGAGACCTGTTGGTTGAATCCTGGTCGTTGCGGAGCATACGTTCCCTGAAATAGTGGAACCAGTTGTCGATAGCCAAATAAATGAGAAACGAAAGTGGGATCTCTTCAAATCTTGGCGAAGGCTTGAAAGGTGACATGATCCTGGGAAACTTGTTGCATACAACAAGCAGCAGAATGAGGCGTTCCCTGTCAAGTAAAAAAGTCCAAGCTCTGTCCAAAAGGTCGTCGGGTATCCTATTGCTTGCACCGGGTGCCCTAAGACTTTCATCGAGGAGGTAATGTTGCCAATACTTAGCCACATGCCGAAAGAGAGGATAGGTTGTCTGAAGGCCAGCCTTCAAATGACCTAAGGCAAGTACGAGAGGAGACCGTCGCGAGAAGTTATCATGTGAAGCGTTGGATACAACTTGAAGGGATGTGACTACCGAGGACGGAAGACTAACGGTTGACAGATATGCAACCGACTGGCATGCCAGATTGAATTCTATCTTGCCACGTGACCAGTCATACTCCAGTAGCAACCGAGGTACTCGACAATTCGAGCTTTGACGTTTGATTGTGAAATACTCCTGAGAAAAGGGACATAAGTATTACACGTAGGTAGGTTACCTGATGAGCAGCTCACCTTCACCGTATAATGAGATATCGTAACAGTATCACCATCCTTGTTATACTGTACCAGACTTCCACATGCTTCAACAATGCTTGAAGGATCCAAAATCCCAAGGTCTCGATCTAGCGATGGTGGATCCAGCTTAATCATCATCGCTTCATTGAGTTCCGATAGAGTAAGAGATCCAGCTGCGCCAAAAAGCCACTGAAGAGTGCGATGGACGATACGTTGGCTACCTTCTCCCCGCTCTTCTATAGCGAGTAGTATTCGATCGTAAACCTCATATAAATCTTGCGGTAAGGTTTGCAGAGATTTCATGATGTCAGAACGTGAGTGGCTCAGTTTCAGCAGAGCGATTTGGGCGTCAACCAAACGAAACCTATGAGATGAGTAGGCAGTATCAGCGATTTCGTCACTCAGAACGCATGACATTTGTAACATACATGCCGCTGGCTCGACTCAGGAGGGTCCTTTTGACTTCTGGAATAAGATCTTCGGGAATCCATTCCACCCTCGATGGAGGGTCGAAGGATTTATCAATATGCAAGGCAATATCACTGTTCACTGAGCGTGCCTCCTTTGTTATATCGATGAATGAGCGACCCTTCAGCAAAGTGATGATAGACTCTTCCGATCGGCTCGAGACGAGTATCCGGATACCCGCCACATCATTGTGTAGGCGTTCCAACTCTTGAATGAGGGCTCGGAAATCTGAGCACTCATCCAATGCGTCTACCACCACCACAGGTGTATACCGTGCGGCACGTATAGCAGGGACGAGTAGAGCGTAGATATCGTCGAGAAAGGTTGGAGTATGTAATTTCTCATTCCGGTGTCTGGCCAGGTTGTCGAGAGTATCAATAGAGGGATCAAACTTGGTGAATTGAACGAGAAGTGTTCGAAGCACGACAGCAGGGTTTCGCGAGTCCTCGTTCCGAAAGTCGCAGTAGTGATACGCCAGCGCACAAGGACCAAATGATTCATCTGGTTCCTGCAGTGCATTGATCACAGTTGATATCAGAGTACTCTTACCACACCCAGCTACGCCGATCATGTCAGAACGTTCGCAGCCAAATAACGGAGTGATCTAGTACATACGTATCCCACGCAAATGCAGCATAATGCTTGACGATGATTGTTGCCAAGTGATGAATTGGGGATGATCCAACAGCCAACTGCAAGTACCCATCTCACGACGAGCCCAGACAGTCTTGTGCTTCGATTCGTAGTCGACGGATCTCAGCCATTTCATGACTTTCAGCCAATGCGATTCTGAAGAAAGAAAGAGGGAAAAGCTAAGACGGCAGCGACATAAATCAAGTGTACATATGTAACTTACCTTGATTTCGAACCTTCTGCTTCGTCACGAATTCTTCGAATGCATCGCCTGTCAATACAAAGGGTAATTGAGCATATTTAATTGGATGACTTCTGAAACCTTACGAGAATCTGTGAGAGTGTGTCTATCAAATCATAAGTATTCGAATCTCGTCAAGTCCTGTAGTCATGTACTGACCTCGACTCGATCTGCAATGCGAGAACGAAGAGCATTTTCTGGCTTTGCAGCTTTTTCAGCAGATTTTCTACCTTCCGTTTTCCTTTCAACGGCCACAGTAATTTCCCAGAAACCCTCTTCATCTTCTCGCTTTGTTTATTAAGCCACCCAACGAATTCGTTCAAATCCGCCTGGCATACTTCAACAACGTTGTTACTGTAGAGAGGGGCCAGGGCACTCAAGCATGCTTGTCTATTACTCGAATCATCCTTCTCCAGCCTGCGAATGAGGGCCTCCAGCTCCTTCAATATTGCCACAGTACTGTTGAGTTCAGATGTGACTTTATTGCAGTCCGCTTCTGCCTCCTTGACCTTCGATACGTAGCTCGCTATGGTAGCGCACGCCTGAATTAGCGAAATAACGTTGGCTGTCAATCCAATGGGATCCATTTCAAGTATCGGCGAGGTTCAAATAAACACGGCTAGTCGTCGACCGAGGTGAATCGAAGGTCAAGAGACGAAATGCAATTGCGAGGAGATTCGTTATCAAGCAACGACACGCGCTTTTCACGTTGTAGAATTTGACCAATGCATATGGACACCGAAATTGTTCCGCGCAAGATGCTGGGCAATCTAGGGTTCCTAGGAACTTCTATGAACCATCTATCGCCATTGAGCGCGGAAGAAGCCTGATATCTGCCGTCTTGGGATGATACTAATCCACGCACCATGTGAGAATGTGATAGGATCACAGCCAAAGCAAGCATAGACCGATCGATACCAAGCTCGCATTCGCATTGCTTGTACAGCAACTAAGAGATACGGACACGAGAGTCAACTACACGCGAGACGTGAGTATGGATGCTTGCAGACGTGTGACTGGAGAAAGAGGGCTGGACTGCAAGCATCGCTCGACGTGCACATCCTGCATCCGTTTGCACAGCAAACGATACAGTAAGAGCAATGAAACCCCGGCTAGTCTCCGATTGCGAATACTTGGAATGCCGTACTTGATTTCTAGGAGAATCTGCATAAATCGAGGTTTTCAATGTATTGTCAATGTCGTCGAGAAGCACAGTAGTAGTTCCTGAACCATGCGGCAGTGGAGGGCTCGGCATTCTAAATTGAAGTATGAGGACCGAAATTTACGTACCCGTGGGTCTTGATATGGAAATGAAAGTGGGCTAAGGGCTGTTGAGGGTCCGCCGAAGCGTTCAACTTCTACGACGAGACCTTTGAGCGGATGATAAAACGTCGCGTAGTACAGTCCTAGGACATGTGTACATACTTTGAGTTGCCTCGGCCTTCTTCCACGTATACGCATATGCTTCTGAAATAGTTACAGTACACGCAGGATGTCAAGAGGTAGAGCTGATATACTGATGTGTCTGACACGAGTTCGACGGTCGCAACGGAAGTATTCGTAGACATGATACTATGTGCTTAGTCTACCGCAGACATGGAGCATAATCCAATCTTCGCACCTCAGAATAAGGTGCAACGGCCTATACAACCGCAGCGTTCTCATCGCTGGGCTATGCAGTTCATCCTGCTTCAACAGGGCCCGTCGCTGCCAAGCGTTGCCAGAAACCAAGATGGCCCAATGAAGGGGAACAGAACATGGGTTCTCACAGTGAGGATGGATTTGCAGCTGAGTGGAAGATGGCGGGATGACTTGAAAAGGAAACACCGACGCGGTCTGATTCGATGATCGATGAGCGCTTATCTTAGTATGATTGATGTGTACAAGACGCCGACACAAAGGCACCCCCAAACAGCCGAGGGAGATTGCTTTCACACCTCCCACATCGACGGTCTCACCGTCGTCCGCCACGTAACTCTTTCCCCTTCATCGTCGTTGTAAACAGCGAGTACAACTACTTATCCCTGCCCAATAACACATTGCCCTCAACATGGCACTCACCTCTGTCATCTCGAGACATCCACGCTACTCACTCCTCCTTGTCGTTGTACTCATAGCCGCGTCCTTCCTCTTGTTTCCCTCAGCCCCCGTGTCTTTCAACAGCATTTCAGACGTGGACTATTTCAGGAACAGAAATAATGGACGACCGCTCAAGGCTGTTCTGCGCGATGAGGAGCAGAGGTACCAGAAGGTCCTTGCTGACCGCGAAGCCATGGTACGCAAGTGGGGTCCTACCGCGGATAAAGTTACAGCGTAGGCAAATTCTGTTCGAGATACTCACTGCCCGAGTACTTATTTCGACGCAACCGGATAGATTTCCTCCAGAGCATGACTTCTATACTATGTGTAGGCGTTGAATGAACTGATTGAACCATATCTGCAGGTGCTTATTGTATTGTCTACATAGGGGACTTCTTCATTCCGGCGTTTCAGTGCCCACATCACACCGAGCGCATCGGCACGATGGGTGACGGTGGTAAATGGGTTTGTGGCATCGAACGTATGGCGCAACAACCTTCTTGCGTAGTCTACTCCTTCGGCATCAATGGCGAGTCGTCTTTCGAAGCCGATATTCTCACTCGTGCCCCTGGCTGTCAAGTCTACGGCTATGACTTCAGTGTCCTGTCCTTCGGCCCTGAAATCGCTTCCTCCGTTTCGTTAGCGCCTCGTTCGCACTTCTGGTCCTATGGTTTGGGTCCGAAAGATGCTCATTCTAACGGGGAGAACCCGCCTATGTGGAGTCTGGAGAGTCTGATGAGGGTGAACGGACATCGGTTCATTGACATCCTCAAAATCGACATCGAAGGTGCCGAATTCGAGAGTTTGGGAGCCTTTGTGGATAGCCTGATTGCAAAGAAAGGCGGTCGAGAGGAGGACGTTGTCTTGCCTATTGGCCAGCTGCAGATCGAGATACACGCCAGGACGGGTGGTTATGATACGTTCGCGCCTTTCAAGCAGTGGTGGGAGAAGTTGGAGAGAGTCGGCCTGAGGCCGTTCTGGACAGAGCCCAACTTGGTATATGTGAACCTCATCCGAGGGGCACGACCCGATCTTGTCGAGGTAAGCTTTACTCATGATCCTGATTCTGACACGCATTTACTGACAGAATTTCAGTACTCCTTCATGAACATCCGTGGAGACCACGCACTGGTCTCGGAGCGAGTCTAATCGATACCCGCTAATATATGTATCAAAGGACCAATATCCGTTGCTCAAACTTGTAGTCCCGGGTTGGATTGCAGAAAACGCCAGTCCCAACACAATGGGATATATTGTATTTTATTGGGGTTTTAACTACTGCCCCTCGCACCTGCACTCGCTTAGCAACATACAACTGAACTCTATAGCTCTTATTTAGTCGCCTTCTAGGTTTCGTATCGTACTTTTCACAATTGGATCTATTTCTTTGTCTCTCATTCGTTCATGAAGCAAGCAAGAATCACTATCGAAAATGAATCTTGTTTGCGATTCGGATTGTGACTATGAGGCGAAGAATGAATTCATTCGAAGAGTTATCCTCATGTATAACATTCAATCGTAGGTGTTATCGAATAACGACCTAACGACGAAATCGGCAGGATTGGGATCCTTCACCTTCGACAAAGTGGGATTCATAACAAAGCGTACTATAACGCGATGACGTCGTGAGCACCTTTCATCAGGGTCTCTCAAGCAATAATGATAGACTTACCAGTGCGATCGATACCTGGTACAAGATAGAATCCATTGCTAGGTAGGCCGGTCTTAACGTCGACAAAGTACCCAATAGTACCGGCAGGATGATCAATCCAGGTGAAAGGCGCTACCCCACCTCGTGCCGAGAGTTTGAACGTGAGGTTGGAGGTGTGCGTGAGGCTAATCTGAGGGTCAGGTAAGGTGACGGTTGCCAGCGACACCGGAGTGAACTATGCCAAGTGAAGATAAATCAGAAAATCACAGCGTATACGAAAAGGATTACGATGAACTGACCACTTGTTCATTCGTGACTGTCTTTCCTTCCACGTTCCCCGTCAGACTCAACAACAGCCAGACATCTTCTCGTTTGGTGCCCTTCGGCAGGATGTTCGCGTCTAACCCCGACCCCTCCCAAACCACACTCCCGTTCAACACGCCCACATCCGTCTTCACGACCTGTGTACTAACCTGCCTCCCACCCCACTCATACCACGTAAACCGCACATTCACGTCTTTCACCGGCTCCAACCTATCGCTCATCACTCTAACCTCAAGCGTCTCGTTCGCTGCAGTCCAGAAAGGATAGACGAACAGCGGAGAAAATGCACTCGTCATACCATATTGAAGGACCTTCCACCTCCCAGAGTACTCAATAGAACTCCAACTGGCACCTTGCCAAATATCATTCAACTGCCAAACCAATGCGCCCAGGTTATTCTCTCCTAACCCCGCTCCACGTCGATACCAAGCGATTTCGGAGACCATGTTCAAACTCTGGAAGATCTGGGTACTGAAGCACCATTGGGCGAATGTATGGTTGGAGGTGGAAGTGAGGGATGGAGAGGGGAGCCAGAGTTGAACTGCGGATGTCATTTGAGCTTGGCCTTGAGGGGCGTTCGGGTTGGGGAAGGCGAGGCTACCGGCTGGTGGGTGATGGTCTCGTGAGGCGACTACTGTGGAGTTGAACGAGAAATCGGAGGGTGAGGTGAGAGCTTCTTCCCAGCTATAGAACGACGGCATAGAGTGGAAGCTACAGATGGGTACATGGCTTAGCATGAGTAACACAGAAGCAGAAGTGATAGACATACCCGAATTCATTCATGAATCTCGATACAGGATAGGTACTGTAATCAAATGCTACAGATGCATCGTAGTTGTATCGTTCTGTAAAGAATATCAATTTGCGATGCGAGGAGCCATGCTTCAAAACAAACATACCTCCGTTACCAAATATCTCCCCAAACGTCCTGTTCGCATACCTGATCACGTATGGATCTAGGCTTAAAACGCCACTTGTAGTTGAACAATCTGTATACGCGACCTAAAGAAAGAGTATGAGTCAGAACGGATATCGCAACTGTAACATGAACTTACAGAGCTCTGCTCCTCGTAGACAATGTCGTGCAAAAACTCTCCGAACAATGTTTGAAACTATCGGTGGTGTCAGATTATGCGAAATCGTAGAAGGTTACGTATCCTTACCTCGTTCAAATAGTGCGTTTCATTCGGGAGACTGGTGTTAACAGCAATAACGATCCCTTCGATCTCATTCCCTCCAGCCCATTGCGCATTACTCGGATGACGTTTCACCCTCCTCACATTCTGCCGGACTTCCGGCTCAATGCTTTCGAGAAGGAAGTCGTTGATAGGGTACAGGGCGTCGGAGAAGATGAGTTCACTCCATGCGAGAATACCGAGTTCGTCGCAAGCAGAGTAGAAGTCATATCCACCCGTCAGCTCGTCTGATGGTTGGTAGATACCGCCACCCCAAATTCGAAGCTAGCAACCAGGAGGAATAGGTGAGAAATCCGATAGATAAAGGTGAGGGTGCATACGAACCATGTTTTGACCACTTAGAACTGCGCTTTCAAGGACCCAACGTACTTGATCGGATGTCATTCGAGCATAAAATGGATCGAAGGGCTGGAATCAAACGTACGAATAAGAACATGCCAAATGATAGCTAGCAAGATCTTACAATAATATTCGTTCCAGAGCTATAGAACGCCATTCCGTTGATCTCGAAATGCCATTGATCACCAGGGGTAATACCTCGATCCCGTACATCCGCTTCTGAGTAAGGTGTCTGGATGAGTTGAATAGTCCGGAATCCTGTCCGTGTAGTGAAAGCGACGCCCTCTTTTTGCCCTACCGCAGAAGCACCTGACTCGGAGGTAGACGAGGAATGCTGCTGACCCCTCGTGAAGCTAAGAGTCACAGTCGCGTTGTATAACTTCGGTGTTCCCAGATTATGAGGGAACCATCTCTGCGGCACACCCTCCGGAATCTCAAAGTGCACGTTCACGAACGTCGGAGCTTTGGTCGATCCGCCAAAGTTAGGAATCCTCAACGCAGAACTTTTGACTTTCAACTCCGGAAAGTCGATGGTGATCGATGGAGAGGTAACTGGAACAGATGAACGCAATGCCAGAGTAAGATTCACGACCCACGGGGCGGACTCATTCGGCGGCAGAGTAGGAGCTGTGTTTTGTCCGCGTTTCAGGATCTCGAGCGAGGATTCCTCGATAAAGATAGGTGATGACCCAGATGAAACAAGGAGAGGATGTGAAGCTGGAGCTGCGGAAGATCGAGGGTTCGTTTTGGTTGGGAGAGTGACGAGGAAAGCGGGTTTGAAGATTCCGCTTGGCACGAACGCAGGACCCTGGCATGTGGGTCAGAATAAACTACGGATAGCGACAAAGCGAGCATCCTACCCAGTCCCAGCCAAAGTCAGATTGTGTCTTTCGTATGAACTGGCGAATTCCGTTATATTCGAACTGACGTTAGAGGGTATTTTGAGTATACATAAAACAAGCATTTGAGTTTGAGTGAACTGACGTCACCAGTTGGACTGATTTCAGCATCCGGCCTCGAAGTAACATTTAGCCCATAGAAGTAGGCAGATTCCAGTGCAACAGTCAGATTGTTGTTTTTGCTCTTCCGGGAAACAAGGTCCGAGATATCGTAGACGTATTGTTGAAATTGATTTGAGACCCAAGCAACGGGGTCCCCGCCGACTGTCTGGGAGCCAAGCGTGAAAGTTCAGATCATCGCAGATACGGCTGGATGTAAACGTACAATGTTTGCAATGGTATCAATCCCGAAGAAGACGAGCAGCGTTTTTGTATCCCTAGAGATGTTGTGCGTTAACGGAGTAAGGTCAGCCGTGTAGGTCCAGTTATCATTGATAACCCAACGCTGTGTGAAATCTGTTACGCAAGCTCAGCAATCCAAGGACGCCCATGAATGGAAGACACTTGCCATTGACGCCGAGAAGCGGTTCTGTTAGGATTCCGGCTTTCGCAAGGTCAAGATGGACTTGAGAGGGAACTGAGCCTGGTACGACAATGCTAGCATTCTGGTTATGTAGCGACCATTGGAGACTCGAAAGACTGAGAACATCTGCTAGCACAAAAGCTGGCAAGAATAAGCCAATCAGCGAATGTAAAATGGACCGCATTGTGGTCGGGGAATGATATTGGATGAATTCGCATGAGACATCCTTATATCAGGCGGGTACGCCAGGGAGTAGTAGCGACGTTATCGAAGTATTCATAACTCATGACCGTTATGCTGAATAGCCGACGTTGAAGAGAACCATTGATTTGGAGCAGATGACCTTGGACAACGATGGAAAGAAGGCGAAGATCACGTAAGATAGGTCCGGTCGAGGGTGAGGAACAGCAGGAAGGATTCTTTTGCTTTCTTCCGACGGTACAAGCGGACCAGGAGCAGCACTGGAGGAGAAACCTTGTGTGCTAGCAAATACAATAAGGATGAAAAGCAGCGAAACAAAGATCCCGCGAGACGGGAGCTGAACACGTGAGTGATGGGAATTGGGAAGTTGCGTCAACAGCATGATGGATCTTGGAAGAATCGAGCATACCGGGTGGCAAGGGAGAAAAAGCGGCCACTTGATGCAGAATATGACCCGTAACTGCCCAACGGCATAGACCAAGGGAGCTTCTAACTACGTTTTCAAAAAAGAGACAGATGAAATCGCACCGATTCTCACCATCATCTCAGCGCCAGAAGTCAGACAGAATAATATAAATGTCAAGCCATTGGCTTCAATGTACGGTGAATATCGGTATGCAAGGCTCATACCGAGCCCCTCACACGATATCGTGATATCGTGTGAGGATCGGTATGCGACGCAAACGCTCTGCAAAGGCACGACACATGTCAAATAGAACCCATTCGTTTCCAAGGAGCACCCACCATTTGAAAGCATTCAGTCCCTTTCCGACTGGGAAAATGCAGAACTGATCAAAATAAGTATCTCTAGTGTAGAGTATCATTAGGTGGGTCGATAAAATGCAAAGCGCGATTAATGAAGACTATCAGCAATAAAAAGCATCTCGAAGCCATGGCGAAAGCATCAATTCTCTGGCAGTCGGCCTTTGGAATGGGTCAAGGCATAAACAAGAACGAATGAACGCGGCAGCAGAGTCGACATCTGCAGGGTCTAGAAGTTTGTAATTGGATAGAGCAGCCTCCAGACTGACTGGAATCAGTTGATCGATTCGCAGGAGACGTCCTAGAGATCGGGACTGCATGAGCCAGACGTTGGGAATAGTGCTGACCCAACTTGGACGTACCGTTATCATCAAAAAACTCTTCGCGCCTTTGAGCGTACTTGAGAGTTTCCGGCGTGAAGCACTCTCCAGTGAGTTCCATCATCTTTGCAAGGTGATCATCCTCGATAGTCCATTCCGGCTCTCCATCTACTGGGTTGAATAGCCAGTGACCTGTTAACAATTCGAACGTCTAGTACATGGTGTCAATACAAAAAAATTACAAAAAGCCGGAAACTCACAATACAGCCAACCGCCCATATGTCAATCTTCGGACCGAAGCTTGACCGTAATATCAGTTCGGGAGCGCGAAGCGAGGGTGCACTGAACTCATCCACTGTCGGTGTCTGGCCAGCACATTGTGCTAGTTGAGTAATCCGGTGAGAAGTTAGATCACGCCTAGTTAACTCAGGGAGAAACTCACCTTGTCCGAGATCTGTGAGAGTGACTAAGATACGCTCCGCCTCGTGTGGACTGTCCTTCCAAGTAAATCCATGTGGTAGAGGTTGCGGCCGACACAATGGGTACGTGATACCGTCCACCTCATACTCGCCTTCGACCGCCAGAGGCTCTCCAATACGCTCCTCCACTTGTTTATCGCCAATTCCGGAAAAAAGGAGGTTATCGAGCTTCACATCTGCCAGCATAAATGTCCAGAATTGAGTACACATGACTGAGCAAGATCGCCTACCAGTATGAACAATGTCAAGGCCGTGCAGGTAGTCCAATCCCTCAAGGACGAGCGATATAATGTTCTTTACGAAGTACACAGGGAGGGCTTTGGTAGGAGAGCTGCGGCGAAAAGAAGAAACATCGGAGCAGAGAGGAATCATAATGAAACAGAGATGATCTCCACGAGGACCATGAACGATGAAGTCGTCTTCAAGAATGGGTAGGTTCTCAACGTCATCGCTATGTTCAGCAATCTTCCTCAAGAATTGAAGTTCCTGCATTTCTCCCGTTCCATGCCGTTGTGTCGCATCGAGTGTCAGGATCTTTGCTGCATGATATTTCCCGAACCTGAGTATAGTCAGGTCCAGCACATCGGTTGAGAAACCCACGACGTACTCGCGCCTTTCGTCTTCGACAAGCCAAGTCTCAGAGAATACGCCTGTGCCAAGCTTACGTATCACCTGATATCGATCATTTAGACGGGTGTGGCCAGGGTTAACTGGGAGAACTTCATCAAGATGAGGAGAAACCATGGTGAAGGCTCTACTGGATGCTTGACAGGATGTGGCGGAAGTTCAACCTGAAGAAACGCATCTCGCGCGCCTATTCCGTTCAGAATCAGTCGACTCAGAGTCGACTTGACACGTTCAGGATCCCTGCATGTCCTATGAGGACTAGTCTCCGCTGCTGCCTATGTATGGAGGAATTGGATGATGGTAGTCGATCCAAATACACGCCAGTAGCCCAGCACAGCTTTGACGTTCATCGATTTCCATATTGAGGTCAAAGCTCCAGTCGAGTCATCAACTGCTCGTCAACATTTGAATGCCAAGTCGACGCCTCCGTAGTGGCTTATGAACTAATGCATTAGCCAGTATACAAAGCCATTGATATCCGGAGGGTCAACGATCTTTCTTATGATAGAGAACCTATCTTCATGAGGATCCATTGTCCTACCGATCTTTGACCCCATCGTCGTTCTGGCTGGCCAACAACTCTCGGACTCCGAGTCTGTGCCCTCAGCTGTAGCTCTCGACTGCTCATCGGAAAGCTATGCCAACGAATCAAGTCGCTGAGAATGTTCTGGGAACAATAGGTAAAGATCAATCCAGCCCTCGTCGAATCTTGTAAATGTGATCATACAGTGCTCGCATGTTGAAATTTGACTTCAGGCACCATATGTTGGACGATTCAGCTGGTACCGCAAATATGGAAGAGCTGGCGGACCAAATCAACTGAAGGTCTCTCCGCTCACTTAGTGTGAGACCTTTCTTTTCTTTTTCGCGACACACGGTTCTGCCAGGACCTAAACGCATTACTCATCTACAGTACTCTTCAGATTTCTCTGGGCACTTTCTGCGCCATTCTTTGGGGTCTACGCCATAATCCGAAACCTAAATGTTCCACTCATAGTCCAACCGCAAATCCTGTCACTACTCTGTCTAACCTCATGGGCTCAAGTGAGACTTTACACGAGTATCCTTTCATGCACATGCCTGACTGTTGGGGAACACAGTGCCAGTATTATGGACATCTCCAGAAAGTGACTACGACGATGGTGGTATATGTCATTATCCTCGCCGTTCTTGCGGGTTTTGAAATCGGGATGGTGTTTGCTGTCAGAGTAAGCGCCCCACAGTCTCCATGCATCGGCAGTGCCTGAAAATATCATAGCCTTCTTATCGTGACGGAAATAGTCGTCCTATCCAGTTCTTCGGCATATTCAGTTCAGTTCTCCTGTCTATTGCATTACTGTGCGTGATATAAACCAGCTCTCCGATTCCTCATGCTAAATCTACTCACCGGTAGGCCGCAGTACTATGAGATCTACAAGCATCGCGAGGTCATAGGAATTTCAATCCTATTCATGCTAGTCGACCTCATGGGAGGCGTGTTCAGCATTCTTTCTCTCGTTTTCAAAGCAGAGTTCGACGTCATCGCCGCTGTCACATATTCTTTGGTCGTAGTAAGCTATCTGCTTCTTTTGCTGGATCGCAACCTGATTGAGTCAACCTCCAGTTCCTGGACGGCATTGTGATTCTTCTCGCCCTCATTCTCAACCCCTTGGCTAAGCGTCGGCGAAAGAGAGAAGCGCAAGCAGATGCAGTCATGGCCGAACACTCCACTGCGCCTACTCCATTTCTTGACCAGAATGAAGCAAACCTACGCCATTCCGACAATAACCCTCAGTTGAAGATCCAGTAGGATGGGGACACCTGGCCTTACGACGCATCGCACCATGCATCTATCAAAATTAAAAGGTTATATAGGTCATACCCTCTAAGTAGCGGAAAAATACCCCTTATGATGATGATGTTCACGAACAAATCTCCACTTCACCTGCATGATACTCCCCCTAGAATTTATACGAACCTCACTACTCAGCAATACCCAATAGATGTCTTGAGCTTAACCTCGCCTTCGCCTTTGGAATGCCTATAGACAGCGAGAATCTCGGTCGGAGCAGCCGCACTTCTTTAGGCGTAACCACAACATGAGACGCTTCCTGGTATGAGGTTTCTCTGTGCAACATATCACATTGACTGATCGCATCTCTCCGCGCCTTAGGATTCGTCAAACATGCTTGACATTTCTGGAGGATCGTCTTGCCATTTGGTCTGCAGACTACACAGCTTCAAATGAATGTTTACCGTGGCTTTGGTACTCTCACGCTCGCAAGTTCTGGCAGTTTGACCATCTGCTCTGTCATGGAATCAGGCGGACTTTTGTGTCCAGCATTCCTCACTAGCACTGCCATAGCCTATCTTGACAGCGTCTCAAGATACTTTCATCGCTTAATGTCGGAAGAACATGCTTGCATGGTGCGCCTAACAGCTCTTCGTTTGATTGACTGGATGAATTGAAGGACCACAAACAATTGTTATCTAACTATGCCCCTCATTCAGTACTCAGCGTCCATGCATCAAGTCGTCATTTTCATCTGGGCGTTTAGGCGTTCTCAGGGAACATAAATATATACCAGTTTCGGCTACGAGCACAGATACAGAATTGCGTTCTACGCTTTCTTCATACTTCCCTTGCAACAATGTCTTTGCCACAGCTATCCATTCACCTTTCAGAGGACACCCCCTCTGCCGTGCTAAGTCCAATCGGGTCCAGCCCTATGGATCGTGTACATGGCAGTACGGCTACTATCGGTAGAAATCCATCACTGCAAAGGTCCAGTACGTAATTGAAAAGACTATTCATTTGGTTCTAGTCTAAAGCCTGCAACGCAGAGAGTGTCAAGAACGGAAAGTCAAACAAGAACGCAGTGGTCGCCAAGAAAGCGCGGGATTTGAAAGGGTCGTTGTCCACTTTCATGGACAACATTGATCCCATAATAAAGGTCTTGGAGGGAATCGCCCAGGTCCATCCCGCAGTCGCTGGTCTGTATCGTCTTAGCCTCTGCAAAGGGCCGCCCTCACGATGATTCGTTACTAGGCACGGTGGCTGTTTTTAGCACGTTGTTTAAAATGGAGGTGACCCGACGAGAGAACGACGAAAGGCTCCTAGCCCTGTACGTTCAAATCAAGGAGATGATGTCATGTTTGATACGGTGCGGTGTTTTCTTAAGCACGCTCTACAGCAGAACTAAAGTCATGAGGGTTCAGGTTGAAGACAGTTGAGCTTGGACGCGAGATGGACGACCTTCAGGCCATTATGAAAGAGGCGGAGACTGACATAACAAACTGCGGCAATATTTGCGAGGCCTACAAGAAGAAGAAATGGGCTGTCAAGGCTTTGACGAGTATGGGATGGGAGAAGAAACTCACTGAGCTTGGCAGAAAATTCATCAGGAGACGCAGTGAGATCGAACAAGTCCTCACGGACTACATTGCGATATGCGTGGGCTCAGTTCAGACCGACGTCCGTGAAATTTCTGCGGATGTCAAGTTCGTAAGGGAACAGTGAGCAACATATATCCCGTCTGCAAGGAGATTACTCATCGTCATGTTCAGCATCACAATCTTCATGGAAGTCTTCCGATCGAGTGACCCCAAGCCGTTGGCGGAGATGAAGGAATTAGCCAAGAAAAAGAAAATCGGCAAAACATCTCTCGAGAAGTTGGACCAAGCCACTTTGAAAGAATTCGTTGCGGCCGAAAAGGAGTTGCAACATGGCGAGAAGAACAAACATGCTTTCACCATCAGCGACTTGAAGGATGAGCTTTCGCTTAGCGTGGAAAAGGCGATAGACAAGAACTGGCAGACATTCCACGGCAAGTTCGAGTTTATTCAAGAGCAGATGTTGGATGCCATCAGGAAGGGAAATCGTGAAGTCATCAATGCTATCAAAGAAGGACCTCATGACAAGGTGAAGAACGAGGTAAGTGACTAGTCTTGAATAGCGTGTATCTCGTACATTAGTCTTACGCTTCGTTCTTCAGGAATTCAAGGCGCTCTGGAAGGAAATGGTGTGTTTCAAGTATAACCGTGTATCTTCGTATCTAATATTTGTACAGAACTGGCGGCGTAATGTTAAAGCCAGACTCTTCGTGACGACTCTACGTGACCACTTTCGAGAGAAGGCTCGCGAATCATTCGCAGACACCAACCGAGCCGATGATTGGACACTGCAGTATATCGGAATTCACTGGTTGCATCCAATTATGGAAGCCTTTGACGACGATTACTCAGGGTATGTTACTGTCGTCGAGCTGAATGAATTCACAGATTCTTTGCCTAACGTCCTGGGCTGGAGGTGAGCAAAGATCATCAATAACTCATGTCTTATCAACTCACATGTGTCTTGGATAGTATGCAGCAATGGGTTGCATACTGGGCAGTTGGTACGGTATTTCCATTCAGTCGACAATCAAAAAAGTACTCAATAAAGTTCACAGGATGGCAACTTACTGCTCTACACTATCGGGATCGCATCCATCGCGTCCTTACGGTCATGCATGCTCTCCGACCTCGGATATGTTCCGAAAATCGGACTCAGATTGATCTTTACTTGGGTGTGGTCTGGACCGAAGTCGTCGAGATCACCATGGCGCTTTCCGGCGAGAAGTCAGAATTACCTGCGGGTTTATTCTCCAAATTCCAAGCGTATATTAACCATGAAGAGAATCGCATTCGAAAAAACCTGGAGCGTATCAATTACAACCTTGACACTGTCGACGATGTTCGCGCTGTTGCAGGACAAGGTCGAATTGAGAAGGCGAGCTCCGTGATTCCTTGTCTTCGTACACCATCTGAGTTCGATTTTTTTTTCACAGTACATCCTTCCACTTATCTTTTTGCTGCTTGAGCGACATTTGAAACTATTCCGAGTGGCTCAGAACCGTGTTCTCCAAAATGACGCACTTGAACCATGTGTCGAAGGCCTATTTACGATACTGGAAGCTGCACAAGACCGCGTCGACGACTTGAGGGGTCAGTTTGGTTTCGGATCATTGTACCTCCAAGTTGAAGCTGATCATTTATAAGAACTTTTTCAGCATCAAAGGCTCCATGTGGGCCGTCAATTTGACGTAGTTGCTTGCGGACTGGTGTGTTGACCGTCACGTTTATATGCATTTACTGATACTCTCCACTTTTCCCACAGTTCTCGTACCTTCATGATTCATCAGGGTTGTGGTCGAAGCCTGACTTCGGCGCTCCAAACTTCCGCGCAAGCGAAATCGACGAGAAAGAGCTCGAAGACCTGCAATCCGATCCGAATCTTGAGACTGAATTGAAACACGTTCTGCGTGACAACGAGCTAATTGAACACTGGCTATCTGACTCAGAACTAGAGGAGCAGCGTTCAAGACTAGAGGCGATAATTCCACCGGGGACACCGGGTGCCAATGACATCATCGAACACCTGCTGGCTACCATCCCAATGCATTTGTGAGACCTACTATTCGCTCTTGCGATTCATGATTCTGACTCTACGTGCAGCGAATTCGTGTGTGACGGGTGCGGTACTTCTCCTATATACGGTGCTCGAATCTTCTGTTTGGAATGTCGAACAGATACTTCGGCAGTATGGTGGCATAAAGTCGATTTCTGCGACAATCCGGCATGTTGGACTTCACCTCCTACATGTCACCGTCCGACACATGATATTGTCAAAACCCGCATTCATATCCAACGATTCGATTTACCTGATCTCTACAACAACATTAGGAAAGTGTTGGGTAAATTCAGATCTGGACCGGATGCTGCTGACCAAATGACAAACGGAGTCATGGAAGGCAGCGGCGATGATGACGACGAGGGGGAGGGGGAGGGAGAGGAGGAGGACATGCCCATGAGGTCACTACGGCGCCGGTGCATCATATGCAGGCATGACATCAGAGGTGAATGTTGGCTTTGCGTCGAATGCGAAGGTAGGCAAGACTATGCATTATGCGCTCACACCACTGACATATTACGAAGATTGTATCTGTGATTTCTGTGAGGCTCAACTTCTTTTACCTTGCGTGTCGTGCAAGTCGCTTTTCGTGCAGCCCGATTGGTACTATGGCGCAAGTACTGGTGCGTAACTTTGTAAATCGGAAGCTCATAAGTTGAGTGAAATTTATGTTTCTATGTAGACGACACCTATATGTGCTTCAACTGCTCTAATCGGAGCGGAGATGTAAGCTATCCGTCGGAAGAAATATCTGAGGAATCGCATGAAGTGGCAAGGGGCGGTTGGTCCAGTGATGCAGGAAGCTCAGATGATGAAGACGCCGAATCGTACAACCACAATGCAGGTTTTGCCGACGATCATGCATATCGACAGGATTATGGACCGGAACCGGACGGGCAGTACTATGAACAAAGCCCAAATTATGCCGATGAAACGTGGGACTGGGACGAGTCCTATGAGTATGGTTATGACGAATATTCAGACGAGGAGTCAACTTCTACGGAAGAGGACGGTGGTCACCCTCTACGCCGACATACCCATGCGCATCCTCTCGTTCGACTAAAAGACCATATCGAAGCCCCTCTTCAGACCACGGGGCCGTCTATCGATGACAGGTTGACTTCCGTGGAAGTTAAGGGCCATCAAATGGACGACAAGCTCACCCAGCTACAGCAAATCATGATACATGGGTTTAACCGAATTGGTGCACTTCTGGGGGCTAATATGGAAAGCTCTGAGCACGGTGATGAAAACGAAGAGTGGCAGTCGCAGGGAAGGGTCTCAGCTTCGATGGTTATTTCAGCGTTGTCGTGATCGATACGCGGTTGCCTGTGTTCCGAACGTAGGGTCGACCAAGTCAATCGTGTACGCCAGGGCTAGCAGCGTTCTCTGATGTTTGGCGAATCATCCCTCTTGTACAACAGTGTAAACATAGAAACCATATGATATTTGAGAATCATTTTGCCTGCAACCCGTTGTTCCCAGAATTGATATACTACTATGCTATCACATTTCCCGCATTCTCGCCCTCAATATTCGGTGTTTACGCATCCATCCCATATCGCGGACTGATTGCGTCGAACGCAGCTTGGGACAAACCTACTCAACCCCTTGATGGAGACAACCCATAGGCGACCACCCAATTTCTACTGAGGCTGATGTGCAAGGTGACTCTTTCCAGTGCAGTTGTGGAGGTGAGGGTGTTTATAATCTACATGCCGTATTCTCAGTTCAACAATGAACTAGGAGTGCCACGAGCCCTGACGTGACAATGGATGCAGAGGACTGTGTGGCAAGATTAGGTGGAAAGTTCGTTCATCTCGACCCAGCAAAATCTCAATTTGGGTGCACTACGTCTTTGACTTCGACGTATTGCTTTGAAGTGTACATTGTAGGTTATAAAAGCGGCGGCCAGGTACCATTGGCCGCCGATCCTTTCCAGTCAAACGAATGGAAGTAGCATTCCTGCTGCTGATATCGAAATGAACACGGGTTACTACTGGGATCATCTAGAATAGGCACCAGAACCTTGTAATCCCACCCCAAAATGCGTGGCCCATGCGTACCATGTATTGCAACATAACTATCCCCAGCTATCTCGTTGGCATGACTTTCGTACAACGCACTCCTAAGCATTAGTCACGCGGAATTGCACCTCAATTCCGATTCTCTTCATCTGCAATTCACCTTTGATAAAGTCAATACATTTATTCATCGCCTTCCCCGTCTTCTCCCCGTCAACTCGTATGCCGCGCATTAATTGCACCTCGACTTTGAGCTCAACCACAGATCGTGATAACTGCATCACCGAGGCCTGTAGCATATCCCATGGCAAATCCTCGACTGCAGAGCAGATATCACTGATTGTGGAAGATCGCCTATTTCGCATGTTGTGACAAATGAGTCGCACGTTTACCTTTCGAAGGGCAGGCGGGGATGAAAGCGAGGCTATAATTCTAGTGCTATAACCCCAGTTGACCAACGATTTCGGGCTGTCGCCGTTCGTGACCAAACCCGATGATACTGTGACCATGCGGATATATGCCTGTGAAAGGTTCAATTTGGCCCAGTCGTCTGGACCTGGTCAGAAGTCAGCTTTCCGGCATAACTGAGAGAAACTCTATGCCTACCTGGCTCGACGTATAATGCAGAAAATTGATCAATATTGATCGTGATACTTTCCAGACCTGCACAGTCCTTCACAAACTGTCCCGCATCGACTATCTGACTAGGGCTCACAAGTGACAACGTGATGGATTGCAGGGACTGCGTGTCTAGCACATGCCGAACCGTTGCAAACACATCGGCAATATCCTCCCAGACAGGGGATAATATGCACTCTGTCACCGTCATGAGTTTATGAGCTTGCGCTTTCGACGAAAGCCCGAGGTACACAGGACCATCTGGCATTTCGACATCTAGGGACGGCGACACAATATGAAGGGTGCCGATGTGGGAAAAGTAATGTAAGAAGGTCAGAGAGGGCGACATTTCAGAGTGGTCCAACGGCTTCAAAGCGACCTGATCAAGGTGCAGCTTCTTCAACGAAATGAAAGGTTCCGAAGCACCGTCCAGCGTGTATGCCTGGAATCGGATTCGAAAGATCCTCATCTCCCGTAGTCTCGGTAGCCTCTTGAGTACACCAACGAGAGAATGTACCTCGACAACTGTCCGTTTGACACGGAAAAAATCTCCCACGGCAGTAATGGTCAAGCTACGAATGAACCCCCCGATGGCGAACGTTGATATATCCAAGCACGCCAGGAATGCATTCAATGCGTCGGTATGAGCATTCGCAAACGATGGAGGCGGAGAATTCACTTTGATGCAGACTGATGATAGCAGATGATATCGCGACGGATCTAGCCAGTCTCTGCACACTAGAGAACAATTGGAGAGAGCATCGCGGTCAGCATGCAGGAAGTCGATGATACAGTCGATTAATTCCTGGTACAGCATGTTCAACGAGGTAAAGACGCGAGAATACAATATAAACGGTCTGGCAGCTACAAAGCAAGCTGATTGATAGAACTCAAATCAATTTAGAAATGAGCAGTGTAAAACCATTCGAAACTTGGAGTTAATCCGAAGTTCATCTGGCGTATATATACAACTATTATCTAAATACATGCAGTATCAATGTGTTCATATATACTTATGGTATTGGTCAGGTTCGAGCATGGATCAATGAGTGTGTTTGGGTAGGTTTTAATAAGTGGTTACAAATGAATAATGTGAGAGAAAGGTGTGTCCGTAGATCTGAAATGAATGTGATCATAACATTACCCCCTCCTCTAGAATCGTGTCCTCATGATTAATTATGATAGAGTATGAAATTGTTCAATCATACTATGATGATCCATTCTTCCGAGTTTTCTCGCTCCTGTTCTCTATATCATACAACCCAGAGTATCACTCCAACAGTGCATAGGATTATGCCACCAAAGACGCTAAGGATGATGATTCTGTCTTTGTCCATTTCTACCAAAGAGCTTTCATTGGTTGAGTGAATGATTGTTCTAAAATAGGGGAGTCCATACTTGGGATTGATATTGGTTCAACGAGTTGGTAGAAGGAAAGAATGGGATATTGCCATTCGAGTTTGACTTTCGTAGGTGCAGATGTGATTGCCACGTGTGTCAGTTTGAGCATCTGCTCATTGATGATCCATAACTTGCCGGCATTGGAGTAATGCTGATTAGATATGATTTGTGCTTTTCTTCAATTTTCGAATAATTTAATTGAATCTGGGTTCACAGATATCATTGCTTTTTCTTTTTTACGACGTTCTGCCCATCTCTGTACTTTTTGATCTCAATAATCCCATTCTTCTTGTGACGCTTCTCTAGGAAATGATTGTTCCATAATTTGTGCCTTCAGTAATATTCTTGTAGGTGCTTTTGGCGCATCGGGATGATCTTTATGGAATTTGTCGATTATCTTTTTATCTATGTTTTTGATGATTTTATGATGTGGTTCCCATGTATTTTCAAAATGTGGTTTTCCAGCCCACTTGATTAGATATTGAAGACTTCCACGTGCCATCTTGGAGTCTAATACAGATTCAACTTTGTCTTCTAAGATATCAATAATTATTGGAATGTTTTTGTGTGTTTTCTGATTTGGGAATTCCGGTGTGTGATACGGCAATAATAAAGTTTCATTGAATACGGGATGTAAGCCTTTCCATGATTTTGGTAATTTGAGCTTATATGCGCTAGCTCCAATTTTCTTGATAATCAGGAATGGTCCATATCTTTTATCATCTAATTTTTGATTTGATCTGTCTGTGCGTATATGCTTAGCTTCAAGCCACACTAAATCTCCATCTTTATAATTTACGGCTTCACCTTTATGTTTATCGTATTGTCTTTTCATAACATCCTGTGCTAGTGTCAACGATGCTGATGCCTCTTCTTGGATTTTCTTCATTCGTGCTACAAACTGCTCAGCAGTTTTATTATGAATTTCTTTTTTGGTTTCTACGCCAGTGTAGGCTTCTTATCCATAATTCATATAAAATGGTGAAAATCCAGTCGCAGAGTGGACTCTATTTCGATATGCAAATGTTGCCAATGGCAACCATTCTGGGCAATCAGTCTGTCGATGATTGATGAAGATTCGTAAATAATTTTTAATTTCCTGATTGATTCGTTCTGTTTGTTCGTCTGTCTGTGAATGATATGCCGTACTAGGATTTCTCTGAATTCCTAGTTTTTTATATAAGTCTTTTATGAAACTGGAAATGAATTGTGGTCCACGGTCTGATGTCATCTTTTTTGGTAATCCGTGCAACGGATCTACATTTTTGATATAGAGATTAGCCCATCCTTCTGATGTCAATTGCTCTGTGGTTGGTATTTCAATGTAGTCTTTTGATTTCATGTCTACAATTACTATGATCGCATCATGTCCTTGCGACTCTGGTAAATGTGTAATCATATCTACTGATTGATATTCCCAATTGTGTTCCGGAATTGCACTTGGGTGCAATGGAGCATTCTTCGGTTGATGGTTAATCTTGGTTTTTTGACAAGTTTCACAGCCTTTTATGTATGTTTTTATATCTTTTTTGATCGAAGGCTACCAGCATGATCGATAGATTAGTTCTTGTGTTTTTGCTTGTCCAGGGTGACCGGCACTAATCGAGTCATGATGTAAATGAATGATTTCTCCTCTAAGTTCCTTATCGAAAGGAATAACAATCTTCCCCCTTCTCCAGATAAGACCGTCCTCGGTCTCATTAAAATCAGCATCTTTTGTCAATAGTTTTAATTGTACATTATTTTCATATTTATCAATATTTTTTATAATTTTCTCTCGTAAGGCTGATGATCTGAGGATTTCGTTGGCTCAGAACCATTCTGATTTCAACAACGTAATATTTTCATTATAACTATCGCCGATATTGTGATGGGTCTGTCGCGATAAAGGGTATCCCTTTGTCATTGTGTTTCTGGGTTTGTGAGTCAAATTGAAATCATATTGTTGTAATTCTTGGATCCATCGCGCCTGGCAATGATTCAACTTCTGGAGTTTTTTGAAATAGCCAAGGTTCTTGTGATCAGAATGAATTTCAAATTTCTGTGCAGCTCCCATCAAGAAGTGATGCCATTCTTCTAATGAGATCATGATGGCTAGCATCTCTCGATTATAGATTTCATAGTTTCTTTCAGCTGGTGAAAGACTTTTCGATAAGAAGGTGATGGTGCGCCATTGTCCATCTTGCTTCTATGCAAGTTCAGCCCCAATAGCATATTTTGATGCATCGCATTCAACTTTGAACTGATCTTCATTGTTCGGAATACCTAATACCAGTGCCGTGGTAATGGTTTTCTTTAGAAGTTCAACAGCTTCTTGTTGTTCTGGACTCCAGGTCCATTCTACTTGTCCGGTTAATTTATTCAAGAGAGTGGCGATTTTGGAAAAGTCTTTGATAAATCATCGGTAGAAATTGGCAAATCCAAGGAATGACTGTAATTCCTTTTTGGCTTTTAGTACTGGCCATTGCATAACTCCATTAACTTTGGCAGGATCCATCTTTACAGTTCCTTACGAAATAATATGTCCGAGATGTTCTGTTTCTTGAGTTTCAAACTCGCATTTTTCTGGTTTACAGGTTAATTTATTTTCTTGCAATATTTTAAGGACTTCTTTTACAATACATCGGTGTTCCTCCAGGGATTCGGAAAATATGAGTATATCATCAAGATATATGATAACTTTTTCTTTGAGAATGAGGTTTCAGAAAATGTCATTTATCATCATTTGGAATGTAGCAGGACTATTTGTCAATTCGAAGAATATAATGATTGGTTCATATAGTCCTCTATTTGTGATGAATGCAGCTTTTTCTTCATCTCCTTCTTTCATGCGAATATTATTGTATCCCCAGCGAATATCCAGTTTTGTGAAATATTTAGCACCTTTGAGCTTATCAATAAGCTCTGAGATTAATGGTAAAGGATATTTGTTTTTCTTGGTCATATCGTTGAGTTTTCGGTAATCCTGTACTGGTTGCAATTTGCCATCTTTCTTTTTGACAAAGAAGAAGGGTGCTCCCCAGGGAGACTTTGATGGTCAGATTCTTCCTGTCTTTAGGTTTTCTTCAAGAAAACCGTCTAGGATTTTTTGTTCTTCAACAGTCATGGAATACACTTTGCCTGCATATGGTGATGAATCTGATAATAGTTCTATTGCATGGTCCTATGGTTTCCTTTCTGGAAGGATGTCGAAAGTATCCTCAGTGAATATGTCTGTGAATTCATGATATTGTTTGGGAACCATTTCTTCAAAGGTCTTTTTCTTCTTTTGTTTACTTTGTTCAATTGCTATGTCCATGGCTGTTACGCACATTCGCTGAATATATTCTCCTCTTTCTTTATATCAAGCATTGATATTGAGTAAATATACAGTATCTCCTTCTTCGATCTCTTGTTGTCTTATAGTGACGCACGTGTGTGGGCATCGGTTAAAGTCAACAAGTTGCAATTTGAAGTCTATTGATGGATTATGGTATTCAATTCATTCATATCTGAGGAATATGTCTGACTTCCCCAGATCGGTAACTAGAAGCATGATGTTCTCTTGGTGATTGCCAATTCGAAGTGTGAGTCGGACATATTCTGTGATCGGTCCCTGAGAATTCTCGCTGTTATCGGTGTTATAGACTTGGATCAGTTGATCAAATTTAGAGGTTTCAATTCTGTGCCTTTTGATGAAATTATAATTTATGCATGATCTGGTACTACCGGTGTCAACTAATGCTACTATGTCATGGATTCTTTCTGTTTCTGGTATGACCACAGTGACTGGTAGGTCCATTTGTTTCCCTCTTCCAAGTCCTTTGACGACTTGGAGTAATGGTGGTCCGATGTCTATGATGCTTTTATCTGACGCACTCAGTTTATTTTCAAATTTTTTTGTATTTTGTTTAGAGGAATCAAGCACAGGTTCCACTCTGCCGCGCTTCTTGGTAGAAGATGCCTCTGCGTTAGATGAAATATTTATAAAAGGGAACTGTCCGATCAATATACTACAGGCATGTATCGAAGATGGTTTTATAGAACCCTCCAGGGGTTTATCCAAGTCATTGTTCATATCTGGCAAGTCACTTTGTGCATTTAAGCCTTGCCTGAGCCAAAATTCAGCTTCTTTGCCTTCTCCGGGTTCTTCTCCATCTATCGCTGAACCATGGCGATCATCTTGTCATTGTCATCATTATCTGAGTTGGGGATCTCCTCGATCTTTGACTCTGTCTTCGTTTCATTCTTTCAAACATGTTGAGTGTTCATGGAAGGTCCCGATCGATTGAGAACATGCCATGCACTTCCGCAAGTGCCCTTCTCTGATTGCTTGGCCTTACACTTAAGGCAATTCCTGTCCAAGTCCATGGGCTGTCCACGCCCTGTAAACATTGTCCCAGTTCCATCTTTCTTTTCTCCGTAGTTCTTCTTCGGACTCTGATTCTGAGTTTGACCCAATCCTTGGGTCTGCTGCTGATAGGCAGGGTACTTCTGCCCATAGTTCTAGTTCAATCGGTATGGTCGATATCCAATCTTCTTCAGACACTTCTCTTCTTCCCGCTGCCTTCGTGAGGAATCAATATCAATGATTGCTTCCTTCCACTGTGCATAAGTGGCTGGTCGCTATAGTAGTAAAGAAAGAACTGCTGCTACTTATCAATTTTTACAGATTTTACCTTCACAGATAATGGACTCATGCATCGATGGGAGAGTTAAGGTAGACCATAGATAAATTTTTCTTTTCTCTAATATTTTCCATATCTGACAATCGAGTTCTCTAACTGTTTTATCTTCACTTTATCCGTATTCACTGCTACATTCTCCTCTTACCTTCACGTTTTGAGCTTGCACGGAAGTCTTAGAGATTTCATCTATGATGGAAGGTCGTTCATCCCTTCGTGACACTTGGGCAATGTCTGCATACGTAAATAAAGGGTGGGCTTCTCAGAAGTCTAGATATCTCTCGGGCAACCAATCAGGATCACAGCATTTAGGTTTTCCTCCACAAGACAAAACAGCCCTTTCATCTTTCCTTTTTCATATAAAGACAATAGCTCTATTAGGCAACTCTCCTGATTGTAATGTTTCCTGCTATGTCATTATCTTCCTTTTCACTTGACACCATTTCCTCTCTATTTTCTGGTACTCCCAGCCAATAGCACAGCTCGAGGGAAGGCCTCAATATGTATAAGTACAGCAGACTTTCAGAAAAACATCATCCTTTCCCCCTTCTTCAGTCACCATCTTAAGCCAGTGTCATCTTATTTATTTATAACCCTCTTCGTATCTTCATGTCTTTGTTGATAAGTAACTGTCATTATTCATCAATACTCATGTCATATCGAGTCTAGAAAGTTAAGTGGTCACTTTATCGGAGCAGTATTCTTTTATATAGTTGTTTCATCATGCCGTCGTATCGTTTTGACTTTCAGCCCCACTCCACTTATTTCTTCCCTCCTTAGGTCTATCGACCACTTCGGTTGGTCAGAATCTCCCATTTGTTTACTATCAGCCTGATCCGCCCTTCAACATTGCATATCTCTGTCAAGAGCCCTGTCTATGATGGACTCATTGCAGTTGAGTCGGACAAGGTTGATAGTGTATTTATCTTCCTTTTCTCTGCCTGCCTGCGTGATGTACATTTCCAATTTCTGGAAATACTCCTGCACCGTTCCATTGCCTTGGGTCAAGTTATCCATTTGGATAACTGCTTGTTCGACTCAGTTTACATCGAGGAATGCTTCATGGAGGTCGAGTATTAGCTGATGAAAATCTATTTTCCAGCTGTTTGTGTCGATATCAAACTTGTTGTTGAAGTAATTGTTGACCCAATCATCAACCTTTGGACCCTTCATATATGAAAGAGTCATGTCGACTTTCTGTTCATCGGTAAGACCGATGTTCTTGGGTGTTCAGAACCATAGTATCAATTGCCTTTTGAAAGAAAGGAATTTGTCCTTTGATCTATCAAAATCTGAAGGTTTCGCTCCAGATGCCTTTGTGTTTGGCTGTGGCGGTACTGGTGGTGGTTGTCGGGGTGGGTTTGAGTTTTGTTGAAGATCACCAGTGTCAGTTTGTGTAGAACCCATTGGTGATAATGGTGATGGTGGTGTGGAGTGTGTGAAAGATGAGTGTGATGGCGGTAGGAGAGGAGACGGAGATCGAGGTGTGTAGTATTGATAGAGTGGTGCAGTGAATTCAAATGAAGATGTGGTGTGTGAACAATAGTGTCTTGTACCGGGTGCATGACCCTGTTCTGGTACTTAGACAAATATAGATCTGGGGTAAGGGAACTCCTTCAAAGTGCTCCAGCCAATAGCCGATCCGGACACACGAGGTGGGTAGATATAGTAACTACGCAAAATGGTTTGGCCTTAGAAGGTGCAAAAAGAGAAATTGATCTTTGCGGTAGTTGTCTTTCGACATGCAAGAGAATCAAGGAATACCAGCGAGGTTTGAAACCTCCTGCTGTACACTCAGTCATTTAGGTCTGAGCAGGGTAAATTCTGGTAGATTTTTTCAACGGCCCCTCTGTCAAGAAGATTGCAGCACCGCCTACTTCCTGGTTGCTTCAAGAGCGGACTACCAGGTGAGAGTAATGGTTTATGTACAAAGGGAATACAAGGGTCGCAATCTACAGTTGTAGTCACGTGATTACCCAGGTGGAGGAATGGAGTGTGATAGAAAAGTAGCTAGGAATGTGGAATTCGGATCCCTCCAAATGAGGTCTTGAGCGAGTAAGAGTAAAGCAGAGTAGAGTGAGGAATGAGGTGGTTGCCATCGAGTACAACGGACTTTGAGTAAGGTGAAGAGTGGGTGGAGGATGAGGCAATGCCTGTCGAGAGAGCGCGAAGGGGCAAGTTTCAAATTATGATAGAACTCAAATCAATTTAGAAATGAGCAGTGTAAAACCATTCGAAACTTGAAGTTAATCCGAAGTTCATCTGGCGTATATATACAACTATTATCTAAATACATGCAGTATCAATGTGTTCATATATACTTATGGTATCGGTCAGCTTCGAGCATGGATCAACGAGTGTGTTTGGGTAGGTTTTAATAAGTGGTTACAAATGAATAATGTGAGAGAAAGGTGTGTCCGTAGATCCGAAATGAATATGATCGTAACACTGATGGTGGCTGGTGAGGCCTTGAGGTGCAATCAGAGACAAACAATCGTGACTCTCTCAAAGAATGCGATATGCGTTTGAATTGAGTACATCTTTCTCAGTTGCAAACTATACTTCGAGTCAGTATGACAATTTTCCCATTGTAGTGATCATCTGTTTCACTTTCAGCCAGGAATCGAACATGATTTTGCCGTGAAGTAACGTAATGGATGTGAAGCTCAGATTTGACGTCTACATGCCACTTGACGCAATATTGGGCTGAAAGCGGTGTGCAAATCTGTGCACACCAGGTGAGAAAAGGTGAAAGCTACAGTATTACCGTGAATTGAGAAATTTCATCTCCGTGGGCCCATTTCGTTTGACTCTACCTCCCGCCTCTCTCAAATTACAACAAGGGTATGGCTTGTAAGAACATAAAGTGCAGGTCCAGTTTCACAGACTGCATTTTCATCTCCTTTTCAATTGTCAAGTTTATGCCAGCCATCGATTGTATATCCTGATCTCCTGAGGGACGCAAACTCGACTTGACCACGATGTTGATGGTCATGATCTTCACATTGCTCGGCATATGATTAATGCAAGACTGCAGATCATGCCACTGCAATGATTCGAGAGCTGATACGACATCTTTGAATGCGGAGAAATCGCTCTCGCGACAGACTATCTGCATAATGATAGATTCGAGAGAGGTCGAAGAGGAAAGGGAGGCGAGGAGATCGATAGCATTTTTCCATTGTGACAATGAATAAGGGCTCGCTATCCAAAGCGGGAAGCGTAACTCGAATGTCTGCAGTGCAGGAAGGGATACCAAACACAGCGAAGACCATTGAGGATGCACTAATTAAGTGTTAGTATACCAATATGTACCGGGAGACCGGATACATACGCGTTTCAAACTTCATGGACAACTCAGTTATGTCAGCGGTGACCGCTTGAACTCCATGGGCGCAGCTAACCAGCGTGCCGATCCAATTAAGCTGCTCAGGTTTAGAAAGCAACAGATCCAGCGATCGCAAAGACTGCATGGATAACACATGCAAGAGCACGCCATACACAGCGTAGGCATCAGAATGTACGTGGCCAATCACCATGTTTTTCACAGAGCGGGTCTGAGCAGTGTGGTTTGGAGTGTAGTCATTCCATGTAGCGGTCGGATCACGAATGTTAAGGGTATGGATATGAGAGAATCCTTGAAGTAGCGTAGAAAGTGTGGAGCAGCCATTTCCTCCAGGATTATTAGAGTAGATGCCAGCAAGGAACAGCTTCTTCAGCGAAAAGCAACTTGATTGAGAAGCCTTGCCGTAGACGTGGAGGTCAAGCCAGTACAGGGATAACTCCTTTAGATGAGGAAGGAACTCCAGAAGAGCCAAAATTGCTCTTACTTCGACAGAATGAGGCTTAGAACGACCAGTATTTCTTCCGTAAATGCAAAGATTGAGGATAAACCTTCCTACCGAATGCATCGATTCCTTAACACAGGTCGTAAATGCGTCGAGTGGTTCACATAAAACGTCTCCAGATGGGGGAGGTCGGTTGATAGGAACGGTAACCTCGGCAAAAAGGTGATGCCGTGAAGCATCTAACCATGCACTGCATACGAGAGAGCTATTCGTCAGACTAGGAGGATCATCGTGAAGGAAATCAATGACATAATCAATGAGTTCCTGAGATAACATATGTACAGCTGAGCCGCATCACTGATGTCAGCCTGCTGGAGCGACATTACTGGAACGAAGGACACTCAAACAGTACCTTTAAGCAAAATGGCAATCACTGTGTCTGAAAGTATGCAAGAGCTACGTCCACATAAAAGTTAGATACCTTGGATACTTTGTCAATACATGCGTAAGGTACAGTATACCACTTACATGGACGTTCAAGTTACAGGACAAAGATCAAGATCATCTCAGCGCTCTCAGCGACTTTGATTTTGTTTATGGAGAGGCGCGCGCAAGTTTGGACGCGGCCAGACATGGCCAGCTGCTGTTCGACATTAAATAATTGATCAATATTCATCTGTATTTGTGAAGCAGTCTCATAGAGGTATGCCCGGTGCATACTAGCGAGTCCAATATCTACCACCTTCTATCATCCTTCAATCCGTCCAACACTGCACTCCCTGCGATCAAGTGCGTATTTTCATTTTCTCATGTTACACTCAAAATGTAGTCATTACGTGTTTACCCCCGCACTACATGCAGGTACCGTCCATTGTGACTATCCCTGGTACTTTAAACAGTCTATCCCGCACCTATCCATAGCCAAGCCCCGACGAAATGGCGAACTTACGACCACGCATGACGAGTAGCGGGAGAATAAACTTCGGCGTGTCTCAAACTGAATTGGCATTAGCCATGAGTGCAGTCATGGATAACAACGAGCCCGAAGTTCCCGGACCATTTCTACGTTCTGCAGCACTGGGTGAGTGTCTGATTCGATCATTAATCTACCTCGCTTAATCGTCAAAGAGATCGGTGACACCTCCTTCCTCGAGGAGATTGCTCCCCTACGTAGAGAAGGGGATCAGTTGTTCAGCAGAAAGGTGTATCAGGCTGCGTTGGGAAAGTTTAAAAAGACGGCCAGGGTGATCGTTGGAGACGGGTTTGAAATCCCGTTGTATTGTGGTGAGGGAGGAGGGTTCAGGTCGAAGAAGTACATGGAGATGAAACAGGCAAAGAGGCTGGCATTAATGGAGTGCTGCGTTCAGATTGCTCGATGCCTCCGAGAGCTGGAAGATTATGAACAGGTCTTTTGCCAATCGTTGTTCAAGCACGCATGAACTAACAGCTTTGTAGTCGTTGATCTGGGTAGAAGAAGTTGAAGTCATAGTGCGGAATCTGTGTTTCTCCAACACAGAAGCCATGTTTGGTGCGTTCTTGCACGTCATCAAGGCCTCATACTAATATGAATATAGATTGGCACGCCGATCTTCCTCGTATCGAGTGGAATCCTAACGATGGAATCGAGCAGTTCTACGTACAACGTGTCAGGGCTTTATGTCTGGCGTCGGACAACTACCTCAGTCTCTGGAATACGGGCACAGCTGCGCAACGAAGACATCTAGCATACAAAATCACTCAACATCTCCCACCTAATGTCAACTCCATCACTTTTCGAGGCATTGTTTCTTCTGCTGCCATGTTTTTGTTCTACCAGTTCCGGCATCCTGATCCGCAGATGACGAAAGACCTCATGGCTAATGAGGAGAGTCTTCAAGTTATGGGTTCATGGAGCAAAATAGAGGTCCAACGCGATCGGAACATCCCTCCTCGCTTTGGCTTTGCGAGCTTCATCTGGAAGGGTCCGTGGTATTCATCGCGAATCGTAAGAACACGAGAGCTAACTACGTTTTCAGGTCGTTACTACATCGTAGGCGGTGAAAAATCGCATAGTGGTCCTTACTACAAAGATATGCACTATATCGAGCTGTCGAACGTCAGCACAGGCTGGCACGACCTTCCGTCTTATCCAGGAGACATGATTCGAGTCTCTGGATGGAAGATAGGTGTATACCAAGACAAGGCCTATTTCTTCAACGGACGTCCTCAACTTGACTATTTTGACCTGGTCACCGAACGTTGGGGCTCTGTGCGTACTCGTCCCGCCGATAGGCAATGGCCATATCCAGAAAAGGACTTTATGGACTACGCTGGAGTCCTTGTGAAGAGCAAATTTTACGTCTTCGGCGGGACTCATGGCAATGTCACCACCGGCTGTAATCTCTTCATGGTTCTTGACCTATCCGATCCCAGGCTCGAGTGGAAAAAGCTCACTGGACACGCTAGTCAACCATTGGTGCCCGATTGGAATTGTCCTGGACCACGTAGACATCCAACTATCTGGGCTGATGAGCGAGTGCCGGGCTCGGAGAGGATTTATCTAATGTTTGGAGAGGCAGATAGAGCGGGAGCGAAGTTCAGGAGAGAGCCACAGGGATCGTCGGAATCCTATTCGTATGGCGATTTCTGGAGTTGGGACGTGAACCAAGGTGGTTGGAGACGTGAACGAATGGTCGGGAACCCGCCATGCGCTCGGTCGGAGATGGCATACACCTTTGTGAGATCATCTTCCATCCCGAACTCCGTCGTGAAGATTGCTGATACTCAATCATCAGAATGAGAAACTTGGAATGGCCTTTGTATTTGGTGGATACAGTCCATCCCTCCCGGCTGACTACGTGGAAGAAGGGAAAAAGTTCTCTTTCACCTACTTCGCCGATACCTTCATTTACATACCCCCATCAGCCTCATCACCCTCCGCGACGTCTGCACCGAAGTGGAAGCACGTTCTCACTCGCGGATTCCCTACATACCGTGCTCAAGCTCAGCTTTTCACGGATCCCGACACTGGAAAAATCTACTTATTTGGTGGATATACTAACTCTCAGTTCGTGCCAGATAAGAAACACGAGATCTCCCGCAGCTTCAGTGACGTGTGGCAATTGAAGATCAACATTCCTGGTGGTTACTTCGATGACGTCGATCTGGAAGAAGAGACGAAGACTGCAATGGCGGGCCCATGGCAACGCTGCTTCAACTGCGGAAATGCGGGAAGATGGAAGAAGTGTGGAGGTATCATTGAATGTATCAGTTCATTTGCTATTTGTGCTCACAGAATCTTTCCTCAGGTTCATGTGGTGGTCGAGCTTTCTTCTGTGACTCCCAATGCATGAAAGAAGGTTGGAAGGAGCACAAAGAAAGACACCATTGTGCCAATGTAAGAAAATAAATGTAAATGTCCCGTTCTATGTATAGTGTCCTACTGCGACATGTCGTTTGCCAGTGACACATAACGTATCGAATTTCCAGTGGTATATGTGTCCAAATTATAGCAGTCTAAATTAGTACAGTTCCGAAGGTAAGTTATCTTCTGCCAGGATCGGTACTCTGGGAGACGTGCTAGTCGACGTCCCTTTCGAAGTGTTCCTAGATGATGCACAACACGCAGTATAGGTTTTCTCTGGTCGACGGTGGTCAGCAGCGCCCGTGAAATCATCGAATCCGACTGGTATGTCGCGCGTGACATAATGCCAGATGTATTGGGTCCAGCCCTCAATATTCAATGACTCCGGCTCCAGTCATGATGTGGAAGCAGTCTCCAGCGACGTGCTGAGTGAGTGGATGTCAGCACTGAGTCCTCTCAAGAGGTTATTAATAAACTTGCTCCGTCTGGATATAGCAACCCTGGACGAGCATCAGCAAAACTGAAAGTTTTCTCCTTCGGTACTTTTGGTACTCTCCCGAACTCTGGCCATCTTTCTTGTCTCTGTCGTGACGGACGAGGTGCTTCGAAAGATGGAAAGTCATCAAAGTACCTCAGAGACAAATATTCCGTGTGTGCCGTCAGTCCTGAATAGGTCATTTTCATTACATAATTTCGCCTATGTATATTTGTTCACGCTGTTGCCTCGCGACGAACTTAACATCTTGAGCTTCAACGACCATACCCTTCGATATAATTCCTCATATGTACATCACTTGTCACGACGCTCCTGGTGCTTTTATCTCGCGATAGCTGTCAACTGTCGGCTCCTCGTTCTCTTTCGATGTCATTCTATCCTTCTCGCACCCGACAAGCGGCCGCTCCCAACTTGTGCCGTCTGGTTACTTGCTGATGCCGACGACTTTCAACCAATTGGATGCAAGTTGGTGCCGTTTTTCAGTCTGGTCACTCACTGGCGATCTCGGAAGCTGCTCTGTATGGTCACTACTAGCATGTCTGTGTTGTTTTTTATCCGGGGCTGCTGTCTTTATCATACCTGAGCAGGCGACTCTTGGCGCTGATGACGACGACGACGACAGTGATGAAGACTTCCATGCGAACCTGGAGTGAAGCCATCGAAATCGATGACGAAGAGGAGTTCATGGGGATCTGGTATGTTACCTGCTCTCAACCGTCGCTCGTACTGATTCTGTAATCCACAGATCACATTGAAGCTTGTCGCGCGACCCTGCACATTGATCCATGCTTCGCAGTTTTTTTGTTGTTGTTTTCGACACTAATCCTGTTATTACTGTACATCACTCCTTTGAATATGTCCCAGTCAATGCCGGTGTACTATTAGATTTACCGCTTTAGTATCTTTTTACCTCTTTCTCTTTCTGTCTTTGGACCTTTTTCAATAGTACTCTGGATGTCTCTGGGAATATACAGTGTCTTTGCATGAGATGAACCTCCTTAAGTTCTCTGACTGCCTCTCGAACTTTGGTGACTCTCAGAGAGCCTGAGAGTTGCCAGAGTTGGGCAAAATGATTTTTTGAGTTTTGCTGATGGATCAATAGCGAGAAAATGAATATCTGGGTATGACGTTGACGAAGGGACGTCCTGTCGCACCCGAACTGAGAATGTATCTCGCGAGTGGACGAGACAATTAATGAAGATAGAAGGTTGTAAGTATAGATTTTGAATGCATGAATTTGAGCTTATCTTCGCCCAATACTGTAATATCCGACGATGGGGAACGTCAAGGCCAGACACGCAATGAGACCATGGCATGAGTATGAGCATTCCCTACTCACAGAGGATAGCAGGATCCAGCATCATATTATGAGGCGTGGCTGTCCTAGAAGACGATGTCAGTTCGGCCTATTCAACCAGGAATACCGTTATTAGCTGACAGCAAGATGTGTATGCTGCTCGTTCTTGATGCAAACACCCAACAGATGCCTCGTTGCGTGTGTTCCTCGTATTCAAATAATGCAGGCATGGTACTTACACGTTCAGTGGTCCGTCTTCAACACACTCCTATAACCCGAATCTTGTAAAGAACGAGATGACGGCCCAACCAGTTATTTCACGGATTATTCGATGTATGACTTTTGTATCTCCCATCGAGAGAAAAATCGTCACTGTCAATAGAAACAGTTGACACCTTCAACATAAATGAGAGCAGCCACCATGACGGAAGATGTCAATGAGTAATTATGATTCTCTGGCAGCGCTATCAGGGATTATACATTCCTATCAAGGACACTTCCTTGATAGCTTGTTTCAAATGAAGGCGATAATTTGAATCATGGTTACAAAAGCCACGGATGAGATAGCAACTCTTTCGCGGACTTGCGATCATCTGGAATGATGCGCAACATCGAGGAAAGAAGATCGTGAAGCATGTCGTCCTTGATGTGATACACTTCCAAGACCCGTTGTAAGGGTTCGGGAGCTTCAAACGCTAGACGAATACCTAAATAACCGGGCGGAGTGTTGGATTATGCAACGACGAAAGGACATGTAACGTACCATCTGCTTCGTTGAAGTAGGTTCTGTAATGCGAACCTTTCTTGGCAAATGGGAGAAAACGCTGCCGAGTGACATCCTGTCCGAGTCCAACTATAGCAAATATCGATGCCAAATGCTGTTGGGAAGCTGTGTAGTTAGGGCCATCTGATGGTCGGAACAGACATCCCCCAGTAAGGAGCTCAAAGATCTGCATGCGCATATTCAATACAGGTCCGACTACTCTTCGCAGTCAGTCAATACTGACCAGGCATCCTAAGTTCCATATATCCGCGCTCGGCCCCCAGGTACATCCGAGGAGGACCTCAGGTGCGCGAAGCGCCTCAGGTTGAATGAGACGTTCACGCTTCGTATAAGAAGGCATAGCTGTTGCAGGAGATAAGAGATCAGACGGGCATGGTCAAGTTACTGGATGACTTACCTGTCCCATAATCGGTAAGCTTTACTCTTCTTGTAGCGTCAGGAATCTCCGCAGTGTTCTCATTCTCGTTCGTCTCAAGCTCTAATGATGTAACGTCAACAGGTACGAATTGAACGTTATCTTGCTTGATGTCTAATAATACGTTAGTTCATTAAAATGTCAAGCGACGCCAGACATGCAATTACCAGTGTGTACAACTTGGCAGACATCATGAAGAAAGTCCAATGCCAATAGCAGCTGACGTGTAATGCTTTTCACCAGTGGCATAGGCAACTTGCGAGAATTTGCGCTCTGTTGAACCTGCAGGAGCGTACGGTCAAGTACATCTGTAACGAGGAAGAGGTGTTCTCCCTCATCCCCACGCTCATAAAAGTAATCCTGGAGAGTGAGGAGGTGATGAATTCCAGCGTGGGTCGAGGACTTCGCGTGGGCTTGAATATTCTTTAAGATGTCGAGTTCAAATGCATGCTTGCCCTGATACGACGTCACCTCATCGGTCAAGACTTTGATAGCAAGAAGGTTTCCAGACCTAAGAAATATTCAGTGAAAGCAGAGAAACAATGAAATCACCATTAAGTTACTTTGTCACGTCTTTCACCAACCAGACTGTTGAGTGTTGACCGGAACCTAATTGTCTGAGGAACTGGTAACGAGAATGGTATACGGCTCCCACATTCGGTTTGAAATGTAGACCCTTGTAAGCCTGTGTTGAGCTGGAGAATAGAACACTCTTGCAGCGAGAAACAATGCCTTGCATGTTGGCTGCGCGCAGAGAAAACATCGAATCAGTACATCCATTCCATTGTCCAACCTCATCGAGTTTTTATCCGAGTTCTGCTAAGATGTGGCGGTTATTACAAGCGCTCGTCAGGATTGATGCGTGCCCACCGAACGTTTTCTTAGGTTCATGTGGAGGTCGAGCTTTCTTCTGTGACTCCCAATGCATGAAAGAAGGTTGGAAGGAACACAAAGAAAGACACAATTGTGCCAATGTAAGGAGATAAATGTCCTGATTAGCTATGTAGTGTCCTACTACGACATTTCTGTTCGCAAGTGATGCGTAATGTATCAACTTCTAGGTGGTATATATGTCCAAATCACAGCAGTCTAGATTAGTACAGTTCCGAAAGTAACTTGTCTTCTGTGAGTAATACTGTAGGTTCACCGCGTGGGACGTTCCATCTCGACGTCTGTCTCAAAACGTTCCTAGGTGACGCACGGCACGTACTATGTGTTGACATTAGTCGATGATAGTCAGCAGAGCCTGAGATCATCGAATCCGTCCTGGTATTTCGCGTGTGATATAATGCCAGATGTATTGGGTCCAGCCCTCAATGACTCCGGCTCCAGTCATGATGTGCAGGCAGTCTCCAGCGACGTGCTTAGCAGATGGATGTCAGCACTGAGTCCTCTCAAGAGGATATTAATAAACTTACTCCGTCTGGACGTAGCAATCCTGGATGATCAATAGAGAGATAATGGATATCTGGGTATGACGGTGAAGAAAGAACATCCTGTCATTAGGTCAATATCGATGCACTCGCAATGAGGAAAGACGGTGATGTTCACCTCGAAAATCTTGTTGAAGTCACCAATCCATGGCCAATTGTAAAATTTCCACTGGAATGGTTGCCAAACAGCCCATGGTTCCCGATGATTGTGGCAATTCTCGTGTCCTGGCAGGTACGCTCTGACGACAACCTGCCTGCTTCGACCTCCCGCAGTCCCTTTATCTGCAGCAAGCGCACTTTGAACCATATCCGCCCATTTTTTCATTGCTTCTCGGAAGAAAGGGAACATCTTGTCAATGCCGAAACCTGCGTCCTCACCCTTCGATTCGTCGCGGAAGGCATGTAGGAGGGTTGTAGTCCAGTGTCCAGCCGTGCTAATGACCAAGGTACCGTAATTACCTTCCGGCAAAGGTTTTTGTAAAATGTCCAGGTATTCTTTGGGGGAAAGCGACCAAAACAGCTCGTCACTAAAGAGTGTGAAGTTCGAAGGAGGGTGATGGAGCTCATTATGCAGGTCCACGAGCTCATCTTGTGATAACAACAGGTCAACTCGACGGAACGTAACCAGTGGTGTAGAAGAAATATTGAACCCAGTCGGAGGGTGCAATTTCTCCACTAATGGCGACTCTGGTGAGAGGTAGAGATTCTGCGGCCAAGCACGGTCGAAATACGGGTTCTCCGTGTAATTCGGAGTAGCGCGGACGTGGGGATAGAGTAAACATGACATCGAAAAGAATTGAAGTTCGGTCACAGAGTCTACAGAACACATGAGTTCCAACGGAGGCATTCATGTCACTTGAAGGTACGCACCGCCAATTAACAACCAGCCACCCTGCTCAACCATATCCTGCACCAACGCTTCCGCGTCGAAAGCTCGAATATCACACTCGTTTGAGGGCTTCCATTTCCAAGCAGCAACACCTGGAAAATGATCCCAATTTTGCACATCTGCGCCAAGATGCCAGAAGAACTCTCTTGAACTCGCACATCCTTCAAACCCGATGAACTCCAAAGCATCCTCTTGCTTCGTCATCTCTGTCTTATTGGTATGTAGTGTCCTTGGAATCCATTGGCCATTGGCCCATTGCTCCGGCGTACATCCGCTGCGAACGCGAGAGGCAAGGAAGTCCAAACTTGGGGTCCAAGAGCTGAAAGATGATGAGGGAAAGAAGGTGTAGAGAGCGAGGAAGACGAGGGTGAGTATGCCAAATGCTAACAGTTTCTTGCCATGCAGAAATCGTCTCTCGAGGCCCATGTTGAATGTCTCGCGACCAGCGACAGTGACAAGATATTAGTCTCCGGTACGCAGACTAATGACGGGTCTACTAAGGGAGGAAGGGACGACCCGTATGTTGCTGGGCAACACTGAAATTGAGCGTCTTTCCGTGCATGCGGCGCTTGTTTTGCTTCAGCCCGATTCAGCTCGAACTAAGTTGCCAAGGCCAACGTTGGACGTTGAGCTGGAACAGCAACCATGGATCCCCCTTCCCTCCAACCTCGCCTTCCTCTGGAACTCCTCATGATTGTAAAAGAGTCGATTCCAATCTCAGACCTCCGTACGCACGTCTGTTTCTACAATACGTGCCGAGCGTTTGCTTCATGGTATGGCAGTACTGGCGAGCAAGCTGATTTCTGGCGACGATCATGTTTGCTTGCGGGTCTAACTTTCACCGGGCGCGATTCATCGTACAAGGATATTGCGTTCGAATGTATTTCCCAGGATGGTTTCTGCTCGCATCCTTCTTGCGGCGGTAGCCAATTAGAATGGAATGGTACGTCACTATTTATCAGTCAATGTTCAATCTACTAATTTTGAGTCAGCCAAACAGGTAGCGATTGCAATGCAATGCAAAGGTGGTTGGGATCCCGAAGAAGCCCCATGGCACAGTGCCACATGGGACAATGAGTCTGGATTTCCCACCCCGAAACCCAACAGGATTTTTGCCCATCTTGCCTTCCGGAAATCAAGGCGAACGGGCTCTAACAAATTGGACGACGTATTCCTCCGGAATGATGCAGCCAATATTCCGTATGACAAGCGTGCCTTGCGTTACCACCCGATTGCCTGGCGTAGCATTGCTACTTTTCCTGGACTCGTCGCAATGAAGCTATCTTACCCAGGTGAAGCCGGACGTGTCATTAATGAGGCCACCGATTATGTGTCCATGAAGGCGAAAACGACGCCCCTTAATGTCTTGAGTGTCGTTGACAGCATAAGGAGAGGGTAGGTAACTGAACTATTATCTTCCCATGGAGGGCTAAAACATCATGGTTAATCCAGGCTCGACGATGGATTAGAGGTGTCTCAGTTGTGCGAATTACTGGACGGCTGTTTCGCGTGTGTTCAACCGCCCACGCCTGTGGTATTTGTGGATGAGCTCAAGAAATTTCAAACCCTGCGCGGTTTATGGGCAGTAAGGTATGCTTAAGTTGCTTGCCATATCGAGCACCTCACTGACGAACTTCTGAAGCCGGTGGGATGGTCTAGAATTTGATGGAACATGGGAGTTCCCAGAAGAAGCAGGATTCATTCACCGATTTTCACGCTTACGGGAGGATACATTTGCACGGGAGCAACAAGAAGAAGACATTCTTGATCACGGCGACTTCTCATGATTGTATTCTCAATATCGTAATTTGGATGCGAACCCCGATGTAAACATCGGACTTCCCTGACATCGCGTTCGGCCATTCACGAGTCTCGTTATATTGAACCTGCATCCCGGACGAATCTACGATAGTCCCCGAATTCAGATCTACACCTACTTCTTCAGGAGAATCTCTAGCTACGATCAAGATGTTTTCGTCCTTCGTGCCGTGTCTGCTTTTATAACACTTGCGGTACAATTGTGGCGCTCTATGAAGAGAAGTGGAGCAAACGTGTTTTTGGAAACGATCTTGTCTCCTCGTCTTGTCAATGGTCTCCTCTCCTGATGCATCGTACATGGATGTTACATTCGAATGTATTGCTCGAGATGGCTCCCATATACGCCCTCGTTGTGGTAATAATTTGCTCAGATGAAATAGTGAGTGAACTTAGTTAAGTGTTATGTCGTCCAAGTCTAACTTCGACATAACCAAAAGATTCCCAATTCCGTCGAGGAGACGAACTGGGATCTTGATGCCGTAGTGTCCACAGACGATGAGAGCGAGATCGGTGGTGAGTCTAGGGCGAAGTATACGCTATGCACAACGTCGTCTTCAGCTCCCTCGCATTTGGGAAACCCAATGTGTGGGATGAAAGTGGCAGGAGGGATGATGCCTTCGCAGTGGGAACGAAGACGCGCGGCTACCACCCCAAGAGAAGAGGACCTTATGACAGCAATCCATCGCGTGCCGTAACTTGACTACGTTTCTGGCTCTAGCTTACGCCCAGAAGCTCAAACAAAGTATTCAGACTTGGTGGATAGCATCTCCTTACCGAACAGAGCTTCATTCCGGTCCTGGATATCATTAAAGCTGTTCGAGAGCGGTACGCGCTATACCTTGTCGATATCCTTTCGCTGACAAGTGTATCGTCATTGTCAGCTCCGGCAGTGTTGACGGCGTCTCAACTCCGTCAAGATGTTTTTTTTTTGCGCATCTTCAACCGACTGGACCTTTCCATGCTTCTGGATAAACCTGAAAGACATTGCAATTTGCGCAGTTTATGGACTCATAGGTTTGTCTCCTGTGTTTCGGGTAAAGACGGCATCGCTGACGTACATCTAGTCGTTGGAATGGTCTCAAACTCCTGGACCACTGTACGACGGGAGTAATTATCCGCTACTTTTTCTTTTCTCGTTTGGCTCAAGGACAATATGACGAAGAGCTACGTGAAGAGGAACGATCTAATACCGACCAAATATATTCTTTGCCAGACTCATTCGAGATATTTTAGCATGCGGAGAATATGCAGCCTCAAGAATAGATAAAGTCAAATGTGCTGTACATACCATTCTATGACAGAGCAGACATGCATGAGATAGAGTCCTATGATAACATTTCGGCACACTGGCACAAGTCCGGCGGCGGTAATACATAGATAACTCTATGGCATCTCGACTACCAAAACAGAACCAAGAATACAACTCCAATACTGTACTATGTACCGGAAATAATGTAAGTGTGATAATCCAGCCGGGGTGGAACATAGGGAAAGTCGATAAGACACAAACTAAGATTGGTCATGCGCCGGTGGTACCCAGGTCAAACCTTCCTTCAAAGCATCGCTCTCAATTTCGATCCCTTCGCCTTCACCATCACTGCTCACAGCAGCCCAATCGCCTTCAACCCGCCTCTCCAATCCACCAATCTTGGCACCCCGCTGGATCAAGAAGGACAACACCTCCTTCGCTGATCGCCACCCAATAGGTTCATCAATCACCGCAACCGTACCGCCAACGCCGTCAGTAGGAGAGAGCTTGTCTGAGTCAAGCTCACCACCAAATAGGCGGACGAGATGAGAAGACGCACGAACACGTTTGTCTGGCTGCCTTCCGAGCTGGTCGAATAACGACGCTAGGGACTTGACAGCCTCAATACGTGCACGAAGAACGTGTCGAATAAGCCGACGTGATGGAGGACGATGCTTCTTTCGCGACTTGGACGGCGGCGAAACAGTAGATAAAGTGGACCCGTTCAGGTTAGGTGAAGATCCCGGAGTTGAGGAACGTGACTTGGAACGAGAACGATCGATCCAAGGGTTCTCAGGTGGAAGCTGCGGACTGGTGTATTGGGCAAGTGCATTTAAACTGAGGTCCCATTTCTTCGGTGCCCATACACCAACCAAGACTCGCCAGGTAGCAGCTAGTCGCTTAGCGCTAGAAAACACATATCGTGAGCGAACTTCGTTTATCAGAATGAAAAAGTGCAAGGACGAACTGTTCGTAGTTATCTGTGTTATGGACATGAGCTCGCAATCACAGCGTGAGTCATAAACATAGACGCACCATTCACCAACTTGTTATGGTACATCGCAAACAAGAATACGAAAGCAGCGGCAACGAAAGCACCAATCGGCGTATACCGGAGGAACGCCCAGACAAAGAAGAACGTCGCTGGATACATCAAGAACAGGAATAACAACCCAAATACGACCTTATTCTGAGCCTGAGTTTCCTCCTCATCCTCCACTAGCCGTGCACCGAATCGAGCCAATAGGTATGAAGGAAAATGAACCGCCAGCGGTATGAGGAAGAATGGTAGTCGAATGAGACATGACAGAGAGTCCCGGATGAGGACAGAAAGCGTTGCCAATCGACTCGGCAGGGATATGGGTCGGTGGGGATCAAGTGTAGGAGGTAGGGGTAGGGATGTTAGCACATCATTTGTGAGGTGCGTTGATTGTAGCAAGGAATAGTATGTCAATAGATGCCGTTTGATGGATGCAAAGTTCGGGACGAGATCTGGGGTACAGAAAAGATCCACAAGACTGAAAAGGGGTGAGTGGAAGTACAAGAAGATAAGGAAGTTACACCTACGTCTGCGAAATGACGACGAATTCATCCAGGTTGATATTCTCTTCCGGCCAGAGCAAATCCCTAGCCATTCGAGCCGCATAAAGCGTATCCCTGTAGAACAGTCAGCATAGAGCTACGGCGCATGTAAACTAAGGCATGTACCAGTCAGGCGCGTTGATTGTCGTCTCTGTCAACTGCCTCTCGATTTGAGCAGTCAGACGTTTCACGGCGGTCCGAGGAGCACCCTCATCAGGTGAGAGAAACTCTGCCTTGTACTCGTCCATGGTGATTGGTTTGCCATACCTTTACCAGGAAAGTCAGCGTGAGCTAGTAATGCAACGACAAGAAGCCTTACTCAACAACGACCTAGAATGCCAAGAGCGCCAAGCTCAGCGAAGAACTAGCATGAAGAAAGCAAACAAAAAAACCTACACAACTGCGATATTTGCTCTTGTTGGTGTACACGATTGACACCGGAATTATCTCTACTGGGTCTCCAGAATTACCATGCTCCGTCGTCCACTTCGTGTATTCCAACGCAGCCCAAGCAGCACCGTCTTTGACCTGCATGATTCTCGGCTCGGTATAACTCGTTCCCTCTGGGAATAGCGCAACTGCTTGACCTTGTGAAAGAGCATCGAAGGTACCTTGGAAGAGCTTCCGACGATCCTTCGACTTGCGGTCAACAGGAATGTTGCCTGCTGAGCTCAAAATATATCTCGCGACCGGGTGAGACATCAACGAAGCTAGAAGATTTGAGGATACATATATACGTTCGTGAATGCAGGGATATGAGCTCACCTTTCGCCCAATAGTGTAATAATCGACGATAGGGGAACGTTAAAGCTAGACACGCAATTAGGCCCAGTTGAGAGCACAAGCACCTCCTACTCACAGAGAATAGCAGGATCCAACATCATGTTATGATGCGTTGCTGTCCTAAAATGTGATGTCAGTTCGACTCATTCGACCATAAATACCGTTCATTGGACAACAGCACAAGATGCAGGCAGACCCTTCGTAATGTCAACACCCCACAAATCCTTCATTCCATACACTCCTCGTACGTAGATAACGCATGCGTCGTGATACTTACACGATTATCGGTCCATCTTTCGGCACATTTTCTTCGCCAACGACCCGAATCTCTGTGAAGAACGAGATGACAGCCCAACCAGTCACCCGACGGATTACGCGATGTATGATTTTTGTATCCTCCATCGAGAGGTGTTGCAACCGCTAATAAGCTCGATTGACACTGTCAATACAGCTTGAGGGCGAAATGAGAGCAGCAATCGTGACGGAAGGTGTCAACGACTCTGCGGCGAGTTATGAATTGGGGAAGCACTTAAAGCGCTGGTAGTCGTACATTTATGGGCGCTTCTAGCGTGCAAGCCCTACCGGCGCCAGTTTTGGGTTCGAAGAGTCCCAAACGTCCTCGAATTGGCGAGCTACGTTCGTTTACTCCAACACATACCGCAAATTCAATGATGATGATCTTTGCATTTTTATACGTTATAGATAGCAAGACTTAGATCGCCTCACATAGTTCGGAGCTTCAACATCCCCGAGTCTTGCCTGAGCCACCTAAATTTGAATACATAGCACAGTCTGGCACATACATTGTATGTACATATGTGCCAATTCCTCCTCTTCCGCCTAGTTTGTATTGCCTGGAAGGTAAAGCCAAGAGAAGTTAAATGAAGTGGACCTTGTTCATGTGCGAGACCGTCACATCGGTTGGCCCTAGTGTTATTCCGCGTGGTCGTACTGTATGCATTTGTCCCACTATCACAGACCACATCAAGTATGAAGTACGCTTTGAACAAGGAGAAGGAATATGTAAGGCAAGAAGGGGGTAGTTATCCACCCTAGGCTGCCAACTGAGGCCGATCCACTGTTGCGAGAAGTTATGCCTGAGAACAGTCAATCCTAATGAAGAATCCTAGCCATCTACAAGAATACAGATTCCGTAAGGCGGTGCGGTCGAGTAGCGTGGTAGAACGCAAGAAACGAAGCAGAGAATATATAATGTAGCTCAGCTGGTAGTCCTGGCGACTTGGAGTCAAGTCTGTGCAACCACAACAGAAGTCAATCAAGGTGGGTACGCGTACGACGCACCTACTGGGTTCAATGTACTCAGGCCACCCCACAATAGCGCAGAAGGGAGGTAGTGAGACTGAGGCGGGCCATTGGGTACTCTCGCAGGTTTCGTCTCGCTAGAAGGATATTGTATGGCCTTCTTCACTACGAAAAAAGGTGTGATCAGGTTCTTTCGCACACCACTATTTATCTCTAGCTATTTTCCTGGGACCGATGAATTGGAAGAAGCAAAATGATGGACTGGTTCGACGTCACGGACTTCGTTAGTGGATTTTCCGTCATCAAAGGCGGAGGCTTCGGAAGAAAAGTGGGAACCTCGATCCACGGGGACTCGCCATGGCATTAATGGGGTTCATACTCTAAGTCCCCCGTCGCACGTTCAGGCTGTCGTGCGGGACGAGATTGACGCACTACGTTCCGAGCCAAAGCCGATGCCGTAAATATACCGTTCAATTTGAGGAGGTCACCGCCAGCGGTATGGATGCACAGAAGCGTCCGTTGTGACGCATTCAAAGGTCGTTGTATTGTAAGAAACATCTTCCGCGGATGCTAACCCTGCGGGCAGGTAAGCCTCCCTCCATAATTTCTGTTGTATCTGCCCGACGCGATAGAAGAGGCGTTGTCAACGCGCGATAGATGTTGTCGAAGCAAGCATGTATTTGAGGATCTAAAACCAGAATGAATAACCTGGCAATCCCCGAGAGTTCTGTAGGTACACAAGGACTAGGTAGTTTCGGGTTAAATGGTGACGAATTCCTGTAGCAGTGGAGATCGACCTTGGTGAGTAGAGTGAAGCTATTCAGGGCAGATTGAAAGGCGGAGATATGATCTACTGTTGCGTGATTCAGTGGGAGAGAGAGCAGAGCCAATTTTCCATTGGTGGTCAACCGGTAGACATTGTGAGCACGATCGCCGAATGTCCCTCGGGAAGGCATGTGTACACGTTATTTGGAATAGAGGAAGCGTACATAGACTGCACTTAGTGGGCTGAAACTCGGCGTCCGACCGGGGTTCTAGGAAACTTCAGGTATTTTCTATCTTCTGAATGGTGGAGGTGAAATGCAAGTTTGCCGTTGTGGCTCATCATAGAGACGACAATGACTAAGATCCATCGGGGCGAAACAAATGTAACACATAAAAAGCGGGCCGTGAACTTAGCGATTAAGAGCCTTGTTATCTGTACGACTGTAATTGAATACATACGTGTTCACGTCGAATGTATCGCGACATCATCAGCAACCGACGACAGGGATCAGGCGCTGTATTTGCACTCCACTTATAGTCGACGAATTGCTGCCATCCGTAGATGTAGAGTGGCATCTGCGGGAACGCAGGAGGACCTCTGAGATAACGGGATGATATAAGCATTCATTGCTATGTGCAGCTGAATTAATGACATACGAAGAAACAGATCTCGACCAAATGAGACATCTTGATTTCATCCAGAATGCGAGCTCCTGAACAATTTGAGGCGAAGCCACAAGAGGCCCGTAGCGTGTCAGTCAAAGCAAGAAACCAGCTTGTTCTGCCAGCGCTTACGGTCGGGGATAATTCAATATTATACTATACTTAAGTTACTAGGAATGAAACTTCGGCTAAATAGCTTAGATCGCCACGTTAAGCAGTCCCACTTTTCCACAAATACAAGCAAATAATACACGTCAACCACTGCCGCCGGTCAACGTTTCACTGCTAGTAGCAGTGGCTTGAAGCTGTTACTGACCATCCAAGTTTACTACTCTGTCTGTGAAGTCAGGCTCTCTCACTTTGCATTTCGTTGCAGTCCCTTCTTTTCTGGCAAACTACATCCTAAGGCAAACGATGCATACTATCTACTCCAGGATTAACAACACCTCCGCTTTGCTGTCGACATGCCTTATGTGTTTGGTTGGTGCCATCGCTGTGTCGTCATATTTTATGACCACAGACCCAAGAGGAACGATTGGTGTTGCATCCATACAGGTGTGAGTCCATGCCAGTGGCTGGTTAGAATCTGAAAAGAGTCTGTCGGGTTTCACCCGCCGGTAACCCACCTCCCAGAATGCTTTGCTAATTACTGTACTCGATCCTCATCTTAGTTTTCCTGGTAATGCTCGACGATATGTGAATAAGCAGCAAGACTTCGCCTTCTTGCACTTCAATGTGTCTGCAGGTGTGTGCAACTTCTTGTAATATTTTCGCTCCTACTCACGAAGTTCCTGTATCGATCCCCAGGTTTTTGATTCTTCCTTGTGGTGTCGTCGTCATGATATCTGACTCGGACTTTAGACCTAACGCCGCTCTTCAATTGGAATACGAAGCAACTCTTTCTATATGTCAGTGCGGAATACACCAACCCGCAAGGCGTGAGTGTCATTTTCTTCTCTGTGTTCCGATAGCCTGTACCTTGTAGGTGCAATGTGATGACTGCGGCGGTAGTCAGGCATCCAAACTCTTCTAGTCTTCGTAGCTTTGTGCCTATAATTGTATATCTTCACTATACTTTCCCTTCAGTTCCCATGCACGTACACACGTCGACATTTTGGATGTCTTCCATGCATATTTGACATCCTCCAAAAGAACGTCGACCCCGGCAATAACCCCCCCCCCCCTTTTATTATTATTATTTCTATTTCATTCTCTCCCTCCGAATTGGCCGAATCTTGACTTATTGCCACTTTGTTCACTAGATTCGCAACGACGTTGTTATATGGGATAAGATCGTCCGCCGTAAAGAAGACGCCAATATTACTATTACCAGCCGGAACAAATATACTTTCAGAGAGCTGAGCTCGACATTCAGGTGAGTGTATATGACCTTTCATTTTCTCCCATCTTGTACTTTCTTGTTCTGCTTTTACCCTTGAGAAACTGTTTCTTCTTGGATTTCTTCGTTCTTTTGTATTTGGATGCCGTGCGCCACATGCTTCGCACCGTTGGACTAAGGCACAGATCCAACGTGCTTCGTCCAGGCTCTGCCTTGTGGATACATCCATGTGTACCTGACTTTTCTCTTCGGGTCCTTCATTCTCCACGTACAACGTTGCCCACTTCCGAGCATCGCATTCACCGCGCTTCCTGGTACCCATGATGATGGCTGCGACAAGGTGGACACCACGTGTCTGCCGTCCTAAACCCACTGCTTGAAGGCCTTTTAAGTACGTCGTTGAAGGTTTCGCGTCTCCCGTTCTTGGTATATCCTCTTGCTCCCACATTGATGCCTATCTATGAATAACTTCGTCATTTTGTGGGCTGTGTAGTCTTGAACCATTTTAGTCATTTCCTATTCTACGGTCGGCGGTCTTTGCCATATCCCGACCTTCATCTCCCATCGCAGTCGCCGAGAGTCGAATATTGGATCAGATATCCTTCCGTTATTACTATTGTCGTTGTCTCTTTTACGTCTTGCGTCACTAGATGCATTGAATCCTGACTATTGTGCTTAATATCTCTCCCTTATCTCATCCATTTATTGACTGCATCGATAGGAACATTCCTCCAGCACACTACTCACTCAAGTACAACGTCATGCCCTACGTAGGCATTCTCACGTATGGTGAAGCTGCTCGCACGAAAGAACCTGTGTCATTCCCAGAGTCTCGCGACCTTTCATAGTAACATGAAGGGTGGGGTACTTGGCTCTCCCTCGTCTGGACGCATGACGTACAGGATGTCTTATAAGGTTGTGATTGGGTTTCTTGGAGGTTTACTCTTTGCTGGACTGTGAAAGGTGAAGGGGTTGGGAGTAGACGATCGATGATGTATATTGGCACTTCTGTGATGGCTCGAATGTCATTCTTTCCGGAGTATGTGACACGTGTTCGGTCATGCGGAACGATTTAATTTTTGAGTAGTTGTCTAAACCAGTGCACAACTTTGCAGGTGGTAACATGAGGAAGACGTGTTATGAATGGCACAACTGCCGGTCATGAAGAAATTATATTCGCAATGGGGACAAACCGAATGCCAAAAGAGACCCGCGTATCCATGATCGCTGCGCATATTTACGGACACAAGCCCCGGCGATAAACAAGTGCCAAAGTTAGTGAAGACGCGTTGATCGACAGAGTTCGTAGATTAGACTCAATTGCACAGGCGCGAAGATATGAACCTATTTACTAAAGCAGCTCCCTAACACATATGCCCAAGTAAGGTTAGATTGAACACGGAACCCCAAGCATTTTGTTCCGAAGTGTACAAGGGAGTATCGGTATCGTACTGCTTACAGCTTCGGGATCGAGAGTCAATGCTTTCTTGCGCGAACGCAAGACAGCGTTAGACGTATTAAACAGTCCGATGTCCACGTCCTGATTGCACATATGCAGTGCCTAGACTCGGGCCTGCGTTGATTAAACCAGGAGATCTGATATAATTCAACACAGTTGTTCCTCTGAGGAAACGAACGCATGGTTTAGAAACATGATAGCGGTCAATGCACCCTATCTCCTGGGATATCCGTTGGGCACGGATGTAACTGCGAGTACCAGCGGAATCGAGCAGCTGACGACCAATCCCCCTGGGGACATGACAGAGTCTATCAACGTTGTTTGCTTCCTCTGACAAGTAGCAAGTGCATCGAGGTTGATACGTATCGGAATCGTGAATCTTCCGTGGTACCCGTGGACATGCAACAGCCAGCAATGTCATATCAGAATGAGAATCGTCTGGGGCACAAAGTTCGAGTCACATAAAGATCAGCGGTACCAAACCTGAGGGACAACAGTAAGATGTTCGTACCACTGGGACAGCTGCCTACATGCAATGCGCAGATGGATAGGCTATTCATCCAACAGTCTGCATCAATCTTGGTTGAACATGATGCAAGATAAGGGGAAAACATACCGTATGGGACGAGAAGCCGAAGGTAATGGTAAAGTTTGATGAGTACCTGTATGACATCGGCGTTCAGAGGGCGTCCGGCAATGTGGAAGAAATGAGCGCAGGCATAAGCAAGGCATCCTGGACGTAAAGTCAGGCCACTATGAACGAGACACATTAGTTTCAAGAATGCGAAGATGGCTTCGCGCATATGCATAGGAAGCCTTGGTAAATTCTGCATCCTCAGCCTTGAATTTCATTAAGAAATGGATGGTTGGAGCTCCGGGCTATTAGTGTTGCTGAGAACTTCAAAACCAGGCACGTAAGGACGAGACCCCGCATTTCTAATAGCCGAAGAATCAATTGAGAACTAGGAGGATGAAACACTACAGAAAGAAGATGCGGAACTGATTGTGAGTCCAATATGTTGACGCTAATAGTCCGATTGGACGGTGAAGGAAGCATCCACAGCAAGCAACTAATAACCTGAGGTAGCTCGGCATTGGCAGGTTCGTTGGTAAGCTCGCATCACACGGGGTAAAACCCCATGATGCCGTACATCGTCCAACAAACGACGCGCCAAGTTTATCCAATGTGCTGGGACCAGATGGCGATAAATATTACTTGAACGCTCTTCATGATCTGGTCTGAAAACAAGCGGTTAATCTGTATAGATAGAAATAGTCACAGGTCACGCACGAGACCGCTTACGAACGCAATCACCCACTGGCCCGCTGAGAGAAAAATAATACAATCGCTGAGATTATTCGGCCAAAGCGCGCTCATTGGCACAACTCAGAAGACATAACGAATTCCACGACGGAGAAAGCGGTTTGGGAAGGTGAGTAGATGTTTGGAACGGCTTTACAATAGAGCCTGGAAGAAGGAAGTTTCTCAAAGATACAAGTCTAAAGATTTTGACCGTGCCTTGGACTTCCGCATGCCGGCAGTATTCTATAACATCCGAACTGTTGTGTAGTTATTCATGACCTTGAAACGTTCGGATGCCGAAACATACCTTCTAGCGCAACAGAATTTGTCCAAGGCCAGCCACTGCCTTCAGACATGTATATCGGCGTGATCTGGTTGAAAAGAGGCCAAGAGTTTGAAGTTCTATTGCCACAGCGTTCCCAATGCGGTCCAGGAGAGCGTGCCAGCTGATTACACAAAAATGCATAAGACACCGACCGGACGCCTGGTTAATTATGTGGTACGGATGCATTGTTGAAGTTCATGATCTCGGCTAAGTGGAGATAAAGAACGTCGGCGGAATCGGTGTTCATCTCCAAATGAGTTTATGGTTCAAGAGAAATGAAGTAGCAACGATGCGAACCGCTTTGGTTAGGTGGCGTCACAGATTCAGCCTAGTCTCGGGAGCAGAGAGAATGGGGCTATGCCAGACGCTTTTCAGATCGAACTGCGTCTGAATTGAGCCCTTTGTTCGGTCAAGTTGTTATCCAAAACTATGTTGGTATAGCAGCCGCAGGTAGGGATGACACGTCAGCAGTAAAACGTGTAGTCGCAGGGGTGTCGACATGAGAATATGTCATCCTTCGATGAAACATATGTTATGGAAACGTTGCAGTGCGTGAGCGCGAGACTGCAGAGATGAAGGAACCTACATACCCAAACGACGAATATCGAAGGTCATTTGCCATATTTACTGAGAGTACTCCCACAAGTATTCTCGAATATTCGGCGGCCGTTTCAGAGCTCATCCGGGGATTCGCGGTATTGACACTGACGTGAACTGCTTAGCTCCTTAGGATGTCAGGACGTTCTAGTAGATGGTTCCAAACGACCGATTCCTCTCCTTTCATGGGTGTGGTGATGGTCTCCATGATCTTCTGCTACGTACGTTGGCGTCTAGACAAAGCCATTGAAGCCTTGGACATGGATGACAAAGTTCAGGAACATCTGGAAAAATAATGAAGCAATCCACAAGCTTGGTTATTAATTTCACAACTACATGGTTACTAATTGCAGACCTTTACATATTGCAGATGACTTAGTCTTTGGACATGAATCATATCTCCTCCGAGCGTATGAACTACAACAGGCTCGTGGTATGCAGTCTGCACTTGCAAAACGAATTTACTGAGTTCCAATCAGGGATTGCCCAATATTGAATGCTTACCGTGGCCATTTTGAGGCCATACTATCACACCTATCCTACGAGGACTAGGAAGGCGATAACGGCCAGTTATCATATATATCAAATGGCGAAGCCAGGATGTCTCATCGGCTAGGCCACTAGTTGAATCCAGTCGTGACGTTTGTCAATAAGGGTTAAGGGTTAGGCCGAAGATAGAAGACCAGGCGAGTGTGAAGGGGGTTAGAGGCGGCTCTAACTTAGGCCATGAGAGAGGTGAATCGGGCATTACTTCACGAGTATGGGATACTATGAACAGCTTCGCGAACACGAACCCCTCGGTTGCGAGGATGAAGCACGGCTGTCACGGTTTGAGTGTATCGATTGATAGTGGAAGTCTACGAAGCATCCAAATGAAGGAAAAGATCAATAGATTGGGTTGACAGCTGCACGAGTTTCCTTACGCACCTCGAGGCTAAGCAGGCTAAGGAGATTGGAGACGGATCCTGAGACAGGTCGAAAAAGCGGCAGTCCTCTGAACCTGGAAGCCAAAGTTGACATAAAAGACAAGTCGATTCCAAGACTCGGCTCTGAGACTTGAGGCTCGGCATTTGGGTCCGAGCGCGAGGAGTGCAGAATTGCCTGCCAACCGCTGGCTCATTTCAGATATGTTGCTCCCACTTCGTACAAGGTTGCAAAGTGTTGTTGAGTACCAAGAAGAGTAAAGGGAGTCGTTCCAATCGGGACGAAGAAGAGGACGAATATCCCGGGTTCACAAGTTGCTTGTATTCGCTCCGAACCGTGACAAGAATGACAATCAAAGTTTAGACTGCCTTTTAGATTGGGATTACGGACGAAAACGAAACCAGATGACTTTATCACATCATATGATTGGGTTATGCTATTTGTCGAGATGACCAAAGTGTTGGACCAGGAAAGCAATTGGCGTGCGAGTATGAAAAATTCCTGAGGAGAGCCGGTTGGTTTGCCGAGGGCGCCAGCAGCAGGCACAACGCACCGCAACCCTGATTACTTGTATGTACGCTTCAGTCACGCTCATTTCAATCACAAACAAAGCAAGTATAAATGGGTATGCCCTGACCACTCGAGCCTTTTTGGTTTTCGCCGACTTTGTCCCCCCCGCCGTGACTCCTTCTTGAGCTAGTCTGCCATCGTCGTCGACGGCCTTGCGAGGTTTATTCATACTTGCCTCTTTTGAAATTTACTTCCGCGCCGAGGAATGACCTCTCATCTACCTCCGCTTCAGCTTGGCGCTACGACACGTCCGTACGCCGGGCCACCTTACTCCGGTGCCCTCCCCGACGTTGACGACTCTTACTATGGCCATGTACAATATACAGCCTACTACGCTGGCCAGTACTCCCCGGACGATGTGTCTTCTCACTCTCCCGCTTCTTACGGGAGTGTGGAGGGCGTGGAGTACCCGACAGGCGCCAGAGCAGTCACCAGCGGAATAGAACATCAGGTGTGTAATCTTCGCGCTCAATCCTACTACAAATAACGAACCTTATCCTTTGTATTTGTTCTGACGTTGAACGTGCAGCCTTACAGTGATCAGGTGTACGATGTTGAGGCAGCGCGCTCTCCCGTGTCACCCGATAGCTGGTACCAAGCCGATCCTTCGTATCATTACCCCTCGCAAGCCGAGGGTCTCTGGACGCAACAGTCTTCGAGAGGAGACGCACAGGCTACTTTGGGGACTCAGTATTACGCCGGACAACCATACTCTCAAGACCATATCCCCACTGAGAATTTATCAACACAGTTCTCACCTATGTCCGATGCACCCTCAGGCGATGTCAATTCCTATGCTCAGCGACAAGACGTCCATGATTATCAGTATCAGTATCAGCATCAGTCTCCTTTGAACTATCATTACGAAGGCCCTTACTCCCTTCCGACACCTCCAACCTCATCGGAGCATGTACCATCAAGTACCCCAGAGATCGCGCAACCGTATCGCACTACGCCCGAGAGTGTAGAAGTTCAGCAACATGCCTTCGTTGAACATAGAAGAAGCAGGCCGGGCGATCAGCAGCTTCTTCTAGCACAGCGCCAGCTTGGGCGTTCTCAATCCGCCACATATCACGAGGCGAGTACTACTGCTGGTTTTTTTTTCTTTTCATGTTGCCTTCAGGGTCTATGGACGACCTATGTATACTCCACGTAGACTCCCAATTGACCGTCTGTTTGGTTTCTTTGCGGTCATACGGTTCCGGGGCCCGGGTCTCGGTCGTGTTAACTGTTGACTCTGATATATTTCACCTCCTCTCAATCGTACTTCTTTGGCTGACTTGATTGATGTTAGGGACCCCAGGTTCCATCCCCGCGAGACAGCCTTGCAAGCTCTCAAGATAATTTTTCGTCCCCGGCATCGCAAGGCTACAGTCATTTACCGTCGGGATCCGCGCCTTCAAGCGTACAATATTTTCCTCGGCGGCAGCAGCCTCGCTCACCTTCGCCCATGGCTCACCTTCCGTATCCGGAAGATATTCAACGTGGTATGTATTCATTATATAAACCATATCGATATATTTAAGCTCATTAAATGCAGAAGCCGAACTTGAAGGAGCTTACCCGAGTCGGAGTGCCTCTCGGTCTCACGAGTGGAGCACATACCCGCAGTCCTTGATAGGGCACGCTTCGCAAGTGGACCCTTCCTGTTCGCAGCAAGCTATTCAGTCGTCTCATGCGAGCCGCTCTGTGGACCACAACCAACATGCGCTGGCTTTCTCCACGCCATCTTATCCTCCTTCATTGGCGTACAGTGGATCCACTCGACAACCAAATCCTCGCATTCCTGTTGTGGAACATCCAGCAAGACGAGCCACTGCACCAACACCGTCACGCAGTCCACCGCCGGTAGAAGATACGCCGAAGAAGCCACTCACTCTTGCCTGTCTTTTCTGCCGTAAACGTAAGATTGCCTGTGGCAGTCCACCACCCGGCCATAAGGACCGTACGTGCAAGTAAGTGATATAGACCCTGGTCGTCAATCGTTTGTCGGTGTTCTAATCTGACAAATTTCTCTGTTGCAGTCAATGCGCTCGGAGAAGTCTCACTTGCGTGTATCCTGTTACCTCCAGAAGAGGTATGCGTCCTCGAGGAGGAACCGAGGGCGAATCTCCGGAGGCGCAGTTCCATATGCATGTCCCGGTCGATGTTGTCTCACAGTAACGCTCTTGCATCGTCTTGTTTCTTGTTTCGGCCGTATTCTTATCTCGCACATATTGGCTATCCTCGCCTAGCGTCTTGAATATGTCATCGAAGGTACTGTATAATGTTATTTCCTACCGTACATAGTTTCAGGCCTTTTTGCATATGTCTACGCATGGCAGCCAGTGCCTTTAGGTTATTTCGCATTCTCAACATAATCTCATCCATCCCATATGTCCTGCATCATTGTTATAATTCTTGTATATAAGATAGGTTAATTCTGATTACATGTCCGCCAAAAGAGAGCTCAAAGAATGGCAACCAAGACCGGTTCTCACGATTGTTTTCGCAATCGAAGATCATGATCATAGTGACGGGAAACGATCGTGGATCCAAAATGGGTCTTACACAAACGTAATCATCGGAGTGTTGATTCAACAACAAACGGTAACAAGAGTCCTACTCGCCATCTTGCAATCCAGACATTAATCAAGTCAAATTGTGATACCGGGCAGGTTATGAATCCTTTCATCTTGATATGCCCTTCCACCCGAGGTCTTTCACTCGCGTTGACGCGATACTATCTTTGCAACAGCAAACTCCCCATCTACGCGACTCACAGAGCACCCTCGACAGATTCTCTTCGAGAAAGAATACTTTCTGGCTTGCCCCAGAATTCTGGCGTCAACCCCAACAGACTCAACTTCCTTCCTGTCGAGCTTACCTCCGAAGACAGCATCAAGTCTGCCGCGGAACAACTCTCCAGTATGTTGCCCGCCGACCGCAAATCCTACATACACACCGCATTCTTCACCGGAGGCATGCTCCACCCCGAACGTCAACCGTCGGATCTCAACGAAAAGAATATTTACGAGACTTTTCAATTGAACGTCATCGCCCACATGCTGCTCGTCAAGCATTTCTCTCGATTTCTTCCACCGTCCTCTTCCAAACCCGCCGATCTTGCCAAGTGGGTCCACGTCTCCGCACGAGTTGGCTCTATCTCGGATAATAAAATCGGAGGATGGTATTCGTATCGTGCGTCCAAAGCGGCCCTGAACCAAATGATCCGAACTTTCGACTTGCACCTTCAAAGTAAACGTCTCCCGGCTATATGCGTCGGTGTTCACCCTGGGACCGTCAAGACTGACTTGAGCAAGTCATTTTGGAGCGGAGTCAAAGAGGGGAAACTTTTCGAGCCGGAATATGCTGCAGAGAAATTGGCTCGGGTAGTCGAGAAACTAGGTACAGAGTCCAGAGGGAAAGTTTGGGACTGGGCAGGAAAAGAGGTCCCGTCGTGAAAACCCGAATCCAAACGGACCCAAAGGCCGATCTTGTGATTGTATGTCAACTTGCCAATGCGAGGACCTCAGTAGCGAGGCGTACAAGGGCGATAACTGTACAATGCGATGCCAAAAGGAATCGCAACTGTATCCGGGAGTTACAGCGATGGCGTTAACGAGCGTCAGGAGCCGAGAGTCGTTATCAAGGCGTCCAAAAGTGATGAAAAGAAAGTTCGTAAATATATGCTGTGCAAGTTCCGATAGAACGTTGCCCTGACCGCAGTATACTCCGTTTGGCCACTGGTAACTACATACAGTACATCAACCACTGTCAACAGTCCTCCTCCGCAACGAAATGATGATAGTGGAACTTACCAGAACGCGCATGATCTGACCCACCCTCCGTTTCAAATACGCTCGGTATGATCAGACGGCGCGAGGAAGCGATGTCAGCGGTGACAGGAAGAATGGGACAACCATAAGGGAGAAGGTTCTCGGCATTCTGTTGAATCACCCACAAGAACACACAGATGGTATCGTCCTACCAACACTTTATCCGGCGACACCATGACCCGGGGTTCCTTTATCGCAGAACGTCCTTTCCATCAACTGAAAACCGAAGCTTCTATAAGGCAATCTACAACTCACAACACAGATGTTTTCTACACATGACACCCGTAATCAATTGAGGTCGCAATGGATGCAGTCCTACCAGTCTGATCTCAGGCTCGTCCGGTTAGATCATCTGTCTAGTCGGCCAGTGCCTTTTTCATGACATGCCTCTGACACGGTAGGCAACCTATATAATGATAGCTGTAAGGTTAAGATAAGAGGTGACGATCGGAACTGAGAAGAGTGTGGATGATAGCGACAAGCTAGTCCAATAATTCCAAAATATTCAATCCCAAAGTGTTCTCATTGCAAAAAGTACCGGGTTCAAATTCATTGAGCGGCGCTTATCGCAAAAGAGACGCAGAAAAGCGCTAGAGATAATATTACACTAAGTCCTGTATTGTACAGTTAAACGTCCATCAAGAGGTTCGCGGGATCCTCTTCAATTGAATACTACATGTCTCGAAATCACGGAACCAGAGCAATTCTTCCCTTCACCTTGCCCTCGTGGAACTCCTTCAACACTTGTAAGCATTCCTCCAGTGGCCTCGTCTCGACTTCGGGCTTGACCTGTCCCTTCGCAGCAGCGTCGAAGACTTCAATCAACTCCTGCTTGCATCCCCAGAAGCTGGCTTTCACGGTCAGATCCTTTGTGACCACCCGCATTAATGGGAATTGCACGCTCGGAGCCATGAGCCCGAGTATGTGAATGAGACCCGCGGGCTTGACGACTGAGAGCGCCGTATCAAAGGAGTGTTGAGTACCCACGATGTCCACAACGACATCGGGGCTGAGATGCTGAGCGGCAAGGAAGGTAGGAAGATCATCTGGGGTCACGACGTAATCCGCACCAGCTTGCTTCGCCCTCTTCAAACTCTCCTCACGAACATCGCAACCAATGACGCAGCTAGCCCCGAGAACGCCCTTGGCAATTTGGATAGCATTGATACCCAATCCGCCACATCCCAGAATCATGACGGTGTCCGATGGCTTGACGCCAATGCATGTCTTCAGAGCGTGGTATGGGGTTAACACAGCGTCGGTACATAAAGCGGCAACGGCAGGAGAAATCTTTTCCGGAGTTGTGGGAATGGGAATGATAGAGTCGCCTCGCACGGCAGAGTACTCAGCCCAAAATCCATCTCGACCTATTCCATACCAGCCACCCTCCGAGTCCGGGCAGAGGTTATCTTTTCCTGTGGAGCAGGGGGTGCAGGCAGGCTTGAAGCATGGGTTGGTACCTAAAACGGCAACGTACATGTCCTTTTTGAGATTAGGAAACAATTTGCTGACGTCTGAGCCAAGTGCGGTAATGACACCAGCACCCTCATGACCGAGGGTGAAGGGCTGAGTCCATTCGCCAATAGAACCACTTGGGTCAAGGATTGAGAGGTCGCTATGACAGACGCCGCCTGCCAGGATCTTTATAACAACCTCGTCGGGACGGGGAGCAGGGACTGGTAACGTCTCCCGCACTGCAGTGGTCTCCCCCGGGTAATAGCGAAACGCGGTCATGGTATTCGCTGGATATGGAGCGAACATAGTGAGTACTGGACGAGACAGAGATAGGGGGGAGGTGCGGTTGGGAAGGCGAAGAACAGATACTTACATGTTGACATGTTGGGACTTGCTTCACACAGGAGAGGCGAGACGTGAAGTGAACGGTGTTGATTTGTAGATGATAAGGGGACACGAGAATGGCTTGGAGCGTAAACAATAGACCTGTTTCTCACAGGGAATGCAGGTTCGTGGTAGGTTGCGAGTCTGGACAAGCTACGTTTCGATGTCTGTGCGACCGGTAGAGTCGACAGTGAACTCCTAGGAACAAGGCAAAGACGTTGAGCGAACATGGGAGGCGAATGCAAAGCTGGATATATGGTTTCTTGGCCTGTAAAAGGAACTCCTAGGCCTCTGCGTCATAGACGTGTATTGTGATTCGCAAACGGTCGGAGCCCCTATATCCTGCTCTTAAGTACGCTAGTTGAAGGCCTATTGGCCCCAGAATTTGCCTAGAGCAAAATGCCCAGACAAGATTGATGCCGCCCTAGATGATCGACTACTGAATTCATGACGGAAAATGGACTACCGGTGGAACTACGTCATGGCAGCGACATGAACGTCCAGGGCCGCAGGCTTGGCGAGCTCAAACAAAGAACTCGAGGGCACCAGATAGAACAGCGAATGACATCATGTCCAAGTAGTTGAAGGTGGACCACCGTGACTTAGACGAGAACATCGAAGACGAACGGGCGGAGCCCGTTGCGGAGACACCCCTGGAGGTGCCTCCGCATTAAACGACCCTCACAAACGACCTCTTACACTAGCTAGTACCACGTACTGGGGATTGTTATCTCAGCAAATCTAGGTCAGATTAGAGAAATGTGCTGGATGAGAATGTTTGGAAGGTTGTTTGATAGCAACTGCTGTCAACGGGGCTCCGCCTCGAGTCTCTTACCGAGACCTTAAGCCGAGCAAAAGAGTCACAATACTTGCAGTCGGTGCAGTAATGATTAACTCGGCTTAGCGTATTTCAACTATTGCACTGGCTCACGTTCAATGGGTAAGTCTTAATGGCTTTAAGGTAGTGGTGCTTCCAACTTAGTATCTGAAGGAAGTGATCGTCACTCCGCGGCAGAGGAGTCATAGAGATGAATAATCTATGAAATGCAAGAAACATAACAATCTTACGAATATCCACATATACAGCTGACTTCACCGGCAGCGCTTCTCAGGATGCTTGTAGAGGATTATCCGAAGACATCGATTCGACGTGATGTTGAGTGTACTCGAGAAGGTCACCGGGGTGACATCAATCTTTTGCGGGTCTATGCGAAGTAAAGCTACGGGATTAATTCCCTGTGGATGTTGTATATCCAGACTCAAAGACCTCGAGGAACTCTTGGTAAATCAGTAAATCGAACTGAGGGCAGTGAAGCCCAAGCTAACATACCGATATCTGAAGACAGCCGAAAGGACATAGGAATCCCTACCACACGTGCCATACACACAATGAGAACTCCGTCAGCGGTGCCAGCAGAATGGACATTTACAAGTCAATAATCGGTAGGATGACTTCGCACGGTTAACTTTCAGCCATCTAGAGGAAGTGTTCGAAGTCTTCACCCACACAAGGAGGATAAGGTGAGTTCAAAGTGAGGAGACTTATCAAATGTCTTTGATCGCGTAATGAGATTTACGTGATCATATTCGACTATGGAAGTTCAATCTAGCCATCTGCAACCTGAACTTGCATCTTCATGCTCCTTCACGAACCATAACGCGATCTTACTGCTGTTCAGTCCTTTGGATCGTTACATAGGCTCTTTGCAGCGTGGGACAGTTAGATCTTTCTACTTGGAGACGCATATTTGGCGTCCGCAGGAGTCGCCACCTTTCGCGGAAGGTCAAAGCATTGTTAACCGAGTGATTCCTTTGTCTTCAACAGGAACGTGTCTTTCACCTAGATCTCGCATAAAGTCTGGTGCACGACCAATTTGTCCCTGCACCCCTCTTACTTCCGCCATACTCCCTGAGCAGCCTATTCACGAATCGCTATTTCCTGTCAGTTCCAACTTCGCTATGGAGGCCCCCGCAGTTCCCGTACATGCCATGGTGGTTGATGATGCCGCCGATGAAATACAACAAACTCAACTAGAACAAGCCACTCAACCACTGTCCCAAGATGGTATGCCAGTGCCCCCGCCGGATAATCATCTTTGGGGTTTCCTCATTCCATGCAACCCTGCTATGGCCCGTATCGACTTGTATCGAAAGTATCCTGTCGTCAAGGTTGGACGAAACTCGAGCAAAGACGTAGGGAATCACGTTGTTTTGCCCGGATTGAAAATCAGTTGAGTTCCATGTGGTTTGCATTCATGACGCGTCTATAGCAATGATCGACGCGTTTTCTCTAGGCAATAAGCACTGTGAAATCAAATGGGATGAGAATGATTCTCGCAAGTCCATAATCACTGTGGCGGACTTGTCGAGCAATGGTACTTTCGTACGTTCCCACAGTTAGAGCTTCTGTATCTTAGCATATTGACAATCTCTGGAGATAAACGGCGAGAAGATCGGTAAAGGTCGCCATGGAATTCTCAAGGAAGGCGCTGAGATCGCGTTTGGGAGTGCAGTACCCCAGTCACCCGATCTTGCACAACAAGACTACCGTGAGTGTCTTGAGCACTGCCCGAGCTCAATAACTTATCTTCCCCATCAGGCTACGTTTTCCGTCTGTTGGCTGGTGGTCCGCCACCCACGGGCCTTCATGCACATTACAGTATCACGCATGAACTTGGCAAGGGCGCATTTGCAACTGTCATGAAGGCCATGAGCAAGGAGACGGGCCACTTCTACGCCATCAAGATGATCCAGTCTAACAAACTTCGCGCAGCTCTCACTCATGGTGGATCTTTCGCATCGGATGGGGACCAGAAACCAAAGCCGACCGAACAATTCGCGAGGGAGATTTCCATCTTAGAACGACTAAAGCACCCGAATATCTGTCAGTTGAAGGAGGTGTTCTTCGAAGAGGCTAACATTAGTACGTTTTCGAGTACTTTTCAGTGCTACTGCCGTAACCTCACCTTCTTTCAGGCCTAGTTTTGGAATGGGTCCCAGGCGGTGACCTACTGGATTACATCATGCGCCGAAATGGGCTTCGTGAGTGCTTCTCCGGAATAACTCCTCCGAATCGACGCTTACCTCCTTCCAGCTGAAGAGGAGGTCAGATATCTGACATATCAGATATGCGACGCCATGGCCGTAAGTTTGTAGTTCAATTTTCCCTTTCGATCTAACAGCTTGCTGTAGTACATCCACGAACAGGGTATCGCTCACCGGGACCTCAAGCCGGAGAATATTCTTCTCACCACTGATGTCCCTCCTCGCGTCAAGGTCGCTGACTTCGGGCTCGCGAAGGCTGTAGACAGCTACACTATGCTTCGCGTGAGTCCTCTGCGTTCTTGACCTCATTTGTAATTGATTTCCTCTTTGCAGACTATGTGCGGCACGCCTGCCTATCTTGCACCAGAGGTCGTATGCCAAGAAGAGCAGGTAGGATATCAGAGTGTTGTCGACAGTTGGAGCGTTGGTGTTGTTGTGTTTTGCATGTACGTGTTGCAGCCGTTGTTCCGTGAGTGGAGATTGACGATTGGCTAGGATCACGAATACGTCTCCCTTCGTTGATCCAACAAACATTACTGATGTGAAGCTGCAAATTAAATTCCGTATCGTCGAGTGGTCTGTTCTCAAGGGTCTCAAGGCCTCGACAGAATGTAAGTAGGATATCTAGGTAGTTCTAGGCTGTCTTCTTTACTGATACCGTTGAATCGCTAGGTGAGGATTTCATTAGAAAGTTATTAGAACGGCATCCGGAACGCCGCATGACCCTTACGGATGCACGGAACCACCCATGGTTGCGTGGCCTCAATCCCAACCCTGGCGCGCAGTATGTTCATCCTCCCCGGACTCCTACACCAGAGCCAGATTCTGATAGGGAGTTTCATGACTCTAGGGACCTTTCCATGCGGTCCCCATCCCGTGATGATATGTCTATGGACGAAGATCAACCTTCTTCTCAACCCGATGAATCGTCTCTAAATGAGGCCGGATCACAGCGTACAGGTGGACGCCTTGTACGCCGTCGCCAAGTCATCGATGAAGCTGCGGAGAAAGGCGAGTCTCTTCCGGAGCCCTCTCAGGAGATGCTTCGCCATGCAGAACAAGAGAACGCGAAGTACTACACCGGAACTAAACAGAGTCGACCCAACAAGCGGAAGGTTGGCGAGCATTTTGACGAGTCGCTTACACCTATGCCTGAGGCCAATGAGGAAGACGATGAAGAGCAAGAGGAGGACATAGACGAGAATATGTCTATTCTTTCCCCGCTTCCGGTAAACACAAGGGCGAAGAGAGCGAAAGCCCAGACTGGTGGTGATGTTAACATGTCTCCGGCGAAAGCGACGAAGGGCAGGGGCGGTGGCCGGGGAGGAAAAGGTTCTACTCGAGGCAAGCAGGCGCATGCTGGAATGTCCGAAGTTCCTGAGGAAGAAGGGTCGAAGCCTCGACGATCCTCGCGGATAAGTCAAACTCCGCAAAAGGCCCTAGGTAACTAAATGAACACGGATAAAACACGAAGCTCTGTTGCATCCTGTCTTCAGGATGGGAAAATGGGTTATCGTCCCTCCGATCTCTAGACTCTTTTTCTTGGTTTCCTTTGTACATTTTAGGCTTGTTTCGTGTGCATGCTCTGGGAAAGATGACACCCAGTCCCATTGTCCCTTTTGTGTTATTGTTCTTTGATCTACTTGCATATCTCGCTCTGTCCCTCTTTTATGCATACCATATGATAGGATATCCCATCTCCAATACCTGTTCATTACCGTGCTGTATTCTGTTACCCAATCCGATGTACTTTTTTAGATCCTTCCTTGGGCTGGACCCGCCGAAGCTATCTTGTGAGACATTCAGGCTTAAGCTTACTGTGCCAAACCTAACTTTCTCCGACCGGGATAAGCTTGAGGCAATGGGCGTGAACATCAGACGCAGTATTGGACCACGAGGGAACTTCGTATCAACATGTGCAATCCACGAGACAAACTAGAACATATCTACGGCATGGAATAATGACAGCGAAACGAACGATAGCAGACGACGAAAGAGCACATGAGCTGAAAAACATACGAATCATAGGCGCGAATCTCGAACCCTGGAATATGACGAACGCCCAAGAACGTCCTACACACGACTTCCACGCGTGTCATACCATGTCAACGACCAATCGAGGACGATCGGAGTAGCTAACGCTTCGTTCGTTTGCCACGATGCGTCTCTTCTGGGTAGGTGCAAACCAAATGACGGTTTGCGCATTGTCTGCGGAGAAATGACCAGTCAGAACAGCTGTTCAATGAAAGGCGCAGAGAAATGTGCAGAGGAAGCCTCCCGGGGCAAAAGGCAAGTTGGACGAGATTGAGTGTAGATTGGGTGTAGATGAAGACGGATATAGCAAACACGTCGGATCCGTTCCCCTCATTCGCACCCATTGTACAATCTCGGGCAGCCGTGCTACCGGTGGTATTTACAACCTATCCGAGTGGGATTCGGAGGCGTTTCGGGATTGTCTTCGAGCGTCAGGCCTGCCCAGCAAGGATATATAAAGGTGACATATGAAAGGGAGAGAGATATCACAACGCCTTTGTGGCGTCTCCCTCCCCTCACAAGCCCCATAATTTACGGCATAATTAGCGAGGTACTTACTTGCATGTCTTGTCTTCGCCCAATCCCACAGGGCCACCGCATCCAATCTTGCGTCGACGACAGAACAAGCAGGCGATTCGTACCGGAGTACCTCTCTTCGGTTTCACCTTGCCTTCTGGTATCTCACCTGACGCTATCGCTGCCCTGCGACCTGTACGCGGTGAGTACACTATGGTCTGTTTCACATATCCCATGCCGTCATCGCTGATAACGGAATTCGGCGTAGCGGTGCTTGATGATGTTGCATCACATATATCCGGCGTCGATGGTCCTGGCGTGACCATCGTCGGAAAGACTACAGTTGTGGCTATTGTTAGTAGATATATTACATCAGAAACTGCAGCAACGCTCACTTCTTTGTGCTTCTCCATGAGCTGCATCTTCGGGATACGGCAGGTGGGCCATGGGAGACGGCGAACGGTGTCGCACGACCATCTTCCCTTTCTCACGCGCACCAACTGATGATGCTGGTCCAACCGCATCGCTCGTTGGAGGTGGGTACTTTCCTTTCTCAGCTTCTTGGTCAAGGCTGGAGAATGTAGCTTGCTCCTGCGACCACTTCATCAGAATGCCACCTGCAAGGCAGAGGAGGGGGTGGGCACTGACCTTTGGTGTATGCGGCTTGCCACCTTGGCTTGTCCCACCGCCAGGGTCATGCCTGCTTCTTCTTTGTTTTGCACAGGCATGTTGGTGGAGTGTGTCGGAGGACAGGTTAGTGTCCTCCTCAACACCCCACGCAGACGTAGACGTAGCGGTCTCGTTCGACGCGCTGCTAGTAGATGTTTTCGACTTGTTCAGCTTGCTGTAGACAGACTGATAATGTGACAAGAGGGGAGCCAGAGCACTTGACGAGAGCGCGTTGAATGTAGATGGGCTGGCTGGGGTTGCTGGTGCTGTGGTGGATCCGTACGAGGTGGTTTCGTTGGTTAGCATTAGCTGGTCATTGGGGATTGTAGCACTGGATGTGTTAGAGAAGTTACCCGAAAGAGACGACTCCATGTTGTACTGCTCGTAGTTATACGCATATCCTTGTGGTTCATCTGCGTAGTAGCCTTCTGGTAATGGGGCTGGGAATGTGGATGAACGAGAGTCATCGTATCCCAGAGTGGCGTATGCGTTGTCTGTGGCCTCGCCATCATAGTGAGGGCCCTAGTACACGTCAGCTCCAGTCCAACTTGGAGAGTACTGGACAAAATCCTGCTTACTTCGTCGGAATAGTTCGGAGGGAACTGATGATAGTAAACGCGATGTCTGGCGGCACTTGCATCCGCATCAACTTGAGTGCTAGATGATGCAACTTCTGAGTGGGGCGTAAAGATACGTCCACGAGCAAGGTTAGCCTGGTAATGCCAACTTCCAAGGTATTCCTGCCAAACGTCAGTATTTTCATCGATATGAGCGCTACCGGATGTTGGGTAAGACATCTTCAAATAGAAGCCGCTGTAAACAACGATTGGAAGAAGAGTGGTAAGTGGGAGACGAATGTGAGGGAACCGTCGCGGGGAGAGGAAATTCGACCGTCTATAAGAGAATGGAGGTATATATGAACGAGCGAGAAACGCGTGCCGTTACCGAAGGAAACAACAGGATCAGGAACGAAGGCGAGGGAGACTAAACATATTTGGGCAGGAGGATGGACCCACATTCCGAAACAACGTAAGTACTGATAAGTGGTCACTCTTCGTTCTGTGATGTCTTGCAAGTGGTGTCTCTACTCTATCCTGTGCCGGACATCTGTCATCGAATGCCAGTATTTTATCTAAGACGCTGTTTGCTGTTTTAACGAAGGGTAGACCTCCTCATTAGAGGATTGAATGATCACCAAAGATGGCTGGCTTTCTCGGACTTAACAATTCATTTCCCCAAAAATCTGGTACGAAAACGACGCGGGTTGAGTCGGGCAAATACGAATGAGATAAGCCGGTGTTGGCAAGTTTATTCAATCGCGATCTCGGCTTTCTCAGCAAGGCATGGACAGTCCTCGCGTACGATTGTGTAATTGTAATAAAATGCTGCAACCACGCCGTAAGGGATGATGTGTCGTTTAACATGGTGTTTCAGAGTGTTGAACTTTTCCATTAGAACTGACAGGATAAGCGAGAGATATTCGCGCGGCGGTCGTACGTATTTGGTCTCCCACGAAGGTAGGAAAGATTCCGATCTGCGAGTGAAATTTGACATATGATACTTGAAGCAGGGAAGCTGGAGTATAATATTTCATCCTCGAGATATGAACGTTGCGGAATAATATCGATCAAGTAGGGTCCTAGGGAGTGTGATTCATCATGACTCTGAGCAAAAAGGCGTTCGTAAAGTCTCTCACCGTAGTCGGCGAAGCTTTAAGCGGTGGATGTGCATCACCTAGACGCCACGAGTGATTGAAATCTCGTGGAGCGAATCTGCTCAAGTTGACGCGAGATGCCAGCATCCCCGAGGCGTTAAGTCAAGTGAGCTGTGAGACGAAAAACTCTCAACACAGATATATGTCTTACTCGCAGTGACACACCGGATTGACCGCCGCAGATGTCTACACTATAGGCGAGTGCCAAGTGCTGTGGGGAAGAAGAATTTCGCCTACAGATGGGGATAATGGATGCGCTGTCGAGTTTTTATGATGAGAAGCAAAGCTCGGGGGGAGGAAGAACCTTGAAGTCATCATGGTCTATTCAGGGTCTCGCACGCCGGCTGCACCTGATGCATGTCCTTCCCGCAAAAAGTGATGATTGGCCTCACACCTGGATTAGTGTATGCAAAAGAGCCACGGTGATAATGACGCTCAACCTTATATTATGACAAACCTGGACTAAGTTTAACCATCGCCGGGTCTTGAGTTCGCTACAGCATTCGCTGGGGCAAAGGCACTGATTCGGATTCGACTCGTAGGGGCTCTGTAGCATTTCCACTGATACAAGAGTTTGGGGGGAAGGAGACGAATCTACTCAATATGAACGCTTGAAAGACGTCAGTGTTTAGGAAGTATAGAGAATCCTGCATCATAGTGTCAAAGAAATTGATTGATACCTAACATGTCAATGCAAGATCACTGTCCTACAAGCTTTATAGTCCTAATTCAAGGGTCCTATCGTATGTTCTCAGTTTTGCGAGCGGTTGATTGTGAAAGACCACGCACAACCATTTATATTGACTCTTGAAGTCATTGCCACAAGGTAGCTCGGAGCTAAAGTGCGTCAGTTTCCCATTCCCGATTATCCTATATCTTTGACCACTTGAAAGGTTCAGACCCAAGGTAACTCGGTGGCAGGGACGACCTGGGGGAATGAGGGGGAATGGGGCGCTGGGGGCGCAAGCAAAAAGCATACGGTCACGTGCCATTTCCATCAGGTGATCGCGTTTTGGCGCGTCGCGACGAGCTTGAACCAGGCTTGAACTGAACTTGAACCGCTAACCCACCATCCCTGCGAAACCTCCCCAAACCTTTCATTTCTATCCGCTGTCTTTGAATTTGATATTTTGAGAAATTGTGGCTTGTGTTGTTCAGAAAAGTTCCAAGCAGCGACTCAGTGCAGGAAAACAGCATGCTGAGCTCAAGATCACTCGTACTTCCGACCGACCTCGACTCCGGTACGGTCGACATGATGAACATCAGAACACCTGGAAAAGCTTTTCATAAGACGCCAGGGAAGACGATCGCGAGGAATAGGGCTACACTACAAGAAAACGCGGCGTATTATGGTGGTGCTATGACTGTGAATAGGAAGGGCAAAGCGGTAGCACATACACCATCCCGCCCTGCCATTTCTCGTGAGTGCAGTAGTCGTCTACCTGGAATGCTTCTCATTACGTTCTAATTCTGAACATAGCTCGAAAGGGCCTGCAGACGGTAGTAAAGCCAAGCATTATTGTGTCTCGACCACTAGGCGACAAGACACCGTTTCCTAATCGTCAACAGAACGTACCTCCTCTACATACACCTGCTCTCCAAACTGCCAAGATTGCAAAGCTGTCCTTGCTTGACCATGAACTCGTTCAAACTCCTGGGCATTTGCTTCGACCTTCGTCGAACAGAAAGAGTTTGCGAGCACCACGGGCAAGTGGAAGTGGTGGAAAGCGCAATGTGTTCAAGACCCCAGTAACAAATGGGAACCATTGGGATGTCAGCGACGGCGACATCCAGGTCGAACTGAGCGATGCCCAGGCGGAAACGGAAGAAATAGTTGAGGACTACGATGAGATTGAATACATGCCACCGAAAGTCCCTGGTAGGTTGTATTGTTGCATAATTTAAGTCGACAAGTCTGATTCTTTTCGCAGAACAACCTTACGAGCCCTTATTTCCTATGCCGGATTATAAGGTCCTTGGCAGAAACCTGCTTTGTCTTGCCCATTCGAGCTACGTCGACGACGCTGCCGAGTTGCATTTCTCTCGTCCTATTGACAACGAGATCGATTGTGGTCAACTCCTTCAATCAACTGGTGCATTCAACTGGGACCAATCACCTCTTCCTCCGTTAGGTATGCAACACCTACAATAGATATAAGATTCCTTCAATTGACGTATTTCCCTATGTAGAAGCTGAAGGGAACCCATTTGAGTCTGTCACAATCAAACCAACTGTATCCAAATCTATAGCGAAGCCTCTCATTCGTTCCACCACAACTACTGCGATTCCCAACCCACCAACTACCCGAGCCGCTGGTTCTCGTGTCCCTGCTTCGAGACCAATATCAAAACTCTCAACCCGTCCCGCTTCATCTACGTCTACACGCCCCCCATCGGTGGCGTCGTCGACACGTCCTGGATCTGCACCGTCATCGCGTGTTCCTTCGAGGACAACTAGTACTGGTACTAGCATGGTCACGAAGTCCAGCCCAGGTTCCTCTACAAACAAACTACCAACCCCTCCTACAACGAAACGTGTTGTATCCACGACTGGTACTTTCCGGAAACCTACCGCGACGCCGACGCAGAACGCTCTAGCGCCAACGAAGAAGTCTGCTCCGGTGATTCCTCGGGCTGCACATACCAGGACCCCATCGGTAGCACCTGCAGGGCCTAACAGAACTGCGCCCGGTGTCATGACACGGTCACGATCTCTGACAGTTCCTAGGAGTACCGTGGGCAGGTCAAAAAATTCCTCTCCAGCTCAGGCTGAGAAAGAAGACCCGTTATTTACGCTTGAAGATGACCACGAAATATCCTTGCATGAAGATTTTCACTTCGATGTTTGACTTCGTTAGGCATACAAAGCCCTGGATTCGTTCATCGTATATTCGCATCTTCAAATTTGTTTGTTACGCATCTATCATTCGCTATGCACAACATGCAGATATGCCATCCTTGTACGTCCTAGCGAGTCAGCTCTAGACTATGCCAACAGAAACTACAGACACTATTCATGCATTGACAATACAGTATGAGAGTCTTACCACTATTACATCTATATTCACAGGATGTTGAGTCAGAATCAGCAGTCGTAGAGGGAAGACTTACCAGCCAGTCCCACCATTTCTCCACCCAGTTCCTTGGTGGGGGCTCGTCATAGCTATAATGAAAGACACGTCAGTTCAGACCTACACATGACTGAAGACAAAAAGGTACCTTGCTGCTTCGATCTCCGCCAAGCCGGTTTTGAAGTCCATTCGTTCTGGTGTGACAAACGAGGATCGCTTCCATAGTCGAGCACCCAAGTAAAGGAAAGGGAATAGCCATAGCGGAAGATAATTCGTAACGAACTGGTCGGTGGCCCAATTACCCTTGATGAAATTGGTCCATCCACTGATCTGGAAGAGCCACGTTTATCAGAATGCCATTCAGAGAGAACACCTGTGAGCAACAGCCTTACGATACAGATGAAGAGAGACACTATAGCACCATACCATGCAAGGAAAGGCTGTCCGATCCCGACGTATGGAAGAGATTTACGCTCTATTCCCTGCGCCTTGAGACCTTTTCGGAATCGCAAGTAAGTAACAGAGATGCCGAACCAGCTCATCAACCCGGCAATTGCAGTCCTAGTCGCACGATCAGCCCTCGAAACCCGTCCTCGGAAAAACTTGCACTCACATGTTCCCAAACCTGCACAAGCAACGATCAAGCTCATGTTGAAGGGTGATTGACACATGACACTCACCAGCCAAACACTCGCCCAGATCCCTCTTTCAAGCCCATGAACGCGAGAAGTCCAAACAAGGACTGGAAGATCACTGCGACGTATGGAAGTCCGTGTTTTGTGACCCTCAGAAAAATCTTCGGCGCATTTCCATTAGCAGCTAAACCATCTATTTACCGAATTCAGACAAGTCAGGCCCTGAATTCAGAGTGTTAGGAAGGCGAGACGTACAGATGGCGCGAGAGCTGCTGTACAGATCACTTGAAGCTGCGGACCATGCAGATGTCAGCAAGGCCGCGTTGATCACCTAAGTACATCAGGAAACGCGTTAGTAAGTCTTGCAAATTGGACGACGAATGGGTCGGGAACACATACTGAGGGCAAACCTGTGATTCCTGCATTCCTAATGGCGATTACGAAAGGCGATTTGGCCGCATCAGATGTTTTGAGAGCCAAGTCGGGTTCTGTATATGGAACAAGCAAACCAATGACAGCGACTCCCCCAATGTAAAACAGCAAGATTCGGATGTATACCCTCTTGATAGCTTTCGGAATGTTTCTCCGAGGGTTCTTAGCTTCGGCTCCGGCAATGGCGACAATCTCAGTCCCGATGAACGAAAAGGCTGCTTGAGTGAGTGATGCAGCGAATGCGAGGAAACGTCCTTTTGCGCCTGCGATACCATGGTACTGAGTGAAAGGACCGGGGTTCTTCCAATACCTGAATCCGATACGATCATGATTTGGTCCGCCTCCAAGGTCGAGCACGATTCCGAGGATGATTAACCCAATTATTGTGATCACTTTGATGGAAGCAAAGACAAATTCAGCTTCGCCGTATGCACCTGAGTGAGTAGTACTGGCTCTTCAATTCCCGTACGAGATATATCTGAGGAAGTTAGAGACGAACCGGCTCCAAGTATATTGATGAGGATAACTACGATCAGAAAGACCGTGATCCATACAGCATTGTTCACACTCTTATCCCTGTGGTTAGTTTTGGATGGGCTCAGGACGTAATTACATGAATGGTACACACCAAAAGTTGACGATCACGGCAGCTGCACTTATTTCGGCGGGAAGAATGACAGTCCAATTATACCCTGCAGGAACGATCATCAGTGCTGTAAATGAAGTCATCGTCCTATGAGCTAAGTTCTCACGTACAGTAGTTCCATCCAAGGGCGAAGGAGAAAGCGGGATCCACGAAACGTTCTGCTAAAGTGATATGGCCTCCGGGCAGAGGAAGAAAGGCTACCATCTCTCCCAAAGTGACCTTGACCACATTCATTTATGAGTATGGGACATAAGAAGTAGCTGCAACACATCGGCGAACCATAACAGCATAACAAATCGACCCAACCTGAATAAAACATGACGTGAGGATGCTTGCATGGCTCGAAGGGTAACTTAACATACCAAGGCATATGCAAGGAGTAACCCTACAGGCCCGCCAGTTTGCAAACCAGCCGCAGTACCTAGGAAGAGACCGGTACCGATGACACCTAACAATGACGGAAGTAAGCTCTGACGCTCAAAATGAGGCGCAAGAAGGAATCCACATGCCTCCAATACTATCAGCAACACCCATGTTTGAGTACGGATGTCAATGTCTTTGAGGTCTGACGCATATAACGCAACGTACCTGATCATGGCAATATGTCGATTCTTCATCTGGCGTTGAAGACTTGGCTTCAGGGTATACGTAGAATCATTGACTACGGCATCTGTGTACACCGAATGCTCGCCATTTTTCTCGGGTATGCCATTTCTCGACATCCTGCCACAGACGGACACCAGCAGATGAGAGACTGCGATGAAAGACCAGGATTCATGAGGGTGTACTTATATGAATGTGCGTGGAGAGTTCGCAAAGGAATATGCCATGCGGTGTTGATGATGGAATTAAAGGGGATATCATGACATTCCGTTAGTCTGTCATATCGGATGTGGCTAAGCGTGTTGGCGCGAACCCTGCAGAAACCCTGGATGGGAGTATGAGAAGATAATACTCGGCAACTTGATGAAGAACATTGCAGGTCAACGTTTCGAGGCTTTCGGGTTGCCTATTAACCGAGTGAACGAAAAGTGCAGAGAGCTTTATAGGACGACGGGCATTAGAATATCGAAATCAAGTTGAAAGAAAAAAACGATATTGAATTATACGCACGCTATATTCATCTAGGATGACCGGTCAGCTGTGATGAGAACCCTGTAGCCTAGTTTGGATAGCAGAAACAGCGCTGGCGTTCACATATTCATACAACACATATCATGGAGCGGCAACAGATGTGCTTTGGGTGGAAAAGAAAGTCGTTCACGACGTAAATGTTCTATTCTCATGCGGCGTTTCGCTGGTCATTCTTCAGTAAAGTCAAGCCTGCGTGAGTTACACAGTGTATAAGCAAGTGCTTTCCAGACCTACCGTTTGTTGACTCGGCTCATACTATGTAAGCCGATATCGTCCTTCAAAATAGTGACCGGAGGTGGTTCATTTGAACATGGACCTTGTAAGGACTCCTACTTCTCAGAAGCACGTCTCGCTATTCTGCTGCATTCCCGACGTGACAGTTGTTCCACTCGATGGCGTCTGAGGAAACCAAGTATTACAAGGTCTCTGGATCGAGCGCAAATACGAAGCGCACAGAGAAAAATGGTCATACCAACATCTACCACTATGTCCGAGCCGCAGGATACATTGAAATCCTGGTCGATACTAATCAAAGGCACTGCTCCTCCACCCCTGTTGGCTAATGCCTGATTCCTGCCTGTCATGCTCCCTGACAGTTGCATTCTGTAGTCCATGATGCAACTGCATACCTTTCTGTCTCACTTCTGTGACGCTGCGTCCCAACTCTTGAACCTGTTTTGAACCTTTATCCACGGCATCTTGAATTTCATCCAGAGCCTCCCGAGCCATGTCCTTGGGCGCATATTCATAATCTTTTGAATCATGCGGGCCGCCTTTTCCGGGCAGAATTTGGGCACCTACTCCGACGGCTAGGGTACTAGTCTGCTCGCCCGAAGAGTCGGAAGGATGCACGGTGGTGCGAATGACACCCTTAGCAGTTATCTTGGAATATGTTTCCGGAGCAGCATTGTCCCTAACGTCACCAGCACCCCCATTGGATACATCACTGTGAGACCAGGAAGCGTTCACAACTCGAAGTAGAGCTGTCCAATAGTCGTCCAAAGTAGGATCCGATGGCGCTGTCGACCGGTCTGAAGCAAGCCGATTTGACATTTCGAGAAATTCAGCTGCGAGCCTTGAGAGTCCTTCTAAAGCATTCCGAAGTTGGTGCGTTAAGTAGTATCTTGCAACTGGCCGCCCCAGTGAACTAGCCAGAGGCTTCATAATCAGGGTATTGATGATAGGGTGTTTTGTATGCGATAGGCTGAAGCTGAGGCGAGGGATATCCACTCGGATATCCTTCACTTCGAACAAGGGGCCACCATACACACTCTTGGTCGGCTCAGTTTGAATTTCGAGCTCAACATCGACGGAAATGCCTCCACTTCCCCTGGATCCTCGTTTGCCAATATCTCCCAGCTCGGCGTTGACCAGACCCTCGTCTTCGTATCCAAGTCTCAAGGGACCCTTGTATCGGACGTAATACCCTATGTCCCAAGCAGCCACTCTGATACCATCTAGATGCACTCGCATTCTTGTGCAAGTCGATAAATTCGATTGGACGGCTTCTGGCAAATGTAAGACCGACTCAGGTGGTGCTAGGTCAGCGGAGGAGGGCGGGGTGCATTCCGTATAATCCAAGGCTATTTCGTTGTAAGAGTGTACCCGGACATGGTCTGGAAGGAGGGAGGTTCCAGCGGACGAAGTCAACAGAAGTGCATCAATCGCTGCATCAATGGTTTGATCCCGGTATTCCAAGCGGGGCATTGGAAGTACCTTCACCATGGCCAAAAGTCGCGGAAGAAACCATGTAAGTACGTCACGCAGTAGCTCATCACGGACTTGCACGGCTTTTTGTCGAGACACAGACGCGAGCTGCAGTCCTTGGGAAACAGCTGTGTTTGCAAGGCTGGCAAAGAATCCTGGAAGAGAGGTGCCGACTCTGTCTAGTGACTGAATGAGTTTGAGAGTGGAGGGATCCGAACAGAGTGCGGTGAGGAAGCTGTCGGTTTCATCTACGAGGGATCGTATGTCACGAACAATCTTCACGTCTAGGGCTGATTTCGAGCGGACGAAACCCCGGGCACGATCATACAGGTTCTCCAGCTGCTCCTTACCTGTGGTCGAGGTGACATACTTTGAGTCACACAGGGCTCGATCAAGCCATGCGCCTAGTTCCTGGAGAAACACGCGAATCTGGTCTTGCTCCCCGCTGGATAAGGAAGCAACTTCAGTCGGAATATTCGTTACGTCCCAAATCACTTGGTATAGGGCATCAGTGAGAGCGACGGGAGAACGCCCAGATGCGAAACGAGTGAGCAGTGTGTCCAGATCTGACAGTGCTTGGGCCACATTAGGATCATCCGACCATATGATGGGCGTGAGGGTTGGAGGAGTGGAAGACTTGGAGGCAGTAGCAGCATCTTGAGCAGTGTTCAACAAAATAGTTACCTTCGAGGCATATTTGCGGAATAAAGTATGCAGGTTTCGAAGTGCTGAACGGTAAGTCGAGTTGGTATGGGCCTGAGCGATTGCCTATGACGTGCGCGAAGCAAAGTAAGCTCCAAAGAACCTGTTTGAACAAGCTTTTCACCTTCTGTATCCTGATCATTGCAGCTGCCTTGACTTGTTCGGGGCCTTGTGACGCAGCTGTGGCTGTTGCCCCTCGAGCATCTCTGCCGGCACCTTCCAATGCGTTTTCAAAATCCTCGTTGGTCACATTATCGAGAGAAGGGCAACCTTCCGCATCAGGCCTTATAGTTTCCTCCGCCAACTCTGCCGCGACTTCCACCTGCTGAGCAATCTGACCTACGTCAGCCGCAGTGTCCGCAAGAACTTCACGGACAACTTTCAGGATATCCAAGAGCATGAACCGAAATACACTAGCAGTGATGAGCAGACGGAGGAGCGTGAAGAGAGAGTTTAACAGAATGCGACCGTCATTCTTGGCTTCCTCTTCCGATGGTAGAGTCCGGGCTAGGACAGTGTCATTGAAAACATCGGAGAACGATCATGATCAAACATACCTGTAGTTTCAACTTCCGGCTGAGACGTGGTGGTAGAAACATCTACAACTACATCTGCATGCAAAGCCTCGGATTCAATGTGTTTAAGGCGATACATAAAGTCTTGAATTTTGTCGTCATCTGATCATTGGCTTACATTAATCGCCCGCAAATAAAGTAATATGCAAGAGCTCTGACCATTTTTCTCCATGCCAATTTGGATTAGCACTTGTATGAATCCTCTTATATCCAGAAGTAACTCCTTGCTTGTTTCACTGAGTCGTGAGCGATCTGAATGAGCGAGCAGCTCGGAAGATAAAAGAGCTCGCAGCGCATCATTCAGCTGCGTTTGCGAAGGGTACTTTCCTGCTTGAAGGGCACCAAATACTTCTGTTATCTTGTTCAGCTGAGATTGGGAAGGTCTATGAAGAGCGCTGCGGACGCCGTGCTTGGGTAGTAATGGGTCGTTCTCTGGCGAACGTCGCCGACGGCAGCAGCAGAATAGATTCATGAATGTAGAACAGGTGCACAGCAAAGGGTCGTTGTATTCAGCCAGTGAGGTTGGCTTATTGAAAAGACAAGAATATGACTGAATACACTGTAGCATCGAACTTTAGCTCAGGCCTGTTGCAAGAGAATAAGATAGTCCAAACTTACCTTTCTACATCTAGCGAATTTCGGTCCACACTGTATGGTGCTCAGATGTTCCCAATCTTTCGTGTTATCTTGTGGGCGCACTATATATGTTCAAGATGGTCGATCATGAAGGGGAAACAGAGAGTTGGGCAGTTCAATCTTTCGCTGCATTCTCAGCCTTCAGCGTCTACGTCGAAGTCAGCTGGCGGGCCTAGATCTAGAAGGCATGTATGTATTGAACGTTCACTAACAAACGATCCAGTAGGGCTTTTCGTGACTCTTTTCCATTAAAGTATGAGAAGAGTTGTCCGATATATGGAATATATCATGTGAGCAAAACAAGTCGTTTCTAATGCAGTTAAGTTAATCGACCAAGCCTCAATGGGCGTACATAAACGTAATTAAAGCGGCACCGGAGACAGAAGCGATAGCGTAAACTCATATAACTCATGAGCCAGTGTTCTCAAAGAGAAAAGGTGAAGATGAAGTTCGCACTCCCCACATCCCGCCATCATTGTTTTATCGAGTAAATTTTTTCGATGGAACTCGTTAAGTGATCACCGTACCACAGCGCGCACATTTCTTCGTAACGTCGCTGCTGTGGTAGGGGTCAATACGACAAGTACGAGACAATGGTCAATAGGGCCACGTACAAGAGGCATATCAATCCACAGGGAAAGCACATGATTGCGGTTATGATACCACAGGGGCCGTATCTTTTCTCAACATCATGGTCACCACGAGCACATCGTGCATAAACTAGTTCGGGAGAAACGAGTTCAGGCTTCTAAAGCTGTAGGCTGGACTGCTGGACTCACGTTCTGCGCGGTATTGAGCTCCAATGTCCTTCTCCTGCTCCATTCTGCTAGGAGGCGGATTGCGCTGAGGGCTTAACAGAAGTGCTAACGAACCTGGACGTCAGAAGGACAGAGTTTGCGAAAGATAGGGGACTCGGCTAGAAATAGGGAAGTCTAGGAATAACAGATTTGATCCACCTTGCGCTTCTTATACGATTGTGGTGATTGACGGAGCTCCTATACACATTAGGATCCGCTACGGCAATGCAACAAGGGAGGATACGGCTATCTATACATTCATCCGCCAAGAGAAACTAGATTTTGGTATGCATTGGAGGCTTAGGGCGGGACTACCACGTTGAGAGGGGTAGGATCCGCAAACAGGGATGCCATGCCAAAAGCGAGTGCCGCCGCCCGGGGAATCACGGTACTCGAGTATTTCCATTGCTATAGTGGTGCTACCTTGCTTCGACAACGTGAACATCAAGCCATTCCGCTGGTCATAGCTAGTATCTGTTGAAGCTTTTAGGATAAAGAGACACCATGCCAGCAGTGATAGCTATTAGAAGAAAACACCTTGTTTTGACCACAACGAATTCGCGGATGTATTTCTGGCGCCCGGCGAGATCGGCATCCAAGTATGGAAAGTATCGTAAGTCACCCCGGTACGCAACGACTCAAGCATATGCGGGAGAACATCTGTAAGGATCAGGGCTCGAAGCTAGGTTCGCACAATTTGATCTGAGCAATCGGTGTAAGAAGTCTCGTTTTGAATGCATGCTCTGGATATCACGGACCAACAGCTTAGATTCCCCACAGCATCGTCTAGTAGGGTGGTAACAACAGCCATGAGACAACTTGAAAGAGTGCAAATGGTTGCAAAAAATCGAGACACACAATTCATGGGTATGATCGCAAAAATGGTTATAGAATATAGGCACAAAGAACAATGGAAACCAGATGCCAGCTCATTAGCAACATCCTCTGAGTCCTAAATAACCCCCAGACCGAAGGAACCCTGTAACCGTCATCTATGAAACGACAGTCCCGCAACGAGAGCATTTCTTTGTAACGTCCTTGCTATCACACAGTTCAACAACACACCGTTGGCAGTGGTGAGAAGAGATTGACGTACAAGAGACAGATCAGGCCACAAGGGAAGCATGCGAGGGCGGTGATGATGCCGCAAGGTCCATATTTCTTTTCGATGTCATGGTCGCCACGAGCGCATCGAGCATATACTGGCAAGGGGTTGGACCGAATGAGTAAAAGCAGCAAGTCGATGAGGATACCAAACGGAGAAGGCGGCCGCAATGGCAAGATAAGAACGTACATTCCTGTTGGAAGTTGGCTCCGATATCCTTCTCATTCATCGCGACGAAGTAAGAAAAATATAAAACCTGGACGGCGAAATAAGTGTCCGGAAATAAGAGGATGCTAGAGTCAGAGGACTCGAGACGAGTGTGGTAAATGTTAAGATGGGTAAGGAGCGTCCTCTGGCAACGACAGCCTTATATACGTTTCGTTAACCTCACCTCCGCCCACATCGCCTCTAGGCACAACCCTTTCTCAGATCTGAACCGTAAATTTGTTGGTTGCACGGGAAACATACGCTCAAACCACTACATGTGAGCGCCCTGGCTGATTTCCTACAGGGCCAACCGGACTCTATAAATGAGAAAGATCGGCAATTAGCAAGGTTCTGCTTGAAAGTCACGTAGACGCTGAATTCGAGCGTACAAATTGATATATGACCGTCGGTGCATGTCCAGGATGCGGTGACTGACTTGACATTTCGTGGGCGTTGCCTTGATGCAACACATACACAACTGAGGTAGTAGAGCCAGACTCACCCAGTCGCTACCTCGTGTTGATCATACCTGTCGGAAGGAACGTGGTGTAAGTTACTCCCTATGCTGTATATCCGAAGCCACTACGTCGCTCAATCTAGTCAGAGTGTGCATCGTCCACTGGCTGTATACGGGCATTGAACAAGCCAGAAGAGTGGCTGATGATAGTCTCCTGTTTATCTCGTACTCAGGAGAGATGCGCAATATAGGCGGAGAGAGAGGCGGGCTTAGATTGGATATACTAGGCCCACAGCTTGCAAGATTATTTAGCGGTGTAGGAGGATCCCGCCGTAGATCAGCGCGGATGAAGCATACATCGTCCCCGTCAGACATTGAACACAAACGTGGTCCCAGTCATTTTCCTGTTAATAGTGTCGACCTGCATACTAGCTGAACTTGGCTGATGACCGGCTCCGAGCTGGAATTCATTAATATATGTCGGGTACTGACTGAACATTCTGCCAGCATGTTTCACGTAAGAATACTTGAATCGCTGCGGCTTTCACAAGACTTCCAGCATAGAATGTCTTCCATCGAAACAGACGTGGCGGGATTGTACATTATAGTATAAAGGACCAATCTTTGGACTCCGAGACTCCGCCTTCGTCGGAGCTCGATTTGGTCTGCATCCGAATACTGTTGGCGGTAGCCACGCGACGTCGGAAGACCAAAATGGTTATTCTTGACATAGACAGCTTCCCCACCGCCTTCGTCGCCGCCCACGTCGTCCGACACGACGAGCTCGCCCGCCAAGATGGCTAGGACGAGTTTCGCACCCTCCTTCAACCTCGATGTCTCCACAAATGACTTCCTGTCCCCCCAGGATCTGCTTCCGCATTCTGCGCCTTCCATTGACCAGGAGAAGATTGCGCCATGGACTGTCGACCCTCCTCAACATGACAATGAACCGGTGAGTGACATTTGTGTTTGGTTTCCTTTTTCTTTGCTATGGAGAAACAAGAAGACGTGAGGGAGAAGGAATGGTTAGATGGGTGTCATATATGCGCAAACGTAACGGGTCTCAAGAACCAACGCCGTCTTTCTTGCATTTCAGTCATCGGCGTCCACAAGTCCATACGTTGTGTCTTCAAACATCCTTTATTCACTGCATCGGCCCTTCTCTCGTGCAAACCCAAAGCTATCACACTCCTAGTGCGAACTCCTTGTGGATATCTACGGCTTGTCCAAGCTGTTCCCGGATTGAGATACAACTAGATTCATTATCATCGCAACACTTGAGGGAGAAGGACCCGCCGCCGTATTTGTCTGCTTTGCTTGCGTTACCACCAGAGCCAGACCATACTTGCCAGTTACCACACCTTGTCGTACGCCTCCTACATGCGCTCCTGTATGATCTGGGTGATTTTTGGTCCAGTTTTATTTCCGTTTCGTACGTTGGATTGTCATTGTTTACATTCCCTTGAAGATGCTGAGTTTTGACGTGGACCCGTTAGCCCGAGTAGGGGGACGTCTCGTTGCTTGATGGCCATGCATGGTTTCTGTTGCACCTATTATGTCACTCGCTTTGGATCCTACTTGCGCAATTTCCACTTCTCGACTCGCTAGCTTTTCTGTACGGTCAATTGCCAGACGGGCGAGGAGTTTGAATTGCTCCTCTCGGTTTTGGTACTCGACACGTTCTTGAAATAACGACGTGTTCTGGTGCTCGCTCGATTTCCGTCTCGCGCGGAATGTCTCCATCCCTCACGATCCCTTTCAGTCCTTGGGGGATCAGGACGCCCATGCGTTTCCACTTGCACGTAACGACTTAGATTTCATCTAATGAAAACACGAGCGGGTGAAATTGCAATCCTCACGCAGTATCGAACGTGGATTGCATCACCCTGACCAAAGAAACACAACTCGAAGGACGCCGGAAATGACGCAGAGGAATGCTACTGCGAATGACACGGACGCTCTTGCAACCTCGTTGACGTGCGCGATTCGGGCCCAATTTTTGTAGTATCTCCATATGACTTCTATTCTTTCTATATTCCGACTTTAAGCATGCTCACAATTTAACTACTCTTAGCCGACACCTCCCCCAAAGAGTACTATGTTTGGCTTCAACCACCACAAGCTGTCGACCTCGACGCTTGCTGGTAGTACGACCAGTCTCCTCAGGTCACGACCTTCCGATACGTTCAGTGTAGAAAGCGGTTCCACGTATGGTGATACGCTTCGTCCTCATGACTTGATGCGAAAAACCAGTTCTTCGCCCCTTACGCGGATAGGAAACCTTATCAAGAAACGGTCAAAGAGTGCCCTGCGGTCAGGCCTGCAGATCGACTCTTCCTCCTCATCAGAGATCCCGCCACTCCCATCTCCCGATTTCATTCCCTTCCGACCAGCACCTCCTTCCCCCCCTCCGTCTGAATCATCAAGAAAGGGCCGTAAGGAACGAAAGAAGAAACGGTCGAATGCACCTCCACCACTTCCTCCGAAACAGAGCCAATCAGAGTTCACGTTAGATACAGATTTAGACAAAATGGAGGGTATCATCGACCTGACTGTTCTGCCACAATCAAGTCTGGCGGCAGATCCAGGCTCACCTAGCAGTGCCAGTGGTGGCTTTGAGTCGTCAGCTGCTTCAACGGCTCTCACATCAGATGTCTCCTCCGTTCATCACGATCACCATAGTGGATTATCGCCGCATGCAGGCACCATCTTCAGCAATCCATTCCAACCTCCTCCGTTATCAGGCACCAAACGCAAGATGGGACCCGTTGCACACATATATGACAGTAGGAAGGTATCCCCCAAGTCGCAGCCGTCGGGTTCACAACGTCTGAAATCGCCGGAAGATACAGATGATGTACGCGGCCCCTCTTGGACTGCTCCAGAAAGTTGGGCAGTGGAGAAGGAGGGCGAGGATTCCACGCAGGTATACTCAAGTTCAGATGAGAGCGTATCCAAGTGCCCAGCCAATCCCGCCCGGCGAAAACGTGTGCGACAAAGTACCCGTCTTCGTGCAAGTGGCAACACAATGTACAAAATCCGGATCTATCGTGCGAACAATACCTACCATGTTGTTTCGATCGATCTGGGTGTCACTGTCGGGGAGCTCACACCACAGTTGAACAAGAAGCTCTTGCTGGATCCAAAAGCAGAAGTACATCGCATGTACTTGAAGGAACGAGGGAGAGGTACGTAATCACGTAGAATAGTGATGGAATAATTGTTAACGGGTCGTCAGAACGCGTGTTGGCACAGACAGAAAAGCCTGCAAACATCGTACGACGACGCCTGGAGCAGGCTGGGTATGATATTGCAGACGGCCTTGATATCCTTGGTGCCGATGATATACAGTTCCTGATGAAATTTGTCTACAAGAGTAATGTCTTAGGACCTGCTGTGAGTTGAAAACTTAGATCTTTCATTCATTGTATTGACGTCCATATTCCATCAGGAGGAAGACCTTAATATTGAGAACTTCGAATACATCGACCTCACCGGACGCAGTCTCAAGACGGTGCCTGTAGTCCTCTATTCACATGCCGACACGATCGTTTCTCTGAACTTGTCTCGGAATCCCATGTTGGAGATCCCTCTCGATTTTGTTCAGTCGTGTACGACATTACGGGAGTTGAGGTTGTCGAACATGGCAATGAAGAAGGTACCCCAAAGCGTTCGACACTGTTCTTCATTAAACCGCTTGGACCTATCATGCAACCGCATAGGAGATCTTGACGATGCGGGGTTGGAGCTCCTCACGAATCTCACGTCGTTGAAGCTGCAGAATAATCGACTCGAGAGGCTCCCTCGCTACTTCCAAAGCCTCGAAAATCTCAAAACGCTCAATATCTCAAACAACAAGTTCCATATATTTCCCTCCGGAGTCTGCAGGCTCAAAGGCCTTCTGGATCTCGATGCGTCATTCAACATGCTTTTGGAGCTGCCAGAAGAAATTGGAGAGCTGCAGAATTTGCAGCGATTGATCATTGTTGGCAATCGGGTGTCAAGGCTTCCTGAGAGCTGCAACAAGCTTATGTCGTTGGAAACGCTGGACTGTAGGAGGAATAACATCTCAGACCTGTCGGTCGTATGCATGTTGCCTAAGGTTACCTCGATCATGGCAGATCATAACGCGGTGCCGAGCTTAGATCTATCATTTGGACCATCGCTCAGAAACCTCAACGCATCGTATAACGACATCACCCAACTGACTTTGATTCCTGGTCCTGTCGGAAAGCCTTATGCGCTTACAGATCTCGACATTTCCTCGGCCAAGCTTTCGTCGTTAGATGGTCTAGCACTTTCTCATCTTACATCTCTGCGGTATCTTCGATTCTGCCACAACTCAATCCGTACCATCCCTGATTCGTTAGGAGAGCTGCTGGAGCTGCAGCACTTAGCATGCGCAAATAATCGATTGTATTCCCTCCCCGCTTCCATTGGTAATTTGCAGAAGCTGGAGATCCTAGAGCTACACAACAACAGCCTAAAGGAGTTGCCAGCCTCTTTATGGCAATGTGCCTCCCTGACCTCGATTAATGTGACCTCGAACCTACTTGGCAACTTCAAAGAACCACCGATGTATATGTCCGTGCCCACGGTGCTGCAAGATCAGGTTCCATCTAGCCGTGTAGGGCAGTTAATTGCAGATAGGAAGACCTCTGTTGGTTCAGTTGCAAGCCGGGAGATACCGCCGCTGGCAAAATCGCTGGAGAAATTGTATGTCGGCGAGAATCAAATGACTGAAGATTGCCTACGACCGTTGATGTTGCTGAAGAACCTCAAAGTTCTCAATCTCTCTTTCAACGACATATCTGAGATTCCCCCAGGCTTCCTCAAGTCATTGCGAGCTTTGGAGGAACTTTACCTCAGTGGAAACAAGTTATCATCTCTGCCAACCGAAGACTTGGAATCTCTGGAAGCGTTGAGAGTATTGTTTCTGAATGGAAATCGCTTGCAGACGCTGCCTCGAGAGCTCGCGGCCTTAGGTTGTTTGACCACCCTTGATGTCGGTAGCAACGTGTTGAAGTATAATATCAATAATACTGATTTCGACTGGCACTGGTTGGTACTTGTTCGGCTTCTTTTCGTTTACCTTTTCTGACCAGCGCATCCTCAGGAATTACAACCCATCCCTGCAATATCTCAATTTGTCTGGGAACAAACGTCTGGAGATCAAGCCCGATACCAAAGTACAGGCGAAGAGTCAGGTGGGGCGAAAGATTGCGTCCGCAGATTTCGCCAGCCTTCACTCATTGAAGGTCCTTGGCTTGATGGATGTCACAACTTCATACCATACCATCATCCCTGACGATAACGAAGATCGTCGGGTGCGTACCTCACTGTCTGAAGTGAATGGGATGGCATATGGTATTGCCGACACGCTGGGGGCTAGTTTCGGGAATCCCGACAATCTGATCCTGAACACCTTCGATTTAGTGCAACCTCATTTCCGGGACCGAAAAGACGAAGCCATTTTTGCCATGTTCGGCCGCTCAGCCCCAATCAACAGCAACAATCGTGTATCGAAATACCTCCATGATCATTTTCTCAATGTGTTCTCGGCAGAGCTGGATAATATGCAGTCAAGAGGCGGCGATGTACCTGACGCTATGCGACGGTCTTTCCTTAAGCTGAACAAATTTCTTCACGACTACCTGTACAATTCAGACCCTCGACGGCCGTCAACTGTCAGCGCTTCTGGGTCCATCCGAACCTACATTGATCCCTCTGCTGTTCGAAGCGGGGCGTCGGGGGTTGTCGTATATTTGCTTGACAAGACACTATACGTCGCGAACGCTGGAAATTCCCTTGCTGTTATCTCTCACCAAGGTACTGCAGAACTTCTGTCTCGAAAGCACGACCCTTTCGAGAGGAGTGAGACTGTCCGCATTCGCACCGCTGAGGGGTGGGTCTCGCCGAAAGGGTTAGTTAACGAAGAAATCGACGTGTCCCGATCATTTGGCTTCTACTACTTACTGCCGATTGTCAATGCTCGTCCAGATGTCGTTGTTCGACCTCTCACGGAGTTGGATGAATTCCTCATTATCGCTAATCAAGGCCTATGGGATTTCGTTCCTTACCAAACTGCTGTAGACATCGCTCGTTCTGAGCGGTCTGACCCTATGATAGCGGCACAGAAGCTGCGCGATTTCGCTATCAGCTACGGAGCAGAGGGTACTACGATGATCATGGTGATATCTGTGGCCGATCTCTTTAATGAACGGTCATCACGCTCTAGACAAGCCACTCAGGATCCCCTTGACCTTGATGCATATGCCGCTCGACGACGTCCAAGGAAGGACGAGATCGTGAACAAGGACATTTCTCGACTTGACGGCGAAGTGTCACCTCCTGTCGGCCACATCTCTCTGGTATTCACTGATATCCGTAATTCGACACATCTTTGGGAGGTGAATGCGGGGATGGAAACGGCAATGCAGCAACACAATCATCTCTTGCGGCGACAGTTGAGACTTTGTGGCGGCTATGAAGTTAAAACCGAAGGTGATGCATTCATGTGCTCGTTTCCCACTACCATGTCTGCGTTGTGGTGGTGTCTCAGTGTACAGGTGGAGCTTTTGAAGGTTGCATGGCCTTTGGAGATCCTAGAATGCGAGGACGGACAAGAGATTCGCGACCCTGAAGGCAAGCTTGTTGCTCGCGGCCTTTCTGTTCGTATGGGCATACACCAAGGTCGACCCCTTTGCGAACCCGACCCGATTACGCACCGCATGGATTACCTTGGTCCTGTGGTAAACCGTGCATCCCGAATAAGCAGTAGTGCTTTGGGCGGGCAAATTATGTGCAGCGCGGATATTATACGAGAGATTAATGCTATCTTCAACGACGGGCCAAAGACTGAGCACTCATACCTCCAACCTACCCAAGCTATCGAAGCGATACGCCGGCTTGGTGTTGTCGTCCACCCCGTTGGTGAAGCAAAGCTAAAAGGACTCGAAGTTCCTGAGATGTTGTCGCTCGTCTATCCGAGCGAGCTAGCAGGCCGACAGGAGCTAGAAGCTGTGCAGACGCATCCAGGAGCAGCTGGATCGCGAGTTCAGTTCAGCGTCGATCAGATGCGCGAGCTCGCTGTGCTGTGCATTCGACTAGAGACTTTGACGTCTTCTCGCGTATTTCGCCCTCTTCCAACTCGCAAGGGGAGCACGTCCAAGACGTTGGAGGAGGAGAAGCAGGAGGAGGCGAACCCCGTCTACTTACATGGGAACCTCGACGTGCTTTTGCCAACACTGGACAAGGCCTCGGATTCTGAGTTGATGCAAGTCCTTGACTCTCTTTCGATGCGCATTGAAAGCGCATTGGCGGCCTTGACTCTGAAACAGATCGTTTCCATGAACAAGTGTGACGGAGATAATATTTCACGGCGGCATGGTGGCGGTCTTGATGTTCGGACGTTGCAACAACTTCTCTCGTTCTTGGCACCTCCTTGAGGTGGTTTGTTGTATCTGGAGCATTTTTTTTTTCTTTCTTTCCGGGATTCTTGTTTGTGTCATTATTTAGACGTGCATCGATTCTTCTCTCCTGCATCATTACTTATCACCACAGTTTGAGCATATTATTGTAACCCTGTATCATTTGTATCATTGTATTCTATCGACGTCCATAGCTGTTTTTCGTAGGGCATATTTAATGTTTATCATAAGGTTTATACCCGTCCCTCCACACCAGGTTGCTGCTATCATTGGAGCTGGTCAAAACGATCTGAGCTGATGTGACAATCATCTTAACTGCACAAAATGTTGACTGAATTATCTGTCTCCAGGGTTATGATTGTAAACGATTCAGGATACATGGCCCGGATACAGAGCGGTTTTCCTTTTCCCAAGGGGATGAGACAAAGGCCGTCCTTAAGAGGTTCGTGAGTTCGGGAATAAGACATTGAGGCCAGGGTGGGTTTCAACGACAGTGATATGACTTGAGCAGTTATATCTTGCCTTAGACTTTACGAAGATCTCGTTCCTCAGTGCAATGCATCTTTAATTCACGCACGTTCAAGTAGAATCGCGAGATACCATCATCGTCGTGAAATCCACATCATACAAATACATGATTACTTGGTTTCTGAATCTTCCTTCTTTCCTCCGCGCTCACTTAGAAGTCGATTCTGCCGGGAACAATCTCAATCCAATAACCATCAGGATCCAAAATGAACGCAATGTGTTTCATCTTCCCATCCGTCAACCTCTTCTTGAATGGCACGCTCAACTCTTCAAACCGAGCGCAAGCCTTCTGGATGTCGGGTACAGTGATAGCAATGTGTCCGAAGCCGCGCCCAGGGTCAGAATTTCCACTGGAATAGCCTTGGAAATCGGGGTCTGACTCAGTGCCATGGTTGTGTGTGAGCTCAAGGATACCTACAAGTAGACAGGCGCATTATGAGGACTTGAATAGGGTGGATTTGGTAGCAATTACGTACCCTCGCGGTTGAAACGAGTGTTCTTCTTCTCCTCTGCACTTTGCTTGCCTCCGGAATGGTCGTAGCCAAGGAAGTAGAGAGTGAAGCTATCAAACTTCTGCTCTGTTTCCAACGATAACTTAGACCTCGTATAATTCGCTCGATACCAGTCCGAGTTTACCTGACAGGAGATCCATTCCCAAGACCTTTCAACGAGATGCAATAATCAACGCCTCCGCCCGAGTTCAATAACAGAATGGCGTACCTCAGTATAGAATTTGAGTGAGACCTGAGGGTCCTTGACACGAATCATCGTATGATTGAACTACATCCTCCATGTCAGTGATCCTAGTCATCTTCACTGATCGGCATAGCGAGAAACCCACCTTGAAACCTTCAGTTGCTTCCGAGCGAGGCATATTGTTTCGTTACCAGGTGTTATCAAGGCTGGAGAGCACGGGTAAGGTCTAGGACAAGGATGCAGTGGGAAATGTTTATTATTGCTCGAGGATGCATCGGTGGCTAATAGCTATCGATGACGTCGGTCGCATGAAAGTACTTCCGAGCATAATTGTGCTAAGGTTACCAGTAGGTTGGGGAAAAACTTCACACTCGCCATAAGTCAGTAAAAGAGAGCAGTGGGGAACACAGACGACCGAGAAGAATGAGATCCTGAAAGAACGCTAGTCGGCAAGTTCATGGACGTTGATAATTCAATCATAACTGAAGGCTGAGTACCTTCGCGATCATGTCCAATCATGTCACAACTTGCTACTACAACACTTTGCATACAAAATAAAGCTATGATGGCAAAAAATCATGTTGGAAGTGATCGCAAGAAGGTATGGCGAATGTTGATGAAGACAGAAGCAATAGAGAATATCGTAGCATTTGATGAGGGTACCATTAGACGTCAACATGACCGAACAGCACCTCCCTAGTCTAGTTCTAGTCCACTAAAGTTAGGCATAACATGAAACCGAAACTGAGGATATGTATGCCTATTTCCAAGATAGTCAAGATCGAAAGATCGACTACAGCCGGTTTGTACGTCAGTCGTCAAATCAGATGTGAGGCAAAGGACGCACCTATCTGCCCACAAGTGTCGAAGCGTTGGATAATCTTCCCGATCTTGCTCACAGAATTCATGGAATCGCTCGAAAGTATAGTATACGAAGGAACCATGGCCTGCGAGTACGTCTTCCAGTTCCTTTACAGTAAGCTCCTTATCAAGTCTATAGGTTGAATCAAACGTCAACAAGAGGTCCCTCAAAAGAATAGGCGAAGACCTACTGAGGGTCAGACAATACCGAATCTAGAATATGCGCCACAGTCAAAGGCCTATCTTCCAATTTCGCCTCATGCAAAACCCAGGATTCACGTTTGTAAGAGAGGAATGACTTCCGACAGGGAGGGAATACAGCCGAGCTGCGATATGCGATAGGATGTTCTTTCAGCTTGATATGCCTCGATACCTCTTTGCCCTTTCGTGACACCTCTTCTCCAGATCGCAAAAACGTTTCGAGTGCCGACGTAGCTAGGGGAGAGCGACGTTCATCGTTGAGACTGACTGCGGGGAAGATCGTGTTGGAGCGGAACCTGTTGGATAGGTAGCATTGGAGATCTTCGTCCCATACTTGCCATTGAGTGGATTCTTCCTTCCAATGGCCTGCGAGACGATCAGGTTCGTCAGTCTCCAGTGGCACGAGTTAATGAATGCTATACGTACGATTCTGTTCAAGTAAAGCTGGACCGCATTGTGGATGAGAACAGAAACCATCTCGTACAATGCAATCAAATGCAATCTGCTGCCATGTCAGACCGAGAGACATATCCTCGTCCGTACGATAAAGGCCATTCAGCTTGCAGAGACTTTCCCAGAACGGTTCCTGTTCTTCGTCGGAGCCATAGAACCCTGCTGTGTCTCTACAGGTGTGGTAGAAACAAACATGCGTCCTTAGATCGTCGTCTGGAAGATATTCCTTGACAATCAAGAGAAGTTCGTTGGGGAGTCGACGTTGTCCTTGTCTCGTGTTTATAACAAGATCTCTTGGGTAATCAATGGTCATAGCATCCATACTGGCAGGTCGATTGAAAGGAATATGAGTCGTTCTGCTGAAGAGAAAGTAGAAGTTGAGACAAAAGTTGAGAAGTGGAAATGTGGCTCAAGTTCAACATGACCGTAAACGGGTAAAGGGTTTGCCTTTTATATACAATTGGCGCTTACTTTTCACAAACCTCTTACGGGGCCAAAGTGTTGTCTCGTCTCGGAAGATTCATACTGTAAATAGGTACCCATGCGTACCTCCTTATACAGGCTGAAGTCCTCGGTTGGAACGGTTTTTGCCTGCTCCCAGCATCCTATGTTGTCATGATGGCCAGCTGTCGAAAGATTTGTGCAACTCACTGACTTCCGACTCACTGGTATCTTAGCCAACATCTTTTGTCAAACATTGCTCCAAGACCCAATAGATCCAGCAGTCAGTTTAGTTTATGCCCATTGGCGCATATTCCTGAAAAGTTCACCGATTGTTTTGTGTGGTCTTTAGCCATGTCTTGGAGACCCTGCATATACAGTAACGTACACCCTCGCTTGCAATCAAAAATTACCTTCGTTCCCGTCTCATTGAGAAATATGTACGACCCCGCGCCGGATATCACATGTGTTCAACAGTGTAACATGAATTTCAGCGCAGGGCACGCTCTGACCATGCTGAGTCCCTCAGTCCCCGGCCCAGACACATACAATTCCCAGGTAGTCCTTTTGAACGTGACGGTAAAGTGATAAAACATGCCACCTCAGTCTCTAGCAACGCTTCAGACCGTTCAAGGGCCATAAATGCCACTTGAAGACAGGCATGAATGAAAGTTATGCATGACAATCGTCTCGCTCAATAAAGTCCTCCACACAGGCGAAATCTCTGCCATACGGATATTCACGAGATGATAACCCGCAGCGAATCTAGCACATGCACCCTATAATTGCGATCAACCGATTTTACCGAGTGCACACTTCTCGCTTTGAAATGGATTAATTTCCGTCGTCACCGTGGAAACACTACGGGCAGGTCGCGAGTTTGGCGGGTAAAAATTGAGAGCAGAGGCCAATCAGCTCATTGTCCAATAGCATGCGAGAAAAACATGCTCACCAGAACTCGGATGGTCCAAGTGGGGCTTGACGGCCACAATGGTCCCGATTCCTTGGAGGTGTTAACCCAAATATGAGAGGTTGATGATCCCGAGAACGGGATTCTTCGATCAGGATAAGCGTGTATAGAAGTATAACGGATCCGAACGATCATGCAACGTGGCGGCGAGAATAGTAACAGCACGACGTGCATGTGTTAACGCTGAGAAATACTGCATTGCTGGGATATTTAAGTCAACCTGACTGAATAGTTCCAGAAGAGAAGACTCACGGAAGAATGAACGGAAAGTGCTATCTGAAGAACTGTGATATTCGGCCACCAAAAGACCCAGTCATAAACACAAGCTACGAGTCACGACGTGAGACAACATCCAGCGTATTAAAAAAATTCTTGATTAATGGCAATCATTCGAAACGAGGATCCATCGTGTGTTCATGAGAAATTCTACACCGCAGATGAGGAAGGAACCGTATTCTCGCCAATCGCAAGCAAACCTGCGACGGTCACAGAGAGACTTGCCTACCTCGGAAGGCTTCACCTACTCATATGGTGCAGTGCCAACGATAGCGGTCAAAGTTTCATAGCCACACCATCTTGCCAGAATGAAATGTGTTAACATCCGATCGTTCCGCTGGTCCCTTGCCACATCTGGCGGGTCGACGTTGTTGAAAGTTAAGATAGGGCACTGCAGGCCGCCTCGGAAGAACCTGGCATGTGCGTTGAGAACCAGTCAATTCAAATGAACAACAAGCATGAATCAAAACGAACACAGGGTAGCAAATGGCGTCAGGATGAATTCCCAAATGCAAAAACAAAGGCAGCCAATGGTCGTTCGAGACACATAAACTTCTCATTCACACTCTGTTCAAACGTGCCACATCGAAAATCATGTTCCTATGTGTACGTTCAGGACATTAAATACTGTTGAATTTCAAACGACCCATCAGTCACGCGTCACAGGGGCAGTTAACGCGGCGAAATTGGGCGGGTGTCACGGGTCACCGGGCGTAAAAGCGAACAGCTTGTCCTTAGGCATCCGTCACAGAAAATTAATGTTTTCCAGTGAGTTGTCCTACGCTGTAATAGACTTTCAGTATTGATGGCTAACTTTGAGGCAGGCTAAGTTCATATAAGTATCCATACAAAACGTGGACATCGCCTGTGTGTTGTTTGGGGAAATCGTCAAGCAAGCGCGCAAATAAGCGTTTACCAATAGTTCTTGTTCTCGTCGATGCAAGTTAGTTGAAATACGGACCTGCCAGACCCTGCCTGGATCAATGTTACCTCGTTGCGCAACCGAGTATACGCGAGAGTACGCGTGCCAAAGGTTACACATGAAGAAGTTTCATACAACCGGTGATTTTACTCGCGAAGACGGTGTCAAATTGTACAATGCAATGGAACGCGCCGTCGGGACTCAAAGCAACGGCGAATCAGCTTGAGTGAAGGTCAGAAGCCTCATGGACGTGACCGTCTTGATGAAGCATCCAAGCGTCTACGAGTATTCCATGCGGGCTACTCTATTTTCCCAATCACATGCGAGCACTAAAATTTCAGAAGTAGGTGAGTGTGCTTCCTGATACTTGTCTTCTCCACCCTGATCAAGGGGAGGCAGAGCGGGCTTGTTGACCTTTACGTGTAAATGTGTGAAGATATTGGGACTCGCATGCGGACCAAAAAACGCCGGAGATATTTCTTCCACAGATCCTGGGCTTTGTAATTCTCAAAAGGAGCCGTTCAATACATTTGCCAGAGGTATAAGAAGCGTCTGATTTTTTCTAGGATAACTCACCGCTCTCGACTTCCATCGCAGCAGCGTTCCCTCGTATCACAGCTAAACCAGCCGAACCAACCGTCTCAACTCCCTTTGAGTCTTTTGCGATGTTGTTCACCAAAGTCCTCTATCCTCTCCTCGCTGTCTTCGGCGTCGCGTCCCTCGCGTTCGCTAGTCCCATTGCCGAGCCCGCTGCAGGTGGGATCGAGATCAGGCAGGCTAACAGTGTCTTGGACGTTGTGCAAGGCCTCCAGTCCGCCGTTGCTCCCATTGTGTCTCAACTGGGTCCGTCTCTATCTGACCCTGTTTCTTGTTCATTGTTTCCTAACCATCTCGGCTACAGAGCAAGCGGCCACCACTGGGCAGGACCCCACCGCACTCTTGGGCGAGTTACGGGATGTCTTCACGAGCTCTACGAGTAACGTCAAGAACTTGAAGGCTAGCCCCAGCAGTTTCGCCACGGCTGATATCACTGCGATTGTTAGCATCGTTCTCAACATCTTTTTGGTATGTCGGCTCGTGTTGTTCATAATGGTCCGTTCTCATTTCTCACTTTTACCTGAAGGACGTCGTCGTTGTTTTGGGCAAATTCCCTATCCTCAGCGTCGTCGTTTCCGCCAACGTCGACGTTTTCTTGAGCGCATTCCTCTCTGCTTTGAACGCCGCCTCTCCGGGCATTGCTACTCAGATCGGCAAAGGGTAAGAGATTTTCCTTGCTGTTGATTTGTTCTCTATTGATATCTTGTCTTAAGCATACCGGGTGCCAACGTTAGCGTTTTTGTCGTTCTGCAGCTCGTCGCTGTCATCAGGATCCTCGGTATCACTATCATATTGTAGGCGTCTCAGCGGTGTAACGGTCGTCATATCGGTCTCAACGGTCGGGCTTCAAGTCTGTGGTTTTGGAAAGATTATATAGACGTTTATGCTGATTTTGGTCATAAATGGATCGCAATATATTGAGTATTCATATACCCCGGACATCGTCTCAGTTCGAAATTATGAATTGTCTTGATTGGGAAGGTATTTTCTTTCCGGCTTGCTATACATAGGTCTGGGTAGATATTATCATTCCTCTTGAACCAGGGACCCACGATGATGTAAACATAGATCATCACCCCCAAAAGTGTATAACTCTAATCGCTTCATAGGATGTCTCGACTTTCTATCAGAAGTCGTCAAAAGTAACCGACCTCCCTTCTAGCGCGTGAATTCAAGTCCTTCGACGCTGAAAAAAAAGTGCACTATGGTTCGTGCCCACCCCACATTTCACCCACCGTTCTAACAAACAAATTTCAGAGTAAATCTCAGCAGAAGGTGCACCTACAAACGTTTTGGTTCAGCACCCAAGAACAGACTAGGGTTGGGTGTTGTTCTTAAAGCCCATACTGTACATGCTGGTATATAGAGAAGGTCTATAAAAGTAGAAATATCGTAGAAAAGGTTTGCCGATATAGATTTGTCTTCATTTCCAAGTTGGACGGATGGAACCGCAAGTCGAACGTGTCGCCATCATCATCCACAAATGATACAAGACGCGCAAAAAATGACAGCCTTAACAAGGATACCTAGAAACAATTGCTCGAAGATCCTATGTAGTCGCTTGAGAATATTTGTACTCCAGTGCCGAGAATGTACGCACTGCTGGAGATTCCGGTATAAGATGCAACACGGGTATTATTTGTCGGCACGATCTGAGTGAAGTGATATAGGAGGAGAACGCAGAGAGAAAGGGTCGAAGGAGTATCATACCTTATGGTTCGCTGCTGCGCATTGCCTCAAGGTTGTATTGCACGTTTTTGCGGTACTTAGTGACTAAATCTGCGGCGGTTACCACACGATCGTTCGCTCGAACAATCTCCTACAAAGAACTTCAGAAACAGAAGGGTAGAAGCAGATATACTCACGTCAAGGCAATGGTTTAGCTCGAGAATATTCTCGGTGCATTTATCCTGAAATCTAGTCATTTCCTCGTGTCATAGACTTTACAATATGTGGAAGTACTGACAACGTTCTTGATGATACGCTGAAGCAGAACATTTTGCCTTTCTGCATGAGGATTCTCCATCCTATGGCTGCAATTCAACGAAGGACTGTATGATAGTTTGTCAAGCTTGCTTGCAGTCCAAAAGCAACGCGGAACAAGTGTAATCCAGACGCGCCTTGCACGTGAGGAATTCAGGGCAGGCCTAAACCTACTGAGATGCTAACCAAATTACACTGAAAGAACGCCCGCCTAAGTTTTTTTTCTTATGACCCTAGTACTCGCTGTTTACGTAGATTGCTCGCTGTTTCAAACCTTTTCTCTTCATAAAACCATGTTGTGTGTATGAGAATATCTCTGACTATTCGGCATGGTGCAAGCAGACAGACGGCTCCTATGGCATCCTCGGCTGGACAACAAGTTTCTTGTAGGAGGTGGTACTCAGTTAACGGTATATGAATGGCTTTCAAATTCGTCAGAAATCAGACATGTTACCTCGAAGCATGATCTGCAGATGATGAAGGTATGTACATGTCGCTACTGAAAGTCGTTTATGCTCATTTGCTATCAGTGCTTCGCATGGTCACCAGACATTGCATATGATGATCTGGTTGCAGTCGGATATAGTACTGGAAAGGTCGATCTCATTCGTCTGGAGGCTACCTCGTCATCTACGAACCAAATCCTCTCCGCTGGACCGTCTGTTTCACTCCCAGTCCGGAATACCCGAGCTTGCAATACGCTTGCGTTCTGTTCTGCTGACCCAAGCTATCTTGCCATTGGTCTCGACAAAGTGCGCAATGACGCAAGTCTCATAATATGGGACATTCATACTATGATGCCCTCGTTGTCAGTCAAATCTTCAAGTCAGTCAAATGGTTCCGCATCTGTTATACGGCCGCAACCACAGATACCTCGAGGCGATTTGGGACCACGTATTGACCCGCGGATTCTACAGCAACATGCTTCAGCAGAGATTGTGTCGTCATTAGCATGGCTTCCCAAGTCAACTACGCTTCTTGTTGCTGGCGTTTCCCACCGTTGGCTCAAGTTGTTTGACTTTCGCAACCATGAACCCGCAGTTCAGAACGTCGCAAGCAAGGTTCATGGCATTGTTACTGATCCCTTCGACCCGCATCGTATTGCAAGTTTCGCGGACAGTGTGGTATCTATTTGGGATACCAGACGTTTGACTCAACCCCTCCTGACATTCACTGAGAAAGATGCATCAGCGGACGGCGCCAGAGTGCGGCCGAATTCTGCTCTCAGGACCGTGGAGTTTTCCTCAGTTCGACGAGGCCTTTTGGCAACTCTTGATAAGGAGGCAAATCACGTACGCTTCTGGGACTTGCGTCAGGCAGAAGTCGTTGGCCGAACGCCAGACGGGAGGATTTCTCGAGATTCTTCTCAGTCAACTCGAGCAACTCGACTTTCGTGGGCTAATCCCTCGAGCATGTTGCCTTGGGCTAGTTCAGTCAATAGTCATGTTTCAACCCCTCCGACGCCATCGGACCATAATAGAGCACCATATCAGCTGATACTCGCTGATACTCGGAAGAGTACGCATATACACTGTTGGTGACTTCTACGGTTCCCTAACATGAACTTTAGCGAAGAATTTCAATCGAACGCTTGCATCCTTTGCTTTGGTCCCCGACTCTGATCCATGCCCTCTTACATCAAATGTCATGGTTGTCAACAAGGAGGGAGACCTAGAGTTATACGCTGTTCATGATACACCCACTCATACACCTTGGAGCCCTCGAGGAGACTTGGCACTTGGCATTGGTCGTTCGTATAAGATCATGCCTGGCTTCCGTGAACGCGAACGGCCTCCTGAACCATGGGACATCGTCATGCAACCACCCGGATATACTTCGACATCACATTCTGTCGATTATCGCGACAGTCACGAGCAGACATCTGCTCACGATGGCGGTGGCATTTCGCCTCCTATGTTTGGTCGAGGTGACGAAGATGGGTTCCCCGCTTTAACGCCAAACACTCCAGCCTTGAAAGCACACGCAAATCTATCAGCCACTCGCCCAGGTCGCACCAGAACGTATAGTCCGGCTGCTTTGCGAAACCTTCATTTCGAGCATTCTGCAACATCGAGGCATGCACTCGGATCAAACATAGATCCCATGCCAACCCTTGGTCTCGCTAGTAATCATACGAAGGGCAAAGATACTCATCATCATCATATTCATCATCGCAGAGAGCATTCACCTGCCTGGGGTCATATGACGGAGGTCACAATGCAGCACGGTCTAGAAGAGGACATCTCGATGATAATGCGTCGTAGAGTCATTCGCGGCTACGGTCTGATCAACGTATGTTCCTTTACTTCTCAAACGATGCCATTTGAATGAATATATTGTAGGCGTCTCACAACGCTATTGTTGCTCGAGAAACTACACCACATGATTCAACGCTATCTGAACTGTGGCTTTGGATCAATTGTAAGAAGTTGATTCCTCCACACTCAACCGTTAACCAATTGCATCTTCGTCAGATGCACAGCAGCTGTTGTCAGCGCCAACTTCGATAGTAGAAGGATACAATTTCTCTTACCAAGGTATCTGGGGTATTTGGGAAGGCTTCCATCCACAGCATCCACAGTTCTCTGCCAACCCTACACCCCGAATATCACAACGAGGCCTCCTGTTGGAGACGGCTCCATCAGCATTGTCTAACCTTGACCTGGAACGTCGCCGAACACGATCAGGTTCCAGACATCCTGGTAGACGGAAGAGTCGGCCACCTAGCGATATTGTCCAAGACGAATTCCTAGCAGCTATCTCTATCGTCAACGCCCGTAGAGATTCGGGTAGCTCCACATGGCAGCCATCCGTGGCTACGAATAAGTTGGCTCAGAGACAATTGGCATTGTATCTTTGTGGATGGAATTTAGCAGAAGACGATTTAGCACATGCTATCAAGAGGTATCGTCTGCATCTATCCATATTCTTCTTGTCATTAATGGTAGCATGTATAGGTGGGAGAAGGAGCACAAACATTCGCAAGCAGCTTGCTGGCTAGTGTTTACGAAGCAGTACAAGGCAGCCGTTGAGCTTCTAATGCGCAGTAGAGGTACGTTGAGCCGTCATGCTATCTCGCCAAGCCTAACTTCTGCCACCCCAGATGAAACCCATCATATGATGTCGGGAATGCTAGCGGCCCTCGTGCCTTCTTCGTCAAGCAAGAATAACGAGCTGCGTGAACATTGCGAACGCCTAGTCATCCGACTACATGACCCATATCTTCGTGCTCTCCTGACTCATCTCACTGTCAACGATGACTGGGCTGAAGTTCTATCTGAAGAGGCATTACCACTTCGCGAACGTTTAGCGATTGCGTTCCAGTTCCTCAATGACAAAGAGGTCACGGCGTATCTGCGACGGATCATAGATCGGTGCAGTCATCATGGAGACATCGAAGGCCTCATCGTCACCGGGTTAACGCCGCAGGGGATGGACATTGTTCAAGCCTACGTCGATACCACAGGTGACCTACAAACTGCTGCGATCTTCTCCAATCTCAACCCCGCCCGGGCGCGAGATCCAAGGTCGGAGCGATGGTTGGATAGATACCGAGACCTTCTGGATCAGTGGAAACTGTTTCACTTCCGGTGTCAACTCGATATTGACCGAGGACAGATTTTACAAGAAGCTATTCAACAGAACGAGATAGCACCATTCGAATGGACTCCGAGGCAAATTGTCCTGAGGTGCAATTACTGCAATAAGCCCTTTATTCCTCCGCTTCCTAACAATGCCAAGGTGAGCGCGCTGAGCTACCTGTTCATTGTGTCGTTCACTGACGTGTGATATAGGCCACTTCTTGTGTACATTGCTCAAGACCGCTACCGCGGTGTTCTGTCTGTCTCATGACCTTGAGCATCGTTCAAGATACTCCTCGGAATGCTGAGTTGGCGCATGCTAACCCAAAGGGTACGTTGTGACGTGTCATACGGTCAACATGAAGACTTACGTCCACCAGATACCATCGATGGAGCCTTAGTCTTTTGCCAGACGTGCCGCCACGGTGGGCATGCGTCCCATATACTAGAATGGTTCTACGCTGAGGATGGAAATCGCTCACATGGGACCTGTCCCGTTGCGAACTGTCACTGTCGTTGCGCTGATGGGTTCTAATCATGTCATAATCATCTACAAGAGGTCTCGCCGCTATCGTACAGAAGAGCTTGCAGACGACAACTTTACCAATACAGCAGCTATAATAAAATAATCTTTTACACCCTCGGACGTTACTTGGGCCAAACACAGTGATCGCGATCATCATCGAACCTCTGTTGATCGACAGCTGCATCATTTCGGCAATATTGGCGCAAGATGGGAAGTTCATTGATATTATACAGGTATCGACTTTCCCCAAAGATTCGAGTACTTAGTGCGAAACCGTCCTCGAGTAGCTTCAAAAGTTTGAGAAAAAACAATGATGGATAGTCCGACCAAATTGGAATTGAGAGTCAACTGAACTTGTGAGTGTGAAGGGTAGGGAGGGCCTCAAAGACGGCTCGCAACAACATGGCACGTCTTCAAAGACACCTTGTTGTAATGCAGGTGGTTAACGATTTAGTCTATGATTCACTGGGTGAATACGAAGGCGACTCCAAGTCAATGCACTTCCACATGTATTACTGAAGGCTCGAATATTATTCCGTTGGCAGCACCTTGAACTAGAAAACACTCAACTAAAATGTATTTGAATGCAGACAGTGTGGGTTGAGGTTCCGAACCTCAACCCACAAGTGAAGGCGAACACCAATCGCTTGCCGAATGACTCTAGCTGCTCGAACTTTGATGGCATATCTCGGTAACGTTGCAAGGATTGTGACACCGATAGGTTGCAAATACGTCAGCATGCATGGGCGCATTCCTGAAGAAGTACATCCAGATGAAAGACATCAGTGGATTAATTGAAAAGGGGGTGGTGTCATAGATCACAGAGTAAGCCTGAGGTAGGTACCTTTCTAAAGAACATGTATGTTACCCATACTCCTGAATCTTGGAAGACAAGAAGTCAGAAATTCTAGCCAAGGCTTTCCAAGCCCCATAGACTCCTGGTTGCATGCGAAAGATACTTCCTCCAGGTGCTCGCGACATGCCAGCACGGCGTCAAGACTACTCCAATTATAGTCTCTAATTACAATATATGCCGGCACTGAACGTCGGAAATCAATGGTGAGATGACGGACAGAGGATGGCGGATCAGAGAGAAGAGCAACCAAGTCGTCCCATTGCTTCCTACAATAGAGCACGTGATTATCATCGTTTGGGTTATCTGGAAGTGCGATCGCCACCGTGAGGCGAACCACATTCTTGCAGCATGCGATATTCATTTTCTTCACATCCAAAGCACCACCTAGTGTGATATGAGCATTGGAATTAGCTAAGTATGGGAGAATGTCTTCACCTAGTCGACGACCAGATATATCCAACGTTAAGTCAAGTAAGCCAGAGCTTGTATTGTATAGGAATGCGCCGATTTCTTCATAGTTTGGTAGAAATGTTGCCCAGGAAACGTCTAGGTAAAGGCTTGTGAGAGCGCGAGGTTCCACCAACGAGAGGGCCCAATATGCGGAGTCATGAATGAGTTTGAGAGTAGATACTAGGGGCCGACGATAGTGCTGAAAATTTTGCACTCGGGTCTTCCACCCCACCATATCTTCAACACTGACAAAGTCTAAAACTCCCCCGAGCGTCCAATGATGATAGTCTATACTCAGACGATCAACAACATTAAAGCATCTCAGAATGCCAACTAGACGGCTGCCCTCGTCGTCAATCATTTTTTTGAGATTGAGCGAACGAAGACGGTGGCAGAGTGCTGGAACGGTCTCAGGTAAGGGGGGTAACTCCAAGTAATGAAGTGTGAGAGTATGGAGAGATGGTAGCTTTAGGAGGGCAGCGCACAGAACCTCATAAGGCAACTGGGGTGGTTTCAGGGACGCTAACCCTGGGTCAAATCGGAGCTCTCGAACATATGGTAGGAGTTTCTCAGCTTCTTTCGCATTGACAAAATCAGAGAAGCGTGTAAAAATTGCCCCATCGTAAGTTTCCTTGTCGAGTGGTGGAACGGCATGCGCTACTATGGAATGAAACAGATGGAATTGGGCCGCCGGGGTCCAAGTCTTGCAAACGCGGGAGCACGACGAGAGAGACGGCATGTCATCATGTAGATGATCAATGATCTCGTCGATGAGCTCAGGAGCGAGCTGGGGCGCTACCATCTTCCATATTTTAGATCTACCATCGCGAACGGTGACACATTTCAGACATTAGCATGGAAATTTCCAGATTATAGCGTTATAGCTCACGATTGACTCGGCTTGGAGGTATGTGCCTGTAAGCGTCGGCGAGACATTGGCTGTATATTTTACGAAGAGCCACGCTCTGTGTACAAGTACAGAGTGAGCCAGGCTACTTCAGTGCGTTGCTTATTCTAAAGGCGTTTGGTATGCAGACGGTTGGGGTAATCATGCACGGTGCAACGATGAGGATAGGTCTGTGTTTGAAAAGACGTACCAGAACACACCGCGCTCCCACGCTGCAATGAGGCTACAAAACTCCGCACCGTGATGCATTGATGCCCTGCAGATGTCAAAGAGGATTCTGAAGCAGAGAGGCGAGGCCCGAGGCGTGTGAGAATAAAGGATCCCCGAGAACGGTGCTTGTTAATGAATATTTGAATACTAAGATCGGTCATCGATCGTGAGTCGTGACCTTCTACGTCGGATGCATGTCGAAATGCACGGTCAGGGACAGAAAACGTACCAAAAGCATTGTTATATACTTCTTTACTCGTATTCGAAATTACAATATTGACGTACCCTAAACTGCCTACAAAATACAAAGAAAGGAGAGATTCCAGAGAGAGATATCTACATTATACTTATATGCAGCAGCAGCATTTCTTCCTCGAGACCAATTCGTTAAAGCAAATCATACAGGTGATAGCGTCCGCCAGTAAAAAGGCAACAGACGGGGAGCAAAGGGGTAACAACACGCAAAGTCTAAACTTTCATTGTCCATTTATGATGAATCCTAGAGAGAAGATTTACTCGTTCAGGTTGTTGAGGAGAGTGGTGAGGCAGCGCTTCGTCACCATATCGCCCTGGAAAGAAAGTTAATGACAAGGCTGAGAAAATTTATGCGATGAAGCGTACCTTGAGAAGGGCAGCAAAGGTGTTGTCACGAAGCGGTTCAGGGAGACATGCTCGCAACGCCTCTCTTGCCCTGTGTAATATGGATTAAACGATGACTAATCTTCGCAATGGAATATCGACATACCTGAGATTGTCGCTCAGACGCAGATAGCAGCGCACGACGTGCTTCAACAACCTAACAGCCTGGGTCTCGACAAGCTGATTCACCATATTACTCAGGACAGTGCCGACCGCGTAGAATCGCTCATAAGTATGACAAATGTAAGTGAGACCTGTCTCGTCGAGGAGGATCTTCTGAACGATGAAGATGGCCACGGTCTTGGACAATTCCGAGCCGGTTTCCATGATTCGGAGACAGAGAGGAATGATTTCGGTAGATAGTAGGAAATGGATGACGGTGTTATTGTCGTTTTGCTATTGGGTGGTCAGTAAGTGATAAGGTTGAAGCTGAGAGGGTGTGCTTACTTTGACCAGAGCCCCAATCACACCAAGGGAAGTAAGGCGGAGATACTCAAAGGGGCGAGTCTTCGAAGTGGTATTCAGGAAGGGGTATAAGAAAAGTGGTATATGAGCTATGTGAGAAGGTTAGTAATACGTTCGTAAACCCAACCCAAGAAAACATACCATTCAAGAAGAGTTGTCGGGTGTCGGGATGTGACGCGACACACTGCAGTAGTGCGAGCGCGTTGCACACTCGGTTGGATACATGAGCAGTGAGGTTGGGAGGCGAGAGAAGAGGGTATACGGAGACAATCTCCTGTAGTAAAGCCGGCATTATTCCTAAAGAAGAATGAACAGATGAATACGGTAGAGACAAAGCGGACCATACCGAAAGAGTGCCACAGCACAAGTGCAAGCTCATCGAACTGCTCCCTCTTCTTGCTCAGCTCCAGAAGCGCGCCTTCCCTCGCAGCAGGATCCAGAAGGTCTATGACCAGATTGTAGATCTTCTGTTCTTCGTGAACGGCAAGGTTGGCTGCAGCTTGAGCACCGTCAGCGTAAGGCCCAAGATTGGACTGGTCGGGTGTGATTGCCAAAGGAGCGACGACATTGCCTTGAGCTTCGCCATAACCAATTATCCCCGCGCGATGGTAAGGGTTGTATTGCATGCTATTGTGCATGTACGAAAGAGGCCTGGGGGAAATAAGGCCCGCCATGAATCCGGAAAGCACGAATGTCGAAATCGAGGCGTACTAAGAAGTCAAGTCTGTAATCGCGGCGGATGTCGTGGGCATGCCTTACGTAATTGCTTCGATGAACCTTGATTGTTCTCTTCAACAACGTTCCCCTTAATTATCAGTGGCGCTAAGCACTCTTCCCTCGCTCTCCTCCCTGCTCTACTTACCAGAAAATAAGTGACCTCGGTTGTGAAGGGACTGTTGCAAGTACTCTCTCATGTACCAACCACTTCAGCACGCCAAAGGTCGTCTTTCCCGGCCATATTCTAGTCATATCGCAGTCATATCGCAGCGGATTCCCGTAGTCGCGGACTTTAGAGCGAATAAGCCATGTGACCAGGCCGGATCTCCGTCAGAGGCTCCGAGCAGCCTGGAGGCGTGCCAGGAAAGGATTAGGTTCTTGATGACGAGCGGCGTGATTACCCCGCATACCCCGCATTTATATACCCCTATGCTAGGATTCTCTGTTCTGCGATAGCGTTATGTCGACCCCCAATCCTATCACCAAGTTTGAGGCCAACCCGCCAACATCCCGCACCTTCACCCGCCAACAAGAGCTCCCCAAATTGCCCATTCCGCCCTTGGAGGAGACCCTCAACAGATATCTCCGAGCGTTAGAAGGCCTACAAGATCCAGAAGCCCACGAGACGACCAAGAAGTCCGTCGAAGAATTTTTGAATGGAGAAGGGCCTATGATCCAGGAACGCCTGAAGAAATGGGCCGAGAGTAAAGCCAGGTCAGTAAAACGACGGATCGTCGCTTGCAAAGAGGCCTTCTAATTACTATCAATAGCTACATCGAGGACTTCTGGTAGGCTATCTTTCTCGTCTTGTATCGATATCGAGGCCTAAGGCCGGTCTAGGTATGAGTCATACCTATCGCATTCAGATCCGGTTGTATTAGCCTTAAATCCATTCTTCGTCTTGGAGTAAGTCCCTCTCAGCTTCTCCTTGCCGTCCGGTTATTCATCTTGCTGCTCAATAGGAATGACCCCACGCCGGATCGGGGATCGCAGCTCCCTCGCGCGGCCTCACTCATTGTATCCTCACTGGGTTTCATTCATGACCTTCGGGTAGGTATGTTGGAGCCGGACACTATCCGCGGAGTCCCTCTCGACATGGACCAGTATACGCGACTATTCGGAAATGCACGTATACCGACCGAAGTAAGTCATTATCTTCTTGACAGTAATCAAGCAGTTCATAATGCGAGTCTTTGAAGCGAGGTTGCAGAATGGAAGTACACCCTGACTCACGGCATCTAGTGGTTCTCCGACGTGGCCAATTCTGTAGGTTTCGACATTCTATGTCTTCTGTACCATCATTGAGTATCGCGTTTTAGATTGGTTCGATGTTCTCGACATGATGAATCGGCCAGTTTTGACCGAGCGAGAGATTCTGCGCAATTTGCAGGCCATCGTACAGGATGCTGACCAGCTGCCTACTCACGAGGTACTTTTGGCTGGCTGGTATCGCTAAAGTCAGCCCATTCTGACTATGTCATAGGTGGCTCGTAACTCCATAGGAGTCTTGTCCACCGAAAATCGCAAAGTGTGGTCTTCTCTACGAAAAGCGCTCATCCGCAACCGCAACAATGAGTCGTGTCTGGAAATTATCGACAATGCTTTGTTTGTAGTCTGTCTAGACGATGCTTCTCCCGACAACCTTGCGGAGTTGTGCAGCAACTTCCTGTGCGGAACGTACAACCTCTGGGGAGGTGTTCAAATTGGAACTTGTACGAATCGTTGGTACGACAAGCTCCAGATCATCGTAACAGCTGATGGAGCTGCTGGTATCAACTTTGAACACACCGGAGTGGATGGTCATACTGTGCTGAGGTTTGTCGGTTGTTTATTTGCTGAATCACTTCACTAACATTATACCTAGGTACGCCGCGGACATATTCACTGAGGGGCTCATGCTCCTCGCTCGCTCTATTAACCCCACTGCACCTACCCTCTTCCACGCACCCCTTTCCCCCTACGCCAAGTCCTATAAGCCACCCCGTGGTCACAAACACGGCCAATCTGGCACCCTCACACCAGGCTATATCATCGACACTGCACCGAAGAAGCTTGAATGGGTCTTGTTCCCTGAGCTGCGAGCTGGAATCCGATTTGCTGAGACGAGGTTGAGTGACTTGATATGTCAGAATGACTGTCAGGCGCTGGAGTTCAAGACCTATGGCAAGAACTTCATTACGAGTCATGGATTCAGTCCGGACGCGTTCATACAAATGGCGTTCCAGGCGGCATATTATGGTCTCTACGGTCAGTACTCTCTTTTGCCCACTTTCTTCAAGTTTTGATTCGATCTGTATATCGATTTCTCTTCAGGCCGTATCGAGTGTACATATGAGCCGGCAATGACGAAGAATTTCCTCCACGGACGAACTGAGGCGATACGGACGGTACAACCGCACAGTGTGGAGTTTGTCAAGGTCAGAATCTCCCACTTTATCCCCGACCTCGATGATCGCTTATCCGTTGATATCTAGACATTTTTCTCAGAGGCACAGCCTACTCAAAAGATCGCAGCATTACGGCGAGCGTGCGAAGGGCATGTCAAGCTTACAAAGGAATGCAGTTCAGGAGTTGGTCAAGATAGGTGAGAACTTTCTGGGCTGATCGTCTGACGTATCATCATTGACGTTGTTCTATATAGACATCTTTATGCCATCTATTGCTTGTTGCAACGCGAACGAGAGGCATACGAGAATGGCGATCTTGATTCTCCTCCTCGCTCACCGATCTCATCGACCTGTTCTAATAGCTGCGATCACAGACCACCGCTTCCCTCCCTGTTCACGGACCCCGGCTGGCAGACGTTGAGCACGTCGATTCTGTCTACTTCAAATTGTGGGAACCCCGCTCTGCGTTTGTTTGGATTTGGGCCTGTGGCTGCTGAAGGATTTGGTATCGGGTATATCATCAAGGACGAGGGTATCTCTGTGTAAGTTACTTTATACTCCGTAGTTGGCGAGACGCTTAACCTAGACTTGCAGTGTCGCGTCGTCGAAGCACCTCCAAACGCGTCGGTTCCTTGACACTCTCAAGGGCTACTTGATCGACGTACAGCGCACTCTTATCCAACTTCACTTGTCTGCTAATGAACGATCGGAGCCTTTCGTTGACCATGCTGGTGTCTTGCGAGATGCCAAGACTGGTAGGCCGATTCACGGTTCTCCTGAAAAGGAGCGTATCGTGTTTGAACTCGAAGATACCCTTCGTATGTCTCTCAACCTCTTTTTCTATTATGACTGTGGTACGCGTTGCTGATAAATACCTCCACAGCTGGATACTCGTTCTTTGACAGTGGTGACGTTGAATTATTGGGAAGACGTCGGAAAGCTCCATCCTATTATAACACTGGTTAGTGATCAGTCTCTCAGCCATTGATGACGATAATTCTCATGTGTCTGTTCGTCCTACAGGAAAGGTCATTCCGCTTGCCGAATACTAAAAAATTATCCCAGATCTCAGCAATGTATATGATATGCATTCGGACGGTGGAAGCGTTTCGTTATCTCTATGTATATGTATTGTATTCAGTTTCTGTGCGCAATGTTTCTTGTACCACAATATGTACCTGTCTGGATTTGTTTCGATGACGACCCATATATCTTGTTGTGCCGGATGGCCATGGGCCCATGGTGTCATTGCATGTTAACGAAAGAATGATACGTTGTTACCTATCGCCATTCATCATAAGTACTCTATGAATTTGCGCGCTCTCCAACCCAACTGCTTCTTTGTTCTATTCAGGAATCCGATGCAAGTCCGATGTGCAGCCTGAGCAGGTTGCAATGGTGCATGTTGTGTCTGGGCTCTCAAAGCATTAGGTCGAATGTTTTGGACGAGGAGAGTTACCATGTATAGGAAACCAGGCGTTCAACTGCTATCTTTTTTCTTCAAAGGTGTTAATGTTCACTTGAGCTCGACACGCCATGCCATTGACTAGTCATATCAATGACTTCGTTTCTACAGTGAAGAGTTACGTTTCACGATACTACTGGAATGACTACTTGCATTGGCGACCTCGAGATCAGTTGGTATACGAGGTAGACAAGCTTCGCCCAGAGTTCATTGCATTCCAGGTTCCGTACCTCTGTGCCGCCTTGCCATACGATGGTCTTGGTTACTGGGACTATCCCTCACGTGTGGGCTGGAAAGTCCACCGCTTCGATCGCGGATGTCATCGCCGTTGCCCACCAGGAAACTGCATATCCTCTGACAGAATGCCAGAGGATGTGCCTTATGGGTTACAGACACATTCTATATCCCGAATGGATGACTCAATCCCCACTGTTCAAGAGAAAATAGCATTCCTCCAGGCTTGGCTATTCTTTGGAGCTTTAGCCGAAGTATGTTCAATTTGTGGATTATCGTTGGAACTCCAAGATACTTTCATCTCGAAGGGCATGGTCAATACTGCAGCCTTGAATGGGCTGCCAATGAGGCTCTATCATTCATCGCAGAAGCTCGGAATCGCTGGCTCCATGAAGCTGAAATCGCAGCTTCGTGTGCTTACGCGTCATGTTCAACTCATGATCACCAGAGGCGATGAACGGGAGGATGAACATGAATATACCTTCACCCAATGCGAAGTTTTATGCTCTATATACGTTCTACTTCGCATACTCTCCTTAACGACTCTTTGTCATGCACCTCACTGGAACCTGGACCCTAACGACGATATGTACACCACTCTCGGCGATGTGACATCCGATTGGAAACCAGAGGGATTGTCAAGGATGAGAGACCTCACTCTCGCCAAACTATTCCAGCGAGGTTGGTGCCCAAGTGAAATTCATCTTTTACAAGGGGACGATGTGTTTATATTTACCTCATTTTTGGAACGACCTTTGGAGGCACGACGAGATCACTCAAACTGTCTCGAAACGAGGTGCAAGGCGTATCAAATTGTTGAGGAAGAATACAAAACGGCACACACTGCTTTTGATTGTACTTGCGAATTCGTTTCTGTGATTCCTGAGCACCTCCGAGATGCTCTTGCTGCCAACAAAATCCCAAAGATCATTGTTTCTGAGGACCTTCAGCTCTCCGTTATTGACGATAAGAGTCATCCATATATCGCCATAAGCCATGTGTGTACGTCCGCATTGTCATGCGTCCTCCTTCAAATTTGAGATTTACGTTGATCATTTGCAGGGGCTGATGGGCTTGGAAATCCTTTCGACAATTCGCTACCACGATGTCAGCTTAGAAGGCTACGACATCTCATGCGTGACCTATGCAAAACTCATAAGGTTGCGCGATCTCATCGTCTCCGTTCCATAGCACTCTGGATCGATACTCTTTGTATCCCTGTCGCTCCTCAATTCAAAGAATATCGAAAGCTTGCCATCAGACTCCTCGCACGAACGTTTCATGAATCCACCGCAGTGCTGGTTCTCGATCGAGAATTATCCCTCTTCAATTCACGCAGTGCTTCTATCCTCGAGCTCGGTATTAGGATTATGTGTAGTGGTTGGATGAAGCGTCTTTGGACCCTACAAGAAGCTTCACTTGCCATCGAGTCCGCAGATGATCGCGGGAGGCTGTATTTCCAGATGTTCGACGGACCTGTACAGTGGAAGAAGCTCACGGAAACCTTCGACTACAAGCCAATGAAACCACAACGAAGGCCCCCAAAGCATGATGCACGGCATGATAACATTCATGACGTGAAATCGGTCCTACTGTTTGAAATATGGGTCACTGTATCCATGATCAACCGACTTCCATCCGTTCGAGAATTGCAAAGTCCGCGTTGGGATTCCAATCTCGAGATGATATCCGAGGCGGCACAAACCCGATCCACGAGTAAAGCTGAAGACGAACCTATCTGTCTAGCTTCTCTTCTTGGGTTAGACCTGGCAGACGTCCTCAGCGTGCAAACTGCATCTGAGCGTATGATCCGGTTCTATCTCTTACTTCATGAAATTCCTATAGCAATCATTTTCGCACAATTAGGTGTTGCGAACTTCAGAGCTGAGAACTTGGAGCAGGCGCCATTCCGTTGGGTTCCCAAGTCTCTTCTGACGTTAGAGTTACCGATGAATATTCATATGGCGTATGCCTCTCAGAGGTTTGCAGAGCAGAACTACCATCTGAATGGCGTCTGCGAACCCGATGGTTTTCACTTTCAACACAATGGCTTGTTATTCCTTGACACGGAGAGGACTCCGCCGAGAAAGAAAGCTATCATCGAGATTACCAACGATCAGGGTGGAAATGAACGCTACGTTTTGGTTTGGTTGGGGGATATACCGGAACATCTTCCCAGGCATATGGCTTTGATACTTGAAACGGGCATCTGCTCAAATGTAGCTATCGTGAGCGTGGAGAGCAGGATGAACGATGGACACCAAGTAGAGATCTATGGGACTCTCGTTGGACATGGATTTGTTAGGACCATGGAAGAGCCAGACGAAGAGGGAAGCATCCTCCAAAGCACCTTGACTAGTCTGGAGCAGAAGTGGTGCTTGACATAGCATAACGCAAACACCTGGATGCAGGGCTAAGGCGCTCCTTAATTTTCTACATATAAAGTTCTCCTGAGTACGTGATGCTCAATTGAAATGTATCCCAAGATTAGGGATCACGTGTGATACCAGAGCCGTTGTTACGCTGATCGAACCATAGAATCACTACACTCTCTGCGGCAGCCAGAAGGAATGACCCATCAAACAGCGACCCGAACACCTGATACTCGGCAATGTCGAGAAGAGGTTGATAGTTCCATTGTCCGGCTCCGTATCAGGCCTCGAGGGTGGTGGAGGGAACGAGGTGCGTAGTTGAAGGAGGATTGAAGAGAGATAGATACCCTAAAGGACGGGTCAATGACATCTCTGGTGAATGAAAAATTAATGAACTTGCCATGAGTTGAGCCAGTATGAGCAACATGGGAGAAGCTCCAAGGTTCCGGCTCGTCACACATAACACCTAGACGTGAAGTCAGTTGACCATCTTTTACCATGTTCCACGTTAGAAAGCTACCCGAGCGACACCACGCAAAACAAGACGAATACTGCTCAGAATGATCACGCCGACCATGCCTAGGCTAATTCGTCTGGCGCTCACAGCAATATCTCCAGTTTCCCAGTGAATCCATGGAACAACAAATACCACATTAGCCAAGGCATTGTTAGGAAATCCAATCGAGAGGCATCATCTGCTCCACTTTGTGCTGGAGAAAACGCACCTATTGGCAGGATCAAGTTGACGGTAATCTATACCACCAGGTTAGGGGACGGTGACGAACGTTGATCAAAGATAGAACGATTATTACTTACAACAACATTACGGTATACACGGTACAGTGCAAACAATCTTCCACCAAAGTTGAACAACTTGCCACGAATGGTTTATGAGAACTTGACTTGTGCTTGCTGATTGCGAAGAGCTTCAAGATTACGGGACATCTGGTACTCAAGCGTCAATAGGCCCATTCATTTCTTGACTCGCTGCACCAAGTTCTAACAGCAGGCAACATCAGGCTTGACCATCCATAGTTGGGTCCAAGGTACGCACCACTGTTTCCACCAAACGTTGGCATCACTCGAGAGATCCAGCTGGCATCTGACTTGGGCTTATAATCACACAGCGCAAGTAGTTTGTGCACCGAACTAACTCGAGAATATGCGTTCTTGTGATGCCGCCAGTCTCTCAATTGCCTTTCTCCGTTCGGCCAAATCATTGCGAACACGTTCGAGCCCGCGCTCAGCAAACCTAACATCCTCATCCGTAGGTTGGCTCCTAGTGATGGCAATTAGCAAACGAATTCTCCAAAAAAACCACCTGTCCGATGTGCGGCAGGCAATGATCAATAAATATTCCCATCTGGCAGCTTCTGTTTCTTTAAACTTCTGGACGGGACCCTAAATCCATAAAAGAATTGAAGTCGGCTTGTTCCCATGCCTGCTTACCCCACTTAACCTGACTCTTTACTGCCAAGTTCCATGTAAGTAGTGCCCAGATACTAGACGCTTTCGGTTAGACAGTGTGTTCCTTCTGGCGCTGCACTAACCAACACTGCTGCTCATTTCGCCTGTGAAGATGGTGAAGGACGCCGTGAGCCATGTGGAGAGTGGATGAAAGCACCGACTCGGGCATCGCAGGATGTTCAAGAGCGATGAAAGGCTGTTTAGCCTGCGATAGATCGCCCTGGCGCCTATCAGGACTGTGCTACTTGGTTTGATGTGAAGAGCAGGAGCCTACAATATGTGAATCTTCCCTCCTTTTACTAGCACTAGGTCGAGGTAGCTTTCAAGTGCTGCTGATAGTGCGCTTTGGATGCGGTCACTTTCTTCCCTTCCGCGGGAAGTCCGAACGTTGCTTTTGCTTGCACTTGCAGGTGACTTCGTGCATGAATCGGTAGTCGCCCAGGCTTCGGTATGTCGTTTTGCTTCGCTGTTCAGTTCGCGACTAGCAGTTACTTCTGTGTACTAACCAACGTTTCCGCCTGACATGCACTCAGAATGGCGACTCGACTTGTGCTGGGGTTTTATCTATTGTACGTGTGCTGCAGCGTTTGCAATGTCTCACCTTACGAGTCTATGTTCTAGTTCAATGTCGACGCGAAGTCACCATGTGATATTTCGAAACAAATCTACACATTTTGCGGCCCAGGTCAATCTCCACGTGCTAAATCGCCCGCTCTGTGCTAATAACAGTCGATAACAGGGGGACCGTACACCTCGACAGCATGTTATTGGTCGGTCGTCAGATGTACTGCCCTCACCACACTGGCTCATGGTTTTAATTAGCAATTCAATAACGTTCAATCTCGAAAATGCATGTCGAATATGCGGGAACGTAGATCCTGAATCGTGGGCCGAGTGGTCTAGCAAGTACAATTGCTCAACAGTAGCGGTGCCGACGAGATTGCCATTCGCAACGCCAGATACGCTTATTCCCCGATGGGCGTACAATACTTTGACAAAAAATCAACAGTTTGATGTAGTCGCAGCTGTGAAAGGTAGGGGGACAGGACCTTCGCTTTGAATTTGCAGCAACTCATACGATTGCAATGTAGCTGCTCAAGGTTGGACTCCAATTCAGATTGCTGCTCCTTTCATTTCTGGAGTATCTGTAGCGGCTATTGCACTCTTCCTATTCCTCATCTATCGTCACCGCACCCAGAGGCCACATCACAGCAGACATTCCAAATCCCCCGCTTGGAAAGATGCCCATGAACACTCACACAGGCGGTGCTTTGGGCTATTTCCCGGACGTGTTACCGTCAGGAAAGCGACAGTTGATACATTGTGGCAAATTGATCAACCCGGAAAGATGGCTACTAACGAGGATATCGAGCTTTCCCAACACTCACGGGACACGTCTGTCACGTCTCTGTTGCCCGACGAACAAAGTCATCGAAGTTCGAGCTCAGGAAATCAGTCGTCTTCCTATTTCGCCACTTTGGTTTCAAAGATCAGTGGCAGTTCGCTGAATCGCGGATGGTATACGAGCGGTGTTGATAAAGGTCCCGAGTACAAGAAAGTACAGGTCGTCGCTGAGGGAGCAAAGTATCCTGGATTCAAGATCGACGGGACGGATTCTACTCCCAGTCGGAGGAGCACCTTCCTCAGTCGAATATTTCAACGTGAGGATGATCAGCAATCACACCTGTCCCTTCCAAGCGTTATCGACATCCGGGCTGGTCCGCGATCCAATTCTGCATCGAATAGTCAAAGTGGTTCCTCATCAAGCCATAGCGGACCATCGCGGAAAATAGCCCCTTCTACTAGAATGGAATCCATCGAAGAGGGTGATGAACGGAGTATTTTCTCCTCTCCTGCCCGTCCACCCCGATCCGACTTCACTCTCTCAACAAACGACCTCATGACACCCATAACACCCACCACGTATAGAACAGCACCTTCCTCACACGCCCATTCCGTAAGTTCCTTCATCTTTCGTTGAAAAGTGGATATTTGAACGCTCGTATATACTTCAGGCATACCCTGATTCGGCTGTCCTTCCCATGTCTTCTCCCCCGAGATCCGCTCGCGAAAAGCGTCCATATATATCCTAATATTCAGATCTATGGACTTCGGACAATGGACATTCGAACTATTGTATAACCAGATTTGCAGCTGATTATTGTTTGCTTTTATTGTTTACTATACCATTCACAGTCACCTCTGATATTCCCAATTGAACACTGTTGTAATCCTACCTTGTCAACTTTCAACGATGTCTTGTTCTATTTGGATAGTGGTCTCACTGTAATCCATATAGCTTGTTCTGAACACTCATTACATGCCCAAATGCCGCGGCCTTTAGGTGGGAATGAGGTGGCCGACCTTAGACGCCAAATAACCGTGAATCTTTGCGTTATGGACTGTTGAAGCATACTACGAATGGCGGATAGTCCAAGGATGAATTTAGTGAATTTTGATGTCCGGCGCTTCCGGCGCCTAAGTTTCCGGGTTTGGCTATGCAGCCTCCCTTAGTTTCTGAAGTGTCTCTGTCTATTTTTACATCCAAAGACACACTTTTCTGAGACCCTCTGAGTGTTTTATGTGAAAATAGCAACTTCCTGCTCTCAAAAATGCATTTAGTGAGGAGACTGAGGCGGGCGCCTATTGCACCGACCATATTTGGAAGACGGCATTCTCCGGCAACGGCAGTGCTCACCATCAAAGTTTGATTTCTGAGTCTCCCCGTGGGAAAGCAGGTCTAAACCGACCCTAACACTAGAACAATTATAATATTAGCATTATCTGACATACTATTTTACCCTATACTAAGTATGAAGTAAAAGTATATCATTGCTAGCCTACATGTAGATGTGCAATAGAATGTTAGGATTAGCAATAAAAACTATGTCAGATAATGCTAATATTATAATTGTTCTAGTGTTAGGGTCGGTTTAGACCTGCTTTCCCACGGGGAGACTCAGAAATCAAACTTTGATGGTGAGCACTGCCGTTGCCGGAGAATGCCGTCTTCCAAATATGGTCGGTGCAATAGGCGCCCGCCTCAGTCTCCTCACTAAATGCATTTTTGAGAGCAGGAAGTTGCTATTTTCACATAAAACACTCAGAGGGTCTCAGAAAAGTGTGTCTTTGGATGTAAAAATAGACAGAGACACTTCAGAAACTAAGGGAGGCTGCATAGCCAAACCCGGAAACTTAGGCGCCGGAAGCGCCGGACATCAAAATTCACTAAATTCATCCTTGGACTATCCGCCATTCGTAAGCATACATCCACACGGGAGTGATATGCGGAAAGAACGAAAATAAATAGACAACAGCCCAGCAAATTTTCGCAGCGTGGAACAATCATTTCAGGGCTCGCAATGAGCTCTTTCCTGAATTGCTCTTCAGAATTATCAATATAACTTGTATGCGTTGAGGAGAGAAAAGCCCTTACCATGAGGCTTATGAGTTTCAGCGTGACGTAGAGACCCAGAGCTGCGACTCCCACCATTTTCGCCCACTTCACACTTTGCGCAATGTGGGCGCCGTTACTGCCAGTGGGAATATATGAAGGAGGAAGGTCGGCTTTAGTTTGGGGGGAACCCTCCTGCTGATGTCCGGCAGAAACTGGTTTATCTTCAAGCTCATGCAGATGACCTTGTCCATCGAGCGCTGAATATTTTACAATGCTGTCTGCTCCGATTTGACTCCCAGACATGTTTTGAGCGATGTCGGCTGACTCCTGCCCGGACGAAAGGGTTGCAGGAACTGCCTGTTCCTGCAGAATAATAGTAGAAAGTGCCCTTTCGAGATGGGAAACGACATCGACAAGTCCGAGGCTACGCGCTTTCTCCAGCGCAGTCATCTCTGGATCGAGTGAGATGGGAACACGAGGATCACAGCCTGCCTGTAGGAGTATAAGAATCTGGTTCTCGATGATGCCGGGATGAGAAGAGATGAAGTCATCTGTAGCATTGAGAACATGCCAGAAGACGGTTTGGCCGTTGTTGTCCCGCAAGGTTGAATCGCATCCTTCCTCGACAAGTGTTGAAGCCATGTGCAAGCACGCAGGGTCCCGGTTATCTCGACCCCATGTTATCAGAGCCGTTGCACCATCATCTGATCGCAGATTGATGTTCCCTGCAGCTTTAATCAATGGGTAGAAGAGGAAGTTGTGCAAATTCCGTTGAACGGCCAGATGCAGGATTGAATGCCGCTCGGAATTGGGACGAGTGATATACAACGAGCTTGGATCCATAGGAACACGAAGAAGGTATTGGAGTTTGGTGAAATCGGGACCAGGCTTCAGAGCTTCCAATAACGCTGCAGATTCCTCTGCAGCGTTGACCCCAGCCTGCACTTCGCGTTGCACAGCATAAGCATTGCGGTATTTTACGGCCACATAGAGACGGGTCCACGGATGAAGGGTACTGTTAATTGAATCCTGGTCTGTGCGTAACATACGTTCCAGGAAGGACGGAGGAGAATTCTCGATAGCCAGATAAATGAGAGAAGAAAGTGGGATTTCTTCATACTTATCTGAACGCCCTGCCCGCGATACGATTGTGGAGAACTTATCGCATGCTACCAGCAATATTGTGAGGCGTTCCCTATTGAGCAACAAGGCCTGAGCTCTTTCTAATACGTCGTCGGGTGTCCTATTGCTTTCGTTGAAAAGGTATCGTTGCCAATGCCTAGCCGCATGGAAAAAGAGGGGATGATTTGTCCGAAGATAAACTTCTATATCAGCTAGAGCAGCTGCGAGCAGGGAAGAGCGCTGCAAAATGTAATCGTGTGAGGAGTTGAAGGCATCTTCAAGGGCTGTGACCATTGAGGACGGGAGGGTGACGACTGAGAGATAGGCCACCGACTGGCATGCCAGATCGAATGCTATCTCGCTGCCTGACCAGTCATAATCCAGTAACAATCGAGGTTCTTGATGTTGCGAGCGTTGGCGTTTGGATGTGAAGTACTCCTGAGAAAAGGGCCATAAGATCAAGTACAACAGATGCCTAGACGGCCAAGTGATTAACTTACCTTGACAGTATAATGAGATATCGTAACAGTACGACCAACCTCGTTGTATTGTACCAGACTTCCACATGCTTCAACGACGCCTGAAGGGCTCAAAATCTCAAGGTCTCTGTCTAATGACGGCGGATCTAGTTTGATCATCATCGCTTCGTTGAGTTCTGACAAAGTAATCGAGTCCGCTGCGCCAAAAAGCCAACGAAGAGTACGGTAAACGATGTGTTGGTCACTTCCTCCCTGGTCTTCGATAGCGAGTAGTATTCGATCGTAAACCTCATACAGATCTTGCGGTAAGCTTTGCAGAGCTTTTTTCACGTCAACACGTGAGCGGCTCAGTTTCAACAGAGCAATTTGGGAGTCGACCAAACGGAACCTATGGGATAAGCAAACAGTATTAGTGATCTGTGCAGTCGAACCTATCACATTGCCAGCATACATGCCACTCGCCCGGGTCAGGAGGGTCTGCTTGACATCTGGAATGAGATCTGGGGGAATCCCACCGGCCCTTGATGTTGTTTCGAAAGTTTTGTCAATATACAAGGCAATATCACTGTTGACCGAGCGCGCCTCCTGTGTTATATCGATGAACAGGTGACCCTTCAGTGGAGTGATGATAGACTCTTCCGATCGGCTTGAGACGAGGATACGGATACCCGCCACATCATTCTGTAGGCATTTCAAGACTTGAATGAGGGCTTGGACGTCCACACACTCATCCAATGCATCTACCACCACCACAGGTGTATACCGTGCGGTTCGTATAGCAGGGACGAGTAGAGAGTAGATATCGTCGAGAAAGGTCGGAGTGTGTAATTTCTCGTTTCGGTGTCTGGCCAGGTTGTCGAGAGTGTCGGTGGAAGGATCAAACTTGGTGAACTGGACGAGAAGTGTTCGAAGCACGACAGCAGGGTTTCGTGAGTCCTCGTTCCGAAAGTCGCAATAGTGATAGGCAAGCGCACAAGGGCCAAATAATTGGTCCGGTTGCAGGAGTTGATTAATCACGGTCGATACAAGAGTGCTCTTCCCACTCCCAGCTACCCCGGTCGTGTCAGAAGGTTTGCAGCCACACAACTGAGTGATCTACATACGTATCCCATGCAGATGCAGCATGGTGCTTGACATTGATTGTCGCCAATTCATGAACTGGAGGTGATCCAACAGCCAACTGCAAGTGCCCGTTTCACGACGAGCCCAGACTGTCTTATGTTTCGAGTCATAGTCGACCGGTTTCAGCCATTTCATAACTTCTAGCCAATGCGATTCTGAAGAAAGACAGAGGGACAAGCTAAAGCGACAAGAATTAAGTGGACGCATATAACTTACCTTGATCTCGAACCTTCTGTCTAGTCACAAATTCTTCGAATGCATCGCCTATTCAAAACAAGGGGACTTTGAGCGTATTCAATTGAAAGACTTTTGAAACCTTACGCGAATCTGCGAGAGAATGTCTATCAAATCATGAGTATCCTAATGTAATGAAACGCTGCAGTCATGTCAGTACTGACCTTGACTCGATCTGCAATGCGAGGACGAAAAGCATTTTCTGGCTTTGCAGCTTTGGCAGCAATCCTTCTACCTTCTGCTTTCCTTTCAATGGCCAGAGTAGTTTGCCTGAAATTCCCTTCGTCTTCTTTGTTTGTTTATTAAGCCAGTCAACGAATTCGTTCAAATCCGCTTGGCATGCTTCGACAACACCATCCCTGCACAGCGGGGCCAGCGCACTCGAATAAGCTTGTCTGTTATTCGAATTGTCCTTCTTGAGCCTGCAAATGAGGGCGTCCAACTCCTTCAATATCTCCACAGTACTCTTGAGTTCAGATGTGATTTTATTGCAGTCGGCTTCTGCATCCTTGACCTCTGAGACATAATTTGCTATGACAACGCATGCTTGAATGAGTGAAATAACATTGACCGTCATTCCAATGGGATCCATTTTAAGTATCGATGAAGTTCGAACCAATGCGAGTAGTCGCCGGCCAACGCAGATCGAGGTTGCGGGTTAAGAGGGACGAGATGGAACCGCGAGGAAGTCTACCAGCAAACGAAGACATGCGCTTTTCACGTTGGGGCAATTCGACCAGTGCATATGAGCACCGAACTGTCAAATGTGTTCGCCTTCCGCGCAAGGCGTTGGACAGTCCAGCGCTCCTAGGAACTTCTGGGAGACGCAGCATGATCGTGGATGATGCATGGGATGTTAATTACGCTTCGTATGAATTACCTGTCGCTCCATACATACGAAATGGTAGTGTGCAAGTCCGGATCAATTGGTAAGGTCGCGGTTTCGTATATCTGCAGAGTCCTGTCGTTGACGAAATGACCCCAGTCGATGAAGCGGCAACGTTCTTCGAAGATATATGGAGTCAGGTTAGAGGTTTTGTCTCGTAGCGAATCAAACGGACTACTGGATATCCTATAATCAATCCATGCGTTGGCTTGAGTTGGAGACGTTGACTGCGAATAGATCATCAATAAGTACCTGAGTTTAATGGCTCCTGCCCTCTTCACTGTAATCCTCACTAGCCAACGCATGTAGTTCTCTATACTACGGTTGTTCTTGTAGTTTAATCATCGCATGGTTCCGAAAGAAGACGAAAGTGCTTTCAGCTCAGCTATTTTGTGGATCACGCTCATTAGTTCGTCTGGTGAATCTTTCTGATGCTTTGATCGAGTGACCGAAGAAGAATTGGACCTCCGCAACGCGCTTCAGCCACAGGCGCGTCGCGTCGACCCGTCTTCACGAACACTTTATTCGACTACCTTATTCAATCGACCTAATGGATGGGCTCGCCTACAACATTGTCTTCTTTCTCTTTCGGCTCTGTCGAAGGCCGTGCATTATGTTATGAAGTAAGTACTTACAAGTCCTCTCTACCCTATCGGCCGCATGCCAGTGACTACCAGCTCGAAGAAGTTTGCAAGGCCCTGGATGGAGTGGTTATAACGCCTACAAGGTCAGGTAAAACAGGCTCTCTGACCATGTACATAGTCATCATGCAAGCAATTGCTCGAGTCCGAATCAGTACCCGCAAAAGCGGGTCGTCTTCTCCAACAGACCCCGTATTAACAGCTTCCTACGGAACCCAAGGGCAGGCTCAGTGCTCAGTTTCAACCTCTATAGAACACCTACATGCTAGTGCCGCGAATTATGACGAAATGGGAGACTCCCACCTGTAATTCCTACTAGTAGGAAAAGGGCGCGAAAACCAAAACAATCAATGAGTTCTATTCCCGAGTCGGGTCTGTGCATACTGTAGTATGTTTACGTGCTCCGCATGTCCTCATTTAACGCTGACAGTGTGCGTTCAGCCGTCCGAGTCTCTGACAAAAGTTTGAAAGACCCAGGGCGGGGTCGACAAGGTATCGTCATTGAAACAAGTGGGAGATATCCAGTTTATAGAATCTTATATAGGGATGCCCCTCCATCCTCAAACTCCATCCAAAAACAACATGGTCCGAAAGCGCCTCCAACAGCTGCTCCTCGGACTTTGGACCCTTCCCATAATCTAATGTCCGACAAAGCTGGATGACCCCTTCTTCTTCGTCCTTGAATGTTACATGTTCTTGTTCACCATGGTACACACTCATGAGCTCAGTTTCGGGTATAACTTGGACTACGGCTTTGGCTCGTCTCTCTGGCTCCTCCTCCGTCAGAGCTACATTGTATTCCCATCTGGGGAGGTTCTTCGTTGTTAAAATCCATGTTTCTGTTGCTTGATGCGCCGCCGCATCGGTATCCAGAATCATCGTGAGCTCTCGGAGACTTGGAAGATGGGCAGGATTCGTCGGCTCCAGCGTTTTCCATAGTGGAACATCGAGTAACGTACTACTGTTCTCTGCCTCCTCTTCTACTTCCGGCTCGTGGCGGAATATTGTTTCAACCAATGCCAACGTTGCACGCAACCGCTCATTTTCTCCGAATTCTCCCAACCGTTGGCTGAAGTCTTCTTCAGCACCCACCAATCCCAAGATACTAAAAACCATATCTACCGGCCGAGAGGATACCCGCATTTGCACCCCTTGTAAAAGCAGCTGGCGTATTTGATATTCGCTAACCACTTCTTCGCCTTCCTCGCACATATGATTATAGGCTTTGTACTCCATAATCCGCCTCAATGTATCTAGAGCGGCTCCGTTTCTTCCAAGGAGCAGGCGAGGTTTTGGATCAGGATTCGAAGTGTCTGGGGATCTGACCTCTGCTACTAGAGGCGCCAGTAAATCACCACCCTCGAGGAATAACTCCTGCAGATACTTCCAGTGACATTCCCCATCCACTAACCAATGCTGTTCCCCCTTAGGTCTATGCCAATCGCTTGTCAATACTACCGCATATTCCCAAGTGATGATGGCCTCTTGATATGTCCAAGCACGATCCGCCCAACTCGTCTCATCGAACACCGATGCCAGGCGTTGCAAGCCTCCAGGTAAGACAACACATTCCTGGCATCCCTCGTAAATCTCAAACATTCGACCGATCTGCCATAACTTGTCGCGTTTACTCGTTTGAAGAATGCAAAGCCTGTCCAGCCAGAGGTATGACGCAGAATATTTGGAAGAATAAAAGCATGCGAATTCTAACACTTGCATACTGATAGGTCCTCCATCCTCACGTGGGGTACCATCGCTGCGAGTACCGCAGTAAACGCGGAAGCTGCCAGCCTTTTCTAGGTCGGATGGCGAAGCAGATAAGCCGAACCATACGTAGGAAATGGCCGAATAAAAGTCCGGATTAGTTGGTAAGGTTGTGGTTTCGTATATCTGCAAAGTACGGTCGTTGATGAAACTATCGCAGTTGATGAAGCGGTAACGTTCTTCGGAGGCATATGGAGTCAAGTCGAAAGTTGTGTCTCGTAGCGAATCCAAAGGGCTACTAAATATTCTATAATCGACCCATGTGTTGGCTCGAGAGGAAGACGTTGACTGAGAACAGATCATAGGTACGTACAGCTTAAATGTCGCCCTGCCCCCTTTACTGTGATACTCACTGTCCGGGGTGTCTGGTACTTCAGCTATCGAGAGACGGATGCTTTCTCTCGCAGCTGCTGGCTTCTGCGCTTGTTCCTGTAGATGAGCTAACGGGGATGATCCACGAAATGGCTGAGCTGAAGGCGCTTTCCGAGACGTCTTTTGGACCCGCTGTGTGACAGTCAGCCTATTGAATCTTTCGCGGATTCGTTTCCATGATGCTTTGGTCCAGCGATATAAGCGTGCACTGGGTTCTTGTATACGAGGATAAAGCCAAGCTCTTCGAGGCATGCCCATGCAGAAGTCAGCGCGCAGTGCCTCGTCTGTTCACGGTAACCGCGCCTTAAAGCTTAAATCCTCGCATGCACCTCATGTTCGAGGCGAGAAACGCTGGACGTCACGTCGAGCATGAAAGACTGAACGTTTATTGGCTCTTCATTCCCATGACTGACATGCATATTGATTCAACATACTGTGTCATGTTTGTGTGGTCAAATGTCGTATGCGAGTCCGGCCGAACTCCAACGCGCATTCCGACCGACATGAACATTCTGTGTATTTGCTCTCGATGTTCAAACTTCCCTCGATCGCGCATCGTGACTCGTGATTTCAACTAACTTGTCCACTACGTACTGCTAGCACACTTGCTGTTAAATCAGTCTATCTGAAATCACCATCGACTTTGGCTCCTATACCCGTGTCACTAGCCTGGCTAGATTCTAATCCCACAATGTATATGTATTATTTAGTTATGGGGTAGTAAACACTTGTCACGAAAGAACCTGGTGCCAACAGCAGTCTTGTTCCGGATTGGAACAAGACTGCTGGCGCAGACGAATTCAAAGTAAAGAGGACGGGAAAGGGAAGGGGAGATACAATACAACAGTCCAGATATGTCAACTTATCAATACTCCAAATGGCTCCCTATTGAGCAAGAGCCCATTCCGAAACTGCATACGCATCAACTACATTGTTGGAGAATATTTGATATAGACGCATGGCCTTAGTTCTCGTTGGCATTCACGGCGGTGGTCTTGACCTCAGAGTCGGCTGCAAGAGCAACCTTCTCGTCGGTGTACTGGGGAGGAGGAACAAGGATGGTCTCCGCATCTCCATCGAAGACAATGTATTCCATATCGTCTGATGTCTGGTTGTAGAAGTCCTCGTCAGAAGCCCTGTTGCCGCTGCGGAACATGCGGATAGTCAACAGGCTCATGACCCAGATCATGCGAAGCAAGACGCCAATACCACATCCTATGAAGATAGTGAGATGTTGAATAAACGGAAAATACGGAGAGTGGAGAAGCGGGACATACCAAGCACAAAGGCGACAGCTCTGCCCTCCCAAGGGCCGAGAGTCATCAAGGCGTGGTGAACGCGCTTGAGGAACGTATCGTGGTAACGGTGATGGAAGTGAGGGCGACCATGCACTTGACCTTCTCCAGGTCGAGCGATAGGAGTTCCGATGAAAGGAAGGATATGAACAGCACCATCGGTGTTGTTGGGATTGTTGGGGGTAGGCTCGATGTGAGGCTTAGTTGGGTGAACGGTCTCGATGAGAGGAAGACCAAAGATTTGTCTAAACTTGTTAGCCATGATCAAGCCTTTCTCCTTCATCAACCCACAAAGATGACCACGGCGTCCGGCGCTGGGGTCATTCTGAATCGCTGCGTTGGTCGCAGTCATCATATCGGGGCGCATCATGTGCCCGAGGACAGGTCGGTCCCCGATGGGATGTCCAAATGGTACTGGGGACATCTCCTGATGACTTGTGACTACAACGACTCGGATGGGACTGGCGGCTGCCTGCATGGCTGAGCATAGGAGAAATTAGTACTGACTTAACATGCAGTGGTCTTTCGTACTCACCGAGTCCGGCAGCCAGAAGCAATGGAAAAGCGGTTATTCGCATGTTAACTCAGTGAGGTGAAAGACTTTTAGATATTTGGGATAGAGACTGGTGGTGGTTATAAAGGGAGCATGGCGGGACAAGGGCTGTACCATGTGGCGCTACAGCCCTATATTAGGGTTTGTTAGAGATATACGTTATTTAATTACTAAATGTACTCGGCTACATGAGTAAGTATTCTTCTGTGTGACGATGTGACATTACATTTTCTTCCGCCCAACCTCCATCTTCACCTTAGGTTCTTTGGTGTGAACGTTCAGGTTCCACCTCTGCGACGAGAAAGTTCGCATTTCTTTGCTGTGGGTAATCAGAGGTCCTACTTGCAGGCTCTGATTAATACCGAATATCTAGCAGGGCTCGGTGCGGATCTCGGGTAGATTTAGGTGGACCGACAAATGTCGACAAGACAAAACAAGAAGCGTAAGGGGCGAAATAATGTGCTCAATCGCGAACGCACTGTCACCACACTCACGGAGGGTCCTGAGGGCACGTTTCTGATCCCAACACCCACTGACGAACCTGCACCGTCTGCCAACATCATGTCTACACCATTCTCTGTCGCATCTAGTGCGGCTGCCACGGCTGGCGGCTTACCTCCCAATTTTGCGATGACTGGCGGATTTGGACCATTTTCAAACTACCATCAACATTACATGCCTGGTCCGATGGCTGGTCCTCCTTTCCAGCAACAACAGCCACCACAGTTCTTCCAACAGCCGCCGTCTGGTCCTCCTGGACAGTCTGACCTGGAATTGCTCGAAAGGCTCAAGGAGACGATAAAGAACAACCAGCATGAAATTTTTCGACCTGTTCCTCAACCTGATGCTCTTGCCAGTGTTTACCTCGGTCCTCGGCCTGCAGTTTCGCAAGTCCCTCCACACCCAGAACAGATTCCTATGGCTCATGAATACGCATCTATGAGCGACAGTGCCGCTGGTGTGTCTTCTGGCAACAACGGCGTTGGCGCCACGTCGGCAATCGCGGGTGACGCGCGTCGTCTCCGTGCGCAAGGTTCGGATTCATGGGACAACGCAAGGAAAGCGGGACCCGATAGTGGAGTGACGCCACAAGTGTCTACTACAAATGTGCTTCTTTGCTTAAGTTGTATTATTGGAGATTACTCCTGCTAACAGTTGTTTCTATTTCCCTCCAGAATACTGGCTCTCAGAGATATGACCTTAGCTCTGGTATGTCTTCTGCTGTGTCCAAGCCTGACAACCTCGAAGCGGATACAACTGGTCCCCCTGGTCTCAACACTCAACCCTCGTCGCCCACTGCTGTCCAGCGTCAGCGGTCTCAACCTGAAGCACAATATGCCCACGGGAATCTCGACAAGATTACACTTGGTGAGTCGGTCGAAGTCAAGAAAGAGGAGATACCTCCTCGACTTCGCGACTCTACTTGGAATCAAAGGCCTGGTTCTCTGGACGACATGAAGTCCTCTTTCAATGACCATGTTCGCAATGGCAATAGACCTGAAGCTCGCTACAATGACAACAATCGTAGTCGGTTCTATGACAGAGAGAGGGATCGAGACCGAGACCGGGATATCAACTGGGACAGGGACCGCGACCGTGTCGGTCCCGGAATCCGCGTCAACAATCGTGACATTGACAGGGATCGCCGTAACGATGATAGGTTTAGGCCCGACAACCGCCGTCCTACAGCTGATCAACGTCACTATGAACCACGTTACCCCCAAGGTCAAGAAGGCGGACTGAGACGATATGATACCAAGTCGTCCATCTCCTCTGCTCCCGAACTTCCAGCAACCGCAAATGCTGCTCCTGCTTCTCGAGTAGAAGACACCAGAGAGCGGGACCGTGTTGGTCCTCCCGTGGACACCCGTGTGCCTCGGCCTTTGGGTGAAGAACGCTCTTCGGGCTCTCTTAGACTGGCTGAAGACAGAGACCGTCGCCCACCTCCTCCCTTGGATGATCGTCGACCTCCTCCTGATGACCGTCGTCCGCCGCCTGAAGACCGCCGTCCTGCATTTGATGATCGTCGTCCTCAAGATGATCGACGTGGACCTCCGCCTCCCCTTGACCGTGAGCGTTCATCAAGAGCTTTGGATGATCGACGTCCGCCTCCTCCAGCTGCCGTAGACCGCAGACTTCCGCTTGACGATCATGATCGCCGTCGATCCCCTGGTCCAGGTGGTCCTGGCTACAATAATGATCGTCCAGTAAGACCACTACCTCTCGATGACCGTCGACCTCCTCGTGCTGGCTCTCCTCCTCCGCCACCTCCTGCTCTCAGCACTGGGGACCGCGGGCCTCCTGATGACAGAAGACCACCTCCTGCCAGTAGGCCTATTGACCGCACAAGGCAAGTTGCTGCACCACCTGCACGAGGACCGCCTCCTGCAGCCGAAGATAGACGACAACTTCCTCCTGCTCCTCCTCCGGCTTCTACTGTTGTAGATCGTGATCGTCAAGGAAGACCTCCTGTAGATGATCGGAGTGGTACAAGAACCGGCGTGTCTACAGCTGTTACTCCTTCTGATGCTTCTACTCGACCTCCTGTCGCAGATCGTGACCATCCTATTGCACGACCTCCTCCTCATGTTGAAGATAGAGATAGGAATGTACGCTCACATATTCCGTTGGAAGAACGAATAAGTCGACCAGTACCTACTTTGCAGGAAAGACTGGGTGGTAGGCCTGAACAAACGCCTACGTCAAGAACTGAAGCTGCTCCTATTACTTCAAGTGAACCTCGTCTGCCTGTTGCACCTGAATCTACTCTCCGCCCAGCTGATGCCAGGGGTGAAGCCCATACTGAAGCTTCTCGACCACCACCTGCCATATCAACAGCGGAAGATCGCGGTCGTCCCATCATGTCTGACAGATTCGCTCGCGGAGGTGCTCCTCCAGCAGGCGATCGTGAACGTACTCGGACAGGACCCATACCATCTCACACTGGTCGTGCCCCATCCGTTGTTCGGGATGATAGAACGTTCAAACCTCGTTTACCAACAGTCTCACCATCCAGAAGAAATGAATATCGCCCTGGCTATCGACCTCCAGCAGATTATGATAGGGATAGAAGGCCTGATAGTTCAGTGATGGATGTCGGTAATCCGCCAAGATATGGCGCTAACGATCGACCATATCGTCGGCCATCCCCTACTGCCTACGATCGCTCCGATCGTAGCTGGGTCCCTGCTGCAGATGCCTTCCCTGCAGACAGTGCTCGTCGCCCTCCGCCGGATTCACACCCCTTCTCGCGCGAATGGCGTGAGGACGAGCGAAGCTTTTCTCAAGATTGGGATCGATGGCGGGATCCTGATCGTGAAAGAGACCGCGAGTTTGACCGTGACTCGCGATTCGTTGAGCGTGATGCTTTACCTCCTGCAGCTCCTCCTGCGACATGGGATCGTGACCGCAGGATATCCTACCCACCTGCCGCAGATGCGCCAGCTGCCCCCGCGAGGCCATTCGAACCACGTCCTTTGAGTGCACGCTTGTCGGACACCTATCCTCCAGACGATAGAGATCGTGTCATTGACCGGGACCGACCGTTTGCTAGGGATTTTGAGCGCGGACGTTATCCAGCTGACGAGCCTCCAGCAGCGTTCAACCGTGTTCGTCCTCGCAGCCCAAGCCCTGCAGGCTCTCTTCGTCGGCATACAGATGACCTTCGTCCACCTATGAAACGTGTCAGAGATGACGCTTATTCTGCTGGTTATTATTCACCGCCTTCAGCCGTTATGGATGTTTCATCTGACTACTCCCATTCACATGTTCCTGCCCGTCTGCGTACACCACCTCCAGCCGCTGGTTATTATGACGAATCCCGAGGTGGGGGATACAACGTCACCTCTGCAGCTAGGGGTGTCTCGAGGGAAAGAGATTTTGCGGATGCTAGGGACGCATATGCGTACGATCGTCGGGATGCACGGATGCCTCCTCCCCCTCCTCCACGGCGCTCGCCACCTCCTTATGGAAGAGCTTATGACAGGGATGATCGGCGTTATATACCTCCCCCTCCCCGGCCTTGAGCCCGAAACATTTCATGTTTGTTAGGTCGGTTGAATGTATTGAGACATCCGCATGGGAACCCTGACACTGACAGCTTATTTTCACAGTTGCTTGGCACGTCGACGTGTATTCATTGAAGTGCGTCTTCTGAACATCGATGTCTCCACTGTTGGATGGTATCTGCCTGTTTGTATCCATGATCTATGTGCTCTGAATTTACGACTATCTATGTCCCTTATGTATATACTATCTTGATTTTACGATTGCGTCCACTACGCATCGTGTATGTAATTTATGACCATGCAATGCAGCCTGCCTATTTGGTCAGTTGTTGTATTCCGGAGTGTAGACTTGGGAGCGAAATAAGGCACGCTGACAGCAGCTGGGTCAAACCCTGTCACAGCGACCCTGAAGACTGAATGCATAGGTGTCCGGAATGTCATTGAAACTATCGGCAGCGAAAGCTAAGTCAATACATGTCTACATGAGAAACCAAAAAGGAGAAGGGGAAATACAAGGCGGAACAGCCCTCGGAACAGCATCCACAGACACCCACCGAACTCATCGGATCGAGGCCCTAGTGGTACACGCATAGGAAAGATATAGGATAGATGCAAACAAACAATCTCGACCCTAAATCATCATGCAAGACCGATCGATGCCATGTGAGTGCGCATGATGGCCTCTCCAACTGCAGGACAAACTAGTTAGAACGAATGCGGATATCTGTAAGATAAAGGCAGCTTGCCGTTAACTATGATAGCTTGTGTCATTCTTACATCCTGATACGCAAGTTAGACTAATGCATTCAGATCGTATCGTTGTCAACTCACAAGCATTGACGTAAAATGCTGCAGTCGTTCTATCAGTCAAGGAATAGACCACCAGGAAAATACACTTACTGCGTATAATGTCCTATGTGCTGAGTCTTTCCGCTTGTGCACTTGAATGAAGTGCGCACGGAAGTACTCCGACACCTCGTCGTAAGTGTTTGGTCGGTCACCATACGAAGATATGCTATGGTAAGCGGTGGAGTGTTAGCGAACACCCTACGACTGAGGGCATAGAAGTAACAAAGAAAATCGCGCACTATTTCCGCACTTTGATCCCAGCATCTAGCTTCTGTCTCAAGAGGTCGGCCTGCAAAACGATACCGGTCGATCAGGACAAATCCTGGGCAAATTACAAAATACGCGAACCCGCACCTTGTTGAGCATGAGGACAAGAGCCGCCTTGGCTAGTAGTTTGTTGGAAATGATAGCTGTAAATAGCTGTAGTGAGTCATCGATTCTGTTCGTCCGTGGGTCTTCCTCTAGGTACTAGCGGTGTTTGACGTCAGTGAAACGAAAAGATACCGGCGGAAATAAGAGCAGACCTGGTCGAAAGCGCTGATCGGTGCGAGGAAGATGATGGCGGTTGCTGAAGTGTTCGGACGAAGTTAGAGAAGAGAAGACACGGGATGAGATAGGAAAGATGTTGCACGTACCATCTTCAAAGTATGGAACCCATGCGTGTCTCTGACGGGTGATAGAATATATCAGAGAAAGCTGGGAAGGATCCAAATACTACTCCTACTTGCCTGTCCTCTCTGCAGAGAGATCTGTGAGCTACAGCTCGTGTAAAGCGGGTAGACAAAACACGCACGGCACCACCGACGTCGTAAAGTAACCAATTGAACTGACGCCCTCCCATCTGGATATCAAACGAATGCTCGGTAACGCCGAGGGTCTGCAAACGGACGTGCAGGATATCATCTGTGATAGGAAGCGATTAGGACAGCCTTCCGGGGTGTTTAGATGACACGGGGAACATTACCCGTTGTTGGAGCAAAGTCAGGTTCTGAGATTCGATGAATATGATCAAGGAAACTGTGGGTCCACCTCAGTATGGAGCTGATGAACAGATCGGCAACTCGACCTACAAAGATGCTGATTCTTCTAGACGAAGTTTATTCGTCCGGACCAAACTTTGGACTGCGGGGTGTCTCCATAAGCGAAAGATCTCATCTTGAGTTGCACCAAAGGTCTTAGCCACAATGTTAGTAACTGCTGACGGTCGGGCTGAAGACCCCAGAATATCAGGCAGAGGCCATGCACGATTGGGTGTAACCAGCGCCTGCCAACCTGTGCGGACGTATACGCCTGTACGTCCTCCTGTGACAGTTATACCTCCGCTTAGCTCGGAAGCAAGGGCTTCTTCGCTTGCGACAAGGGGTAGGACCTTGTTCCGCAGATACGCAAGCTCTGAAAACCAACTGGATTCGGGCGTTGCGGCAGAGCCGCTGTAAGATGATGATTGCGATGGTATCTTTGACTGTGGCGGTGTAAATGAGAAGACGTTTCCCGCGGAACTTGCAGTAGACGGCGCAATCGGAGAGTATGGCGCTGAATTCGTCGGGGACGGCGGTTGGATGGCTTGGGGATACTGAAAGTCGAGTTCGTCAAGGATCATACGTAGGGCCTTCAGGACATTGAAGTAAACTATCGGCCTCCATGACAGCCGTTCGCGATCCAAGGTGTGAGCAGCATAGTACAATTGGAACTGCTTCTGCAAAGTGGACTTTCCCGATTCGGCCTGGCCAAGCAGCATGACTGGGCGCAAACTACCTGGTCACGTCCCATCCTGTTGTAAGAGAGATGCACCGGGAGCTCACCTTTGATCTCCTTCGGTTTTCTTCTCCTCCGTAGCTCGCGCTCTTGCTAGAGAAACAAGTGACATCAACCGGTGAATTTGTCAGCATGGTAGGACGAGAATACACTCACCCTGAGCTCTTCGTCGATGGCATTGCTGATGCGTGTAGCCTCTGGGCTGTCATATGTCTTAGACCTTGAGCCCATTGCAGTGAGCAGACGAGATGGGAGGAGGGAGTAAGTGGGATGATCAAACCACTGAGAATACAGCTGCCTGAAATTGTGAAGGAGGTTCGAAATGATGGACGGCTCGAAATGAATGCATGGTGGATAAGTTAGCGCGTTGAGTCCCACGGGATGCAATCCGTTGTCAGTGATGGTTAGACGACGATGACAGCCATGCCTTTCCGACTCTGCGAATCCCAGGCACTGCTGCCTGCACCGCCTCCTGATACAGGCACTCACTCCCTGCATGCTGTCTCTTTCTTCTCCCTTCCTTCCATCATGCCCACTAGTACCACAACGTTGTCTTTCTGATCATCTAATCATACAGACTCTCCGGTGTAAAATTGTCCTTTCCAAACTCTCTCGGACTTTAGCTGCTTGTTTTCTTCCTGTGCCAATGCGTTATGCAAACTGCACCCACTTTGTTAACTGTCCCTGGCAACAATGCCCACAGCGATCTTACCGTCCTTGCGACCTTGTTCGGCAGCTTCCAGGGTTGCAATGTTGAACATCTACACATGGAGATGGTTGTACGAGTGAATCATTTATAGACGCTCACATAATTGCTCAGCTCGCCGATCAAAACAGTAGTGATTCGCATGTGCACCGTTGATGTTACCCTGCTCAGTCATACAAATGTATCGCACCACGGGGATAACCTGACAGATGGAGTCGAGGTGAACCCCACTCTTGCAGTGCCATATAAAATGGGCTAATATCGCTGTGCCAGCCAACTGAAGAAGTCATGCGGTTCCGGTGACAAGTCATCACCAGTGCGAGCTGTTCATGACCTGCCTGTGAATTTGACAGCCGTCAGTCATATGTGCGTATACGTGCTACACATCGCTTCCCCACGAATACATTTCAATTTGGAGGGAGGATCCAATATTCAGGCGGCCCTCATTGTGCAGACATCAGAATATGCCAAATACAGTTCGAGTCGTATGTCTCTGCCATAGTGCGAATTCAATACCAGCTGATTGACAGATTCCGAAACCAACAACAGATAATCAAGACCGGACTATTTGGGAGGTTTTGCAACTTTGTAATCAGGGTTCGGCGACCGTCCCTTCTGCCCGCTTCAAAGCGATTCAACACCTCACTTTCCCTAACTTGCATGGGATCGACATTATGCGCATTCGGATATTAACCTTGAAAGGTTATTGCCACGAAGGGAGACGTCTGATGTCACCCTTCTGATGTCCGACCGCCGTCTTGAACATCAGCACATGCGGCCCTCTTTAACACCTTTGGCGTGGCTTCTTATCGTATCTCGATGGCAATCATCTGTAACCGGAATATGACTCACCAAATGTTTCTATGTATGAACGTCTTCTGGCGGCAATCGTTTATACGTCGGTATCCCTTGAATGTTGCCAGGAAAACACAGATGCATCGCGATATAAATATCCAGGTCGCAACGCTGTTCCTTACAAGGGGGAGATCGTACAGGGATTGAATAGTTGCAGCCCCTGGAGACAACGTGAGGGATCGATGGTAGTTGACAGTCGAGTTGCTAGTAGGAACTCTCGTGTTCCCGGTGCGCCTACTTACTGTACTTGTCAGCTGAGTAGAGAGCTCGATTTTCGGCCGACCTCTTTTCATGGGAACTTTGTCTTGACCACGCAACTTTCCTGAGAGATTATATTTGCAGTCTCGCGATACGGCATTCGGGCCAAGAAACGGTTCCATCTCTAATTGTCAGTCTAGATCTGAACTACTTGCGATGTTCGCAGGGGCGGTCAAGTGTTTTTGTATTCACTCTCTTCATGTCAGACGCGTTATTATCCTGCTGTCTTGGACCGCATAAGAGTCGTATTTCGCTCTTCTCCTGACTCAACTACTGTAGTATCCTTCTATGGAATGTACCATCAGTCAAACCCTATGTTAGGTCTCGATCACTGATTTTCTAGTAAATTGCTCGTTGTATACCGCCCAAATATAGTAGCTTTGTTTACGTAATCCAAATTTTCTCTGCCTCTGCAGCATGCCAATTCGCAACGAGGTCGAGCTCATCAACCGCAACGACGACAGAGGAGAGACCTTATTCATCCGGGCAACTCTCACTAATAAAGCATCTATAGTGTCTTCCTGCAACAGTACTTCAAGATGTCGACAAGTGGTTTGAAGGCGATTGCCCCGGTGCCCACTGCGGCCGATTTCTTGGACATCGTGTTGTCCAAGACCCAAAGGAAAACACCTACGGTGTGTTTTGAGGTGGTATGAAGGGGGAAATTAAACTAATGCTCTGTACGTGGTCTTCAGGTCATCCACAAGAACTTCAAAATCAGCCGAATCCGTAATTTCTACATGCGCAAAGTGAAGTTCACTCAGGATTCGTTTGATGAAAAGCTCAGTGCGATTTTGGAAGAGTTCCCTATGCTTGACGTGCGTTATTTTATTATTGGAACTCTCAAATAATCCTGAGTGTGCGAATTTAGGACCTCCATCCTTTCCTTGCTTCATTAATGAACGTGCTTTACGACAAGAACCATTACAAGCTTGCTTTGGGTCAGCTTCGAACAGCTAGACACTTGATCGACCAAGTCGCAAAAGATTATGTCCGTCTCCTCAAGTTTGGTGACAGTTTGTATAGATGTAAACAGCTCAAGCGGGCTGCTCTTGGTCGGTGGGTAACACGGCAGCAAAGTGACTCTTCAGAAGCACGCTAAACTTGCCTACAGTATGGCGACCATCATGCGCCGACAAAAGGACCCATTGGCATATCTTGAACAAGTCCGACAACATATTTCTCGTCTCCCCGCTATCGACCCTACCGCACGTACGCTTCTTATCTGTGGATACCCTAATGTCGGAAAATCGTCCTTCATCAACAAAGTCACTCGTGCGGACGTCGACGTCCAACCCTACGCTTTTACCACAAAATCTTTGTTTGTCGGTCATCTTGACTACCGATACATGCGATGGCAGGTCATTGATACTCCCGGTATCCTCGATCACCCTCTCGAAGACATGAACACGATTGAGATGCAGAGTATCACTGCGCTTGCGCATTTGAAGAGTTGTGTTCTCTATTTCATGGACCTTAGCGAGCAGTGTGGGTACACCATCGAGGCTCAGGTACGGTCCATGTGTCTTTTATCCCGTTCTCATACTCATCTTTTTCATTCGTATTAGTGCAAACTTTACCATTCAATCAAACCTCTCTTTGCGAATAAGCCCACCGTCCTAGTCATTAACAAGGTCGACGTCGCTCGGCTAGAAGACCTTGCTCCTGAGAACCGTGTTCTTGTCGATGAGATCATCAACACGGAAGGTATTCACAATGTTCAGGTCTCATGTTACACGGATGAGGGCGTTATGGAGCTCAAAAACAAGGCCTGCGATGCTCTCCTTGAGCACCGTGTTGATACCAAACTCAAAGGTAATAAAATCAACTCCATTCTCAACCGATTGCACGTCGCGCAGCCCAAGGCACGAGACGAAGTCGTCCGAGAGCCGTTTATTCCTGAGGAAGTTAAGCAACGGAAGACATTCGACAAGAACGACCCCGAACGCCCAAGGCTCGAGAGAGATATCGAGGCCGAGGAAGGTGGTGCTGGTGTGTACAACATCAACCTTAAAAGTACGGTCTCCAGTCCTCTTCGTTTATGCGCTTCATTATTCATTTCTGATTCATACAGAGAACTACATGCTTGCCCATCCCGATTGGAAGCAAGATATCATACCTGAGATCATGGACGGCAAAAACGTTGCCGACTTCATCGATCCTGATATTTTGGAGAAGCTGGAGGCACTCGAGCGTGAGGAAGAGAAACTTCAAGCGGACGGATTCTATGATAGTGAGGAAGACATGGTACGTAAAGCTTTATCTAATAATTGAAAATGGCTGGCTAACGACGTCGTTGTTAAGTTCGATTCCGATGATGAACGTGAGGCGGCAGAAGGCAAGGTTTCCCGGGGGAAGAAGCTCATTTCGCAGAACACGAAGAAGGCCGGGAAGCACCGTGCACATCTTCCTCGTACAGCGGGCTTGCGCACGTTAAACGAGCTGACAAGTGGAATGACAAAAGCCGGCCTTGATCCTAGCCGGATACAGGAGCGTGCGGATGCTTTGGCGAAGGTTGCAGGTGAGAAGCGCAAGCGACAGCGTGAGGAAGAGGCGGAGATGGACATCGATGAAGAAGGCGGTGAGGGTGATTGGATGGATGTGGATGGCGAAGATGCTTCGCCGAACAAGCGGGTTAAGTCGAACTCTGGTGCAGTCGTTGCCAAGAATGCACGGTTACCCAAGTCAAATCGACAATTCGCTGGTTTCCGAGATCAAGCAGTACGTATTTTTGGCATGCATTGTTGTGGTGATCGCCGAACTGATTGTGTACTTTTCTCTCACCTTACAGCAAGCGTCTAAGGCGGTTAAATTACGGAATCTCGGGCAGAGAGAACGCAATATGCACGCAAGAGCTGGCGAAGCTGACCGTGCGATCAAGACTAAAATGGTGCGACTCCTCGCGTCCTATTTGCTGCACTCAGAATGCTCACTTGGTCCTTTACACAGCCAAAGCATCTCTTCGCGGGCAAGCGGGGGATGGGCAAGACAGACCGAAGATAATATATTCCTGTACTCTACGACTTCTCTTTGGAATACCATGTACATATTGGCTTTCTTTGTATCCATTGCTTCGACTGCCCCATCAGTCTTGAAAGACTTGAGCAAACGAGATACATTAATTAAACTCGTAATATCATTCATTCCAAGGCCGTGTCACATCGTTATCTACAAGCAGTTACCTACGAAAACAAACAGAATAGTACATGAAGATGAAAACTGCCGAACACCGATGACGAACCAGGTTACCGGCGATAAGTACAGCCAACCAAAAGTATATACAGGAAGCGCAAGGGGAAGCATAAGGATGAGATAGATAATTTCGAGCAACACAATAGTTCCCAGGGTAAGACGAAGGGGAGGAAGCGGGAAATCAGTCGGCCAAATAACGGCGGCAAGGAAATCCTAGGAAAAATAGAGGATAGAGAAAGAGAAAGAGGGAATGCCCTATGACACCCCTTATTCTGAGAATCTAAGGTATAAGAAAAAATGTTACAATGTCTCGTAAACATATCAAAGACGCACAGAGAAAGAAGAAACAGAATACAGAAGGCAGAAAACGAAGTGAAAGAGAGACGAAGAGAAAAAGGTGAGCGATGGGTACACAGAATATGGCGTTAGATAGGTATGAATGTGGGTGGGGAATCGTACGGTTGTCTGGGTATGAATGGTATCTGGTATCGTTCACCATTCTACATGCATGCCGCCCACTGGGCTGGCAAGACCAATTCCACGGTTGGCCTCCCGTTTGAGCCACTTGAGTGCACGCTTATCGTCCTTGATAAGGGGCTCAAGCCTTTCGAAACATAGTCGATTATGATCCTAAATATTGGGGTAAAAAGACAATGATTGATAATTTATATTGCGAAAGCAGAAGGGAAGAAGGCAAACCTTGAGCCATTGTTTTTCTTCCTTCGAAAGCATCGAGTCCTTCACCATCTTCGTTTGGATGGGAACGCATGTTAAGCGCTCGAATCCGAGCCAGATGGGGCCATTGAATTCATGTTTCGTCTGCCAAGGAAGGTGTATGAGTGAGCTACTCACATTTTCCGACTATCTCTAGCAAACTTACCTGCACTGGCCTGACAATGAGAGCCGACTCGATCCGGATACCGAAATCACCTTCCTTGTCTATCGAACAAGGATGAAGATCAGTCATGACATACACTGTATCTCACGAGTAATAACATACAGTAGCCGGGCTCATTGGTGACGACATGTCCAGGTTCAAGCGGGACAGTAGAAGAGAATCCATGCGGGCCCTCGTGGACATTCAGATAGGAGCCGACACCGTGTCCGGTTCCGTGCTGCACAAAACAAATAAGGAAGTGTCAAACAATTTGTTAGAAAGAAGGCCTACTCACCCCATAATTGAGTCCGTCCTGCCAAAGAGCTCGACGCGCAAGGACATCAAGCTTCAGCCCATCAGTGCCTTCTGGGAAGATAGCACTGTCGATAGCGATCTAAGAAAAAGGCGAGCGTAAGCAATCAGATCAAATTGAATGAGGAAATACCACGTACATGTCCCTGAAGCACCCGAGTGAAAGCCTCACACTGCTCCGAAGTAGGAAGACCAAAATGCACTGTGCGTGTGGTATCACAGGTTCCGTCTCGGTACTGCCCCCCAGAGTCACTATATGACAGTATGTCAAAAAGCGTGCATCCGTGAAATGATAGCTACCCACTTTAGGTAAGGAGTGTCCCTTTCGATGTCTACTGCAGTACGCTTATGGGGAGTGTAATGCGGAATAGCTAGTGAAGAGGATCATCAAACCTCTATTCGAATAAGCCCAAATAAATACAGTGGTGGACGTACCGGCATTGCTCCCTGTAGCACTGATGTTTTCATAAGCAAGACCCTTGTAATGTCGCACTTGTCTCCTGTATTCCGTCAACCTCCACGCCGCTTCGTACTCAGTAATATTATAACCGTTGTTCATCTTATCTTCCAACCAAGCCAACCATCGAACGTACGCCGCACCGTCTCGGAGGTAGGCGTTTCGAAGTCCCTGGAGCTCGGTTGGGTTCTTGATCGCTTTCCAATCTTCGATGGGTGAAGGCAGGACGGTGTATCGATAGGAGGTAAGCATGAGAGAGATTGCATATGAAGTTTGAGGCGAGATGATGATCTATAAACAAACATGTGTATCAGCATCTAACGGCTAGGTTAATGGACGAAACGTATGCAACATACCTTGCCCTCACCCCATTCCTTACGTCGCAGGAATGTCCAGATGTCGTTGTACTCTCGACGTTCCACGCCAATCGAGCTTAGATACTCGTCAACTTCTCGGCTCACTTTGGCAGAATCGACGAACAAAAGCGCTTGGTCGGCAGATACAAACAGATACGAGTAAAACACAGGGTTGAATGGGATATCGTCTCCGCGTAGGTTTAACAGCCACGCAATGCATGCCAAATTCGACACGAGCGTCGCAACCTGTTTATTAGCAGGCTTCGGCTCAGACTTGGCATATGAAGAAACTGAGGGCTTCTGTTCTTTAATCCATTGCCTCAGTTTCTCCAACTTGGCGCCCGCTTCCTGACCAGTGAAATGCAGAGGCTGCACGAAGATGGCTTCTTTGCTTCGACTAGGTTTCTCTTTCCAGATGAGATCAATCAGGTTTTGAGGCGGATACACGAGCTTCGACTTCTTGGCTACAAGCTGTGAGTTGAGATCGGTAGCTTTCCTATGTTCAATCATTCGCGCATCGATGCCAATTCGAGACTCCTTCACCCGGTCAACGAGCCAGATGACCCAGTCCTTTGGAGCGTCACGGTCAACATCACCAGCACGAATGACGAGCCAGTTATTGTCTGTCTGTTGCTCAGCCTGAGTCCAGTATCGGGAGTCAACGATGAGATACGATCGCGAAGTCGAGATGATGGCAGTTCCGACTGAGCCCGTGAAGCTGAAAATAGCAAGTTGTAAGGGTGTGAGGCGATACGAGCATAAATTTACCACGGGCATACCCAGAAACCCATTCCACGCGCTTGTCGTTAACGCCTACATATTCCGAACCATGGGCGTCCTGCGAAGGAATGACACTGATGAGATGGAAGAAAAGTAAAACAGGTGTCAGGTAACGAAAATTGATCAAACAAGGGATGAGACGCACTAGTAGTCCAGCTGGTCTTTAGTCATTAGCTCTCGTAACGCCTCCAAACGCTCAGAAGTATCAGGACGTTCTCTGTAGGAATCGACTTCATTGGCATCGTTGATCTTGCGTTCCAGAGCGGAGCCAACAAGAGTGCTTGACGAGTCTGACGTGAAAAGCCCAGGCCGCCTTGTGAGCGGATTTTGCGAACGGCCTGAAGATTGAGACTTGAAGGTATTGGAGCGAGAATGATTGGGGGACTGATTGAGTGCCTGCCCTTGCCATCCTCGTTGCTGCATGTGTCCAGGAATAGCGCTAGCCTGAGCAGGTTGGGAAGATGACGTTGAGACAGACCGATCTGAGGCACGGCGAGAAGGTCGGGGAGATCGGTGAGGTGGTGACCTAGTAGAGGAAAACGAATTGTCCCTGGACAACTGGGCTATAGCTGCCTCTCGTTCTCTCTCTATCTCTTTCTCTTTGTCCTTCTTGCCAAGTCCCCAACCATAACCACCAATCCACTTTTTCGTCCCACCGCCACTCTTCTCATTAATCGGAGGTAAGGCTTTCGTCTTCTCCCCCATGGTATTGGCACGTTTAAGCACAGTGCGGTCCGCAGCGGGAACATAGCCAGCTACGTCGTAAGATTCGGTATCAGTAGAGAAAGAAAGCTTCTCTGCCTTAGAGGTGAGCGTAGCGGTGGGAGAGTAGGAATTTGCGCGTTCCAACCGATCTATGCTGGACCTTTGAGAAGTATACGATTCTGTGTGCGACCGATCCTCACGAGGCAGTCGCTTGGGCTTTTTCTTTCCGATGAATGGGAGGCATATTGGCGGAGGGGGAGGCGGCGGAGGAGGAGGAGGAGCCATGGGTGTCGCAAGGAGAGTTCTGGAGACACCCTTACGCTGGCCAGTGAGAAGATAGAGGCCTACACACGAGGCGGCGAGACCAGCGGAGAAGACTGCAGAACCCAACCGGCCATAGGCGTGGCAGAATATTCTCAGGCCAAATTAGGCAAAACCCTCCGATGAAAGGACCTCCTTGATCCGACTCGTCCGAATTGGCGCAGAACTCTGGGGATGCCTTGGGGTTGGTCGAAATGAAAGCAGCATTGAAAAGGCATGTTTGGCTCGCATGGCCATTAACCTTTCCAACGGAAAACCTAAAATGAATGTTCTTAGAGAAATGAACTCTTAATGTCCAAACCTTTTGAGTCGCTGATTCGACGGTGATTCTTGTAGATCGGTGCGACGGACCATGTCCACCGGCATCTATCTACCATTGCCATGTTGGCCTGAATAGTGATTTCTGTGCGAACCTACTAGAATAACAACGGCTGCAAGAGCTGTCAGCTGAAAGCAATCCACACAGAGTAGCAATCACTGATGACATACTTGTGGCAAACACACATTCCAATTGTTGCACGAAACCAGCATGGCCAACGCGACCAAAGCGGCACTTGAGCGTATCGCGTGTCTTTGTCACATCGTTCGAAACAAGTCGCTCGGACATAGTCCAGCTGACTCTGACAGACGCATCTTGGAACGCCGCTGACATCTTCTGACATCCCAAATTTGGCCCCCAAGGTGAAAAGTGCACACCCCAGATGCAGCCTAGAACGCTTGGACAGAAAACCGACTGCGGTGTTATCGAAGGCTCGATCGCATCATCGATTGTAGAGCAAGACGCGTACATAACTCCAAATAGAACTCTCATAAGCTCATGTGCACCAAGAACCTATAAGGCTTGAATGCTGAGAGTAACTGCCGTGAGAAGTGACCTGTCAGGCTGCCGTAGGCTTGGGAAGGCGGCAGGATAGTCCAACGTCTTCAATGACAGCTGTTCGCAGGAAGTGTAACACCAGGCTTCGAATATTCCAAGTGGCAGACATGTGAACACAGGCTATTGACTCGCAATACAATAATAACCGATATGTGATTACCCATCAGCTATGAAGAAACAGAACTCGATATGAATCACATCTTCCGAGTGGCAAAGAAAGATGAGAGGTGCTTACTGAAAACTGTCTGCAGAGGAGTTGTATAGTGACTGTCGATACTCCGAAATGAATTGTGGTAAAGCGCAGCTGTGCAAACGACGACACCCCAGTCCCTGCGTGTCAATCTTGCAACTCCAAAGCACATAACGAAATTAAAGGCATCAAATGAACCCTCGATTACAGTCTATGTCCTCACATCGTTCCTTCTTGCACCGACTTGATCTTGATCGAATCTCGCCAGAGTTTACATCCCATAGCGCAAACACTGCGCAAATATTTGACTTGCCTGTGGTGTACACGATCGGACCAGAAGAGAACATCTTCATCAAAGAAAGTCGAGGGTTTCCTTCCTATTCCGCAGTCTAGCAAACTCCATGGATAAACAACCGAGTCATTATCCGAGCATGAACCGGCTCACCATTTCAATTCCGAGGAACCAGTAAGGAAGCAGATCATTCATCTCCGGGTGTGGCAACTCCAGAATGCTTCGAGAATAGAGTCCCAGTGAGGAAACTTGAACGTCTGTCCTGAGTGCAACTCTTCAATAGGGTCAAGGGTACTCATATATGAACCTTATGAGCTTCAAATATTGACTCGTGAGCTGGAACTGTTGGATAAACGGTCGGATCTACGATGGAGATCACGATGAAATGCTTGTCAATGCCCCAACGATCCTGGATCGAACACGAGGACTGGAGTATTGTAGTTCATGCAGATCAGATGCTCGAACACTCCTTGGGGATGAGGATACTGTTCAGCGAGTGGTCCATTACGTAGGGAATTCACGCCACAAAGGTCCTGCATAACATCGGTGTAGCGGGTCAGATGACACATGACGAGGGAGGGACTTGGGTGGTGAGGACTTGGTCATAGCGAAATTATGACGTGGTAGACACAGCCTGCCTGTATCCAAGTCATCGTCATAGGTTTGCAGGACGCCAAGGAGGGTCGAACCAGAGTACTTGTGATGATATAGGTCATGTTGTAAATGCAAAAAGGGTCCTGCAAAATCGCCGTGTACTGCGCGCGAAGCGTTTGAGCTTACGCACGCCCTGGTCCAGTAACACGCCCCGTATTGCCACTGAAAATGTGATAGTTCAGTTCGATCCTGCGAACCAAACTCGTAATTGAACCTGCACCAGGTATCCGCCTTAACGTGGAGACGGTCATGCGAAAGACGCTTCCAGGACAACGCGCGATCAGAAGGGCAAGGACACCCACGTGAGTAATGTAGGACCTCCAGTGCAGTGATTCATGTTGGCCAGAACTGCATATAGTCACAAAATATGTGCACATTGAAGCAGAATTAACCCATCTCACCGATGGGCGAGAGTTGCTCCTCCATACGTCGAACGCATGGACCAGCATAGTTTCAGAAACCAAGAAGGTGTAGTAGCTTCACGAACGGAGGTCGGTCCAAACGCGGGTTGTCGGTTCGCAAGACACATATATATGCGTCAGAAATAGACTTCTAGTGTTTCTAGCTGTTAGTTTATCAACGCGCTGAGTTTCGAAGTAAAACATGCAGGCGTGCATTGAGGCCTCACCACCAGAGGTTTTGATCTTCCCGCTTCATAGAACCGGTTGTGCGGACAACAAACGTTGTAGACTAATCATCGTGAGAGAAAGCACCAAGAGAATGAAACTCACCCAAGTAGCATGTAGAGTGGGCCCGTATCGGTGGCTATATGCGGGTCCGAGGCCATATTCAAAGAGGGGAAGGGATGTCGCGCAAATGAATATTGGTTACAATGTCGGTTAGTATACTTTCTTCTATCCGTTGATAAAGGCACAATATACACCCTGGGATGCGCGCGTCTGCGTCAGATACGACGTTTACAACTCCCTATGATAGCGCATCATAAGCCGCTCGGAGCCCCTGAGCTGTTACGTTGGATATTTAGAGATGAAATAATGACAGCGGAGAGGATACACGTTTCAACTTGCAACTTGAAAACACAGCACCATTCTGTTGCCATTCTGTAACACTAGGTGCGGGATTGTGAATTGTACTCGGACGTACAATTAAGATCCTCTACTGATGTGAATGACTTATGCGTGACTCTACAAGAGAAAGGAAATGCACAGTCTCCAAAATAGTCGGGTCGTGTATGGCGAACGTGAGAGACGAGAAGAGGAAGTGCTGCAGCGCGCAGAATGAAAGCAAAGTTGCAAGCCTCCTGGAATTCACTACAGTCTGCCTCCCTGTATGGATTCAGACGACGCCGATCATTGATCCGGTTACGGGCCGGCGACTGTACTTTTGAAAGAAGCGGGGAAGTTCGGACTGGTTTGCTTGCGTTCAGTCTCATACTCACTCTCCGCCCTGCCGTCTTTCTTTTGGTTTTGTTTTTGTGCCAGATGTCGCCAACTATTAATGTCAAAGGAAAGGAATCGGGCACTGCCCGTATCCTCGGTTCAGGAGCTTCAGGTTGGTACTAATATCCCGGCATGGATCAACTACGTCCTCTAAGTACTAAAGTCAACGTACCTTTCAGGTGTTGCTGAGTTGTTCGTATTCCACCCGGTGGATACCATCGCAAAGCGTCTGATGAGCAACAAGACGAAAGTAGGCAAAATAACCATGCTCATCGACGTTTACTTATGACACGGCTATATTTATTCAGGTCTCTTTCTCCACGCTTTCTCCCATTCTCTTCAGGGACTATGCAACAGCACCTCTTGGCCGAAAACTCCTTTCCTTGTTTCCCGGACTAGGATATGCTGCGGGCTATAAAATTACCCAACGAATTTACAAGTACGGTGGACAACCGTTCTTTAATGATATCCTCAGGGCCAACTACAAAACCAACTTCACCAACGCGTTTGGTGAGCGCAAGGGAATGATGATGACGCAAGCAGCTGCGGGTAGTCTCACGGGTATTGGTGAAGTCGTATGTGTCGCAAATTGCTTGGATACATCACACGACATATCGTCTGACCCGCGTTATGTTGGGGTTTTAGGTGCTCCTTCCACTGGACGTCTTGAAGATCAAGCGCCAGGTTAACCCTGAAGCATTCCGTGGACGTGGTGTCCTTCGAATCTTCCTCGAGGAGCGCGGTGCTCTTTACCGAGGATGGGGCTGGACCATGGCGCGTAATGCTCCGGGATCCTTTGCTGTAAGTGCCAGGTGTTATCCCCGTCTTCTTGATTACCCTTAATAATGTATCATGTAGTTGTTTGGTGCCTCCGCAATGACCAAGGACTACCTCTTCGGTCTCCGAGATTACTCCCAGGCGACTTGGGGACAAAACTTCGTCGCGTCCATTGCAGGCGCCGTTGCTTCCATCACTATCGCCGCTCCTCTCGATACGATCAAAACTCGTATTCAAAATGCCAATTTCGAGCACAAAGTTAGCGGCGTAACTATTATAAAGGAGCTCGTTCGCAATGAGGGTGCTACGGCACTATTCAAAGGACTCACGCCGAAGGTTTGTTGTACTTTTAACGTACTCGCTCGTTATGGACACTAAAGAATTACTCCAGATCTTGGTTGTTGGCCCCAAGCTCGTCTTCAGCTATACCCTCGCGCAGTCACTCATTCCATGGTTCGCGAACTACGTCTAAACTCACCATCATTAGCGCACTATTACCGCGCACACACCTACTTTCCGTGCCGTACGCTATCATATATCGTTCTAGACATAGAAGTATCCTATGGGACCAAAAGTATTGCTATGATTCCGCTACGACGATCACTCATCACCACTACATACTTCGCCGCCGCTTAAGCTTAGATAGGGTACCTTGGAGATTTTTTATATTGACTTTTATGGGTGACTATTTCGCCAGTTGCCCTCTGACTGCCTTCGCTTAGACCTTGTGCCTCCTAAAGTTGCTGAAAGGGAAGAGAAAACCATATAAGGTGCGTTGGACTGCAAGTGGTACTCCAAACTCTGCTACACAAGTTATACAATCGTTCCGGTTTTGATACAGCTGACAAGAAAAATACAAGGACATGAAGATGTCGTTGAGAGTCGAAACATATTCAAGTAAAAGTAGAGAAGGACATTCAAATTCTGAGCTCCTCGATCTCAGTCGCAGAACCTTTGTCCTTCTCCGAGATATGGTCAGAGACACCAGCGCGCTTCGCGGCATCCTCTGCAAGCCTGGCTGCAGTCTCGTCACCATCAAACAAGGCCGCTGTCTCTTCCAGCGTGCGCTATGCAAGATCATCAATACTGAATGTGAAGGCGGCTTAGGAGTCGGTGACTCACATTCTTGGTCTCGATGACGTAGATATAGACAAAGCCTGCTTCGAAGGCAAGCCAGCAGACATACACGAGCTATTATTCCGATTTAGCCTAATGGCTCAGTGCCAAGTACCGAAGCTACTCACGTAGTACTTCCATCCAATCCTGTCGAAGTAATCACAGGTTAGTCGTAACGATAATCGATCATAGGAGAAGCACGTACGCATCCAATGCAATAGGGTTAATGTATCTAAGATGGCAACGTGTCAGTAGAGAATGAGGCGAATGGGACGAAGTACTGACTGATTGAAGATCAGTGAAAGCGTCAATGCAAAGTTAAAGACTGTGAATCCCTTGGCACGAAGTGCGAAGGGCAGGATCTCAACGGTATACCTTCACTCTGGAGTCAGATCTTTACAAGGAAACTCGATAGGGCGGGTACGTACGAGACGATTAATGGCGTAAAGGCAATCTGGAGAATCATTAGTCGGGGTTCCTTGCAAGGAATATGTTGTCACGTACGTCATCTAAGGTCATCCAGAACCAACATTTGAGAAGAGAAGTAAAACGAGAAAATGAATAACTCACAGAAAGCGTAGAAGAGGACTTGATGATTGAGAGGTGCATGTTAGTCTCAGTTTGTGATGAATCGTGTTGTACTTACAGATCATAGCAATGAACGTATGACCAGCAGCGACATTTCCCTTCTCCGAATAGAGTGCAAAGCATGCCGTTTGAAGGGTCCAGAATACGAACATTCCTGGATAATACAATATCAGCTGGAGAAGCTGATGGTATCGGAGAGAGGACGCACCAATGGTGGACGCAATGAACAATGGACGTCTACCAATCTTGTCGCATAGAAGACCAGCAAGGATGGCAATGACGAAGTTGAAGATATTGAGGATACCGTTCTACTCGATAAGATGTGAGTAGTTTGAGTGCGGTGTTAAAGGTTAAACGCTAACAATCAAGAGTTGAGTGTCGCCATCGGTGACTGTACAAATCGAGTGAGCAAAGTACGGACTGACATGTGGTAGAGCTACTTACTGCCAATGCCGCTCAGGACCTTGTTCATGTCTACAGGAGATCAGAACAAGAACTATACGCCTACCGAGATGATAACATACAGTAAGAGCTGCAGAAAGATTTAGCACACAAGTGGCCAGAGTGAACGGAAGACTTACATCAGGTTATTTCCAGACCACTGAGAGAAGATAGCAATGGCAACCATAATCCTCAATCGCTTCCTATTACCAGGGGTCCTGATCAAGCTCATCCATCCGACATTAGCAGCAACTTCACGATCAAACTTGATAGCAGCCTTGATCTCCTCAAACTCGTACTCGACCAACGGGTCTTCGGCGTCACCGTTCGCGTGGTAGTAGGCAAGGGTATTGAGAGCTTCCGCCTCTCTAAATACAACAAGCCCCAGATTGGAATCAACAAGAATTGGCGATGAGATGGTGAAGAATAAGTGCGTACCTTCCCTTGGAGCACAACCAACGAGGAGATTCTGGAACGAACCAAATAAGGCACAGTTGTGCCACGGATGGGGTAGCTTGCAGTGCAGAAGGGATACGCCATGACCAGCTCGAAGGGATGTTGAATGTGCCAAATGTCTGTAACGATGATGAGAAGCCAGTCTGTGCTTCATGAAACACCATTACTCACTGTCCATGCAGCACTACCAGAATGAAACGGCTGTAAGCAACAGAGATCCGCTGATTGCTGATAAACGCCTACATGATACTTCCTAAGAACCTAAAATCATGCGGTGCCTGAAATTAGCGTGGTCTATGGATTGGAGAATGCAAAGTCACATACCAAAGGGAATTATACAGAGACGTCGCAGGCCCACGCTGAGAAGGGAAAGCAACTTCCGTGATCAGAACGGGAGCCGCAGCTGCGGCAAATGTCAAGCCAAAGCCAATCATGAAACTGTACCAGACATGTTAGCCTTAACCTGAATCATGAGACTGTAGATTGACTAACCGAGCACCAATGAACATTCCAACCGAGTGTGATGCGGTCTGAAGGATGGTGGCGATACACATGAGAGTTGCACCAAAGCCGACAGCGAAACGTCGTCCAAGGCCATCCATCAAGTACGGGGAGAAAGGATATGCAGCCAAGCAACCAATATTCTATTATAGCGTATGAGGCGTTGTGAGGTCAACAATGGGGGTGTTGCTCACCTGGATGGCATTGAGGAGTCCAAGCTAGTATGCGAGCATCAGCGATCATGCCGAGACGAGCATTGTTTGGTAGTGCATAGGTTACCATTCCTCCTGACGGGTAATTGAAAGCAGCCCTCCACTGGTCAAGCGATTGCAGGCCGTCTAAGGTTGTGTCAAATTGTGTGCTAACGTGTTCCCCCTACGCGAAACTTACTCATCATACTCCCTGCCAATTTCAATATCGTTAAGTTCAACGATGATAGAAGATAATGTATACACGTACCATCGTACCCGTTCGTTGAAGACGTTATGAGCCTATAAAGATGGGTTTAATCTGATGAACAGCAGATAGCACGTTACTGACAGTAATGCCAGCCATCCGTTCAAAGCAAGAAGCCGTCTGTTCTTGTACCAAGGTCTTGACATGTCAATGAGGTGAGCATATCCTTGCCCGCCTCCGGTGTCGACAGCAGCAGGTCCACCCATAGCGCGAGATGATGGCAGGAGGATGCAGGGGTAGATCCCTTGCGAACAAAGGGAATATTATACATCCATCGGATGTACGCTCCTTATAACGAATTCGATTCCCAGCAGAAAGCCGAAGCGGAATATCGTCGCAAGAAGTCTGGTTGCAAAAGACAACGACGCAATTTTCCGGCGTTGGACCGTATGCGTTTAGGCAAGATACGAGAACACCCGTGGGCAACAGGGAACAGGCCCGTCGAAGGATCTGGAGGTTGCGCGCCGATGGAATGGTGAACGATGCTCGCGAAGATCGAGACGTAATATTGTACTATCACTTTACTGTGAGCGCGCCATTGAGTGGACCGGAAGACTTTGCCATGTGCTCTTTCTTTATCCTTCGATGTCATACTTCCACTTTACCATGACAGTAACGCAGCATGAGATAATTGATGAAGCTCGAAGCCAACCGAAGATTCGCCAGCAGGCAACCAAGGTACTATGCTTCGTATGATGAAATAGGACGATCATTAGACAATGCGATATTTTTCTAACATAGTTATCAGTATGTAGAGCCAATTCTTACCCTGCCAATGCTTGCGATGTGTACTGGGAGTGAACTTATGTGCACCAAGCGTGAACGGTACGCAAGTCCGACGCATTCCTTGACATGAGGGCAAAGGGTTATCTGTGAGCGGAATGAAGTGGAGATGTGCGTGGCCTGAATTAATGAAGCTAGCCTATTCAAAAAGTGCCGAGGAAATCTCATCATATGCAGGGTCGGGCAGACCACTCTGTCGAAAGAAGGTTGAACGATAACTGACTATAGAAAGTCAACATCAACATTCGCGATATTGGAAGACGTGGGCGAAGCTGAAACGTACAATTCCGACTCATGAAACCTACTTGAAATACACTAGCGGACAAACCCCCGAATTGAAGGTGAAGGTCTGGCAAAGGTTTGGAGGTCGATCGTTCCAAGACAGCGCTTAAGCGGCTTAGAGCTGCCGACCTTTTAGCGAGGCACTTTTCTCAATGTTGCCGTTCAAAAACGTTTACAATCAACATCTTGCGTTTCATTTCTTCTCACTGACGTATTGTTTTTCTACACATATTCTTTGGTCTGCCCCTCAGTGCTCAGCACTCAGTGCCCAGCTCTCCGGATTTTCAATATTATTTTCCTCCCTTTTCGGCCCTCGCTTTTTGGTGTCCTCTGTCTTTCTACAGCCGGGGCTGAGTACTGTTCTACGCCCTACATATATTATTTGACTCATTTAGTCCGCTTTCCACAAAGTTCGTGAGTATGAAGTTCCACCGCAACGCTTCATCCTCTCCCTTCACCTTAATCACTTTCTAAGTTGCGGTCACATTTTCTTGATTTCCCTACTGCTCTCCATGCCAGTATACAATACATGCAACTGCTTATATTGGAGAAAAGCTGTTTCCCCTGCATGATTTCTCTACTTCAACGAATACTATGCCTATATAAAATACTTACAAAAGAGTCACACGTAAGGTTACATTGCACAAAACGACCTCGCGGCGGCGGCGATAATGAACAATGTCGAGACCCGTCCAAAAGCGGCGATCATGAACCGTAAAAGGCGATTAAGGACCCTTTTTAAGTACCCTTCCAATGGCGGTGTAACCTTGAAAATGTACAATGTTCTATGTCAGTAAAGGAACGTAGACACTAAATGGAGTGAAGTATCACAATGATGATGCAAATAAGGCGAGCGGGCCACGGTCAACAGCCCACTGTACATGATAGCTCTTAGTCGATAGACTTTGCCCTGGGGTTGGATATCTGAATAGCTAAGCAAAATTGCAATGTTCAAGCCTAACTGCGCCATGTTTCACAAACTTGAAGAACTGACCAAGTAAGAGGCATAATATATACACAATATCACTACTGAGTATAGACCCATTGATAGTAACAGCAAGAAAATATCTGTTGTATATCAAGACCGATAGCTCCGATAACTATATTTGTTAGCAAATCACGACAGTGTAGCACCGAGCCCCAACTTGGTCTTCTTCATAACAGCAACCAGAGGTGCATGCAGTCCACCTGATAAACCGATACGACCTCCCTCAGACCAACCCATCGCAGCCAGCATCTGGAAGCCGACATTCGACTCTCCAATCTTTGGTGCAGCCTGTATAATTTTAGTCAGATTCCAACGATCTCCATGACAGAGATGTTCAACTTACCTTGCCAACTTCTTCCCCTTCTTTATGCTTCGCAAGGGAAGCGACATGATTCCTCCCTCCACGACCTGGTCCTTCCCATGACGGATTGACTGTGTTGAGAATCCTCCGAACTTTCCTCTCATTAATAGCGATCCCGCTCTTCGTGGTCCTGACTAATGTTGTATATCGGTTGCTGCCCGAACCTTTGCTCTGACTCTTGAGATTGAAGGCACCGGCAAGTTCGTGCACCTTCGTCCTGGTTTCCTTATCGGCGGGAGGAAGTACCATCGTACGGCTGCCACCGATATCAGCGAGGAAGCGACGGATTTGCTGTTCCAAAGTAACAAGGTCGACAACTCGATTAGGAATCTCAATGGATGGGTCCAAACGTGCTGCAGCAAGTGCCGCCTTCAGTCCCTTCTTACCGCCCTTCTTACGTGCAAGAGGATCCGCTGCAATTTCTTGGCGTGCGAGTGCACGTTTGCGCTTGTTCTCAGCCTTCTTATCTCGGTCCTTCTGCCATTGTTCACGGAGCTCAAGTGGTATAGACTTGTCCTTTCCGCGTTCTGAAGTAAGTACCGAGATGAGTTCAAACGTAGACGTTATGCATGGTAAATTGAGAAACGCACTAGCAGGCTGACCCATCATCTCCTCATACTCGTCGCGATTCCAGTCGCCGTTCTGTATGGCCCGGAAGATCCTATCCCGCTGCTTGCGATCTTTCCGCGAGAGGATTTGTTGATCCTCATCAACAAATGACTAGCAGGGACGGATGAATTAAAGACAGCTCATGATTGTTCCACCCAACTCACCTGGATCTGAGCAATAAATGCCTCATCTCCATCGGCCCAGGACATCTCCAAAGCCATGTCAAAGTCGTCCTCTTCAGTGTCCTCGTCACCGATGTCTGCTTTTCGCTTTCCCTTCGCCTTCCGTATCCTGTCCAACCGTGCCTGGAAGCTACCTGAAGGCGCATCCTCGTCACTTGTAGTCTCGTCCTCGTCCTCGTCCTCATCGCCGTCACTTTCCGCAATGAGCATCCGTTCCTCTTCTTGTAAAACCATCTTCACCTCTTCATCTTCCTCGCTGTCTTCGCTGCTTTCGTTGTCCTCTTCGTCCTCTTCGTCCTCCTCATCCTCTTGTTGTATTTGTTCAATATCAGCGAGATCATCCATAGTGATATGCCTGGACCCCTCCGGACTCATACTATGCACGAAGCTCGACATAGTCTTCAAGTCAAATTCCCCATCAAGGTCCATGCCACCAACGCCACTCGAAATCTCATCTACCTCGTTCGCGATTTCATTATCCTCTTCAGAATCATCGCCCCAGTCAACGTCAGAGTCACCTCTGCGTTGCTCGTTCTTCCGAGGATCTCTCTCCTTTGCGCCTGCCTCTTCCCGCAAATGTGCTTCAGACAACATCGCGCCAAAGGAACCAAAGTGACGAGGAGGCTTGCGTGTAGAACGTGTGCGACGCAACCTCTTTAGGAGAGAACGAGGTGTGTGCACCGGGTGAATTCTTCTTTCCTGTTTCTTCAATACACTTGATAGCAAGGAAAACGATACTGAATCAAAGGACGGCACTGCTGGGATGGCAATGTCCGCCTCTGGCTCGGTTTTGGGTATGTTTGCTGACCCGACGGTATCAGCAACAACAAGCTCCGTCTGAGCGAGTGATGCAGCTACATTTGAGTCTTCTAAACGCCTTGTAGCAGCGCCGTTGGCTTCAACATTGGTTGATTCCTCAGAAGGTCCGAGTGGAACCTCCGAAGAGGGAGCCAACCCAGTCAAGATTGAAGTTGTCGGTAATGGTTCAAACGTCACCGCCTCCTGGGGAGGTGTAACCGGCCCAGCACGAGGATGAGGAGCAACGTAAACGATCTCGTCCTCGTCCCATGAGATGCCCAACGCGTCTTCGTCTACCTTCCCTGCATCTATTTGAGCATCTTGAGAGATCGGCGTGGGGTTGGTATCGATGTAGAATCCAGTAAACTTCTCCTCGACCACAGTGACGTCTGATGTTGATGGAAGCGTGGTGCTAGCTGCATCAACTTCCGCCTGTATGCGTCCGACTTCAGAGAAATCGATTTCTTCCAATTCATCTTCATATTGCTCCGCATCTTCCTCTGCAGCTCCATTGAAGACACGAGTAACCTGGTCTGCTGTTGGAACATGACTTTCCTCGCCGTCTAAAGTGACACATGAAGCCATTCATACCAGAAAAAATAGATAAAATGTAGACTTGCCAGGTTCTTCGACAGCAGCTTTCAAAATATCTTCATCTTCTTGGAACAACGTCGCTGTATATACAGAGCGTACAAATACAATAGGCCGCAGCAGAGGTCTGTCCTCGTACAACAGCTTGGACAACGGCGCCCCCGCATGCAGCTTGGATGCCGAAGATCTGAATCCTCGCCCGCGTTGCTGACCATAAGGTGAATCTGATCCCCTACCTCGGCTAGGCGTCGAACCTACATCATAGTAGTTAGGTGTTTGAGTCCCTGATTGTCCGCGTCCTCGGCCCCTTGGAGAGTTCATTCCTCGAGGAGTGGAGTAACCACTTCCTCGTCCTCTGAAACGAGCACTAGAGAAGCCTCCGGATCCGCCGCGATAATAGCCTATGTTTCCCATGAAGTTGGAATTCACGGTCAAGAAACCAAACTTACTTGATTCTTCCGAGTACATTTGGATTGGAAAATCAATCTCCTCCATTGGAATATACCCTCCTCCCCGACCTCTTGTAGGATTTGGAAAGCCTCTTCCCCGCCCTCGAGGTTGTCCTCGACCTCCACGGAAACCACGACCTCCACGATTGGGGCTTCCTCTACTGGATTTGTTTCCACGCCCCATGTGTTATGGATATAAATCAAGACTGTAAGGGAGATGACGATACGGTATATGTGATGAGGAAACTGAGAACAGATGTGCAATGAAGGTAACTAGCATAAGCAAAAATAGTCGCCAATACAGCAATCTTATCTTATCAAGTACTTACGGTAAATATCGTCTAATCTTAATACAATCCACGCATACTCAGGCTTGCCTTGCTGTTTCTTTACGCTCTCGTTCGTATTCGCTAAACTTGTAAACTTTCATTAGCCATGTCTGTCCAAACATCAGAACAGATTCTGCACGACCGAGTGAACTTGGCTCGGTTGGTTAGACGATTAGAGAAAACTGTCGCGACCGAGAACTGGAACACTGACGTGGATGCAACAAGTAACGCGACATGGATCAAAGCCCGGGGCACACTTCAAGTAAGACGGTCATCTCTTGGACATACTATGGACATTCTGTGACCATTTATACACAGAAAGTGAAGTTTGCTCGAAAGCTGTTGAGACGAGCAGAGCTGTACGACACGCTTCCTTCGTGAGTGTCTCACTGATACTCGGAAGGACCTTACTTAGATGTCAATAGATCGCCGCATGTTAGGTATGGGGTTATCAAGGACTCTCTTGACCGTCTGGAAGCCCGTGTAGGAGGCATCAGTATAGTAAGTATCGACTTTCCCTGCCAGTCGCTCACAATCCGAACCCCAGTCTTCCAGCGTGTCACTTATAAACCTCTAAGACCGGAACCGATTCTCCCCAAGATACCTGTACCGGTGGAAAGACCCTCAGTACCCCCTCCTTCCGCTGCTCGCTCAAAGAAGGATATCGAACTCCCCCTCATTCCTACCGACGCAGATGCATCCGTATCAATTTCGGCGGAGGATTTACTTCTTTCACCCTCAGACACGGCTCCTCTGTCACTGGATGACGACTCATTATTATTCCCACCTTCTCCTGCACGGCCACCCATTTCCCCAGCTGTGTCAAGCTCAACTCAAGGCGCCTCTGCTGGAGCAGCGGCTCCAGCTTTTTTGCAGAATTCTACAGCTCTTCAGGAAGAGCTCTCTGCTCAACTCGCACACATGGCTACTCAATTAAAGAACAACACGCTGCATTTCGCCTCTTCGCTTGAGAAGGACAAGTCTGTCTTGACCGAGGCCCAGGAGAAGCTAGAACGCAATTATGATGTGATGACGAAGGAAAGAGTGAGACTGAGGGACCATCACTCGAAGAGTTGGGGTACTACATGGATTACGATTCTGAGTATCATCGTCGCAATTGTCGGCTTCATGCTCACTTTCTTTGTCATTCGATTGACACGATGATTGGTCTCCTCCGATATTCTAGGTATCTCGCTATGCCATGCGTTGTTGATGCTTTGCGACGTTTTCCTTGTGGAAAGAGCGACTATTTTGCTGCGGTCCAATTCGTCGCTATGTACACCATTCACACTGATATACGTTAGGGAGCCACCCTCATCAATGAACTGACAACGTACCGTCCTTCTTAAAATTGAATATTGCGCAAAGGTCTGCTAGGAAACGTTCATCTAGACCTCTTTCGTCCCTGCTTCCAATGTCCCTGGGTTATTATGAGTAGAAGCACGGAAAACCCGAACCGAATTTGATTCTCGATTCCAAGCAGACTGGAAATATTGCTGCAGGAAATAATCAGCAACTCACAGACGTTACACGTGACTATACCCGCGGGCACTGTTGACTTGGACATTTCATGCAGGCACCCGTCCATCATCGACGTCCTGATTCTTGACTGAAGTCATTGTTTGGCTTCGTAGTAGATCAGTAAGTACTACACGTCTCCGATTCACAGCTCTAGTCGATAATGCGTCCATGCCAGGTCATAGTGCCCAGTAGCTTGTGGAAATAAGAAACAACTTTGATGCCAAACAGCATGGATGGTAGATCGACAGAAACTGAACTGACTCTTTCATGGCTTCTGCTAGTGGGTGCTTGTCAGATAGAGATACCCTGAAGCACGAAATTTGAACCTCTGTCTAAACTGCCTGTGGGAGACTACCATAGGGTGCTTGGGAGCCCTGGACGGCGTCAGGATTTATTACTCGGAAGCCCCTGCATATGTTTCCGGTTCGGAAGGTAAGAATACCGTCGCTGGAGGCCGGGATGTCGAAAAACTGGGGACTCTAACTTCTGAACAACGTCCTCAGCGGCCATGAGGTATGTTGTTGTCGTCCGGGTTAGGCATGAATCTGACGAAAGATTATAGTCACCTGTCTCCATCAAACGCTTCTCCCAGCACTTCATTCAACTGACACTAGTACAGGATATTCTCAACGTGGATGCTGAAAACTACAACTTCCAAGTTGAACAAACCAAATCGCAGTCAATGTCATCGATCAATGCATTCATTCAACTCCGGTCATACGTATGCAAATACTCAACTTGTGTATTGTCGAACTTGACCGAGCTGCATGGAGAAGTTTTCATCGATAGTGGTACATCATACGCTATCATCACGGAAATCAGGTCCAAGTCCCGATTTCGAAGATTTGGAGGTTCTTTCTGGCAAGCTCACCATACTACCCACGTTATTTCTAGTCGTTAATCGCGGCCTATCTAGGCAGACACTCTTCCTGCCCATGATGGATGATTGATTGGACATTCTTCTTGTTTCCCCTCGTGATGAAGTTAGGAATGCCCCCTAGACTGCTAACAGGTCGCAAGATCCAGGTCACCGTTTTATAGCACCCCACAATGGCCTGCGTCGACCTCGAGGATAAAAGAAGCATTTTGACAATAACATAAGATGGACTTCTCGTGATATTTGAGGTTTCCCAGGTGGAGTCAAATCTCCACTTCTCCCATCCTTGTCAAAGACGCTAGAAGACGCGCGATACGCCTTCGTAGATTCGCCTAGACGAGTCCAATTGTTCTATCAGGGCAGCAATGTGCCACAGGAACTCCACCTGGGATAGGTTTGCGATTGAGGGTGCGAATATCTCACTTGCTTCTAGGCATGCCAGGTTCAATCTGACGATCTAGGGTACTTGTCAAGCTTCCGCCAATTCGAGTGAGATCCCGGCAATAACATGTCACAACGATTCGCCTTGATGTTACATAGACGGTGCTCACGGGGATCGCATCGATATCATCGCGAGGACCTGCAACCTGCACATGAGCATCTTCTGAATAAGAAGGGTATTCATTGGTTGGACTGCACCCATGCATTCTGGTTGATCGTGCACCGCGGTCCAAAATCGTAAAACTCGTTTGTGACCTGATAGAAAGTTCGTATTGCGAGTGAAGTCGCACGAAAGTGAGTGCGAAATACGCGGCGCCACAGAAGTTGTTTCGTTCCATTATCCTGATAGAATCAAGGTCGCGTGGACAGTCCTCGCAGAGCACTTCGCTCACGCAGAAGGACGGATTGCCCAACTCGCGGCCAACCCCAAAGGCGCACGCCCAGTCAGACGACCACAATCACTATTCTGAGATGGTCGAGACGCTGCTGTGGGATACTGATGTTGGTCAAACGTGCGAGGTGAATACATCCGATTCCACTCTAGAATTCAGTACGTACATGTAGAATAAATCTAGTACGAAAGATATGCCGATCATTATGCCGTTGCGTCATAGTTAGTCGCTGAAGTGTTGAGCTTCACAAGTCGAGGCGATGTAGAGTATCGGTAGATGCTCGGACGTCGCGCGGACACGAAGGATAGTTCTGTATGACGATCACCCGATAGTACTTCATTTGAGCGAGGCTAAGATGCATCAAATGAATGAACGAAACATTTCCGATGGGTACTCAGGATGCAACTTACGTACAGAATCTACAACGGCACGGAGCACGAAAAGGTCACGGGCAGGAGGTCATCTGTACCACGGAGCCAACTTTGGTCTCAACACGAGGCATTAGGAAGGCAATGGCTTGACGATGCTGTGAGAAAGGTCTGGACTTCAGAGAGAAATGAACTTCAAAGGGGAAGAAAACGTGGTTGGTCCGGCTTGTCTTATTCACGAGATCATGTAACTCAATTGAATTCATTGTTTGAGAAGGTCTCCGTTTGTTATGTTGGCAGGCGACGTCATAGCAAATCAGGGACATGTGCCTTCATAATTCTTCTTCGATATGATGACGTACCCCGCAGGTGCGCAGCAGAAGCATACGTGGAGGAAAGGTGCAGTAAATATCGTTTTCTAAATGATCCAGACCATACACCCAACAGTAGGCCATGCGCTTCTAGCGGTTAGTCAAAGTCAAGCTGCTATCTGAGTTCGAGATCACCTCAAAAATTCCAACCGCCCCGCCAGCGTGTCTTGACTAATACATTACATCATGCTCAAGAGACCCCATGGCGCTGAAGCGGTAGTATGACTGACAACATTTGAGAACGAATGACGATTACATCGTGGAATATCGATAGTGTCGGTTTCCGATGCGCACATAGATCTCTCGCGTGGATACAGCCATTCAATTGTTTTGGAGACTGAAGCAGAACGTCACCTGTCTGTCAATACAAGTGAGAATGAAACGCGGGAACCTATGATCTCTCACCATATCTGGATTACAACTGCATGGATGAGTTCCAGAGGTTCGATTCGTTGATGATTGAGATGCATCGGGCACTGTTGGTACAAGGGCTCTGGGACTACTCTGTATCGAAAGAGAGAATAGACACCCACAAGCCAGTTCTGCAGATCTCATGCCGAGATCATCTGAAGTATATCTTAGCACCGAGGCAGGTCAAGACCACAGTGGGAAACACACGAGGTTGATGTGATTTTTATAGACGCATTCTCGATGCTCGAGACTACGTCCGCTGTCAGAGCTTCTCTAATGTCTGGCCGTGCTAGTTCATAAGCAGCATGAATACACGCTAGACAGCTTGAGAGTACTGAATATTTACCTAGAATGACACATTACTTCTAGAAGCAGCAAACATGGTGCGCGTAATGGTCACGAGATTGTACTGGAAGCTATACCACAAACGCGATGCAAGACGTAGGGTGAGAGCACCCCTCTAGAACAGGACCGGTCTTGTGGCAACGTACAAGTGACAAGTTGTTGGGGAGGGATCTCATCGAGAGGATCTTATGGCATCTACTGTCCGATGCTGGAGGTACTCATCGGAGGTGTCGAGAGAGCGAACGCCGTGTATCTGGTGACCATCAATCGTGAAAATATGGTCAGGCGTTGCTGCATGATTCTAGTCAGAGCCGTAGACAGGGTCTTTGAGTGGTACCATTCCAGTTTATCTGAAGAGAATTTTCTTCCGAACAAGACCTGAAGGCCGGAGGCCCAGTCCTGAGACCAGGTTACAAACAAAGTGTCATACAGTGCAGCAGTAACAGACGTATGGATCAGTCAGCTTGCTTGAACTGCAGTGCAAACGCCTGCTCACCTCATCTGTGACCGGCAAGGTGACCAGCTTCATTGCATAAGCACCAATGGCAAAAAGAGACAGTATTGAGAGATATCGGGGACTAGAGACTTCACATGTGTCTCAAGCACACGACGTTCAAAATGTGGCATCGTACCTCGAGTAAGTCACGAATAATTCGAGGCAGTAGCAGAAATCGCGCACTGGAGGAGAATGTCCAGATGCCACATGGCGCAGAGTCCGACGGCGGATCTGCGTGAATAACGCTATGCAAATGATGTGGGGTATTGTTCCGAATGTGATTAAGTGGACAGAAGTGCGGGGCAATGAACATGGAAGTAGGTTTGCTCTTGTCGTCATGGCTTCTAATGCGATGTGGCTTCGGGGGGCGGCAACTTGACTGACATCCAGAAGTCGCGAAAGGAGGGAATGCATCTACCAATGCTGAAATGCGAAATTTACCGAGATCTATTCCTAGAACAAAATCGTCAGTGCGCTGCAGGGTTATACCTTAACGGAAAGATGTAGGCAAATGATACTGCTGATTCCATCGCCTCCGCGCGAGAAGCAGAGAGCCTCGGCACTGGGAGCGATCACGAGTGAACGTCATGCATACGGGTACGTACGTGATCGCAGCAAACAGCAACCAAAAGGCACCTTGCACATTCACAGCGGGCGCGAGATATTTACGCCTGTACTACATTGTGATTTGAGAGTTGGTGTTCTCGTGTCGGAACCGGCCGGAACCATGGTTATTTTGAGTTGAGCTCAACTACGGAGGTCAAAAGTGGAAATGGTTATGACATGTACTTCACGATAGGGTAAATATAGAAAGGGACGTACATCGGAGAGAGTTGAATCTCACTTCTATGTCAAGTCAGAGGGGAACTCAGCAGCAAGAAAGGATATCTGACAAACGGTCTGAGCGGGCAGGCTGTAGCGTATAACGCGCAGCGGGTAATAATAATAGACCAGGAGATCCGAGTGTTGTGTGAATTCAAGACAGAGAAAGGAGGCTGCTTGCCTTGAGCGTGCAGGGAATGTCGTTTGATACCAGGTCAGCCGCAATGTATTGAATGTGACACCGGGATTTCAGCTCGACGTGACCGGCGAGCCACTGTAAGCACAACGGAGTGACTATGTAGTATCAATGATTTCTTCGGGGGTGTTTCTGGCACACGACGAATACCACAGGAGGTCACGTCAGCAACTAGACGGAAACCGGATGGACCGAGAAGACCTTAGATGCTTACCTACAACGAGCGCACTTGGTTTCTTTGATTCCTCCGATTCCGATCAAGGACCTCCCGTCGTGAAGGGAACACTCCGAATCCGAGAGCTATGTGGCAACTAGAACATCGTGTTGGTATGATGAAATACATGCAATAGCTTGTGGTGCAAAGCGCCGACATGATGGTAGTGGTGATGACGATGGGAAGACAAGATGGTCATGGTGAGGGTTGTTCAATTTTACCTACTGTTAAACCCGATACAGGAGTCTTCATTGCGAAGTCCAAATCGGACAAGTATGAAATCATTTTTGGGTGGTGTGTGAGGAATACTTGTATCGAATGTTTGCTTCCGGCGCGGCTAGGACACACAGGTCGATCCGAACACAAGATGATGGACAGAGTGCATCATCTCAGCATCATCCTTGAGTTCTCACCCACTTCGAATGAGATGTCCGATCATAACTTGTGTCATCCCTTCAGGGCGTTCTGTAGGGCAACGTACTGCAAGGGCAAGTAAAGGTGATGTGAGTGTGCCGAGAGCGCAATGTACTCGCAACGGATTTCTTGAACGGTCCCAGGGACCTTAAAATGCCACGGACGTATGAGGCTCCACCGTGACTTCGTGTGAGCTAGGGAATGTGAGACTGGTCACTGCGTGAGTATAAGTTCTGTTTAACTCAGACCAATCATTTAGTAAGTATTACTTACTCAGGATATACACGACTCCTTATCGTGTCTTTGAAACGTTATAATCTCCACAGCATTTGATGAATAAGTAATAGGAGTAAGAAAATGCGATAAACATCAGGCACACTGTCCTATGTCCCACGCCCAGACTCTACCAACAGGTCAGCCGCTATTCGGCGTAGCTCTGGAGTAAATACGGAATATACTCACGTTCGCAACATACCATGCCGGTGCATGGATTGTGGAGTTCGGGCCTGAGTATGAAAAATGAGCGGTGACCAACACAGTGCCGTCGAGACCGGATGAAGTGAGCTCACCATCGGGAAGCAAAAAAGACAATGTAATCTGAAGAGTCTTCGAAGTTCATCATGCTGCAACTGAATAATCTGTTGAATGGAAGCAGATAAACTAGAGAATGGCATTGAATCATGCAGGCGCGTGAACGTGGAGTTAGGCTTAAGTCAGACCTCTATGCATTGCGAAGCATAGGGTTGCTGCAAGCAAACTTTTCGTCGTCATATATAGAAGAACTTCGAATAGCACCTGAACGTAATCTGTTTTAGATGTAGCCTTTTAAGCATATAATGTCTCCAAATTGACCCACTGCTTCTTGATTCCTGAACAGAGAACCTCAAGCCGACAAGGCATGAGTGACGTCCGAGACCATGAGCCGAATGAAGTGGAGTCGATATCACCAATGTAGAGCTTCGTGTCCGATCGAGTAAGTATCTCGGTCAACATGACACACTACAATGATGAAATCGCTGCCCGGTGACCTAGCAGACGGGAGGTCTTGTGAGTGAAGGACATGATACGAGAACCAGAAGTTGCCATAAGCCCCGAAAAGGATAGAGAATGTATGCATATATGCGCATATACTCAAGCTGAAGGGTCCTATGAACAAATATAGCTTCAGCAGTTACACGACAATTACATACATACCAGTATCGCCGGTCGGCTTGAAGTCCACCAAGCCAAGGAAGATGATACCTGTTCGAGCTTCGCCTCCTAAGAGTTCAGATTTCGGCACTGTGGTATAGATTCTGCAACTGATCGCGGCAAGAGGGAGCTGGACTAGATCATGTATGATCTGAATGAACGATGCTTACATGACAATATATATGAACACTGTACCTATACCCTTGTGATCTTGCGGTATTCGAGCTAGGAACATCTAGCGACGTCATTTCCCCGCATGCAGTTGACAAACACGACAAGGACGTAACTTACCTTGATCAAAGTCGTTCGCCTGCCAGTTCGGATACAGTACCGATGTTAAGCATCTTGTGTAAACCAGGGCGGTCACCATGTACGTGTAACATTTACCGATGGCTCACATGAAATGTTTCGGCAGCAAACCAAGTAAAGTTTCCGAACCTCAGGGCGTGGATCGTTTCTGGGGATGAGCTACAAACAGGGCCGGTCAGCCTGAACATGGACATCGAATGCGGGGGATCGGCGTCGTCCAGGATCGGACGGATTGCTGGAGACGAAGATACGATGCACGACGCTTTCTCCTCTCATGGCCATTGCAGGTCTTGCTTGTTTCCTAGACCATACGTCACAGTTACTTGGAGAATACATTCAAGAGGCCGTCGATGACGATGTCGATCAAGCCTTGAGTATACATGGATAGGGTTATTGGTTAGATGGACGCTTCCTGGACTTACACACGAATGCGGCATTCAACCACATTGCACAAGAAGGCGAAGGAAAGCCTCATGTGGACATCCAAACGATGTGGGTCTCTCGGGTCTGACTGATGAGAGCCAGATATTCAAATGCAACAAAGAAAAGAAAGAAAAAAAACACGGTTGCATGGATATCGATGAGCGTGTGCTTGAAGGCGACAGTTGCCACAGACACACCATCGCACGGTGAAAATCGTCCGCGACATTGTGGCGTTGCGTTGGGAGCCTGCCTGACTTCCTAAATTTCAGAACCAGCTGGGTCAGAAGATTCAAACAGGAGCTCGCTAGTTCCGCAGTGCACAAGAATTGAAGCAAATGAGAAGAGTTGAATATGCAGACTGTCTCGTGGTGGAGGCGGGGGTTGTAGACCGGCGGTTCGTGTTGCAAATGTGCCAAATAAGGTGTCAGCGCCCTTCATTTCTCACGGAGGTATCTCGGTATCACCAGAGGATATTGTTTACGGTCTGGACCGTGTGTCCGCGGGTTCCGTCCGCGCTCTGCATTGCCATATTGTGAATCCCATTGTCATGGCGGTGGCAACCACTTGTAAACAAACGGGTACGATCATTGTCGGAAAGGGGGTGCAAAGATGTCCATTGTCCTGTGTATCTCTGTGCAAGGGTCTTGTACTGCAAGACAGGTTCGAAAGCGTATACATGGATCCGCCTCGGAGGTGTACTGCTTGCAGGAGTAAATTATCATCGGCTTGACGTCGTTGTGGAGAGCTCAGGTTTATTTGCAGCAGGGGGGTTATTGTGGAAATACGATTGGCTGGAAGGGGTTAGCAAAATTACCTGAGCGGATGTTGCCGAGGTTGTCGGGATGGACGGGGGGTCTAGACCGGATCAAATCATTTGGGGTGCAATGTCCTAGAAAGGCAACTCATACGTACATGCGGGGCGCGGGCTGGGTCATTTTTAATTCAATATTCTGTGGTTTTCTCCCGTCTCCCTCTCCCTTCCCCATACCACCGCATCCACGACGATCCGCTATCGAGCTTGCCATCCGACACGACGTTTAGCACCCTTTCACGTCGTTCCGAACACCTATCGCATTGATCTCGCGCGTTGTGCACTGTCGCTTGGCCGCCTCGTGCAGCTCACCTTGCTGATCTTGGAACCCAGCGAAGCACTCGTGGATGTACAATCAGCAGCCATGAGTAGTACTAGTGTTTCGTCTCTTTCCTCCCTTTCTGGTCTGCCGACCCTTGCAGAGTCCTCGCGAGGAAGCTTCAGCCGGTCCGAAAGGAGCAGAGGTTCGTTCGCTCACACGACTGGCAAGAGCGGAGGCAGGGCCCGCAATAATAATTGCAATGAGCTTCGAGAGGAAAGAATCCGCACCCCCGTTCCTCGTAGACCGAGCAATGGTCACGCCGGCAGCAGCAGTCACGTCTTGAATAACTCTGGTACCGGCAACGCAGCTAGCATTAGTCGTAATAGTTATTCCCCTCGCTCCAATCTCCGAGGTTATTCGATACAGCGCCCGGCCTCCTCAGCTTCATCATCCTGCTGCAACGAGGCGCTCCCGGGCTCTCCACTAAGGCAGCAGACCACCACGTTCCAGGCCCTTCGTAAACAGCAGACTCAAGTACAGTCTGCTTTACGTCCTTCATCCTCTTCCTCGTCTCCCACTGCCTCTCTTCCTTCTACCCCGCAGCGTTCCCGTCCCAACAAGTCTGTAGGTCACGACTACGCATTCTTGAAACCGTCTACGTCCGTAGCTTCGTCCTATACTTCTACCGACCATCTCTCTTCGCGCTTGGACTCGCCGTACACCGGGTCTGCAACACCCTCTCCATCCCCGCGTTTGTACAAAACGCTTCCACATCGGTACGTTTAAGTTCATATCTTAGAATTCATTTGGGTCCATGGACCCGTACTCGCGGTTTTCCATTTTGACCTTCCGCTGGAAACTCTATCCACATTCTGTGCCTTCCTGCGAAATCTCTCGCCATTCGGATCGGTTACGCGCTGTGGTTGTGACTATCAGCGCTTCTTTCGCGTTCGCACTTGCATTATAGTCACATTCGCAACAACCCATGGCATTAATTTATATCCTCTGCCATGCTTCCACCTTTTCCTTCTTATCCCTCATACTCCACCGCTTTTGCCCGGCACTGCATTCATCTTCCATCACCCATCACTTCTACTGCTCTGTCTCTGGTTCTTTCTTGTTTTCATATAAAGCCGGCGCAGTTACACTTAGCTGACTTGCGTTTTCCACACCTCCCCTCCAACAGCAGAACCCCCTCAGGTACACCTCCACCCGCCTTTCTTATCAGACGCGGTCTACAACGCGCCCCACCAACGTTGGCCATGTCGATCCAGATCCACTCGCCCTCCCCTATAATGCCCTCTTCTCGCCCCATGTCCCCTCCCTCCTCCCGCCAGCATCGTAACTCGAGGGCGCGTTCGCCATCGCGGTCAAGGTCAAGACCCACCTCGCCACTTCAGCCTTCTGCTCAGTTACCTTCAATACCGAATAGACCACCTATGGCGCGACCGTCTTCGCGGTCAGAACGTATGTTGAGGGATACCCTCAGGCGAGCGGAAGAACATGACCGATTGCAAAGTCTCGCCGCGTTACCCAGTCCTTCTCTCCTGGGAGCATCGCAACCCGCCCACGGTTTCGCCTCATCGTCGAACGCTAAGCCTAGGCGCCACGTGCGTCGAAACACCAGCTCGTCCACGGGTACGGATGCGTCGTTAGAGGGGAGTGACTACTTCAAGCCTGAACTATTCCAATATACAAATGAGGAAGCACAAGATGCGGACGAGGGCGGTTGGTTGTGGCGTACAAGGAGCGCCACATCAGCTTCGTCGTCATCGAGCGGGAACCACCCTCATCGAACACTTCCACCTTCAAAGCACCACCATAAACACCCCACCTCGAGTCCCTCGTCAGTCAATGTACGTAATAGGTCGCATACAGATCCAACGGGTGATCGTATTCTAGACCAATTCCCATATGGCACTCCGACTTCCCCACCTCCCTCTCGCTCTCACCTTCAGCGCTCACCCAAGTCAGTTACAAACGTATCACGCTCAAGCCATACAAGTTTGGAATACATGCAGCAGGAGTTGGCTGCGTGTGGGTGTGGCCCGAATGCGAGTTTGACTCCCCATGAGGCTGTGTTGAGAAGTCGACTTGAAGGTGTGTTGAAGGGGGCGCAACAGCACCAACGGAGAGCTAAGAGTAGGGATATAGAACGTGGAAGTGGAAATGCGAGTGGAATTGGGAGTGGTTCGGGGAGCGGTGCCAGTAATTCGATGGCAAGTAGTAGAAATATGAGTGGGGAGGGCGAGTGGTTCTTCGGTTCGAGTGCAGATGTAAGTAATCTTTTCGAGTCTTTCGTTAGGTTGCGTATTAATGAGTGTCTGTCTAGTCATACACGACATCTCTACCCGAAGCCAATGCTGACACCCACCGACACTCTCACCGCCCATCATTCAACCTCTCCCCTGTCCCACGTACTCCGTCTTCGAAACACAGGCACCACTCGCACGGAATTCCTTCGTCCCCATCATCACCCTCAAAGAACGCACTGTCCAGTCCCCACCTCCACGTTCCTCTCACCCCTCCACCCACTCCACCTTTCAACGCTCGTACAGCCGCAGAACAATGTAAGCACATGGACGGCTACGTGTCGTTTGCTAATATCGAGGGCTTAGGCTTCCCTGAAGATCTTGATGAGGGCGATGGTGAAGAAGAGGATAGCAAGAACCATGGACGGTGGTTGAAGTGGTTGAGCCTTGGTGGTAGGGCGAGAAATGCGAGTGGTGCCGAGGCTGCGCCGAGATGAACTTTCCTCTGCGGCTGTTGCTCTCGCTTGCATCATTGCTTTCCACCTCTCTGTCTTCCTTTCCTCAAGTCTTTCTATCGTCTCATGCTCGCATGCATTTCATCATCAAGAAGTCTCATCAACCGTATCGTCTGTTCTATTCGGATATTCACTTATCGTCATTCCCGTCGACCAACGTCAATAATTCAAAGAAGTCTCAAGAAGGGTTTCATTCAACTCGTTGCTTGCGTTTCTCTTTCATCACCCTTTCCCAACCCCGCCTGGTTCTGCCTCTTTCAAAGTTGTAGCAGAGGAACGAAAGAATCTCCTTTTCCAGATATCCAGCACACCCACGCCCACCGGCCGACTTTCTATACTAATACGACTTCACGACCGAAAAGCGACCCTGGGGTCGCCATTGCTATGACTCATCGAATTCACGTTTGACGACTACCCCCATCTCTCTCATGCATGCTTTATAATACTTCAATGCTTTACGATTCGAACGTCTCTCATTACGCATCTCATCTTGTTTATGACTTATTCATGCATTGGCTTTCATGGCCTTCATTCTGACGACACGGACTCTGCTATACATAATACATACAAACACACATCACTATCCCCTTTTTATTTACTAATGACTTTCACTTCTCGCGACTTGGTTGTCGGTTTCGAATCCGTGCTGGGTTCTGTTTGAAGTACTCGTTCTTCATTTCTGTTGCTACTCTCTATTTGCTGCGTAGGATCGACGGCGTTGGTTCGGCTTGCAATGAAGTTGAATGTATGGTATGTTTTTGTACATTAGATAGTTCTGCAATACACTTTACACTGGTATAACGTCTGAAGGAGAATATTTTCTCGTTTGGGTATTGAACGTTGTTAGATACCAAGTATGAGTGATCGATTGGTTTGACGATCCCGATTCCTTTCAAGTTTCTGGTAGGTGTGGTTGGCTTGTCGCAACGGCCACGTTAATGCGACAACGTGGCCTTCCACTAGCTCAGCGACATATGTCTGAATCTCTTCCAGATCCACGCTGCTCAACCTGGGACGATCAAATGGATTGAGAACATTCTTGCAAGTTCAGAGATCTGACTTGGATCTTCCACCTCTATGGGTTTTCTCTTCAAAACCTATTGACATTGGCAGCATACACCATTCCCAGATGAATCCACAATTTCCTCGAGCGAAATAAAGGCAGTCATTGTGACCCTGTTCAGCTCCTCCAGGACAATCCAAACCTGATTCTTATGCTGGTCGCAGCGATGCGTTAGCTCGACACTTCTGTTTACGAAAGTCATTATTGTGCTACTTATTCTTCACCCTTAGTCAATCTATGCTGCAATATACCCATATAGTGTAAGTGTTCCTCCACGAATCCTACTAGCCGTCTGGTCCCTGCTACTTTTAGAATCGGACAGAATTGTTCTATTCGCGTAACGACAGAGAAACCGCCATGGATCGCCGAGAAATCCTTCTGGTACCTCATCACGTAGGGAGGAAGACGATGGTCTTGCCCCAGGGACAAATAACCATCCCATTTGGAGGACGTTTTCCTCGGCATTGGTTTGGTTGAGGCAACATTACACCAAACGCCGGCCTTCGGGAAGATGATGCTCATGAAGACGGCTTAGCTCAGAATGCCGAACTTCGTTTCGAAGAAGTTAGAGCACAGGAGGACGCACGTACAATTTCGGATGGCGGTTCCTCTCCCATGTTCCCTTCGATGCACATGTATTCATTGCGACCCTGTCGCAGATACTTTGCTGATTGCGACAATATCATCCCACTAATGACTAGTGCTCTCTATCAGCGTTATGTGTGGTGGCCAATCGAAGAGCCGCTTCTTGGTTTCGAAATCGAACAGACGAGGGACGTTTCGCATGGCTTGTTCGGATGAAGATGAATTGGCGTGGCCAACTGTCTATCGTTGTAATGTATCATCTCATTGCCCATAGCAGCCCACTGTACACATCACATTTGTTTCGACAGATGCCAATGTGTTTCCTTCGTTAGGTCTTTATCCTTTTACTGGACCATCAATCTGCCTATACATTACCCCGTTTCATATTGGATCTTCGGGGACATTGGACAAGCATAATAAGGACAATCCGTAATTCCCAAATATGAAACTTTAGCTCGAAACTCGACCATCGTGACCCTGTCAGGAACTGGTGAAATCCACTAGTATATATGTATACTGCGGTCCCTGGCGGATCTTCCTTTGGGAAGGCCAATTCGCTTTAGGTGAGAACTCTATTTTAGGTTCGTCGTGGGCTACGGACAGCGGTTTTAAGGCGCAATTCTTGTCCAACCCAAGTGCGCATGTTCTTTCCCTGCATATCCACAGCGTTCTTTACAATTGCTCAGGCTTCCATTCAAGAAGACTATGATGGTGAGAAAAGAACTGACGGGTCTTGGGAAGTCGATCTTGTGTTCAAAGTTCAGTTTCTGGTTCAACTCTAGGCCTTTTATGAATCCAATTCGGAATTAATCTCGGAAACTGACCGGCGGAGGGCTTGACGAACGAAGCATCAGCATTACGACGGTATTTATTCGAGCGAGGAGCTGACCTTATTATCGCCAATATACTTCCAGGCATGTATAATGACCACGAAAGCAGGAAGAAAATGATGGGGATCCATAGTGAGTGTAAGAAGTCAGCTCTCCTGTTAACCCTGTAGCACCGGCAGAGCCTCGAAGGCGATTCGATATAAGAGCGAAGATCGGTCACCATTTGGTGTATCACCGAAGACCGAGTGAGCAGATTCAGGTACTGGCAACTGAAGGGAGTTACACACTCGGGTCTGCTTCAGGTTCTATATTGACAAGATTTGTATTCAGGTTTCAAAATCTGTACACTTGGCCACATGGTACATCGGTGACGAGGTCTTAGTACGGATGAATAGCATTGGAAATAGCAAGCAAAAAAGCATGACGAATAACTTTGCGCATACTGTAATATGGAGACTGATCATAATTAGATCAGCCATATGAGGCATTATGGTGTCGGTGGTCGAGAAATATCCAGGGCCGCATGAAGCATCTGGCCCGCCCATGAAGCTTTGTATTCCTCGGGGACCGGACTCTGCTTTTCCTTCGTCCATAAGGGCCATCTGTTCTCTGGGTCGACATAGTTCGCATCTGTCTTCAACAGAAAATAACCATCCCCTGCTTTACGTTTGCCCTTCGGAGTGGCGTGGTAGCACTCAACCCTGGTTTGTTCAACGTCTCTGAGAGGTGCATACATTTCGGACACAGATGCGCGCACACGAAGAAGGAACGAAGCGAACTGCACGACTTGCAAAGGTTCAGTAATGTCAAAGGTGCGTATCTTGCGTTGAATTACGTAGGTCCTCTGTGACAACAAGCAGCAGCCATTAGACAGATAAGTGAAAAAGATAAGGAAAAGCGTGACTCACATCGGTTTTCGCAGACCGCCATGCAAGCAACACACTACCTTCTTCCCCGTTGATAAAGACGCCCCAGACAGGGTGATCCTTCAGTTCAAGATGGGCATACTTATCCACCGCAGACACCATAAATGTGTATAATTGGTGCAGTGCCTTGTCTGTATCTTCATTCTTCGTGTATTCAGCAAGTATCACTGGTAACAAGAGGCAATCAGGAAGAAGAGACGCGTCTGAGTCTGTCGTGGCGCCAGATGCTCCAGATCTTGTCGAGCTGGCAGGCAGTTCGGATATCGTCCCTCGGGAATGGAATAGCATATGCCGATTGAACTTCTCTCCAGGCTCAGGCTCTGTTGCCGGCAACTTACCCTCGGTCTCTGTATCAATCCCATTTTCCTTTGCATCTGTGGTAATCACGAAAGCAAGGTCCTTGGGAAAGGGCACAGTGGTAGTGCGGGGAGTCCCAGAGCTTTTGAAAACTGCGCGTCGGAATGCAATAACGTCGCAGATGCCATGAACGGGTTCTTCTCCAGCCCGACTCCATATATGACTGAGCATATCGTGATCTTCCATCTCACATATTTCGAAGGCCTCTTTCCTGGTAGCCACGGCAGCAAAGAAGGCGGCGACCATCATGTCATCTTCTGCTTCCTCCATTCGGATTGACAAGTCACCCAGGCAACGCTGTCTCATTTCATAGGCAGCGTCTTTCATGTACTCCTTGACCGCCACAACTGTGGAATTCGACGACGGACGATCACCGCATGGCATAGTGGCGGCCAGCATATCGACAATGCGATTGCGGGAGAATCGGATGTCAACCTCGTAGCTGTTAATCACGCGTCAACGAGTTTAATGTGTGATTTAGTCCAATTGCCTCACCGTATGTCAGTAGATATCGCCTCCTCGATGCTCTCCACATAAAATTCGGCGAAGAGCAGATCCCATACCTGTCGAATCTCAGCTTCCTTAACGGAATGCGTTTCCCGTTCTTTCTTGGGTGCCGAAGCGAGAGAAGAGGATATAAGAAGAGCGTCGAGTCGATCCTCGATGATGCACGCCAGAGATGTATCCAACACGACAGCCTGCTCCGTATTCAGTAAGTCATGATACTGGGCCTTCAAAATATTACGAAAGGGTTTGAGAGCCGTGCAACAAGCCGGGAAGGTTTTGTCATGCTATGGATAAGTCAGATCAAATATAGCGAGGATTGCGAATGCTCGAACCGAAGGATCCCATCCTGGGATGAGGACTGGCTTCGTCAACTCATCATAGAGCCCTATCATTCTTGTCATGCTCGCGTAGTCCTCGTTTGTGACGTGAGGGGGTATCTTGGCAATAAGGTCAGCCCCACGTTCAAATAACCAGGTGGTAACACTAATTCTTCGCTCGTCGAGACCCGAGGCTGGTCGGTTTCCGAAGCTGATCCAATCTCGAGCTCAGATACGACCCAACATGGAGTCAGAGCATACCTTGAGCATGAAATTGTTTCTCCAAGACACTTGGGCTTCTTCTCCTTTGCATCCTTCATGCTGTCACTTTGCGATGGAGGTCGAAGTCTTCATATTAATGCAATTAGTTTAAGAAGTAAGACGATGGGCACTTGCACCAACCCATGGTCACTCGACTCGTCGTCTTTAAGCTGGTTGACACCAATAGCCAGATTTTTCACGAGATCGGGTTGAGCCCTCTTGGGAAGATCTGCCAGCCAACGAAGTATACGTGTGTACCGATCGATTTCTCCAGTTGCAGATACGAGAAGCCCATCGGGGTCATGATGGTCAAATCTCCAGCAGAAGTTTCGTATCTGGGGTTTAGTAACTGCCCTGGTTACGGTTTTCCAATGTTCCTGAAGACTGAATATGAACTGTGCCAAGGCACACGCAGCCGATGGGTTCGTAAGGTTGTATAAACCTAACGATGGAAGCGCTTCGACATTTGTCGAGACATGTGTGATATGCACAGTGGGCTGGAAAGAATAGACTAATCAAAAGCTGGACAATGATAACATGAAGTTGAGCATACCGATTGATCATCATCCAGAACAACCCATCCCAAGCGAACTTGAACAGTGGTACTGGCGCGTAAGATTTCGAAACCAATTACCGGCTCGTCAACAGACCACACATATCGCTGATAGAGTGCGCTGGTAATCAAGGGAATGATGTTCTCTGAATCAGCAACCACGACAAGTGGAATTTCAGCAGACTTTCTACGACCCTGCCCAAGGAGTATATGAGCATCGAAAGGAACATGCAGAGAGGAGCTATCATCTGATAAGGGATGTGTATCTTCCTCAGCCGTTTTACTTTCTCTGGCATCCTGGCCGCCGCGTACAGAATTTTGAGAAGATACAGCCTTGTCGGTGGGACATCCCGGGCCACTTTCGGTGTTGATGTTGTTTTCGCGACTGGATCGAAGCTGGAAATAGCACCCTCCAGAAGGAACGGTTGTGCGTTCCTGAGGTAAGACTATTGCCTCCTTCGCTACGTGGTGAGATACTAGAAGGAGCGCGTGGCCGTCTATACTAGTGGGTTCCTCGTCATAATACGAAGCGCAATGCTTCGTCTGAGGAAGTAAGAATGGGGAATCGATTCTACAACTAGCAGGTTAGCAGTAATCAAGAAGAATCAGAAGGGCAAGTGTAGGATACATCATGTGAACATCTTGCGAAACAGTGTTGCAAAGAGCAGAGAACAAGGAGCACAACAATGATTTTCGCAGACGAAGGTCGTTAGCGGCATCGAGCTGGCGCATCCCTACAACCGACATCAAAAGCAGGTTGAACACGTCGCGCAAGGACGTGGAATCCTCCTGGCAGTTCGGTTCCATACAATGACTGTTGTCTTCATCCTTTCTGCAGTTTTGAAGTTCAAGAAAGAGAGCGTTGGCTGTTTCGGAAATGTGTGGATTGTCATCAGGTGAAGACAGGACATATTGGGGAAGCGGAAGGTCCAAATTCTGTACAAAGGTCCGAACAACGTTTGGCCAGTCATTCGATTCTTGAATCAGATGCAGCAATGGGTCGGGAAGAGACATGAAAGGTGGCAGATGAACGTTGAACACGCACCCAATTTGTGTGAGCATAGATCTCAGAGTCGGCTAACGCCAACTTGAACCGCAGATACCAGGAACCAATCGTACAACGATTGATGGCGAGATCAACTGACTCGATCAGTCATATGTAGTCTCTGGAAACTCCTGAACCTATGACAGGGAGCCCGTCGACGATGGAGGGTACTGGAAATACTGAATATATTATATGTTTGTTACTATACTTTGTTACAGCTGACGAGAATAAGGACCCTCCCATCCGCCCGAGTCGACCGGAGTGTGCATGACATTGTGATTTGTTGGTGATTTGCTCTGTTTCTCAGACGCTCCTACCCTGGATGGTAAGGATGTCACTATGAAGCGAGAGCTGGTTATACTAGACTTGAGCACTTCCACTGATATGGGCGCATCAGCCGTTGTCACTTATTTCAAAGCATGGAAGGTATGCTGCGAGTGGGCTATACAAGTGCACTCGCGCTATTAGCCGGAAGATTTAGCCTTGCTATATCTCGCATATATACAGAGTGTATGCGTACGAAATACTGTTCTTACGCATGCCGTTTCACTCCGCGAGCCAGGAAGAAAGTGGCGTCTGTTCCCTCCAAATTAGCCGTAGTGACTCGATTGAAGTCAAAGTTCTTGAGGCCAGCCCTGGTGAATATTTGCCGCATGTCTTCCTCGCTGAATCCAGCTGTATGTGGAACATCATGATAGTAATCAGAAGGAACGACCTCTTCACCTTGGTCGTTCTTCATGATGTCAGCGACTAGAAGAGACCCTCCATGTTTCAGGAAAGAGACCAGAATACGTGTCATGTCGTCGATAGAAGTGAAGTGATGATAGGCAGATGCACACTGTGGTTTAGGTGAGCCAAGAGCGATCAGAGCCAGGTAAGATATACTGACCACAACGGCATCGACCTTGACACCATGAAGTTCACTCTCTTCACCCTTCAGTTCAGCACGTATCGCTCTGATTTTGGAGGGATCGGCTCCTTCGTTGATAACACGCAGATTGTATCGGTCGACGGCCCCTTTGCTGATATCTACACCAATGACAGACCGTGCATGAGGCCAAAGCTGCCTTGATAGCAAGCCTGTATGCAATACATTCAACTAAACCCCTAATCTGAGACCATGGGGAAGTACATACCTGTCCCGCACGCATAATCCAGAATATGTGTGCACTCCTTGTCGAAGATGTCAGGATATTTCGAAAGCATGGCTTGACCAATGACTCTCGATATCTCTTCATAACCTGGGTATTCATCGAAGGCTTCAGCTTGGAGGTCGTAGTGCTGCTCGTTCACGGAGGCGATATCATGGGAGTGTGGCTGATCATTACAATGTGAAGGAAGCTTGTCGGACATGGTTAAAAGTAAAATACTGGTCGTCGTTGTCTTCTGCAACTGAAGCTTGGGATTCAATGACGATATAACGGAATACAAGCCTAGGCCAAGCTAAAATCAGACGGCCTCAATTTGAATATGGCCATAATGCGCCACGGAAGTAAATTCCAACGTGATGGTCTTTCAGTATCGTCGTGAACGAAAGCAATATATAATGTTATCTTGTCAGGTCGTCTAGAGGGATGTAACAGAGCCAACGCAGTCCTCTGCAAAACGCGTTCATCTGTTAATTAATCGCGACCTGTTTAGGGCAGGGCATTTGGCGTTCGCCTCTGCGGCCTCCCTCACTGAGACACTCCTTGCGACGATACACCATGTCTACATAGTGGCTTATACCATCACAATACAACTCTTGAATATCTCTTGGACTCGCTGGCCCTATCATTACGTTCTCAAAGGATGAAATAACAAGTGAATAGTATTCGATAATCCTCAAGTTCCTCGTGAAGCTTGCGTACCACGTTCACCATTAACTTTGTTATCAGTATGTATTTTGTTTACAGGAATCCTTACATCGCTGCAAGTGGGTTGGTAGGAATATGGCGTAGCTCTGACATTTAAGCGTTGATGCAGCATCCCTTTTACCTGTAATGATATAGGCTCTTGCACCAGAGCGCCTATTAAGATTAATGTCAACGTATAACTTCATCTACTGTACTAGCTGCAACGGTTAACATCTAACTCGATTGTGTACACCACTGGGGCAGACTTTGATTTTTATATCATCATACATCTTGCGCTAGCAAGTTTCAAGAGTCACAGCTTAGGTGTAACTCGTTGCGCCGTTTACGATGTCGAACCTCGAGGAGTACTTCAATTCTGCCGTCCTGGATGTGATTACACCAATCGTCTCTGTCGGGTTTCCTCCACATGAAGATATTCATGCCGCCAATGCATGGCTGGAGGCAGTAGAGGATGAGAATGTCGACAGGAACTTGGCCTTCTTCGGTAAGGTACACAAGCTTGTTTTCATTGCTGGTTCCTATGGACATAGTATACTCCAAGCGGGTCATATTTGCGAGGAGTCTCGACTCGTATGATGGTGCACGTCTACCTGTCCATACGCCACCGTTCCACCGTTCTATTGGTCCGTTTAGTGTTGATTATATGCTGACATATTGGAACCACAGACGAGAACCTTGCTTTCGTCCTTTTGTTGCGTTTCGGTTACGAACAATTCGATGAGGACGGCTTGGAAGACACTAAGCCGAGGAAACCACCTATATCCCTTCTTTCATTCCTAGCGCACCTCCAAATTTCCTGGGACGCGTCGTACATTTCCTCTCTACCTCCTCCCCCGTCCCCATCTCCAACAGCAGATGGTCGACCGCCCGTACCTTCACGTACTGTATCAATACCCAAGACCAAAGCTACCTCTTTAATGCCGGTCCATCCTTCAATATTTCCTCCCAGTACCCCACATCCTTTACCATCCACTGGTGATGCTGATCGTCAATACGTACAAGCTCAGGGTACACCACTGAGGTTCGGAGTCTGGGGCGAGAACTCGAATTTGGAGGACGCTCAGAACGAGGATTTCGCCCTGCTGTGGTCTGAAAAAGATAAGACGTGGGTAGCGGTGTACAAGATGACAGTGCAAGTCTGTACGTCCTTTGTTAATTGCTTTCTATATTGCCCATGATTGATGAGGTTGAGCAGCGTTTATGCCAACAAGGGTGCCAGATCCTCTATTGTGTCTTACGGTATCTACCACATTACGCGAGAAGCCGTTAGCGTTCACGCCTCCTCGCAAACCTCTGGCCGCGCTTATAGAGGCAGCTGGAGGTCTACCCGACGAGAGGGAACCTGGCACGCCTCTCAAGGTGAATGGTGATGATGACGATGAAGGGTTGGATGTCACAGGCTTGGAGGAGGTCAACCTCCTCGAAGGGCTGAAGATCGGTACTGCACCCTTATTCCTTGTGGTTGCATAATCATTCATATCATCTTTCGCTAGATCCAACCTTCGCGTCGGAGTCACTTAATTTGCCCACTACACGTCTGGCGCCGTCAGTTCGCATGCAGTCATATTCGCTTCCACCGGTCACGCCTAATCCAGATTCACCTGGGACGTCTACTTCAACTCACACTATTAGTCGTACAGGAACCAGCACTCATACGACGCTGCGGAAGTCTTTCCGTAAGACTATGCGCACAGTGTCCGGATTCCGTGTACGAATGCGAACAGTATTTGTACCCTATTTTATGCTACCACCGAACGGTACCCGGAAGAGTACGAATGGCACACCCAGAAAGTCGTCCCCTGACACCGATTCCGAGGAATCAGATCTGGACGACGAAGAGCACCTCAATGAGCGCGAACTCCGCGAAGCGGGGAACGAAGAACATACCGTCGTACTTTGTGTTGAAGTGGAGAACGGTGGCGAGTCTTCTGCAGGTTTTGCAGTCGAAAGCGTCAACGTGAGCGTCGGAGGCGAAGGTGCTCAAACTCGACTTATTGGTTGGGGAGAAAGCGGTCTCTCTCAACCAGAGAAAGTCTTTCCGCTGCTTCTGAACCCGATGGAACAGTATAATCTGCTGTATGCTGTTTCCTTCCTCAGGTCGCCGGAGACGGATGAGTTTTCACTTGCAAAAGGACGTGGTTTGCCGGGGACACCTGCAATACAGGACTTACAGCGAGCAGTGACTATCATTATCAACGGGAGACCTTACGACATCCTATCAGAGGACGGTACCAGACTTGATTTGTCACAACTCAACTATCCTACACCAACTTTCCCGTCACGATGGAACTGTGTGCTCGATCTCTCGCCTCAATCGCAAGCAACTGTAACAGTGGATACTGCACCAGAGGAGCATACCAAGATCGCTCTTCCGACGCCTGCTTCACCTTTCCCTGGCTCCGCCTCCCGACCTATGCTCTCGGCAGCATTGGGTACAGGAGGACTCCTCTCTCCAATGCCAGCGGCATTCCAAACTCCCCGAGGCGTGTACCCCAAGTCTCCCGGTACACCTACGCCTACGGGAGCAGGAGCGATGCCTTCAATATCTTCTATTGTAGCAGGAAGCAAGCGATACACGCTTAGTGCCATGGATGCTGATATGGTCAGTGCTTCTGTTGCGTCGAGTGGAGGAGACTCCGCAAAGTTTAGGGGCCAAATATCTCCCGTGAACTATCGCTCGGGACCTGCAATGTTAAACCCTGCCAATCAGCGGGATACTCTTTTGCAAAGTGGTACTCAGGCCACCACGACCGCACCGATTAATCCAATCTTGAGTGCTACCGCAGCATCGAACAGGAACTCGTACCTTCCTCCATCTGTAACTGTACAGTCGTACATGCAATCTCCTACGACCTATGGTCCATTAAGTCCACCTTTGCCACCTGTCCCTGGTGCACAGTCCTACGGTTCCTTCGGCAGTCGTCGTGCAGCGGGTCTTGGACTCGGGCATGGTCAAGAAGACAGTGTCAGCAGCGCCATTTCCTTGGATATGATGGTCGTCCCGCCTACGCCAGCATACCCTGCGTACCCAACGTCTCAACCACTACCCCCAACTCCTCGTTGGCAAGGACCCATAACGAACTTGCAGTCTGGTGCTGTGGGCCCCAGCGTGGAAATAAAGAGAGAAAGGGGCGGCAATGTCGGTATACCACCTACTCCTGGACCTATGGTCGGCGCGGGAGGCGGGTTCGCTCAAATGCAGATGCAAATCGAGGCAGAATCTGGAGGGAGAGGACAGGGGGAGGGCGATACGATTGTGGTAAGCGTGGGCTTGTTGCCTATGAGGCGATTTTCAAAGGCGGATGGGACCGGTGCTATGCGCAAGATTGGGAAGATATATCCGCTGGATCAATTCACGTTGGATATCTTCGTGTTCAATCAGTCCTCGCGGACGAGGAGGTTTGAGGTCAGCTATCCAGACCGGAGGAAGAGGAGGAAGGAGCAAGTGGTTGGTATTGGCCATCCGGCGAAGAAAGGTGAGGGTGACGCTGTTGGCATCGTACCATTAGAGAATCGGGTACGCATAGGGTAAGTTTTGAAGGCTTTGACGGAAATCTTGAAGCACTTACAATGTTCAATTTTAGCCCTCTGCTTCCGTCAACGTGTCAGTCCGTCCGTATGGACTTCCTTGCACTTTCACCCGGAGTGCACTCGGTGGATACTCTTACATTGACGGATATCCAGACTGGTTACACCATGAACCTCCGGTACGTGCCCATTAAGTCTGTTCCCGATGAGATTCCTGACGTTGTACGCAGATCTGTGTTAGATGTCGTAATTCATGAGCATGAAATCACACAGGACAAGGAACGCAACCCATAGTTATTTAGACTAATTTGATACCATTGGCCCTGTCATTGAGTGCACATGAATTTAGTTTTCTACACCGCATGAGTAAGAAGAGAAAGGAAAGGCGCCATATATTACACAGAATCGTAAGAAAACAGACAACATAGAGAGGATGGTAAGTGTAAGACAACCAACAGAGGAGAATGGTGGAAAGCGTCGTGATTCATGGATCATATGAAACTGTTCGGTATCGAGGGTGACTTAAGAGAATTTACTGCCACTGAGACTTGTCCCAGGCAGGATCCTGCAAGAAAGCACAAAGCACCTTGCTTCCAGTCTACCCAATATAATCACATCAGTCTGCTGCTCATGACTCATCATCATCGAGGTACGATGGCGTACCTGAAGCAAAGGATGTCCAGCAACAATAGTCAAGAATCTCTCCAAGCCTTCCCTTCGCCCCTCAATGACTTCATCGGAGAACCTGTTGGTGAAGACTTTGCCTGGAAGCGGAGGAATGTTCACGCGTGTAGATTCACGTTCGAGGATATCACGGAATGCTTCGAAGTCCGAGTAACGTCGGCGGACGAGGGAGTGGCGAAGCTTGAAGGCGGGAATATTGGTCTACATGACAAAGATTACATTCTGTCAGCTGTTGAAGAGCATAGTATCTTTGGAAAACGAGCCATGCCTTGCATACGATCTCATAATCGGTGTACATCTTTCGGCCAAACCCTGTGTATGACACTTCATTCAACCCACGGAAATGGACCAACGATAACTGAGAACTCACCATGAGTTTGTGGATTGCGAACTTCAATCTCCAAGAAGCTTTCTGGCACACTATACATTTCCTCGATCTGTTATAACCAAGCCAAAGGCCTGTTGGCGTTTATGGTCGGGAAACGGTCAGTTGGAGCTCGATATAACTTACAGTCTGCTCTCGACCACCAAGGCGAGGCTCATCGAAGACGCTACTGCGAGCGAAAGGAGAAACTGTAGTCATGATGTTGAGTGTTCGAGGTCAAGAAGAGTTACACTATAGCCGACAGCCACTTCCACTGAAAGCAGGCACAGCGCCGGGATGGCGTGGGAATTCTTTCTCGAACATATCGTGCCGCGATATTCTGCTCATTAATGGTCAAGCTGGTTGCTTTATATGTGTAAAGTGGAATGGTGCAAGGTACAAGATATCATAGCTAGTCTCTACGTCTATATTTGTCCGGATGGACCCACAACGCCCGTGGTATTGGCAGCAGTCTCTATAGGCTTCATCGCAGGGAATAGTAGGACCTCCTTGATGTCTGTAACGTGCGTGCATCAGTTATGATCTTCTGAGAACATGAAATATGTATACGTACTGGTAGAGTTGGTGAGGAACATCACAAGACGATCGATACCAAGACCCCATCCACCAGTAGGAGGAAGGCCATGCTCAAGACTGCGTGTGACGGATGACAGTCAGCTCATAGTAAACGTAAAGAACAACCATAGTAACATACGCATCAACGAAAGTCTCATCGATTCCTTGCGCCTCTTCGTCACCCTGCTCCTTCTGCCTGACCTGCTCCTCAAAGCGCAGTCTTTGCTCAAAGGGATCGTTCAACTCGGTGTAGGCATTGCAGAACTCCTTTCCGCACATGAAACCCTCGAACCGCTCACAGAGACCGGGACGTGAACGATGCCACTTGGCCAAGGGAGACATAAGCTGAGGGTGACCAACTATGGATAGGTTAACTCAAGGTACCAACCATTTAAGGCACATCAGACTCACCAATGAAGGAAGGCGAGACACACAAGGGCTCGATGAACTCGCCAACAAGCTTGTCAAGCAGGCGAGCGTTGGTTCGAGGCTCACTGCAGTCAACGTTATGCTAAAATGAAGTTAATGATCTGATACGAGTAAGAATGTACTAATAGTCACCTTCTGGCACAAGTCACGCAGGAACTTGTTCGTCTCATCCGTGTGCAGAGTCTCACCAGGAGGGAACTTGACGCCAAGCTTCTCCTCCAAAGTCTCGATCATGTCATACCGCTTCCATGGCCGCTTGAAGTCCAACTCATGCTTGCGCTCGCCGTCCTTGCCGTCAGGCTGGAAGACAAGCTGGGTCTTTCCACCAGTAAGGTACTTGACCAGACCCTCGACAAGGCATTCGGTCATGTCCATGAGGTCATACATATCGGCATAGGCCATATAGAACTCGCAGATGGTGAACTCGGGGTTATGTGTAAGATCGATACCCTCGTTTCGGAAGACACGACCGATTTCGTACACACGATCGAGACCACCGACGACAAGCTCCTTCAAGTAAAGCTCAGGCGCAATTCGGAGGTATAAATCAAGATTAAGGTCGTTGTGGTGAGTGACGAATGGCTTAGCAGTCGCACCACCAGCAATCATGCTTGTCATTGGAGTCTCGACTTCGAGGAAACCAAGGTTGTCAAGGAAACGACGGATGTAGTTGATAATCTTGCTACGGGTGATGAAGATGCGACGGGTATCCTCAGAAAGAATGAGGTCAAGGTATCGCTTGCGGTATCGGGTTTCTTGGTCCTTGAGACCGAAATGGCCGGAGGGAAGTTGGTGAAGGTTGGGTGCGAGGAGGATGATTTCGGCCGGCGAGATGGAGAGTTCCCCCTTCTTGGTACGTGAGGGTGTACCAATGACACCAACGATGTCTCCTCGACGGAAATGCTCGTGGACACACACGAAGGCTTCTGGGTCCTTGGCATCTCTGTGATGGAGGTCAACTAGGGAAGAAGTTGAAAACTAGAGCACAAAAACTGACTGCTTCTGTGCCATGATCTGAACCTTCTTTCCCTCGCCGTGCAGGTCGTAGAATTTCAGGCTCTGTCCAGAGGCACGGATGTTGTGAATACGGCCGGCGAGGCATTCGGTGGTACCCTGGAGCTTGGAACCAGCAGGGATCTTGCCTTCCGTTCCATACTTATCAATGTATTCGGTGATCGAGATGGAAACCTCAAACTTGTGAGGGTATGGGTTGGGATTTTGGGTCTCCTTGAGCTTTTGAACGTGTCGTGAACGAAGTTCAAAGTATTGCTGTAGTAAGAAAAATAATATGAAGTAAATATAGTATTAAGCAAACATTCCGCATGAACGTACGTTTGGATTGAGATCCTCCTCGTTAGTTGCAGCCACCTTTGCTGCTGCAGGCTTTTGTGGTGCAACTGCAGCCTTTTCGGCGTTCTTTGCTTCTTTTTCTCTTTGCTTCTGGCGACGCTTGAGCTCGCTATAGTCTCAATCGATGAGATATAAGTCCGACTCTTTCACAACAAAATCCTGCTCACCTCTTGGAGATCATTTCCCCAGTGACAGGGTCCTTATGGGTTCCTGCTTGTTCGCTGGCCATGGTGCGGACCTGGTAGAGATGATGTCTAGCCAACGAAGGTACTTGCGGTGATAGAAAAGTCTTGCGATGAAGTAGCGATTGCCCGCAGAGTAGCCTTCGCAGCATGCAACTTTTTCTGGACTCGATCTTTCGAAACGAGTCACGGAAAGGGGTGATAACTGTTTTCGGTTAACCCTAGATCAGGGTCTACGACTCAGGCGCCCATATTACCGCTGCCTCTCATGCCGGCTGTGCGCTCGAACAGGCGAACGTTGTCTTCTTCCTACTACCACCACTGCATTCAACCATAAATATGTCTTCGGATTACGAGTACTCTGACCAGGAGTACTACGATGAAGATGATGAGCAGATGTTTGATGAGGATGGTCAGTATCGTCGTCCTGTGCATCATTCGTAGCTGATAAAGCAAGACACACAGGGTCGGCATCTGACATGGAAATAGATGCTTTCCCTGAAGACTTCAAGTCGAAGAAGGGGAAACAAAAGTCATACGAAGTCCCTCACGAACCCCTCACGCAAGCTCAGATCGAGCAGTTTATGGCGCAGGATGTTGAAAACATCAGTGGCATCTTTGGGGTCGACGTGAGCATCGTTGACCCGCTTATACTAATTCTTGCAAAGTGCTCATATGTAATATCAGTCAACCGTAGCTTCCCTCTTATTGAGACACGCGAATTGGGACAGGGATAGACTTATCGAGAAATACATGGACAACCCGACTGCGGTCCTGGTTAAGGCAGGCCTGGAGCTTCCTGAGAAGCAGACAGAGTCATCTTCACGTTCGCGCGCGTCTCAGACTGGCCCTCGACGATCCACACGACGACAGAACAGCGATCAGCCAAGATCTGGCGTTTCGAAGATCATTGAACGAATCACACCACCTGTGGAGGATTATGGACCGTTCGTTTGTCCGATTTGTTTCGACGACACACAGACAGAGACTATGGCACTGGCGTGCAACCACAAGTTCTGTTCAGCATGCTGGAACGCATACATAACAAGCAAGATACGCACGGAAGGCGAACACTGGATCACTTGTATGGCGGAGGACTGTTCACTCGTAACGCCCGATAAATTCATTCACTTCGCACTCAAGGACGACAAGGCCACCTGGGAACGCTTCCAAGAGCTGCTTGTACGCCATTTCGTTTCCTGCAACCCCAACCTCAAGTTTTGTCCTTATCCATCTTGCACCAACGCCGTCTCTTGCCCTGCCGCCTCATCTAAATCTGTTCTCACCACCATTGTGCCCATCGTTTGCTGTGGTGCATCGGACAGTCACAAATTCTGCTTTGGCTGTACTATTGACGCGGATCACCGCCCAGTCATTTGTGCTGTAGCCAAGATGTGGCTTCAGAAGTGTCAAGACGACAGCGAGACGGCGAACTGGATCAAGAGCAACACCAAGGAATGCAGTAAATGCCAGAGCACGATCGAGAAGAACGGTGGTTGCAAGTAAGTTTCTTTTATATCAGTCGTGTTGATTCTTCGGCTGAGCACACGACGTCATATAGCCATATGACTTGCAAGAAGTGCAAGTATGAATTCTGCTGGGTGTGCATGGGTGAGTAGCCCAGTCGTACTTAGCTGGTCCTCTGTGCGCTGACCGGTTTATTCCAGGACCATGGTCTGAGCATGGCACGGCTTGGTACTCGTGCAATCGATACGACGACAAGTCATCTATCGATGCTCGGGACGCTCAATCAAAGAGTCGAGCGTCTCTGGAACGTTACCTTCATGTAAGCATCCTCCTTTTTCGGCGTTCTAAACCAAGGACACTCATTACGTTTCTTCGCTTCTATAGTACTACAACCGTTGGGCCAACCATGAGCAATCCGCGAAACTGTCCGTCGAGTTGTATGCCAAGACAGAGAAGAAAATGGAAGAGATGCAGATTACTTCCGAGTTGACTTGGATTGAGGTGCAATTCATGAAGAAGGCCGTGGACGAAGTGTTTAAGTGTCGTATGACGTTGAAGTGGACGTATGCTATGGCATACTACCTCGAGAAGGGTAATCAGAAGGCATTATTCGAAGATAACCAGAGGTATGATATGTTTGCTTTTCTTCATTGACGTCTTTTTTAATCGAGCATGTAGGTACCTCGAGAACGCTGTAGAGGAACTTTCCGAGTTGATCGAATCTCCTTTCGAGCCCGAGACCATTGCAACATTGCGTCAGAAAGTAACGGATAAGACGGTGTGTTATCACGACGTGTGTATTCCTGTATATCTGGTTATTGATACTCCTTTTGCCACAGGTGTACGTCCAGAACCGAAATGAAATAATGCTCGAGGACACAGCTAGAGGATTCCAAGAGGGCCGATGGAAGTGGAACGTTACCGTAAATGGATTCGACCAAGCGGAGGAGGGGGAGGAGTAAATGGCTATCTGTCGCATCCCACTGATCACTCCAAGCAACCTTAGATCTTTTCTTTTCTTGCTGATTCCCCTCTCCACTCATCAACACTCGCGTCAGTCTTGAGATCTCACTGTACTCTTTATTCTTTCTCTCCTGTACCCATCTAGCTAGGACCCGGCACCACAATGTATTGCTATAGGCTTCATCATGATCCGTTACGGATATTTATGCAAGTTCATACACGTAGATTCCGATCTTCGAACAACTATACCTTCCAAATCTGTGAGTAGGTTGTGCTAAAGCGCTGAAACCTGCTCATTTTGGTCGGTGTTCCTTTCCGTGTCGTTATGCCTCGTTGCCTCCGTTCAGAGGTCTTGTGCCATGCCGCAAACGCATTTCGCCTCTTCTTCGTGTCAGTCTTATCGATGCAACTATTCTGAAGAACGCCGCAATGTGTGGATGGTGCAACACATGCGTGGCGATGCGAAGAACGCCTCCGAACGAGGTGGAACCCCCCAGAAAATCCTCGAAATTAAATAACCAAGACTCGGGCGCGTAAAAAAAACAGGCTTCACCCTCAACCACAAGGCTTACTTTGAATCTTTCCTTTCACCGTCGGCTTTCCTATAATCTTTTCTTACTTGTCACGACCATTTGACGATCATGTCCGTTGTCGGTGTCGATTTCGGTACTCTGCACAGCAAGGTGAGCACAGAAATACCGATTTCGCATTGGGAATGAGACTAATACAACCATTAGATCGGTGTCGCGAGAAAACGTGGTGTCGATATCATTGTGAATGAAGTATCCAATCGTGCCACTCCGTAAGTATGCCAAGAGATAATTCTCGATGACATGCTAAATCTGTTATAGTTCTCTTGTCTCCTTTGGCCCCAAGCAGCGATCTATTGGAGAGTCGGCAAAGACTCTCGAGACTTCCAATTTCCGAAACACCATTGGAGCCCTTAAACGTTTAATTGGGCGAAGTTTCAATGACCCCGAGGTACAGGAAGTCGAGAAGAAATTTTTGCATGTGAATCTGGTCGATGCCAATGGCACTGTCGGTGTGCAAGTGAGTTTCTGTGTAATATTCGTTATTTCCAGACCATTTGCTCAAGTGTCGTCTCCCTAGGTCAACTACCTTGGCGAGCAGCGTGTTTTCACTGCTACACAACTTGTTGGCGCATACCTCGGCAAGCTTCGCGATATTGCTGCAGCTGAGCTCAGGACAGGCGTCAGCGATATCGTCATCACCGTGCCCGGCTGGTTCACTGACATCCAAAGGAGAGCACTCCTAGATGCAGCTCAGATTGCCAATCTCAACGTCCTCCGTCTCATCAACGAGACAACCGCCGTCGCACTCAGCTGGGGTATCACCAAATCCGACCTCCCTGAAGCCGAAAACCCTCGCCACGTTGTATTCGTCGATATTGGCCACTCTTCCATGTCCGTTGCCGTTGTCGCGTTCTCCAAGGGTCAACTCAATGTCAAAGCCACCGCTTTCGAGTCTCGCGTTGGCGGCCGTGACATCGATTACGTCCTCGTGCGACACTTCTCTGAGGAGTTCAAGACGAAGTACAAGATCGATGTTCTCTCCAACCCTAAGGCCACTTTCCGACTAGCTGCAGGATGCGATCGTGTGAAGAAGGTGCTTTCTGCCAACGCCGAGGCACCCCTGAACGTCGAGTCGATCGTAAATGACGTCGATGCTTCAAGCAGGCTCAACCGCGAGGAATTCGAGGAGCTCATCGCTCCCATCCTCGAGCGTATTGAGGCTCCTATCAAGCAGGCTATTGCCGACTCTGGTCTCACTCTCGAGCAAATCGACGTTGTCGAGCTCATCGGTGGCTGCACTCGTATCCCGGCCGTTCGCCACCGCATTCAGACTGCTTTTGGTGGCAAGAACCTTTTTACCACTTTGAACCAGGATGAGGCCGCTGCTCGTGGTGCCACCTTCGCTTGCGCTATGCTTTCCCCCATCTTCCGTGTCCGTGACTTCTCCATGCACGATCTCAACCCTTACTCCGTCAAGGTTCAATGGGAGCGTCAGCCTGAGGACCCTGATGAAGATACCGAGCTCGTTGTCTTCCCCAAAGGCAACATCGTTCCCTCCACCAAGGTCCTCACCTTCTACCGTAAGGCCGCATTCGACCTCGAGGCGCGATATGCCGATACCTCTGAGCTTCCTGGTGCGATCAACCCTTGGGTCGCCAAGTTCACCGCCAAGGATATTCCTTCCACTTCATCTGGCGATTTGACCGTCGTGAAGGTTAAGACGCGCTTGAACCTCCACGGTGTGCTCTCCTTTGAGCAGGCTTATGTTGAAGAGGTTGAGGAGAGGGAGGAGAGCATGCAGGTTGACGGCGAGGAACAGCCCAAGAAGAAGAAGGTTATCAAGAAGAAGGATGTTCCATTTGTCTGGTCAAACACCCAACTCGACTCTAGCATTCTTGAGAAATACAGGCAACAAGAGGCGGAGATGCACGCCGCCGACAAGCTCGTTTTTGATACTGAGGTACGTCGCGAGCAGTTCAATCCATCTTACGCATTCATGTTAAAACCATCTCTCAATAGGACCGCAAGAACGCTCTTGAGGAGTACATCTACGACATGCGTAACAAGCTCGATGACCGTTACGCTCATTACGTCCAGCCTCAGGAGAAGGAGAAGCTCCGCCAGGCTCTCCAAGAAGCCGAGGACTGGCTCTACTCTGAGGAAGGCGAGGACTCGACCAAGTCCGTCTACGTCGCGCGTCTCGACGCTCTCAGAGTTCTCGGAGACCCCATCTCAAACCGGTACCGCGAGACCGAGGAGCGTTCCAGGGTGATCTCACAACTCAGGGAGACGATCAACAGCTACATGCAACAAGCCACGTCCGCCGACGAGCGGTTCTCGCACATTGACGAAAAGGACAAACAGACGATCGTCGAGAAGTGTGCTACTGTGCAACAATGGCTTGAAGACCAGATCGCTCGTCAATCTGAGCGTCCAAAGAATGTCGACCCTGTACTCAAAAGTGCGGATGTGCTCAAGAAGAGGGATGAGATTATCTACTTTGCCACTCCCATCCTCACCCGTCCTAAACCCAAGCCTCCAAAGGTTGAGGGTACCGAGACTCCTAAGAAAGAGGGCACTGAGACTCCCAAGACCGAGAAACCTCAGGGTGAGCAGCCCGCTAAGGAGGAGGGGATAGAGATGGATGTGGACTAGATTTTCCTCTCCGTGTGCCGTGTTCCTTCATTGATTTGTTGTCTGGCCGGGTGCTTGGAATTCAAGTAGGGCAGTACATCTACGTAGAAGAAGAAAAGTAATGTGTAGACTGTAGACATACCAATACGATTCGCTTGCTCTTGTACCGAAATGGCCGCTCCGGTTATTTTGGGCCTCTTAGCAATGGGTTCACGTGGTGTTTCATCTATAGTCATTCAAGTCCAATCATCTTAACGAGTTCGAGTTGTCTGTGACCTTGAGCAAAAATTGTATTGCGATATACAACTAAAGGAATAAAGGTGCCCAACCCTTCGAAGAAATAAAGGAATGACGATGAAGATGTATCCAGCAGCCAAAGACGTCGGGGAAGGGTGGCGCAACAAAAAAAGTTCGTTCAATACGCCAGAAGAAAAAAGAACAAAATGCGCTTCTAAGATAGTGTCCAGAATGGAGGGAAAAAAGGGATGTATGCCAGGAATACATGCGATGAGGGTTAGCACTAGTAATCGACGTCTGTGCGTGCGAGTGTTGTTGATGTGTGTATATGCAGGTGCATGTCGATTCAATAAAGGGGTAGATGTGCAAGGCGGGTATATTCGGCGGCATCTTTGACGGGCAGCGATGAGGGTCCAGGATGATGCTATACTGAAACCAAATGTTCGTAAACAGAATTAAGAAGTCCAAATGATCGTTCTGCCCGATCGTCATGCTCGCCCTCGTCACCGCGCATATCCAGTCTGTAGTTCGACTGGCTGCTGTTGGTAGGTCTCCGCCTCGGGGTATCGTGGTGCAGGCGTCGGTGGGGCAAATTTCTCTTCTGCGGGTGACGGTTTATCTGCAGCAGCTGTTGCGGCAGTGGGGTCACCGATACCAGCACGAGTACCCCAACCAGTCTGCAGACTGATTAGCAACTAGATCGAAGGAAAAAAAATCAGACAACGCACTTCGTGTAACGTGAACAGCGCATAGAGTTTCATGACGGCGAAGTAATAGCCGAAAAGAATGAATGCAGGGACGTGAATGATATCTTGAGGCCGGTCCCATAGATGCGGCAGCAGTTTCGCCGTCCGTGTCGCCATGAGCCATACGACGTAACTAATAATAACGTTCCTGGAGCGCAGTTAGTACCCCCTATGGAGCATATCGATTGCACTAGACTTACCACCACGGCAAATGATAGCCGCCGTCATCGACCGGTTTTGTACTCTTCCATACGACAAGGGCCACGAGAACAGGTCCAGCCAGAAGCGTAAACGGATTGATTAGTTTGTCCACCTGCTACTTATTAGCAGCCAGCACATTCAATAGGCTTGATCGCGCTTACCATCGTGTAAGCAACATAAGGATGCGACGTCCAAACGTGTCCCTCCATGAACAGAGAGCGTAGGTCCGATCGCCAGGTGTTTCGAGTCCACCGCAGCACTTGCTTCAAGAAGCGCCAGTTGGGCTTCATGGTACTAAGCAATTCGGCCTCCTTGCAGCACTGCACGTACGTGCCCCAGCCGTGGCTCACCATCCATCGTGTCAGGAACTTGTCGTCGCCAGAGTTCAACTGATACTTGCCAAGCCAAAAGTCATGAGTGAACCCATGTAAGAACTCGGGGTCTTTGAGAATGACGGTACGATATGCGGCCGTTCGTCCGGATAAACAGGGAAGACCGCCGTCAATGTGTGTCGAGGCTGAGATTTCGATGTTTCGAATGCTGAGCCGGAACGCCGCCAGTACCTCCCAGACCGTCATGGATTTTCCTACGGGTTGCACACGTTGCGAAGTACCTACACCGCCCACTTTCTGATCCTCGAAGCAGGCGAGGACATACGGCAATAATGTGGGTGGCCAGATGGCGTCGTCATCAGCGAACACGATGATGTCTGTCGTCGTGTTCTTGATACCGTGTGACATCTGCAGCCGCTTGTTGGCATAAGGGACGGTGAGTACTCGGATACGGTCGGGGTCGACTGCGTTGGCAAGCTCCTGCAGCGGACCCAACATCTTCTCCTCAGTGATGATGAGAATCTCCTTCGGTTTTCCTACGAGCCAGCTGTGTGCTGCCTCCTTGAACTCTTCTCCGGCATCAATGGTGGGCACGACAATGGTGACATCTTCTTCGGCAATGTATGTTGGGTTTTCAGGGAGGGGAACTGAACGGTAGGCGAGCGAAGCGGCGATACGTATTAGGTACCATAGGTAACGGTAGAATCTGCAAACCGTCAGCAACGACCTAACACATAGTGAGCACTGAGAGTATACCCAATAACCCCAAATGGTACGACTTGAGTTCATAGAGATATTAGCACTTCGCTTTGACTTGAGTTCTCTGTACTCACAAACAGGGAACTTGTCGGAGGTCAGCCGTAGCATTGTTTCACTCCCCTTGTACAAGATGTAGCAAGAGCGAGTGAAACGTGGAGAAATAAACGAGCGACGTGGGGAGTGCGCCGCGAAGGGCGAGCACGATGTGGTGGACGACGAGGAAGGGGGTCTTGACCGCTCAAATCTCCTCGCCAGCCACTTTGCCCAGTCGGAGTTTCTCTACACTTGCTTAATGCGGAAATTCCATCACCCGGCATCGCTTGCCGCTTGTTTGTTTCAGCATAGCAGTTGCTATTTTCCTCCAGACGCGGTCAAACATCTCCTACTCTAGACTGACATTCAACGACATCGCATATATTATATTCGGACGAAAGCATGCAATAGCGCAAGGGTTTCTCTCGACGACCTCTGAACGGCTTGTACAAAGGATAGGCTTGCTTGGACTATTCTCACTTTTTCTCATCGCCGTTGCTCTTGACGACCTTGTACGCGTGTCAGCAGACAGTAGTCAGACCGCCGGGCATTCTGCCAAGGCTCTGCATTTGTATATCGACAGCTGCCATATTTGACGAGCTTTACGTCTCCGCCAACTGGCGTCCGACGTCTGCTATCCTTTTTCGCTAGCTTCGAATATTGTAGGCCGGCCTGTGTGTCATTGCTGAAGACTTCTTCACGATTGCTCTTTTATTCTGTCTGTATCTATAGGGCTACGTCGTAACAATATTTGTTTCTATACTATGGTACAGTAATTAATCCCTGTCCGCAACTGAGAGTGTTCACAAGGACACGAACCTAAGTAACATTACTTTTTGACCAAGGCTACAACCCAAAAAAACCACAAAACAAGGTTTCACTTAATGATAAATTATCTACAGGTAATCGTCAACCATGCTCAGTGCCCTTTGGCAGATTCATTACGTACCTCAGTTACACCACTTCCGAGCACTTTGGAACAAGCGGAACCACGGTCCAACACCTTTCCAGCTATCCTGGAACTCAAGTGGGTACCAACTATTGCTTTCTAGCGCAACAACTCGCTCAGGATGAGGCATGAGGGCAAGAACACGTCCGTCTGATGTCTGAACACCGGTGATACCACCGGGGCTTCCATTTGGATTCAAGGGGTAGACTTCGGTAGGGGCACCCGCAGAATCGACGTAGCGGATCGCGACAAGACCCTCAGACTCCAAGGTCTTCTTTTGAGAGGGGTCCGAGAAGGAAACACGACCTTCGCCGTGAGCGACAGCGACAGGAAGTTTGGAACCGACCATCTCGCGGAGGAAGACTGACGTCTTGGTAACATCACTGGGAACGATTTCAACCATGGATACACGACCTTCGAAGCGTTCGCTTCGGTTTTGCTTGAAGTCTGGCCATGTCTGGGCACCAGGAATGATTTCGCGCAAGTTGCTCATGAACTGGCAACCATTGCAGACACCCAATGCAAATGAATCGTCGCGCTCGAAGAATTGAATGAACTGCTTCCTCGCGACTTCGTTCAATAAGACAGAGTTAGCCCAACCCTTGCCCGCACCGAGAACATCACCATAAGAGAAACCACCGCAAGCAGCCAGACCACGGAAGTCGGCAAGGTCGATATTTCCACGAAGAATGTCAGACATGTGAACGTCAACAGCGTCGAAGCCGGCGGCAGTAAATGCCCACGCCATCTCGACTTGTCCGTTGACACCTTGTTCGCGAAGAATAGCCACCTTTGGTCTCCTGAATAGGCTGCGAGAAATCTCCGGTGCGAAAGTCAGGTCGTAGAACAATCCCTTGTGAGCATCATTCTTGATGAGCTCATATTCCTCCTGCGCGCCAGCCGGATTATCTCGCAAGCTCTGCATCCTATACGACGTCTCAGCCCAAGCTGCTTGAAGGTCACCACGAGTGCCGACGAAGATAGGCTCCGAATCGTGAACAACGGTGAAGGTTTGCTCAGAGATGTTGTCCTTGACCTTTCCAATGATATGAATGTATGACGAGGAGAAGCCGGCCTGGGCAAAGAAGTCTACCAGCTGAGACACTTGAGACTCGCGAACTTGGACGACCGCGCCCAATTCTTCGTTAAACAACGCTGAGATAGGATCTTTGCTCGTTTTTATGCTATCAAGATCCAGCTGCACCCCGACGCGCCCTGCAAACGACATTTCTGCGACTGTCGTGAAGAGACCGCCATCGGACCTGTCATGGTAGGCCAGCACTAGACCTGGCAACTTTGTCCTGATATCCTGGCAAGCAAGGAGGAAAGCCTTCAGAGTGGCAGGATCTTCTACATCAGGGGTATCGGAACCCAAAGTCTTGCAAACTTGAGCCAAGGCTGATGTTGCTAAACGTTCCTTGCCATTGGCGAGGTCCAAGAAGACGAGAACGGTGGGTTCTCCAACGTCATTGCGAAGCTGTGGTGTCCAAGTAGCCTTGACATCTTCTACTGCAGCGAATGCCGTGACGATAAGTGACAACGGAGAACATACAGTTTTCTGCTTTTCTCCTTCCTTCCACTTCATCGACATTGACATAGAATCCTTGCCAACGGGAATGCCAACGCCCAGAGCAGGACACAGCTCCATGCCTACTGCATGTACCGCTTCATACAAAGCAGCTCCCTCTCCCTCTCGCGACGCGGCTGACATCCAGTTCGCACTCAGCTTCACTCGCTCAAGACTACCGAAGTGAGCGGCGGCGAGATTGGTGAGAGCTTCTGCAACTGCCATGCGAGCGGAACCCGCAGCGTTGAGAATGGCGATGGGAGGTCGCTCGCCCATAGCCATAGCCTCTCCATGTGGGACGTTGAAGCCGTACGAGGTTCGGGTGACAGCGACATCTGCAACAGGAACTTGCCAAGGACCAACCATCTGGTCTCGAGTGACGAGACCAGTGATAGTTCGGTCACCGATCGTGATAAGGAAAGACTTGGAGCCAACGCTTGGCAAGCGCAGAACGCGGCTCACAGCGAGTGACAGGCGTTCGGGCAGCGACTCTGAAGGCAAATAGACCTTCAAAGAGGTATCGAACATCGGAGCGACGATCTCCTTCGTGTGGTCCTTGCGATGCATTCGTGGTGGCTTGCCAAAGAGTGTAGACATTTTTAGACGAATGACATCTTGCTTGAGTAACCGATCTGTAACGATGAGTTCCTCTTTGGCAGTAGCGACACCCACAACTGAGAACGGGCACCGTTCTCTCTCAGCCAAGTTTCGGAATTGTGCCTCCTTCTCGGGGGAAATAGCAAGAACGTAACGCTCCTGACTCTCATTACACCAAATCTCCATTGGTGACATGCTTGAATCCGCAACCAGGACGTCCCTAATCTCGAAGGTGGCTCCAAGATCTGAGTCATGGACCAGCTCAGGAAGCGCGTTCGACAAACCTCCAGCCCCAACGTCATGAATAGACTGGACAGGGTTCTCCTCGCCCAAATCCACACAAGCATTGATAACTTGCTGACAACGTCTCTCCATCTCCGCATTATCCCTTTGCACGCTGGCAAAGTCCAATTCAGCAGAACTTGCTCCCGACACCTGACTGCTAGCGGCTCCACCACCGAGACCGATCAACATGCCAGGACCACCAAGTACAACAATCTTAGCACCAGCAGTGATCTTGGACTTCTTGGCGAATGACGGTCGAACATTTCCAAGACCTCCAGCAATCATGATAGGTTTATGGAAGCCGTACATCTCGGAAACGTTGTCATCGAGTTCTCGAACCGCGCTGGTGAAGGTACGGAAGTAACCAGCCAACGCTGGTCGACCGAACTCGTTGTTAAATGCACTTGCACCAAGGGGTCCCTCGATCATGATATCCAAGGCAGAGGCAATATGTGACGGTCGACCATAGTTCACTTCCCAAGGCTGCTCGTATCCCGGTATGAGCAGGTCAGAAACGGTGAAACCAGCGAGACCCGCTTTTGGCTTGGAACCTCTTCCAACAGCACCTTCATCTCGAATTTCTCCTCCCGAGCCCGTAGCAGCACCGGGGTACGGGGAGACTGCCGTCGGGTGGTTATGGGTCTCAACTTTGATTAGGATAGGCATGTCCTCTTGCTGCGACTGGTAGAGATGTTCGAGGTTCGGGTTGGGAGCATCAGATGAAGCAGTACTGATACCAAAGCGAGGAGCAGTGTGTCCTTCGAAGACAGCAGCGTTGTCAGAATATGCAGAGATGGTGCCGGTGCCATTGAGCTTTTCCGTATTACGGATCATCTGGAATAGAGAGTGTTCCTTGGCCTTGCCGTCGATCTCCCATGACGCGTTAAATATCTTATGCCTGCAATGTTCTGAGTTTACTTGGGCGAACATGAACAGCTCCGCATCGGTCGGGTTGCGTTTGATGGGGTCAGAGCCCGATACAAACGCGTCGATCAGAAAGTCTATTTCGTCGGAAGATAACGCCAAACCGAGTTCCTTGTTTGCAGCAACGAGTCTTGCATGAGCAGATTGCGCAGCGCTTTGAAGGTCAACGGTGCGAAGCGGAGCAGGACTCTTATGCTCAAAAAGAGCCTCTGGTTCGGGAGTTGTGAGCTGCGCTACTTGAGTCATCCGGTCATGGATGAGGGGAGCAAATGATTTCAGGTCCTCCGCTGTGATCTGCGTGCCGTCGGTAGTCGTGAAGACGAAAACAACACCACGTTCGATGCGCTCGATGTAATCACCGAGGTTGCAGATCACTGCAATGTCGGTTGCCTTGCTCGACCAAGGGGATATTGAGCCATGTCTAGGGATGACATATACCACGTTTTGACTGCTTTGAAGAGTACTAGTCGTCTCCGGTAGGCGGATATCGTCACCGTAGCTGAGCAATCGATCGAGCACCTTCCTTTGAGCTGAGTTGACATCAGAGAGCGTGGTCTCTGCAGAGCTTGACCTTGACGCGACTAGATGCACATATAAGGCATCCACGGAGAGGACGTGGGGGCAAGCGGTTTGAATACTCTTCAGGAGGATGTTCCTCTTAGACTGAGAGAGCGCCGATGACCCGAAAAGCGTCAGCATCTTCCTGAACTCATATTTCAATTTATATCGCCAATCAAGTCGGGGATACTTACCTGAAGGACTACCCTAAAATCGATGGGCTTGCACCAGGGATTTCGATGCGGGCATCAATGCCAAACCTCCAAGTTCTCAAAACTTCCCTTGCTAACTCGATCACTTGGGCGCCTACTTAAGCTGGCGTTCTAAAACGGGCAGGTCTTTAAGATTGCGCGAAACTGCAGCTCGATGCGTCCAGGTTTTCTCTGATTCAACAAGCATCTTCGAGGCACTTGCGTAACCCATGTTACAGAATCCAAGCATGCTTTGCGAGAGGGTGACTTTGGTACCACGGAGTTACGCTGCTTGTGAACACTCGGCTGTTTCCGCATTAGTCAGCGAGCAGGACTTACAGTAGATTGAGGGTAAATGCTTGCCTTTCACTGACCGCTTCAAACTGCGTAATTCAATAGGGGATTGGGCTCCTTACCTTCTCTACATTGTGTTAGGTCTACATGGACCATGGACCAAAACGATGGTCTATGAGCGTCCCACGCCAAAGGTACTGTATTATGTTGGAGTCGGTTCGTGCACAATGAACCCTCGTCAGGGAGAAAGGGTGTCGGACGTGGTACAGTGCCTTCATCATGCCTTTTTCAGAGTTTCTCATATCGCATATAACGCTGAGGTTCGGTTGGCAAGGAATTTGTATAACTGCGGCTGGTACTAATCTCACAGTGAGCTAATTTCTGATATGCCCGTGTCAATCTCACAGTGCGTTTACTTCAGCGGCTTGGGACCACCATCGTTCCGACCTAATTCGGCAGCCAGGAACTGCGCGTCGTAAAGTTGTGGACACTCTTAATTCCTCAGCATCCGGTCAGTTGGGTTCTGACTTGGTCAGGAGTCTCGCCTCCCTACCTAATTACATCTACTCTCTTGATGGATTGCTGGCAAGATCTGCATTGCTCCGCATACTGCCATTGAGCATCGAGACTTGAGGCACAGTACAGCATTATCGAGACGGTGCTTCCCACGCCTGTCTGTCAAATTCTCACTGACAGCCCGCCGGTTGTGACAAAACCGACCGATATGTGCTCGGAGTCTGGGAATGCGAGCTTCAGCTGTCGTTTCGTCTGCACAGCCAAAGTGCTGTCCTCTGGGAGGTGATCCTCTGCTTCCGGCATGCTTTACATTACTGTGGCACACAGTTTGAGGAGCGCCACCGGTAACAACCAATGAGCTTCATTCCGATGTCTAAAAGTATCGAACTCTGTGGGACATCAGGGGCCTTGTGGGATTTCATCGCCCTGGTTGCTGAATATATCACAGGATTGTGGTGCTCTTCAGCATGTTCTCTCGTCGTCGTTGACAGGCCGCCCGCAATTTGCTCGGAGTACCATCGGCAAACGCTCGCTTTATATCGCACCCGGCTGGGACTGTACTCCCATAAAGTCCTTCATTCTTCGCGACTATTCATCGCGTGGACCACCTCTTGCTTTCGTTTGTTTTTATCTAGCCTGCTACTACTCTCTATATTGTCATGCCTCCTCCCGCGAAGCCGAAGCCGTCACACAAGTTGGAGTTGACTACTAACAGTCTCCGTAACACCACATTTGCTGCGGACGACGACACAATCTATTATGAGGTCGTAACACGATACTGGCACCCAAATCTCACAAAGATCAACAAGACCGACATGGAGACTCGCGAAGTCACTGTTGCGGCAGAGATCGAACGACCGCGTGGTCGTGAGCCTCGCGTGCGATTCGGTGGAGACAAGGGCGAATGGATGTCTGCTAGCGACTTTGTCAAGTTCGACCAGGAGAAAATGTACGTACATGTCGTGTTGCCTAACAGTGTAAGAACGTCTGACGACCGTAATTACTCTTGTAGTGACGGTACATTCGTCGCTAATGCGAATGTTGCTTACAAGTGGCGGACGAAGAAAGGTCGTCTTCAGGTATGGGTCAAACACTAATGACGTCAAAATTAGATCTTAATTTCGATTTCCCAATAGCTCGTCAAGGCCGATGAGGAGGATCCAGAGCCTCTCGCCGAGTTTCATCCGCACAAACGGCATTTCCTCGTCTTCCGAATGGCGAAGCATGCGTACCTAGAAGTCAAGCCCATCCCCGAAGTTACGAGCGCGTTGGAAAGGTTGATCGGTAAGTCGCGAGGAGCTTTGCACATTATGATTTATCTCACTAGTACTATTAGTGAGTTACCTTTTGGTTGAGAGGAAACGGAGAGATGCCCGCCTTCGAGTTAAAGTTGAGAGGTCGTGATCTACCTATGTCTTTACCTCTTCCCGCCTTCCACTTATACTATGTTGATGTTCATCATTGTCTCAATATCCTACTTGCACTCTCTACTACATAGAATCCTAAGCTTTGAACTGGGTTTGAACTCTTGGAATTGAAGTTGAATTCTAATATCGCGGAGGTGTTCCAGTTATAGCCCAGCTGGCGGCTAGACTCTTTGACTACAGAATCCACTCTCGTTGCTCAACAATCCTCAATGATCACGCAATCCACATCTTATGACTCTGTTTCTTAGTTTAGAGGATATTTATATTCGAGAGGCGTTGTATGGTACTCCGAGTTTCTCTCTCTCTGCCTAGTCAGAATGGCTTCCAACTTCGCCAGCGTCCCGATACTCGATTATTCTCTGGTATCTGACCCTGAACGGAAGCCAGAGTTCATTAAACAACTACGTCACGCCCTGATAGATGTCGGGTTTTTGTATCTCTCCAATCCACCAGTCGCTCGCGAAGACATTGACGCAGTTATTGACTATGCGCCTCGCCTATTCGACCTTCCTCAGGAGGCTAAGGAGAAAATCAGGATGGTGAACTCACCCCACTTCTTTGGATACTCCAGGTTTGGCGCGGAGTTGACGAAGGGAAAGACGGATCAGAGAGAGCAGTTTGACTTCGCAACTCCGTACGAGAATCAGTGGAAGCCAGGAGACCCGGAGTACCTCAAGCTTTGGGGATCCCCTCAGGTATGTTATTGAACTGGCATAAGCAAACGTGGAGAAGTGAAAGCTTCAGCTTTGATACAGTGGCCGGACGAGGATCTCCTGCCTGGTTTTAAAGAAACCTTCTTGCGGTATCTTGCCCAAGTAGAGAAGTTGAGCTTCAATTTTATTGAGCTACTTGCCGAGGCATTCCAAATTCCAGTATCTTCGCTCGACCCTTTCTTCAATGAGGGCCGTCACTTGCAGCACCGAGCGAAAGTCGTCAAGTATCCTGTGCCGCCTGATGATTCGTCGGACCAAGGGGTTGGGCCTCATTTCGATGGCGGATTCCTGACATTTGTATGTTTTTGACATTTAGCAATTTTTTGTGACCCTAACGCAGGCAACAGTTGCTTCAAGCATCACCACATAGGGGACTGCAAGTGCAGAATCTGCGCGGCGAGTGGATAGACGCACCTCCAATCCCTGGTTCATTTGTCATAAACATCGGCAAGGGTAGGTTCCCAGGTTTAACTGTGTGCTTCCCATATTGAGAATGTTGTTCAGCTTTGGAAACCGCGACACAGGGACTTGCTCGCGCTACTTCACATCGGGTATTATCACCAGAGCCTGGTTCAACGCCTCGTTACTCCATCCCGTTCTTCCAGAACATATCCCAGAATGTTCGTATAGGAGACTCAGTTTTGCAGTGTACGTACCGCATGACTACCTCGGCTTCACGGTCTATTGATATGTTCACCCCATTCAGTCAGCCCTGACATTCTCAAACTAAAGGAATCCCGAGGAGAGGAGGTTGCTCCAGATTGTGGGTTCATCATCCTATGTTGATTGTCGAGAGTTTCTCTGACGTGCTGATGTTACCTGTCAGCTGTGAACTATGCCGAATATGGACTCTTGCCCTCTGGTGAGGTTGCTCTAATCGGTCGTGTGAAGTGAGTATCTTTTGTCTTAACAGCCTTCTATGCTCCCCATTTCGCTCATGCGCATATCCAGGAGTCATCCAGACGTCGCACAACGTCACTATCCCGATCTGTTCAAACAATTCTTTCCAGATGGACTTCCTGCTCAAGGCTTCGCGTATTGATCGCCAAGGGAGCCCAGCATACATCTGATGTACGTGTTCCCTCGAATGCGCCACCGAATCTGTCATACTACCCTGGAACCACCTGGTCAAGGCCCATTCACTTTATGCCGGAGTCCGTGCTGTATTTGTATTTCATTCTCTTCCCTGTATTAGTACGTACTAGTATTCGAGTCCTGTATGTTCTTGTGTCTCAGGTTAGACCCGAAAACTTCCTATCACTGGCCGCCCGTTGTCAAACTAACTCTCGGTTACTCACTTCTCGTAGAGTTAGCCTAGTCTGCTATATTTCCATCCACCGGGAGCAAACCATTGTACCTCATGCCGTCATTCGTTAATGAACCTAGCGACCCCGTTCAGTGCTATATTTCTTGTTCCCGCAAAGCTTTTTGATGTGCTTGATTACTTTGCTCACATACAGCTACTGTTAATCACCACAGGAATTGCTTCCTCTCTAACCTCCACCTGATTTGCCTTGTCTCAGGTCAACGTACACATAGCAAGATGGTTGACTGGAACTCTGCTGGGGCTCAGTCGGTGACGAACTTCATGTACAGCCAGATGTTGGTTTTCATGACGGGCTTGTATGCGTAGGTGGTTGATGTTGGGTTATACGCTCTTCAGAGTCTATGCCAGTCTGAATCTTGCTTGCATAGGCGCGAATACATGCTTACCCTCTGGTTCGAGTGGTACTTGATCTCCCAAAGGATTGTATTTAAATGGACATATGTGGGTTCATGACGGGATCAGATCCGTCAAATGACAAGGCTAAGAAGATTTGTTATAGATCCCATATCTTGCTGGACGCTATCTCATATTGTTTGTCCTGTGTGGCCTGTAAGCAATCTTGTACCCAAGGCTGCATGATTTCATTCCCATTATGAGCTGCGTCCGTTCAGGGTAGCGATAAACCGAATCACTCACCCTTTCAATTGTCAAGGTGAGTCTCGTTATGACATCTACCCAGCTATACCCTGTCGCTAAACCTTTGGCTCCAGTTTTACAACCACTCTTTATCGTATGTCCTCCCTCTGTCCATCCGATGAGCATGTTCTACAAATGTCACAGACCGGTGGGCTAGTTGCAGGCGCATGTGCCACAGCCAACCTCATGATACGAACGTGAGTCTTCTTCACATGCTTTATCTTTCTCACTCGACGCTTTCATTGGCAGTGCAATGATGTGGAAACATCGACGCTGGCTAGTCGCGTCCTTGATCGCACTATCACTTGGTCAAGTTGCTTTCTCGCTCTATGGTCCGTTCATTCACATGGGCAGTGGCTGGTTTCCTGATCACTTTGAATTTACAGCTGGTACATCAGTTGTGAATTCTCACTACGACCTCAATCTTCGTACTTGCAATCTCGATTACGAAAGTCATTCAGTCTTTGCTGGTGTGTTCGTCTATTGTATGCGCTCTTCCTCTTTGTGTTCAAGCCCTGATTGAGAGATACGACCAGCCGTTATATACGATCTCCTCATTCTAACGTTGACATGGATTCACGTCTCCAAAGGCTCTAGATCGTCTTTGTGGAGTACGTTGCGACGGCAAGGTCTTTGGTATTTCTTGCTCACATTCATGGTGAATATGCCTGCAATGGTACGACATGCCGATTCTTGAAGCAATTGGTGTACTCATGATCGTTCCATGTAGATATTCGTCTGGCTGAACTTGAACGGTGTGTCAGAACGTGATGTCTTGATTGGCAACACTGAACAGGGCTCTACGGACAGATGCGATGAATGCGATGTTCTACCCTCCAGGTGTGCATATCCCCATTCCTTCTGTATCTCGTCTTTATCTTCCCAAACTTTTTTAGCGACGACCATCAGGTAAACTCTACTAGACCTATATTCTCCGGTCTCACGCGCACTCACTGCTATATCCACAGTGTCACTATCTCATGCCGTATGGTAACATCCCTGATTGAGTCCAACATGTCCGAAAGCATGAGTAAAGAGTACGTCACTCGCACTGTACTCCCCTCTAGTTGCACAGGGCTCATAGCTTCAAAAGTGACGGGGCTGCTCGTACAACGTCAAGTCATTGGAAGTCCTCCAACTCCGGAACTACTGTTACGACTCAAAACTTCACTACCAATATCGGGTTCCCATCGTGAGGGTTCCCTGTTCTCAGGCCTCTTCGGGAGTCATTCACAACCGTTTTTACAGTGAGATATACAATTCCCGTACGACTACACATCCCGAACAAAGTGGCCTGCCAGCGACGCAAGGCGTGCCTTCGATAACCGCGTAGCATGGGTAGTCATGACACATGCAAAAGCTGATCAAGAGCGAATAGCTAGTTCCTTTGGACAGATGGTTGAGTTTACATCTATATATGTTTCTTTTTTTAGCTATCAGTAGTTATTCGAGATTGCGACGGTCTTAACTATCTCCACTGTAGTGAGCACTCATACACTGCTACTTTGCGCAACGTATATACTGTACCTGCTATGCCTGTAGCGATCGTTATGAAGATGTCCTTGAATACCCACAACCTATGCGTTTCCTTATGTCTGGCTGAAATACTACGCCCCGCTCCAAGTAATCTGATAATCGAGTAGGCGATCATGTTACGGAAACAGTTATTGCAACGCGTCGGACCTCCTGTGTAGGGGCGCCGGTTCTTTCGACGCGGGAACTGTCAGGTATCTTCGCCAATCTTCGACCAATGCAATGCACTCCGAGTGCGCAGCCTCACGAGACTATATGTTTGGGTGCAGCTCATAATACCGTGCTCCCTGTTCCTCGTTCGAAGAATACAACGCTCGTGTCTGTCAGCCGATACTGAACTGCGGAGCTTCGAGGAATAGGTCGTTGAACTGGCTGGCTGATACCGGGTCCTGGATGTAAGGCAATCTACAGTACCAGCATGAATATCTGGAAAGATCTTATACCAAGAGAGGTCCTTACCTGGCCACTAACGGATCCGCTCCGGCCAGTGCTAAGAGGTAACACCTCCAAGTGATACGTCCCGAGTTGGTAAAGAAGGCGGGTGATATCATCCGGTTCTGCTGGCGTGGCTACATGGTGTCTGATCAACAGAGCGACATTTGACTTTAAAATATCATATTCAGCGGTCGAAAGATATAAGAGGGTCCTCCTGTTACCTTCCTACAGAGAGCAGACAGAGCGCGAAGGAATCGCAGAATATCTGATACTGGGAACCCAATCCATTCAAGAGCAGAGATATTGTCAAGCACAACGAGAGGAGTAGCTCCCTCATCCGACCATTCTGAGAGCCTCTCACTCGTCAGATCGAAAAGCGGCCGAAGAAGAGTCTGGTGAGATGAGTGTGCGCGGTCAATTGGAGGTTCGATGTAAGATCCGACATCCACGAAAGCAAACGAGCCCGATTGCAAATGTTGAGCCAGATTGACGTTCTGCATGAATGCATAAGCTTATGAAAAGGTTGATAAATTACGAAAAAAAAATACCTACAGATTTTGCAGCAATGGCTTTCAGTCTCGCCAAGGACTCGGAGACGGAAAGGAACAGGCATTTCGCTTTTCCGACGTCCTTGAAATGTGACGATATTGTTTTGTGTATCACAAAGTCTGCGGGAGATAAGAGTTGGTCAGTTACGATGACAACATCCCCTGGTGAAGGTAATTCAGATAGGGAGAACATGGTGGTAAATTCGGAGAATTGTCTCATTATGGTGCGACTTTAGAAGCTCTTGCATAACAACACCAAACAAGTCCGCTTTTGGATTCTCTCGCGTCTCTTGAACTGTGATTGACTTGAGTTGCTATTGGCTTGTTCATCTATTGACGACTCGAGGAATCAGGAGGTCTTGACCACTCTCAAGGACAAAGCTTGCAATATTGTAGGGGCATATTTTTAAGTATCGAGGTGCTGCGACCGCCTGTCGCAGCTGCAAAGGTCTGTCGGGGTACTTATCTTTCGCATTGTTAAGACTGGACGAGAAGACAAGGCGTTATCCGTTATCCTCGCACTATTTACCTCCTATGATGGACATATGTCTCCGCGCATATTTCGAAACACTGGGACACAATGCAAACTTTTCTACATAGCGACCCTACAGTGTCCGTCAACTTAATCGAGCTATTCAACATGCAGCAGTCCGCTATTAAATGCACATGCCATACACGGACCAACGTATACAACCTCCTCATATTCTACGTGGCTTTTATTGACGCACTAAAGTATAAGTGGGTGTGAGTTCACGTGCCAACGGCCGTGAATCGAATCGGAGGACTTACCAAAAATGGAATCATGCTTACTCTGAATCTAAGCGCTTGAGCGCCTCCAATACTTGGAGTCGTTCCACAACACCCAGTGTCAAGAAACGACACATCATCCTCTTATCAGCCTGCAGACCTTGTTGCAGACTCTCGATCTACTACGGGGCATATACCATTAGACTGCTAACGCTACCTGAGCGATGTTCGAACCAGTTCGAGGAGGCACCAGAGGAGGACAAGCCGAGTTCAAGTGGTCTGACGTCTCACAGGACAAGGATCGAGAGGTTCGTCTCATCAGCTCTATTCCCCAAATTATCGTCGACTTACAATTGCACTTGTGCATTGCAGAACTATCTGGGACATAGTATAAACGCGCCGGCTGGTCGATGGCAGAAGAACAAAGACATTCATTGGTACTCGAGAGATATCACGAAAGACGAACAGGCGAGGTTGGATGAGATAAAGAGAATCAAAGAGGCTGAAGCGGAAGCATTGGCGGCAGCACTGTACGTCCCTTTTCTTCTTCTTTGACTTCGAGTTCCTTCGGCTTCTTACTGACATTGCCTGGATAGTGGGTTTGCTACGGGAAACAAACCAGGCGGGCCTTCAAATGCCGTTGCGGGCCCTGTCTCAGGTGCCAATGCCATAGCGGTTGCACCAAACGAGGCTTTCGAGGCACAACAAAAGGCTCTAGAAAAGGAAGAGAAGAGACGTCGCAAAGCAGAACGTAAAGAAGAAAAGCGGCTGAAGAAAGAAAAGAGACGAGCGGAACGAAAACATCGTCACAGTGACGACCGCTCCGTTTCTCGTTCACGTTCACGTTCCCCTTCGCGCTCGGCTTCTCCGCCAGCACGAAGACCACGGAACCGAGACCGAGACGAAGATGATGAATCTCCACGACTGAGGAGGATGAGTACGAGCAGGCACCGGCACCGTAGTAGATCGAGGTCCCCACGTCGAGATCGAGACTATCGCCGTGACCGAGAATATCGGGGTTATGACTACGGTGCTGAAGAGCGCGAAAAGGAGCGCGAACGGGATCGTAGACGTTGGGATGACAACGCACGTCGTGAACGACCAGGCGCGCGCTGGAGGCGGGATTAGTCCAATGCTTTTAGGTTTCGGTGGACTTTTGCTTCCGTTCAGACGCGTTGGTGAGAGTTCATGTCTCGGGCCCGGGGGGCTCACTGTTCACTGGTTCTTACTCAGAAGGAGGTGCTAGTGCAAGTGGGGTGGGTGCGGATGTATGTTACATATATTTGGTACGTCTGCGCTCCGCTGGTGAATGCATTTCATCTTGGTCTGACTCTTGTCTTTTTGTCCCACCTTCCGCTTTGGAAGTATTTGTCTTGTTGTCTAATGTACCTCGCTAAGTGGAGCTCATTATTATAACTTTACGTCTGGACTGTCTGCTCCATTTCACCTCAATATCCCTCTTTACGTCTCAACGTCTTATTATGCCGCTCCGTCTGCGTTAGACTCTTACCCTCATTTGAATTATAGGTCACCTTCATGTCCAGTGTATGATTCATCCTCCGTGATGATCTCGTCGGTCTCTCTTTCGTGTCTCAGAATGGCAACTAACCAAGTATAATACTATGTAATATTTGCCACTCTCCGTTGGTCTTCAAAATTGGAATCATATCGACGACGTACTTCGAAAACGTGAGTCCAGGATGCACGATCTCCGGGTGCTTTTCTCATTAAGCGCGATTAATTGACCTCTCGTTGCCAAGCTGGCTAAGGGCGGACGACGACTGTTTCTGATTGCCCACAGTAAATGTCCTCGGCGCGTCATGGTGCACTCTAGGCTTCCCGAGGCGGCGTGGTGTCCAATGTTGACTTCGCTTTGGCGGTCAGTCTCACTTCGTCAGTCGGTCTTGTGACCATTTGCTGGAGTGTTGGTTTTCGTCGCCTCTATTCGCTCGGGAGATACCATGGGTAAGTTGCGATAGGTCGGGCAGCTTTGCAAGCGAGTAGGACGTTTTGCCGACTGAGCTCTCGGTGTCGGTGGGCATCGATCAGCTTTTTTCGCTGTGCGTATTGGTTACCGAGATGTCTTCTCGTGCGGCCGCCGCCCCTGTCCGTTTCCTCGGTGGAGAGCACGCAGAGACATTGGTTTGAACTGGAAGACGTGAATAGTATCTGGGGATATGTCTCACCAACTCGTTGCTTCATACGTAACACTTCTGCTCCGATTTCATGAGAACTTGGAAGAGACTCGACCATAGACAGTTATTGACACTTCATCTAATGCACAAGTATCACATCAAGCTTTCATTTCAAGACGCAGGTCTAGATCAGTATTCTTGAGAAATATGAGATTGCCGATGCGAAGATTCAGAGGTGTGATTCGATCCAGGGACAAATTCCAAGGCAACAACCCCGACATGAGACGTCTGGCCAATCCTGGCTGGAACTGACAAAGATTTAGCGGTGTTCGCTTCCCTTCGGCATGCCCGATGCTATCTAAGGTCCCGCAGAGGATGGAGAAGATGAATCGTCTCGGGTTGCGAAGCCATCGGAAGTAGCTTCGTTACTAACATGGTATTCATACTTCCTTTTCTGGGATGAAAGTTCCAGACGCCGGCGTTGTGGCGCTTTGAAGTGAGGACTTCTCGGTGAAGGGATTCCCGAATTTGCGCAGGTTCGCACGTATACACGTCCTCGTGCATGACGTTGTCGGGTTGCTATTGTCTAAAAGCTTAATTGGAACCTCGAGTTCAAGACGGTGAACATGAATCAGGCAAGCTGATCCTCCGCAGCTGCATGTAAGCGATGTCAACAGTCAGGACGATCGTCAGTGACGGCCTTGTCCATGGATCGACGTACGCGTCGGAGTGCGTTTCAGGGCCTGCAAGTTTTCATCTGCCTGACCTCCGAACGTGCTCCGGCGCCGTCGTGATTGTGTAACTTGTCGACAGAGGGGGACACTTCCGTGAAGCTCCGTCGAGATAGCGGAAGTAAGATTGTCAGGTTGCAAAGAAGATAGCAATGGTACTGTCATTTGAGCTCAAGGCAAAGGCGTGTAGTTTGTAAAAACGGCGTCATGGTTGGTAGAATACTTTTATCATGGTGCGGAGGCCGGAGCGCTGGCGGAAAAGAGTGTCATAGCAGGGCGCATGTTTGCTCCGACGCGTTTCAGGCGACGGCGGACTGCTTGGAGACCTTGGGAGGGAGCAACAGGCTGCAACAGGCTGCAACGAGTTGTTGCAACCCGGGGCGGCCATCGATTAATGCGTTCATCGATTGGTGCTAGTTGAGCACGTTGCGGGTTAGACACTGCAGCCGGGGAGATGTATGATCGGGGACGAGTGCGAGGAAGGGCGTGTAATAGTGTTGGAACAGTACTTAGTAGAGCATTTGAAACAGTGGTAGAGAACACCGGGCGGAGATGGCGCCGTTAGGACCGCAGGGGCAGTTCACGGCGGGTCGGCAATCCGGAAAAGGCAGGAGGATCGGGGAGGCTGATATGACCAAGTGGGGCCTAGTGCAGCCCCTTGCAATCAAGGAGATTTCGAAATCAGTTTTGGCCGAGCGTAGAAATACCGCACCCGCTTGTCACTCAGATGGTTCCTCATACCGGCTCTCGCTTCCTCTCCCAAGACGCGTCCAACGTCGTCGTCCTCCTCCAACACGTCCTCCACGCTTTCTCTGCATCATCTTCCTCCCGGAACTCTATACATTTCCCTCTAATCGATAATCGTCCCTTATTTGCCGTCCCTAGCCCGTGCACAATAAAACCACTCTCTCTTTCCTTTATCGCTGTCCCTCTTTCCTCACTGCTTTTTTTCCCTTTCCTCGTCGCTTCTCCGCATCAGTCTAAACCATGTCTACGACTTTCGGCATGCCTTTCTTCCTCGAGGACCAGTCCGGCGACATTGAAAACTCCGAGTTCAATGACATCTACAACCGCATGCGCTTCAGTCTTCGACGAACCGACAACGGCTCGCAGCACCCCGTGCTTATGGTCTACGACATGACTTCGACCTCCGCCTCCAGTCGTAGCGATCTCCGAGTCCCTATTGCGTGCCTTAGCTTTGGAGCCAATAATGCTTTGGGCACGGTCAAGATTCAGGACGGTGCCCATGTCGACATGAACCAGTATCTTGGACGCGTCGGTCGCAAGTACGTCAACTATTTTGTTTTATATTGTGCATCGTCACTGACACTCCTCGTAGCCCGAAAGCTCGCAAATTCATTGCTCACGATGGGCAGGAGTACCGCTGGACTCACCGTCCTGGCGGCGACCCCGAGTGGCAGGTATGTCAACCGCTCGCATGTCAACTATGTCCTGCCTCTGACCTCGTGTTTATTCTCTGTCCTTGTGCCATTCCTATCAACCATTAGTGCGTCAACGCTAGCGGGTACGAAGTAGCCACGTATAGTCTCAAGCCTGACGGGGAACCTCACTACGCGAACTCTTCGGGTTGTGTTTTGACCGTTGAAGAAGCCTACGGGCACCTCGCTGGCGGTGCGTATTACATATTTATGTTCCAATTGCACACACCGATTAACAAGGTCGTTTACAGAGTTCCTTGCCTCGCTTACCATCTTGCGCCATGCAGTCAAGTACAACTACTTGTAAACACCCGACACCCCCCTCCTCCACCCCTTCACTGCACTTCGCTACTCAAACGTCCATTCGCATCGTCGCCTCCGAGAGGCACGCAAAGCTTCAATTCAACATTTCCGATCACAAACTCAAAGTTTTTTTTCAATTTGGCAATTCCGGACTCGGCCTCGGTGGACAAACCACCGCAAATTACTCGTCCGCGACTCTCCTATACTCATTTTCGGGACGAGTCCGAGGCGAATTTGGCCGAGCTAGTTATTTGCCCCTATGTGTACCTCCTGTTCTCTTTCGTCTTCGTCTGTTCGTCAAACACACACCACCGGCCTCTATTTGTGGCACGGTGTTTCGCGTCTCCCTTCAAGCAAAAACTAACTCCTATCTTATTTGTATAATCCTAATTGTCTAATCCCTCTCTGCCCCCCACTCTCCTGTCGCACACGCACACGCTACGCATTGCTACAATAACCCGCTTTCTTCCTCAAATCCTTCTTCACTCCCCATGTAGATTTTATTCCTGTGTAGTGTGTCTCCTCCCCCCCGTCGTCGTCGTCTGAAGTAAAAGTTTCTCGCAGTAACATAGTTTGTAGCCATTTTTGTAGATTTTCCGTGCCTCCGTAACGCCTATCTATGCTAGCTAGCTACATACAACAATCAACCTTACCCACTACTAGATAATAATTATTGACCCAGTCTCGGTTCGATTTTGTCTGGTTTGTTTTCCCCTCTATGCTTCTCGTCGCTTTTTACTTACTAGTAGCTTTCTTGGATACTTACACAGCGAGTGATACACGTATACTTATTAGTAGAGTACGTGGTTTGAAGAATAATAGTCGTTGCTTTGTTACGCATAGTACATCAGTTCGCGCGTCCTCTGAACCCACAAACGTTAACTCGCACCTTCACTCAACTTGCTCTTCGGCACTTCATTAATTCTTGAAGCAAAGTCGTTTGAGAGCCTCGAGGCAATAATGCGAAATGAAAGATGACATCACGTCAGCATCAATACCAAACCCATCCTCGTTGAATTTGCCAAGGACTGCACTAATCTGAATGTTCTAATGGAAAGATCCATCGTAAGGGATGTTCCCGTTGTGCATGTGGGTGATGTGGACTTGGAAGTTCGCCACGACGTTCTTGGGCCTTGCCATCACGGAAGCAAATACGTAGTTTTCGACATTGTTAGACGAATCGGGTCCGCACTAGTGTATAGAACTCGGTTACGGATTTTCGAAAGTTCGACGTCTAGACGTTCGAGCCGATATCTTGATCATAACATCGTCGCAATGGCGCGGAAGCTTTCTTGCGAGGGTACATCTTTTTTTTAGCTTGGCGGTCGTAGTACTGACATGTTGCTCTTGATCATTGACTTATTAGGCTTCGGCTCCGACGCTTTTTTAAATCGAGTCATGAATTCATACTTACGGTCCGGAGGACTTTGTTGCCTCTTTTGAGCGAACCACTACCACCTCAGCGTCAACGTGGTACTGTACGAGTACATACCAAGAATTACGAATAGAATGGCATCTGCTGGCAGTACCAATTCACTCGTGGTCCCTCCTTTGCGTGGAGATGCTCGAGGTCAATATAGAGTACATATTGTTGGGAACAGCGGTATGTGTCCACAGAGACCAAATTTTGCAACGCATTCATCCTCGAAAATTCCACCGATGGGTACTACGTAGGTGCTGGCAAGGTCTGTTTGTGATCAATCCATCAGCCCTTTGCTTCAGTAATCTCATGCATACCGGTACCAGAGCACACTCGGTAAAGAGCTGGCCGCCCTCCTTGGAGTGCCCTTCATTGCTCTGGACTCACTCTTCTGGCAGCCAGGTTGGAAGCAGCCTTCGGCTCCTGAGTTCCGCGAGACTGTGCAAAAAGCCCTTGATCAAGCTGACAAGGGCTGGGTCGTAGATGGGAATTTCAATGCGCGACTTGGGACGATGATTAGTGAGGCAGCTACGGATATTATATGTAAGAGCTTCTTTCCAGTTCTTTTCCTTCTTCTGATTTTTGGGTTTTATGATGTTTGATGATGTCGATGGTCTTGACTCGAACGCGTTCAATGCGTTCAAGGGCTCGACCCTTCTCTTTTTTTCTTTCTGATCTTCATTTGTATACTTTTCAGACATCATTCCCTCTGCCGTGTCTTGTGACTCCATGCGTCTCTGATGATGAAGAGCACTGCAAGTGATCTTCAACACCACAAGCGTGCTCTGGTGCAGCCTCGAACTGCGCTTGCGCGTGCGAAAGAGGTAGTCGTGTTCATGTTGGTGGGAAACGAAGGTAAACAGCTGAATGGAGCCATGAACTTGCTGCGCGGAAGCAGAGCGTGAGGGAAATGTCCCATTTTTTTTCTCAATACTGTATTCACTGAGGTGGGTTCTCGGATAGGATATTATTGCTCCCGAGTCGTGTTTTGGTGTGGTAGTTTCTTTCTTTCTTTGATACTTTGAATTGTGGGTCCCAGCCCATCAGACTTCACCGCCGGCGATCGAGGTGTACGTTATCCATGTTATTCTCGGAATATTGCGGGGGTTTTTTTTAACGAAGGTGATACGGTTTTGAATTTGAAGCATCTTTCGGTGGAAATCATGACATACATTTAACTTCGCCTTCTATCCTGCCCTGCCTCTTTGCTCTTTCTTTTCTCACTCCTATATTCAAATTTCAACTTGAAACATCCTAACCATCCAATCATATCATACCTTCAAACATCACAGGGCTCGACCCTCCACTGGTCCTATATTTTCCTCGGCTCTGCCTCCGTACCATCCTCCGCCTCCTCGGGCTCGCCCCACCATGTGCCCCAGGCTGCCCAGAGTCCTTCAAAGGAATCTTCCTCTCCTCAGATAGTATCCTCTGGTTCTCCCTGAGTATGCATTGGAAAGTGAGGAAGGCCCAGATGCAGGCTTATCAGATAGATTCTGTGTGGGGCGGTGGGAACCGAAGACGGATTGGAGGTTGGGGTGGGGAGTTGAGGGACTGGAAGAGGGACGTTGAGGAGATGATTAGGGCGCGTGGAGCCTCTGGTACTGGTGCAGGTGGAGATGAGGATTCGATTGGCCGGTAGAGAGTTGGACTGTGGTGCCCGTACCGCGTTTGTACACAGGCACATGTGCTTTGGATATATTCGATAATGATAAGTATTATGTTTAGTACTCTGCTGTCACTCATATTGCCGGTTCGTAGTACCATGTCGTAACATAACATCATGTTTCAAGCACAATAATACATCTGTTGAGTTTGACTCTCACGTCAGTGTCGTCCTTCTCTTCTCCAGAAACAAAGATAGGCCGGTGTTCAAAGTAATTCAAAGGGCCGGTTCTATGTTGGTAGGCAAGAATGATCTGTTTCATCTGGTCTGAACAAAGGAGTGTAGGATACAAGATGAATGATCATCGACGTCCAGAGAAGAGAGCGTAACAATCCAACAAAAACAATGTGATAAAGGAAGTTCGGGGTGAAAGCTGAAGCGAAAGAAGGGATCGCGATGAAATAGCGGGGGAGGCGAAGGTATCAAACTAGTTATAACGTGTGTGAGGTTCCGATAGAAGACATACCAAGTGATACAAGGAGAGTAGAAGATACAGAAAGCGAGACTGATGCGAAGAAACCAATAACCAATGACGGCAGAAAATGCAAGAATGCGAAATGTGAAGGCAAGAATGACAAGAAGATAGAAGCGTGAAAGGCCGTGGAATGGATGATAGTCTAGTGGCATGAGATGCGATGGGAATCATGTGGAGCCCCGCACCATAGGATGAAGAGAGAATTCAGCAGCGAGGGGTGGGGCAACGTAAGCAGCACGGCAGGCGTCCTCGAGCTGTTGACGGAGTTCGTCACGGCGAAGTCGTTGAACTAGACATACATTTGGAACGAGATGAGATCAGCAAGCAACTGACAAAGATAACGTCCACGTACCTTCACAGGGCCATAAGGCGTTCAGGATCTCCAAAGGAGTGAGAAAACTCTTGGCCAAGTCCAGGGCGTTGGTCAACCCGCGGTCGTAGTTCCATAAGGCGAGGCAAATGGCGATTTGGCTGGCGAACCACGTAGTCTGAAAGGGCCTTCTGGATAGTAAGTGTCCAGAAGCTTCTCCGAGATGCATCACAGATTTCTTTACTCTCGACGCAACTTGATCCTGATAGTAAACTGAAAGGTCAAGATCAGGTTAGGGAGATGCGAAACGGCGTGAAAGGATTGGGACGAACGTACGCCACTCCTCCGCCTGTCGCCGATTGAACATCGAGGGACCCAGAGTGTCGAGGTCTGATAGACTGCTAAAGTTCATGAGCCTCAAACACGCGTTTAACACGATGAAAGGTGTCAGCTTACCGACGAAGTTCGTACGTGATAGTCATTCGAGTGCTACATCAAAGAGATAAGCTCGACGTGTAAACGTGTATGAAGACGGGAAGCACTTACTTGTAAAGATACTCACGGGATACATACATCAATGCCGTCTCCATATTGCATGTATGAGCGTCGAGAGCTTCCTGAACGGCTGAAATTTCGCGCCAGGCATCGACAGCAAAATTCGCGCGTTCGTCGGTCGACCATGAGTCATCCCGTTGGCGCATACAGCTATTCCAAAGAAGCATGCTCCGACAGTACAATGCCCAAATAGAATCTTTGGGCGACTGCCTAGGGATCTGATGAGCAACGGAGCGCTCGTAAGCTTCCCCCGGAAATAGCAACAAGTACTAGAAGGTGGTAATACAATGGCGGTGATAGAGAGATCAGCGGATGCGTTTGTGTATAGAGTTTGCTTCGATATCACGTACGTTAGACGGCTCTGCCAGCTGCAAGCGCAAGGGCTCCTCGTGAAACGCTGCGCACTGGGAAGTGTGGCTTGCGATCAGGGTCAACGCACTCCAACAGATTCGACGGCATTCCTCTTTTCGGATCTCGTCGAGCGTCCAATTTGGGTCCCAGGGCGGATTGAAGCTGAATGAGAAAGCCGACTGTGTCTGCACATCGGCGCTGGCGGAGTTCCCCAGGCACCCACATGTCGTGCCCATACAACGTTCAGCAGGGACAATGACAACAGGAACGCCGCGGGGGTCATACTGCAGCGCATCCGGATCATACTGGTCGGTGCGAGACAGGGATAGGGTCATGATAATGCGGTCGAGGAACTCAAGAGCATTCTTGGCGCGCTCAGATGAATAATCAGGGTGGGAAGATGACTCGAAGAGAGCAATGATCTGTGGAAATACGTCAGAATATAGTCATTAGAGTAATACGGGAATGTCCAACCAAAGCGGCTTCCGCGAGAGTAAAGTCAACTGCCTGGGCACTGCACGCTTCTTCCAAAGAAGCTTGAGCAATGTCGCGAAAGTACAGTGCACGCGTACGGCCGGCTGCACCGTCTTCAATGTCGCTAGACTTCATCAATGTAGCGAGAGCAAGAGCAGATAGGATTAGAGAAGGTTGCATGAGAATACGACGTTGAGGATTGCTTAGGTCTTCAAAGAATACAGTAGGATTGAGAAAGAATAGCCAATAGCTGCTCGAAGAAAGTCTATCAAGTATAAGGATAGTGAGTACAATATGAATCGACAGTTGAGGTCAACGTGAATACACACAGGAACTCAAGGTCCGCGAAGATCTGAGTCGCACTTCACAAGAAAAGAGCGTGAGTACCTACATGGTATGACGAGCTGAATACAGACTTACGATTGATCACGAGAAGTAGAATAGGTATCGAGGAGACTATCCCACCAAGTTTGGCGAGTATAATGGAAAGAAGGTGAGAGGGGCAGGATGCTTTGTCGTTCATGATTGTCCTGATGCTGCCGGTGCATATTCACGTCGACCTGTCGAGAGAAATATTTGTTCAGAGTGGGCTCCAGTGACTCAAAGTACACTGGACAGCGTCGAATGGGTTGCCAATGGTCATCCTAATGGCACTCAATAAATACCGGTCGACGACATGTTCATTTCGTCCAGCGAGACAAATGAAACTTACTTTTGGGTATATTGCTTCTGGTGCGACTTGTCGAGTCTCAAGGTCAAGTTGAGCCCGTTGTGGTACCTGCAAGCCAGTCGCGTCATCCGGGTTCAGTCGTGACAAAGGCAAGGATTTCTTGGTATTGGCCGTAACATTCTCCTTGACATCGAAGGAAATCAGACTTCCTTCGTGGTCGCCAGAGGTCCTGCGTTTTTTCTTCGCCTGAGACCCAGCTGCTTCGCTCTCGGAATGCCGCTTTTTGCATGAGCGTTGCCGAGTACCAGGCCGTTTATCGGGACCCCGCCGTTTGGGAACTGCGTCATATTCGCACTCATTATTGCGTCGCGTACAGTTATTACACACGGGACGCGTAGAGTCGCAACGAATCTTGCGAGCACGACTGCAACAAATTAAGGAACGACCAAAGCAATTCGTTGAGTAGCCGTCCGTGTACGTTATGACATTAGAAGCACTTACCATTGCTGACAGGCAATTACAGTGGTAGAAGCCTCTCGACGTGGTGGTCGCGAGGTAGAAGGACTGCTGCTCGACGCAGGAGCCGCTTTCGGTTTGCCCGAGGACGGCAGTTGCTGCTGCTTCTGTTCAGGTGACGGCATAGACAATTTGGCTCGAGATAACGCTGGCGCCATGGGTTCATGCGAGAGATTGAGTTGCGGATCCGGGAGGCTACTTTGGGGTAAATTGAAAGAGAATTCATCTACAGGACTTATGTTGGGTAGCAGCGAACGACCGGGATGCGGCCCAAGAGTGAGCATAGGCGGTTGCGGAATCCCATAATCATGGTGAGGTGACGGTATCAACTGGTGGTGAACGGGGACTGTACTCGGGTTCTGTAGCGTCTCTAGGAGATGGCTGTCTGGAATCTGAACGTCCAAATCGTAGCGAGCGTTAAATGGGGGAGCCTGGACGAAGGAGGTGGTAGCAACGTCGGGAGGGAGGTGACCAAGGTGATATCGGGCTTTTTTATGGTGAGGCGTGCCCATGTGAATGCTGAGTGGTTGCGAGGGTTAGATAAGACGAACGCACCATCTTGAGGATACGGCACCTCGAATATAGGCGAATGCAGATCAGAACCTTCCTCACTGGACTGGAAGCCCTCCTCAATTATCTGGGTAGCAGGGAAGGGCGTGTAGAGGTCACCACCGTGGAGGGCGGCGACCATGTCGGTATGGCAATGGAGAGAGGAGAGGTTCGAAAGAGGAAGAATCAGTTCATGGGGAGTTGAAGAGGCGTAGGATAGATATGAAGTCCACGCGAGAGAAGTCGGGAACCAAAGCAAACGAATCTCATGCCCACGGAGAGCGGACGGCTAAAGGGAATGGCAGACGCGCAGATGGATCTGCTAGAAGCTAGAGGAGTCTGTGACAAATAATAACGTTTTCTTCGCCCAACCCCGGCCCATTCCCAGACGTTCCTTACCCTCCCCGATCCTGTAACTGATTCGCGCTTTGAGCCATTTGGACGAGCCAAGTTGATATCGCTCTTTGCAATTGATGGTGCCGCTCATCCTGCAAACCACTTTCCGATCTTGCCTTTTCGGGTTGCTCCAACACTAAGTCCGCCAGGCCTTGCGCTGGTGCAGTCGTCCAGGTACCTAGCCCGACCAGTCCTCCTCTCTACCTGCTCTCGCTTCATCTTGCGGGCATCTGCGCATATCCTTCCCTCTGAACCTTGTTGATTTTCGCGCGGGTGCTCCGATGGCACACGCGCCACCAAAGGAAGCCCGAAGTTTCTGCGGCATCCTCGACATTTCGCGCGACAAACTGTCCACTGTAGTACAACCCATCCTCGTCATTTAATTCAGTCTTACGCTCAACTCTCCCAGCTCTTTCGTCACTGTGTCCCCACCGGTCCCGAGACACGCGACGAACCTCGACCAAGAGAATACACGCTCGCTGTTCTTTCCTCCAACAGCCTGACCTGCTGACCTGCTTTTCTTTGCAGAATTCCGAACTTGGGAAAGGTTTGAGCTCCATTTAAATATGTGCTATGACAACCTTGTCAACCACCGGATCCATCTCAACTGCCTGCCTGGTCCTGTGGCCTCTTCAAGGTCGACAAACAGAGCAGATTTTGCTCTCGCTCCCTGTCGCCAGTTACTTGGGCCACTTCATTGCGCTCGACTTGGATGCATCTTCACTTGATCCTCAATCCGCAGTCTTCAACGCCCTCTGGTACGGTATGACAATGTGTTAACCCCACACGTTGAACAGCGCGAGGTACGGATGGAGACATATCATCTCACGGTTTGCTGAGAGATCTCTTCCAAAATAGTTATAGCCATTGTTATCTCGTCACCTCCAATCCAGCATCACCTTCTTCGATTCTTCCCAAGACCTTCCTCATTCGTCGGTTATATCGGCAAGCGCCGCTAGCTTGGAAGCGAAGCAGGTATCGCAAATGCCTAACGTATAGTCTTTGAGCTGAACGTCTACTCAGAGCCTAGTCGCAAACGCAACTATATCTTCTGAGCAAACTATAACATGGGAAGGGATCCCCGTTGATATCTCCGCCAACGCTCGCAACAATGTTCATCCGCTTCGAGACTACCTCTGTTTTGTTACGCTCAAACCATCTTCATGCTTCATGCGGCAGGGATGGCATTGCCCTGTGGAACCTCTCGATACTTCTCTGAGCTCCTTGCTAACTTAGATCTCCATACGGTCTCGTGGTCATATTGGTCAACGTCGAAGCACTTCCAGAGACTGGTTAAACGTTCACTCGTTTGACAGGCCCGTCCTAAGGCAACAGATTGCTGCGGAAGCCGTCGGCCATTGACAGGACATCGTCATGAAATGTCGCCACGTACCTTGCCAATGTTCTTCAACTCCGCCCTCAGGTCATCAGTCTCTTTGTGTTCTCTTGTGGCTCATCCGCTCCGATATGGACCGCAATAATGTGTATCATGGCGTGACCGGCATCCACTTCATCTAATAACATACCTCGAGCAATCTCCGGAACATGAACTTCTTCGGCGTTTACGTGAGGGCACCGGTACCGATTTTACATACCTAGAAGCTTAATCATAAAACCTTTGGCTTGCCTACCCTTTTCCTCTTAAACGTGCAGCTGACTCCACAGTATGGGGACAGCGATTGTCTTCTTTAGAATCTTTGCGGCTCAAGGTTCCCCGAGTTCGTGTCCAAACGCTTCCTGTTTTGCGGCTGATGGTATCTCCCGTTCCGCATGTGAGCTTGGAGACCAGAGCTCGACGGTTTCTCGAATGCCTCACTGAACGTGCGCTGTAAGGAGCATGATTATCGCACCATCAGCCCTTCTTCGGGAATTGCAAGCGATAGAAGCGGCAAACCCAGCTTTTGGGTCAAGCAGACAGTCTTCCTAAGCACTTGACCTTCGCCAGGGTCTCTTGTAATCAATATCCTGCATCCCTCTAATCGGCGAATCTCTGGAATAGTGGCAGGCGACATTTCTCACCATTATTTCTCTCTTGCTCGGTAGTAGGAACGGTATCTAAGGGATGAATGGAAGAATACACAAAAGCAGTCTAAGAACTTCCTTCCGGTTTCCTTAGCCAGCCCATCCTACTACCGACAAATTCTTTATTCCCCAGGTACCCAAAAGGAAATTTCCTAGTCATTAGCAATACTTCCTACATTCTACACAGGTTCGCGGAAGCACCTGTCACTGAATGGCTCGGTGGCATTAGAAGATTCTCGCTTTAGCAGATCTGCTCCAAGTCGGTGGATCGCGATCAGACTCCCCTGATCTTCGAGGGTCCACCAGACTCACAGCATCTGCTGGCGTGTAAACCTTCTTTAGACAGGTATTCGATCAGACTGAGTTGGGGAGGCAAGCCTCAGCCAGTCGGGCTCGTGCGGAGAGTCCCGTTGGACCCGTTCCCGGATCATTGGCATGTAATTATGGAGAGGGGGGAGGAATGATGGCAGGACCTGGGCTTTCGTATACGCTTGATAAGGTATACTTTTCGTACGGATGATCGTTTCAAGCGTTGGAAGGAGCTTTGGTTCTCCTCGACGGTCAGGCGTGCCCTAGAATACTTCAACGTGCGTCGAGACTTGCTTCTCTGTTCATATGGTCCACGGTCTGACCAAGAATCAGAGACCGGAACGGGAGTCGTTGAGTAAAATGGACAAGCATCAGCCAGGCAAGCAGTAATATTATGATGGACGAGAGCGTTTCAAGCGATTTCGTCCCACACAGGGCTATCTTGAGCCAGTTGACACTGACATACTGTTCATTTATCTAGTTCATTAAGGCCTCAGGTGCAAAGCATGATTGAGCCCATCATGATCAAACCCAAGTCCGCTCACGGGATGATACGTCGTCTCTGCCGCTGTCAATGGACCTGATCAGTGTCAGACTTTGTTTGTCGCCGTCAGAGAAAAGGCAATAAAGTGGAGAAAGACTGTTTCGTTACGATATCTCATATGCGACGTCACTCGATTCTACTTGAACAGGTTTAGACTGCACAAGAAGGTACGTTGTCGTTGTGGATCTTAACACCGCCGCCCATATTGCGCTATTCGTCCTCCCAGGCTTTCTCCATAAATCCACGGATTCTTGGACAGACGCTTTTTCTTATCTTGGTGGCGTTCAGCAGTTACGGTATCATGGGAAACTGCTGTCAAGCCTAAATGCGCTGATCGCTTGACAGTGTTGTTGAGCTCGCTGTCAAACGAGTTTGAAGAGACGTCTGTGTTTGAATTTCTTCATGACGCCCCAGGTATGGAATATTGCGGCACCAACTGCGACGCTAGTACCTTGGCGGAATAGTTGGTATCCAACATCAATACGCCACAATATCGTCATAATTGTCCTTTGGAATTGATTTACCTGTTCGCTCTCACTCTTTCTTGAACGGAAACAACTGGCCTCACCTGTTAGTGGTAAAGGTTTTATCCAACCGATGTTGAAGTCCTCAGGACGTGTCTTCTTAATGATGGTTAATTGCCGTGGTTGAAGGTGCTCGTTTGGATTTTCTTCGGCGAGACCAAACCTTTTTGAATTGACCGGGATCCCATCGGTAAGTTGGTTCAGATTAATCCCACCAGATTTTGCGCTCATGTCTCGGACGTTTACTGAGTCATCCGACACTTTCTGCTGCATTGCAAACACGACAGTTTGCGTGTCATTCCATTAAGTGAGATTTCTATGAAATGCCTGTCTACAATCTATTAGGATATCGTTCCTTCATGATTATGATTATGAATGGGTTCCGGCCTTCAGCAGCACTGTACACTCGCGGTCTTCATCCGTCAATCATCAAGGCATCGGGGTTGTGTCTTTCATCATACTGGTGTGTGAATATCCTTCTCTTCCTATCTATGCCTTCTGGTAATCCTTACGTTTCACAGGCGTTCCACTCGTGACTTGTTTTCCAATGCTTTCGCGGCATCACTACGATTCTTTTCACTCATTCTATTCAGCCTTCCCACCTCAAAGGATGTCATCCGGCAGCCCATTTTCTTCCTTTTGGCTTTGTCATGGCTCATGTGAGGCGCACAGGCGAAGCTCTCATGAGTGGCTCTTTACTCGTAAAGTTTTTCCGAACCCCGAAAGGAAACGGCTGGTATAAGCTCCTCTTTGCATTCTATTTTCATGCCAACTGCGCACGAGTCCTCCTGTATTTGTACCACCTAGTTGCATCTCGTTGACAATTCGAGCAGTTTGTCCTCATACTGGGTGCATCTGACCGCTACACTCGTGAAAGCTGCATTCCAACACAGAAGCGTTCCGTCTTCTGCTCATAGCCGCGCTGGTGTCATACTAACTTTCAAACGTGCGAACTCTGGCATACCTGACCCTTCTGAACCCTAATCATTCGGTTAATCGTTCACGTTTTGAGGTCGAATGGCGGAATGTAGAGAGCAGCTTTGGGGTCGTGGTCTGGGTCTCAAGAAGTTCCACAAGACCAAATACGTTAAGTAGGTACCTCTCGGCGGTTTTAAAACTGTCATAGATCTACTTTGACACCGTGGGTGCCATTTCTAAGTATGATGTTGGATCGATGACTGAACCCAATGACTGAGTTACAACGTCGCGAATGGCTGAAATCTCTCTCACTCACCTCCACTACCGGGGGGAAGTACTTTACTCCTTGAGCTCAAGTGTACTGATTGCGAGGATCTGCAGCTTTTAATAAGCTCTTCAGCGTTGTCCCACTATCCTGGTACCTGCGACAAAAACGAGGCAGATCAAGTTCCTTTCATTCTTGACACGGGTAGGGTGTTCCAAAATGGTTCGCGGGAGGAACGGTCCGTGCCGGTAAAGATGCCGTGTATTCCGGATTTGGGACCGGGTGGACCGAAGGATCGGCGTGTCCTTTTCGGGACGACTTTGGATGGCTACCACCAACAACTTGTAGGTCGAGTCAATGGGTTCGCTCTTCAAAGAGATATTTTGCTGTTGTCGCCGGGGCTCACCTACTTTTGTGAGTGCGATATCCATGTCACGAAGTGCTAGGTTATTTACAGGATATTCAGGACGAACCGGATGAGCGGACGCACCTCATTCGCCCGACCGAGGATGTCCTTTCGTACGCATTACTTTACAGGTCCGGGATCCCTCATAAACGGTTCTGTTATTTTAGCACTACAGGTCCTATCGTCGACCATCAGAAACTCAGGGAGCGGCTTGGCACAATCGTTCGGTCCAAGGAGGGGTGCGTGTTACAAAGCTAATCTGCTCGTTTTGAAATGCCCAACTCGTCCTTATCATTCATGTGTCTGTCCTCGTTCCTTGGTGTACTTAGAAAGATGGTCAACGTGAACGCAATGCTTCCATTCAACCTCCATAACAGGGCGCTGCATGGTCAAGTCGAAGCTTCTTCCTCACGCTCTGCCAGAAGTCTCTCCGGTCAGCGAAGTCCTGCCCAGACAACCGTGGACCTTCCTGAGCCGCCTGACCCGTCTCTGAATTCACCGTACTCTCCGACCGGAGACAAGGACGACGTGCCCTCGTTGCAGACTAGTCGCTCCACGACTTCTCTCCATCCCGGAGATGCATCTTATCTTCCGCCGGATGCGGATCCCGAAAACGGCTACAAGCGACCGATATTGAATGCCCGGATAGTGAGAGGTGTGGGTGGATTCAGCGTAGGAGGACGTGTTGGGAGGAGTATGACCAGAGGCAGGACTGGCCGCTTTGGAGACGACAGGATACAACCGCTGACTCAGCGCACTGAGGATGGCACTTCCGTTGAAAACCCTCCCAATAATGCTGGCACACCAACATTGTCTAGCCCAGGTTCAGGAGACGATGAGAATGCTCCAGGCTCCCAGATTGCAACACCTAAAGCTCTTCATTTTAAAATCGCAGACCCTGCCAAGATATCCCGCAGTTGGGGGGATTGATGCGAACTGTTCCTTCCGCCATTCAAACCATTCAACGATCGCATGCATACGATGAACATACCTTGAACACTCCTCTCCAGTCTCTTCGTCGGTTCTTTCCTCATCGGTTTCTTCCTTCTGGCATACGATTGCTTCATCTCGGACCCATGGATCATCTCCTGTAGCCTTTAGCACATCATCTATTTTCCACTTACTTGGAAATATATATCCCCCACTTCATGCTAATGAATTTCAGTATATATAGCCTGCTCTGCATGAGATGCCGTAAGCTCAGACCTTGGAGATAAGATAACGCGTGGATCATTTCATCTTATCTTCTCCGTTCACTTGCTTTGAGGCTTTGACCACTCGGTAAACTCACCTCGTTCCTTTCGACCGTATGGCTTCCAGTGTGAGGCGTCCGCAAGCGGTATCCAGTCTCACACCTCATGCGAAACCCGTTATCTCGTTGGAGGAGTGGGAATCTAAGGCGCCGCTAAGCGAAATCGAGACACGAAGCGTGAACCTTGTAAAGGCGGCCAGTGAGCAGAGTACCCTCCCCTTGAAGGTGGGTCTAATAGTTCTAGTATAATTAGACATAAAACAAGAGTGTGGACTGATATATTGTCAAGTTCAGTGTAGATGATCCAAATAGCCCATCACGACCTTCATCCCCCGCCTTCCGCAACAAACTACATCCAATCTCCCGACCTTCAACGCCGAACTCATTAGGACCGCACCGAGCAACGACAAGCCATGCTCTTCATCCGAAACATCCCATTCAGACGCCTCAGCAATTCTATGACTGGTTTGCATTGATTGACCGCTCGGTCGCTCATAGTCAAGAAGGGCATTTCCGGGGACATTTGGCTAATGTTGCTGATCATTTGGAGATGTGTGACAGGTTGGTCGGTAGGATCGACGAAGTCGACTCAGAGTTAGAAAGTATGCTGCAAGGGTGGAAGAGTGTAGAGGACGGAGGGAAAAGCTTAAAGGATGCTTGTGAACAGTTACTTGAGGAACGGGTTCGTACGCGGTACCGTTCGCCGCATTCTACTGTCGCTGACTTGCAGGCATACAGGACAAATTGTTGCAGATGACTGAAGCTATTGGCGAGCGGTTGGAGTACTTCCAGGAATTGGAGCATGCAACTCGAATGCTTAACCATCCTGGCGAGTCCCTGGTTCTCCAAACCGATTTTTTGTACATGGTTGAACGTGTGGATATCTGTATCGACTACCTCAAGGCGCATGTAAGTCCCGAGTATTCTGGATAGTCACCCTTACTCATCTGCCTGCTGTCCTTGCCAGCGGCACTTCCGAGAAGCAGAGATATACCTTCTTCGATTCCAACAGTGTCTTACGCGGGCCATGACCTTGATCAAGATGTACTTCGTAGGCTCTCTCAGAGCTTTAACTGCCGACGTTTCGAAGCGGTTGTCAGAAAAGGTAAGAAGGTTCCGCTTGCGACAGCACATTAGAACCTCTAAAGCTTGTTCGTAAATAGGATGTGTCGTCAACGGCACAGGCGCACTTACTCTACACTCGTTTCATGACTGTCTCAAGTCAGCTAGCACCGCTTCTGGCAGAGTTGGAACGACGGGCAGCTGCACATCCGGAAGAGTTGTCGGCATTGCTTGCAGAATGTCATACAGCGTATTTCGCGGCGAGGAAAAGTCTCCTAGTGAGCCGGCTCGTTGAAGAGATCAAGGGTCTTGATCCTGTCCGGACAGAGTTGGTTGAATTGGTAAGCTACGTCTTATCTTTTCCTGGTTCATAGTAAGGTTGACATAATCGTGTCATAGACAAGAGCAGGGTGCAGTTATCTCAAACAGCTCTGCACAGACGAGTTCAACCTATTTCGTGCATTTTTCAACAGTGGAGAAGACCAGCTCTAGTGAGTGAATGCAGACCTCATGAAGTTTATAATTGCACTAACGTGATATTTTCTTAGTCAATACCTTGAAAACCTTTGCGACTACCTCTACGATGATCTTCGTCCCCGCATCCTCCATGAGCCCCGTCTGACAGCGCTCTGCGAAGTCTGTACGGTCCTTCAAGCCCTTATGGTCCTTGATGTCCCTTCCATTCCTGACAGCGCTTCTGAGTCGGAAGAGGAGGATGAACTCTCTGTTGACTTGGACCGTCCGGCAACAAGGGGTCTTCGGACATTGCACATTAGCCATCTGTTGCAAATGGTGCTGCAGGATGCCCAGACGAGGTTGTTCTTCAAAGCTCAATCAGTCATTCAGAGCGATATCAGGTATTATGTACCTAAAGCGGAAGATTTGGCGTATCCTGAGAAACTCGTTGGTGAGGCTTACTTCATGTACGAGTCGCACACGTCTTCGTACTAATCAAAATTGTTCGTAGCTGCCCGGAAACCTGTGTCTGGCTTCGAAATCAAGGAGAAAGAGAGCGTGAGTCAGCTGTTCCAGCTCAAGTCTCTCGATAAGCGGGATACGTGGTATCCAACTCTAGAGAAGACTGTATGGGTTCTCTCTCAGCTTCATGACTTCGTCAACGTACGTTCTTAGTCCTTCTCTAAACCTGATGCCCCTTGACAAAGCCTCTCACCTCCAGCCTGCCATATTTGACGACATCGCTCAAGAGGCTGTTAACCTATGTCGGCAATCCCTCGTGTCTGCGTCAGAAAACCTGAAGGCGAAGAATCCTCAGTCAAAGCTGGACGGTCAACTGTTTCTCGTACGACATCTCTTGATATTGAAGGAGATGACGTCAAACTTGGACTTCGCACAAAATGATACTAAACGAAAAGTAGATCTAACTGGGGTGACTGGTAAGTAGAATGTCAAGGTTCAAAGTCACATATTGCTCATGAAAGCTTGTAGATACCCTTGCCTCAATGCTTGGGAAGACGACTTCGCTATTACCGAATGCGCTATTTGCGTCTCTAGGCATGCCAAGAGATGAAAACTTAACCGATGTCAAACATGTAAAGCTTCATTCTATTTGCTTACTGGCCTTACATTTTGCTGATGTTCTTGCAGGGCATCGACCACGATCTCAAACAGGCGTGCGAGGACGTTATCACTTCATGTGCCGATACCGTCTGTAATCCCCTACGATTATGGTTAGACCGAGTGACTACATTCAGAGCGTTGTCAAAGCAGCCACTCGAGTCGCAAGAGTGGGCTAGTCCAAGTGCGGTACAAGACGTCCTCAAGTCCATGCAAGAAGCATGTCAGCGCGACCTGCGTGCGGCAGTCGCACGGCTGAGATTATACCTTGAAGACGACCGGACCGTAAACGTTCTATTGAAGCACGTTCAAGATCGGATCGTGGATGAGTATGCCGAGTTCCGACAGGTTATTGCGAAGGAGTATGGAGGCAGGTTGAACAACGAACTCTGGAGTGATGAAGGCTTGAGAATCGTCCTTCACGATGTATGCGAGCCTCATGATGTTCGCAATGGCGTTCCTGGCCCCTCGTGAGGTTGCTAGGACTGTTGTGTAGATGTGTTGCTACGGGGAGTTATTTATTCGTTGCCAGGGCATGGACTGTCGGCGTTGTGGTGTTTCTCTTGTTTTCCGTCCTATATAGTTTATAGCTTTGTTCCTTACTGCACGTAGGAAAATAGACCCGAGTGCTCCTGATTGCTTGTACTTTGATGAACATGAGCATCCCTGCATCCTGTCACGGTCACCACAGGCGACCATATCCTGATCAACACATGTCGATCATGTCACAGAATCGACATTTCAATGATTTCCAGCGAGTGCATTGCCAGCTACTGCAACCGTCGCCCTCGTTCAAATTGACTTCTCAGACGCAGATCTTTTCATTCAAAACTTGGAGTCCTTCCGATTACCGTTCGCTAACTGTGCAAAGAATCACGCCCGGAATTCTTCCTATTCGGTACCATTGATTTGTTTCACCGAAGCAAATTAGGTTGGCCTTGCTAGGAGGAGTGTCTGGTATGTGGCACTCAATTGAACAAAATGTACTCTATTCTTACCGTAAGTTAAATTTTGGTTAGATACCATTGCTGACGTCTTTGCTGCTCTGCGAGCATCATGCTGCAGTTCGCTACACAAACGGCAACCAAGAATAACCTCCCTCGACGGACACACAGTCTCTCAATAGCGGCGTCCAAAGCACCCATTTTTACTGAGATAGATGAGGAACTCCATGACATTAAGCGAGTGCACACACATGGACAAGAGGAGGACCTGCGAATGGGTCTGTCACGGACGATCTCCAGAGTCGAACAACTCGTACGCATGCCTCCTTTCGTCTCGGATCCTAACGCCAGTCATTCAAAATGATACCTAGTCCTCATTGCTCAAAGAAGCCTATAAAGTCCAAACAGACCTCCAGACAGAGTTGACACTTGCCAAGTCAAATCTACAACTTGCATTGGCGAATAACGAAATGCTTGAAGATGCACTCAATCGTGATGTGCCTGGGTCGTCCAAGGACGTTGGATGGCGTCGATGGGGTGCCAAGGAGCAAAGAGAACGGGAGGCGGAGGACAGCAGGCGTCAGAGCATGGATAGTACTCGGTCCATGGACGTCCCTTCACCAAGTATCTCCTCTCCTGTACCTTCATCCGATTCAAGGTTCTTCAGATTCCGATTCGGGAGTGCAGCTAGCGCAACCACAACGAGTTTCCCATCGTCCCCCCGCGTTTCAGGGAATGTATCACCGGTTGTAAATGGACACCCAGCGCACCTCACATCGGCTTCTCTTCCCTCACTAGTGCCTCAACGGGAGAAGGAGTTGGAGGAGCTCAATGCGGAGCTTGAGCGGGAGCGGAAGGCTTTGAAGGAGGCTACTGCTGCTAAGGAAGCTCTTGAGGCCGAGCTTGAGTCGCTTTCTCAGGCATTATTCGAGGAGGTAAGTGTTCATCTACCACATTGGATCTACGGGGGCTTTAAGACTCGATCCCTGATCGTTGTAGGCGAATAACATGGTTGCCACGGAACGCCGAAAGTTAGCAGAGACCGAAGACGAACTCAAAGAAGCCCAAGCAGAAAAGGAAGCGCTACGGAGTGCGCTACGACTTGTCGAGAGTCAGCGTGCAACTCCAACAGGGAGCGAATCAAGTTCTCCTCAAATTTCTTATTCCTTCTCACATCTGCGTAACATCTCTGCATCATCCGCGATCGCTATCAAGTCACCACCTTCAACATCTCCATTTGCATCTCCTGTTTCGTCGCAACTTTCACTCCCAGAACAGCCCTCTTCCGCTAGGACCATCGTTCCCAGCCCCACTCCCAGTTCGGAGCAAAGAACACCGTCTGTTGAAGATAAGAGGGACCTTCCTAAGGTAGACGAAGATGGCGAGAACCCGAATCTAGAATCACCCCCATCTCCATCGCCGCACAGCTCCCCAGGACCGTCCGCACCTACGCTAGCGATACGTCCAGTCACCTTCTATGATGAAGGTGCGTCGCCTTGGGCTGACGTCCGGTCCGCAACCAACACACCTCGTCTGGAAGCAGCAGAGGTATAGGCTTACCCTAGGTTTGTCTGGAATGATTCTCGTCGACTTCTCTCATCTATCGTCGCACACTCATCGTCCCGGCTGGTCCGTAGAAACGCATAACTCATTTTTCACCCCAGGTTTTCTTGTTTTCACAGTTGTGGCATAGGCATAATTATATACAATCTTCATATGGATATGAATTTATCGTGACACTCCAGGACCCAATCATAGACCTTTTCCCGTGTACTTCAAAGTAGGCTTCCGCATACGGAAGAAATCAAAACGATGAACAAAACCAATTCATTCACCGGCACATTCTTGGACAGGAGATGCAAATGGATTATAAGCAACACTACAAGCTGAAAGGTTGAAATTTATATGGGTACAAAAAAGATAACAACTAAGAAATAATGAAGAGAGCAGCATGACTCAAAATTCGAGTAACCCGCCAAGAAATGAACAACACCTTCGAGCAGCTCCCCGTGAGGTACACTGAAGACTAGAAAGAACAACAAAGATCATTGGCACTGTGCTCAAAGCGATACTTCAGTGAAAAATTAAGAGAAACCGGAGGGACATAACATTTTCACTTCACTACATGGACATCTATGTCCATCGCTATCACAGCCTACTGTGTATGCTGTCGTCAGAACAGAAGGAACGGTTCCTTGTAATGATTGCAAACATACAGACTGACGTGGGACTTCAAAGCATCATGCTTCAGACATTGTAACATCTGCAAGCACACTCTCGTCCGCCGTGCCATCTGCGTCTGCAGGAGCATCGGCGTCGGCCGGAGCGTCCGTAGAACCATCAGCGTCGCCCTTGGCATCCACGTCGACGTCCATCGATGAGGATTCAGCAGCGAGAGGCTTAGTCTCTGCAGGTTCTGCCTCAGTCGTGGTGGCCTCAACCTCAATTGTCGCTGTAGGAGCAGGCTCTCCTGCCTTGAGCTCAGATTCCTCTTTGGTGCCGTTAGATAGGGATGTATCGGCGGTATCGGCCTTTTCTGCGGTCCCGTTGGCAGCCGGTTTGGCGAAATCTCCACCAGTAGGAGTAGAAGTTGCATCCTTACTGCCTCCATTGCCGTTCGTGGTAGCGGGAGGCTTGTTAGCATTTAAGACATCATGCCATTTGTCAACCAAGGCCTTGGCTCGCTCCTTGAAGTGGAACTCGTCGTCGCGGGGGACTTTGTCTGCGGGTAGAACGAATATATGACGCATGACCTTGCCGATTTTTGAGAACTAGAAGCACAAGAACGGCGGATGAGTGACATTTCGGCATGCGATTACCAAAGGAGGCGCGAGCAGCATCATGTGTATTCGTCGTGGGCAGGCACAGGCCTCCCGCACGGGAACCAATGACAGCGCGCCAACGAACAGTGCAGGGGGACGTCGAGACTCACTGAGAGGTAGTTGATGTTCATGTTCTCGTAGTTTTCCACTGTCGTGAACAGTTCTGCAAGCTGCGGCATGTCCTATATGTGACAAAATGAGCGAGAAAGTGGAAATATGAGATATATACGGCAACTGACCTCTTCCTTTGGAATCGTCTTGCTGAGGAATGCTTTCTGGAGTGTATGTCTCCACTCCCTGACCTTCTTGGCTTCGGGATCCTTGCTCAACGCTGTGATTTGGCCACGATAAGGACAAAATTGAGTGCAAACGTCAGTAAGGTGTTCGCGATAGCGAAATCAAAGCCAAGTACGAAAGTCACGATACTCACGATCGTTTTCGTCCTCATCCTTTTCCTTCTTTGCTTTCTTTGTCGGCGGTGGGGACGCTTTTTGGCTGGGACCAGCGTCCTCATCCTCCCCCTCGCCCGCCGCTTCGTCCTCCGACTCGATCATCGCCTTGGACTTAACACCATTCTTCTTGCCCTTGCCAGCAGCAGCCTTTTTCTTCGAAACAGCGGATTCAATCGACTCCTTCTTGGGCTTCGCTTTGGGCTTCTTTGGCGCGACCTCAGACTCACGCTTTCGCTTCTTTGTTTTCGTCTTCTTTTCGTCTTCATCTTCTTCTGCCTCTTCCTCGCCGTCACTCGCCAACTGGTCCACCTCTTCGTTGGCTTCCACTTCGGCGGCTTCTGCACGAGCGGCTTCACGCTCTTCCTCCCACTTTGTAGGGTCCTGGGCAATCCTATAACCTTCAAGGAGGTCACCATTACGCTTGAAGGGCTCCGCGATATATGCTTGGATCTCGTGTTGTTGTAATCGGGAGATATCTTTTGACACTAGCCACGCACTGATAAGCGTGCGACGGCGAGATCATCAGCGTGCGTTGCTTAACATGAAAGGAGTAGACTCGACGTACTAGTCACCAGCAGGGAAGAATCTGACGCAATACCAGAGACCCTTTTTACCCTTGCCAGTGGGCCGTTCCTTTACAACGTTCTTAGGAACACTGTCTGGGTCGACGACCTATAACATTACGCGTCAAGTACATTAACATATATACGCCCAAGCAATGTCCCTCCGACGCGTATATGTAGAAGCAACTCACCATACCAGGCCAAGGAGGGTATCCGCGTACCTTCGCGAGCACGACATCGCGAAGTTCGTACTGCACGGGCTCCTTATGGCCCTGAGATGCTTTTCCTCCCTTCTTGCTCATAGTAAAGCGCGTTTAAGCAACAAATAAGTGTGCAGAGGAAATTTCAATGTGCAAGCGATCAAGCACACTGTACACCCTGTGGTGGTAAACAGTAAAGGTTCGACGCGCCCGGCAGTATCCGTCCAAACTTAGCATTTCCGGCGCCTCCATGGAGGCCCGTGCGTTCAAGTCCTACTCTCAGAGTTTCTTAGATGGAAGGCATAAATTTATTTGTCTATCCAAAACATGAACAGGAGGTGGTACGTGACATGGAGAACGTGAAGGAACCAAAGCGAGATTATTTCTGTGTCCGACGAGCATGCCGAGGCCAAGGTGGAAAGCGTGACGTTGCCAGCAGATGAATCGTTGGAGAATACAGTTGAATATCGCGGCAACACAGCCGAAGAAAGCGTAGGAAAAATTGGACATGCCCACGCATGGATAGAATTAAGCCAACGTCCATGAATAAGGATCCTGGACGAAACTTCCAGATAGGCCGCTAGCATTGTGGAGGCTAGAGAAGGACTGCCGAGGGATGCCTGCAGTGAGACGGTGCTACCGCTAGTATATTGTGGAGATGTCGCAGTCGAGGTCCTATCGCCGACGGCCCACTTTCACCAACGACAAGGTCGATCAGGACTCGCATATTCAAGCAACGGAAGCTCGTAGTCAAGTGTATCGCCTAGAAATGACACCGCTCATCAGCACATAAGAACGTCATTTATGAGAACTCACTCAGAGGAGACAAAGACCCTCTCTCGATTACTAACAACGGCCCAGGATCATTCAGCGGTTAAGAAGGCCCCAACGATAACGATAAGTCAAACCATTGAATGACAGCAAGCTACCAAGCGTGGGTGGTGAGACAGGCTCACAAGCCTGAGAGCAGTCCAAGATATAACCAAGGTCACTGGTTGTCTAGGACTTGTTGGCCAAGATCTGAAGGAAGAGGTACAGCGCAAGGCATGGAGCTGAGAGATGAAGGGAAATGCACACTTCAAACTTGGTATCTTCCAGCGTATTCCGACCTGGAGGACTCAAGGGCCAAATTCGGCAATGCGAGGATCCAGATGGTGTATATTGTCATCACCATGCAAACACCGTGATAGGTACTACCTTTGACAGCCAGATCTAAACCAAGGGCCACCAGATGGATCACGTCTGCCTTATCTGCCCGAAAGGTAAAACAATGAGTTGCATGTCAGGATATGAAGAGATACACGTAACGATCCTTCTCTACTAGCCACAGTGAGAACACCAGACAGTCGAGGCACCAAGTTCATAGTCTTAGAATCCATGTCCACGAGCAAAGAAAAGGAACTCTCGAAGGCTCAGCACAAGTAGTCTTGGAGCTGTTGAGCGAATGAAGTAACGAACCTGGCTATGCACAGTGCCGATCGTAGTTCACAAAACAACACACGACCTCCTGCACAAAGGTGGGTATGAGTCACCGGTCGTGCTACCCGGAAGTTAAATGGAAATACTAGAACTTGGATGTTCGAATGAGGTGAGTATTGCAAGAGCCTTGGTAAATTGCTTACGCGAATGGCTGAATTGTATAGTATAAGCATTGAAGTCCTGCAACTTCGAGTCTCGTTGGATCTGAGGCCTGAGGCCTGAAGCTGGAAGCTTGAAATTGCAGTAGCGAAACTCAATTTGGACTCTAACGGCTCACTCTAAAGGCCTGAAAACGAAGAGAGCGCACCGCTACTGATCTTGCAGCCGGAAAAATTGAAAATACGTCTGTCTGGTCGGGGTTAGGTGCACAGAGATGACCCTTGTTCTGCATCGTTTCTCGTCCATTCTGAATGGGAAAAAGACCAATGTAATAGTCTTAATGAGCCCTTTCAGACGTGCACATTGTTGCCTGAAGGTATCGAGAATGCCAGAGCGACTTCAACTCGAGGGATGATCCCATGCGACCGACATTGATGGCGGTGCTTCGGCAGTCATCGGCATCCACGCCAGCATATGTTCGTCAGTGTTTAGAGTGAGCTGTTAGAGTCCAAATTGAGTTTCGCTAGTGGTCAGTTCAACACAAGCTTGTGGCGGCCACAAGCCTAAAGTAAGTACCGTAGTGCTGCTGACTAAGCATTCAAATCCGGCTCTCCCTCTTCCTAGAACAGTCCTCATTCTCCAGCTTGACGTCTGCGATGAACTTCGGCCTTACGCTCCCCCATTTACCTTCTACAATCTGTTCACTGGAGGCGCATAGCAAATGTCAAACAACTCTTGATTTTACTTACCAAGATCGTTTGCTATAGATCATTTGAAGCATTGACCTATTTATAGGTGCGGATCATACTCGCGAGGATATTGAGACCTGAAAGTTTCTTGTGCTCGGACGTGTCCTACTATTGTCTTCTTCCCTTGGAAGCACTAAGCAAAGAAACTCGGATAATTGTCCTTGCTTTCAACATGGGCGTAAGTTCCATACATCATTTCGTCTTGTTCGTTAAATAACATTACCCGAATGTAGCTCGCTAATGGATATCTGTACACCTGCGAGATCATTTTCCTACGGGCGACAAACGTACCAGTTAGTGACTTGAATAATCTCTCCAGCGATCCGTACATTCGGGCAATGATCTCCGCGGAATATGGGTCGTCGATTGAGGACGAGGTCCCACAATCTATCACATATCGCACGCACACGGAGCGACGCACTCTGAATCCAACCTTCAACGACAAATGGATTTTTTCTGGCATTCCTATCTCGGGTTTTACGCTCACCATGCGGTTGAACGACGAGGATCCAGGGAACCGTGATGACCATTTAGGAAGGGCGGTGGTACGCCTTCCGCCGGAAGGCTCAGAGCTAACGGAGGGGTGGTCATCTGGTGATATGGAGTGCAAGATCCACAAACGTAAGGATAGCGTGAAGAGCAGGATAACTACTTTCGTGGCGAAGATAGCCACGCGAGGCGAAGTCGAGCATAGATGTCGAGTCTGGATAAGCGTCAAGGTACTCGGTCGGGCTCAAAACCAGGGCGACAATCGCTTATACACAGTCGGACCTCGTAAGTACCTTCTATTGCGGAGTACATTTTAGCTCTGACCAAATGCATCAAGATCGATACTTCCAGCATTTCTCACCTCTGCTCGGTAGTTTCTTAGGCTCAACAAAAGCGCCAGCAGTCGACATTGCCAACCCCTCACTCAAAGCCTCCACATTTATAGCGAACCGAATTCAGCTCACTGGCCCTGTTCCAGCTAGTCTGAGACACCGCTATGTGGGATTTGCGCCTTTCGTCAAGGCAATGTTCAAGAAAGAAGGGATCAAGGGACTGTTGCTACACCGTGCTCTGCACAAGCAGCATTGCTCTATATACAAATGGGATAAGAATGTTGTTTGGGGAGTTGTAGAAGGGATTAATGAGAAACAGGACGAAAAGCATGAAGTGAATGGGAAAACCACTGGAGACGCTGAATATACTAGTGAAGACAAAGGTGACCATACCACTGACCATCTGAAGGAAGAGTCTGTTGCATTCGCGCGTCAATTCCTGCGAATGACTTCGCATGGAACCCATGGAAGAATATTCACGTATGCGATCATGCTCGACGGAGAATGGAGGTTTACGGTGCGTGTTCAGCCCCTTGTGTGCATCCTATTAGGTCTACGCGTGCTGAACATCATCACGATACTCACGGTAGGAAACAGGCAAACAGTTTTCCATTGGGCTTCTCAGCAAACATACCATGCATACAGACGTTGCCCTCGAGATTGCATATAGTGGCGAGTTTTTCGTCCGCCTTCTTCACCCTCACTCATCAGAAGGCTCGGACGACTCGCCACCTGATGATCCATCGTTTTACGAACTAGTCATTGACAACGACTCAGGGACCTACCGTCCATCTAAGGACCTTCTACCAGTCTTACAATCCTACCTTTCATCCCCATCAAACCTGGGAGCGTTGGGCAAGATCACAGCTTTGGACGGATTCGATGAGAAGTTGAAGAGATGGAAAGAAAAAAGGGCTGAGATAAAGGCCCTGGGAACGGGGAAGGGCAGGGCCATACAGGCGAGCTTGTCGAGCTCGAGTTCTAGTTCTAGTGACAGTTCTAGTTCCGTTAGTGTCGATGGAGTTGAGGGTGGGCGGAAAGTGAAAGAATCGGAGCTCAGAGCTGCTCTGGAAGAAGATGCTAATCGAGCCAGGGATAACCAAGATGAGGATCAGGTTGCAAAGGAAGAGGAGAGCGTTAGAGATGATGAGGGAAACGGAGGAGAGGCTGACAAGGAAAACAGCAAGTGATTCAGTGTCACCCATTGGATATGATATTTTTGTCTTGCTCTGTGAGTCTTTCATACTGCAATGGGATGCTCACTGATGTCTTCCCAGATATTATTGGTATCCTATTCGTGGACGTTGAATCTTTCCATGCAGTCTACAGTGTATTATTGACAGAGCGGTTAACCCATGCCGACGCGCACCTAGGTGCAATCCATGGACTTACGTCTGAGGAGCGGTGTTCTCATAGCTTTTGCCAAGACCCACTGCATCCTCATGCTATTTCTGCGCGTGTCCTTCAGGAGTTGCGAACATTGCAAATTCGCGCTATGTAAGTCCCATTTCGTGCTTCTGGGTCATCTTTGGAGCAGAATTTGCAAGAGAGTATCGCCGAAGGGTTCTTTCACAGGTCTCCCTCGTATTCTGGTCATTGTCTGTTGAGGATTCACCGGACGGACCGCTATAATGAAGACAACTACGCGGTCTGTCGGACATGTCTTCCATGCGATTTCTAGCTGCTGCCAACTCTTGTGACCCAAGACCATGTTCTGAATGAATCACCTGGCACACTACGTGCCGTCCACCTTCGACTCCCGAAGCACCTCATACCATCTCTATGCGTTGCACATTTGGCAAGAAGGTTGCCTGCGCTACCGGTATTTTGCCTTTCAATTGAGTCTTTACTTATGTGGAAGACTGTTACATCCGCGTAGCTTGGTTGGAACTTTGCTTCACGCGGTTCCGAAGCGTTTCTGAACAAGAAGCAGTAGTATTTTACGTCCTCCTTGACATGACCTTCGTGCTATACACGGCTTCGATGTCATCCCTTCAGCGGGCCGTTCAATTCATTCAATTCCGTTGAAAGCTTCAAGCTGGATACACAAGCCTATTCAGCTCCCTGCTCGTGATGAACGTTTCCGACACGGAACCGCTGCCACTTGTCCTGCCTGCTCAAAATAGGCATGTATCGTCTTAGATATGCATGGAAGCTCTCTTGTTTCATCAGTGATTCGCCAACCATAGTCTAATTTGAGCCTTCGTTTGACATAGTGTCCAGATGAGAAGCCACCTCAAGCCATTCAATTTGTATTGATGTTCTTCTCCAGGTAGTCACGGTGGGCAAAAGATTCGTCCGAAGAAAAGCCTCTTTTAAGGGTGCAAAACTGAAGGCGGTCCGGCCATTGATTTTCATCTTCAAGTTCATGAGGTTGCGGGCTTGAAGGAGGTTTATAAGGCTTGAGGATGTAGCTGGAGTCGTCAGTCCGAAGCATTGGAAACAGACTTCGCTTTCATTGTCAATTTCGAAATATGTGGGCTCGTATCTTCACCGCCGCTTTGCTTCTTACTTCCGTCTTCTCTTTCATCATTGACAAGCGTGCTGCGCCTGGTGAGTGCTTGTGTTGTAGATTGTGTATCACTGTTCTAATACCAAAGCATCTAGTCGACCAATTGGTCGGCTTCGCCACCCTCAACGGTAGTACTACTGGCGGCACCGGCGGTCCCACTACCACGTAAATTAATGATTCCGGTTCCGTTCACGAGAACGCACCTAAACTGCTTACAGTGTCACCTCCTTGGCAGCTTTGCGCTCTGCAGTTTCTGGGACTTCTCCCAAGATCGTTCAGGTTTCTGGCATCATCACCGGAGGTGAGCATCATGTGATGAAATATAGTCCGACTACGGCACTAACTCCTGTTTAATGCAGACGGTGAAGTCGTTGATGTTGGTAGCCAGTAGGTGTTGACACGCTGTTCACTTGGTCTACCACCTCTCACATTTTACTCTCAGCACTACTGTCATTGGTGTTGGCAGCAACTCTGGTCTGACTGGAGGAGGATTTCGGGTCAAAGTTCGTGATTCCACGGCAGTCTGCATAGCAGTGCATTTAGGTGTTGACCCCTTGCTTCACACACAGAAAGGCACCAACGTCATATTCCGTAACCTTCGTCTATCCAAGTCCCCTGCGCCGACCGACCTCATTGAGCTTCAGACCTCGACCAATATCTGGGTTGATGTAAGTGGTTATAATCTACATCTCCAATCTTGCTGAAGTGAGCGTGCCGTAGCACAACACAGTGGGTAATTTAGCAGCGTGCCTGCTTTGACCTTGATCACAATCTCGCCTGTTTAGTTCTCTTCGGATCTTGACCATGACAAAGACTTCTACGATGGCCAGCTGGATATGAACCATGGAACTGAGTAGGTGTGAAACCGAGTCCTATAGCATTATATCACTGAATGATGCCCAGTTTCGTCACCGTCTCCTGGAACATCTTCACCGAACATTTTAAGACTTCGCTCGTGGGAGGCTCCGATAATACTGGAGACGAGGACAGCGGCCACTTGAGGTGTGTATGAATAACACTATTGCCCTGCCCCACTAATCATATGCCCTAGGATCACTTACCAGTAGGACTTGCATATTTACTTTGCATCCAAACTGCTGATCATATACTCCCAGCCACAATCTGTTCCAGAACGTTAATTCGCGAACTCCTTCCCTCAGATTTGGCACAGCGTAAGCAAAATGTTCGGCTTCAGAACGGACAATGCTCATCCTGTACGTGGCAGTCACATCTTCTCCAACTACTTCAACAGTGTCTTCGATTCTGGTGTCGATTCTCGTGACGGGGCTCAAACGTTGGTCGAGAACAACGTCTTCAACAGCGTCAAGAAGCCCATTGAGACGACTTTGAACGGAGGCTTGTGAGTGGTACTGATATAACCAGGCATAGTCTTGTCCATTCACGATGTTCCATAGCTCCAACCAGCGAGACAACATCTTCACTAACAGCACTCTTGACCCCGACCTCGCTGTTGGCACCTTGACCAGCGTCCCGTACAGTTTCACGTGAGTTCTTGGTGTTTGTGTGCTATTTCAGCTTTCTCAATATCTTTCATGCGTCCAGCCAAGATGCCGCCAACACTGTTGTGTCAATTGTGAATGCCAACGCTGGAGCAGGCAAGGTGACCACCTTGCCGTAAGCACGGACGTCACGATAAACACTGGTCTGTCTTCAGACCAGAAACTCCTGTATAAACATGTTTGAAGTTGTGTCAAGAAATGCAAGTGTATACGTGTGGAATTGAGTGAATAGGTATCGAGGGTATAAATCCTGAAGTCTGCAATATGGTCCGTCTAAAATCATGCCGCTGACTGGTCTTCGTCTATGAACAAAGCTTCAAAAGCTTCTCTGCTTCCTCCTATAACGCCGAAAGCTTCCTGTAGAGTTTGACCCAAATAGTCGAGTTCATGATTCACACCCCTCATGGTTATGGCGTAGGCAAAGAACAGAAGGTGTCTTGAGCCTTTGACACTACGGTTCTTGATAACGTCAAGCTGTCTTATAGCGTCGACCTGGGGTCTTCTGTTTAGTTAATGCTGAGCCTTCGTCAAGACAGGGACTCACCAGGCGCTGACGTGATTCCTCCGCGGGTGGAAGGTATGGTGGAAGGGGAGACTTCAATCTGAACGCAGCCGCGAGCGTTGAGAAATACAGAATGACATTCCCGACCATATCCCGTCGCTGCCTGTTTACGGGTATGATAAAGTCCTTCCGCACAGTCTATGCGCAGCAACGTGAGGTGAGTTGAACTCGACGATGGAAACTAGTGGAATATCATACCGTATGCCTGCGAATAGGTTAGTTACCGAAAGATCGATATTGCAAGCTCGCTCACCATTCTTCCCGAGATGTAACACATCTCATACTGTGCAACTTATCAAGAATTGTCTGCAGACTTGTCAGGATGGAGCGGTACAACTTGACCGGGAATGGCCCTTTCAATCGTGGTTCATGCTGGGTCTGAGAAAGCAAGCCTTGCAGTTCAATTAGCTTGATCTGCAGGTGCAGTTCCCTTGTGAAACAGACGTAAATAATAGTATGCCAGCAAGGATTGCAGCGTGCCTCACATCGCCATGAAGTTAACAATCGATTCATTGAGATGCCTGTTTGTGGAACGGGTGAGTAGGGAAGTCTCCTCAGTAGGAGTTTCATCCTCTTCGATCCGAGGAAATCCGGATTCGTTATCAAACGAATTGAATGCGACCAAACGAGTATACAGCCATCCCATATTCAGACAAAAGCTTGACAAACGTGTCAAAGATCAAACGAGAGTCACATAGGCCAAAGAACTCACTCTCCAAGAGCCTTGCTCAGTTCCCTTCGTGCTTCGGTCGGCCACCAATAACGCGATACAATTGAAGCCCAAATCACGCCAACAGTGACGGCCACGAAGCGATGATAAGCAACCTCAATCACAGACACATCTTTCTGCCGGACGTTGTAGCTTTGTACGAAAGTCAACAAACGGAAAGGTGTATGCAACTCGATGCTTACCAGTATAAACATGTCAGGTTGTAAGTTAACAGGACGAATCGTGCAGAGGTCGCATATTGTGGGGTGGAGACGATGTAGTAGAAGCAAGGAATTGAATAGAAGAATCCGAAAGCGCACAGCGCGTAAGGATTCTCAGGGAAAAGAGTCCAGATGAAAGCTGCTGTCACCGCGCCTAGACTAAAGGGTTGTCAGTTACTGCTCTTGGAACGAATACACGCAATCTTACAAGGTGCCTAAGACTCGATGAACAGCAAGGAAGTTTGTCTGAACGCGGACGTGAGTTCAGATCATGCTGGAAGATGCAAATAAGATACTCACGCCTCCGATGGTCGGTGACATCACGACGAAGAACTATTGTAGTCAATACGTGGATCGGGAACTCAAAAAATGCACTTACGGAAATGAGAGCCCACTCGCCTCGATACTCGGTAAAAATAGGCCGCGTAGAGTCGAAGAAAGCTGGAGCAGCGAGTACCGCTAGAGCCATTCCAGTTTTGAAGGCATATCTCATGTCTGGTTCTTTGAGTCTGTCACCTAGAGCCCAAAGTGATTGCTTGAATCTGCCCCAATATGACAGGTCCTCTCGAGCGGGCGTTAGTATTGTATTTGGGGCATGTGGCTTGACCTTCGGGAACGACACGGTGTTGGCCCTGGATTCGGGTGCAAACATTGTTGCTATGAAATTTCAGTGAAGTGGGCACACATTAACGAGGGGAATAACTTACATAGACGTCTCCTGAGCAACCCTTTCTCCAGACGTGGCCGAGACCCAGAAGAACGGGTCTTTGTAACAAGCTTGTTGCACACGAGGGTAATGGGTCGAATCAAAGATGCCCACCAGCTCCGCTGTTCTGCTTCGGCGCGTTGGATGCTACAAATCCGCCCCATTGCATCGACAAGTGAAACGAGTTCCTTCGCAAACTCTTGCAAAGTGAAGATGAAGCTGAACGAAGTTAATTTAGATGATGCCACGCCAGAGGCGACGAAGGGCCGACTCACAAGTACACCAGGAAGATGTTTTCGGAGTCACTCCCATCAGTGTCTGTTAACGAGCTGACTACAGACATTCTAGAGGATGCGGTACCGGCTGTGCCTCCGGTGCCTTTACGATACAAACGCAGTATAGCGTGATTCGAAGTACTTTCGAATTGGAACAGCGCGCGATCTATAGACTCAGCAAGGTCATTGAACTCCTCTGGTCCAATGGCTTCCCGCTTGCCAACTTGGTGAGGCTCGACGAAGGCCTCTCGTAGTCGCTTCAAAGTCGAAGAACAGGTTGACTGCAACACAAGTCGGGATCAGTTAATGACAAGGGGTTTCTGGCTGACGAAACAAAACGCACTGATAAGGATTTGAGTGGCGAATCGAGATCTTCGAGTAGGTCTCCGAACGTGTCTGCCGCAGCCTGTAATACCAGATCCTCTTCTGTCTGTGAAGCTGCTGAACCCTGGCCATCATGGTTGACACTCTTTCCTCTCGAATTGGTACCTGACAAATTTGCGGTGAGAGAATTCGACAGCCGATTGATAGAGCGGTTCTTGAGTACGAGTTTGCCGTTCTTGTTCGCCTGAATTAGCTCAAATTGCAGACTTGTGCCGCTTCGTAAGCCGTTCAAGTGCTGACCGAGCCTATTCAAGCTGTCCACGGCATCCTCGTACGCCTGACCTAAGTTTGTCGGCGAGCGAACGGCAGGCGGCTTCCCTGGCCCGCCAAACCAGCGTTCAGACTGAGCTTCAGCAAGGTTCTTCTTCAGCGCCGTGAAACTGGCTTGGTGACTTTCTATAGCTTTCTGTATTTTTTCTTGGCTCGGTTGAAAAACCTGCTGCTCCTCGAGTAAGAACGTCTGGATTATCATTGTCAACAATGTTGAGAACGAATCCAGAGTCTTTGTCATAGTGCCTTGAAGGTTTCGAGTGGCGTGTTGGGGCCAAAGTGTGTAGCAGACTACGTTGGATATGATTGAACCGACCACAACGATGAAAGCAACCTGAAGGAGAGTCTCCACACCGCCTTCTCTCACAACGCTGAATCACCTTATCAATGAAAGAATAGGAAGGTATGTTCGAGCAACGTACACAACGAATAGGATGATCGCAGTCATACTGCAAGCTGTAAAACGCTGTTAGCACCCAGCCGCTGAAGTTCATGTTCAAGAGTCTTACCTGTGTTGAATGTCGGTTTAGCCATCCATACCTTCATCCAAGCAACGAGCGACATTCCAATACCGATCCAGATGACGACCAGGGAGTCGGCAAGCCATTCCCAGCCAGCTCGGACTTCAAAAAACCAGAACATCCCCATGCTGCTTAACGAAACAAAGGTAGCATATAGCAGGCCCATGAGGCAGAACGTGTCTGCATCCATCATGCCTCCAACGGTTTTGGCTGGGTTGAAGTAGACGGCACTAAATGAAACAATAGCAAGACATTAATTACAAGAGATTAACCGAGACGAACGCTTACACAGTTGCGACCATATGGCCGGAAGGTGAAGGCTCTGACTCGCCCGGCCCATAACTAGTGACGTCGGCAATAAAGCCTGATAGATAGGGCGAGAAGGTAAAAAGACTGCCAATAAAATAGGCAATGGAGCATTTCAAGATATTTCGTTGCAGAGGCGTCAACTGGGGAAGAGAGGGCAAAGACCATCGGGAACGCTGTTCTGACGGCACCTGTGGAGGACGCTCTTCGTCTGTATCCGAATCCGTCCGTAAATCGTCTGCTTGAAAGGGCTCAGAGACTGTCTCCACAGTTGCAAAAACTGGTTGGCTCTCAGGAACAGCGAGCTCGTTCTCAAGGATAACGTCTGCAAAAGAAGGTGATTGAGCTGTCTCCTGCGGTGTAGGTAAAGGCGTCGTAGAAGGTGATCGTGTGGACCCATCGCGGCGGCCTAGCGTACCCCGGTTCAAAGATGGGACTTGCAAATGTCTTTCTCCCGACATGAGCTCCCCAAACACCGACCATTCACGTTCCTTTGGACGGTCCTGACGACGAAGTACACTGCGAGTGACTTCCTTAAAAGATGAAGATATTGGTAATCGTGACGGAGCGACGTGCGGAGAGGAGACGCTTCGGGAATAACTGGGTCTGGATTGGAAAGCATCCTGACTATCCGACAGCGACGGTGAATGTGTAAGTTGTGGAATTGAATGGTGAAATCCTAGATCGGGCATCTGCTCTGGCGATCCAACGATGTCATGTATACTGCCATACTGGGCTTGCTCACGACCATGATCTGGGATATTCATTGAAGGCGTTGCTGCTCTATCGTCCATCTGTGTATTCGACGAAGCCATGGCCAGAGTGGGGTGTTTGATATCGACACGGTAAGGCTCCAATGCAGGCTTTGTAACAAGTGTTGTTTCTCACTCTTCGAGCGCAAAGGGGTGTAACAGAGGATAAGAACTTCCGTGATTAGTTTAAATCATGTGCTTACTGGGTTATATTGCAACTGAGATATCCTCGTGCACAGTGCACAGTCGTCCTGGAAAGTGTACTTCAGTAGAACTGCCGGGTATGAAGCGGATGTCTGTCTGATGTTTATGCTGTAGTGCGTCGGAGTAGGGCCAACATATTAATCTTCCCAGGCGTGAACGAGTTTAGGATACAATGGCAATGAGTTCCACTTGCAAATATCAATGGAAGAAGAAACATTCAACGAGTTCAAGGAATCGAAGATATTGACAAAGTATATCAATCAAATAATTTAAAGAGGCGAAAATTCTAAGGGCACTTGGCGCAGTGGTAGCGCGCCTGCTTTGCATTTATGTGCTTGCATGAGGTCGAGGGTTCGACCCCCTCAGTGTCCATTTTCCTGCTCCTCAATGAGGCAATTGAAGTCAGTTCGCATAGGGAGGCTTTGGGCCTCTCTTTTGTTGGCTTTTTGAGAAGGCGAGGTGAATGCAGCATGTCAGTGGTCATGGATAAGTGATCGGTCAATCGTGATCGAGACTGATCGATGGATTCGAGACGCCGATGCTTATGTATTGGATGCTCTTAAGTAGTAACTTACAGTACTGCTGACAACTCACAACCATGGCGGAACAAGGGCTAAGACGGAAGATTGCCATCGAGTATGTTCTGTTTGACATGGACGGTAAGCTATCAGGGTATCGACTATTCTACCTTTTTCTGACTTGCCAACGATTAGGTCTTTTGATCGACTCGGAAACAATTTATACCCACGTAACAAGTATTTTTTGTGTGCCTCATGTTCTTTCCATTCATGTAATCTTTTTTATCTCCAGATGATATCCTAGCCGAGTATGGAAAGGAGATGACATGGGATATGAAAGCGGGTCTCATGGGTAAACGTACGCTGATCAGCTTTCGAATCATTGTCTCAACCCTTCTCAAAGCCCTTCTTGAATAGCTGAACGTGATGCAGCGGCTCATCTGCTCTCGTTCTTCCCTGATATACCTCCAGAATTCACCATCGACGAATATATCAGGCGACGTCGTATAGGCCAAGATGCATTCTGGCCATTCGTCCAACCCCTCCCCGGTGCGCTAAGACTTGTCAAACACCTATACCAGCACAAGATTCCGATTGCAGTTGCTACTTCATCTCAACGCCGAAATTACGAGCTCAAGAGCCAACATCTCATGGAGACGCTCTTTGGGCACTTTGGAGGCAGAGTTGTCTGTGCCGATGATGGACTGATCAAAGCGGGCAGAGGAAAACCGCATCCAGATATTTTTTTGGTGACGGCGAGGACTTGTCTTGAACGGGACGTCGGGGAGGGAGAGATTGGAGAATATGTTGTCACAGAGACGCAACTCGCCGAGAGGGCAAGGGGCCTTATTTTTGAGGATGCGATTCCTGGAGTTCAGGCTGGCAAGAACGCTGGAATGCAGGGTACGTCTCCCTTCGCTTGATTATTCACGATGTTGACAACAGGCCAATTAGTCGTATGGGTTCCGGACCCAAACCTGCTGGAAGTCGGAGACAATGAGAACACGATACTTCAAAAGCCTGACCAAATCCTGAAGTCTCTGGAAGACTTCAATCCGGAAGAATGGGGTCTGCCTCCATATGACGACGAGTCATAAAGCAAGCATAGGATACAAGTATAACTGTACAGATACGATATCCGAGTATCGTCCGTCGATACGTCTACGGTATAACCCACAATCCAGAGATATCAACGAACTGCGTAATACAGTCCCTCGACTGCGACATTTGCTTGCCAGATACCAAGTCGTCTGACGATACGTAAAATAGCTGGGAAAGGGAATATGAGAACGAAAGAAACAGGAACTAGGATGATGACCATGAGCGAGAGAAGGAGAGTGATTCCGGGCTTGATGACGAGGAAGTAGAATAATGCTTGGTATGATGTAGGATCAGTGAACTGCAGCAGGGAATGATTCAGCCGGATTCATAACTTTGATTGAGATATGTCTTACCATAGAATAGGCGTTCCGGTAGAAGGAATGCTCATATGTGGTTCCAATTCCTGCTTCGACTTCAGCAGGTGTCGGTGGCCGTATGCGGGTGAATATTGGACGAGGTGGGTATGGTGAAGGGTATGCAAGAGGTCCGTGGAAGGTTGACTGAAGCGCAAGCTGTCGGTACGCATGAGAACCGACAAAAAGTAAAAAGTATGAACCAACGCACCTCACCCCGAGCGAAAGCACGGGCTCCGAGAAGGTCGAGGAAGCAAAGGACAGCACCAAGAGGAAGTGCCATCAGGGTAGTCGTCCCCGTCTATTCGAAACTCATCAAATTATGATGCCACAATAGCAAATGTAGACGTACCAGCGTAAACACAAAGAGATAAATCCATGCCACTAGCGCATATGGGAAATTGAGGACCAAAAGGTGGAAGAGCGCAGAGTAATATGCCTTTCTCATCACAGGTCTGAAATACCGCCCTAGCATACTCCAACAAGACCTCATGCGCCTTGGACGTGTGGTAACATGTTCCGACAACGGCGGCTCCCTCTCCACTGAGAAAAACTGAGTTGGTGATATGTCCACCCGACGTGAAGGTTCAGCGTCCGCATCATGGATGTCACATTCAGGGTCAAGGTCAGCATCGCGTTCGGGATTGAATGCTGACAGAATCGTCTGCGCGAAGGATGGTGCTATTGATGCAGATGACTGGAGTGTACTTGTTATAGATAACGTCCTTTGTCTGCCACCAATCCCCCCATGCAATAACCGTGGTGAACTCTGGTGCGATAGCAAAGGGGTCGTCTCGGCTGCAGTGGACACACGTTCATCGTCGGATTCAGGAAACGGTTGCCCGTGTAGGCCGTCAAGATCAGATTCTGTGCCAGTAGATGGAGCCTGTTGATGTGTTGTTTCTACAGCTAGTTCCCTGCGTCTCCGACCGTGGCGATGCGCACGATTACGGCGTTCGCGTGAAGGGTAGGGCGGAGGTGGCTCGCTAGGTGGTGTTGAGGACAAAATAATGGCCGTGTCGGTGGGTTCCACCGGTGGAGGATCCACCAGAGGGTCAGACATAACAAAATCAATGTTACAGTAGAGGATGAAGGACCCAGAAGAAATTCCGCAATCAAGATTCAAGAAAGGACCTTAGAGTGAAAACAAAGATGATATTATTCTTAAAAAAATATAATATATGGTACAATGGTGTAGTGGCTGTAGCGGCCCTAAACCGGGAATGTGAGGTGGTCTAAAGCTTCAACGGGTAAACTCATCTGTGCGCTGGTTCAAGACCGTCCCCTCCAGAAAACTTGGTGGCCTTATACCTCTCGCCTCGTAAGGGATGATCAGGTCCGGGATAAACCGTCCTTATCAGGCCAGGGAAGCAATTCCGCAACCTGCAGGACGCGCCGAGTTAGTCTTCGGAGACAAGGACGAGTCGTCTGTTCGCGCGGACGAGCCGTGCCTCTCGCAAACCTTTTGCCTCTGTATAGAGAGTATATCTTTTTGTTCATACCACAAAGACTACTGTACAACCTGGCAGTCGCTCGGCTAATATTTGTTTCTTGCTAGAACATCCAACCACCTTCGACGGACATTACTTGTTGAAAGCCGTCATGACGCGTTATAGTGTGTTTCTGGGTGCGCCCTCAAACACAAACATTTATGCCGAATTAGACGGCGAACAAAAGTGTTCCTATCGTTGGTATACTGCATCATCCCCGGATCTGGTTCTTCCTCCTGGAACTCTGGAAGCGGTTAGTCGCCGAATATCTATGCTATACGAGAACATTATCTTCGACAGAGAAGAAGAGGAGGGTGATTATGCAGGAATTTCTGTACAGAGCGAAGGCGAACAAATTGAAATAGGTAAGAATGTTTCGCGATTATGTTCATCCTGCGTGCTTGAACTGAAAACACCAATATTAGACCGGACCACCTTCATTACCTGGCCTCCTACCACTATCGAGCGAGGAATATCTGCATCTAAATCCAGAATTTCATTCTTGCATGCGTCAACCAGCATTTCTCGCATGCAGACCATGCAGGGGACTCAGGAGACTCAAGAAACAGGTTCCTATGACCATTCAAGCGCGTCATCCATTACTCGTTTTCCCGCATTTCATTTCAGCCTGCACGGCGTCACTTCCTTGGCTCATCTCGTCGGCCGATTACATTCCGAGCAAGATGGTGCGAGAAAGGTGAACATACTTGTTGCAATTCTAGAGGTAGAAGGGCCAGACGTAATTCGTGTGAAGAAAGGCATCGACGCCGGGAAGGAAGTAGCGGTTCTTAAACTTATTCTAGGAGACGACGATGGCAGCGTTTGCAAATTGACTGCCTGGAGAGAAGTAGCTGAATGCTGGGGCGGTTCAGACCCTGACCCATCTGCTCCAGGGATCAAGAGAGGTGACATTGTTCTCCTGGAAAGTACGTCCGCTCACCAAGGAAGCCCTGTCAAAGTCAACCTTATACAGATCTCCGTCTTCTTCCATTACTCATTCATACTCGTGACCCAAATAGACGTACTCGTTTCATCAGATCCTGCCAACACTTCACATCTCTCACTGACGGCATCGCCCCACCTGAAATCCAAAGCTGAAATATGCTACCGCACAATGCCCAATAGCCCAGAGGATGCCCGCTTCCGACCCGATTTACGACTGGGCTTCAGCGATAGCACGGTTAGGAAGGTCTCAGAAGTCGTTTCCTGGTTCGAATCAATGGCTGGATTACGCTAGCCACACCGCGAGTCTCACAGACTTTACTCGGTTTCTTTCTATGTGAAAAGAAGACCTTAAGCCTGCGAGTCTAGTCGGGACGATCACTTAGCCGCGACAGGACGTGTCCAGGAGGCTTTGAGACGATTGAATGGTACCGCCTTAAGCTGCGGTATGATTTGCACCAGGACTGCACGGTTCGCAGCAGATGTAGATGGATATCGATCGCTATGTTCTATTATCTGAATGGTATCCGAAGATGACCCGACCCATAAGGAGAAAGCAATGTTAAAGGTTCGTCTTCTCCATAGCCGGACATGACCTGCCAACTGAGAATCATGGCAAGTTCAGGGTCATCTTATTCATCGGAAGCGTCTTATTTCCATTTCAGACGGACAATCCCCCTTTGCCCTAGTCCCGTGTCATTCTTTGTCGAAGCACAATTCCCTTCTGATGACGCATCTTAGTATTTATCAAGCAACATGTTCCCTACTTGCGGCCCAGGAACAAGCCTCGGTCTAACTTTATAATATTATTCGATTATTCGTGGCAAACGGCAAGCCGAAAGAGACGTGTAGAAGCGTCAATTAGAAGAGTTCTAAAGAGCGACGAAGTACAGATGATTGAGTTTTTTTGTTACTGATGTAAGTACAACGACATTGTACTAGTGACAAGATGAGTGTTCGAATGAGAAGTGTCAATGTGCTAGCTACTAAGTGAATGTGTGAGTATGTACGACCAAAAGCCCCAATGTATACAGTTGAAAAGTCAACGTGGTGATGGAAACAAATATGGGTACCTAGTACGAGACGAGAAACGTCTAGTTCTACATAGGAAACGAAAGGAAGAGAAGAAAATAGTCCGAGATCGTCCGAAAAAATTGCTGTGGAAAACGCAGCAATGCGAGTAGTACAGGTATAGGAATGTCCGAGGAAAAGAAAAAAATAGTCCGAGATCGTCCGTATAGTAAGTCCATTCAAAGTCCGGAAAATCCGAGGTCCATAGCATTAGATGCTAAAAGCGAAGAAAAGAAAAAGTCAATAGTCGGTTCGGTCCAAAGGCCATACCGAAGCAAAAAGAAAAGTGTCCAGCAGTTCAATTCGTTTTTGAGTCGAGAGTCCATGCTCGCTTGAAGAAAAGTAGATTTGACAGGGAAGGGGAAGATAGTTGCGAAGGCGGGACGAAAACAATCCCGCTCGCGAAGAAGGCGGCCTCGTCAAGGGACGTAAAGTGTTGATAACAGTCTTGAAGAAATGCGGGCAATAGTCGCCGTTATGTTTGTTGATCCAGCAAGATGACAACCCCTCGTGCTCGCGAGATTGGTCCGTTCTCCGATGGTGATAGGATCATCGGCACACATTGTCGTGTTCTTGTGCGGTGCGCCGACGAACTCAGACTGAGTTCTCACTGACCCAGCTGATTCGCATCCAGAAGCTTTTGTACTTTTGACGCTTGGAAGCCTGTGAAGAGAGTTACAACAACATGCTATTAATCTCCGTGCGAATGTGAGAGGGGTGTAAAAAGTGAATGAAGGCTTACCCAGTAGAGGAAACCTTGTGCTAAGCTTCGTCAAGGAGTACAGTAGGGTGCCAATCTCGCCACGTATTTCTGACGTGTTTGCCATTGGCCAGGTAGCCTGAAGTTGCACGAGGTCTGTAATGAGAATGCGGGCGGCTGATACCCAACAATACTACGAAACTAGATGTCAGTATTTGTACCGGAGATTGGCGAGACTAAGCTCCAAAGGGATAGACCATACCCCAATGAGCGGATCAAGGAAATCGTAATCCGCATCACCAATGTACTTTGCAACAGCAACGATAGAGCGAGCACCGCGCAACAAGACTTCACGGGAGACTTGATCATCCAGGAAATGTTCATGAAGACAAATCATAGAGGCATGCGCTAGACTGTGTATCGCAATGAGATGGTACTTGTCGTCAGGCATCGTTGCTGCAAGTTGATGCAGCGGCAGTAACGTCGTGGTGAATCGTGTAATCGTATGTTCGATGGTCCTAAAGCTATCAGTGAAGGAGGAAGAAGAAGAAAGTCCTATACCAGCATTTGAATCAGAAATATTGGGGGCAACACAGTTTTGGTCGGAGACTTACGAGGGGACCAGCTTGACGATAGCCTGCTGGCACCTTCGAAAAGGGCTGACGCCTTGACTCGCATAGCCAGAGACGAAAATCCGCCCGTAACGTTCTGCACATGGCCTTGAGGTGCGAAGAAAGCTTGAATAGTGGGAGATCCATGACCAATGTCTAGCTCACCCTAAAGGAGATAGTGAGTAGACGCAGAGACACACGAAAACCATGTTATATTACCGTCTCGTATTCTTCCATCCGCTGCGGCCATGGGGTGCTTACAGCAGTCCAGGGATGCTTGCTGTCGGGTAACGTTGCAGGACGCTGAAGCGCCACAGACCAGCAGCGGTCAAGGTTGTAGACTTGCCAAAAGGTCAGAATGCGTTCCCCTTGCTCGATCGAGTCCTTTGCGGGATCTAGTCTAAACGCCGACCGTTCTGAAATTACGTTCCTCGGAGTACAGTCTTCAGCTCCCACTTGATGCAATCCCCATTGAATCGCAAGGGAGGCAGCTACGCTGGCATGATAGCTTCCCTCAAAGACTCGCCCATTGGACAGAAAGTATATCGCAAGAAGGCACGATGCTTGAATGAAATCGACAACCTTTGCAGGGTTCGAAATCGCGTCGCTGACAGCTGCAAGTGCGCGGGAAAGATAAAGAGGTTCGTGTTCACACAGCGAAGTTGGCCGAGAAAGGTAGCACGCCCAGAGATAAATAGAGTTCATCAGTACCGGGTGACGTTGTTCCGATCGGGGAAGAGTGAGTGACTCTCTCAGACGACCGACGTGTACCTCAAAACCGCATTGGTGCCGATGAGGAAGAAAAATGTCCAATCTGAGGTGAGAAGGGATCAGTTCTGTTGCACAGCGTCTAAATCGGGTTGATGAAGCCACGCACAACATCTGGGCGAGTTCGAGAGGCGGATCCTCCGAGCCATAAGAGTCAGCCACACTGCCCAAGGCGGGGAAATCCTGATATAACAGTCGATCAGATCATGATAGAGGTTGGATGGATGCTGAATTTTGCTTACGGTCATGCTAGCCCACTGTGCATCCCAAGGCGATGAATCCATGTCTAGATGGACTGATGAGACGCCGTGCGCAGAACTTGGCTGAAGGGGCGTACCCAGAGGAAAAGGGGAAGGCGACGCAGAAGCGGACAAGCTGAGTGTTGATGGCGAATTATGGCTTGAAGGGGAAGAAGACTCTGAGAAGTAGGCGGGTGCATGAGGGTCAAAGAGAGTAATAGGGGGCGAAGTGGCCATCTCTGGCATCTCGAGCTCCTTGATCCTTGACTCAAGACGAGCGATGTGCTCTCGCATGAGTTGCGTTCTGGTCTTGCCCTTGCCATCATCGTACTCGCAAGCGTCGGACTTCTTCGCTCTAACGCACTGGGCACAAGCGGGTTTGGACCCGTCGCACCTCTACAGCCGAAGATGAAAAGGAATGAATAAAAGCCAGAGTGCAAGTAAAGCGAACCATTTTGCGCTTTCTACACCGCAGACATGCCTTCCCTAACAAGCACATAGATTTATTCAGGAGCGAACCGAGGGAGGGTGGCCGATGGACGCACCTCTCTGTAAGCTTGTCGGATGCTGATGACCCGAGGGGACGGTAGATTTCTCGGCCATAGGAAATAAAGAGAGAAAGTAGAATACTAGAAAGAGCAGCGACGGGCTCGGAGAAGCTGTGAAAATAACTGCGCACAAAGAAAGAAAAGAGAGTCAAGCGGTGCCAGTTTGAGCTCGCCGGCGAAATAGAGGATATGCTCGGAAAGGAGACAGGTGAAGGTAGCCAGGAACGAAGCCCGAGGGCTGGAGAGGAAGGCAAAAACTGAAAGTACGAAGACGAGATCAGGGCATGTGGACAGAATACACCTCCTACTTGTACAAACGGAATCACGGAACGTGGCGACAAAGCTTAGTTCAAACTAGACGCCTCCCTGTTTAGGCGCGAGCCGCATCACAAGAATCATATGAGCCCCTGCCGGTTCTCCCTCTCACCCCGGTCATAATTGACCGTTCATCCTGCTCTCCCTTGGCACGGGGGTAGGGGCTCATAAAAATATCTCTTTCTACCTCGAGCACTGCACTTTCATCGACCAGTCTTTACCGATTCAATTCATTCGACCATTCCCCACACTCGTCGACAACTTTTTGTGCTCGACGATGACCACGAACCGCCTCTCCGTGACACCATCGGACAATGTGTGAGCATCCTCAATCATTCGCACGAGCAGATGTGAAAGTCTGCAAATCCATACCACAAGGCCTACACAGCCTCAATTTAACCCTTTGCGACCACCCACCACGGAACATAAGTAGAAACGCAAATACAAATACAAACATTCTGACTCGCTTCTGTTCCTCATATCCTTGTTTACTAAGAACAACTTGATGACTCTATAATACCGTATGATTGTTCGCTCCTTGTACTCTTCCAAGCCCTATGTTGTAACATCGTCCCCTCGAAGTCCCCGAGTTGGAACGGCAATTTAGTGCGGCAGGACCCTTAGCCCAGCTGCGTTCCAGATCGGTGGTTACCGCAAGGCTATCCACAGATCCACTTTCCCCGATCGGGTATGTCTCCTGTTTGCAAACTCTCAACTTGCGCACCCGGCTCAAAATCGACAACGAGCCGGTCGTCGGTACCACTGCTGCAGACAGTGAGTACACAAGTACACTCTTTTTACGGCCCAGTTCAGGCTACACTATCAGGTCTTCAGGCCTCAATTTCTGGTTCGTCATTCACGACGTCAGCACTGCCTGCACGTGCACTACAATGATGTTTCAATAAACTTGATAACACCCTACGAACTTCGCCTCTAGAAAATTCTTACTTCATTGCATTTGTTCCACCAGATGTCGGAATCAGTATGCTACCCATAGTACGGCGAGTTATCCGTACCGTGGTGGTTGACAGAAACTTTCAATCAGCGTAATAAACTCCAAGCATCGAAGCATGTGGGCATAGACGAAACATCGCTCCTCGGGTCAGCAACCTATGTCGCTTCTCAATAACGCCCCCGACTAGGACTTGATCGCGTTGTGACGAACTGATTTTTGCATTTGCTTAGCCATCCAACATTTTTGAGCTAATTAATTAGCCGCCCTGTGCTTAGCAGTGATAACTTGGACGATACAAGACTCGCCCAATATATTACCACAGGGACGTATAGCATGTAGATCAATGCGTCATATTGCTTCTCATTCTAGCTTCAATGATATGGGGCTCCGGCGAAAGGCCTCTCCGAACGGATGTCAATGGAAGGACCATCTCTAACCGTTGACCGAAGATGGTCTACACGCTTATCTCCAGGCATTTCTCACCCAAGCCTATTCGGTGCTTCGAACTTCGAGGTCGTACTATTATAATGCGTCGTGCTCTCGGAGGTTGATCTCTGCCGCTCGTCTTCTCTTTGATATCCTCTTTCAGACAATTTTGCTGCATGATTGGCGACATTTCACCAACAGGTCGTGCATCCCAACTGCTTGATTGGAAGACACCTTGGCTACTCTTCTTGCGGTTGCATTCACTATATGGAGGTGCAAGTGATCATTCTCTATGCGACCCAAACGACACTCGATGTGATCCAATGTTTCACTGTCCGAGTCGGTGGCGTCAAAACTGCAACTTCCGGCGGTAGGCCTCTCGTAACATTGTCGTCTATGATCCGACGCATGAAAACGCAGCCCTACATATCTACGCCCTTACAGATATGCAGACTGGCATCGATGCGACCCTGCGATCGCGTTACAGTCAAGTAGCGTCACTACACATCGTTTCACTGCCAGGTTGCGCCATCCGTTCCGCATTCATCATTTGACTGAAGGTCTCGTCAGTTTCCCCGTGGCGAGAGGCTCGTCTCACCTCGCTTGAGCTGTCTACACTTGAGTGCCTGGCATCAGTTCATCCATTTGCTTACGATCTATAATTTAAAATGACATGGTTAAGTATTCGAAATCACCATCTACTCTGCACAGTCATGCTAAACAGATGTATTGGCTGCTTGCCTACAGGTTCATTGAGCTGATGTTCACATAACGGCCTGATTCTCTATCTTCCTAGTCGGCTGGGACCCGTGAAAGTTGCCGGTATGTTGTCACCTTTGCCTACTCTCACCCTGACATAACTTCAGCGCACGCACTACACTCAACACCTTCCTCCTCGTTGCCGTTTGAGTGTTTCTCTACCTCCATTTCTTCAGGACGCTGTAGTTCAGCGTAATCATCTTAACCTCAAAGCATCTCATGCACGTCCTGTCTCCCGTTCCGTAGTCAGCAGGTTGTTCCAAAATAGAGGTCCTTCAGAATCGATCCTTGTTAAAGTTTAGGCACCATTGTGCACATCGAGGAGTTAGCAACGAGACATTGCACCTATGCGTTAAAGCACCATCTGGTGGTCGAACTGCAGACTAAGCATCACGCACATATGCTGTACAATCGCCCACAATTAATCAGAGGCTTAAGAAGATCTAAGTGATGGAAGCAATCTATGAATGCTATTATAAATACCAACAGAACTTCTGTCGGCATCAATATGAACGCTGAATCGAGTCGATTGAAATCGAATGGGAATAAGGGGCGGAACTGAATACACACCGCCTTGTTTGAAAGACCGATGAACCTTGTATACCTCGCGGAACATGCATGGTCTTCTTGTTCGCAGTCATAGAAGCTTTTCATATGTATAGAGAGTCGTAGTAGGCGTTTACTATTTGAGCGTGTATTTGGGCGAATCAAACTTTAAACGACGGCGAGCTACCATTCGGGGCAAAAGACAAGCACCTCGCGTCAGCGCATGACTTGCAGTTGCCATTTTTGTCAGAAACATTACCTAGTATTACAAAGGCTCCATGTCCATTACGCAGCACAAATTCGTCGGCGAACTACTCCTGACAATGAAAACGTCGACGGTGAAACCTGGAAAGTTCCCGAGGTAATCGCGGTATGCCGAAGCGAGAGGGTTCACGGTAGAAATAGGATACTAAGGCACGGCGGTCTAAACAACAAAGAGCTCCCCTCTGATGGAGCGAATGTCAATAGAAAGTCTCGACATAAGGGAACAATGCGTTCCAACTTCTCGAGATGCACGCTGACCGTGTGAGCAAAGCGTTGACCAAACATAATCGGTATAAATTATCTATCTTCCAGACGGCAGAAGTCATGCGGAGAGGTTGACCCAAATTTGTGGTCAAAGCTTTATAGGACAGAAAGGGCCTAAAAGCAACGTCCTAAAACGCGTTCAGATGTGACTCGCCTTGCCGGGTTGGTGCCGTTCGGCCAACAACAAACTAGCAAAGATAAAAAAAATACATGGAGTCGACCCGTCCAGTTTTAAATCACGGCAAGCCGCGATACATACATGAGGTATTCCTTCGTCTGGCAGCAACGTTTCTGCCGCCGCATATTTTCCGGGGAACTGAAGTTGCGATGGCAGACCGTCGGAACTGCTACGACGGGGTACGGATCGTACCGTTCATCCGCCGATCCTCGTGAGTAGAATCCCAGACCCAAAGCATTCGAGAGACCACGCATGAGCTGCTTGAAGTAGCGAATATCAGCGCTGACACATTTCAGAGCTTTGCGACGCCAGTTGCATTCACACGGCCGCCATTAATACGCCGACTTCGATACACACAACATCCAACATCATACCTGCTGCAGCGAGCTGGCTGCTGAGTTGCCTAACGGCGAGCACGTAGGTCTGAAACACCAAAATCACTCTCCTATGGCCGTAGTGAGGGGGACATACCTAGCAGCCATCACTTGCAGACGTGAAGGATCATCCATCGCATGGGAGCTTCTTCCAGAGGCACCAAGGGCCGCTCTAAGGGACGCCAAAGCCGGAAGCACATGGGAGGCAAGATGTGGGGAAAGAAGTCCCTGGCGGGTCATTGATTATTCCATGTGAGTTGGAAGAGTTGAAGGCATAGGATCGTAGGGTCCTGCTGCTCTGGATGACCCGTGAGCAACATGGGAGATGGTAAACGTTATTCTGGGAAGGGTGGCAAACCGGCAGGTACTAAAGCAGCATTTAAATAGTAAATGTTAGAGGACATAGCATCTCATGCTGCCCTCCAAGCCCGGGCAACACACGCCGGGAAAACCACGCCTCGGGGCGGTGATCAATTGACGAGCTAAATATCTAATAAGAGGGCATTGAAGTTTGTCAAAAAGGATGCCATTTCGAACCAGCTCAGGGGAATTAAGACACCATCCAAAGGATAATGGAAAAAGATCTTCGTCCTCTTACTTTTGTTGAGTACACAACCTCCAGTCCAACAGTGAACTTGGCCGGTGAAGCAAACGACGGGCGTCTGACGGGAAAGATCAGGGCATCGCATCGATCGATTGATCTTTTTAGACGCACCATCCAGATACAGTAAAGTGGTTGTGCCACGGGACGTCATGGTGTTGGCGAAACCGGGGAACGGGAAGGCAACGAACGAAAGGGAGCCGATGTGACAGTTTACGTAGAAGAAACCATGTTGGCGCCTGGTATGTACTAGCGTTCTAATAGTAAATGATGAAGACATAGACAGGATGGGTTACAAATAGCCGGTGGTAGCCATTAGTGGCTGTCGTTCATGAACGATATATTCATCCAGTCATGGTAGCTGACTACGAGCGTGACTAAGAGGGTGAAATGAATTTACCCGGATCCTGCGCGAGGCAAAGAGCCCCAACTTTCTTCTTTCACCGTGAAGTGCACTGACACAACGAAAAGCGCCACAGGCCTACGGGTCACTGCAGGATATCGGTAATACTTTGTAAGTGTCCATGAAGAACTATTTACAAAGCTCAGAAATTACTAGGATATCGATAACGATACAGAGCATGCGATGTGGGATGTTTGAAATGCGATGGCAACCAGAAACCATTATGACGTTACTAAAGAATCAAATCAGCGCCGAAGGATCAACCCCCGACATATAACCCATTCAATGAGCGATGAGATGTGAGTGATTCTAGCAATCCTCTACATCGTCGAATCCAGAAGCTTTGCGAATAGAGTCGAGAAGGGCATCTTGTGAGTCACCACCGGCTTCCCACATCGCGAAGCCACGAAGGTTATTCTTGGCAACAAATTCACCCTTGGCAGCGAAGGATCTTGTGTCGTCGAACGAAACCATGACTTGAGAGGTCTCGTTGTAGACATAGGCCTATAGTAGCAACGCAACGTCAATGAAATGAAGTCATCATTCAAATCCAATGGATCACTCACGGTTTGGCTACACTCATCAAAGCGGTAGTCAATACCGGGAGCAGCGGTGCCATTGGCAAACAGGAACCCAGCATCGATCAATCCCCAGAAGTCGAAATTACCGCCGGGTCCGTTTTGAACACCGCACTTATCAACACCAGCTCCATCATCCCAAGCATCACCAATGGGCTGCTGTGCTTTGTTGAAGGGCGGGAAGGGCGCAAGAACCTCAATATCGTCGGTAGTGCATTCGAAGGCGTCGCTAGCGTTAACGTTGAAAGAGTGACCGTAGGCGGGGACACCCAAAACGATCTTGTGGGAAGGCATCTTAGCAGTAGTCCATGCCTTGATCGCACTGGTCGCACTGCCTTGTTGATTAGCAGATGGCGCGCAACTGTCCTCCAGAGGCGCGTTGGGACCGACATATGAAAGCCAAGCTAATGCAATGTCAGATGTGGTTTCAGAATGCGGACCAAACCAAACTTACGTCCAGAAATGTCATAGTTCATGATGGCGACGTAGTCGAGCAGCTTGGAGAACTCAGAAACATCAGTGAGTGGGTTGCCATCGGGACCCTTCCAAGGGTTAATCGGGACAGCAGCCGTTAAGATGAGCTTGCTTCCCACAGGGTCCTTACGGAGTTCTTGCAGGTAGGCGAGGAAGTTGGTAGTGTCGTTAGGAGATATTACGTTACACCCAATGCCTTGATTTCCAGGATATTCCCAACTACATTCCGTAATCAATCAGTACTACAACAGTTGTATCTGATGGTCAATCACTCACTCAAAGTCAATACCGTCCAAACCATACTTCGTGGCGAGATCGGTAACGGTCTTGACAAACGCGGTGCGGTTCTCAGCAGATGCAACGTTCGAGGAGAAGAAGCGCGATCCTGTCCACCCGCCGACCGAAACGAGAGCTTTGACGTTCTACAAACGGTTACCATGTCAGAGCGAAGGGGGAGGGGAGAAGAGTGTAACTAAACGACGACGTACGTTCTTCCTGGCAGTTGCAACGAAGTCTGGCAAGACTTCAGGATTGGAACCATTGAAAGACACGTTCCTAACGTCAGGCGTTGTCTCACTGAAACGAGTTGCAACGTCAAGGTCAGAGAACGCATGGGTAGCACGTTGCACACGTACGCAAAAGAAAATGTCATGTGGGTATACTTCTCCCAGCTGACGTTCGCCACAGGCAAGTCCTCCGAATGCCAGCCAGCATACCAAGCCGCAGCGACCATATTGACCGTAGCATTAGTGGATCCCGAGACAGAAATAGTAGCGTCAGCGGAAATAGTCGTAGCCCGAACCGCAGAGATCGCAAAGAAAGAGAGTGGAAGGAAAGCCCACATGGTGACTTTCGTTCAAGCCTTGAAGAAAGGAAAGTGAAGATTCTCCGCAAAGCCGTAAATGAGACGGGTATAGACGTGGTTGCTCTTTGGTGGAGCGGCTACGTGGGCTTTATATAGTCCCATCATGTTCGAAGCTCATTTCCAAATATATAGCTACTGTAGTGTTTCGCGCATTTGTTCACGTCACAGGTCACAGGCTCGAAAATGAACTGAATTTTCAGGTCTGTCACAGGTCACAGAGGATCGTGAACTGACATTTGGAAGCATGACCGGGCACTTAAACGAGGGTCAGTGCTTTGAAGGGCTGCACAAGTGCAGCTTTCTGGCTACTTTCAGCTATTCTTTCAGGTTGCTGACATTATTTGAGAGCTTACAATGTGCCTCCAAAGCTTTGGAAAGGGATTGGTAGTGCCTTGACAGAATCGGCAGTAGCCATGAACATGATGTCACAGGTCTCTCCGAACTGTGAACTGGGAACCGGACCATCACAGGTCACAGGCCGTGAACAAATGCGCGAAACAGTACAGTATTTTCAACATTGTTTCAAACGCTGATCACAGCCTTCGCGCTGTGTCTCGCTTGCATGAATGAAGCTAGCGGAAAAGGGCGAAATGGATGTACCTTGTCTGAGAGTGCATGTTAGTGCATGTTCGAAACCGCCTGCCAGGCTCTCACTGTTCAGAGACTTGGTGGCCAGCAGCCACTCTCCGCAGGCCTGGAGGCATACATTATGCGCTAATGAACAGAATCACTCGCCAATGGTCAATCAGTTTTAGAGATCACAGTGGGCTTGGACAAAGATTCAAGAGGGCTAAAACGAGCCGCGTTAGAAACGATGACCAGCGGGTCTGCCACTTTAACCACTCGGCCATAATGCAAACCTCCAACAAATTCAGTTCTCAACAAACCAATCTAATCTTGTTTACTCCGACATTTAATCTCTGAAGCCTCTGCTTCATAGGTCGTGTTGTTGGCGTAATCAACGATGGCACCGTTGGCTCAAATGTCCTCCAACATCGTCATGTTACACCCGGGATGTCGCAATTATCCACTAGAAGCATATCTCAGAAGTCATCGGCTTGTCATTTTGCATGCAACGCGAGACTTAACAAGAATAACACTGACTTAATGTTGAAGGTTAAGTTTTACATCAGACTGCAGACGTGTCATTGAGCCCAGCAGATTGTGTTGACCATCTCCGTTCCATCAAGTAATGGAAACTTGCTCGACACGATATTCAATATCCAGGGCTCTCATAATGATCGCTATGCGCTAGATTCGTTTCTTGGCTCACCGCCTTAGCCTGCCGTACAATCTTTCGACTACATCAGTTCGTGGTTTATCTTATTCATATGTCTCCCCGACCTAAGTGCGACGTGAAGTCGTAACATCAGCAACTATTTTCCTGTCGCTGTGATACTCATTGCGAATTACAGGGAGCGTGGTTTCGCCTCAGAATGTTTGGCTCCGACGCGGCAGATGAAGGTATCGATCTAACATATACAATCACTCGTATGAATTATGTTGTCAGGCTAATTACCATGTAATTGTCGGGTCTATTGATCTTGTATCTACTTTTCTCGATCATTGAAACATGTAACATATACTGATCCGACATGTTAGCAGACTTTTCCATTCATACGCCTTCGACGAAATCTTTCAAAGGCCCTAGATGAAGCTGCTTTTCGACATGAATCCATACCCCCGCCCTCCAGACCACCGTCCGATGAACCCAACTCTGCTTATCGTTAGGACGAGGTTATGTATCTCCAGCACATCATAATGGTCTTGCTTCCCCGCTACTTCAAATTCAATGCCATAACGGTCCCTTACCGACAACCACTTGATTCATAGCGAGATTGTACTGGTAGAGTTATATCACGCCATTTTACTGAGGTGCAACACTTCTTGAGGTTCTGTCGTTGTTACAAGTATCAGGCTGGCTTCTTCAGTACTCAAAGGCGCGATGGGGAACAACCTACGTATGCATACGGTCCCTCACACCTTACTTGGGTCCAGCGAAGCAAATTCCCATTGTTTCTACACCCGCAGTGCATGTTGCGTATATATGACGACTGTAACGTATTCAAGAAAGAAAAAGAAAGAAAAGCGAATGTAAGATGATGAGATATACCGTGATAAACCAGAGCATGAGCAAATCCACGATGACCAATAGAGATGGACCGGCGGGAAATGAGAGATAATATAGCTGCAGTGTCTAAACACGACGCAGAGCATTAGAGAACACGTCGACTGGATAACGTTCATTATTGTGTGATGAACAAGGCCAACATTGATGAGACGATCAACGCGAGAGCTATTGAAAACGGACGTGCAGCAGGGAGCGCAGCAGAAGTTGTACCTGAGAGATCCAACCAATCAGCATGCAAACTCATGATAGAAGGGCTTGGAGATAACCTACCATTTCCGGAGCCATTCGCATCGGTTGGAACGGGGAGACCGGTTTGTGAAATGGTAGCGGAACCAGAGGTACCAGGCGAAGGAGTGCCTGTAATCAGGAGCGAACATTAGACAGAGGAGGATTTATTATAGGTGGTACGTGCCTGAGCCACCTGCCAAATCTGACAACTGCGCGAATCCGATTGATGGGGGGTTAGCACGGAAGACGGAGTAAACGTTTTTCTACAACGCAGAACAGTTAGAACAGTCGAAGTACGAATGATACATCACAAGATAGATTTACCAAAAAGGTACCACCAACAACCCAGCTAGGGTTTCCGCCACCGCTTCCAACATTGGACCCTTGGCTTAAGTCAAAGATACCACCAAGGCATTGGCCACTAGGGATCGTTCCAAGGTTCATGTCAACAGGGTCGATAGGCCATGATTTTCCGCCGAACGACATTGATACCTGAACTTCAGTTGAACAAGCTAGAGTTACAGGATTGTGTGAGCGTTGGTTGATTAGGGCGTGGCCGATAAAGGGACATACGATATGCGTAGAAGCCCTGCAAGTCGCCGGTGAGGGCGACGGAACCGGGGACAGCATCATAGATAGCCTTGACACCATCAGTGGGTCCACCAATAAGAGTCGTACCAGTATCGATCGCAGAGAGCGCAAGATTACCGGTCGGGACTTGAACATTCTTACCCTGAACCGTGGCGCCTGCAAAACAGATAAATATAACAGAAATAGAAACCAAAAATTGCCAAGATACTCACCAGTCATAGAAAGTAACCAGAATGTCTGTTGACTCGTACTAGGTAAATTGATGAACTCAATGTCACCAGTAAAAAGTGAGCTGTTGGTTCCTCCCAAAGTAAACTCGCCACCGAACTCGTTTTCCCTGGCATTACGGTTGTCGAGTTCGCGAGTGAGCCAGAAGGACATCTCAGGAGTGGCTAATTGGCTGCCTTGCAATAACCCCTGCCAGAACGGTGTTGACTCGGTCGACGCTAATGCTTCGAATGCGAGACCCATGATACCTGAAGCCACACCATCCAAGAGACCGCTAGATAATTGGGTGGCAACGAGCATGGTTTGTTGAGTGTTTGTAAAACCGCCCATAGACACGGTATCTTGGGCAACGATACCCGCAACTTGTCCACTACCATAGTGGATGTCAACTTCGGACTGACCCGATTGTGACGTTTGTATGCGTTGGATAGTAGACGACCGTGTGGGGTCAAACGATGGTGTTTCCGAGTCACAAGAGCGACATCCTGTAGATGCTACCCAGAGATCTGAGGAACCAGTATCGAGGACAACGCTAAATTGCTGCGCCGGCGTCCCGATGGAAACTGCACCTAAATATGAAGAATCGGTTTTCTGTGAGAAAGGTCAGCAGACTGGTTCTAAATAGGACGGCGCGTTCAGAACCAATATTGACTACAGCCACTTCACAGGAACCGCGCAATCTCGACACGTTAGCTTGGTGAAATCTCAGAAGCTCCCATGCCTGTGGCATTGTACTATAGACGCCGAATGCAACATAATGGCCCTCCAAGGTAAGGGTAACTTTCCCTCTACAAATTGTCCACACGCTTCCGACCGACGCGAACCCTAGAGAGGTATATGACTTGCCTGATTGATTATGGGTATAGCAGACGACTGGCCAGCACGCTTCTGAGAATACGGAATATAACCGTATTTGAAACGCAAACTCTCTGCGGCGGCAGCGACCTTGTCTGTAGTGAAATTGCTGTATATGGATCGACGATTGAGGGGTATGCTAATCGTGTCAGCTGTCGCGATGCCGGCTAGAGCAAGTAATAAGGAAAGCGACGAGGGAAGCATGTCAAAGCGAGAAGTTCAAGCAAGGCAGATGAAGAGCTATGTATATGATCTGAAAGAGAATGTGTGGAGCGGGTAGCCTTGTGGCGACCTGCGCAGATCTAGTGCGTGGAGAGGTAGGAGGAGGCCCAAGGACGAGAGGGAAAGGCGAGGACAACGGCGACGAGGGGGTCTTTATGATCCTCCGTTGGTGGGTACGAGAAGGCTGCTCTTGGCTTCTGTCACGCGCAGTCACAGCTGACAACTTCCGTGCACAGGAAAAGAGCCGCAGCAACTTTGGAGCAATTATACGCCAGCCGGAATAGATCAGAACCCTGTTGAAGTGTAGCTTTCCTGCAGCTGCACTCAGAGAGCGAAAGAAAGGAGCGGAACGTGAGCACAATGTCGCCAGACGACCGCGACAAACAGACAATGCCGTTAACATGTCACTGTCACAATAGCAGACCGTCACAGGTCGTGACGCGACGCTCCCTTGGCTGCTGCGGTGAAATTGAGCGCGCCAACCCGTGCGTCTTGGATCGTCGCCAAGATCAAGTACCGAACGTTTTCAACATGCCGCCAAAGCAACAAAAGAAGCCTCCTTGTAAAATATGCAACAGTCAGGAATCAAAGTATACTTGCTCGAAATGCATGGTACCTTAGTAGTCCGCTTTTCTTTCTATTCTTGTTCAAAGTACTAATGGCGCCCGCAGTTGCAGCGTTGCTTGTTATAAAACACATAAAGGTACGCGTTTGAGTATTTCAGTCATACTCATTGTTCAAGCATTTACCAAGCCCTGTTCTTTTCCTTTTAGAAGGATTCTGTGCAACGGATGACACAAAGCGTAATACCGCTGAGGTCACAACCATAATTAATGGTAAGCATTAGATCACAGTTGCACGACACTCTGCAGTTCTTGGTTGCACTTCATTCCGTTCATGTCGGGAAGTGCATCTCTACGACAACTGCGGCCTTCGCCCTTGCTGACTGACCCGAATTTTCCAAGCAGATGTGCAACAGTCGTCTGAATCCGAGGACTTGTCTCGAGCGCCGGATTTGAAACCTCCGTCTCCACCCCTACGACTACTAACTTCCCTCAAATGGCCATACATTCCCGAGGAACCTGCGTATCCTGATCCACTCAAACGAGACGACCCAAAACCCTTACAGCTACATCAATTTGAAGCAATAGGTAACCTGCCTCTGTCCTCATATATGATGTAAAATTTATAATTTGACCCAATTCATCAGCTACGTCTACTGCCATCCGCCATGTCATTGCAGAACATCCACGTCTTCGAGATATCCTCCGTAACATTGACCAACTACGAGGGGAAGATCGACAGGATGCTCTTCAACGTGCTCTTGGTGTTTCTACATCAGACGGACGTCCACCTGGCATCAACCCTTCAGTGGGTATTCCAGGCATTGTTGGTGCTGCTGGGGTAGCAGATGAAGAAGATGTTCTTGCCCTACGAGAACTCGCCGAGGCTGTCGAAGCTGCCGTGCGGGCTGGAAAGGAGGATGTTTTGGGGCTCGATTGGGGCGATTGAGAGTTTGTCACGCTGTTGAAATGTGTGCAATCGACACATTATGATCGGTGCTCATTGCGGAACAGTATTTGTTGAGCGGCGGCCTCAGTAAACCGAACAAGTCGAACGGACAATTTGCCCAGGATAATCTTGGTCAGCCCTGCCGCTTCACTGGAAGACTAGGATTCCAAGTATATCCATATCGCTTAGACTTGACTAACACACTGTCGACTGCCCAAACCCTACTTGATGTATGTGTTGTGTCTCGAACTACAACCCGGACTGCATACATTCACTTTAGACTAGACCAATCCCATCGTCTCGATCATCCATGAAAGAATCGAGATGCAGGCCCATACTTTACTGAATAACGCATTCGAATCTAAATGTTTCCTTCTCCCTCGTCTTGAGCAGGCCATCAAATCCTTTAGCCATGTCCTGTTGCAAGTGCACTAATTTGGAATCTATGGCCTAGCTTCCAACACCGACAGTCTCTCTTCTACTGTGGGTAGAGGACATTCCTTCCTCTCTTCGAATGGCTCCTTGAATCGAACGAGGGCGTGCATGTAGGTATGTGGTGCACCTGTGTTCAACCTCGACGGTTTGCCTAAATCAAGATAGTCCCAAATATATCCCTAATCCTACCCACTCCATCTCTCCATGTCAGTGACTTTACGAAGTATTCATTTTACTCTGTATTACTCATCTGTTCAGACACGTGAGCCTCGAGCCACATTCCCATGACCGTACGTGGCTTGAGAATAGCGCTAAAGTGTAAGACGACGGCAGTATCGCATGAATGACTGGGGAATATTATGAGGCCGCCAGCGAAGTGAGGATGCAAAGTGGATATATCCGGCCGAACAATAAGTACAGAATATCAGCGTTTGAGACGGATGGCGTAAGCTACAGATTCGCGACTGCAATCGGTAGGTCAATGACCTTTCCAACAACGTTATACCGTTTCCTACGAGGGTTCAGAAACACTATCAATGATAGTGAGTGGTGAGAAACGTACGAGAAGAAGTCGTGCCAATCGTTCAGGACTTTCATCTCTGCCTCTGGTAATGTGCTATAATCGGGAGTCGCGTCCTCCTCCTTGAGACTCGACATGCCCAACGCCTTCGACGCATCCTTCCCAGCGAACAGGTTGTATGATGCACCAGGCCCATAGGTTTCTCGTTTATGAGACACATCGAATACAGTGCCTAACAAATCCAATCAAGCTATCGATCATAGCGTACATGCAATCGTCTCATACTCACCTTTAATGGCAACGTAGATTGGTTTATCCGTAGAGGATCCATCAAACTCCCTCAACTGCTCCAATGTGAAAGGATCATCTTTCGGAGGTGCGAGATCGGTTCGTGCTGGCTGCATGATGGTCTTAGGCTTTTCGTCTTCCTCCTCTTTTTCGGCGTCGGTTGAAGCAACGGATGGTGGGTTGCGGAATTGATAGACGATGGCAGCAACAGGAATTAGTGCGGCGAGCAAAGAGATTATCGTCGAGACCGTCCACATCCTGCTGATTCGGGCTTCCGACTCTGCTCAAACCAAGTCGTCATCGGCAACCTCCGTCCATTGTAATTGCCAGCATTAGCGCACGTGAAATATGGTCGAATTTGGCAGGTGTGTATGTTGTCTTTAATTTTCACACGTATAGCCGAACGTAGCTGACCCCGTCCACAGAAACTATATGCTCGCAGGGCACCTAATCCTGTTGCAGCACCTGATGAGCGTCTCATTGATGCTCACTTCTCGGGTTATCTTCTCGCAGAACCGTACCTGCTACATATCACGAGGATCACGTTTCACTCGAATGGAGCAATCTGGGGGAAATCGCGTCATTCTCTGCCAGTGATCGTAGTTCTGCTGGAGAGGTACTGGCATATAAGAGTCCCTACTCTACGGTTAGGACTACAATTATTGGCTCTGGCACGTCATAACTCAGCCAACCTGGCTGGATCGCGCTGCATTATATCATCATATAAATACCTGCTGCTGCTTGCACGTCATGCGCCAGACGTTATGGCATCTAATGTTTCAAGTTACAGTTATACCCAAGAGAACATCCACAATCTGAACATCGAATGTCCGACATTCGGACCATAGAACGAACTTCTATACGACCCATCCGCATGAGTATCACTCAGGTCAGTGCAGCCTCTATTCATCTACGGTCTCTGCACTTCAATCTGAAACCTTTCCACAGCGTTCAACAGTCCACTGGGTATGTCTGATGATCGTTCCTCGTGCTAATCCTCCGTTAGACATAGGATCTCACGAGTCAGATCACTACGCAATATACAATATACTAAACTACTTACATTGCGCTCTTCGAGGATAGCAGCTCATCTTCGCCACCGACCTCGATTCATTCGGGATCCATTGAAGTCGAACACCAATGCAATAGCTGATAATCTTATTGACAGCCAGGTAAACCTCCTATCGTACTTGAATAACATAGCCGACAGCCACATTCAAAATGATAGGGCCCTGCAAAAAAAAAATGGTCTCGTACGGGCCACTCGTCCTGACTCGCACCCAACCACTGCAGCCAAAGAAAATAACGCTCAACGTCAGCCGACACAACAATGATGTCGAGAGCTCCCAAACCCGTGCTGCAGCCTGGGAGGAATACAGTGCTAGTCAATCCTCGCACGTCCGTCTTTGGGCTCTTCGTCAGCGCGAGTGGAAATTTGTGAGAGGCGGCCAATCATGTAGCTAGAAATGGTCATGGGAGTATGATTCTATGAACATGAGATCATGATGAACAAGAAATAACCATCATGGCCACCGATCGTGAACATATGTATCCCACTTGCCATCATCATACTGTATCATCATCATCGTATTACAATATATGGACGGCTGAAAGCGGTTGAGGGCATAGCACAAAAGTTAAATCTATTTGCGTTACTGCGAAGCATATGGTTTTTTCTCTCTAGCATCCTGTACATCAAACGCCTGCATGCACCATATGTGCAATTGCGGCAAAGGGGAAAAAATGAAAAAAGGACCGTGGGTGTGAGAGAGTTTCTCAAAACTTGCAAGCTAGGGATTGCTTTAGAATTGAAGTGGTATCATTAGGAATTCAATCGAGGGAATATGAAAACGGCGACTGTTAGAAAAGCAGGGCAACTTGCACCGAACTCGACGACCTGCAGATGTGTAAAGACAAAACGAACTCGGTGAAGGCTCGAGACGAGGAAAGCTCCGAACGCGAGAAGAACTAAATGTATAAGGTAAGTGTAAGAAGAAAAAAAAGTATATTACACACTATAAACAACCGGTAATAAGCTGGAAAGAAGACTACCGGAGAGGGAAGTAAGGAACAGGAAAGCCGAGAGTAGGGGGAGAGCGTCGAAAACCACAAAGACAACGATATATCGGTAATCACTAGAATAAAATAAAATAAAAAAACCAACCTCGCAGAAGGAAAAGAGACCGCGCAAGGAAAAACAGAAGGGGGGGTTTTGCGTATCACAGTGAGAGGAGGCAGGTGGGGGGTGTATGTATGTCGATACGGCGGGGTTAGGTGGGTACCGACGAAAACAAATGGGATATATAGCCACGCCAGAGAGAGAAAAGCTCCGAGATACATGATGCAGCGCGAAAAGAAAGAAAAAAAAATGCAAATGCGGAAAGAAAAGCCCACAAAAAGCCTGATATAGCTCGCGTCAGAGAGGGGGAGAGAGAGATGGGGGAAGAACAGGCGCAGGGAGACATTAGATGAGGCATGGTAGGGTCGGTCGGTCCGGATCAGAAGGAAAACAAACAGAAATTATGAATGATCATCCAATTATGTACCCTCCCGTCCCCACCGTCTAGAGCAATCCACATTCTCTCAGATGCAGCTGTAGCAGGATATCCTGGATAGCGCTCAGCACGACTGTATGTTGTTTCGAGCATCAGCAAGATCAGAAGAGGGTTGTGTGTGTGATGTGTGTGCGCGCGCCAAGGACGAAAACGGAGGGGTGTTCGAGGTCATTTGTGGGATGAGAAAGTAAGGACCGCCAAATCAGTGAGCCATGCGCGACAGGACGTCGGATCAAGAAGTCAGTTCCAGTCCATCAAAATGACGGGACGATTGAAGGGCGCAAGAAGGGAAGCAAAAAGATCATTCAATCAATCAGCTCAAAAGTCACTCATGCATCAGAAATAATAGACAAGGCACGTACACTTAATTTGCTGAGTATCCGTCGCACAAGTGTAATGCGCATAGATTTGCTTCGTCGCTGCACTCTGGTTGAGCGACACGAACCGGTTCAGGAGGTATGCACACGCTGCGTCGTAGTTGTCACCACCCGTGTAGTCTGGGAAGTAGTCGCCTAGCGGCGACTTGGGCAACTTCTCGGCGAACAGGTCGATCTTGTTAAGGAACAGGATCTAGACATGCCGACGTGAGAGTGAGAAAAGGATAACATCAAGACACCATATGTGTGCTTACAATAGACGTCTTGACAAACCACCGTGAATTGCATATCGAATCAAACAGTGTCAACGCTTCTTGCATACGGTTCTATCCACAGCCGTCAGCGACGGTTAGATCAGATTGATAGAACAAAAAGAGACAGGACGTACGACACTCTCATCCTCGTATAGCATCTGATCGTACTCGCTCAACGACACCAAGAACACCAGTGCCGTCACGTTCTCAAAGCAGTGGATCCACTTTTTCCGTTCCGAACGTTGACCTCCCACGTCGAACAACTTGTACGTCAGCTCGCCGACCTTGAACGTGGTCTCCGTGATACCAGTCGTTTTCACTCGCGACCGCAGGATATCTTGATCTGTGGGCAAGTACCCTGGTGCTGACATGCGGTCCAACGAGTTGAAATAGTATGTCGCCGAGTCATTGAGCTGGAACTCGCGTGAACGCGATACAGCCTCCCTGACGCCCTGGTCTCTCCATAGCCCGCGCAGAGCGTCCGCAATGTCTCCCGGCAAGACGTCGCCTTCAAGTTGAGGTGGTAGGCTGAGAATGATCGACCGTCGGGCGTCGTTTTGTGGGGCGAGCTGAATGTCCAGGTGGGGCATCGCCTCGAGAATGGCACTTTGGAATGGTCAGAAAGAGTGTATTTGTTATGGATGAGGGAACGTACCGCATCGATTGAATGGTATTAGAGAAGATGATCTCCTTATAAGAGTCCCGCTCCTGTTCATTATATCCACCATGGTGAATGAGCTTCATCTGTTTAAGTACAGTCGACTATAGTGGAATATGTTAGCATTCTGAAGGAGAGGAGACATGGAGAAAATCAGAGTCGGGCGACAACAGCGTGATAATGGTGTCGGTTGCGAGAGAGAAGACAGATATTTGTCACGACCTCCCACGCGCAGTTGATGTTGATACGAAATGAATTCGAAAAGCACCATCGAAAAATCATGACGCAAAGATGAGACGAACGGTCTGCTTCTGAGCGGAAAAAGAAAGGCAAAAGTTGACAGTAGAATGATCGACACCGGTAGTTGCTTTCAACTGCGCGCAGCGTTTGTGGATGAGGGGCACAAAGCAACGCAGACGTTCTTTTGCCCGATAGCAGTTTGCATGTATTGCTCGCATAACCGTCACGCAGGGCCGACCGTCGGCCCCAAAGAAAAAGGCAAGGACGACAAGCACACACCTTTCCGGACTCTCCAGCACCAAGCAGCAACATCTTGATCTCGTTCTTTGCCATGATACGATCCCGTTTGAGCTGGCTCTCGATCTCGTCATTGCCTGGCAGACAACGTAAGTGGGCGGGATGGAAAGACGCGGGCAATATGAAGTGCTACGTACGGGCCCTAGCCTCATCATCAACAGGAGAAGATTGAGTGCAACCCATGGCAAACAGTAGGAGGAGACGAGGGCAAAGGAGGAGAGGGAGATTAAGAAATAAAAAGAAAGGAGCGGGAAGGGTTTCCGGATGGCAGCAGGAGGCCGGGGAGAGGTGGGAGAGCTCAGTGAAGAGTGTAGACGATGGTGACCAGGGATAACGTCCTCCAAAACTGATGCGGAACATCCACACAAACATCCCAAAACACTCCCCGGCTCCTCTCTAGGCGCTCGACAGGTCGCTGCGGTCCACGGGGTCCCCCTCTAACCGACGTCTTGTTGTCCCTCTGGGGTCCTCTCCGTACCTCAATTGGTCTGCACTGTCCAGCAGCATACTGTACCTCCCATGCTTCTACATCAGCGCACCTCAAACCATCTCCTCGCCCATTCCGATCATTGGCGGACCACTCTGCCTCTCTTCAATTTTCATCGGTCGAAAAGTCTTTCATCAAATGTTGTCGGCGGCCTCTAGATCGTCTACCACTCCCCTGCAGCGCAATCCAGAGCAACCCCGAGTCTCTCGGGAATCGTACAGTGACAGCAAACATATCCTGCATCAACTCTAAAAAAGATGCGGTCCTATGGTCCGACGGAACGTCTTCTCTTACGCTTCTCAATCTGCGCTACTGCCACTGCGGAATGCGATCCTATGAAACTAGTGGCGTAACGCGCGTAACTTTCATTAAAAACCCCAGCAGAATGTACTTGCTTACGTCGCGAAGACCTCATCAGCGTTCTACGCAACATCATGATTTGTAGAGGTCTTCAAAGTACATTTCATTTCGTCTTCAGGACCGCGATATCTCCGAACTTACAAGTTACAGTGATGTTAAACGTTTCGTCTCCTGGCTCCCTGCAAAGACGAAACCAGTCACACCTTCCCGATCCGATTCTATTTCTTCTAAGTTCCAGTTCCCGCGCTTCTGCACACAGCTGGCGTCTTGTCAGAGGCACGATGAAGGCCACCCTTCTCGATCTAACACCTATCGACGACCTCCATCGGGCCTGATCGATGATCGTCGCAACCCCTGTATCGTCCTTCTGTTCGATGTAGACTATCAACAGATGGTGCCTATACTTAATAACCAAGTGAACTTGTGTTTCTTTTCTAAGGATGTTTTCCTGCTCGCTGCCAAACCGACTATCACACCGGTACCTACTCGAGTACATACAGTCTGTTAACAGAGGTCCCGCTTTCGAGGATGTTTCCAAGCTGGCGCTGCAACTTCAAAACTTCAACCTTTACGATTTCGACTATGTTAATTATTTGGGAAAAGGTGGACGACCTAATGACTGGCTTCACTGTCTATAGCCCACGAGCCTGTCTGCATCCATTATAGCTGTCTTATTTCTCTTTTCGACGGTTCTCCCACAGTGTGACCAGAATGTATTCTTGCATGCCGAAAGACAATGAAGTGGCTAGTTGTGATAAAGCGTTAGATAAGGACATCATAGAATCGACGACAAAGGAGCAAACTTCGCTTGAACCGGTGTGAGGGGTCAGTCAAGTAGAACCATGAAGCTGCATGCGGTAAGTGCTGCGAAAACGAAGAACCGTGAATATAGCGCAAGAAGATGAGGAATGCATGAGTCCCAAGGGTCAAGCGAAAACATTGAAAAAGAATGAGAGGGTTTGAATAGGCAATGATCCATCGTGCATACTATACACTCTATGTAGACAGTTCGAATAGAGGAAATCATGATAAATTACAAAATGGCTGTCATCAAGACGGACCTAAGAGCGCGACCCGACTTGGGTGAGCAGTATGGTCTTCCAAGTCTACGTTCGACAAGTCCGTACCCGAACTCAGCATTACTAGCCAAGTTTCAAGTTGCGATCCCAGACCGTTCGGGACCGACAGTCGGATAACGGGAAGTCGGGAACTCCGTGGCTATATCATACTCGTTTGAAATTGGGCCTTATGAACGGCTGAGTCACTAGTCCCCTTCTTCGATTTTCTCGATATTACGATATATCCCTTGTGTCGCTGCCTGAGTCCCTGTGAACGAGATCGTGCTAAAAAGATCAACGTCGACACTCAGAAATAAAAATGGCATTCCCTTGACGTTCGACGAACATAGTAGGATAACCTACCTCAAATTCCCTGAATCCTCTGGGCTGAGCCCTACAACGTCCATGTATAACCGCAACAAGATGTCCTGAATGGCACTCAGGACAACTAGGAGAAAGCGAAGGAAGAAATTCGCGAGAAATCAATGAGCACCAAAGGTATACTATATCAAAGCGTCAGAAACGCGGCTTACATTTGACCTGCTGCATATCCGTCGCACAAGTATAATGTGCATAGATCTGCCTTTTCGTGTTCTGATTGAGCGATACGAACCGGTTGAGGAGGTATGCACACGCTGCATCGTAGTCGTTCCCACCAGTACAGTCTGGAAAATAGTCACCCAAAGGTGAATTGGGTAGTTTCTCCGCAAACTTGTCAATGTCATTGAGAAGGAGGATCTAAAGTAAGGGATAGATGTTAGAGCATGATCAGGGGACAAGACGAGATCGTGTAAACTTGCAATTGACGTCTTGGTAAACCACCGCTCATTGCATATCGATTCGAACATGGTCAAAGATGCCTGCAGATGGTTCTATAAAGGCATTAAGCATGGACAGAGTGGGACCATAGATAAAAGACATACAACGCTCTTATTAACATACACCGTTTCATCATACTTGCTCAACGAGACCACGAACATTACCGCCGTCACATTCTCGAAACAATGTATCCACTTTCTCCGTTGCGTGAAACGCTGACTTGCTACACCAAGTAACTTGTAACTCATCTCGCCCACATTGAGTATTGTCTCCGTTATGCCACTTGAGGTTGCTTTTACTTGTAACTGCAAAATATCTCGGTCTGTTGGAACGTATCCCGATGCCATGATGCGATCCAGCGAATTAAGATAGTAAGTCGCCGATTTGTCGAGTTGGAAATTACGCGAATGGGAGACTACGTCCTTCACGGCCGGATCCTTCGATAACTTCCGCAGAGTATCAGCGAATTCTCCTGCTAAAACACCGCCCTGAAGTTTGGGCGGTAGATTGAGGATAATCGACCGTCTCGCGAGGTTTTCAGAGGCAACTTGGATCTTTACACGATCCATCACCTCGAGAACGGCACTAAAAGATGATAATAAGTAAGTCTCACGCTGATAGTGGCACAGGCAAAGGGACAAACCGCATAGATTGCAGGGTCTTGCTAAAGACGACCTCCTTGTAGGAGTTTCGCTCCTGTTCACTAAATCCACCGCGATGGATGACTTTCATTTGTTCAAATAAGTTCGACTTGAAAACAAGCATCGTTAGCAGGATCATGACGGTCGACGCACTGCCGAGGCGTTATACTGTAATGTCAGGGTAAAGAGACAAATTTCCAGAGTCTTCAATGCTTTGCACAAGCACATCGATCTTGTTTTTCGCCAGGATAAAGTCGTGTTTAAGCCGCGTCTCGATTTCGCCATTGCCTGTGAGAGGATGCAAGTGAGTAGGTTTTGCGGACGTGCCAATGAGGAAATGCGAGAGTACATACGTGCTTTGGCTTCATCATCGACAGGACTCGGAGAGGACTGTGTACAACCCAGTAAAGGAAGACTAGGGTAACGCAGCAGACGAGAGTTAGCGCAGCAAACTATAATAAACTTAGAGAGGGAGAATTAGTTTAATTTACAAGTCGCATAGCGGACGTGCCAGTGCCAGTGGAGGAGTATACAGTTAGGAGGAGGTCTACTCTCTTGCATCTTTAACGGTCTGCTGGCGGTGCTGACAGAAATGCAACAGTCTTGCCTCAGAGTGATGAAAATCGAGCAGCAGGGAGCCCGGAGGATGAACGACAAAGTACGTTTGGCTTAAGACAGGTAACGGTAGTCTTGTTGCAAACGCATAAAGAAAACAAGTATGCTACGGATTCGTGTACGCTACGATCTACGTAAGGTTCACGCTCCGACCGCTAATCTCCATGAGTCGCCGAAGCGCCCAATTTACAACACAGAGAACATTTGATGCTTTGTTGTATAGTATCTGCCATGCGTAAGACGACCATCATGATGATGTTATTGGTTCAACGCATCTGACTGTGACACTGGGCGTCTTTTTGTACAGCTTGATCCTGGTTGCTCGCAAGAAAGCTTCTACCATTTCAATTCAGTGGCAGTACGGTAAGAATGTTACATAGAGGAAGGCCTTCGAATTCGAAGGTCACATTCCAAGACCTTCATTCCTTTCGTCACGGAGCGAGAATACTGTAAGTGCCATCGCACGCCAGGAAACAATATATTGGCGAACTCTAACGGTCTGGTACTCTAGCAAGTACAAGCCATAAATCAACGATGAACATGAATAACCTACGGAAGCACTGCAACGAAGGCTGTGAGTACATAGGAGCAATGAGAACTAGTATCAATGTATGATTTGAATATAAAGTGCGGTGCATGCAAAATGGGGATGAGATGGTCGTGACGAGAACATTGCAAGAAAGATAAACAGCTGCTGAATGGGGAAAGGCGAATATGTAAAGACACAGCAAGGCGAAGAGTCCGGGCATGAAGGCATCACCAATCATGAAATCATGATACAAGAAGCAAAACGGGAAGACTAAGTCTAAAGCACAACCCAGGTCCCGCTTTCTCCAAAGAGCGTGAGGTGCAGGAGGAGGTACAATTGAAGGAGATAGTAAGGAATGAAAGGATACAGCATCATTGCAAACCCGCGAGCGTGCCGCCGAGCGATTTGCTGGTCGACCGGAGTTCGTTCAGCGACTGAATCTTCTATTTGGGACGGTTCTAAGCTGAAGATTGTAGAACCAGCGTCGTCGTGGTTAGATGCAACATCCAGCCGCAGTCATTGAGAACTCTCGCCGGTGGATACCCAAGTGGTGCTGTCCAAAACCTCAGCTCCGACGCCAGGACTTTCGGTATTGAGAGGAGTGGCCCAACCGCTGGAAGCAGCTTCGTTCTCCTTGTTGGCCTCTTCGGCATGAGCAGCCTCGAGTTCAGCAGCCTCAATAGCGGCCTTGTCCTCAAGCTCCTGGCGGGCCCTTTCGAGCGCCTTTTCCTTCTCTTCAGCGAGAACCTTGAGTCTCGCCTCCTCCTCGATTTTTTTCTTCTCAAGCTCCTTCTCGCGTTCCTTCTCCAAGAGCTCCTTACGTCTCTTCTCGCGCTGTGAACGAATACGGATACCAAAATAGTCAGCGTTGTTGTCAAGATAGGAGCGGCAATAGCCGATAAAGCCGGTTTGTGGGCGCGCCGGCGATCAGATTATCGATCTGTGTGGTTTGCTTACCTCTATCTTTTCCTTGAGCTCGCGAGCCTCCCTTTCCTTCCTCATCCTCTCCTTCATCTCTCGCTCGCTCACAACCCATGCCGCTGCACCGGCTGCGGCCTCTTCTGGTCTTGATTTGTTCTTCAAGAGATCTATATGCAATCAAACAATTAGCAACTTGATAGGCATGAAACTGCACGAAGACGTAGGGGACCAACATGCTCTGGAGGAAAATATACTTACAGCCTTGAAGCGCAGCTACGCTGAACTCTTCATCGGGAATCGCATCAGCGAAGCTCTTGGCCAACCTACTTAGCGTCTCTCCATCCAAAGGCACAGCCGAGTGAGAAATATCTTCGTCAACTGGAGGGGGAAGATACGACTGGTGCTTTAACGCTTCGCTAGGATTCACTTTGAATGCCTTTCTAGTCCTTGTTGGTGTCGCTGGACCCGAGGACACCGTAGATGATGACACTGTCGGTAACGACATGCTCGATCCCGTTGGACTGGACAACGACGAAGGCAAGGAGAACAATGTTGAGCCAGACGTTGATTCCCCTGAAGGTGTTGAAGGCACATCTGGCAGATCGATTCCCTCCAAGTCGCCTTCCAATACCTCGTTGTCCTCGTCGGTGGACGGGAAGAAATTACGGAACAGTAGCTCTGCTTGCCACTTTGACGCGTTCTTGAACTCAACCCAAACATCCATACGACCGGGACGGGACAACGCGGGATCCAAACGCTCAAGATGATTAGTCGTGCTGCAAGATGAGGTTGAGTAAGAAAACGGTCATTGATGCGTAATTAAATTCCTCACGCGAAGAGAATGCGGCCCTCACTAGCGGCAACACCATCCAAGGCATTCAGCAATCCACTCAAACTTAACGTATTAACATCAGGGACTTGATCGGTCTTCACCACACGTCTTCCGTTTCTCGTGATGACTGTTTGTGTGGTCGTCTCACTTGAAGTCTGCTCTGTGTTATTATCGTTGTTATTTGATGTGGGCACACCCGTCGACCCATCATCTCGCGATGTACTTCTGGTGAATGCAGCATCGAGGTCCTCTAGTAGAACTATGCATCGGGCTGGGACGCGTCCCATTAGCGTTGTCAAGGTGCTATCGTTGATCCAAGATGACGACAACGATACGACGTAGATGTCTAGCATCAACTCGCCGGCGATGGCGTGGATAAGCGAACTCTTGCCAGAGCCCGGTACACCATGTAGAAGGTATCCTCGACGGAATGGAATCCCTCGGTCCGCATACCACTGAACAATGAAAAGAACCACGCGTTAGCGTCATCCGACTTCCACAGATAGGAAATGAAAGAAGACACGTGAAGAAGCACAGTAGGGTACGTTTGATGGCAATATCTTCGATGAAGGCAATTCTTTAATCATGATCTCACCTTCTCAGATTTGAGGAAGTCCTTTGTATCAGCAAGCAGCATTTCTTTCACACCAGGATTCAGGACAATGGAGGACATGGGCCTCTTATGCCGCGAGTCAGTCCATCGCCAGCAGCCGTGCGAGTCGGCAAAATAGATTTGTATCCGGTGCACGGCCTCAGCTTCATACTCCTTCTTGGCTTGCAGCACTAGCTGTTTCAAGATCGAGTTATTGCGGGCAACAACGCTGATAGACAGGACCTCGGAACCGCTGTTGTTACGACCGCGTCTTACTCGGAGCCAGTGACCCTTGTAGTAAATGGTGTGGGTCGAGTTCGCCGTTGGCTGAAAGACGACACGAGTCTTAACCTTTCCGGGGACATCTTCATCCTCTTCATCCTCGTCTCCGAACGAGTTGTCTGCAATTTGGGAGCCGAAACCTGGCGTCGATGACCGCGTCGTCGTCTCAAACTCTCGCGAGCGTTGCCATTCAGGACGACGAGAGAGCCATAGCATCAGCCAGTCATACGGATAATCATCCTCGGAGAAGTGGGCAGTCAAGAAGAACGCTGTGGCGATGAAGACGAGTCAGTGACGCAACCCTAGGAACCATAGGTGGGTAGTAATAGTGACTCACAGTTAATAAAATGTGACCTAAAGACAATGTCGAGAACGCAATGGAAAGGGAATATGTCAGTGCACGAGAGGTGGCGGCGATAGTGTGAGTGCATACCAGCCAGTACTAGCCATTCGTCTAGCAGTCTCAACAGTGCCTCCGAGCACGACCAACTTCATACCGTCAATCATTCCAGAACCTCCGCCGCCGCCTACGAGAGGCTGCACGAGTGATTTGAGTACGTCCATGGGTAGGATGCAATATTCGTGCGGGTGGCAAAGCCAATGTTGCGACTACTACGGGTGAGGGAATGGTGGGTGTACCGACGAGCTAACGAGACGAAGGATAGTAGTAGTGCTTGGAAGACAAAGTACACAAAGACGCTGTCTACGCAATTTGACTGGGGAGGAAGAAGGGGAGTTTGTGCGTAGGGGCGATGAGGCGATACTTGGGTTGTAGCGCTATATAAGACGCGGTCTCTAAATGGCAGTTGTGAACACTGCGATGAAATACACGGATCCGGGCTGTGTCTCTATGTGACTCAAAGTGACTGCTCAGCAACGTTATCGACGACGAGGACGAGCTGGATAGTGGGTGAAATGAACCAAGGAAAGCAAACCGCGTAAGCACCTTGGTGAGCGGACTTTCCACCTCGTCGCCTATGGGGAACGTGTTCTCAAGCGCGGGAACGTGGTCCGTCTAACTTCCCCACCATCAACCACCGGGGCGGACTTCCATATGTCCATACTCGCAACCTGAGACATCCTCCTCCGAAAACATTCATAACGCCGCAGCGACGTGTAGGATACAGGCACAAGATCATTCAATTGAGGGTCTGCTCATACAAGCATGGAACATACATTGTAACCTCTAACTTGACCCTTGACATATCATCGGACGACCAACAGCGACGTCCGATAAGATTTAACAGCGTGGCACGTAAGGCGTATTCGGTCCAGCCAGGTGGCGAAGACAGATGCGGCAATAAATGCACCCAGTTGTTGGGCACTGCACGCAGCATCACGATGACAAGTCACTCCAAACTGTCCGAGTCAGTCATCGGTTGCGATACACGCTCAGGAATCCGAGTACAGCAACAATCGGATCGATTTCCAGACGAACAAGGAAGATTGGCAAAAACGTCATCATGGACGGTCGTCTTCACGAAAGTGTGGTGTAGATGACAGATAAGCGAGTAGAAGATTACAAAGCACTGGGGAGTAGACGCAGCAGGGACCAAGCAGATAGCATGACGGTTCAAGAAGAAAGGTGACGCTTCTCACTACCCATAGGGAAAGAATATATAAGAATATCTTTGGCGAGTCCTCGTGGCGACCTTGCTGCATATGCTTCTTGGGCGATGATGCGCAGATATGACCAGCAACGAATCATTGTAAGCCTTCCAAGCGTTTGGCAGAGAAGACGCGTGCTGTTAAGAGTTGATGTGATTATATGGCAAGGTCACCAGCGTTTGGAGCGAAGCAATGCCTGCCAGTCCAACGACGTGTAGGAACTTGTGATGGGGCGCATTAACATAGCCTGTGTAACCAAGTAGCCGCACACCACAATTGATGTTGATAGGGCCAGCGGGACCATATTGAATATAGCCTCCTGTAGCGTCCAGTCGCGCGAAGGGATTCTGTATCGAGTCATCAAGATGACCATTAAAGACTAGAGTTCCTCGGCAGTCGAACGAGGCAAGTGAGTCCGATGGCGACCCTAAAAGGGGTCAGCGTAGGATGAGCACGCTTGATGATGTCACATGTGCAGTGAGCTCTTCGGGAAGGGATGTATAGAATGATAATATGAAAAGTCCATCATCCGGTGACGCAATACTGTGGACAGATATTACAAGTATTGAATCACGGGCAGGAGAGCGAAGGCCATGGCCTGGAAGTATTGCAGCTGTGAGTAGAGCCTTCGGTATAGTTAAAGAGCCACATAACAGCATTTCCAGTCATTTCGTCTACAAGAGACAGAAAGGCCATCCGCCGTGTTGGCCATTCATACCGCATACATCATGATAGTAGTGGCTGAGCGCAACAGTTCATTTGACAGGCTCGAGGATGGCAGACCGGGGCAGACCTCAACAATTTGCACGTACGTTGCCTAAACACTTTTCAAGCAAAACAGAGCAAGAATCTTATATGCAGATGGAAGAAGCTTACTTACATCAAGGTCGACTCGAGAGACAAACTTGGAGAGACGACATAGACGCTCTATCAAATTGGGCAAGTGTCAAAGAATACCACCGGTTGCCACTGGCCCTAGAACAAAGGGTTGGCCAATGGTCGCGACAATGCCTTTATTTTCCAGACAAAAGGTCAATGCGTCGGATGTTGAATATCAGATAAAAGGCCACTCGTCCGCCGTCCTCCTTTCCTCTGCAATTTCCCAAACATACCTTCAAGCAGCCTCAATCCCCTTCATCGATTCTCTGCAAGCAACTTCGCGCACGCTCTTACAATGTCTCCATCTGCTCTGTTCAAAGCTCCGGTATACATCCCTTCAGAGTATAATTTCTCTGGCCTCCAGTTCGACGAACTTCCTCACTTGGCCAAACACTACTTGGCAAACGAGATAGGCATCACGTCCCCCTCTGATGCCACCTCCGAAGAACTGGTCAACCGATATATAGAGCTTGCATCTAAGCTCGTTCGTTGTCTAGAAGGGAACGATAGGGCCTTGGTGGAATTAAAGACTGACGCGCGACGAAAGAGCATCATTGCACCCCATGAACCCGAGATGACTACTTACGGTCGCGATATGGCGCGAGTCAAACAAGTACTCGAGGTCCTACTACCAGAGCGACAATCTATCTTGGATGACTTTGTTGTCAAATGGGACGCATTGATCTGGCTAGAGATGGAAGGTTTAGACGAGAGGACCAGGTTGACTGTCGAACAGCAGAAGCAGCATCGACATAACACACTGATCCCGGTGCTCGAACGATCGCAAGAGTCTCCCGTGGAATTAGATGAACATGTTCTGTTGCTGGAGATGCGAGTACGAGACAATCGTCATATTTTGCCGCCCAAGAGGAACAGTTTGCCAAAGGCCGATAGTATGTCGTCTCTCTGCTGTAACGGATAACCCCACTCACCTTCATGTGACAGCGTTTGGAAACTTCCGATTCCCAGCCCCACTGAGCTGCGAAGCGTAGGGCTGCTCACAGTCATTTCCGCATTACACTTCTTTGCTACACTCTGGACATTGCTGGATCGGGACTTTTGACGTCATGCTAGATCCCGTTGCGTATCCTGTACACGTGTAGGGCAAAGATGAAAGGAAGCAGAAGACGGAAACATCCTTGGCGTGAACGATGAGTAGATAACACGACAGATTGAGAGGCCTCTGCAACATGTCGCTGTTTGACAGGAACGATTCCCATGAATAGTATCAACGTACCAACCAGAAAAGTGAACGCGTGTGAGAGAACGAATGAGATATGCATTGTATGAGCCACGGTTTGGGTCTAGGGGAGACTTACTTTATGACGCGAACATCCCGCGGAAAAACCCAGATAACATCATATCTCTACGTCTGCTAAACCGGATTCCACGTGTGCCCTTTAGCCAACAAGTGGGCCACGAGAAGCATAGGTATGAAACATCGAGAACAGAAGCAAGCAATTAAGCAAGCAATTAAGCAAGCAATTCACGCATGAAATTTATCAGAAGACGCAGACTTTCCAGACCAAACATTTCACCGACATTTCAAAACCTCAGGATAATACAAAGTTACCTACCATCTCTAGTGAAGAGATTGCCGGCACTTGCAAGCAAACTGAGTGGTGTAGCGGTTCTCAGATTCAGATGTTATAATAAGCACATACGCACCTTGTACAAATATGGAGCTGATAACTTGGCAAGAAAATAGGTAGTAGAGTAGTGAGACCAGACCAGACTGTTAACATGTCCCGTCGCATGGAAACATAACGGGAACAATACGAGACTTTATTGTTGAAGAATGTCGTCGTCAAGGATGAATTCGTTGATAACTTTGCCGAGGCGAGTGGCTGAGAAAGTAACCTTCCATATCGGGAAGTGCCGGAGACTAAGTCTGCACCAGACCGAAGGGAGCATCCTGCACTGCGTCTTTGCCTCCACCTCCTCGTTCTCTCAACACAGTTCGCTCTAGTCAACCGAGACCTTATCTGTTGCTGGCCGAACGGATTCTTACCAGCCTTCAGTGCTTGCGAACCTTGAGAAACAGGTCATTTGGATCAACATGGAAGAATCAACTCAATTGAACGAATTACGAGACCTGCTGAGAAGAGCGGAGAGGACGCCGGTGAAAACCGCTGCTGTAGTGAGTGAGGCAAATTTTAACAAGTCTTCATATCTCAAGCAATAGCCCCTGTAGAGGAAGGATGCGTTCAAAAAGCTGATTGACCTGGCGCATTCACCATATTCGTCTTGCAAGTTGACGGTCGCCGAAAAAATAACACTTTTCATCAAGGACTTTCCAGACCTTGAAGATGATGCAATTAATGCCGTGTATGACCTATGCGAAGACCAGGATCCCACCGTATGTTTCCTGCTGGGTGCACTCTTTTCCTTTCACAATCGATCGACCCTATGAAATGTAGGTTCGAATAAGAGGATACCGTACCATTAGTGCGGTTTCCAAAGTTCAACAGAAGTGGATCAAACGCAATGCAGATGTCTTGGTTCAACTACTGCAAAGTGGTATGTACTATATTTGCTGACTGTCTTCATAGCATGCAGGTGGCGCACCGCCACGCGACGATATGATTATTGACCATTCGTGCAGATGATGCCAACGAAGTTGATGTGGTGAAACGAGCACTAACCGAACATCTGGATTTGGATCCTGCAACAACACTGGGAGTACTATGTGACCAGATCATCCCGGTTGGTGACCCACTCGACGAGGAAGAACAAGCTATTCGCGATCGACTTCGTTCTTTAGTGCTTGCTTATCTTTCGGATGACGCAAAGCGAGGTATCATCGAAAGACATGCCAGTAATCGACAAAGTCCCGCTGAAGATGTCCTTGTCTCGGGCTTGCTGAAAGTAGGTGACATAATATGATGCTATGTGCCGCCGCTCACAGATTCATGTAGGCGATCCCCAAACTTTCTTCAACGGATATCGACATTATCGTGAGAGATATCTTGCTGTCACTCCCAACATTCAGTCGGCATTCTTCACGCGGTCAAGAACTACTGGACATTATCGTTCGCCGAGCTCAAGTGATGTTAAAAGATGATTTTGTTGCCGGCTCCCTTGCGCATACATGGTACTATCTTGAGCTTGCTACTTTTCTCTCACTTGAGAAACAAGTTGCACACCCGGCATACTTTCTTCGCTTCCTGCAACTTTATGTCACCCCTCACATCTCTGGGAACAGGATGACTCCAGAGGATAAAATATTTATCTTCAAACTCTACGCGAATCTGGTCACAGTGGCGTTTGAGAAGAATGCAGAGCCCGGTGCTGATCTACCTTCCAATGCTGAGATAGATGTACTCCGTACGAATGCCGTCGAAGGATGCCCTGCATTGCTGCCGGTATGTGGTGTGAAGCGATCGTGGTCTTATACCTCACCCTGTTGTCAGGTTTTCATTGGTTGGAAGCAAAAGCAGTGGGGATTATGCAAGGTTCTTCTAAAGAACTGTTTATGGGTGCGTGTTGACACTCAATTCGCTAGACTTTGCTGAGATCCTAGCAGTGCAAGAATGACAAATCTTGGACGGCGCCACCTAACATGGTCAAGTTGTTGAAGGAAGTCGAGCAAGAAGCCGCAAATGCGCTGAAACAAGGAGAAACGGACAGAGTGTCCATGGAAGAAATTCAGAAACTCATTAGGGTTCGCAATGGGCCGCTTTTCATTCTAGCTGCTTGTGTCCAACGATCGTATCTTCTCTGTTTGAGCAGTCTATTCTTCCGCCCGTCGAGACGTACAGGCCAGCACAACCTCGTCTGGCAGCATCAACATCAACGACAACGATTGATACTAAAATCTCGAAAGGTACGGGCAATGTAGGCAAGACTAATGGATCGCCGGTAATCATCAAGCGCAATCGCGACATACCAGCATCGCTACCTCCTCGACCGCCACCCAGCATACAGTCAACACAGCTCAACATATCTCCTCGACGTGGAGACCGACAAGCGAAGCAAGATCAAGGTACCCCAACACGCACACGGAGTCAACCTGCTTTAAGTGCAAGTTTGGGAAGACCGGGTACACCATCACAACGATCGGCATCTCCGCTTAGAAGAGGCAAGCAAAATGGCGAAGGTGGAAGTAGACTTTCTCTCCTTAGCAGGATAGATTCATCGGGCGCAGGCCCAGGTAGACCACCGCCTCCTGCGATACCCGCCAAGAGACGTGCAGAAACGGAAGGGTCTTTGACGTTCAAGAGACCGACTCCGCCTCGGGGTCAGCGTGATATACCGTCATCAGGCGAGTGGAGTATTAAGGGAGCCGCGTCGAAACAGTCCGATCGCTCTCCCCGCGGTAGGAATGGATCTTTCTCATCATCGAAATCATCTTCGTTGTTGGAGAGATTGAACGGCGATGGGGATTATGCAGAGGCCGGTGAGCGGAGAGGGAAGAAAAGGACCAAAAATCTTTAGTGTGTTACGCATCAAGTTTTCTGTCGTTTTCTATGCGCTCGCTGTCATACCCCTCAGTCATATGCTTTGAAATATGCATATGTTTATTCGGAAGACGCTTTGGCCCCAGGATCCAACATGGTCTAGACAAAGTTTAAAAATGACTACATGTCGACTCGAATCAGAACAGAATGTGAGTGAGTGAATGTTTTCATCGTATGCTATATTGACCTGGTTCTGCGGAGCCAGAGATATTGTGTTGTCATCGACCATGTATCGAGTATTAAACGTCATCGTCTAAGGCTTCCCTGTCCAAACTTTAGAGAGAAATTCCTCCACATTGGTGAAACGATAGGAAGGTAAAAGTCGGTTCCACTCGTCTGTTACTACGAAGACGCCCTTTGCAATTCCAGTAAGGGTGCCTTTCAATGAGTCCCTAGATATGGTCTCAATTTGATCCTCCGGTATCCCGCGATGGGTAATAAGAGGGACCCAAGAGGTCTTCAGTTCGCCGGCTTGGACTTCCAGTTTCACGGCTTCGATTTCGAATGACTGACCTGTTCAAGGTCCGAATGAGTCAATACAAACATAAGTCACTACGAGAGTTCTCCTGTGCTGACATACCTCTGACTCTTTTGCCAAGTTCCAGAAGCTGCGCGACTGTGACTCGGTTACCACTGATACCGCCAACCACAGGCCATTCTCCTTCAAATTCGATGGCTTCAGCGACGACGTTTGCAACATCTTGAACTAATGTCATCGTCATAGCATCTTCATGCTCGTGACCCTCAAGTACGATAGCTCTGCGATTCTGGAAATCCCATGGCATAGGCACGAGTGCAAGATGCTCGGAGGTCTTATAAGGGTATCCAAGGTAGTTCAGGAAGATGCCAGGCTGGAACAGAGTGTACTCAAGGACCTTCAAATGGGGTAATCGTTCACGAGTCCATTCATAGTAGAACAAAGCCTAAGGGGATGGGTGCACGATACCTTTTCCTTTTGGTTCAGCTGACGAAGGTATTCACGAACGTCTGCTTTCCCGCTATATGGTGTGTGTGAAATAGTGCCGCTGCATTGGCTTGGTTTGAATCCAATTCTAGGTGAGCAAAGTGACAGGACTCACAGTGCCCATTCGCTGGGTGCAAAACGTTTCACGCCTGCCACCACTGCGGCATCGATGAGGTTCTTTTGGGAGCTATTCCCCGTGTCGGTTTGTACTGCGATGAATGAGAGTACAGTATGGACTCCGCGGAGAACGTTCGCCAACTGGTTCTTGTCCTGATAATTTACCTTGACATAGGTAACATCGGGGCGGACCAGAGGGTCAGAAGGTGGATCCTGTCAAATGATTCCGTTCCGAAATGAGTGATAAGCAACGGTATAGATGCGTGGAACGGGACTACCTTTCGGGTGAGGATGATCAACTGGTGTTTATTTCTGGCAAGAAGACCCGCAATAATCTCTTTGGCTACAGCTACATAGAAGGTTTTAAGCCAAAGGACGAGGGCCTGAGGTTATGCGGCTCACCGCCCGCACCAGCAACTGCGATCTTGACCATGATTTGTTTGTAGGCAATAAGACCATCTGACCTCGCCTTATATACAGGCCGTTGGACCAATGGATAAAGTGCAAGTCATCCGCCGCATGTCAAGTACATCTTGAAATGGCGTTGTCGGTTGAGTGGCGTAGCTGAATAATGTCAGAGAAGCGTTGTCATTTGTACAGGGTCCTGCAGAGTCTATACCACCCATCCATCTCAAGGCGAACGAAATAATATTTCGCGTAAGCATGTATGACATCAAAGGTCAATCCTGCGATTAACAGGGTTAACAACGGCTGTCTGCGGGGATCAGTGCTCGGTCGTAACTGATTGCTGTGTGTAAATCATTTTACGAACTACGATACACATTCATCAGAACGCAACACCGCATAAGGCGAGGTGGTCGATCGCAAGCTCTAAGGCTTTCCCGCCCAGACCTCAGTGAGGAACTCCTCAATACTCGTGAATTTGTACGAGAGGAGTAGCTGATTCCATTCGTCAGACGGCAGAGTATATACACCCTTTGAAAGGCCAATGAGGCCATCCTTGAGGGTGTTCTTCGAGAAGATCGGGACCATCTCCTTCGGAATAGAAGGGTGGTTCAATTCGGGGACCCATGAGGTCTCAAATGTCCCAGCTTCGACGTCCTCTAACCTGACCGATTCGAGTGCGAATTTTTTGCCTGCGAGGTCCATTTCAGAAAAATTTGGACAGTGACCAAAACCTGTCGATGACTTACCTCGAATTTTCTCTCCGAGTGCCAAGATTTGCTCGATTGTGACCTGATTGCCACGGATGCCTCCGACGGTAGGCCATTCGCCTTCGAAGTCGACAGCCTCGGCGACTACGTTGGCAAGATCTTGGACCTTGGTCAACGTCAACCCGTCAAGATGCTCGCGACCTTCTAACACAATACCCCGACAATTCTGGAAATCCCACTGAAGTGGGAGAGGATCAAAATGTTTGGCGGTCTTGTAGGGAAATGCGAGATAGTTGAGAAAGAGGCCACACTGGAACAAGCAGTACTCAATGACCTTCAGGTACGTGTTAGCAATATGATTGTAATGCGGTAGAATAATAATGGCCTGACAAACTTTCTTCTCTTGGTTCAACTGTCGAAGGTACTCGCGGACAGTTTCCTTTTCTGCGTAGAAAGGAATCTCTTTGACTTTGTTACTACGTTAGGATCAGTAATGCGTGTGTGAACGGAGAGATGACGAAAGCAACGTACGAGCCCCATTCGCTGGGAGCGAACCTCTTCACGCCCGCCTCGATGGCGGCATCGATGAGGCTCTTCTGGGAAGCACTCTCGGGGTCCAGGTGGACTACGATGAACGAGAGAACGGTATGAACACCGCGCAAAGCTTTCACCAGTGAAGCTCTATCGCCGTAGTCCACTTTAACATAGGACACGTCTGGATGCGTTATTACGTTTGACGGTTTATCCTGTCAATGCAAGTAAGTTTCAAGGTTGCAGAAAGCGATAACCGGTCCATACACTGCGGGTCAGAATGACCAACTGATGTTTGTTCCTGGCGAGGAGACCCTCGATGACCTCACTGGCAACGCCTACAGTGGAACGTACGGTACGTTTAAGAGGTTCAAAATAATTGTCGATTAAACGACTTACTTCCGGTACCACCAGCGACTGCAATCTTAACCATATCGTTCTGTAGTTCGGATGGGAATAGTTGATATCAACTTGTTGCAGATTTTACAACCAGGCAGGACACCTTTTATACCAGCACCCACAGCTGAACATTGTATCCCGACCACACGGATATCCGATCGTGGCTACTGTGCGTTGTCTTTGCTCTTCGCCGGCACTGACGCGTCGCCTCGGTCTGCCGTACCGCGTAACTCTGGCTTGTTCGTCCTTGTGTGCGCTCAGGTTCTTTTCACCCGGCAGTTGATGCGCCCCGGCTCAGAGCTAGACAGATCTATGCTACGGCTAGGAACAGAGCTGATAAGCAATATGCGAGAGTCGTTCCCCCGAATAACGCGGAAAGTACATCAGATGAATGCCACACTTGTTGGTCGCGATTTTACAGAATCGAAAGATAGAAGACATACGGAGTATCGACATACTAGTCTCTGTACAAAGCACAACCCTCCGCAGGTAACTTATCACCTACAAAATGTATCAGCACACATAACGGGTTCCATACTGTACATCATTAGGCATGCAACTAGGATGTCTTGCATGGCTTAAGGCATGGTTGAAAAAGATACTTGCTTGTTCTTCTAAAAGAACTAGCCCACCGCGGGGGTCGAACCCGCAGCCTTCAGATCCCGTCTAGCGAGTTCCACCCCGCCTTAAAAGTCTGACGCTCTATCCGATTGAGCTAGGCGGGCAGTTTAAATAAGAAAAATAATTTATAACAACAATAACAAAACAACTCTGGTTCGGAAAGCCGTGCATCGGCCGTGCAGATATAACAATAATAAGATCGTACTGGTTGGTATCAAATAACAAGGCAGTATGCTCCCGCAGCAGTCATACAACGTCAGGGCAGTAGTAGATAGATAATTAGTAGGTACAGTGTTGTAAAGCCTGAACAATAGATGTTCGCAGAGCCAAAATAATAATAATAGTAACCCACCTGCGAGGGCCGAACTCGTTGTATAAAACTCTGGCGGGACGTTGAAAGTCGGACAGTAAACTTGATATCAGCCAATGCAATCACATAAGCGCTCAAATACGTCAAGCGTCGAGTAGCCTCGGTGTGGCAGGCTAACGCATGTTCAGAAGACCGGAGTCTTTATATATAAAGTGTGCTGCCCTATTTCCATCGCGATACTTGCCGTCCATCCGCAGCCCTCTTTGGAATACAGTCCTCCAGACCAGCTCCTCCATGACAAGCAACGAGAAGTCACAACCTCCGGGCAGCGAGTCTCCGTCTTCAGAGCAACCGCCCTCCTACGAACAGCTTCGGGCAGAAAGGAATCTGAAGGAGACATTTGCCAAGATCGTGAATGACCAACTAGAGATTCAGAAGCTGTTTATATCCGTTGCGTCGAAACTGGAGACCACACCGAATATCGGAGAAGGGCATGCACTGTGTGATGAATGGAATGAGCTTCGTAAGGTAACGTTCAACCAACCCTCTGGGACAGGCGTCGTGCTTTATGCTTCGTCTATGCGATTGTAGAAGCATGCAAGGCTTTATCGAGATTCTCAGCTGAATGCAAGTCAATGTGCAAGTTTCCTGGGTAGTAAGTAAATGGTCGACATGGGCATACGTCGTTCCATAGCTAGCGACATTCGTAGATTACTCCTCGGTGCTTGTCCCGCTTTCGAAGTCGCGTATGACGATAAAGGAGAAGACCTTTATGATAAACAAGTTCATCGAGGCATGTCGGAACGATTTCCTTGCAATCTGTTTATTAAATGAACATTACACTGGCAGGCTATCCCCGCTCACGAAGAAGCAGCTAGGAAAGTAGCAATGAAGTTTCGTGAGCTCGCCAAACTAGTGGAGATCTTTCCTCATAAGGTGTCTGCGGTGTTGCGGGCGGAGGCGGATTCGCAAGGTTTCTGGTCTGGATTCTGGTCCGGCATTGAAGAGTGAGTGCATGCGTCTATATCATATTTCTGCAAGGTAACTTAGCTACTATATATTGATTAGACTGTGCATGTCTATTTGGAATGTGTGTGTTCAAGTTACTTTCTTTTGAATTTTGTTTGACGAGAGGACCAGGTTCTTCACGGGCTATTGATTACCATTGTGAACACGTTCCGAAGTATGCTTGCACGTATCGAGAACATCCGTGTATGCGGTCAGTCTTGTTCCTGATTTTATTTACGGGATGTTCTCTGAAGTTCCATGTCCTTCGTAGCCCCACTCATCGGTGTCCACATTGAGCTTTCATCAGGTCCGTCGAACGGCTTGTCCTTCTTGATGATTTTAACTATTCAGAGTATAGTGGGTTGTGAACCGTCGGCGACTGAGCCTTCTGCTCGCTCGACTATCGGTGAGGCCAGACACGATTGTAGAGCATTGGCCACACACCTCACCGGTTTCGAGGACGCATGGCACCTCGTTCGGTTGGCTTGTGACAACCTACTGCAAAGCATGTCCATGGCCAGTGCAGCCTCGGTGAGTCCACAGGTCCGCAATGTCTTATCTTCATTCTTCACGTTTCTCCTTGTATCTTCGTGTTCCGTCTCGCGTCGTTCAACTCGGCTAATTGTGGATTTGTTTGATACGTCCCAGAGCATACCCGAGGCTTTCAACGCCAACTTGAAGAACATTGAGGCGGTGCATGGTCCGCTTGTTCAATGTTTGTTGGCGTATGCTACCGGCAAGGCGCCGTTGTAATCTGTGTGTATGATTCCTATCCCGAGGTGAAGTTTGTGGCATTGCGATGAGACCATTTCTTCCCCGTTACCCTTTGTATCTTTGATACCCGTTGAAGCACTTGTAGGATATTATGGGCTTTTCACTATCCGCTTACTTGTTCGATTTCTGCACATTAAGCACAAGGCGAGATCACCTGTTATCGCCTACTTGGCGTGTCTAACTGCACATATGACTAGAGGTTCATTAAGTGGATCTTTGATCCTATATTGCTTCGAGGCTGTTCGTTAATATAAGCGGCCAAGGAACCTACACTCGCGTTTTCTCCCATAGAGGCTCTTCACCAGTTATCCTGCCCCAACCATCGCGAATGTGATAGTCAGGAACATACATAAAGTGAGTTCATGAAATATCCGTCAAGACCCACTGGATTCGTGCAACATATATATGCACGGCTCCGTTTCCACACTGCTTCCAGCTAGGGTGATTCGACTCTACCATGGGCTATACATATTCAAATGCGTCCAGGTGTTGATTTGATGTTCTATTTCTGTAAAATCAACCTTTGTAAGTTGCCAGAGGCTACGGTTATCATCCTATTTCCTCTATATTTATACAATACACGCTGTCTACACATAGTCTACCTAAAGTAGACTCTTGATGATACCGTCGCCTTCAACCAAGATACAAGGCCCACCATAGATTACTTTGTCAGAAAGATCATTTTCATCGATGAATTTGATGACCTCGGCATCCTCTGCTCCAGGTTGGAGCCAGAGAGCAGGGACACCGAGAGCCTTTGCCTGCTCCAAGATACCAAGGGTAATCTACCAACGATGTTAGCAGGCGATCCACCGTCGTCCGGGAGAAATACCTTACTCACCTTGGCTGGTGTGATAATGCTGACTGAGGTTTGCGTTGGCGACGGAAGGTCGGCGAGGGTTCGAAGGGGGCAAACACCCTCAAGCTCTTCTTCTTTCTATGCTCGGATATGATGTCAAATCAGCGGCAGGATTCGGTGGCGAATTAAAGCATACTGGATGGATAGGAGTCACATCTTTGTTTCGTACCAGATACCACTTTAGAACCTGCAATACTCGTGTTTGATATCCGATATGTCATCTGACATGCGTCAGACTGAACTTACTTTGGTCCCAAACTTGGTTTGATTCTTCGATGCGCCTACAACGGCATACTTTGGAGAAGACAAGAACGTTTTCTTGATTTCTGCTGTCCCAGGCATGATGCTGAGGACTTAACAATATATTTGAAGGAATGAAATTAGGGGTTCAGGGAGTCTAGTATGAGCTGTCAGCAGCGGATCCTATATTTATGGCTCTCGGTGATTTGGAGCACGCCATCGAGAATGATTGGACATATGGTCAATCATCCGGATGTATTTACTGTGTCAGCGTCTGAATGACCTTCACCGGAGACTGCATCAAGACTGCATCAACTCAGTGTGCAAGCCAAGTGCAAGCCATTCGAAGACTAATTGGCAGATTCTCATGGGTCATACATTGCCTGCCCTAAAGCATTTGGTCCGTGCGCAAAGCATCGGGGTATATAAGGAGGGCGGGGACATCCCGCACTCTTCATACTTACCTTGATGGCACTTGCCCCTTCATGTCCCGGGTTGGTGGGCCGTGGGACCTCTCCATAGCACGGCGACCATGTCCTCAGAGGGAGCCTGCGGTTTGTATGGGCTTCGGCTCATGCACCGTCTCAATATTTTCCTGTCCTGCTTCGGCCCTCGGGCTGGGCAGGCCATTATTTTTTGACATTTATTAGTCCTAACCCTAACCCTAATGTACATGACGCAATATATCGTATTACTGTCTTGTTCAATGTTGAACGTTTGAAATTTAAACCTGAAGTTCATTGAACATTTCTTGGTATTGAATATTGAAGGTGAAAGAGGAGGCAATTCAAAAGCACATGATGCGTTCGTTGCCTTTGCACCTTCCAAGTTCTGTGCGCGACCGACTTCCACATCCCAGTCGCACGGCATTGCGTTGGATATTCTATGGCGTCCTGCTAGGCTTCTCGCTGTCAGTTACTTCGACTTCTCTTGCTTTGTACTTCCAGGACCGGAAGCGCAAACGCATCGAAAAGCAGTTCGAGCCAAGGCCAATCGAACTCCGGAGCGATGAAGTCGTCAACGGAGTTACCGGCTTAATTGGTATGTGTTGCTATGAAGTTATAGCCTGCATCCTTCAACGATAGATATCTGTTTCTTCTATAGGGAATACGCCGTTCATGCGCATCAACTCTCTGAGCGATGCGCTCGGCGTTGAGATTCTTGGGAAAGCAGAGGTGCAGATCCACCTAACGCTCACCATGACCTTCAGTTTACACTTTGCTAGTTCCTCAATCCGGGAGGAAGCGTAAAAGACCGTGTCGCGCTGCGGAGTGAGTACCACCGATTGAGCGTGCAAGTGTATGGTCTGACTATGAAGCATCGAGTTTGCAGTGATCGAGGATGCTGAACGTCAAGGTCTCTTGGTTCCTCACACCGGCTCTCGTATATTCGAGGGCACCGTAGGGTCTACTGGCATTTCGATAGCCACGATAGCAAAGGCAAGGTAAGTGGAAACGGAACGTATAGTCCGGGAAATATAATCATTAATCATTGACTTCTACAGAGGATATGAAGTCAGTAAGTGAACGTGTGTTGACGAATTCCTCGGGTAATGCTGACTCATGGTTTCAGCAATCATAATGCCCGACGATGTTGCAGAAGAAAAGGTGAAGGCACTTCTCGCTTTGGGCGCAGAGGTAGAACGAGTCCGCCCTGCGAGTATCGTTGACAAGAAACAGGTTAGCTGCTCTGTGTTCGTATGATCAAAGAGATGCTGACCGTGTATCCTTCGATCTGTAGTTCGTGGTATGTTTCAACAATTTGTTTACCTCCCCTTGGATTGACAGGTTCCTTCATAGAATCTTGCTCGTGAACGTGCAGCTCACTTCGGCCACACCGCCAACCCTCGTCGATCAATGCTTCGAACATCGTCATCGTCTGTAGTAGTAACAAGTACTGCGTCTGAATCCGCCCTAGAAGAAGACCATCTTAGGACCCAGGACGAGGAGGAGGAACTCCGGACTAAACCTCGAGGGTTCTTTGCCGACCAGTTTGAGGTAAAGTACACATGTTTCCTATCCATCCACCGAGAACTTGTCAAATAATTTGAGAACTATCTCAAGAATCATAGTAACTTCGATGCCCATTACTATGGTACCGGGCCTGAGATTTGGAGACAGACAAGTGGACGAGTGGATGCATTTGTCTCAGGAGCAGGTAAGATTCTCAATTCTTCGTTCGCTCTCAGCACGCCTTCATGACTGTGATTATAGGTACCGGAGGCACAGTATCCGGTATTGGACGATACCTCAAATCAATGAAGGACGATGTCCTGGTCGTGTTATGTGACCCAGAAGGTAGTGGGCTGTACAACAAGGTTTGTCGGAGAGCATGTGTTCGTTCGGACACAACTAATTGTCGACTATCAGGTCAAGCACGGCGTGATGTTCGACCGGAAAGAAGCTGAAGGGACAAAGCGAAGACATCAAGTTGACACAGTAGTGGAGGGAATGTGAGCAAGATTTGTGTCTCTGACGCTGTTGTCTTCACGTATCTTCTACAGTGGTATCAACCGATTGACTCATAACATGGAACTCGGCCTCCCCGTGATCAGCGATGCATTCCGGTATGTTTTTCCTTTCACGTATGATGACGACCCGTTAATCGCTTTACCCTAGTGTTACGGATGCAGAAGCCGTCGCTATGTCACGATACCTCGTTCAAAACGACGGTCTCTTCCTGGGCTCAAGCAGTGCTTGTAACCTGGTTGCATGTATAAAATTGGCAAGGAAGATGGGCTGGAGTGATGGTCAAAGAATCGTCACCATCCTTTGTGACTCTGGAACCAGACACTATTCCAAGGTCCGCTTCCCGTCTCAGTACATCTGCATGGATTAACCTGATTTGAATTTTTTTAATCTTGTTTGGCGGCTCTTTGTCTCGATCTATACAGTTCTGGTATGTTCACATTGTCAATACCCGTTATGAAGATTCTCATGAGCATGATAGGAACGATGACTACTTGCATCGCGCAAACGTCCCAATCGATATTCAAATCATCAAGGACCTTCTTACAGGTCCAGTAAGCACAGCAACTCCTGCCTAGATTTAGCGTAAGACGAACAATGGACAGCTGAAGTGCACGATAGCTAACGATGGCGCCGTAGGCGTGTATAATACAATACAGTATATGTAAAGACTATGCAGGATATATGATGAGTGCGTGATGGATGTCCATGCGATGATACAACTACAACAAACATGGAGCGGGTGAAACAGTAACACAGGGAACAATCTTAGCCAGGCTGCCAAGGATTGCTCAACGTATTCGGTACTGTTGATAGCGAGGTTGAGGGTGTGAGAGCTGGTGCGGATAGATTGGGGAGGAGCGGGGCGTTTGTGAACGGAGGTTTGGGAGAATTGCGGACATGAGAATCTTTGCTTGGGGATGCACTAAGCGAAGGAGTAGCGGAAACTTGTCGGCTGAATATGTGACACTCCGTCAGAAAAAAAAAGTAACTCAGATGTGAGGGCTAGCAACTCACGCAGCATCCTGATTTGACTGATTCTGAGCTTGATTCGGGTCGGTAAAACCGACCTTGAACGCTCCAGTTTGTACAAGAAAGTCCCAAACGCGACTCGTCTTGTTGACATCGATCTTGACCAGATCGCGAGCTTCTCGACGACGAAGCTTTCCACCACGCCTGGAGTATTCTCGAACCAGGGTCTCCTTAACCACGAGATACGGCTTGGGCAAAATTCGTAATGTCGAGCAGAGGGTCTGTTCCTCCGGCGTAAGAAGATGCAATGATGGACTGTTCGCCAGATTGAGAGGAGCGGCTGTGCGACACTGTCAACAAATGAACGTGACACGTAACATAGGGACTTACGCATTTTGCGACCTGGCGGACCCATACCGGACGCACTGGAGACCGAACCGCCCACTTTTGGCGTGAGCTCACGTTCATGACTCCGCCGACCGTCGTCACGCCGGCCATCTGGACCAATGGATTGTCGACCACCACTGACACGTAGAGACGATCGATCGGCTCCAGAATAGTAGTCTCTGGAAAGATTCGCTTTGACTTGTTGCTATTGATGTAAGTGTCAGAGACAAATATAATGCCGAATTTGTCAGATGCGGACGTACCCTTTTGACCAGGTCCGCCTCGTATTTTTCTATATCTGCTGCCGATGTTAAACCCATTTGTCGGTAGTGTTGAAGCTCTTGTATTCGTTTGCGAAGTACTTGTTCATCTATAGGAATGGGCGTCAGCGGTATCAGGAGTCAGCGAGTGAAACTTCATACATAGAATATCTGCCACAAAATGCTCAAAGTCCTCTCCGGTTTGGAGTTTTGCAAATGGACGCAACCGCACTACAACGTCTTTTTCCTCTCTGGGACGCTTCTTATCCGCAGCTTGCATCTATTGCAATCCATCAATACTAAGGACCGGAACTCAACAGGTCGGACCCCTACCTGTTTATAATTTAGAAGACCTCTCTCAAACATCAGCTGCTTGTTCTCCTCCCGCTTCTCTACTCGCTGGCGATACATTTGCAACAAAGTGAGCTTGAACGTTAACGAATCATCCGTTTCAAACGGTGGTGGTTGTATTGGCTCTTCCTCAGCTGCCCCCTCCTCGTTCGCATCGTCCGTCTTATCATCGACAGTCGGTGGTTTGACTTCTCGCTTCGGCGTGTCACCATTAATATGGTAGCCATTGGGTAAACCATTCATGAAGCCGTTCGGAAGTCTCTTCCCAGGGTGAGCTTCCCGCATCTTGCTCTCTTCTTCCCACCGTAATCGAGCCTTCACTTCCGGGTCATTCTCATCTTCTGGGAGTTCGTCGCCACCCCATTGAAGAACGACGCCAAACTCTAGATCTTTGACAAAGTCTTCAGCTTCGTTATCAAGCTCGTGTTCAAACTCTAATCGTCCCGGAAGGAATGTGGCAACTTCGTGTACGCCGGGAGCAGATGTTGGCGCAACTTTCGGTGCTGGCGGAGGATTGGTATTCATAGCACATATACGGCGACGTTTGCGTTCGTGAAACTCCGCAGGGTCAATACCGAACTCGCGATCCATGTGCTAGAATTAACAGTTTTAGTCGAAGTGAGCGGGTACCACGTCAAGAAGCTTACCGGCATCGGCCAATTGGGAGAATCGATATACACAGCTTTGTAATGTTGCTCGACCTCCTCTTTTGTTCGTGTACCAACATGCTCGGCAATGGCTTGCCAGTTTCCTAGTCCCTGCAATGATATACCATGCAGCAGGAGCAGTTCCCTGATAATGAAAATAATTTAGAATTCGATCACGTGTGCGGTTTAAGAACTTACTCATCCGCCCCCCAGTCTTCGACAAATATAGGGTATGAGTGTAGTTCCTGCATAGCAAGTCAGGAACTCGTCTTAGAGTTATTCCATAAAACCACCTACCACTACACGATAAGCGTGGTCTCTCTTATGCTGGCTGAATTCTTTTCCAGCACAGAAACATGCTGGACATATATCCACGCCATCTTCTAATGATTCGCACACAGGATCTGCACATTTTATTCGAATGGAATGGGTGAGGTCGCATCGACATGCGTCGCAGTGTATTTGTACACCGGGTTCGTTAACGGCTATATATTACGTAATCGAAAGGCGTGAGAATACGTTCGTGCAGATTTCTGGAGGGCAGTTTGTCTAGCACCACCAAGAAAGCATACTTACTTTGAATTTCCTCCGGTTGATGCTGTCGTTTCCGGTGAGTAATAGTCATATCTCGCACCCCAGACCCTAGAAAAGAGATCCCGCAGAGTTATGATGTCTCTCGTCGAAGGCGAATAGGTGAATGAGACCGGTCGTCGAGTGCTCAGAACGTGTCTTGATTGGCGGTACGGTATCCAGAGTGCATGTACGATGATTTTAGGTAGGTTTAATCGCCTCGAAAAGCACTGATTGTTGTGTATGAAGGCCAAAACCGTAGTTACGGTAGACGCTGTGGCACCCGCCCTTGAGTAAGATTAATGCACCCCGAAGCAGGTTCAGATGAATAGTATGTCTCGTTCCTATCGTTCAGCCCGAAGAACGAAGAACGAAGGAAGAGGCAGATGTCGAGAATGTCGTCGTCGTCGTCGCAGTCGATGTCGCCGTTTGGCGGTCCAAGGCGGGTGTTTGGCCATGTTTGTTTGACTAACAATATTGTAATTATCGTAAATTATCTATTGTTTACCATGTCACAGCCGTGACTAAGCCCTAACCTTACCACCACACGCTGTTACAGTAAGTTCAGCTCTGCCGAGTCCTCAACTCTCCCTTCTCCTCCATTGACCCACCCGACGTCCCTTTGCTGATATTTAGAGTCTGTAGGGCATACGAATGAATTAGGCTACTACAACAATGGCACGTTCTCCTTCTCCCGCAATAGGCCGTACGCTCGACATCGAGTTGTCTGGCCAAGAAATTATCTCTGTCGAACTTGACAACTTGGATCCCGACGCGTCCGACCTTCTCGATGTTCTCAGAGATGCCCAGTCTCCGCCATGGATATGGACAAAGCTCGCAGCGGAGTACTGGAAGCAGGGACACATGGAGGCGGCGGAGAAGCTTGCTCAGAGTTGCATCGAGAGTTCGTCGTTATTCATGTCCGGTAGTCACTCATTTTAACTTTGTACGTCTCACAGCTTTGGAGCGAAGTGGACAGGACCACAATCTTTCCCCCATTTACTCATTGATTGCTAATATGCAAATAACTCGCGCACAAAAGGCTCCCAAGATTATCCTACATGATGCTCGCCTCGATGACCAGAGGGCGGAGAAGACTCGAAAAGAATACTATCAAGACGCAGCTCAACATATGAACAAGGTCAATGTAGCGCAGAGTGGGGGCGTATCAGCCATGCTCGGATTCCTGACGCGAGGTTAGCTACTCGATCCATCCCCTCCCCTTCCATCTAACGGGCGGTGATAGCCATTCTCCAGTTGGGCAACCAGTCAATGGATGACGCGTTACGCTCATTTGAGGGCGTGCTTGCCGAGAAACCAACCAATATCGTTGCATTGTTGGGCAAGGCCAGAATATTGTTCACTCGTCGACAATACTCTCAGGCATTGAAGCTGTTCCGAGAGGTTCTCAGGCTGAAACCCAACTGCAAACCCGATCCTCGCATAGGTATAGGTCTCTGTCTGTGGCAAATGGATCAGAAGGCGATGGCGAAGGCTGCATGGCAGCGGAGTGCTGAAGTGGTGAGTCTTTGTGCTACGAGACGCAACGGAGTACGGATTTGACTATTTGTAGGATCCGAGTGCATGGCCATCGCACCTGTTGCTTGGTCTTGAGGCGATCAATGCCAGTAAAAATGAAAATCAACCGGAAGAAGAGCGAAGAACCGAATTCTTAGTTGGCACCAAACTTGTCGAGAAGGCCTTCAAGACAAACCAGAAGAACTCTGCAGCCGCCAATGCTTTGTGCGAACTATTCATTCGCAAAGGACAGTACAAGAGTGTAGGCAACTCTCGTTCTACTATAGATATTTCCTTCATTTATTTGCTTGCAGGCTCTGAAATTGGCTGAGCGTACCATTCAATTCGCAGACACACTAACGGTACTGACGGAAGGTCACATTCGCGCCGGTCGTGTTCTGCATGCGGAAGGTTCCACATCGGAAGCCATGAAGCATTACTCGATAGCGAGGGAGGGTCAACCGACCAATGTTTTGGCCGCGATTGGTCTTGCCCAAATGCAGATGCACAATGGTTTGTCCTCTGGCTGCACTCGCAATAGCTCAAAGCTGATTTCTCGCAGATGAGATACCCGGTGCCATCCACACTTTAGACACACTGATCCAGCGGCCACCTGCGAGCGAGTCAATGGAGGCCACCGCGATGCTTGCTTCTCTGCGTGCCCATCCGCGCCCTGGTGTTTCCAGCTCGGACCAAGCTCAAGAGAAAACTCGTGCAAAGGAGCTTTTTGACCGTGTTTGCAAGACCCTTGGACTGCCCGAAGACACTCACCCACAGTTGAATGGTGCTAAGCTACTGACAGCCCCTACACGCACTATCGCTGAAGACAGCGAACTCCACCTTGAGATTGCACGACTTTGGCAAGTTGAGAACCTCGATAAGGCCGAGCGCGCATACCAAGAAGCTCTGAGGCTGAATGAGGCTGCTGGTCGTGCAGAGCCACGACTGTCGAATAATCTCGGTGCGATACATCAGTTAGCTGGTCGGCTGGATCAGGCAAGAGTGATGTATGAGAGTGCGTTGACCACAGCTGCTGCGCTGGAGTCCAATGCTGGCGAGGGCATGTCGACGTCAATTTTATACAACCTTGCTCGTGTGTATGAGGAGCAGGGAGCAGAGTCTATGGCGAAGGAGGCGTATGAGAAGCTATTGACGAGACATCCAGAATACGTTGATGGTGAGTTTGTCCATGCCTTTTGATGATCGTTGTCTGACGTCTTATCTAGCCAAAATTCGACAAGCACAAATGCTTGCTGATATCAATAGGAACAACGACGCTCACGAAATGCTGAAGCAGTCATTAGTCTCACAAAATAATAACCTCAACCTTCGCGCTTTCTACACTCACTTCCTTATACAGTCCAATCTTCCGAAGCCAGCCAAGGAATTCGTCTTCGCGACATTGAAAGACCACGACAAGCACGATATTTACTCGTTGTGCGCTGCAGGTTGGATTCAGTATCACCAAGCGAGAGAGAGTCGTGACCTCACTCCAGAAGGTATCAAAGAGCGAAGACGTGGTTTCCAACGTTCAGCGGAACTCTACGACAAAGTTCTGCATCTTGATCCTACATGTGCTGTTGCTGCACAAGGATTGGCTATTGTCATCGCCGAGGATGCACTCGGAACCTTAGGTGGCTCCTTAGCAGCCCCAACGCCTGATGAGAATCAGAAAAGACTCAAGAACGCACGTGAAGCATTAGATATCTTCGCCAAAGTCCGAGAGTCACTGGACGATGGCAGTGTGTACGCCAACATGGGACATTGCTACTTCGCCAGTGATGACTATGACCGTGCTATCGAGAGTGTATGTCTTCCCATTTTCGTTCCTGGTCCTTTCTCTTAACTGATTATTCTTTAGTATGAAACTGCTTCGAAGAAGTTCTATCATGACCATAACGTCTCTGTGTTGATCTGCCTTTGTCGTGCCTGGTATGCAAAAGCCAACAAGGATCAGTCCTTCACAGCTCTGAACACTGCGCTACGATATGCCCAGACTGTACGTCTTCTGTGTTGTGTGTCCTGATGTTTTGTTGGTCTAACAAAACCTTAGGCGTATCATTTGCAACCGTCAGATAAAGTCATCTTGTATAACATTGCCATGATTCAGCAGAAGGCCGCTGAGATGCTTATAGCATTACCACCCGCTAAGCGATCTCTGAAGGACTTGCAGAAGGCTACCGAACAAGCTGCCAATGCTCAAAAGTGAGCTTCAGCCCACTGCCTTTCGTCTTTGTCACCCATATTAACGAGCTATGCTCTGTAGGCTCTTTGCTTCTTTAGCCGCAGACAAGGCACAAGTGCTCCCTTACAGCCGCGATATCGCCGATCAGCGACGTAAGTACGGAGATGGTGTGCTGCGAAGATGCGACGAGCATCTTGCAAGTCAGCGGCAATATGAGGCAGAAGTTCAAGCCAAGGTCGAAGCTGCACGCCAGAAGAGGCAAGCGGAGAAAGAGAAGCAGGAGGCGCTTGAGGTATGTTGTATGAGTGTGCTGTACTTCACATGGTTGCTTATTTATTACATACAGCGTGAGCGGATGGAGGAGATTCGGCGTCGGGAGGAAGCGTTGAAAGAGCAACGTCGCATTCAACGCGAACAGGCGCAGGAGTGGACGCGAGAGTTCCAAGCAGAGAGTGATGAAGAGCGAGAACGAAAAGCCAAGAAAGGTACTCGGCGGCCTCGAGCGGAACCAACTGGTAGTGGTGATGAAGCCAATGGGGAGCCTAAAAAGAAGCGACGAGGAAAGCTCAAGAAAGGTGCCGAAAACGATGAGGAAGAAGCGCTGTTCAGCGGGGAAGAGGAGGCTGCTGATAAGCCATCTCGGAAGGTTTGTCTTGCCCCATTAGTTTCTTGGTCTATTGTGCTTATGAAGTCTATAGCGTCAGAAAAAGAGGGTCGTCCGAGATGATGACGAAGCCGAGGTCAGCGCTCCTCGGAAAAAGCAGTTGTGAGTGGTGTTCTGAATTTTGCATCGTCCAGCAAATGAAGCTAATCTATACACTCATAGCAAAAGCAAAGAGTACATCTCCGATTCTGACGAAGAGATGTCATGACCTTGTTATTCCCCTTGCTATCGTTTTGGATTCGCTCAATCTTGTATTCGCTACCATATGATCTATTCGCTGTGCACTGTAGTCTTAGCTCTTTTGTAATAGAACCATCTCGCATTCCGATGTTCATATTTCTAACACAGCAGTCAAAAGAAGTTCCGGAACGGTTTTGTTTCCCCTTCGTCGATGTGATGAGCAACCTCGCTTTGCGACTTTCCCCCCACAACGACCCTGCCATGCGCCCAATCACGGATTAGTACTCCAGCAAGTGCATTCCGAGGTGGAAGCTTGAACGCTGGATCGTTCTCCTGGCTGTTTAAGGCCGCCAGAACTTCCTCTCGCGTGTACCATTTGGCATCTATACAACCATTAACTTACTTTCAACCTAGGAGACTTTGAATATATATCAAGTGCTTGCCTTCGAGCTCATTGTCAAGGTCAAGTTTTATGGGTACATCGGGGTCTGCAATGGCATAAAATCCTGCCATTATGTTCGCCGGGAAAGGCTTTACAGTCAAAAGATAGTTCATGGTTATGTCAGATTCAAAGATGAATCGCAAAACGCACCCACGGTTGGCTGGAATGGAACTGTATATTCCAAACTTTGACTGCAGCTTCTTCCCAGAGTTCACGTTCAAACGCATCTTCGAGCGATTCGCCTGGTTCAACGAAACCAGCTAAGGCAGAGTAGAACTTTGGTGGCCATCGTTGCTAAAGCAATGCGAACGTGAGTGATAGAATGCCGGAGGACATGGAATGCCCACGTTGCGACCTAGGAATATCTTATTATTGTCCGGACTGACGACAACCGCAATAACCACAGGATCCGTCCTAGGGAACGTAATATTGTGTAGACCCGTCCTAAATTATTAGAAAGATGTCTGACGTTGAATACTAAAGATATCCAGAGGTAGTTTGAAGACGCACGCTGTAGGACATGGCTCTTTCCCAGTATTATCCGTCCACGGCAGCAGAGACGAACATGATCGTTTCCACCCAGCCCATTGTGAATAGACTGGTGAACCGCATCCTGCGCAATACTGGTCGAGATATAGTCTGTCAACAATTTACGTTAAGATATCATTCAGTTACATCACCTTACCCGTATCCGCGAGTTCCAATCCACAAGGGTCCTCGCTTCTGCAAATATTGCACTATCGACTTGGGTTAAATGACCCATGGCAGCTCGACCATCGATGAATTCGAGGCTTCTCCCCCTCTTGGCTAAACTGCAAGCATGAAGGACTTGGTCCACCTCAGCTTTATCGAGCTTAGTAACATCTAGCGCGAAGAAAGGCGAGCCTTTGATACGAGCAGCAATAGATGCAGGATCCGCTTTTGCACTGAATTCGGATGAGGGCAAGACGTTTCCAATTCTGTCTCCAGTGTCAGGTTCGAGCAATCCCAGGAAGGCAATGGGAGGACCATGTAAACGAGCAGACTCCAGTGCGGCGACGGTAGAATCTGCCAGTTCGCCTGCATTTTTCCCTTGAGCGAAGTATGGTTCTGACCCCAGAAGAGGTTTAACATCTTCTGAGGTGAGGCGTGCAAGAATGAGAGACTTTGGCTTAACCGACTCGCTGGAGGGTTCGGCATCGGATCCCATGAGAAAATTACCATTCTTGAAGAGCACCCAGCGGGTCTCTGAGGATGTCACAATCGCATTGAGGAAGGGATGCGATGTCCTTAGCCAGGCCAAACGGTTCAGAGGCAAACCAGCAAAGAAGTTTGTGTGTGCACTGAGTGATTCGGATAGTTGTAAGTAATGATGTTGAGTTTCGCCTGCCACATACCCACTAGCCATCCTTGTAGAAGTACAATGTTTGGAGTGAAACCTGAGGGCTGTTCTACTTCCAAATGTGTAAGTAGCTAACCGATGGAAGAACCAAGCAGGCTGAACACGACGAGGGTTAAGTACCCTCATCGATGCGATTGAACCTAACTACGAATGAATTGCGTCAAGAATGTAGAATGTCAGCTGAAGCCTATCGGGCACCCAGAGTTCTTCTTATAGCAGATTTCTGACATGTACAAAGCATTGCAGGTTCGGGCAAAAGCGGCATGTGTGATCATGGGAACAAATGGCGTAGCACGGTGAGAACGACGGGCTCTGCACTATAAATGCATGCTCACAAACACTTTCGTATCACCTCGGGCCTTACGAGAATCGTTGGCCTACTCGTAGCAATGGATGGCAAAGTTCGGAAGTCAGCGATAGAATGAGAGTCAATGGCACCACTGCAACAGTCACGCTTGCTGGCTCCTTCGGGAAAGGAGACTACCTTATCGGGCGACAATATTCCAAAAACGGTTACTCCTGGAGCAAGACGCGTTGACGAGGATCTTCGCCTCTATTCTACAATCCACCAAACCCTAAGGGTATAACTCTAAAGATTACCTTTCTTCTGTTCAGAATTTCCAACATAAACCTTTCGGTATGCCCAGTCACTGATTAACAGGCCCGCCACGGCAGTAACCGGTGGTACTCTAAAGGGAGGTTCATCTGAGGTTTGTTCGGTCGCATTGCTGCCAACTTTCTTTTCGAAGGGCTTCTCAGGTCCTCGCGCGTTGATGTTAGTGCCTTCAGGGTTTGTGAGAATAGCAATAATCTCCTCCCGAGTGAACCACTGCGCATCTGCGGATGGAACATAATGGTGAATAGTGTCACCTGAGGAGATGAGGACAGACTCACCTTCAAGCTCATTATCAAGATCCGTCCGAGTCGGCACAGAAGGATCCGCAATTGCATAGAAACCGACCATTAGATTGGCAGGGAATGGCTAAGCCAAGTCATTGAGTAAAGTACAAAACAAGTGATACATCAGACTAAGACATACCCATGGTTGAGTAGAATGGTATCTCACTCCCCATACCTTCACACCCGCCTCCTCCCACAACTCACGCTTAACAGCATCTTCTAGGGTCTCACCAGGTTCGATGAAACCTGCAAGGGCGGAATAAAACTTGCCAGGCCACTTGCGCTGCATCATGAAGTCCGTCAGAGCACTAGCGAATCGGAATATGTCCTACACTCACGTTGCGGCCGAGGAGGATCTTGTCATTCTCGGCATTGGTAACGACCGTAATGATGACAGCGTCCGTTCGTGGGTGGGCGAAGTTATGCAACCCTGTACTATACTGTAATCAGACTATGCATTACGAAAACAAGACGCCGAACTTACGCGGTTGGGCAAGGTTTCCTACCGGTGTTGTCCGACCAGGGCAGGAGCGTTAGGCAAGACAATTTCCAGCCTGCCCAAAGGGAATAGACCGGAGATCCACAAGCAGGACAGAACTGGACCGCAATCGTTCAAGTGATGTCGCTCTTTGAGAGGCAAAGTTGCGAACCTTGTTTCTGGCGTTCCAGTCGACCATACTACGCCCTTCAGCGATAATCGCTGCATCCTCATAGCTAAAGTTCCTCATGGCAACCCGTGTATCAAAGAACTCAAATTTCGCACCACCTCTTGCCAAAACGGAGCTCTGCAAAGCCACGTCCACGTCCTTTTGCCCAAGCTCGCTGACATCGAGAGAGAAATACGGCGTTCCTTTGATTCTCGCAGCAACAGCAGCAGGATCCGTTTTAGCGCTGAAATCAGAGGATGGTAATGCGTCTTCTCCTTCAGCTTCCTGAAGACCAAGGAAGACAATAGGCGGACCACGAAAACGGGCAGCTTCTAACAGCGGTACTTCAGGAGCTGCGAGGTCACCCTCATGCTGTCCTTGAGAGAAGAAAGGATCTGGGCCTAGAAGCGCTCGAACTTCTTTCGTACTCAAGAATGCCGGTGATGGCTTCGACGATGGTCCATTAGATGTACTGGATGACATGAGTACTTTCCCATCTTTGAAAACTAACCATCGAGTGGATCCTGATGATATTATGGCGTTTAGGAAAGGCTGGGAACTCCGAAGCCAAGACAAGCGATTCAAAGGTGACCCTCCGAAGAAGTTGACCGGCGCACTGCAATCAATCATTCAGAGCTTGCTATACAATAGGATTGCATACGAGGAAACGAGTGTACCTATCTGCCATTTCAATCTATAAGAAGCTCTGAGCGCCGGATAGTTCTATTGTGAAGGTCTCTATTGTCTCGTTGGATTGTGAGCTGCCGATAGAATTCCAATGTGTTATGAGATTCTGTATGGAGTTGTGGTGGTGGTATGTATATCCAAGAAGCGTGAGCTCACTGATCAGCCCCCCACAGGTTTGCTACGGCTCAGACGCCACTTTTACGGACAACAATAGTCCTCGGGCAAGAGAATGGGCTTTGTCAAGATGACCCATGATAAGTCAGCGATGTCGCAGGGGATGCTCCCCACGAGCGGGAAATACTCGACACGGCTAAAGCGGTCCGCGCTTGTGCGCTAGAAGTCGGTCGCTGAATGCAGCAAGTGTTCTAGTTCAGACAAGTTACCAATTTTCAGGTTTTCCGTCGCCGTCCAGCCGTAGTCTCGATAATCGGTAACATAAACTTGAGAAATATCTATCAATGCTCGCGGTAGCGGGCGACTTGTTACTGTCGAGAAAACGTTTTGGACAAACCATGCAGCGGCTATCCCGGGCCGCATTCACATCAGTATTCAAAGCGACCTCGTCAACTCTTGCAACTTCAGCTTGGTCAATCCGGACACGTATGTATCAGATTTTGTCATCATCTACTAGGATCATATTAAAACCCATCCTTCTTGACAACTGCTAGCTCTACCGAAGACTTTATTCCGCTAGCGTGGTTCCAAGATCCTCACTGGATGATTTGCCTGCTGGCCCCAGGAACGACATAGAGCGTAACATGAATTGACTTCTGAGAGACGTTGTTTATCCTATTTTGGGTTGCTTATAAGATTTGATATACCCGCTGGACGAATTCCAGACGTCCGAGGCGTGGCCCTGAGGGGACCAGGGACCAGTTCTTACCGCTCACCAGGTCACTATCTCCTCACTTCTGCTTGCAATTTGAGTTCAAGGTAGGGTTTGGTCAGACTGATAGTTTTTTTCCGAACTTACTAGACGTTTCATTAGCTTCCGAAGTGCTGGTGTTATTCGATATGTCGTCACTTCTGGTGTCAATATCTAATCGCTGAAACATGTTCTGCAGAGGCGATACAACTCGCGACGGACAGCAGGTCGCACAGGCCCTGAGTTCTAGTGCACTATATTTCAGTTCCTCACAGCTTGACGCCAAGTTTAGGGCTCGTAACTGCGTCTAGGCGGCGTTCCTTCTGGTCAAGCTTCACACGTCGCGGTGGGCATGTGGTCTACTCCACGTCCATCTTGGAAAAACATAACCACGGAGTCCATGAAACGCCTGCTGATGCTCGCAGCATTTTATGATATTTTGGTCTCTGGAATCATTCAAAGCGATTTGACTTCACCGCATCGGTGTATCTACACCCAGGCCACCATGAGTTTACCAGGTGGATGCAATGTGCCTGTCAAAAATTCACGGATAGATGCAGATTGCTCTGACAACAGGGGACAGATTTGAAGCAGATCATCTATCCGTTCGGAGGCGTCACAGACGAAGAGACAGAGGTAAGGCTATCGGGTATATCATATCAAAAACGTGTGTTACTGCCTTCAAGGATGTCATCGCTGGACTACATATGCATCGGTAAGCCCTAGGTGTCGCAGCAGCAAGGTCAAGAGTGAGACAACCGGACTTTGCATTTGAGCTTCTGCAGACTGCTGACACGACCACAGGTTCGGCAGGTCAATGCGGATAACACGAGGTACACATCGACCGCATCTAGAAAGTTAGGGGACTGTCCATTTCTAGTTACAAAGTGAGTCATCACCACAAGTGCCTATATATTCCCATTGTTCACCAGATATAGTGCGTCGAGCAGAGCAAAAATGTATACAACTTGACAGTTTCATTACTATCAGCTATCATCTCCATCTATATCAAACTTGTGGAAGTCATGGTGCGATGCAGCCTTTCAGACTACCGTTATTAGCCGATCTCCATTGCCAACCATTGCACTGTGGCCCCTATTGCTCGGTTCCTGTACGTTTCAAGTTTCCTTCCTGATTGAATATGTCCCAAGCACACGGCACCACCGTGTTTAGATTACCGTAACTTCTCCGTGAGGCCTCGTCTTTTCCTTCACATTTCCTTATACGGAAGTACAATGCGACTTGCGTCCGTTCCAATTGCGGCTGTTCGTATGTTCTCATAATGGCTCTCAAGCTGTCAGTGCACGGATTTCAATGCCGCGGATGGGCTGAGCTCCGGGATGCATGGAACTCTCATCAGTAAGTTATATAAGAACGAACCTTGATAACGCTTTGGCCCTAGTTATGACCTGCTAATGATCCCTCGTACGTCTTCCCTTAACTATCCTCGGGCCTCGTGAACTCTAATTTACTCTTTCCAACAGATGGCATCGGACTCGACCTCCTACCCACTTTCGCACATCATTCAATCTAACAACACTACCAGAGTCCATAAGAACATGTCCCCCGCTCAAGCCATTGCCGACGCTTGGAAACGGGAATCACCAGAAAGTCAAAGACAATGGAGAATGGCAGATAAACGTGCGAAAGAGCAGTACTTGTCTCCCCCTGTATGGTCGAGGACGCAAACGAAGATTGGTGCGAAGATGTGAAGCCATGAGGCTGTAAGACTAGGGAAGCGGTTATTTGCACGACAACGGTGTCGCGATATTTATCTAGACGGGACAACCACTCTCATTCACTTCGTTCTTCACGACTACATCTTGCATTTTCGTATTTATTCCCCATAGGTTACAGTCAAACTCAACGCCTGTATAAATACTGTACAACTTACCCCGCATTTGATCTTATCTATATTCGAGTAGGCTGCTTTATCTAATCTTATCTATATTGAAAAAGTTTCCCGCTGGCGGTGCTGATTGGCTGTTGGAGTGTCTGAACGCTGACTCGGTCCAGTAACTTAGGCTTGCTTTCACACTTCCAGCAACTTGCTCTAGTCCAGTGTGCCCTGCACAAGCTCTCCCTTTCAAGATGTGGGAGACAGCCAAGGATCTGACTGCTGGTACGGCAGGAGGAATTGCTCAGGTACGCATAGCTTTATGTATCACATAAGAACGGTGTGCTGAGTTACTTCGCAGGTTTTGGTAGGCCAACCATTTGATATTGTCAAAGTGGTATGTCTTTCTTTCTGGAATACAACCGATTGTGTTTCTCATGCCCAACAGAGGATGCAAACGGCGCCAAAAGGCACATACCAGGGCATGTTGCATTGTGCAGGTGGCATTTTGAAAAATGAGGGTCCCTTGGCGTTTTACAAGGTGTGTACGGACGTTCCGTCATGGTTGTCCACTATCGTGTCTCACATATATATACCGTAGGGAACTTTGACCCCTCTCTTGGGCATTGGCGTCTGCGTGTCGATTCAATTTGGCGCACTTGAATACTCCAAGCGCCTTTTTGCTCAACAAAACATCGTCAAAGGGAAGGGTGGACCAGATGGACTGACGCTGAGTAGCGGTCAGCTTTTTGTCTCCGGCGTGGCTGCTGGTCTGGCGAACGGTGTGGTCTCAGGGCCCGTGGAACACATTCGTATCCGTATGTCGTCTTCCCACTTACTGCGTGACTAATCTAATAGCAAACCTATAGGTCTTCAAACACAATCCGCGACTAACCCAACGTATGCTGGACCTTGGCATGCAATGAGGAAGATCCATGGTGATCACGGTATAAACGGAATCTACAAGGGTCAGGTTATTACACTATGGCGTGAAGCAGTCGGATACGGAATCTACTTCTGGGCCTACGAAAAACTCATGCAACGCGAAATGGCAATGAAAGGAATCAGACGTGAACAGGTCAGCCCGGCAAAAGCAGTCCTATTCGGTGCAGCTGCAGGCTACGCAGTAAGTAATATCCATTTACAGCATGCTTTTTTCCACTGAACGTGTTCCGTAGTTATGGGCTGTTATATATCCGATAGACATGATCAAATCTAGGATACAGACCGATGGATTTTCAGCTGCGGGCGGACAAAAATACAACTCTATCGTTCATTGTGTTCATACTGTCTGGAAGACAGAAGGCATTGGTGCCTTCGCTCGTGGTTTGATTCCCACACTGATCCGGTGCGTCTTTATCTTGTCCTTGACCGCAACCTCGGCTGACGATTCTTTACAGTTCACCGTTTGCGAATGGCGCGACATTCCTTGGATTTGAAATGGCCAGCCGTCTTCTGAACTCACTGTAGTACCCCCATGATACCAGGCTTAATTCTTTGTAGGTTTAATAGATGTTCCATACCCTAGATATGTACTCTACGTGTTGCTTATTTGACGTTTTCGGACATCGATGTTGCTTTGTCTCATCACTTGTCATGACGGATGTAGGAATGACTGTTATATACTATTATATAAAGAGAATCAACGAGTGTTGTACAGGGTGACCGTGCTACAATGTGATGCTATGTACAAAATGTTTCTGTGGCAAAAGTGTGCATGGAGTGTAAGAGATGAACAAGGCCGAGCTGATACCGTCAGTAATGTTACAAGAAAGGTATGAAGGAGTGAAGAGCTGGGAAAGAAACATTGAACCGATGATACTCAAGATTGAGACATGAAGGGCCACATAGATGAACAACGATGAATGGCGTATCCAACGCTTCGGAATTGTCATTGTTTGCATCCTCGTAAATGCTTTGGAAAGTCCTTGCAGACCTAGGCTCGCCACCACGTAAAGTGGCAAGAACATGCAACAGAACTTGAAAGGTCGTAAGTTAAACCGGTTCCTCCTCCTACGCCTCGGGATTAGCGTTTAGATGAGGGTCAGATTTCACGCTGGAGAGAGACATAGGAGGAGATGGTTCCTGGGATAGGAGGAAGCCATAGGATCCTAGCGGATGTTCAGTGGGCGGGACCATCCTTCGAGCTTCACGATCGGCTTGACGACGACGAGCGAATTCATGAACGAATTCATCGGCGTCAAGAGTGTAACTGTGCTTGCGCACAGTGTCCGACACCCAACACATCTCATCGTATGTAAGTTCTCCTGGTGGAAGATCAACAAGCTGAGACTTGAAATCGTTGGCTATAGTTCTGATCAGCCAATAGATACTTGATGAACATACATGAAACTCACTGACCGAATATAGGATCACTAAAGTTACACAGGACAATCTGGAGCCAGATGAGGAAGTCGGAGGAACCAGGCTCGTCTTCGTCTGGGTGAACCGTGCCGTACTCCTGGGGCAGCGGAACTACGTCAATACGGGGTGCATGAGAAAACGGAATAGCATTATTGCTATAGTCGCGCTGTGTATCGTGTTTCTGACGTTTGACGGCGCCGTCGACGCATTTAATCTGATTTTCAACTGCAATGACTCGACGATCGAAAGGAGAGGAAGTGAACAATAAAGGCATTCCTTCAGAATGTGCACTACTGAGTACGGGTGTGTCGTCTAGGTGAGAAAATTAGATAAAACAAGACGTTGGGATGAGTTCACAGTACAAATGTAGAATTGACGCACCTGCCATGTTGCTACTGACTATCTCTGCTGTGTGCACTGAACTACGCCTGCTCGTGGGAGTGAGGGTTCGTACCCCGTGAAACACACCAAATGTGGCAGAATCTTGTAGTTCTGAATCCCGAATCCGTTGAGGACGAACGCTAGTGAGTGAATCGACTGTGTGCTTATGAGCATGTAGTTCTGACGTAGATCAAATACGTGACTAACCAGGTGATGGGATGATATCCTGCTCGGTTTCTTGTACTCGGGTTGTTGAGTCTAAAGACCGAGGAGTGGCTGGAGTGTTGCTAGGCTGAATATTGGCGTTCTCATACGGCGGCATGACAGGGATGTCCTATTTAAAGTGTCAATATGTCGCCCTTTGAATTCCACAAACAAATTATGGAATGGACATACACGGAGAGTGCGTTGCCATTCCTTAGCCCTGGATACGAAAGATTCAACCTTGTCTACAAAGGATGGCGTGATAAGATGTCGATCTTCGATGAATGCGGAGAGAATATCACGATCTGCTAGAAGTCTTTGAATATGTTGTCGGTGAGCTTCATAACAAGCAATGCAGCGTGGAGAAGAACATACTCGCTCTGAGTCATGCGCAAGGCCATTACTTCGTTCTCGGGAAGAATATCGCGGAGAACATCCAAGAAGCACCGGGCGGATCTCAGGTACGCGTTTGCCCTCTCCAGAGCCCTTCGCACTATGGGCCTCAGGACGACCTGGCCCACTTGTAGGACAAGTTTGTCACGGCTTGGCAGATGCGACTGCGCTAACGGCGTACCAGGAAGGAGGGAAGAAATAGCTTGAAGTACAGTCATTGTCAGATAAAGATGGGAAGAACACTAGATACTGCAGAAAGAATAGAACAAAAGGCAGCGACTGGAGGATGACGACCGGCGTATGGAACAGTGTATCTCAGCCACCCACTATATATTATTCTCGACACGAGGTCGGCTGCGAACGTAGACGTCACAAGCTTCAGTCGATGACAGGAGAACAATAGACAGGACGCGCCTGAAGGCCTTGTAGTCCGTTTCATTCTGGTGATGGTCAAATGTGCCATGGGTGCATATGTATCTATGATAAGCGCTTGATGCAGCTTGAGCAAACAAAGTCACCGGTGCAACCAAGCTGTCAGGACTATGACAGGTTCCGCGGCGGCCTAGATACAGAGCCGGAGAAGATATGTACAAGGTCTCGAAAGACACATTCGAGTCTTCCAGACGGAGCAAGCAACAAGGCCTGCCATTCTGGGTAGCCGGCTACTTGTTGTCGTGGTATGAAGCTTCGAGATCGAGTCATTAACGGAGTCAGCGTGATCCTCGTAGCGAGGCACAAGCTGAAATACATCGGGAGCCGAATCCTGCAAATTGGAGTCCGCGCATTGACAGCGCACAGTCAAATGGTAAGAAGGTGGAGACTTCACCAAAGGCGACACATTTGCGCAGACCCTTAGAACAACCACAATTATTTCTGAATATTGATACTCGTCTATGAATGAACGAAGGAATTGATTGCTTTGAGGCCACCGCGGCTGCCGAAAGACAAAAGAAGCCAAACACGGAGTTTGATTCCTCTAGCCTGAGGAGTTCAAGCCCAAGGAGGAAGCTCCCAGCTCCGACCACAAATATTACTCGCGATTGGCGCAGCTATCGGTCTTTGAGATACGCCAAAACTGTGTGTACGTTTGGATTACGACTGCTCTCCACCGTGCCGCGAGCGAGTAGGTCTGAAATACGCACGTCAGCTTGGAACAGTTAGTAGAGGCTCGTCTGCGAGGGCCGTACCACTTTCTGAACCAGTTCGAGCAATAGCAAAGTAACTAGGAGCCCAACCGCTGAGAGTCAACGGAACGCCACCAAGATCCTGATCTTGTTTCCACCCAAGAGCTTCCGCAAGCTGTTGGTCAATATAGAGCGTCTCATTGTCTAAGACGACTTTGAACTCTTTGGGAGATACCATAGTGGCTGGTTTGCTACTAGAGCTCAATTGACGGCACTTTGCACCCACCGCAGTGCGAGCACTTCTTGCAAACTGGGACGCGAACATGTAGGTGACTGCAGCAGTTTGAGTTTGGGACCTCGACAAAGTGTGAGAAAGCGCTTGAGGTACGCTAACTGAATTCAACTTGAACTGACGCCTGGCACCTCTTGCGTTCAAGTTGATGTAGCTATGTCCACCCATGCTGCACGTCTCGCACGTCTCTTCACTCCTTATTATGCCTGTCGAATCAATGCCCAGATAGTTCATCCTAATGTCTCTCGTCTGGTTAAACCCAATGAGTTGGAATCTGCCTTAGCCCGGCCGCTACAGGTATCCATTTACGAGCCCCGTCAACCTTCGCATTATCTCGCAGCAACACTTTCGTACGGGATCATCAACGGTATTGCTCTCAGTTTAGGTCGCATATTGCTGCTAATGCTCCAATTTCAGGACATCCATTCATGGATGGAAACAAAAGAACCGGTAATCGTTGGCAAATATTCTGCTCTTACGCGTGGCTTACATCTTCCCGCTCTGTTTCCAGCATTCTTTCTTGCCAACGAGTATTTGCGAGCTATGGGCCTAGCAGGCCTGGCAGACAATGGCAAAGTTGGCGTTGTGTACGACGATATATCCAAACTGGCAGACGGTTACGTTAACACTGCCGCGGGGCGATTAAATGTGCAAGAACTTGCAGACTCGATTGGTCGGTGGCAATGATGGGCGCAAATGAATGTTATTCATGGTTAGCAGCTATACGCTAGGCTGCTCAGAGCCAGCGAGGTTCGAGCGCATGCCTGTCTGAACTCATCTCATCGACGAGAGACTTGTAAGCGGGGGACCATATCGATGTAATGACTATGCCAGAGATCTCCATAGGAGACCACTGCTCCGCTGTGGCGGAGTGGGCTCCGGGTTCTCATTATAAGCCGTCATGTTCTTCGAATACAGTTATCAGAGATTTCGTTCGTAAAGCGGCAACGGTCGCAAATTATGAAATACTGACTACGAAGCTGATGAATATACAGGCCGTCCTGCTATGCAATAGACGAATGCTTAGATTGATGTCAGAGGGTTGGAACAATTTAAAGAAAGGTATCTTTGTGCCACTTGCTCGCTATGCGAAGAGGATGCGTCCGAACCAGTGGAGTTGGCCCCTGCATGAGAGGATCTGCCCTCTCCCTCTCGCAAGTTAACTTTGGGTATAGGAGATCTACCTCCGCGTAAATTTGAGTGCTGGAATGGATGAAGTAGCCCATCTGCATGGCCCAGACCTTCCTTCGAATCTTGGACTTCGTCTGGTAAAGGAACAGTTGCAGAACTCGAAACACTCCGAGTATATGCTGTGGCAGAAGCTGAGGGCGAGCCTAGACATGCATTCCGCCGATACACAAGCTCTTCTACAAACTGCTTTGGGTCAAGCGTGGACGCGACTTCTATAACGTTTTCAATATTGGTCAGCGCGGAATCGTCCAGAACTTCGTTGGATGTGCAGATGTCCCGTAGAAAGACCCTAAGATGCTCGGATTGGGCTGGAGATATTATCTCATGTCAGATCGCCAGGTTCCGAGAAGATTCTGCCACTACTCACTCTCGTCTACCTGGCGAAGCTGATCATCTAACCATTCAACGAAGGGTGACATGTCCCTTGGACTGCAATGTTCCACTATAACAGAATGCTCTGAGTTGAAGAGAGGAGACGACCTTGAGCTTGAGCGAAACATTGATTCCCAATAAGGTCCTTACCTGCGGAAGATGGTGTCATGCCTTCAACTGAGGACAGGTCGCGATTAAGATTTAGACTTGACTACATAGGGGGAGCATGGAACGTACAGGGATGCGGCACTAAACTGATCATACCCAACGCATTGTCTCCCGAACTCTTGAGAGACAGCGACTGAGCTCTATGAAATCGGAGTATACCATTTGTGCCCAGGTGGATGCTTGACAACGTCGAACGGAACCTGTCAAAGCTGCTGGACTCGGAGTGGTTCCTCTGGACGAAAGGCGATACTACAGAATACGATTAGGTGGATTAATTAGTCACGAGCGCCACATTTGACTGACCTGCATTTCCAGCCTCATCTTTATCAGGCTGCTCCTCTTGTCTTTTGTCAATCAGCGACTAGTGTGAGGAATCAGTACGGGAATATAATATAGAGCTTGCAACATCACCTCAATGGCGTTGTACCATTCCCGCGCTTTGATGTTATATAGGAATGGGGCAATGTGAGTCTTCAACGTTATGAGACTAGCGTCACATGCAGTCAGAATATCCTCTCTTCTTATCCTCAGACTGAAAGCCAAGTTTGTCTTGTCAGCTTTACTGGGATTCACAAAAGACATGTCTCACCGTTCCCGTGATTTCATAAAAATCGAGAGCTCCGCATGTGATAGAAGATTCAAATGTTTGGCAAGCAGCTTCTCCCCCTCCTGAATCTTCTCGTCACCCGGAGTAAGATCGTTTTTAATTCGCGCCTTCGTCACAAGTCGAGCAGGACGGTACTTGAGAGACCGAGACGTAGTACGCTCTCCCGTTGCGGATGGTTCTGGAGGCTTAGTATACCGGCCTATGATACTCCTGATGGAACTAGTTTTTGATTCTTCGGACGACATCGCAGTGCAAGAATGGCAGGTAGATTCGAAAGTTGAGGGGACGCTTGGTAAAGATAAGCCTGTGAATTTCAAGATACGACAGCATTATATAGTCTGCGCCCTTGCTCAGGGTCAGCCAGCCAAGCATGAAACTAAATCAGCAAGTGACAAGTGAAATGCCACGAGGTTGATGAATTTGAATGCGATGGATTTCCTGGTAGAACATGAAGCAAAAGGTCATCTGTCACCGGCATATTTAAAAATGACGAATTTGGGTATCCCCATCGGTCCGTATGTAAACCGGCAACAGTATATGCGAATAGACTCCGCGCAGCTTGAAGCTATTGTCTCTGCAAGCGCTGTTCGAAGTTCCTAATCGACGACGAAAAGACCGAGCAATCAAGTTATAGTTAAACATATGCATAGATCAAAGAACATCCAACAGATGGTGGATATCTGATGTAGACTCAAGCAAGGGAAGCCAGTTCATTGTCAGTTTCTCCGGAAGAGTCCTGAATGCTCAGCGTTCCGTCTACAACATGAAGGGACAGTGATACTTGACGGCCTCCCTCCTGAGAACCTAGTGAATCGCCACGGGATGGGACTACCTTTTGCACAAGTTATCGTACGTCAAGAGACGGTGCGCGGGATGATGCCCTTGATACTAGCGATTGCAGATTCATCGGGCCATTGTTTAAGGGTGTGCGGGCCAGAAAAATGATGAGCTGGGTAGAAACTAAATATGTAAGGACATATTTCGCACCTCCATCAATGGGCGTGGTACTTTCTAACCACTCTGCAAAGGAATCCGGGTTGGTGACATCGAGAGTCCCGGTGTCAGCGGCATTATTTGGCATGGCAAAGAGAAGACTGAGAAGAAGGTGGAGCTATAGGAAAAAATAAATGAGATATTTCAGAATAGTATGGAACTGAGGCGGTTGTTCGCACATGACACCGTTCGCCACGGCGTAAGGCATGAGAATGGGTAAATCATTTAATAAAGAGTGCTTACCAGTCTGCAATATTACTACGCTTGGAAGCTCGCTGTTGAGGGGGTATGCCTCCTTTGAGCTTGGGATACGAAGCTCCAACGATTGGGTGATATGGGGCTTGCGAAAGGGAAGAAGAATGTTGGATAAGATGGAACAGCGGGTTTCAACATGAGACGCAGAGCACGTATTCGGTTTTCTATGTACTCGGAATGCTGCAGGTACTTGCATGATCGGCTCTTGATTTCCTAAATGCAATGGACCATCTCACAGCTTCGTCTACAAAGAAGACGGGATTGTATTTGATGATGCGTGGCAAAACGTCGAATGATCGGGAACCCTCTGTACATATGGTCAGTAATGGCGCAAGAGTGCCTCTGTTCGAATCCGGACATGACATACTTCAGACCTAGATCTAGAGTTAGAGAGAAGCAATCGGTGGAGAAGCGAGATGAAAACGACATGCCAGAGTACTTACTATGGCGTTCCCATACAGAGCGTCTGAACCGTGTATAGTCCTGTGGTTTAATACACATGTAACATGGTTGTAATGGTTCTATGCCGCTCTTCGGAACACAACAAACACCATGCATCTGAAATCGAATAACTGAAATTGGAGGCCGTTGCACCTGGAATTCAACCGTCCAAGTCCTGCACAAACCCGAATGCTGGACACACTCGGATCTACCTACTGTACCTTGATCTCATAACTGTCGTCTTTGAGTCTGCATTGAGAGCATTGTTGAATATACAGAAGGAGAACCTAGGAGAACGCGCGGTAGATAGCGCTCGCTAACACTGAACGAAGCAGCGAGCGCTCTTTGCATTTTGCATTGATTGTCTATGATTGTCTATCTCGCTGAGCATCTGTCTATCGTTCTCTATCAAGCTCAGTTGCATTCTTCAGCTCGCCGTCGAGTAATCCTGTTGTAGCGTGGCACATCGCAGACATGGCCCGAGGCTGGGACGTGACCGCCATATCGAGGAGGCCAGCAATACACAACCAGTCCAATGCTCTCGTGAAGAGGTCTTCCTGCGCAATGTATTTTCCGCAGCCTGAGTATGCGTCGAACGGCACCCCACGATGATGTGGTTCATTACATCGACGCGTTCCTCTCCAAGGTCACTCCTGAAGCGCGGGCTCTGTGCAGGATTGGCGACGATCCATGGGCTGACAATCTACGGAGATATGTCAAAGATGGTGTGAAAAAAACCTGATACTTGTGGGACGGTCTGTGAAAGAGTAGGTTGCGGAGATTTCAGTGGATATTTGCCTTCTCAATCAGCCTCTGCGAAAAATGCGAAGTGCACTCCCGCGTCCCGGCCTAAAATGCCTATGAAACGCTGTGGTGGATATCTACAGGTGATATACTGCTGTCGAGAATTGGCCTCGTCATAAAATCGTTCTTCCAAGCTGCTGATTCTTCGACATCTATCAAAGGCGGCATAACTGTCTACTTGCGGCGGATCTGGCTAAATTCTTTCCTCATGCTTTACGTTCGTGACCTGTTTGATATCGATCATAACGCTCAAGTTGGTGCACGCTATAATGTGGTGTTTACTTTTACATCTGTCCTAGAGGAGCGCCCTCCTAGCTTCAGAGGATCACCAAAGCGCATTTTGCAGGTTGCGAAGGCTGAGATGGATCGTGGGAACTACCACCAATGCGTTTACTCTCTGACCAGGAACTTGCTGAGGCTGGTCCAAGCTCGGGCGTGAACGACGGCGATATGATGCTGACATCTGAGGACCAAGCACCACTGGAAGGCGGACAGGATAAGATGTTTACCATCATGACTTTTCAAAGCGACATCCCTGGTGCACGTGGCTCGGTGTTGACGGTAGAAGAGATTCTACCTGAAATGATAGCCGCTATTCCTCCTCTTCCTGGATGTGCGGCCCTGTGCTTATTGTGAGTATTCCTGTACATCGTGCACCGCATACTGATGACCTTTGCTTTAGGCAGTGGAATGCAACTGTAAGAGATGACTGGGAAAACCGATTAGGTTTGCGTATGGTGAGCTTGTACCTTCTCTTCATTCTTCACGATCTCTTTTATTAGCTGTCTTGTATATCGATGCCGGGACCCGTTGTAGGCTTTGAACCGTATCCGGTCTTACTCGCCACACTGCCTTTCTGGATTCTTAGGGCCAATTATGCGCACCCATGCCGTAGTCTTAGAGCAACTGAAGGAAGATGAGCTGACCAATTATGTGTGTTCTCCGAAACGAGTCGCAGTTGTCTCTCATATGCTTTTCCAGCTATCGTTCTTCAGCGTGGTATTGAGTTACAAGACCGAGATACTTCTTAGTTCGCGAAGGACACCCGTATAATATAGATGAGATGGAGCAGCGGAAATGTAAGTACACGAGATGCTAGTTGTCAAACATGCTGGTAATAGAATTACAACAGTCCATATCTGTTCAAAGTCCATAATCCTGCTCAGTTACACCTCCTCAGCATCGACATGTCCAACGGCATGGCTAAAGTCTAGATATGCCGGAAGCATAGACTCTACGGTCTCCACTGCCTCATCTCTGACTTCGTTGATAGGAGGAAAGGTCTGCGACCTTGATGGTCTCGATCCGGCTCGTGGAAGTATAGCAGTAGTTAACTCCTTGAAACATTGTTCAGGTTGAACGCGTCGACGAACGAGCTCTTGAATGAACGAGCTGGCGTCAATCAACCGACCACTGTCGACGATGAGCATGTGAATGTCCTCCAAGGTGGACTTATCGAGTTCCTTGTCGATCGGTACGTGATAGATCATGTCTCTGATCTTCTTTGCTGTTACAAGTATTAGAAAACAAATGTCAATGGGCGGGGGCGAACAAGCGTTGGTGCGGGAAGCTCTCACAGGTGTCTTCATCGAATACGTTGGATCGCAAGTATGTTTCGAGCCACAGATTGAATGATGGCTCAGTAACGGATGTGCAGTCCGTAACGGCATGCGTCTCGCTGGGCGTAGGCAAGGTAGCTAGTAGAATGCACGATTAGTATGTCAGATATTCAATCAGAATGCACATCACGAACCAGAGCGTCTTGCAACTGAGACCCACTTCGTTGGATGACCGGTGCACTCTGATGAAAACAAGCAACGTCAGCATCACAGTCAGATATGGAGCTGAGGAACAAGAGACTGACGAGGAGCTGAAGGATCATTGTGCAGCAACGAGGGATCATCTTCGCTCAAACACTCCTTCAAATTTGTCATGGATCCTTTGGGAAACTTGCTCAAGGCGACTGGCAATATCTCAGTGATCGAAGACAACAATGAGTAACTGCGACTAGGGATGCTTCGAGAACGTGTGCCGGAGAAGGTTTGATTTTGATCATTGTTGAGTTGGGGAAGCGCTTTCTGTTATCAAACAAACCAATAATCGTAGACGAGAAAGTATAGAGAGCAAAAGCAATACCTCCACAGAAATCCTCCATTCTTTGGCTGACTTGAGATAGGATCGGGTCTCGAGGACTATCGACCATATTTGCATACGATCATCACACAGCTTCATACTACATCCCGCTCTAAGATCGGTTAACCTGCCGTCGAATGAGCACCTGCCTAAACGCTTGATAATTTGACGAATGAAATGACACTTACCTATTTTGAACTTCCTGCAAGCTTGATAAGTCGCTCGGAGGCACGGCATGCTGATGCTGCGAAAGCATTTGGTTCCCTTCAATTATGATGATATCTCCCTGTTCAAGCAGCTGATAGGCCGTCTGGATGCACGATTGTCTGAAAGCACTGTAGGTTGCTGTCAGAGGGGCTATGCGGGCGGGGGTCGATGCGTGAAAAATATTAGCCTTAGGGCTAGAAGCTTTCTCTTCGCAGTGCATTTGAGATGACATGTGCGGGGTGGGTAGACGTAGTACGTGAAGGGGAGGTGTGCCGAATGAGATGACGGGTGAGTCCAAGGAACATGTCTGCACATCCGTTAAATAGCCCATAGTACGTGCTTTCTATCCATTATATCGCTACTAAGCGAGAAACAAAGCTGGGCTTGTTCTCTGCTTGGACTGAGACATGGGTTCATATGTAACGTAGAAACGTGTGATACAACGCACTGAATATATCGGGAGTGCATAGCGACATGTCCTTGAATGTCAACAAGGTGCCGACGGGGACGTTGTGATATTGAATATCACGACCCTAAGAATCCGGTGTAGGTAATAAACAGTACAAGGACTGCTATTTGTAGAGTGCAATCAACTTGAAACGCTCCGCCATGCACGAGCCGTCGGATAGTATTAGAGGCATGGATATCCAAGACTGAGCTTCGAAGTACTTAGATCTAGGCATTGTAAATCAGACTATCTCTCTTCAACGCCTGCTACAACAAAATTCATCAGTCAGTTGTCTTCCAGAGGCCAGAAATACAGTCACGAATCGTAACGCGTTGCGTTGGCATTGTTCTTGAACCCTGTCAGCATGAATTGTTGTCAGCGGTTCGAGTTACAGTATACAAGCCTTCCCTCTTGGGGTGAGACTGTGGCAGGGTCTAAGTTTTAGATGTCGCGATGGGTTTGACAGTACCGGCGTCGTTCTGCCTATTGCCAAAGTGGTCAGAAATCGATCAAGCTGTCGGCGCTTGTGGTCGAGCTCCCTTTCCCATCCTCTACATACATGTCGACTTCGATTCTGACCATGCTGTCAACGGACAAAAATGCTTCGAAATCTATCTTTACTTTCTACTGTACTCTGGGGACTTTAAATAGCCATTACTGATAATGCCAAACCATAAAACCCGCCGTAAACAAGCTCGCCGGCCTGCTGAAGGTCAGCTCAGCTTGCCTGCTATTCCATAAGAACTATGTCTCTCCCTACGCCCGTATCACACGAGTCTTGTGCATCTCGCTGACCTGTACTTCCACGACCCTGCACCTGGACAACTCAAGCCTCTTGAGCGCTATGAAGGTCTATGGTCAAAGTAATATCAGATGAGCTACTACACGAAGGTATGAAACCCGGAACTGTTTGCGGGTGGCCAGGTTGTTCCGCTATTGAAGGTGATTAATCGGTGAGGGAAATGGGAGGCAGAGTGCGAACGATGAAATGCACCTTGCCGAAGCTGAGATCTTAGAATACGAAAATCAAGGTCCGGAGGAACATGGTCTCTCATCACGATGTTCTACAAACGATCCTTAGTATAATTTTGATGCAGAAGGGTATACACGAACGGTTTCCTTCCGATGCCCCCATCACAGGACGGCGTGGAAGTTGGAACGTTTGTCCTTGGAAAGCTTCGACGGGTATGTCCATACAAGTATGTACCTTAGGAGCATAGGTAAACACATAGTAAACTGCACTAGAGAAAGATGTTAACATACCGATGGTGGACTGTGAAACGTAATCGTCTAATTTGGACACCCGCAGTGCAGATAAATTACTATTATCATGGCGTACTTGAATGCCCTTGCCCATGTTTTGATGCTGGTCATAGCCATTGCCTACAACCGAAGAAGTTGGGATAGGGTAGGGTCGGATGCTTGGAACACAATATGGTGATGCTGTGAGACATGCTGCATGAGAGTTGTAGGAACCGGATGAAAGTTGGGATTGTCCATGAAACTTGCTCGCAGACAAGCCGTGATTATGTTGTTTAAGCGAATCATCCTTTCGCATACTAATATCATGGTCTGTATTGCTTTACTATTGTAACATCGAACGGGAACAAAGCACGACGTACTGCTGGGAGTGACATGATATGAAGACCGCTTCAAAACAGGTGTTCCTTTAAAAGAATCTAGGGATGAATGAATTAGTCTATATCTACTCGGATGAAGGAGGAAGACGTACTTGGCTCCGCAGGAGAAAGGTGTCTAGGGTCCGCCTCACGAGAAAGGATATCTCGAGTCGGAACCGCGGAAGTAGAATTAGAACGATTCATGTTATACGAATTTCTCGATCGACTCCGTTCTGTCGTGTCAACATAATCAGCAGAACTATCACTTGGTTAAAGATCACGCTACCTTCAACAGGAAAGGCTCTGCGATTGGGCCGTGCTTTCCTGTACTGAGGCTCACTTGTCCTGCACATCGTACCACGGGTCGTGTTGTGAGGGGCGTCAATAGAAGTCTGTGTCGGAACAGCTCCTTCCTCGATGGTGCGCATATGCTTTTCAGCATCTGAGTAATTCGTAACGTGTTTGGTAAATTGCCTGGTATGCTTTCTGTTCATTGGTCGGCTGTACTTCAGTCTTGTCGAACTCCAACTTGAGCTCGTGTATTCTTGAAGACACGCCGGCGCGTTCATAGAAGACAGTGTAGGGGAAATGACTTGATCCTGCAACGGGTTGTCGCATGGTATCTGAGGCAGTGGTTTCTCCCTTGCAATCAAAGGGTGTGAGCGATTACTTGCACTCCGCTGAAGAGAAAAAGGCTGAATCGTATTTTCTTCCGATCTTGTCATTTGGGCGTCTTGCACTATCCCTGACCGTATTCCTGTGTCCGGACTTGAGACTATTGAAAGTCTTTCTACCCTGGTAGGCACAACCATGGGAGAACACGATGACGGGTCCCCCCTGTGGCGCCATATTCGTGTACTGGTGCAAGCAAGGTGATGCGTATCTCGCAGTACTTGGGCAACTGGATGCTCGTCCTTCTTCACCGACCGGGAACGTTTCACATTTTCAGGAAGCTCCAACATGATATCCTTGAAGGTGCGCGCGACCTCGTCCATAGTAGGTCGATGGGCCGGCGAGGGATGTATCATGTCCCAGATTAGGTGTTCGAGAAACTTTATATTTGTGTATTGCTGGGGAACGTTAAGCATCACATCAGCGTGTAGGGAGCAAACGTGTATTTTCGCGCACCTCTAGGAACTCTACTCGGAAAATATTGCCGAGATGATAAATGTCGGCTGCAAAAGGGTCAGATTCCATCTCGGGGTCTCCCCATCGCCACTCTGGTAGAGTCTCATCATCGCCTCCGACAGGCGGGTCAAGATATGGTACACCATCCCGCTCATACCGCCTCGAGAGCCCGAAGTCTATGAAGTAGTATCGTGGAGTATTCGCTATCGAGGAAAATAACACAGAACGAAGCCCGTATCGTAGAGACTGTGCAAGTGAAAAAAGGGACTTAGAGTTTATAGGCTTTGCTTTTGAATCGGACAGAATGTTCTTGCACGTGGGGTTCCTGATATGTCATGAGATTTATGTCGTGTGCTAGTTGGATCTCACCAACCTGTGAGCGACGAGATGTTCGTGCATAAACTGCAGACCCTAAGGAAAAAAATGAACCGTGAAATTTTTTTGGAATACAAGGTAGCAAGAGGCGGGGTCGTACCTCGATCGTTTGTTCGCAGAACTCCAAAATTTCACCAACAGTCCTCCATTTCGGACGATTTACGTGCATTAGTTTTGGCATGACCAAGATTGAGATGTCTTCCCCCGGGAGTTCAATGATATCAAGAATTGGTATGCAATGATTCCGCAGATCTGACCTTCGGGGCTCTGAGGAAAAGAGTCGCGCAATCTCGAGTTCACGCCACCCAGTTGAGGATTGTAGTTTCTTAAGAGCAACCTCGGTCCCATCAGAAGTGCGTACGGCATCTATAATTTGTGGCCTCTAAGATGCCAAGTGAGCTAGATGACACAAGGTGTATGTGGCGTAACTTGACCTACGATGAGAACATGGCCATCTTTGCATTTATGAGGTTTCTTCTTCGTCTCGTACCATGAGGGAACCCAATCGATGTGGTACCTAGGTTTAAGTAGATAGCCTTGTTCGGTAAGGAAGGGTTGAACGTTTCTCCAGAAGTGTTCGGCGGGCTCAAGATGGTAGAACCCTTCCATTTCACCAAAGGAGGTGGGCGGATATCGTGAAGTACGCCTCGCGTACTCTAATTGACGTTCAAGTTCTGATAGCTCGGCTTCACCGTGTACCATTTGAGTGAAAGGGCTGATTGATGTGGTGGACGATTGCTGCTGCATAGTGAATTAGTGAGTGTGGAAGTAGCTTGCAGTCAACTTGGATGCGGCAACGTACTGGTACATTTCGTGCTTTTGAGGCAAACAAAAGACATAGCGCCACTTCTGATGATAGAGGGGGTGGTTGTGTATCCTTGTTCACGAAGACCTGAAGGAGATACATTCGTGGTTACCTTTGTTTTCTTGACTTGGCAACGGCATCACAGTTGCATACCGATAGACACAGCCGGCTAAGGACACAATAACTTGGAAACGGGACGAGTGAGAGCAGGATGGACACTGGAAACGATGTACCTGTGTGGCGCAACGAGCTCGGAACATTTGCAAGTCAACTTGCAAGATGACCTTTCAGAATCGAGTAGACATCGTGGAAAAGCTATCGAAGCAAACTGTCTGCGAAGTCCAGCAGTTTAGAGCCGAGTGACAGGTAGGAAAGCGAAGACACAAGCAGCGAAGAGTATAGTGTCCAACCCCACCGGGGAGTCTGCATAACTGGTTATTGAACTGTAATTCAACTGTTAGTTTACTGGAACGCCGCGTCTTAGAATAACCTTACCGATCTCTGCTTGAAAAGAAGTCATAAAGGATAGAACTGCCAAGACAGCTCGGAAGATTACCCTTGCTAGTTTGCTTGTCGTAAATCTCAAATTTCGTCTTTTAGATCGGAGATTAAAACACCATGTGATTAAGTCGCGTCGCGTCGCGTCCTGTCTCCTCTCTCCGGCTCAGGTGCAAAATATTCGGAACCAGCGTGTCTCTTCGCTCCTTAACCATGACGGATCTAGCATGCACAGAAGTTCCTTACGAGTCGTTTTTGCAACCAGTCCCCGGACAAGGACCTAGTGTCGATGAAAGAGGGAAGTTCTTATCTTTCACTGACTTACCACAGGATCTCTGGACACGTAGTCGAGATCATCTGTTGCCACGTTTGGTGAGCATGTTAACGCTTTCGGGTAGGAAGACTGTCAATCTCTTCACTTTGTTACAGTGGAAAACCATACAATCCACGCTTCCCAGCGATCAGGTTGTAATTCGAGATACCAGCGACTCGGAGTGGTACGAAAGGGTGTCTGATGAGGCGCACAGGCCCCATGGCATTTTATACGGCGCCATTAGCCCCAACACCTCTAATCATGATCTAACCTCGTCTGGATATCACAGTGACGATCCCGTGAAGGATATCGGCATGGAGCGAAGATTATGGGCTGCGACAACCTCATAGACTGACATTCTGGCTTTCGTGGATATTACAACTCATGGGACGCCGGACTTTGCACCATGGGAAGCAACACAGACCCCTATGGAGTCGCAGGTATCACCCTCGTGGTTTCGATTCCAATCTCCGTGGTTCCGGTATTACCTCTGCTTCCCGAGTTAAAGATATGGCATTAGGAAAACTTGCCCAATGCGCTGCCAAGATCCAGCTGCTTCAGCACCACCTACATCTTTATAGCGTCTCTATCCACGTCAATTCTGCTTGGCTCTTCTGCTGGGATCAGGCGAGCGTTGTCATATCCGAAGAGATTGATCTCCTCACAGAAGGTTGAAAGTACTCCACTTCTTCTTCCGCCTTGGCAAGATGTCGCGCGATCGACCCGACCGCCTCCCTCGCAAGTCAGTCGGAAGTTGACGAAGTGGTCGCCTTCATTCCAACTGCGAAGGTGGACCATATTCGGGAATTTCTCGAAGAGGCTATGCTGGACAAGATGAAACAAACACGACAACCACGCATAGGGAAGATCTACAAAGTTCAGGTGAAGAACGGTGATGGAATTGGCCACTTCCTGATCGGTTACTATCATGCTCGAGGCTTGTCGGCACTGGGCGCGCCACACGAGGATATGTTGCCTACGATTTGGGAGAAAAGAAGGCTGTTTTCCTTAAAGACAGTTGACGTCCAGATTCGAAATCCGCACATCCCGAACATGAAGTCTACAAGAAGCTCAAGGACAAGCAAGTGCATTTCGTAGCAAACGCACTGTGCGGAGGGGACGTTGGAGATCGCACACGTTCTCAGACTGTGCCCGCATTCACTACCGTATTGTTCTTGAGCAAGTCGGTTGCCCCGTTGAGAGGTATCTAAGCTCTCAAACGCTTTGCAAGGTCTTGCAGGATGCGCTCTTGGGTATGTGACCGCATCCGTCTGGATTTGGTTTGTATGCTAATGACTCCTTTTCAGCTCATCAAGAAGCCTGGGAATTCGCTCAGGCCTTGCACCGCGATATCAACGATAATAATATTCTCAGTTGTGTGACTGGGACTTATGTAAGTATAGCCACGAGTTGGCATTGGGTGCGAACCGCTCGGTGAGTTGTCTCCTCGTCAAATCTGGATTTCGTCTAATCTTTGCACTTGAGGGGACATGGGTATCCATGTCGGCTCTGTTGCTCTCGTATCCGAAGAATCCTCATGAAGTTGCTGACGATCTCGAATCCTTTCTCCACGTTCCTACATGGGAGATTCTGCATTTCCACAGGACAGATCTAACGCAAACAGACGTTGCTGAGAAAAACACATGTATGAGGCATTCCAAGATTGGGGCGGATGTCACACCTGCAAGAAGGCGAAGAAGACCGCGGTCAAAACGGGCGATTTTGACATTCTGTGAGTTAGCGTCTTTTTCTCGAAACGATAGGACTCACGAGATACACCTTTTCAGGTGGAGATTGGGCTGGTCAGTCAATCGTATTCAACGGTGCCGGATGCCCTGGTGACTGCACCAGTCAGTATTTCTGACTTCGTTTCACCTATCCTTTGCTCATGTGTATTCTATTCCAGCCTTTGTGGACGAAAATCCAAGCGCATTGTTAACGCTTTCTGGAATATTGCTGCTGTCCGCGTCTACACATAACCAGCAAAGCCCGATTTTTTCCGTTACTTCGTTTCCCAGAGAATGTTCTGGTCACATTGATATTATGGAAATACTTACTCCGTTGCCTGTCACAGCTTACGAAAACAACTGTGGAAATATTCTTGTTCGTTCAATACTATCGAGCTGGGGCAGACTGCCATCGCTTCGTGGCTGAGGGACTTCATATCTCAGTGGATGCTATTACAGCATGCGACATCGGAAGATGTTTTCCGTTGCTCTGCGGCAACCTTTGTTCAAGGCGTGCTTTTGTCTGCCAACATCAAATCTCTCACCATCATTGGACCCTGCAAGTACTCACCAGGATCGACCTGCTATTCTGTGATACCTGGAAGTTTCACTTCCGTAAACGTTGACCTGATAATCATTTCCCTGCATGCTTACGTCTTGGTAGTAGGGACATGTGTACTCATCATCGTGTTTTAGATCAAAAGAGTTGATGGCGAAGCATCTGGACCCTTTTCTCAGAAAGGAGCCTTTTGTCTCGGTGTCCTTAGCTTCATTGAATACTTCTGCGGTAGTGCCGAAGCAGCGGTAAGTGTCCATTGTTCTCTGATTCGTGGCATTCATTTCACGCTTTGACGTTCAGTTTGCCTCGTGGATTTTGACTTTCGTTTCGTGCACCGGGCCGTCAAGCTGGCCCCTCCTTACATGTCCGAAGACTTTTGTTCTCTCTTGCGGCAACGTTTCATCAGGCTTCCATGATAGACCGTCTTGTTGTGCAGTCAGTAGCGACCATCATTCCAGCTGCAGACCGAAACAATTAGGACACTCGGACGACTCGGAAACTGATGCGCAGACCAGGCGTTGAAGATCATCACGTTCGCATTGTCTGTATCTTCTGGTGCATGCAAAGTTGGTCGACATCGCTTCATGCATCATACGCCATCGGTGGAAGTGAAAGAGCGTGATTACTACAATCCAAGGAGAAACATGAGCAGCGGTAAGTATGTGCGACACCAGGCCGTATGGTATCCAACAGAAAATAAAAAAGGAAAGAAGTCATGCGATGTTACGTCCTGGGGGTTGGAACAGGATCCAACCCCCTCAGCATGTAGCTAGCAGTTCTGATTATATGTGCCCCGGATCTAAAAAGGCCTGCAACGCTCCACTCGATATGCTTCTTGAGTCTCGAGCGCAATTTCCACTTCGAGAGGTTTCCTACGATCTGGTCGAAGCGAGCTATAACTACATCTATCGTGGGTCGCTTCTCTGGATCATCTTGCATCATATCGGTAATGAGCGGAGAAATGAAGTCAAAGCCATCATATATCTGCCCGTTCCAAATAGTTAGAAAGCACTAAAACAAGAGAGCGTGAAACATACATTGAGAAAATACAGGCGAATGACATTCGCTATCAGGTAGATGTCGATGGGGAAAGGGTTGCACGGCTCCTCCTTTATGTTCTCTGGAACCGTACGGTCTGCCGACCAAACGGGAGGCTCTAGAGGCGGCATATCCTCCGGTCTGTATCGACGGGAGATACCAAAGTCGATTAAGATGTATCTGGTGGGATGTGTCGTTCGCGAGTAGTGTTTTGGCTTGCCTTTCCAATCTCGTGACTTGTGTGGATCGACAGGATGAAACATGTCGGGATAAAGAGGCTTTGGGTCCATCATAATATTCATAAACATGCAGTCCCTGTCTCGGCGTGAATAAGTTAGTTAACATCGGAGAAATAAAGCCATACCTGTGGGCGATGAGGTGATCATGGAGAAACTTGATGCCCTGCACCAAACATTGATAAGTAGATTTATCTAACGTGCAAAGTGCAAAGTGAGCGAACCTCGAAGGCTTGTTGCATGAAATCGATAGCCTCGCCAAATGTCCGGAAACGAGGCTCGTAGAACGGCAGCAACAGTGGCAGCACAAGAATAACGACGTTAGGTTCATTTGGTGGATGCAATATATCGAGCAGAGGGATGCAATGATTCCGAGGTTCTAACGCTACAGGTCCAGAACAAAGATATTGCGTTAGTTCTTCCTCACGTGGATTATCGGACTTGTCAATCTTTTTGAGGATAACCAGTTCTCCGTCAGACACCCTCGTAGCATCCATTATTGCGGCACGCTATTAGAAATGGTTGTTGGTTGATGCCCTGCGAGATGAAAAGATACGTACCCTAAGTATTCTCTGGTCCTCATAATCAACCCCAAACTCTCCCAACCCAGTCCAAGAGGGTCTCCACCCCGGTCGATATCGGGGCCGGAGTAAGAATCCCCGTTTCCCGAGCCATGCAGCCAGGTCTCGCCACCAGATTTCTGGCGGAGCCAGTCGCGCTGCGGGGCTTTCCTTGCGAAGATTGGCAGGGCTCATTGGTATTGAACTGTACGTGCAGTGTCTCGCCGGCGAGACGGATTCTCTATGAATGGGCGCAACGAGACTGAAACAAGAAGAACAATAAGTAGCTGGTTGCTTTAACGGATATGGGCACATATGTATCGTCACCAAACAGTGGCAAACAAAGCGTAGCGTTAAGCGTCTTCCAGCTAGTCCAAACTGTTGTAATCAACTTGTAATTGTTACTTCGAAGTTCTTCGATATTACCATGTGTAGACTACTGCCTCATCTCGTTAGCACTTACGTGCAGCTGTCTATTTTGCCCATAATTGGTATGATTCTGGCGTTCCCGATATCCTGATGCTATTATCGACCATCCTTTTCTGATTGATACCTTTGTTCTTTCTGACAGCTATGCATGTCACCTGGATAGTGCTTCGGGCAGGGTTCATGTAAACGGATACCGCGTGTCCTGCTGAATCTTGCTAGGTTACTTTGTTGTGGCGAACCTGTGATGCCATCGCAACAGCCTAGGGTTCCTACCGCCGTGTCGACATCCTATATAAGCTCGCGCTGTTATTCACTGGCTTGAGTTACCACAACACTTGCAGCGCGCCGGACGTTCTGTTGAAATACTCTTTTTCCACTTGTCTATCATCGTACACACTCTCTCATACATCCTCTTAACCACCGATCATGGAAACTGGTGTCAGTGTCGCCGCGAAGGTTCTGGACGAGGTCTTTAAACCAGTACTAGAAGAGCTCAAAGATTTATGGCCAAGTCATTGCATAAAGGATGGTGACTATCTCTTGGGACAAATAGAGGCGCTTGTAAAAGAAAAAGAGGAGTACATTAAGAACTCGGACAGATTTCTGATTTGGGTTCAGGTTGAACAGTACGATCTTCACTTCTATTCTCCAATGGCATTGACTCACTTTGTATAAGGATCAAAACGTTGAAAGAGCAGTTGGAGAATAGAAGCAAGAGCTCGATTCTCCGGCGCCCTGTTCCGTATATCCGAGAGTCTATCAGGCTCAGAAAAATAGCAGAACATACCTATAAAACAACCGTAGTGAGTTGGCCTCTCTCCATTATCATATGTCGAATTTATTGATTCACTGGATCAAGAACTCTGCTAGAGACATGGCGTTGGAGAGACATTTGAAACCAAGACAAGAAACCCCTGATGCCGACAAGATATCACATAAGGGAGATTTGGGTGAGTGTTGTTGTATTGACAGGATGTGGTTTGGGTCCCATTCAACTTGCCGTCCTCCAGGTAATGAAGCAACCTCCATGATGGTGTCCAACGTCAATGACGTAGTTTCAGGAGAGGCCAGATGTAAGCATTTGGGTCTTCTCACTGCTACATATATTCTCACTAAAATGTATGGATCTGACCAGTGGTAGTATCAGGCGACGTACTAAACGGTAATCACTTATACGATGTCGGCCAAACACTACCGGACTCAATACTAAATACTATGTGATAGGAAAATCCGAATCGATAATCGTGAATAACATGAACACTGCGACTAATGGCACTGCTTTTCGTGGGTCGTTGGTGCTTTGTGGTATTGCGGAGATCATCTTGTCTTATCTTTATTGATGTCTTCAACAGTCGAGCTTGAGGTCCCTGAAGGTAGTTCACGTCAGGGACAACTTGTCATAAGTAACCATAATACCGGAGAGGGAGGCTCCGCACATGGCAAGTTGTCGTTTCTCTTTCCGAATCAACTGTACTTACTGCAGTATGTCTCTTCAGTAATTTTGAAAAGCCCGAATCGTCCAGATCGTGTCCTAAAGCGACTAGGGACTCTGATCTTTCCGCGGAACCCTGCTCCAGGTATGACACTATAGTTGCCGCCACAAGTCCATCTCTGAGACGTGACCGGCTTCAGCAGATGATAGTGAGACTAGCAATGAGATGCCTAGCCTGCCAGTGATCCGGAAGGCTGTCATGGCAGAGAGCATCTGCTCCGACACGGTCTCTTTCTGTATGTCCCTCTCGGTCATCGCCAACACACACAGTCAATTAATGTAGTGCCGTTGTCATGTAGATACCGCGTGTGAAGGTGACTCTGACTCAGATTCTGACGAGGCCACCGTCTATGGTGATTCAGACTCTTTTGATGTCGGTCAGTACACTGGTCTCGAGGTTTACGCAGCCCAAGAGATGGACGACGCTGTGGAATAGATCTGAAATACCTCGTCATACCCAGTCTGCAGTGCCCTCGGTCTTCTGCTGTTTTAGTATCAACTTATTACCTGCATCAGTGTGCTGTCTGTCATCCAACTCATGTCTGTCGTTACTGTATTGTCTGGAATGTAATTGCGGGCAGTTGCAGCTATCATGTATCTGTATTTCTTCACTACTTGGAGAATGAATGAGTGTAACAAGGATCTCGTGAAGATGTTGAGTATGTTTTGTCACTGATGTGCATTAGAAGAGCACCCGTTGTTTTCCGGGGTAATTTTGCAAGAGACGGAATCAGCTTCCATCCTGGCTCATCAAGTCCATGATGCAGCAGCTTGTGTACTTGCACTTAATATGACCACCAACTACTATGCAGAGTCGCAAGACTAAGACCTTGATTTACATAGCGGCTTTGAAGACTTCCGAGTTGATAACGTCCTTATCTTCTATCTAGTGTGAACTGTGTCGCATCAATACTGGGTGTGAAGAGTCGTAGGATAATTTGCATCTTACATCGCCAGACAGCCCTGAATGAGGAGCAAAAATACAACAAAGCAAGGTACATAGAACATGCGACACCAGGTTGCGTAGTATTCACAAAGCAAACCGATCTTCGAGAAGCATAACACCAAACTAACACTTACTGCAGGCCGGAATAGGATCCAAACGGCGCAGTATGTAGGTAGCTGTGCGAACAACATGTGCCACAGACATAAAGAATCTGACAACGCCCCATTCACTACGCATTTTAAGCCGTGACCGCAACTTCCAACCTGAGAGACTCTTTGTGATCTCTTCAAAGTGAGAAACGACCACATCCATCGAAGGCCGCTTCTCGGGATCGTTCTGCACCATATCATCAACAAGTGGTTTGATGAATCCGAAGTCGACATAGATCTGTAGACACGAATAAACCTATCAATATAGTGGGTGGGAAGTACCCCTTACCCCTTACCTGAAGAAACCACTCTCGAAGGAGGTTCCCGATGAGATATACATCAGTGGGAAACGGATTGCAAGGCTCGCCCTTCTGATTCTCAGGTACCGACTTGTCCGCCGATATGATGGGCGGCTCGCATGGTGGTAGGTCTTCAGGTCGATACCTCCGTGAAATCCCAAAGTCGATGATGACATATCTGACAGGATGAGTCGTACGCGAATAATGTTTTGAAGACCCTTTCCAGTCGCGGGACCTTGCTGGATCAGTTGGATGGAACAAATTGGGATAAAGTGGTTTCGGGTCCAGCATGATGTTCATGAACATGCAATCTCTGTTTGGATTTAGCATCCTATGTAAAGCATATTTGAATCACGACCCACCGGTGGGCGATCAGGTTATCATGCAAGAACTTCAGGCCCTTGAGAAGATGCAAGTATGAGTACAATGATACCGTAGGAGTTGAGAAGTGAAACGAACCTCAAGGACTTGTTGAATGAAATCAACCGCTTCGCCGAAGGTTACGAAGTATGGAATATAGAATGGAAGAAGGAGAGGTAAAACAAAGATGACAATATTCAGTTCATCTGGTGGATGTAACACGTCGAGGAGTTTGATGCAATGATTACGTGGATCCGAGGCAAGAGATCCGGAACTCAGATATCGTGTCAGCTCTTCTTCATATGGATGGTCCAACCTATTAATCCTCTTTAATACCACAACATCGCCATCAGACGCTCGAGTGGCATCGAGTACCGCTCCACGCTACAACGCAAAGGGCACACAGTCAAGCAAAGAAAACGGCTATTAGCAGTCCAGAGTAACTACCACAATAAATTGTCCGTCTTCATACTCGACACCGAGTCTGTCAATGCCGAGCCAAGAAGGTCTCCAACCTGGTCGATATCGAGGACGCAGCTGGTATCCTTGTTGATTCAGCCATTCGTAGTGGTCTTTCCACCAATGTTCATCTCCCGCTAGCTGAGCAGCAGGTCCACCTTTGATGGCCGTCATCGACTTTGAGTTCATATGGTAGCGCAGCACAAAATGAGGTTAAGAACCAAGCACAGATACTGCCAGAGTAGGCTCAGTTTCAGCCTCAATAGGGTCTGACAGTCATTCCCGTGTATGCAGAAAGGACCAGGTTACCGGTCGCAAAGCAACGGCAGGAAAACAATAGCTATACTTTGAAAGGCATGGACTCGGACACATATGTATGAGTGCCAAATAGATATCAACATACTGTATATTCAGTATCGTTAGCGCGCTAGCCGTCTCCACGCGTTTCAAGAGAGGAGAGCTCCTTCTATTGCGCATAATTTCTGAATTTTTACTTTTTCTCAGAATCGAACAGTTATGGGATGAAGGTTCAAAACCAGCTCTATGTGGTCTTCTGGTAGGGACTTCCGCCATTAAGTGCTGTGTAATTGCGAATTTTTGTCTTCGTGCCTTCCCTTGATCTCTTGAAGCTTGCTGACAGCTAGGCGTCTTCTCCTAGTCTCCGCCTTGTTGTCACCATATGGCAGACAGACCAAGGTGAGTAGCCAGTCACGTAATAGGAGATCTAGGCATATTGTTTTGATATCTCCATGGTTCCATTGTAATTCTCAACGGTGGTCATCTGTCCAGAATGTTCCTTCGCCGCCCTCCCTGAGCTCTATAAATGTGTGTCATCACCTATGTTCATTGAGAACAAGAACTTCCCATTTGTGATCTGGTATCACCTATGCTGTCTTTTACCCCACAGTTCCTCTCTATCTTTTTATACCCTCATTCTATATGGATTCTGTCATCCCGGGTAGCGGTGCTGCAGCAGAGCTTGTGCTTAGAGCATCCAAGCGTTTGATTCAATCGTTGAAGGATATATGGCCCAGCTGTTGTCTTCAAGAATTACATATTGGCGACATGTCTGCCGAACTTGAGCAGGGAGAGATAGGCACTCGTAAGTCACATTAATCGCCATCACCAAGGTTCTTTGAATTGGGGCCATGTCTTTCTTGTAGGGTCTAGCGACGATGGAGGCTTTCCAGTGAATTACATCAATGACAACACATAGATTTTTCTTACGTTCATCATTGCTTACGCTACGGGATGCTCTAGCACCTGTACGAATGTGTCTTTCTTCTTTTCGGCAGAGCGAGAGTCGGTTGAAGTGTTTACCATTTATGGACAGTTGCCTCCGGATATGGAATCTATCATACCTAAAATATAAGGTGCCAAGTACTTGCTAATATTGCGCTTTCAATATGGAGAGAACTTACAATACAGGTACAACAATAAACACGTATACTTTGTCTACCAATAACAACAAAAAGATCTTGAGAACAATCCTATTCGGTAAAGTACAACAGTTCACAGAAACTTGAAATTGCCCAGAGAGATCGGATCCGAATCGTCAACCACAGCTATTTCCATAACAAGCAGAAAGAAACGAAACGAAACACGAAGAAGAACGAACGAATGAAATCTCATACCAGTCAAACGCGAATTATCAGATTGAAAACAAAGAAATGCCAGAGATTATCGCGCTTTACCCTCCTCGAAAGGGTTCTCGATATACTCAAGGTCATCATCATCGTCTCCGTCATGTTCTTTGGCAGGTTTGGTCTCCGACGGGGGTTGAGAGCGTAAGAGAGAAACGGGACGTTTGGGTAGGAGACCGAGTTTCGCTGAAATTCGACAAACGAACGCAATCAGAAAGAGTGAGTCTATGAATTAGGCCACGCAGAGCTTACCAGCATTAATAGGACTACCACTTTGCGTCGCTGGTGGACGAGGGATATCAGTACTCCCTCGAGGGGAAGGCGACACTACGGGAGGCGGTGATGAAGGTGTTTGGGGTCGTGGCTGAGAAGGTTGCGCTAGGCTGGGAGTCTCTCCCCCTACATCGTATCCCTTCACCGGATTCGCATTCACGCTTGCGCCTGCCGCTGTCCCTGCACCGGCACCGACAGTATCGCCCTTCCACCCAGCAGTCGTATGTTCCCAATCCGCATTGTATTCGGTGACGGTAGCGGTAGGAGTCGCCATTGGAGCAAACGCCTGACTAGCAGCATGCCTATTGACTCCGCTTGGAGGTGAAACAGGAGGAGGGGACGCGGAGGATGCTGAGGGGGAGTTGGCGTATATCGGGTTTGGAACGCGAGATTGGCCAGAAGGTGGAGGTCCTTGCTGTTGTTGTTGATTAGATGACCTAGATAAAGCACACAATCTATCAATATAACTCATCTTAAGACGACATGTGAAGGATGCATACCCAGAGCCTGGACTCCCACTCTGTTCATACTCATTGATCTTTGCCTTGATCTTCTCGATGACGGAGGAGAAAGTACGTTTCCCACCTAACCGAAGGTCATACGTCAGTGATCGATCACAGAAATATTAGCCGAGGCTGAACATATGTAACGTACTCTCTGCAATCCTACTGACGGTCTCTTGGAAATCTTGGAAGTCCCCACGTTCGCTACCCGTGACATAACCTGACTGAGCTTGCTGTTGGCCCTATGCAGGGTGTCAAGGCATAATCAACAGAAGGCGATAGGGTCATACCTGGGCGGTGCCGCTCGTTCTCACTTCATACGGTACTTCGTTTCTTATGCCCTGTCTCTGATCGAGGCCCAATGTCTCATCGACTCCAGCAGGCACCCCAGCACCTCTCCTGGGCCAACTCTGACCCGTTGCTTGTCTTCTTCCCCGTCGTCGGTCTTCCTCGTCATCTAACGCAAGTTGACGTGCGAGAGCTTCATCTTGCGAAGTATCCATCTCGCCCGCGATGATTGGGTGGGAAGACGGCTCTTCAGGCTGGTGAGGGGGAACGTAAGAGGGATCAGACATCGAAAGGAGGATGTCTATTGCGCGTTCCTGGTTGTTGTCTACGGTCTCAAGTACTCCCTGTCTGCATGAACAGTTGTCAAGACTACCACGACGATGCAAAGCATAAGAAACGTACAAAACGACAGGGTCAAAGTCAGGAAAAATGTCTTTCAAGGCCGCAACCTCAGGGGGAAGATTATTAATTTCTTGAATCTCAGTGTCAGCAGCTGCTGTAGGCGCGGTCTGCGCCGTAGTCAACGTAGGTGTTTCCTCTGGACGAGGAGGTAATTGGGGCGTGTCGTGCTCGTGTTGTGATTCTACGGTTGGGGGCGAGGAGGTCGCCATTGGCTAATATGTTCTTTGAGCACAGAATGGACAGAAGGCAAGTTTCGAGCTGGTGGTCAGGGTGTAAAGAGGAGTGGCTGCGAGCTGAGGCTGTTACCGCTGTAGCCTCGAGCTGCTGCGACACGCGACTGCGGCCGATCATACCATCGATCATAGGCGCTTGATTCTTTCGTATTTGACTGTCACTTTGACCATGACAAGCTTCAGCTGAACATCCATGTAGGAGGCCATTTTATCCGTGTGATAGCGTCAACTTGACATAGGTCCACTGACATCAAAGTCTATATGGTGTTATGACACGGTACGAGAATCCGCTACACGCTTATGCGGCCAGCGAACTGGCAAGCCGTCTCTGAACCAAAGGTATCAATCAGAAAAGGATGGACGACAATAACATCAGGAAGCCATGAAGGCCTGAATATGCCCAACTGTGGGCAAAATCTGCATGTAAGTACTAGCGAGATTGGTCTATGCTTGAAGAACTTCGAAGTAACAATTACAACTTGATCACAACAGTGACAGGCCTGAGCGTTACACTTTGCTTGCCACTGTTTGGCGATCATATACAGTATATATGCACATATGCGTTAAAGCAATCAGCTACTTATTGTTCTTCTGGTTTCAGTCTCGTTGCGCCCCATTCATAGAGAACCTCTCTCGCCGGCGAGACACTGCACGTACAGTTCAATACCAATGAGCTCTGCCTCCTTTCCTGAGGAAAGCCCCGCAGCGCGACTGGCTCCGCCAGAAATCTGGTGGCGAGACCTGGCTGCATGGCTCGGGAAACAGGGATTCTTACTCCGGCCCCGATATCGACCGGGGTGGAAGCCCTCTTGGACTGGGTTGGGAGAGTTGGGGGTTGATTATGAGGATGAGAGAATACTTGTGGTACGTATCTTTTCATCTCGCAGGGCATCAACCAACAACGATTTCTAATAGCGTGCCCCAATAATGGATGCTACGAGGATGTCTGACGGAGAACTTGTTATCCTCAAAAAGATTGACAAGTCCGATAATCCACGTGAGGAAGAACTAACGCAATATCTTTGTTCTGGGTCTCTAGCATCAGAACCTCAGAATCATTGCATCACTCTACTCGATGTATTGCATCCACCAAATGAACCTAACGTCGTTATTCTTGTGCTGCCACTGTTGCTGCCGTTCTACGAGCCTCGTTTCCGGACATTTGGTGAGGCTATCGATTTCATGCAACAAGCTTTCGAGGTTCGTCCATTTTGCACTTTGCGCGTTAGATAAATCTACTTATCAATGTTTGGTGCAGGGCATTAAGTTTCTCCATGATCACCTCATCGCCCACAGGTATAGCTTTATTTCTCCGATATTAAGCAACCTATTCACGGAGAGAAAGGGACTGCATGTATATGAATATTATGATGGACCCAAAGCCTCTTTATCCTGACATGTTTCATCCTATCGAACCAAAGAGGTCACGAGATTGGAAGGGCAAGCCAAAACACTATTCAAGAACGACACACCCCACCAGATACATCTTAATCGACTTTGGTATCTCCCGTCGATACAGACCAGAGGATATGCCACCTCTAGAGGCTCCCATTTGGTCAGCAGACCTCACGGTTCCAGAGAACAAAAGGAACGAGCCTTGCAACCCTTTCCCCATCGACATCTATCTCATAGCGAATGTCATTCGCCTGTATTTTCTCAATGTACGTCTTACGCTCTCTTGTTTTAGCGCTTTCTAACTATTCGGAACGGACAGATATATGATGGCTTTGACTTCATTTCTCCACTCATTACCGATATGATGCAAGACGATGCAGAGAAGCGACCCACGATAGATGTAGTTATAGCTCGCTTCGACCAGATCGTGTGCAACCTCTCGAAGTGGAAATTGCGCGCAAGGCTCAAGAAGCATATCGAGTGGAGCGTTGCAGGCCTTTTCAGATCTGGGGCAAATATAATCAGAACTGCTAGCTACATGCTGAGGGGGTTGGATCCTATTCCATCCCCCAGGACGTAGAATGGCATGACTCCTTTCCTTCTCGTGTTTTCTCGTAGGATACCATACGGCCTGGTGTCGCACATACTTACCGCTGTTCATGTTTCTCCTTGGATTGTACTACTCATGCTCTTTCACTTTCACTGATGGCGTATGATGCATGAAGCGAGCACCAGAAGATACGAACAATGCGAATGTGGGGATATCATCGACGCCCAGTAAGTGCATCAGGGCTTCCGAGTCCGAGTTCCGAATTGTCCGAGTATCATAATTATTTCGATCTGCAGCTGGGATGATAGTCGCTACTGACTATACAACAAGACGGTCTATCATGGAAGCCTGATGAAACGTTGCCGCAAGGGAGAACAAAAGTCTTCGGACATGTAACGAGGGGCCAGCTTGACGGTGCACGGAACGAAAATCGAAATCCACGAGTCAGAGAACAATGGTCACTTTCCACTGCTTCAGACCGCCACAGAGGTATTTAATGAAGCTAAGGACACCGAGACAAAAGGCTCCTTTCTGAGAAAAGGGTCCAGACGCGTCGCCATCAATTCTTTCGATCTATGGCACAATGATAAGTACACATGTCCCTACTACCAAGACATAAGCATGCAGGGAAATGATTATCAGGTCGACGTTTACGAAAGTGAAATTTCCAAGCCATCACAGAATAGCAGGTCGACCCTGGTGAGTACTTGCAGGGTCCAATGATGGTGAGAGATTTGATGTTGGCAGACAAAAGCACGCCTTGAACAAAGGTTGCCGCAGAGCAACGGAAGACATCTTCCGATGTCGCATGCTGTAATAGCATTCACTGAGATGTGAAGTCCCTCAGCTACGAAGCGATGGCAGTCTACCCCAACTCGATAGTATTGGACGAACAAGAATATTTCCACAGTTGTTTTCGTAAGCTGTGACAGGCAACGGAGTAAGTATTTCCATAATATCAACGTGACCAGAACATTCTCTGGGAAACGAAGTAACGGAAAAAATCGGGCTTTGCTGGTTATGTGTAGATGCGGACAGCAGCAATATTCCAGAAAGCGTTAACGAATGCGCTTGGATTCTTGTCCACGAAGGCTGGAATAGAATACACATGAGCAAAGGATAGGTGAAACGGAGTCGGAAATACTGACTGGTGCAGTCACCAGGGCATCCGGCACCGTTGAATACACCTGACTGACCAGCCCAATGTTCAGCAACGTCTGTTTGCGTTAGATCTGTCCTGTGGAAACGTAGAATCTCCTATGTAAGAACGTGGAGATGGGGATTTTTTCGATACGAGAGTAACAGAGCCGACATGAATACCCATGTCCCCTCAAGTGCAAAGATTAGACGAAATCCAGATTTGACGAGGAGACAACTCACCGAGCGGTAAGCACCCAATCCCAACTCGTGGCTATACTTACATAAGTCCCAGTCACACAACATGCCTTCCGAGACCAATTCACAGTGCTTGTTGACTTTGAAGATGATGAGAATATTATTATCGCTGATATCGCGGTGCAAGACCCGAGCGAATTCCCAGGCTTCTTGATGAGCTGAAAAGGAATCATTAGCATACGAAGCAAATCCAGAGGGATGCGGTCACATACCCAAGAGTGCATCCTGCAAGACCTTGCAAAGCGTTTGAGAGCTTAGATACCTCTCAAGGGGACAACCGACTTACTGAAGAACAATACGGTAGTGAATGCGGGCACAGGACGGCTGAGAATGTATGCGATCCGCGCCGTCCCCAACGTCCCCTCCGCACAGTGCGTTTGCTACGAAACGCACTTGCTTGTCCTTGACTTTCTTGTAGACTTCATGTTCGGGATATGCTGATTTCAAATCTTGACGCCAACTGTCTTTAAGGAAAACAGCCTTATTTCCTCCCAAATCATAGGCAACATATCCTCGTGGGGGGCGCCCTGTTGCCGACAAGCCTTCAGCATGATGGTAACCGATCAGGAAGTGATCGATTCCATCACCGTTCTTCACCTGAAGTTTGTAGATCTTCCCTATGCGTGGTTGTTTCGTCTTGTCCAGTATAGCTTCCTCGAGAAATTCCGGAATATGATCCACTCTCACAGTTGGAATGAAGGCGACCACTTCGTCAACTTCCGACTGACTTGCAAGAGAGACGGTAGGGTCGAAACCTGGCTGTTCCGGGGTCATCTTGCTAAGGCGGGAGAAGAAGTTGAGAACCTTCCAGCCTTCTGTCAGAAGATCGATCTCCTCAGACACGACGAGACTTGTCCGATCCCAGAAGAGGAGCCAAGCAGAGTTCCGGTAGATCGAGACACTGTAGAGATGTAGATGGTGTTGGTGCAGTTGAATCTTGCCGGAGCATTCAGAAAGTTGTCCTAATGCCGTATCGATAGCTTGCGAAGCAGAGGTAGCACCGGAACCATGGAGATCGGAACCGAAACTACGAGGATGATATTCACGCAACTCCATAGGGGTCTGTGTTGTTTCCCATGGTGCAAAAGCCGGCGTCCCGTGAGCTGTAATATCCACGAAAGCCAGAATGTTGGTCTACGAGGTTGTCGCAGCCCATAACCTTCGCTCCATGCCGATATCCTTCATGAGATCTTCATTGTAATACCCAGACGAGGTTAGATCATGATTAGAGGTGTTGGGACTAGTGTATAAAACGCCATAGGGCCTATACGCGTTCTAAGAAGCCCTTCAATACCACTCGCCGGTATCTCGAATTACAACCTGATCACTGAGAAGCGCCGATTGTATGGTTTTCTACTGCAGCAAAGTGAAGAGATTGATAGGTTTCTTACCTGAAAAAACTAACATGCTCACCAAATGTGGCCACAGATCATCTCGACTACATGTCCAGAGATCCTGTGGTAAGTCGGTGAAAGATAAGAACTTCCCTCTTTCGTCGACACTAGGTTCTTGTCTGGGGACTAGTTGCAAAAACGACTCGTAAGGAACTTCTGTAAATGCAAGATCCGTTATGGTTAAGGAGCGAAGAGACACGCTGGTTCCGAATATTTTGCACCTGAGCCAGAGTAGGATGCGACAGGACGCGACGCGACGCGACTCAATCACATGGTGTTTTGATCTCCGATCTAAAAAATGTTGGTGATTGAACTGTTAGTTTACTGAAGGCCGCGTCTTCTCAGCTGAGGCCTGAGGCTGTTACTCCTACAGTAGCCTCGAACTGCGACACGCGACTGCGGCCGATCATATCATCGATCATAGGCGCTTGTGTCTTTCGTATTGAATTTCGAGCTGTCACTTTGCCCATGACAAGCTTCACCTGAAAATCCCCTTACAAGGCCATTTTATCATGTTATAGGTGAGCCAGGACTGAAGCTGGTTCCGTCTCTAGCATACCCCGGGAAATAACGGGTGGTTTAAAGCAACAATGTACTTAGACTCAACATCATGATCATTACAATATCTTTGTTATACCCATTCATTCTCCAAATAGTGAAGAAATACAGATACATGACAGCTGTAACTGCCGGCAATTACATTCCAGACAATACAGTAACGACAGACATAAGTTGGATGATCGACAGCACACTGATGCAGGTAATAAGTTGATACTAAAACAGCAGAAGACCGAGGGCACTGCAGACTGGGTATGACGAGGTATTTCAGATCTATTCCACAGCGTCGTCCATCTCTTGGGCTGCGTAAACCTCGAGACCAGTGTACTGACCGACATCAAAAGAGTCTGAATCACCACAGACGGTGGCTTCGTCAGAATCTGAGTCAGAGTCACCTTCACAAGCAGTATCTACATGACAACGGCACAACGTTAATTGACTGTGGATGCTGGCGATGACCGAGAGGGACATACAGAAAGAGACCGTGTCAGAGCAGATGCTCTCCGCCATGCTGGCGGTCCGGCTCAGGCTAGGCATCTCATTGCCAGTTTCGCTATCGTCTGCCAAGGGCAGTGACATGTCAGAGACGGACTTGTGGGGCAACTATAGTGTCATACCTGGAGCAGGGTTCCGCGAAAAGATCAGAGTCCCTAGTCGCTTTAGGACACGATCTGGGCGATTCGGGCTTTTCAAAATTACTGAAGAGACATATCGCAGTAAGTACAGTTGATTCGGAAAGAGAAACGACAACTTGCCATGTGCGGAGCCTCCCTCTCCGGTATTATGGTTACTTATGACAAGTTGTCCCTGACGTGAACTACCTTCAGGGACCTCAAGCTCGACTGTTGAAGACATCAATAAAGCTAAGACAAGATGATCTCCGCAATACCACAAAGCACTGACGACTCACGAAAAGCAGTGCCATTAGTCGCAGTGTTCGTGTTATTCACGATTATCGATTCGGATTTTCCTATCTCGTAGTATTTAGTATTGAGTCCGGTAGTGTTTGGCCGACATCGTATAAGTGATTACCGTTTAGTACGTCGCCTGATACTACCACTGGTCAGATCCATACATTTTAGTGAGAATATATGTAGCAGTGAGAAGACCCAAATGCTTACATCTGGCCTCTCCTGAGGCTATGTCATTGACGTTGGAGACCATCATGGAAGACTCTATGTTAGAAATTGCTTCATTACCTGGAGGACGGCAGGTTGAATGGGACCCAAACCACATCCTGTGAAGATAACGATGCTCACCCAAATCCCCCTTATCTGATTTCTTGTCGGCATCAGTGGTTCGATTTCTCGGTTTCAAATGTTCCTGCAACGCCGCGTTCCTAGCAGAATTCTTAATCCCAATAAATCAACAAATCCGACATAAGACAATGGAAAGAGGCGAGCTCACCACGGTCGTAACATAAGCATGCTCTGCACTTCGTCTGAGCTTGATAGACTCTGTGAAATATGGAATGGGGCGCAAAAAAATCAAACTCTTGCTTCTATTTTCCAACTGCTCTTTCAACGTTTGGACACTTATGCAAAATGAGTCGATACACTTGGGGAATAGAGTGAAGATCGTACTATTGAACCTGAACCCAAATCAGATATTTGTCCGCGTCATTGAGATATTGCTTTTTTTCTGATAAAAGGGCTTCTATTTGTCCCAAGAGGTAGCCACCGTCCTTGATGCAATGACTTGGCCATAAATCTTTGAGATCTTCCAGTATTGGTCTAAAGGCCTCATCCAGAATCTTCACGGCGACATTGACACCAGTTTCCATGTTCGGGGGGTTAAGAGCGTGTATGTAAGGAGTGTACGTTGATAAATACTAAGTGGGGAAAGGTATTTCAATAGAACGTCCAGCGTGCTGCAAGTGTTATGATAAGTCAACCAGTGATTTGAAGGGTGAGTTTATATAGGAACGTCGACACGGCGGCAGAGATCGTGGGGTATTGCGACGGAGTCACGGTTTTACCATAACAAAGGAACCTAGCAAGATTTAGCAGGACACGCGGTCTCTGTTTACGTGAACCCTGCCCGAAGCATCATGCAGGCCACATGCGTAGCTGTCAGAAGGAACAAAGGTACCAATCAGAAAAGGATAGACAACAATAATATCAGGAAACCGTGAAGGCCTGAATATGCGCAACTATGGGCAAAATCTGCATGTAAGTGCTAGCGAGATGAAGCAGTGGTCTACGCTTGGTAATATCGAAGAACTTCGCAGTAATAATTGCAACTTGATTACAACAGTGACTAACCTGAGCGTTACACTTTGCTTGCCGCTGTTTGGCAACGATACATATGTGCCCATATCCGTTAAAGCAACCAGCTACTTATTGTTCTTCTTGTTTCAGTCTCGTTGCGCCCATTCATAGAGAACCCGTCTCGCCGGCGAGATACTGCACGTACAGTTCGATTCCAATGAGCCCTGCCGCCCTTCCTAAAGAAAGCCCAGCAGCGCAACTGGTTCCGCCAGAAATCTGGTGGCGAGATCAGGCTATATGGCTCGGGAAACAGGGATATCTTCTCCGGCCTCGATATCGTCCAGGTTGGAAACCCTCTTGGACTGGGTTGGGAAAGTTTGGGGTTGATTATGAGGACCAGAGAATACTTGGGGTACGTATCTTTTCATCTCGTAGGTCAGCAACTGATGCCCATTTCCAATAGCGTGCTCCAATAATGGATGCTACGAGGGTGTCTGACGGAGAACTTGTCATCCTCAAAAAGATTGAGAAATCCGTACACCCATACGAGGAAGAACTAACGCGATATCTTGGTTCTGGGCCTCTAGCATCAGAACCTGAGAATCATTGCATCCCTCTGCTCGATGTATTGCATCCACCAAATGAACCTAACGTCATTATGCTTGTACTGCCACTGTTGCTGCCCTTCAACAAGCCTCCTTTCCGGACATTTGGCGAGGCTATTGATTTTATGCAACAAGCTTTCGAGGTTCGTTCACTTTGCACTTTGCACGTTAGATGAGTCTTTTTATCAATGTCTGGTGCAGGGCATCAAGTTTCTCCATGATCACCTCATCGCTCACAGGTATGGCTTTATCTTTCTGACATTAAGCAGCCTGTTCACGGCGAGAAAGGGACTGCATGTATTTAAACATTATGATGGATCCAAAGCCTCTTTATCCCAACATGTTTCATCCTGCTGATCTACACAAGTCACGAGATTGGGAAGGCAAGCCAAAGCACTATTCGCGAACGACACACCCCACCAAATACATTCTAATCGACTTTGGTATCTCCCGTCGATACAGACCGGAGGATATGCCACCTCTAGAGGCTCCCATTTGGTCAGCAGACCGCACCGTTCCGGAGAACATAAAGGAAGAGCGGTGCAACCCTTTCCCCACCGACATCTACCTCATAGCGAATGTCATTCGCGTGTATTTTCTCGATGTACGTCTTACGTTCTCTTGCGCCAGCACTTTCTAACTATTCGGAACGGACAGAGATATGATGGCTTTGACTTCATATCTCCACTCATTACCGATATGATGCAAGACGATGCAGAGAAGCGACCTACGATAGATGTAGTTATAGCTCGCTTCGACCAGATCGTAGGCAACCTCTCGAAGTGGAAATTGCGCGCAAGGCTCAAGAAGCGCATCGAGTGGAGCGTTGCAGGCCTTTTTAGATCCGGGGCACATATAATCAGAACTACTAGCTACATACTCAGGGGGTTGGATCCTATTCCAACCCGGAAGACGTAGAATCGCAAGACTCCCTTCCTTCTTGTGTTCTCTCGTAGGATACCATACGGCCTGGTGTCGCACATACTTACCGTTGCTCATGTTTCTCCTTGAATTGTACTATTCATGCTCTTTCACTTTTACTAATGGTGTATGATGCATGAAGCGACGTCGGCCAACTCCGCATGCACCAGAAGATACGGACAATGCGAATGTGGGGATATCATCGACGCCTAGTGAGGGCTTCCGAGTCCCGAATCGTCCAAGTATCATAATTGCTTCGGTCTGCAGCTGGGATGATGGTCGCTACCGACTGTACAACAAGACGGTCTTTCATGGAAGCCTGATGAAACGTTGCCGCAAGCCGCAAGGGAGAACAAAAGCCTTGGGACATGTACCGAGGGGCCAGCTTGACGGTGCACGGAACGAAGATCGAAATCCACGAGGCAAACTGAACATCAAAGCATGAAACGAACGCCACGAATCAGAGAACAATGGACAGTTTCCACTGCTTCGGACCACCACAGAAGTATTTAATGAAGCTAAGGACACCGAGACAAAAGGCTCCTTTCTGAGAAAAGGGTCCAGATGCTTCGCCATCAACTCTTTTGATCTAAAACACGATGATGAGTACACATGTCCCTACTACCAAGACGTAAACTTGCAGGGAAATGATTATCAGGTCGACGTTGACGGAAGTGAAACTTCCAGGCATCACGGAATGGTGGGTCGGCCCTGGTTAGTACTTGCAGGGTCCAGTGATGGTGAGAGATTGATGTTGGCAGACAAAAGCACGCCTTGAACAATGGTTGCCGCAGAGCAACGGAAAACATCTTCCGATGTCGCATGCTGTAATAGCATCCACTGAGATATGAAGTCCTTGAGCCACGGATAATGGACAAATATTTCCACAGTTGTTTTCGTAAGCTGTGACAGGCAACGAAGTATCTCGATGATATCAACACGACCAGAACATTCTCTGGGAAACGGAGTAATGAAAGAAAATCGGGCTTTGCTTGTTATGTGTAGACGCGGACAGCAGCAATATTCCAGAAAGCGTTAACGAATGCGCTTGGATTCTCGTCCACGAAGGCTGAATAGAATGCAGATGAGTAAAGGATAGGTGAAACGAAGTCATAAATACTGACTGGTGCAGTCACCAGGGCATCCGGCACCGTTGAATACACCTGACTGACCAGCCCAATCTCCACCTGAAAGGGTGTATCTCGTGAGTCCTATCGTTTCGAGAAAAAGAGGCTAACTCACAGAATGTCAGGTTAATAACGATCTCGTTGGGCCCGAAATGTGAATTGATATCACATTGAGAGTTGGGAAAGAAAGCGGTTGGTGTGCCCTACGCAGTGACTTTAGATAGCGACTAAAGCGCAAAATGGATAGTGCCGCTTACCCATGCATCAGTGTTAACTGAACCACCTCCGTTTCTGACGTCCGAAGGCACATTTCCAGAGTTGCGACCCCAGAACCAAACCTTGATAAACGTTGTTGTTCTCTCCATAGCGTACCAACCCCCGCCAATGGCATTAAACGCCGGGCCGTAGCTGTCAGCAGTCGGTGCTTGCACGCCACACCCTGTGTTGCCGCTTGTGTTAACATCACAGTTGTTTCCTGTAGGTGTGCCGGTCTCGTCACGAGAGGCAGGCATATTGCAGTTTGCACTAGTATGCAGTGTCATGGCGTTTGGAGACTGGTCGTTGACGCCTTCGAGCCTGTAGTAGGTTGGATTTTCCACTAAGCCTTGATATTGGAACCGAGCGTATATTATGTACTCACTATGGATGAGGAATGACCCCAAAACGTGCTACCTAAGAGTTCCGTTCCACAACGCAATCGTGATTCGAGGAGACTCACAATATCGACCTCACCCAAATTAGGCCAATCATCTCCGATTTCCCATGCAGCTGGCCAGGTACCACAACCCTGAGGCATATGACGAATATCAAACCTATGCATTTGTGAATTTACGAGAAGTTCCAGCAGCGGGAAAAGCAAAGTTACACTGTAACATGAGTTGTGTATGTCTTGACACTGCGGATTCGAACGCTTTTTCTTCCAGCGTCAGATGGGGCAAGCCTAGTGGTAGAATCGGCTCGCATGATCAGCGTGTCTCCTGAAGCGAAGGTGAGATTCTGAGCGATGGCAGTTGCTTGATCGACATATGTACTAGACACACTGTCAGCAACTTGTAGTTCCAGATTGTCACAAAATACGCTGACACTCGGCCATGTGTAGGGTCGGCTATAGCTTCATGGACGAAGGAGGATAGAAAATCTGACCCCACGTGGTTATCTGAAAGCTGATAATTCGCTGCAAATGCGCTGCAGGCGAACGACGTGAATAATAATGCGCAGAGATGTATAGAATACATAGCTGGAGAGTAGGTGGATGAGGCCACAACTGACCACCACGTAAACGTCGATGTTGCTCTATTTGATGCTCCCCGGAGCTGAGCTTATACGACGTAGTTTCGTTTCCTTAGTTCCCCTTTGTCACCAGATTCATCACCTGCGTATGTTTTACATGTGTCTCTCGGACAAACCGAGATCTGCTGTTCAGTCACATTGCCATGTCTGTGTCGCTTCGAAGAAGAACGAGGGACGAGGTATTTGGCATAATGCATTTCAGAACACGGCGTTGGAGCTGTCGAACTGGACTTTGCAGCGCACCATTGAGGAGCCAACGAATCTCCGCATTAGCAGATTGCGAGGGGAATGATAGGCTGTTGTATCATATGCATATGCGTGGTCTAGAAGGTAAAAACCGCTCTCGAAAGACAATCTCATGACCCAAGCCTTTGGATTAGCCATCGTTCTAGAGTAGACCTTGAGAGAAAGAAGCCAAATGGATGGACGCAATCATGACAACACACCTTCGATTTGGGAAAAGCAGGCTAGTGTTTCTTCTGTGTCATCCAATAAAAGATGATATATGAAATCATCGGCCAGGGACGTGATACAAGAATCCGCATGCGATCCGACCATTCACCGCCAAGGTGAGAGGGTGTAAGAGGTCGCAAAAGAGGTATCGCCACACACGATCAAAGGCCGTGAACATATGAACAAGCAGGGACAAAATATCTCCGTTTGCACGCTTCGACGTTCTCCACCCAAGTACGGCCATCTGCTCGGAACGGCCCGATGACCGGTATCAGTCTGCGCGCGAAGACCTATGAAAAAGCACCGTGTAACGCAGAATCAAGACTAGGGATGAATATGTAGTATCAGGGCGCCACATCTATAAGCAGTGAGAGAATGAACTTTACGTACGCGAGGTATCAAATAGCGCGCTCCTAGCATGAAACTCGATGAATATTAAGAAGTTCATCTCGCACACAAAGGGGACTACAGGCCTCGACGATCTAGATCCTTCAGTAAGTATAGGCAGAAGGCTCGGAACACTGGCGCCGAATGTAATGTGTTTCGTAGTGGCCAGCCTACGAATGACGGTGAGGGATATGCGTCGACAGCATTCATAGAAAGGCAGCTAGCTAGGAATGATGATGCTTTTATAACTTCTTGAGTTATGGACCTGCGGCAGATAAGTTCTCCACACGAGGGAACACCTGTGTGATGTTACGATCACATTCATTTCGGATCTACAAACACCTTTCCCTCGTATTATTCATTTGTAACCACTTATTAAAACCTACCCAAACACATTCATTGATCCATGCTCGAACCTGACCAATACCACATATTCTTTAGCACATTGTTAATGCATGTATTTAGATAATAGTTGTATATATACACCAGATGAACTTCAGATTAACTTCAAGTTTCGAATGCTTTTCACCTGCTCATTTCTAGTTTGGTTTGAGTCCTATCATGATTCGAAACTTGCCCCTCCGCACTCTCTCGACAGGCATTGCCTCATCCTCCAACCACTCTTCACCTCACTTCAAGTCCATTGTACTTGATGACAACCACCTCATTCCTCATCCCACTCTGCTTTATTCCTACTCGCTCAAGACCTCATTCAGAGAGATCTGAATTTCACATTCCTAGTTACTTTTCTATCACACTCCACTCCTCCACCTGGGTAATCATGCAACTACACCTGTAGATTGCGACTCTTGTATTCCCTTAGTACATAAATCATTACTCTCACCTGATAGTCTGCTCTTGAAGCAACCAGGAAGTAGGCAGTGCTGCAACCTCCTTGACAGAGGGGCCGTTGAAAAATCCTACCAGAATTTACCCTGCTCAGATCTAAATGACTGAGTGTATAGCAGGAGGTTTCAAACCTCACTGGTATTCTTTAATTCTCTCATACATCGAAAGACAACTACCACAGAGATCAACTTCTCTTTTTGCACCTTCTAAGGTCAAACCATTTTACATAGCCACTATATCTACCTACCTCATATGTCCAGATTGGCTGTTGGCCGGAACACTTTGAAGGAGTTCCTTTATCCCAGATCTATACTCATCTAAGTATCAGAACAGGGTTGTGCACCCAGTACAAGACACTATTGTTCATACATCATGTCTTCATTTGAATTCCCTGATTCTGTACTCATCTATCAATTCTTTGAACACCGATGTCCATTCCCTCTTATATCATCATCACACTCATTCTTCACACGTTCCATATCATCATCACTGTTATCACCAATGGATTCTGTTAGAACTGGAACTGGTAGTCTTGGAACAAACTCACCTCCACCACCGCCACCAGCAGGAAACCCAAACTCACCCAGAAATCCATCACCACCTCCGCCAAATAATTCACCACCAGCTCAACCACAACTGAACACAAAGACATCTGGAGAGAAACCTGCAGACTTCGATAGAACCAAAGCATTATTCCTGTCTTTCAAAAGACAACTTTACTTATGGCTCCAAACACCAAAGAACACCAGTCTTACTGACGAACAGAAGATTGATATGACTCTCTTATACATGAAGGGTCCAAAGGTTGATGATTGGGTCAACAATTATTTTGAAAATAAATTTGATATCAGCACTGACAGCTGGAATGTCAATTTCTATCAATTGATTCTTGATCTCAAAGAATAGTTCCTCGACTCCAATTGATTTGAACAAGCAGTTATCCAAATGGATAACTTGACCCAAGGCAATGAGATGGCACAGAAATATTTCTAGAAATTGGAAATATACATCACGCAGGCAGGCAGAAAAAAGGAAGATAAACACACTATTGACCTTATTCGACTCAACTGCAATGAGTCCATCATAGATAGGGCTCTTGACAGAGACACGTGACCAACCACTTATGCACAGTCACTGAATTCCTACAATGTTTTTAGCATATAGAAAATTGTAATAAACTTTCAGATAATATATTTCTCATAAACATCAAGTTAAATATCCTAAAATTTGAATAACAGTCAGAATTTTATAAACAGTATTTGTGATGCAAATATTCTATCCAAATTTCAAATTATCTATTACAATTTTAGTAGATAGAAAATGTTAAATTTAATATAATTCATTTGTGACATAAAATAGCATACAATATTTGCAGAGACAAAATTATTAAACAATTCTGAATTAGATATAGAATTTTATACATGCTAATACTTAGATTCACTCTTATTAGCCACATATTACTGGGTCAACCTCACTTTGAGCCTATATAAAAGTATGCTCACAAGTATTAGCATATATAAAATTCTATATCTAATTCAGAATTGTTTAATAATTTTATCTCTGCAAATATTGCATGCTATTTTATGTCACAAATAAATTATATTAAATTTAACATTTTCTATCTGCTAAAATTGTGACAGATAATTTGGAATTTGGATAGAATATTTGTATCACAAGTACTGTTTATAAAATTCTAACTTTTATTTAAATTTTAGAATATTTAACTTGGTGTTTATGGGAAACATATTACCTGAAAGTTTATTACAATTTTCTATGTGCTAAAAACATTGTAGGAACTCAGTGAGTGGAAGGAAGCAATTATTGATATTGATTCCTTGTGAAGGCAGTAAGAAGAAGAGAAGCATTTGAAGAAGATCAAATATTGACCATTCTGATTGAATCAGAATTATGGGCAGAAGTACCCTGCCTATCAGCAACAGACCCAAGAACCGGGTCAGAATCAGAATCAAACTCCAAAGAAGGATTATAGAAAAAAGAAGGATGGAACCAGAACAACATTCACAGGGCATAGACAACCCATGGACTTGGATAGGAATTGCCTTAAGTGTAAGGCTAAGCAATTAGAGAAGGGCACTTGTGGAAGTGCATAATATATCCCAAATTGATCAGAATCATTCACAAACACTCAACATATTTGAAAGAATGAAATGAAGACAGAGTCAAAGATCAAGGAGATCTCTGACTCAGATGATGATGACGATAACAAGATGATCACAATGGTTTGACGATGGATGGAGAAAAACCTGGAGAAGGCAAAGAAGCTGAATTTTGGCTCAGGCAAGGCTTAAATGCACAAAGTAACTTGCTGAATATGAACAATAACTCAGATAAATCTCTGGAGGGTTCTATAAAAACATCTTCAATACATGCCTATAGTATATCAATCAGACAGTCCCCTTTTATAAATATTTCATCTAACATAGAGGCATCTTCTACCAAGAAGCGCAGCAGGATGGAACCTGTCACTGAGTTCCTACAATATTTTTAGCACATATGCAATTATAGTAAATATAGAGGTAATATGTTTCCCATCATTATGCTATTGAGGTATTCTAAAATTTACATAAAAGTTTAAATAATATAAACAGTATATCCTTGCAGAATATCTGAGACATAGTTTGTATAATCTGATTAGTTTTTAGATAATATAATAGGTTAAATCTTACATCATTATTTTAATGCTGAAAATTCTGTCTAAATCTAGAATTTTATTTCAAATTTTTATTTATATAATAGTGAGAGATTATGCTAAATTGAATATACATTTTTATATATAGCAATAGGCTAAATTACACTTTTACATGTGATAAAATTGAGATTGGACAGATAAAAATAATAAGTTTAACTATTTTATATATAAAAATAATATATTCAATTTAGAATAATATCACATTATAATATAGTTTAAAAGTTTAAATATTTAGATAGAATTTTTAGCATTAAGATAATGATGTAAGATTTAACCTATTATATCATCTAAAAACTGATCAGATTATGCAAACTATGTCTTAGATATTCTGCAAGCATATACTGTTTATATTATTTAAACTTTTATTTAAATTTTAGAATACCTCAATAGCGTAGTAATGGGAAACATATTACCTCCATATTTACTATAATTGTATATGCACTAAAAATGTTGTAGGAACCCAGTGTATGCTTGATTCCTCTAAACAAAATATAAAAAATCTAAAAATAAACTGAGTGCGTCAGATAAAAGCATTATAGACTGCAAACCACCATTACTTTGAGTTGTCAAAGGACTTAGAAGAGGGAAACAAATAGACCTACCAGTCACTGTGATCATACCAGAAATAGAAAAAATTCATAATACAATTGGATTGGTTGATACCAGAAGCACCAAATTATGCATAAATTATAATTTCATCAAAAGACACAAACTAGAAACTTCTAAATTTGATCAATCTATCCAAGTCTACAATACAGATAACAGCGAGAATTCTCAGGGACTGATCACAGAATATGTCCAACTTATACTATGAATCGGCAATCACCAAGAGAAGATCATGCTTTTAGTCACTGATCTGGGAAAGTCAGACATATTTCTCAGATATGAATGAATTGAATATTATAATCTATCAATAGACTTCAAATTGCAACTTGTTGACTTTAATCAATGCCTACATATGTGCATTACTATAAGACAGCAAGAGATCGAAGAAGGAGATACTGTATATCTATTAAATACCAATGCTTGATATAAAGAAAGGGGAGAATATATTCAGCAAATGCGCATAATAGTCATGGACATAGCAATTGAACAAAGTAAATAAAAAAAGAAAAAGATCTTCAAAGAAATGATTCCAGAATAATATCGTGAATTCACAGATGTATTCACTAAAGACACTTTTTATGTCC